GCGAGCGAGCATCGTGTAGGTACTGAAAAACTTGCCAGATTCAATTCCGAGCCTGAATCTATCATCGCTCTCAACTCGACGCCGCCCACCGTTACTGTCAACGACCCCGTAGTCATCGCGAAGAACCGGCTTGTGGGCGGGGCCTTGGCTACCGCGTTGCTGTAGCGGACAAGGAAGTCCTCGAGCTCATAAGATGGGTCGACCACCATTTGGCGCGGCTCGCTGCTCTCGATCTGGGCCGAAAGCCGAATTAACTCGTCAGCGTCTTGAAGAGAGTACTCCGCTGGCTTGCTTGAGTACTCGCGCTTGGCTCGGGTCTGCTCATTCATCAGCTTTTGCAAAACGGGGCTTGCACCAATGATCTCGAAGATTGGCAACGAGACGTTCGTTTTGAGAATAGTCTCTAAAATTCCAGGTGGGTTAGCGCGTTCTTGAAGCACAGATGTAATGTGAAACTTATCTTGTGTAGGCTTGTTTGCATCTCGCATGACGACATCTTCTCCCTGTCCGCCCGCTCGCGGCGCTCGTGCATTCTTCCAACCGTCCTTACGATTAATCGGGTTTGGCGGAGTCGGAATCTTGTTGTCGACAACTGGGGGCTGTGGTGCTTGTGTTGCGGGCACGTTTGGCACGCTTGGGGGCGCTGGTTGTTGATGAGGCGCTCGAGTTGCGGGTTTGGGCGCTGGAGCCACGTTGGGGCGCTGACCGACTGGATTGTAACGGTTAGTGTCCTTTCCGCTTCTTGTTACCGGGTTCGCTAATTGCTCGTCGTAGCTGAGCGAGGAGACAGCGAAGAATTCGTTGTCTAGAACTTGCGAATTTCCGAATGCTAGTCCAGCAGAATGGGTCGCGGCGGCTTGAACTCCGTCTGCGCGCGCTCGCATATATGACGAAACTCCCCCTCGCCATCCTTGTGGGGTTTTCGGGAGGTCAGTGCCGTCCATCTGGACGTACCTTTGGGTGTTGGGGTCAATCTTCACGAGCGCTCGCTCGATGAGTTCGCGCATTTCCGGACAGTATCGCGGGTGAAGTTGGTGAGTACCGGTCTTCCCGCAAACAAAACAGCGCTTACCAGTACTTGCAACAGCTAGCTGTCTCTCTGCCAAATGGAGCCGCATTTGCTCCAGCTGGCGTGTCAAATCCGCAATCTGTGAGTCTGTCGAGGTCGTCGGCGCCTCTTGCGTGTGTTCTTGGTTCGGGCGCTGCTGGATTTGGATCGGCCGCGGCTGCGCAGCTTGTTGCGCGGGGAATTCTGAGGTGAGTGCAGTCTCGATACGATTCCCAAACTCATCGAACTTAGCTTGACTTGGATTGTAAGTCTTCTCGCTCCACGGTTCGAATATCAACGAGTCTGGGTCAAAGCGTTTCTTCAAGATTTCTACTGTGGCAGATAATGTCGGGGCCGTATCGCGTGTTCGGTTATTAGTCGGGGTGCGTTGGTAAAACCAATCTTTCATGGTAGTCGGGATGCCGCTAACAAACATATAGTTTGCGGTCTCTTGGGTGATTCTTTTCTTCTTGACGAGATTCCCCGACATGCGTAAGAACTCGCGATAATAGGTGTCAACGGCTAATTTGTTCGAAAAGGGGGACTTAGCGGAGTTGGACTGGCAAAAGTCCTTCAATTGCTGCTCGGTGTAGTTTTTGGGTTGCGTCCTCGTCAGGATAGACAGCGAGGAGTGCCTTTGACGCTGCTGCCCAAGTCCTGCCGGATGCCTCGACGTCGATCTCCGGTATGTATCGAATAATATCCTTGACTCGGTCGCTGGAATATTTGTAGATGTGGTCGACGAGCTGGTCCTTATCGACGATACCAGCCTGGATTCCGCATTCGGCGATCTGATTCAAGAAATCTTTGGCGTACTGCCCATTGAATTTTGGGGCATTTTGCGAACGCGGAACCGGCATGGGAGTATGTAGGGTAGCGGTGGCTATCGGTGTGGCCATGGTTGCTAAAATTCGAGGTGAGTATAAAATTAGGGGTCAAGGATGATAACGCAGCGTATGTAGCTCTCGATAGCGGAATACCAGCCCCCTCGCGGTGGGCTCCACTGAAGAAGGACAACTAAGTCCAAGCGAGGACTAGATGTGGGCCGAGGTCGTACCGAGTGCGGCGCTGCGGGAGGAGTAGATGCGCAGGGTAGATTAGATAAGATTTACTTAGCTTTTGCAGTAATCGTAGAACTCGGGCTCGATGTAGCGCTTTCGCTCGCGCTCACTCTGACTTTGAGATGGGGGCAAGAAGTAAGGGATGAGATGCTCTCCTATTCGACACATGAAACTGTATCTACGCGATCGAAAGGGGTGATACAAAAAATGAAATAAGTACTGAGTCCATATGTAGGTGATCGTCCACTCCGTCCACACTGCAACCTGACAACCGGGCTTAGGACAAGTCGAATAGGGTGTACTCGCTGCCGCCAACAGCATTAGCATCAGGTTGACCAAGCCTGAGCTTGTTCCACCCCAGTCCCGCCGAGTCGTCAAGCGCAGGCGCAGAAGAAGATTCTGATATGATGAGATAAGAGGGGGAGTTGAGAGAAAAATGAAAAAATGTTGAGATGAGGAGGTTGGTGGAGAAAATGATGGCTGTTAACGCCCGAGATGCGCGACGCGTGATATGTGCGTGACCGCAGTGTCGACGTGGCGGCCACAAGGCACTACCACAGCGAATATGCGGTATGTAATATTATGGTCTTAATGACACAAAAACAAGGAAATCAATAATCACTTACATAACATTGATCTAGCTGTACACAGTGATCAAACTTACTGATGGCCATCAGAAATCGTTCCACATTAGTCAACTTAGCTAGATGCCATCAATCCAATCACTGATACCACTCTACAGAGCTTAGAATTAAAGAAATATCATTAAAGAAAATACTTGTTGGGCCATTGCCCTCATCTTTTGCATTACCCCTCTGGGCACTGGCCCACATCTTTTGCATAGATACAGCTATATGAGCTGACTTCATTGCGGAAAATGGGTGTCTCTAGCCGGGATGAGCTGGATCAGTGGTTGAAAGAAGAAGACGAATTCCTGTCCAGTTTGAAGAAGGAGCCCGAGGAGGAGACTCTGCAAATGGAATATTATCAGGCCCTTCTGGCCTTGATTGACCTTGAGTGAGTTCAACCCTATAACATTCCAAAATACATAACTAATCCTAACCCAAGGGCACAATTGAAGACAGAGTCGCAAAGGTTAACGGTGGTGATTAATTCTCAAGATTATAACCAAGACGCATCGGAGACTCGACGAAGGGAAACACATCGACGACACCTTGAAGAACGGTATCAAAAGGCCCTTGAAAAGGTCCAAACGCTCGAGGCTCGGATGGGCATTGATGCTCGATGGGAAGTGGGTGGAAGGGAATGGGAGGATACTGGGCGATTGGTCAAGAGGCGCCGGTACCAGAGAGCAGTGGACGATTTGGAGGGGCTTGTTCTCGCCCGAATGTTTGAATTGAACAAATGCCACATGGCCAGCACTGGTGGGTCATTATATTCATTTGAAGGGAATTTTCTTCTAACTATTTCCAGCCTATAAACTCAGGCAACATATTGCGAAGGCCCTTCAAACCCGATCGAAGGCAGTTCAGTCAGCCCTGGATCGCTATAACCTAGCTGCTGCGTCCATGACACCCTCCAAACGACAACTCAACTGGAAGGAGGTTGTTACTTACGCATTCATCTCAGACTTCGACCTACTTCGGGAGGGAAGGGAGGATATTTCCAATAAACCATGGGCACAACCAGCAGGTCGGGTGGCGCTAGACATGTACTTCAAACTGCTGAGGGCCGACGAGGAGAAGGACCGTCTCAACATCGAGATTCGGCGGTTCATCACCCACATGAGAGACGAGGAGCGGTTTCTTCTCCACAAAGAGCAACGGCTGATAGATGAGGGGCAGGGGGATCTAGCATACCAGGTGGCGCTCTATCGGAACGAACGAGGTCGATACAACACCCTCCACCATATCCGCTTCACGAAGCTCAACAAGATGCGAGGCTTCACCGGGTGTATCCTTCCTGGAACGAGCATCAACAAGGAGCAACATCTTCCAGAAGGTACAACAACGAGTATGGACGTAGATGATGGACTAGCAGCAGGAGAAGAACATGTGGAAGAGGACGTTTGGGATGATGCAGATGGAGAAAGTGAAGATGAGGACACTTTGTTAGACTCCTTTGATGGAATACTAGATGCCATTGATGATTAGTGTACAATAAGTAGTGTAATCTGACTCCGTACATCACCTACCGCCCCACGAAATAAAATTCCCCCACCTGCCTGTGAATAAAATTCCCCCACGCGGCCTTCGGCTGATTTGATTGACTTGATTGCGGGACGACCGGGTGTTGATGCGGGACCTCCCACGTCACGTCGTGATATATCACAAGATCACGTCCCAAAACGGTATCGATCAGCATATTTATTCCGTGCTCGAGAATTAACGGAGTCCGCATATATTAACGACGACGACCCAATACATCGTCCTCTTTTATATAAGGGGGGAGGTGGGAACTATAGGTGGGATAGTCTTCCGGCATGTCTGGGAGAAGCAAATCAAATGTGCACGCATTGTATGGCACCCAGTCCCGATATAATCCCTTCCGCTGGACGCTGTACTTCAGTGATGTGTGATTTAAGACCTTGAGGGCACATTACCATGACCACGAGCCCCACATATGACTTGCAAACGAGCTTTTGGCAAGCGGCGACTGCTTCAGGATCAAAACGTCGGGTGTCGGGGTCCAAGGTCATGACTGGATCGAGTTTAAAGACAGCAAAAGCACCCTGTGCAGGGATGGGAACGGTCTGGGGCTCTTGAGAGGCCGACATGGAGTCAAACAGCAGAAATTGAGTCAGGGGTATATTGTCACGCTGCTTTGGGTGGGTCCGCAACATGACTCACACTATCTTTGTACAGATAACCTGGCAGACAAAATGAGAGGCACTCGATACAACATTGGTCAATTGTTTTGGCGGGTCTATCTTACGCAAACATCTTGGCATACGCCTTCTTCGCTTTTACCTTCTTCTCCTTCTTCCGCTTCCGAACATTCGCTAGTTCGGTAGCGATAGCAGCATCGTTTGGTTGAAGAGCAGCTGCAGCCGCAAAATCTGCTTCAGCATCGTCCTCGTTCTTCTGGATGTTGTGCGCCAGCCCGCGTCGGTACAAAGCCTTGGCTATTTTATATTATCAGCTGAGGAGATCCATGGTCGCGAATGCAAGCAAACCTTTGTCAGAATCGCTCAACGATCTGAGCGTTGACAGCGCACGTGAAGCTGCCTTGATAGCCAACGCTGCGTCATCCGAAGAAGGTGGCTGTATACGAACAGCAATAAGTGCAGAATTGAGCAAAAGTGGTGTCAGCTGCTCGTCGTATGACTTTTGTAGCTCGATTTCGTCCTCTGGTAGTAGGGTGTGGAGGTCTAGATACCGGATCGCTTCTATTTGCCGTGTTGGTAGCTTCTGGATTTGAAAGACGATACGCACTCTGGTATTTATCTAATGCTGCAGCAAGTTTTCCTTCCTTGTAAAGGCCAGTCGCGATGGCCCTCACCTCCTGCGCGATCCGCAGAGCAGTCGCGGGATTCGAAGTATCCTCATCCTCGTCTTCAGGGTAGTCCTCATACTTGTCTCCATCAGCCGCAACGGTAACCTCGGTCAGACTCGGGTCGTCTGGCGCCAAAATACCACAATCCGCGATGACCACAGGGAGCTCAGGCTTGTCGCCCTGGCCGGTGGGGTTGTTCTCGATCTGCCGCACGACAGACTTGCCCTTGATGACCTCCCCAAAGATGACGTGCTTGTCGTCGAGATGTGGCGTGGCAAAGGTCGTGATGAAGAACTGCGATCCATTCGTGTTCGGCCCCGAGTTGGCCATCGAGAGTAAGAACGGGCGGTTGTGACGGAGCTCTGGCGGGAACCCCTCGTCCTCAAACTTGTCCCCGTAGATAGACTCGCCACCAGTTCCGTTGCCAGCTGTAAAGTCGCCGCCTTGAATCATGAACCTGGCCGGATTCAAGATTGAGCCATCGTCAACAGCAACAGCACTCACGCTTTAATCACACGGTGGAATCCAGATCCCTTGTAGGTTAAGGGCTTCCCTTTGCTGCCAACCCCCTTTTCACCCGTACATAACGCTCGAAAGTTTTCGGCCGTGCGAGGGACGAGGTCGGAGTAGAGTGAAAACACGATCCGTCCGATGGCTTTATCCCCGATCTTGATATCGAAGAACGTCAGTGGACGGTCTGCAGCGGTGGCCATGGGGGTTGAGAAGAAGATTAAACTTGGGCGCCATAGAAAGTGCTAGAGTGTTTGTGCTGACCTAATCAGTTGTCGCCGGTCACGTGGAATTGAGAATGACTTTGCGGCCTTCAGCTTGTTCCGAAGTCCAGATTCGAATTTTACAAGTCAATGCATAGCGACCCAAAGAATGTAGATCCAAGAAATAATGATAATGTTAACTTCAAATTTAAACATCCCCAGGCTCGTGCACAACAATGTCCATTACCGACCTCAGGTTCAGCGAGTACCCCGTCACAACATCCGTGATTGTCAATGTGTCGATGGAATGGACGCCAGGAGTGACCGCAAGGAATTCCATGCGCACAGACTGGCAAGCAGCGGGGAGTAACGGCCTGCAAGTAATAAAACACCAAGTAAAACGGAGAATAAACAAGAAACATACCCTATCCGTACGCGATTGTCCAGGGGCACGATACCCGGAGATGGCGCCTTCTCACCTGGATTTCTCGCCCTTCCCCTCCTGCGGTCCGTCGGACATGTGACCTCAAACCTCCTCGTCCACTCGCTCTGGTTGAACACAAACACGTCCAGCGTGAAATGGTCCAACGGGAATATTCGATGGACCTCATCACTCTCCTCGCCGTTGACTGCAGTTTTCCCCAGATCTGCATTCAGCTTATGTGCCCCTGACGCGAGGAGCCCAACAGACACGACAATCGCCTCGCCGCTTCGTGGCGCATTAGGCACCCGACCCGGCACGTGATCGTGTTCCTCGTTCTCCATCTCCTCCTCTTCTCTGATCCCTTCTGGATGCGAGACACTGGGCCCAATACCAAAGAATCCACTCCCGCCAGCGACGGCGATCACAGGCCCCGGTGTTGGTGGTGCACCGACAACTGCCCCTGTTCCTACGGCCATTCCCCGCTCTCGTCTAATTTCGACGCTCCTCCCGACTCCTCCGGGGAACATACCCTGAGAATTGGTTTGTGCGTTGACAGCGGGTGGTGTAGGTGGAAGTGCAGATCGGGTCGGGTAAGAAGGGTAGGCTGGGGTCATTGGTACTGGTGGTTGGTAATCTGGGTCGACAGAAAGCCGCGTGGCGCCGGGAGCTGGCGATCTGGGCACTGGGTTTTGCAGGACAACATTTGGTGTGGTTACATTGTTGGCAAAAGAAGAGGATCGTGGTGGGTGCATATCAGCTCTGGCACTATTGAGAGGATTTAGCATTGATGTTGAAGCACGATAGCCTTTGCCTGTCCCAGCGGTCTTAGCCAAAGCACGAGCGGCGACAATGGCTTGGCCCCCAGGAAGGGTGTGTCGTTTGACTGGCCCAGCAGTTTGGGGTGTTGTGAGAACCGGTGAAAGCGCGACCGCACTACCAAGAGCACTAGGGGGAGTATCACTTCGTATACTAACAAAACTATCTGGCCGGGGTTGCGGGTTGGTCGGAAATGGTGACGCTGGTTCAGGAAGGACATTGGGGATCTGTAACTGTATGTCACCGTCTTCGAAGTCGTCTTCAGGTTCAGGATGTGGTTGGGAAGACAGATCAAGTACACAGTTCCATTTAGAGCAGAATGTTCTTGTCGGGTATTCAGCTGATGGGGTGGGGGTTGAAGAGTAGGGGGATGAATATGGGATGAAGTACGGTTTGCCGTGAATGCCAATTGTTACAGCCCGTTGTAGCATTTCCTTCGCTCCACTATCCTTGACAAAGCCCATTGCGAGAGCCTCATCAGGAGAACGGAGAAACGATACCGCATAGAGCAAGTTATACTGCTCACTTGCTGCAACACGCATCGGAAATACTTTGCCGTCCTTCGTTCCGCCTTCTTGACTCCAACTGATGAGCACTGCGCGAGCTTCTGATTCCTCACTTCCTCCCACTTTGACTTCTACTCGCTCGACCTCGAATCCGGCCCCCCGTCCCGAATCCCCAGAATTCTCGAATTCGACACAGAGCACAACCGTCCGCTCATCGGTCCCGGCTTCTAATCGATCTTCGTCTGTTTCCTCTTCGGAGTTTTGAGCCTCGTCAGACGGGAACAAGACAGCTGGGACAAACACAGTCCGCATCCGGACTCTGAATCCAGAGACAGTAGGCAGTGTTTTTCTGAAGCTTTTACGTAGTGTTGCGGGAGCGGGAGTTCCAGTTTGCGAGCGACCCGAAGCGGACATAGGAGTGGGTGAGGGAGTGGGGAGTGGTGTTCGGGGAGCAAGAGGTTGTAATGTGAATAGCTTTAGACGCGAGACTGAACCCAGTCTTGCTGTCGGTAGGCCCAGAGAAGAGCTGGGAAAAGAAGGGCCTGCACCGAGGCCTTCTAAGAGATTAACTTCTGGTAACCCAGACAGCCCGTTTTCGTCGTGATTTTCGGACGCGCCATTTGTAGTCGGGGTTGTAGGGCTTGACGGTGCAGTTCCAGAAGGCAAAGGTTGGAACTCCACAGAAGCAAGAAAGAGCGCAAGAGGATGATTAGACCGCGTCAACGTTTGCGGACGATCTCGCAACGTTACAGAGACTGTCAAGCACAACAACGGCTCGCTCACAGCAAGTCGAAGGAACGCTATAGGATTGGAAAATTGAGTCCGGATCCAGAGGAAACAACGGAACGCAGCTCACATACGGTCAGCCCCAGTCTATAAACCGCGACCCACATCTCATCCGCTGCTGACCAGACCAGCGAGAACGCTTCTTTCGAATCCTCCGCTGTGCTCTGCCCCCAGATGCTCGCCTGCAATAGCGTACCTTCTGACTTGAGGTAGCGCTTATCAGTATCTGCTGACGCTGGTGTCGGGTTGGGTGTATTGGGCGGGAAAATAGACGGATGGCTCGACTTTTTGCCTAGTTTGCTGGTCGGCAACGCCAACGATGCGGTCCGTGGTGGGTTTCCAAGCCTAGCGGTGCCCGGTGTCTCGGGATAGCCATTACCACTGACTGGTATGCTAGCTATATACGTCGCCTCGAGGGAGATCTGGAGATGGGACAGAAATGTGAGGAGCTCTTTTGGCGGACTGCGTGGGTCGCGGGAGGCAGAGACAGCGGCATGGTCGATACGGATTAAGAGGAGAGCCTGTAATTCTTCGTCTACATAGGGAGCTCAAATAAACGAACGATTAAAGAGTCAGTTCACCCTCACCGAAGAAAGCCTGTGTTCGTTCCACCGATCCATCTCGCGTGCGCGCAAGCCATTCGTCTGCGGTGTCTTGCGGAGGGGGGTATTCAAGCGAGGTATCTGGGACCACGACATCGAGTTCAGAGGACCCGAAAATCTGTTCCAAGACCGACATAAATCGTCGCAAGAACTTGGAAGTCAATCCATTTGATGGATGACTCAGCACACTTCGGCGCTTGCAAACTGCTTGATTTTTGTATAGCCTCACCTGTACCGTGGTTAGTAGAGGGCTCCTAGAGGGTCAGGTCGCTGCCATCGGGTCTTGTGAGTTGGCGTGCCCCGCGTGGGACCTAGGCCATTATTATTATTATTATTATTATTTCTCTGAGGAATGTGCAACTTGGTTAGTCTTACAGAAAGACTTGAAGTAAAGATTCAAATGAATCAAGTGCGACTATAACAGATACAAGAAAGCTACACAAAGCAAACAAACAAACAAGACAGAAAAAAATCTAACTGATAGTCATTCTATTAGCCTTCTCCGCGAGCAGACTTGGCCATAACCTGCTTCGTCAATGCCTCGTGGAAGATGCTCCTCGGTGGGTCCTTGTACTCTCTGTCCGTCGGCAAATCCAACGGTCTCACCAAATCAACCATCGATAGCAGAGGCTGGACGACAAAGAACGGTGCCTCGGCAGCCTCCACTGGATCCATACGATTGTCCTGCGCTTTCCAGGCAACAGGAGGCAAGTCGTCAAGACTAAACACCCTCGATTCTTCATAAATGCTCTCCATTTCCGTTGCCGTCCGACTCAGCAGACGTTTGTTGCGATTCGGGGTGTTTAGGGAGGACGACGGGGTAGGCTGTGGCGAGGGCGACTGAGTTCGACGCATAGGCGTGGCCCTACCATCATCCTCTTGCGATACATGTCCATTTCGCAGGTGGAAAGCGCTCCTGGGAGTAAGGGAAGGGTACAGATCGAGTCTGAAGGAGGGCCAGGGAATCAAGGGAGAATTTGGAAGGGGTGGAGGAGGCTCGAGTGTAGCAGGTCGTTTGGGGCGATAGGAAGGAAGCAGCAATTCAGGGTCAACCATCTGTCCCACCAATTCCCCGTGAACTTCATGCAAATGCGACACGAGGTCCCGTTCCTTGTAGAAGACGTTCAATCTTGCAGCGCGTCCGACATCTGAGGGTAGTGGCCGGCAAGCGACCATTGGGCATACCAGAGGTACAGTCTTCATGTGGGTAGCCTCGATGTGAGTCTTCATCATCTTGTACGAGGTGAGCGCATTCGCACTACATCGAGTGGCCTTGCAGCGATAGCTTTTTGTCCCATTCCAATTCTGAAATGCATCAATCACTACCGTCTCAGGGTCGCGAAGAACGCGCTGACTTTACGATTTACGTGTTTGCTACAAAGATGCTGAGGGAATACCGGTCAGTCTGAGTGAAGACAGTTGTTCAAAACGCGCTACCTTCGAGTAGGCTTTCCAGGAAGCCAAGGGATGACCACAAGGGGGTGTGGCCCCAGGTCGACCAGACGTCGCTGGCGCGGGAGCCTCGCATTTACAAGACGTCAGGTAAACGGTCGACTTGGACAGATCCACAAACGAGGCCACCGAAATCTCGACCTTTTGGCTCATAAAGGTCGAGAAATCTTGCCGACCTCGTCACGGTCAGAACCAAGTTGCATTTGATGGTCAACAAAAAATGTTGCGACAAAGGGCAGCTCTAAAAATACACAGTATGTCTGGTTTACAACAACATGGTGAGTGAGGCTACTTGCATATTTACGTCAGTGCTGGTGTAGAAAAGTCAAAGATTTTTAAACAACTAGCATTCACGCAGCAGACTGCTCGCTCTACGTTTTCTTCCAGTCGGCACCAAAACGTTGGCGCTCCGCAACGTCGAAGCATACATATGGTTGATTCCGCCGCGGGCCAAGGCACGAGAGAAACGATGCACTAGTCCATGAGTGTCTAGCCCCGCAGACCGCAAATCGATTTGTAGCGCACTAAGAAGAGGATGTCCGTCAGTGTCGTCGTCTTCATCATCATCAGAGAAGTCGTCTCCGGGGTCACTTTTGTCGACGATTGGCGAGGATGGCAGTGAAGGGAATGACGTCGAAGTCGGGGAATATTGTGCAAAGTCTTCTGGATCTACCATGTCAAGCTCACCACCAGAAATGACCATGTGACGTTCTGCACGAGGAAAAAGCGCCGCTAATACACGAGCCCCAGCAGTCAACGACGAGCCTTCTGGTGTACGGGTGAAACTGAAGAAGGGAATCGCGTGCTCGACCGCTGGCTCCTCAGTTAACTGAATATCCGATTCTGGCCAGCTGATTGGGGCAGGGAGTGGTTCCAGACGAGAAGGAACTTCTCGAGCGGGAGATCGAGGCACATGCTGGGTCTGTTTTTCTTCCTCTTCTTCGGGTGTAGGTGAAGGGGAATGAGAGAAATACCCGTCATCTCCTTCTGAAAGGGTATATGTGGGTTTAAGCACAACCGACGGCGAGGGAGATGAAAGGGGAATAAGGTCCGGGAAGGCAAGCAATTTTACAATCTTGAGTTGCCATTGCTCAACGGCGTCATCGGCCAGTCCCACGCAAGCAAGATCTGGGGCGAGAACCCGCACATCCGGTAAAGGGACATGAATCCCCGATTTTGGTTTTGAAAAAGTCACGTTTTCGCGGGACTGGCCAGTGGAACTAGCACGCGAAGTCGCTTTTGGGCCAGATTTTGAGCTTGAGCGAGAAGTCGATGGTAGCGGGGCGGAGCCGCTACGCTCTCTAGTTGGCGCGAGCGAAGGTGGGGGAGCAAAAGAGGCGGTAAGCAGATTCGGATCCGCAGCATATAAAGCAAAACCCGCCGCGGCGAACAGTGACATGACCTCAGCCAAACGACGTTCCTTCACCTATGACAACATCTGTTAGGTCGAGAAGGCGGCCAGAACCATGACCACGTACGAAAATGAAGTCGCTCATGTAGGATGACTGGTAGAGGATGCTTATTCCCGCTTGAGCAAGTGGGGCAGACAGCTCGCTAACACGCGCTCCAGCATCGTCTTGGCATTGGCATTATTAGAATAGGGTGCGACTGTCCGAAAAATGGGCATACCTAGCTGGTCGCTGTGTGAGTCGATCTGAAGCACACACCAACGTTCGTTCGATATTTGCACGGGCTCCAGTGTTTGTAAGGAGGCCCGGTCGGCTCTTGCAATAGCCTCAAATGCGGAAATGCAGCTAGAATCGGCAAAAAGCGAGAGTTCAATGAGATTGGCAGTAATGCTGAAGAAAATGGGGTTGGGCTGGAGAACGAGACGTAGAATGGGGTGAGAGAGCGTGTCGAGACGGCTGCGAGGAATGGAGACAATGCTCAAGGAGGCGGGAAGTCGAGTTATAGTTACATGGACACCAGGCTGTTGTAAAGGCTGCATGAGGACGAGGAAAAGGTGTCGCTGGGAAAGCCAGACGGCGTGGTGAAGAGAGAAGGAAAGAAACCCAGTCACATTCTTAGGCGATCGGAGTCGGACCGATAACGTTAGCCAAATCAGATGGACTAAACCCTCTTTGCTTTTGACCATCTGTCACTGACAATTCATATGTTTTCCTCCTCATCCCCATGGATGCTCGCTACACGCAGTCGACTCTTCGACATACCACGCTTCCTCTCTACCCCTCGCACCTCCTCTCGATCCACTTCCTGATAGCGATGAGCAGTTGCAGTCGAACTCAATGAACCACGCAATGTTGCATCCATTACAAGCTGGAACGATCAGTTCACAATCAAGCCACCTGCCGCAATACCCACCTGCGAATCCCTCTCTGTTCTTACTTCCACTATCTCAAGCGCCTGGTGATTCGGGTGATGGTTTTGGTCCCAGGTCCACTTCCCAAGGGTCGTTCTTCCAATATCTGTCGAGTCAAGCCTTTGACGCAAACGATGGCGAGAATTTCTGCTTCACGTGAACGGATGGAGCGAATCAAAAGTGAAACCCCGTACAAGGTACGAAGCAGTCCAATGGCATAACTACCATCACCGTCAATACTGTCCAACTTCAAAGAAGCTTCAACTTACAGTTTCGCGGTGATGAAGACGAAGAAAAGCACCAGATCATCGTTTTTGCCCTGCGGTAAATTATCATTTGGATTCCCGAGGCAGACGTTCAGAAACAAACAGGATTGGAAGCCGCGTGAAGAACAACAACGCCGGTGACCATCGATATCGAAGGTAAGAGAGCAGTCTCCAAAGTCATGAGGATCACTCGATTCATTGCGGTGTCGGAACTATCTAGACCAGTCTTGGATTTGAACAGCGCGATTATCACTTGGTGCATTCAGAGGAGAGGTTCATAACGAAGGTAGGAGAATCTCACAGATGATGGCGACACTAAGATCAAGGACTGTGCTGCAGAATTCGCTTGTCACGAAGAAAAACAAAATAGTCGACAGACCTGTGCAGCCTACTATCCAATACGAGAATACGATCACCGTCTAGACGAAACTGAGAGAATGGTGGCCTTTCGAAACAGTGACATACATTTCTGAACAAGCTCTCCACTTCCTTATTAAACTGAAAACAAATCAATGGGGCTACATATATCGGATGCAACGTACGATGTGGCCGATGGTGAAATATTGGAATTCAAGAGCCAGGGTGATAGTCTGTCGAGATGAGCAACAAGGATACCAACGAATCGGGTACTGACGATATATAAATGTGCAGCGATTGCTCCCAACCAAAGCAGAGACATCGGGTAGAGGACGGCGGGACTTTTCCCTGTCATCTATGCTAAACGTAAGCAAGCAAAAACCACAAGCAAGCAATGCAACACACCTTCCAACTCCGTCGAATATAGAACGCCTCGCACATCGAGCAGATCACAGCATTGATAAAGAAATCACACCACATCAATGGGCTAGACGCCTGCACGAACAATGAAACCTTTGCTGGGCGAGAACGAGGAGACACACCCAGGGCGAGCCAAGAACGGCAACAGTCCACACTTTGTAATCTTGGAGAACTGTTTGCAACCTGCCACATCGAGTCAAATAGCTTCATGGCGAGTTCTTGACTGCGTACAATGACAGCAACACGACGAGCAGAACGAAAACACGTTTTCTCCGCACATCATCTTTATATTCGTCCCAATACTTGAGCCCTTCAGCGAGAACGAATCCGATGCAAAACGAATGCAAGAGGCCGTCCATGAGGATAGCTCCAGGTATAGTGTATTCGTAGTCGATTGGCTTCTCGGCGATGAAGGCAGGTGCGCTGTGCGAGAGGATCAGGACGCGTCAAACCTGCGAGAGAGTGGAAGAGGCATACGAGCGGGACATGGTGGGGGAACACAAGGAGTTTGAGCGCAAAACGCGTCAGACACCTCACGACGTGTCTCAGTAAGGTGAATGAATTTTCTGCCTCCTCAAAATATTGACGCGCCCGCATCTTGAGTCTCTCATCTGGCACCTCCCGGTCCTTCCCAGACCGACCCGCAGAATGGCTTGAAGTAATCTTATCTGAAGAGTATGAAGATGCTAGTCGCCGATCACTCCAATCAACCTCGTGACGTCATTGATCTTGTTAACTTTGAACCTCGACTATGGACAGCCATGGACTCAATCCGACCCTTAATGGGCTACTTTGACCACACTTCCAAGGCATTGGCCACCGGGTTGGATCCTCCCATGTCACTGGCCTTCGGCAACTCGTCTCCTTTGATGCATCAAAGTGAATTTCGTATTTCCCGGGTCGAATAGTCGAAAACTCGCGAGTTAATATGCTAACTTGGACTCAAAGTCAGCAGCAGAGTAACTGTATCCTCTTATTTGTGCTCGTTCCTGCTCCCAATGTTGACAACATCCACAGAGGTCTCTGACTATCCATAAATCGCAAAAAGTCGCACGACTTTCTCACGGTTGGTCTGACGCGACACGCACATGGCTCAGATCGCCCTTATGGCCGCTGTCAATTGTAACGATCAGTGCCTGTGGGGTAAATTTTACCTCCTACATATGTATACGCATGGCCCGAGATGTGGCGCACAGAACCGTGCTTGAGGTTCGCCTCCACCATGGCTCCCTTCTTTGTCTTCTTCATCTCTGCAGTGGCAGCGGTAGCGACAACAGGTCCTGTGACACAACGTTGTCCACCGTCCTTCAACCTCGTTCGACATGGGCAATCCATTAGCGCATCGGAGAGTCATTACATCGAACAACGAAGGGAGAAGGTTCTACCGGGTGCTTTCAAGACTTACCTGGACAATGTCAAAAGGACGGGAGTCGCGTTGCCGAAATACGTTGAGCACATCCTCAAAACCAAAAGCCAACTACCCACCATCGGCATCTCTATTAGCGGAGGAGGTTATCGCGGTACGGTTCATCTTGTCTTTCCCACACCACCTGCTGAGAAATACGAACAGCTGCCATCTTTGGTGCGGGCGTTCTCAATGCCTTTGATTCGAGGAATTCTTCGTCTGTGAAGAAGGGTACTGGCGGATTATTGCAGGTGTGCTCGAGTCCCCAGATGTTTCTCGCTTTACGAACCCCGTCAGGCTGCGACGCATTTGGCTGGCCTCAGTGGAGGCTCATGGCTGGTAACTTCGCTCGCGCAAGCCAATTTCCCCACGATCCAACATCTTGTTTTTGGGGATGGTCAACAGTTTGGTGGTTGGCTTCCCGAATTCAATGTATGGGTCCCAACTGGCGATCCTGTTCAACAAGCTGTGTTTTCCCAACAGCTCTTTCAAGAAATTGCAGCTAAAGCGAAGCATTTTCCTGTCTCTGTGGGCGACGTTTGGGGACGTGCTCTGGCTCGCCATTTTTCCAACGGGACTTCTTTCACGGACTTCCTTGCTAACACAACACATGGTTCAGGGATTCTATTCTCCGATCTCATTCGGCTGTTCGTCGCCTTTAACCTGTTTTCTCTTATTTTTGTTGTAATACTTATTCGCCAGTCCTTCCTTTGCATCGCACCAACAGCCACTTCCTCTTATGGTCTTCAATCTCGATTCCAAACACATCAATGGCAGCATTTTCCCGGGTGGTAACTTCATACCTCTGAACTCTCCAATGTTCGAGGCCAACTTGTGTATGGCCCTCTCTTTCGTTTCTGTCTCGGTCCAATGACATCTCAATCTCAGTCGAATTCGGGTCTTATGATGAAGTCCTTGCTGCACATACGCCGCTCAAGTATCTCGGGACAACGAACCGCTCACTCTGCGTCACTGGTTTTGACGAAGCTATGTTTCTCTCCGGAGCATCCTCTAATTTATGGAACGAGGTCAACATCACAGTCCGTATGGCTTTACATAATAATAGCTCCTACCTCACCAGTAAAACCACAGGCGGAAATACTTGCGGCCAACACCGCGAACTTCTCAATCCTTGTCAATCAGACTTTCCCTCAATCACCCAATCTTCGACTCGACACAAGCAATTTTCCCAACCCATTCCATAATATTGCGCCGAAAACGTTCGCAGACTCGGGCGAAACGATACTCGCTTTATGTGATGGTGGATTAGATGGGCAGGTAACCCCATATCAGCCGATGCTTGTCAAAGATCGCAAGGTGGATGTTGTCATTGGTGTCGACTCTGTACGTCTCTGACATGGTTCTCGCCGCTGTCCTTATCGAAACAATCACATAGTCTAACGACGCCAATGGTTATGCTTTCGGAGCCTCTCTTATCGCAACGTGAGCCCACTACCATTAACTACTTGGCATGAAACTTATCATATTGCTAGTCAAACTCGCATGAAAATATTCCCGCGTGGTCTAGCAACATTCCCCTCTGTACCTTCTTCGGTCGACGTGCTCACGACGGAGAAGCTTGCTACTCGTCCCACTTTCTTTGGTTGCACGCCGTCAAAACCGTCGCATCGAACGCCGACAGGTCCAATCCTTGTCTACCTGGCCAATGGCGCTCCGCCTAGAGATGGCTCACCACCACTCACAAATACGAGCACATTCCAGCCAACATATACTGCTGATGAGGTGCAGGGAATGTTGGCTCAGACGCTGACGATAACGACACAAGGGGCTCCAGTTGGCAACTCGTTAGAGGACCCGGAATGGCCTGCATGTCTGGCTTGTGCTGTCGTTGATAGAGCAAGAGAACGTGAGGGCGTGAAGCGGGACGGGATCTGTGAAACATGTTTTGCGCGATACTGCTGGCGGGGAGAGTGACACTAAGATAGTGTTATATCATGCCATTTCCTCGATGAATTGAGGTTTTGTTCCCTAAGCTGTTTGTGACCAACACACAAGACACTCGTCGGATTCAGGCTTCGACAGGACTCTTTCAGGCGAGTACTGGTAAGCAGTTGATGGAATGGAAGGACTGGCTCGAGTCTTCCAACTTCGAGATGCTAAAAAAAAGCTATTATTGATCGGTTGTGGATGTACTTTTATTTTGTTTCCTCGTCACTATCCGACTCATGTCCGTCTTCCTTGGAAGGTCGCGTGGTAGGGATCCTTTTCTGAGCGACGATTTGTCCCTTTTCGTCGATTACCTCATTTTGCCATCGATTGCCATCCATGTCCCACTTGCCAATGACGATACTAGAAGGGAACACATCCTGTGAGCGACTGAAAATAACACTAAAATGCACGTACTCAAAGACCGACATAATTGTCCACTTGCGGTTGTCTGCCTCAGGGAAAACCAGAGAGCGGGGACCATAGAATACCTCGTCATCGACCTCGTTCTTTTTGCGCGGCAAACAATGCATGAACTTCCAGTCTGGATTAGCTCCTCCAAGCCGGCAGAGTTCCTCGGTGACCTGGAAGCCAGCAAAGTCTTTGTAACGCTGCTCAGCCTCTGCTTCCTGGCCCATCGAGATCCAAGTGTCTGTCACTACGACATCCGCGCCTTTAACAGCCTCTTTCGGGTCAGCTGTCCATTTGATGTCCTTGTCGCAGCCAAGCTCGACAACACGGTCCCAGACTGCATCGGGGGCACGGTATTTGGCATCAGCAGGTGTGGCGATACGCATTTGGTGGCCAAAACGCGGGAACGTGACCAGCATGTCATGCAAAACGTTGGCAGAGTCGCCGACGTAGGCAATTGTGAGTGGTCGTAATGTGGGTAGCGCGTTTTTGCCTTTGGGTTTGCCCTTGCCAGTACCATCTTCGGTCTGGACTGGCTCTGGACTACCGAAAAGGTGGGAGTTTTCGTGCAGAGTCATAAGGTCTGCGAGAATTTGCGTGGGATGCCAAAGGGACGAGAGCGCATTGACGACTGGAACAGGAGAATGCTTCGCGAATTCCTGTTGTTCGGAAACAAATCAGCGGTGTGAAGGAGCAAGCAGACTGTAGTAACACACCTCGACCTCTGAATGGTCTCCAACGCGTGCAAATATACCTTGACACATGCCCCCAATGACCCTGGCAGAATCTCTCGCGCTCTCATTTACGCCAATTTGGATATCTTCTTTACCCAAGAAAAGAGCGCGTCCACCAAGAAGACTAGCACTAGTCTCTGCAGCAACTCGTGTTCGGGTGCTACGTTTGGAGAACAACAAAGCCACAGACTTGTTGAATAACGACTGGGACGGCAGACGAAGCGTTTTGGCTCGTTTGTGATGGAGACCTCCAGTGGGGTAAAGCCATGGGGTCGAAGTTTGCTTCAGCACATGCGCGTTGTTCAACAGGCGTTGAATTTGAGGCACTGTCAGGTCCGCGAGGGTGAGCAGATGAGGAGGGTTCGCCATGCCAAATCCGGAAACACGTCAAAATTTTCCCAAAAATTTGACGCGTATTTATGGAGGGAGCAAATGACTCGGTCTAAACGTAAACGCTACTGTTTGGGTCAAGCTTAGTTTCGAGTAGAGTTCTGGAAGGAATCCTTGACTCGGTCGCTGAACGAACTAACATTCAATCGTAGTTCAAAGGCACGCACTTGGCTTGGCTCTTTCCACTTCCGCTTGGCATTTCTCCAATGTGCCCCATCCACACTTGATCCACACAATTCGACTGCTCGGTTCGCCAAGGGCCTGTTCTCTTCACTAGCTAGTCTTTCCGCCGACTGGTAATCAGTTCAGGTCAACAGCAATCTGGTCAAGCGGCTCAAGCCAAGAGGTTGTAGGCATGACGATATGTGGAAAAAGGGATCGCAAGAAGGGGATCAGCGATTGATATATTCTGCCTTATGGTGGGCAAGATGGTTTGGTTTCTCTCTTTCCTTCTCCCTTTCTTCTTCGTCCTGACTGCTGTGCAGGTTTCTATTCCTTTCGTTCTCTCCCCACAAAAATAATGCGCGTCTTTTCCCTCGTTTCCCTCGCCCTCACCGCGACGACCACCGTCAATGCACTCCCCCGCGGCTACCAACCCCCAGACAAACGAAGCGCGGTCATTCCGTTCCTAAACAACGTACTCGTATTTGACGCCCCTGCCTTCAACGACCCAGCCAAACCAGGCAACACGCTCGTTCAACTCCAGGCTTATGTATCTCTCCCACAACTAAGCCTTGCGCCCGCCCTTAACGGCCTCAGCGCCATGCTCAAGTCAACGCTCGGGTTGGACATTGATCTCGACCGTGTACCAAGCCGACTTTCCCTCTTTGCAACTGTGCCGTTGAATGGCAAGGACGTAACAGTCAGCATCGATGGTTGCAGCCAAAGTGCAAAGCTTCAGAGCACAGCTCAGGGTGGAATGGCCATCCAAAATGTCAGTCTTGGCGCTTGCGGGTCTGGAGAGGCCGTCGCATTTGGCAAGGTCAAGTCCGACAGCGATGCCAAATTCAGGATCTTCCCCTCAAAGCCGGATGGGTTTGGTGTCATTTCTGGTGTGTCTGTCTTCTTTCCTCTTTGATATCTGAACCCTAACACTGTTGAACAGATATCGACGACACCGTCAAAATTTCGCACAGTCTTGACCCACTCCAGCTTGCGAAAGCAACTCTCGTCGATGACCCTGAACCTGTCGCTGGCATGCCTCAAGTCTTCGCCTCATTAGCCAAGTCGCTCAACAAACCACAATTCATCTACGTCTCGGCATCGCCTTTCCAGTTATATCCCTTCCTTCGCTCCTTCATTGACGATACCTACGCCGACTCCACCGGCCCCATAATGTTGAACAACCTCTCGACAACGAACATCGGCGATTTGGTCAAGACCCTGACCAATGTTAGTTATCGTGCTACATTTTTCACGGCTTTACACTGACCACAATCAGCCCAACAATGTGTTCGACTACAAATCGGCTATGGTCGACCGCATTCACGGAATGTACCCCAAGAAGAAGTTCCTCACCGTTGGCGACTCCACACAGAAGGACCCTGAGACCTACGGTAACGCGTGCGTTTCTTATCCTTTCTTTTGTTCAGTTGCACTGATGATTTTGCAGCATCCGCAAATACGGCGACTTCATCTCTTGCGCTTGGATCCGCAAAGTCGATGGTGCAGACAACAGCGATGAGCGCTTTGCCGCGGCGTTCAAAGGCGTCGATCCCAGCAAAATCAAGATTTACACCGACGCGGAGATTCCTGGCTTAGCAAACATCGATGTGGCGGGTGGGAAGTGCAACTGAGCGAACTTTCCTTGACGATAACGATGGGTTCGGACAGCGCATATACCTAGTGCTTTGAGTATAATACTGTAATTTCGCAATTCCTTTGGGCAAACAGAGACGCCGTCATGTTCTTGTGCACCCCGACCTTCTAGTTAACGTTGTTGAGTTAGAGGATGAACAGCTTGACGCAAGGCTTGAACGTGCAATAGAACAGGAGTAAGCAAGGTCTACAACCATGGTGGTTATGAGAAAGCGCAGCTTCTTCACTGGTATGTTTTTGAGATCCAGAATTAAAATAGCCACGTTGAAGCTTGTTCATGTCAGCTCGACGTTGCTTCCCATTTGAATTGGGATTTTCTCCCGGTCAGTTCCTTCAGAGTTTGCTTGAATGATGATGATGATAATTTAGAGGTTTTCCTAGCTGCTGCCTCTTCGTTAAACAAGGTTCAGCTCAAACAATCAAGTTCTACATATAGTACAATCGCGGCTCAATGACACATCCTTACGCATGAACGCGGATGTTGTCCGCCAGCTTGTCGATCAGATCAACCAGCCGGCCAACCTCATACTCAGCCAACGTCTTATTCTTCTCGAATTCTATGGCCTCGGCAAGTGCTGGTAATGGCGTTGCACCGTAGCCTGAGCGCGGGTCAGCACAACGTGTAGCTTCACGGGAAAAGAACACACCAAGCCATTTGCCTGGCGCAATGGCAAGATGCTTGTACCACTCGCGCTCTGGAATCCCATCTGTCGAGATGAAGCCCCGCTCAAAACTAACAAGCTTCTGGTTCACAGCGCGAATGCGTTTGACGACTTTCCTAAGTTTAGCAAGTGGGAACTTGGGCAGTTGAGGGTGCGAAAAATCTTCATCGTCCCCTTCCAACGCGAACATCGCAAGAATCTCGGGGTCAACACCGTGATTTTGGTGTTCATGTTGCTCTTTCGCCCATGCGGGCAAACGACCAATGCGTACATTTCGTAGCGGATGGTCTTTGTTAAGGTCATGGTTCTCATGTTTGTGAACCAGATTGCACTTGTGGCCACCGTGGAAATGATGAGTCACTTCCCGATCTGCTTCTCGTTCTTCGTGTTTATTGCAAGGCCGTCCCAAGGCCTTCTTCACCTTGCAGATCGCCTTGCGCACCTTCTTCCTGATGGAGCGTCTGTGTTTGAGCCACTTGTGAATGATCTTCTTCAGTTCTTTCTCTGCAGCGGCCTTCTCGAAGTCGAGGCTGTGGCTCGCAGCTTGGAGAGCAGTAATAGATTTGCGCAAAGGAGCCAGATCGACCCCAATATCAGTGGTCAGCGCAATCGCCTCAACTCCGTCAAGATAGTTGCCTAACTCGTAGGCGTAGTTGGTCGTGTTAAGTGGAAGAACGACGGCCGTCGAAAGGCGGAGGATCTTGAGACCCAGGTATTTGGCAACTGCAACCTGTGGATGTTTGAGATGCGATCAGAGTTGGGCAACGCGCTCACGTGACGGTAAAATCCAGGATCCGCGTATTCTTCTTGCCAGCGCTGGCTGTCGAAGACCGAGTGATAGTGGTAGACAGCGTCGCCCGAAGAGCCACCAAAACCCCCTTCAGCAGATGCAACACCGATCCATTGCAAGAATGGCCTATAAAATAAATGAATAAAATGATAAAGTAGACCAACGGGATTCACGTGAAGTCAGAACCAGAGCCCAATGGCGCAACTCCGAGACTATCCTGGAAGGAGTTGGAGGTGGTAAGTTGGCTAAATGCCAAGCTCTCCGTGTCGGCCGCGCCACTAAATGGCCCATGATCGCCCCGCGCATCCCACAGCGAGAGACCAGGCTTGGTCGGGTGCGGTATATCGAGCGCTGCTTGCCGCAGAAAGTGTGAGAGAGATGGAGATGCGCCCTACAAAGGGTTGGTTTTCGTTGTGGTGGGATGTGCTTCGATCCTCACCGCTTGGAATCGCGAGCCTGAGACAGAACTATCTGCAGAGACCTAAGCGACATTCATCTCAGGGCTCACAATACATACCGAGGTTGAGATAGGTGACAACGTGCTTGTCGACAAAGTCAGGGAAATCTTCGACCCATCTAAAACAATCAATCAGGATAATCGAAGAAACTGAGAATTAAAACCGGACTCTGTGCTGCCAATCAAACCTGTCGAGGCACAAAATTTAACACCAGGAACAGCATGTACAACAGCCGAGGTGGAATAGACTGACCATATTCTTCCGCTGTCCAAAACATCAGTCTATATATCAGAACGTGCAAGAGTTCAGACCGTCCCAAGATGCAATGACTATGGTTCGAAGTGGTTTCCAGCCTTGCTTCAGAAGGGCACCAAGTCCGCGAATGGTTTCAACGATTGATGCAGTCCCACTGCTGGGGTCGCATGCGCCCATGACCTACTTGCGTTCAGTTGTGCATTCAATACTTGAGAAATTTCAGTAGTACCCAAGCTAAATAAAATGTTTAGGTAATCAAGCTAAGCCGTTCACAGAAACACGAACCATCACGGTGATTGCCGATAAAAACAACTTCGTCCGTGATATAGCCGGGGATAACGCCCATTGTATTCCAGATTGGAGTCGCTAGGCATATTGAGCACAGTTAGCCACAGACAGTTAATTCACCTTTGGTATCAACTAGAGATAGCTTGAATAGACGTGATAAACTGAAAGAGCAGACGTACCGTAGTTCACCAGGTGAACTTGACTTCCTTCTTCCGCAGCAAGTTCGAGGAGCTTAGCAGCGTTGGCAGCAGATATGGGGATTGATGGAATATTCGGAATGTTCTCGCCGTCAGTACGCGTGGAATTCTCGTAAGCAGGGTACCCTGGTGTCTGTTCGTGCAAAATGAGCTTTATAACGAATAATGACAACAAAAAAACTGCACCGTCGGGTCGCCAGGATATTTACTCAAGAACTGCACCGATCCGCGTTGAACAGAGTTGATGTTACGTGCCGGACCGTGTGGGTAGCTAAGGAGTGTGTGTCAACGAAGGAGACACGAGGAAGCACATACGGAAGATAGCCATTCTTCTCGGTGACCGCGCCATCGTCGCGAAGGTCACTGTAGATAATGACACTGAAATCTTATGAGCTTATTTTTCCGAGGCAGGACCAAGCCTTTACCCAGCAGCCCCCAGCTCTTGAGCACCCTTGATCTTGAGCCCTCTGAAGATGGCCCCATAACGAACGATTACGATGCTACCAGTCAAGTCGACACCTACAAAGAAATGGTCGATAATGACTTTAGGCCTTGATTTTTGTGTCACCTTTTTCAACCAATGCATCGTAATCTTCCTTGCGACCATAGTTCGCATACACAAGCTTGCCTTGAACGTCTCCGGCGGCACTAAGTCCGTGGAAGGTTGGCACCGCAGTGTAATATTTGCCGGCCTCAGGGTCAGTGTCGTCAGCAACTTCCTCCAGCTCGGCATCCCACACAACCTCGCCATTTGCATTGATGACTTGCAAAGCGCGGTCGAGCGGAGTGTTCATAACGGGATAATAGACGTCAACTGATTGGATGATCAACATGACACGCCCACAGTGATAAGCTGAACCTACTCCATGCCTTCGCTTTTCTCGTCTTGGGGATTGAAAGTGTGGCATCGCGAGATTCGGGAGACCCCGCAGCAAACACAGGATCCGAGTCGGGAGGTTGAATGCCAAGCTCAGTCTGGAGAACTGTCAAAAAGTCCTTCGCCGTTTGGAAATCCCCTTCGGAGCCCGCTAGATGAGGCTTAGTTGCGAACAGCCGCGAGGTAGCTATCGCATTCTCTTCATTAGGAATGGAACTATGCGCGTATGTTCAGCTCTGATTCAAGGCGAGAGACTGACTATACACACAGAAAGAGTTTCTCCGCTGTTTTGCCCCACAAGTGCTTGCGATGGTGTGGAGGTGGCTTCGTGCCGGTTTCTCGGAGCCAGAGTGTGGTAGGTTTTGCGACGAAGTAGTGCAGTGCAAGGAGGTTTACAAGGACGATAGAGAGGCTCAAAATTTTGAACCTGGAGAAACGTGTAGTTGGCGGACTGTCGGTTACTGGCAGGGGAATATATTTCCCCTCGCCCTTTTCCTTCCCGTCCATGGTGGTTTAGCGTCAGTCCAGCGAGTGGTCCACAGAATCCCGTTGTGCGACCAACTCGTTGCACAGTGAGTGAGAGATGATGACGTCAGCCGCAAACGGCAAGTCACGTCACCTTGATGCGCGATCAGCTTTTTTCTAAATTTAGATGCTTTGTCATGAATGTGCTGTGCTGTTCGCTTTACCTCAAACTCGACCACTCACTACTGTTCCGCTACTCTGTCGAGCAGTATGTAACCCCGACCGAGCATTGCCACCGCTAGGAGCGTACGACGGATAAAGCAAACTTCAAGTCTCCAAATCCACAAGCATTTGATTCTTTCACTCGATACGAATCCATCCAACTGCCAGCATCTCTTCTTATATTTATGTCCGTCTCAACCGCGTGCGCCGCAACCGAGACTTTCTTACGGCAAGATACGCCACCAAGACAACTTGGTTCAGGGTATCAGGGCTGCCAAACCTCATCGCAACCTCATCGCAAAGTAATCCAGTCACCATGAGGGTAACTTGTTGTGGGGCTGCAGCAACGCCTCTTGACTCGTATTGCGACTTCATCGCAGTCTTGTCTCGGCTCATTGGCTGATGTTCAGAAGCAGATATCTCCTCCGAGGGAGACGTCAGACTCAGACATCAAGTCTGTGCCTATCTTTGTGCTTTTGACCGGGCTGGTTGCCGGATGGAAGTCTCAACATAAGACTTCCTCTCACGGTTAATCCGAACACCCGATTCTGCGAAGTGCGTTTTGGGCGCATTCAAATACCGAAGGTCTCAGTGATGAACTCAGTTTCGCCACCACAAGCTCAGAACCCTCCCCAGGCTGGTCTTAACCCACTGTAATGTCGGATGCTCTTCCTCCACCAACCGGTCCAACCTTCGACGTGCGGTTAATCTATGGCCCTCTTCTCGTCGGTATCTTCTTCAACCTGATACTGTATGGAGTGCGCACCCCAATACCCTCGACTTCGACAACCCGATGCTAACTCTTCACCTTAGGTGACAGTGACTCAACAACTCAACTACTTGCAATCGTCGCGGCGCGATGCTGGATGGCTCCGCGCTTTCGTCTGGACCATCTTCATCATTCTAACTGCCAATACCGGATTCGATATGTGGATAATGTACGAGCCACTCATCCTTCATTACGGTGCAATGCCCGGCAAATTGCCCACTGCATTCGTGACGCGTTAGTGCTGTCGATATCTCTGTGGGGGGGCAACACTGATAAAATGTTGCACAACAGAGCCACTCTCCGTTGTGCTTGTTGGTTTTCCGGTTCAGGTATTCTTCATCTGGAGGATATGGACACTAGGTCAAGTGAAAATCATCCCCTTGATAATCTCTCTCTTTGCTCTTGTCTCCCTTGGTGCGTATGAATAATATTCTTGTCCCGTCAATGCCGCAACTGAAACTCGTTTGCTCAGCTGGGGGCATTTGGACAACTGTCATGGTCCCAATTGTGGCTGAATTCCGCAACATCCCGCAATTGTACCGCTCCGCTGAGGTCTGGCTCATAGCGTCAGCTGTGACAGACCTCGCTATTGCGGTCTCTCTTGCAGCAGTATTAAGGTCCAAGAAAACTGGGATTGGCGCGACGGATGGGATTGTGGACAAGATCATTCGAAGTTCGTTCATTGCCTGTCATTGTCTGGCATTTACTCATAAGACACTCTTCTAGTGACGGTTCAAACAGGACTGATAACTGCCCTTTGCAGTGTTCTGGACGTTATTTGCTTCCTCACACTTCAAGGGGAAACGGTCAACTTCATCTGGAACATCCCACTCCCGAAGCTCTACGCAATCTGCCTCCTGTCGACGCTTAATGCTCGTGAAACATTCCGCAGCGCCTTCAGCGATGCTCGAGGTGCTATCAGCACGAGTGCTGAGTTGAGACCGAAGCAAAATGTGTTCAGCAAGCCGCAGTTCATGGATTATAAGGTATGTTCTTTCTTCTTTATTCAATCTCTCAAAGTGAACCCCATTTTACTAGGGCACTGGCTCCTTAGCAGAGGATGACCGCAATATGGGGCCCTCGGAGCTTGGAATTCGCATGACAAAGGTGTGCAATTGGTATCACATAGCTATGGCGGTTTAGACTAACTCTGAATCAGGTTGTAGAGAGGGTCTGAGTGGAAGTGAGCGGAAGTTTGTATAATTTCATGGACCAATCGGTGTGCCGACAGGCGTGTAATCTTGCGCGATAAGAACATAGAGATGGCGGTGATAATAATGCAGATTGAGCTGAAACCCATGCACGTGATATTGAGTGCGATTCTGCGAAGCGAAGTGCTTTTGGTTGCGATCATCTCAGGCTGAGAGAAGGTAGTGATGACGCGGCTTCTTCCTTTTTTCGCTTCTACATACATACATAGCATGTTATAGCTAAACCAAGTTACTGGGGTATGTGTAGCCTTCCAACCCCACAAAGTTTTCCTTGATGCTTCGCGGACTGACGAAGCGATAGAAAATGCTGATGCTACCCGCTTTATCATTAGTGCCGCTAGCCCGACCACCACCGAATGGCTGCTGTCCAACGACCGCGCCAGTGCACTTTTCGTTGTAATACACATTGCCTGCGGCGTTCCGTAAGGCGTTGGTTGCTTTGAGGAGCGCCGAACGCTGAGTAGCAAAACTGATCATGGGATCAATACCTCGTTCAGGAAAAAAAAATAGACCAGCCACACACATTGCACCAGTCAAAGCATACTGAGATGTCGAATCTATGAGCTTGAGAGTTTCGTCGTATTGCGCATCGTCGAATACATAAATGGTGATGACCGGACCAAAAATTTCTTCAACCATCGTCACTGATCGGGGATCCTTGGTCTCGATGACAGTTGGTTGAACGAAGTACCCTTTGGAGTCGTCGCCAGTTCCGCCGATCAAGATGTCTCCGCCAGCCTGCTTCGCCTTCTCGATATAACTCATTATCTTTTCGAAGGCAGGACGACCACTGTGATTAGATTGTCAGATGGGCGTCAACGGCAAATTAGTCATCGTACGTACATAACGGGACCCATGTAGTTGCTCCAGTCGTCTGGAGCACCAACCTTGATCTTCGAAATCTCTGACAGCAGCATTTCCTTGAAGCCTCCGGACCAAACGGATGACGAAACGTATAAACGGGAGAGAGCCGAGCACTTTTGGCCTTGATACTCGAACGCGCCACGAATAGACTGTAAAACGGCGTTGCGGATGTCCGCGCTTTCGTGAATGAGATGGAAGTTTTTGCCCCCCGTTTCACCAACTATCTTTGGATAGCTCTTGTACACTTCTAGGTTCGAGGCGATGTCTTTCCATAGCTGTTTGAAGACAAAAGTGCTGCCCGTGAAGTGGAGAGCCGCAAAGGACGGATGTTTGAGTGCTTGTTGGGCGACGATCTCGGGTGGGCCGGGAACAAACTGGATAACGGAGGGAGGTACTCCAGCTTCGAGGAATATTTGGTGCGTGATGTAGTTTGCGTACACTGCCATAGGCGATGGCTTCCAGATGGTAACGTTCCCAACAAGAGCAGGTGCTACCAATATTGACATCTAAATGGCATGGAGAAGAAACGACCCACTGGCATTGAGGTTGCCTCCAATAGCAGTGAAATTGAATGGGGAAATGGCGAGAACGAAGCCTTCAAGAGCACGATACTCGACGCGGCTACGATAATTAGAAGTACTCTGAAATGGAAAATCTCAGGACTCACTTCCATGCTCCAGGAGAGTTCTTGGTCGGTTGCTGGGCATATAAGTCCTGCACAAATTTTACGCCAAAGCGCAGGAAATCGGCTAACTAAAAATATTCGAATATATGACAGGGACGTGAGTTGAGAGCGCAAACGCGTACCTCAGCGGCGGCGTCAATCTCTGCCTGCCATGCATTCTTCCCTTGACCGAGCATCGTCGCGGCCATGAGCTTGTAGCGATATTTCCCAGAAACAAGATCCGCTGCCTTCAGAAAGATGGCTGCACGGTCGTTCCAGGGTAAGGATTCCCATTCAGCCTTGGCGGAAAGCGCTCCATCTATGGCTTGGGTGACAGTAGCAGAGTCAGCTTCATGATAAGTGCAGAGATTCCGAGCATGGTCGTGGGGTAAAGGTTGAGAAGCTAGTTTTCCTGTTTTCACCTTGGAAGGACTCAATAATTGACAACAGAGAACATCTGGACACATACAGGCTTGCCATTGATGATGCAGGGCACCTCGAAAGGAAGATCGGCCTGCATCTGCTTAATTGCAGCCTCCAGTCCAGCGCGTTCGGCGGAGCCCGGGCCGTATGGACGCTAGATAACATGAGCTAGACGACAAACGAGGATATGCATTTACCATGGGTTCATTGTCGACAGCGGGTACTGTGAAGGTGGCCAGTTGAGGAGTGGTCATGGTGCAAAAGGGAAGAGGATGCTCGGCTGGAGCTTAAATTTGTGTCACTGCTTGGATCGCGCAACCCAGTTTCTGTTCTTCGCCATCATGAACCCAAACAACGCTCTTTGGGGTCAGCTCGTGCGCAAAACAACCACCGTTTCTCGCGGTGACTCATTGGCCACCCCACCGACTGCTCCTCTCGACAAAACTGGGACATCGATGCGAATTCTGCTTCATGACACCCAGTCGAACTTCGAGCGGTTCTCAGTCAAAGTCGACTCCTTATCGTCCGGAATCGATGACGCACGTCGAGAGATAGTAGTCGTTAAAGAGCTCTTCAGCGGTGCGCAAGAGACCCTCATGAATGATGTCGTCGATGTTGGTGAGGAAAAAACCACTCTCGGCTAAAAGCACTTTTTTCACGCGTTTTGCAGTCAACCGATGTCAAACTCATCTTCAAACCGCCATTGGAGGACCAGCGCAAGCTTCTGCTCTCCACGAGCTCCACAAACAAGTCGACGTCCGTTTAGAATGCCTCTCCAAACGCATTGACGACATGCAAATCGTCTGTTCAAGTTCCTCTCACCCTTTGTCAAATTAATTGCGTTGGATGTAGTTCAACCAGACACAGTCTCTAACGCTGCAGAATATGCTCAAACTCCTTACCGCCGTCCAAGACCAACAGAATCAAATCCTGACAGCACTCTTGCCTCTCCAACCTCTTCTGCAAGCTGTGCCCGTTCACATCGACTTTGCGCGCAGCAGTATTAACGAAGCAATGCTCAAAATGTCGCTAGAGTCCAGCCATAGATCCCCATCACAGATTGGTCCACACACAACGCGTAAACGTTCCTTTGCTTCCAGTATTGCGCCGCCTACTTCGCCGCCACTCGCTGCTCGAAAGAAACAACGGTTAGATCCAGAATTCAAGCACCCAGACACACTGACGAGTCCTGCAACCCTCCAACCCAATACCCTCTCTCGTCATCCAACTCGTAGTCCTGCACGAACAACTCTTCTCGTTCGTAACCCGTCTCTCTCTACCATTTTTCGTGAAGCCAATATACCCCGGCGTCCCCTGAGCGATCTCGTATTCTCAGTAAACAACAGTGCTGTCCAGACTGCTCGTTCCAAATCGCCAACCCATGTGCATCTACTACAAGCCAGCCTTGCTACAAATACACCTATGACTCCACCCTCTTCATTCGAGAACACCAAACGGCTTGATATCCAACCACCACCACCAGTTCGTCATGTTGCGCCTACATCTTCGCCATCCAATGATCGCCCTGGCTCACTTGCTGCTTCAACTAATGCTTTGCCTATCCCATACAAACAGACCACCAATTCCGCTGCTCCTGCTGCACTCAAAGTGACCATGGTGCGAGGTAGACGTTCTCCATTTGTGCGTGCCTCATTTGTTGTAACCGTAAATTTCTGATCGTGTTCGTCAGAGAGATGGTCGACGGTTTATACCATTAGACGATGACGACTCTGGTTCAGACGACTAAACCTGTTCTGCTTTTCTTCATGTCGGATGCTTTACACAGTGTCAATCAGAGTTACTAGCATTCATATTCAACTGGGTTCAAATACTTGAAATGAAAGTTTTGGCGGTTTAATCATGGAAACGAGGGATAGTATACGGCGGCGCTTCAGTAGTGCATCTAGTCAAGCTCAACTTGAGCTCGCTCATCGGGGACCGTGACGAGCAGTCGCGTGACCGTATCCGAGTTTGTCCACAACGATGAGCTCGACAGTCGCAAATCCGGAAACGCCTCCAGCTGCTGAGCCCTCTGGGGATCGTACAGACCTTCTCACGAAAGCGCGAGCGTTTCTGCAGCAACCTCAAGTGCAACGTGAAGATGATTCAGCCAAACGCAAATTTCTGGCGGACAAAGGGCTCACAGCGGAAGAAATAGACACAGTAATAAATGCTATGGTGAGTTTGTACCCATGTCTAGTCGTCCTACGGGCTAATGGGCTCAACTAGCCCAAGCACCGCCCCATCGTTCCGCCTCCAACATACCCACAACCTCCGCCCTCAAATCTGCCCGTGCTCCTCATCGGAATGGCGCGAATCCTCTCCTGGCTGGTTGGTGGGGTTGCTGCGCTTTCTCTAATCTACAGAGTGCGTCTCACAAGCCATGCCCATTCTCCCGTGCTGAAATTTAGACAGCGTATCCTTCTTCCTCGTGTTATCGAGACGTTCACTGCTCGGAAACGAATAACCGCCCACCATCTCTCCCTCATGCAGAAGCTTCATGAATCGTTGACCACACTCAAGCAGGCACAGGCCGACGTCACTTCTGTGCTGCCTAAACCAGAACCATTCAGATACAATGAGCCGCCAGAATTGGCGTCTTGCACATCTATCGACACGCTTCTTCAAGCGGCAAAAACTACTGGGCAATCACCGGAGATTTCGAAAGTTGACCTTGTGTCGTTATTACGATGTGGGATTGCTGATTTCGCTGCGGGTGCAGTCGAGCGAAATCCCAACACCACTGAATTATTTTTGCTGCTGGAAGGCAAGATTCCTTTCTTGGTATCCGACGAAGGTCGAGTTTATGAGGTACCTTTCGTCCCAATATATCTACGTTGATGCTAATTCGAGACAGGAACGTTTATGGGACACATTAAGCACATGTCCAGTCTTCGTCTCCTTGTCACATCCGGTTTCAGAATCTACGCCTTCCCCACCTACTCCAGACGAAGATGTCCAATATTGGCATTATTATCAGCCCGAGCCCTCCCCACCCACAGAACTAGCTCAAGCATTAGACCGCTTGGTAGCTGCCGTTCCAAAACCATCAACAGAGAGGCGGAGCCCCATGCAGCACGCTTTGCAAGCTATGACAGATATGACGGGCTACATCAGTGCCAATATGTACTCCCAGTACGCGCCCATGGGCTCCCGGATTGGTTCGGGTGCTACGTTAGGGCCAGCAGAGGAAGAGGTACGCAAAGAGATTCGGACATTAAAAGGACTGGTGCTTAATCGGTATGTCTTGACATCTCTCTCTCTCGCATGACCGCTCAACTTCTGTTTTAGGAGGACATTCTTGCCTACTCCTCAACCGCATTAAACGGATTGTAATATATGAATAGATCAAGATCTCTAATCCAGCCCTGACTCCTGCAGCGATTCAGCAGCATGTTTTACGGCTTCAATCGTTGTCTCCTTCCATAGCTTCTCCTGCATCTTTTTCCCTGCTGGTGTCTGCAAAAACTGGACCCTAGAACGAGTAAGCACATGGTGCACCAGCTTCAGCAAGACCTACTTCTCGACATCAAAATCCGCAAGAAATTCGCCATGAGAATGCTCGTCTGCATTGATGGCCGCAAGGAATGTTCTTGCGCCAACATCGGCTGTACGTGCGCGAATGGCAAGCACAATGTTCACAATGATGCGAACATACAGTGGTTGAGCATCGTTGATGTTGGTTTTGACCATGCCCGGGCAAACGTGGTTGATAATGACCTCTGACGGTGGAATGCGCTTCGCGGCCTCTGTTACCCACATCGCCACAAGGGTCTTGCTGTCGGCATACCGCGATATGCTGAATTTCTTTGGGTCATTCATGAATTCGTATACCCCAGTCGAATCGGGAACCGTGTTGCTGATGAAACTGGTCCGTCTGGTCATTCGCGACCCGACGAATGTTAGATGGGAGGGCGATGCAGTTTTTTGGGCTGTGGCGCGAAGAAGCGGCAGAAGCTGGATTGCGAGCAGCACATTGGAGAGAAAGTTGACTTGGAACATCTGCTCAAAGTTGGTTTCTGGTGTCGTGACCCATGCCAACCCGCCCATCCCGGCATTGAGTAGAAGGATATGTAGCTCAGGGAGGTCTTCGCGGATCTTCCTCGCGAAAGACGCGACTGAAGATGGACGTGCGAGGTCGAGTTCGTAGATGTGTATTTTAGGCGGTGTCGAGCGTGTGCGGACAATAGGATCATGGAGGATCGCCGCTTTGGTAGACTCCCCTAAACTGGGCTTTCGGACAGCCAGAACGAGAGTCGACACGTCCCGTTGTGCCAGCTGCAGGGCCGCTTCGAGACCTAGTCCAGCAGTGGCTCCAGTGACGATGACCGTCTTTCCGGTGAAGGAAAGTGTCGCAGGGAGCGGCGGGATTGTTGGCTGCAGAAGAGGCATTGTCACTTTTCGACATCGGGTCCTTCGTATAAGTATATACCACCCGTCGATCTTGGACCGGACATTCCGTCGGTTGAGGCTGAGTAAGCTTAAGCAGGGATTTGCTTACCAAAAAAGGCAGTATGGTCGCAAGGGTAGCGAGATAGCGAGGTGTTAAATGCTCAATGATTGTAATGCCGGAGCTTCAAGGGGTATCAGCTCACTCGACTTGTAAGTTGTGATTCAGACGTTCTCGCGGAATACAACAAGTACTTCAAGTTCAAGTTGGGTGTTCAAGTTTCTTGATCAAACACAGTTTACTGTGGCCCGGAAACGACGCGTCTCGTGTCTCTCGATCCCTTGAACTATATGTAGAGGTGCATGGCTTCCTACTCCTCATTTACCTACATAACTCGATTCACCCATATGTCACGTGGCATCAAACACGCTCTCCCCAAATGCCACCATCCTTAGTGTCTCTCCTCTTACCGACATTATTGGCCGCACATGGCCTTCGGAAAAAGTCACTATCGCAAAGCGGGGCCATCACTGCATTCGTTGTCGGTTTCCTAATGATATCGGGGAGCACGGGAAAACCTGGCGTGGATCTTGGTCTCAAGGTCTGGGGTGCATCTCTCATTGGCTTCTATCTCATTGGGAGTCGAGCAACGAAGTATGGGAAGGCTAAGAAACGCAAACTGGAGCAGGGATACTCTGACTATGGGAATCGGTCAGGCTGGCAAGTGCTGTCCAACTCGTTCAGTGCTGTTGTAGCATGCTCTGTGTGGAACGCGCTGTTCGTCCACCACAGTGTGCACTCGCAACTGCTTTCCTCTCTTGGAATTGCTTCCATGGGACCTTCGTACAGCACTGAGTGGTGTCCTTTATCGAGGGATATAAGCGACGGTCGCAGTCGAGTCCTATTATTTGCGGCTTTGGGGTACGAGTTCACACTCTGCTCTGCGGGTGGAACTAAACATGTTGCGCTTTAACAGCCATTTTGCTTGCTGCTTGGGGGACACTCTTGCTTCCGAACTGGGAATTCTCTCGTCCTCTCCACCTCGACTGGTGACGACAGGAAAGGTTGTCCCTCCCGGCACCAACGGCGGCGTCTCTGTTGGAGGCACACTAGCTTCTCTTGTCGGCGGGGCCACGATGGGCATCATCATGAGTGTTTCTCTGATTCTCGAAAATTCTAGTTGCCGAAGTGACTGGCTTTCGACATCGCGAGATCTAGTTTTATGGGGAGCGCTGGGTGGTATAGCAGGCAGCGCTCTCGATTCTTTGCTGGGAGCAACTATTCAAATGACGCGATACGATGAAGAAAAGAAGCTCATTGTGGAGGACCGCTTCGAGGGTTCACAACTCAAAGTTCTCAACGGATTGAATATTTTAACGAATAATCAAGTCAACGTCGTTTCGTCCATTGCATCTGCCCTCGTTGTAGGATTGTTCGCTTGAACACACTGTAGAAGCTCTATATACGTATGCGTACTGTACATTCAGACAACTTTTCAAGTCCGTTCACCATCTTGGAAGCTTGTCATAATCAACCAATCCCATTTCGCCCTTCCACCAAATCTTCTCCTCAACCTGCGGGGTCATTGACTTGACTGTTTCCACATTGAGGGTGGACATGAGAGGGATGCGTTGAGGCAAAGGCGAGGGATCACACGGGGAATCATGTTTGTGAATGTTGTCGAAGGTGACGGTTATTGAGTGAAGCTCCATGGATTCGTCGTCAGCGAATGCAAGTGCAGGAAGCTGGATGGGTTGCTGAAAGCTTTCTTGCGATACCCGTCGTCCGTACATATCAAAGTCGAAAAGCTCCGGATAGGGAAGTAAACTTTCTCTTGCGCCAGCTGAGCTAGGTGAGGAGGACGACGGAGATTTGAGCGGCATGATCTCGGTCGATGGCAATGGTGTTGAAACTGAGTCGGTGCATGTGGGAAAGTCGAAGAGAGGTCCTGAGATCGCTGAGAAAGCGCTGACCACAACAGGACCAGGGGTCAAGACATCCTTTGGAGATTCGATAGTAGAATTGATAGATGCTTGCTGCTTTTCGGAAATGCACGGCGAAGTTATCGGTTTACAGGCATTGCTTTTGCTCGCGTGTTCATTGGCGGAGGTTAGGATAACTTGGAGACGAGAAGGTGGGGGGGCGAGCAGCTCTGCCATGTTGATCTGTACACAACTCCAGTCTTGCACGCAAATCACTGGCGGGGGAGGCGAGAGCTGTCGAGTGGCTTCAGTTGTCGGTGGATCACGAGCCGCGGATTTGAGGCTGGGTCGACGAAGAAACACTTGCTTGTCCTTTTGCCATGTAGCTATCGAATCATGGGTCAACAAGGCCAGCAGGGCTGCAAGACCAACCAAAATCGAGGGGTTGGGATGAAGTCGGCAAAGGAGGTGACGACGAGCGCTTGCGGCGAGAGAAGAAATAGTAGATGGCGAGAAAGAACGTGGATAGAATGTTGACGAAACGAGCGAAGCTGGACTTAGACTGCATGTTCGTGGGAGTTGTCCGCAAGTTGTTTGTGTGTCATGATCACTTGGTGCCGCCTCTCTTGTGACCGGCTTATCCAGAACCATGTTCAACTCTTCGTCGTTTCACTCGTCGTGTGAAGCCGTGACCTCTGCCGCTCCACAACGAGCTACCTCAGGTTCAGATTCAAATTGCCCAGGCTCGGCATCTTATCGGCCTACCTATCCCCGCGCTATCTTTTATGTTATTCACCGCAAGCCTCCGTTTCCGCGTTTTTCCATGCATGCTTCTTAAATGACGTTGCTTTCGCGTCTCTCTTCAGAGTCGCCTTCATGTCCTCGACGCCTCTCCGTTCTACGCCTGAAATTGCACGATATGAGTCTCCAGCACAGCCACATACCTCAAAGCCTCATAGGAGTCGGCGTCGACTTTTGCTCATAATCATTCCAGCGGGACTTCTTGTTATCGTTGCTATTGTCCTCGGAGTATTTTTTGGAACTCGGGCTAACCACTCAAACAACTCTAACGACGACCGCACTTCAACAGGCACCACTGGTACTCCTGGTTCCGGTAATGGGGGCAAGACTGGGGCAACAGTTCGTTACCCTCTCATCTCTTTCCTCAATTTAAAGAAGGTAGACTGGTGGGGATGGATCCATCGTGACCACAGAGAGTGGTGCGCAGTTCAGGTATAACAATACCTTTGGTGGTTTCTGTGAGCATTACTTGACGTCCAATTATCTGTCCGCCTCTGATGCTGCTTTTCCAGGGGTCAGTGATCCTAAAAATCCTTTCAACAACAATGCACAACCGAATTCCTGGACACCTCCTCTCAATAAGTCATGGACATGGGGCCAAGACCGTGTGTATGGGGTGAACTTGGGGGGCCTATTTGTGCTTGGTGCGATCATACTCTGTCATCCGAAATAACCCTCACACGACCACTGTTGACAGAGCCATTTATCACTCCCTCGCTCTTTGAACGATACGCTCCAGCTGCAGATGAATGGACCTTGAGCGTTGCTATGGCCAACGACACGGCCAACGGCGGTCTCGGTCAACTAGAAACCCACTACGATACATTTGTGACGGAACAAGACTTTGCTGAGATGGCAGGTTCGTGGGCTCTGTTTCTCAAAATAGCATTAACTCCGTCTTAGGTGCTGGCATAAACTTCATCAGGATTCCCATTCCCTATTGGGCCATAGAAACATGGGAAGGCGAACCGTTTCTTGCGAAAACTTCGTGGAAGTAAGTTGTCTCTAGCTAGGTCCCGAATACCGTTGACGACCAAGGATAGATATTTCCTACGGGTGTTAGATTGGGCTCGAAAATATGGGCTTCGAGTATGTTTAGATCTTCACACAGTGCCGGGTATGTTATACTCCTTAGTGAGGTAGAACACAGTTGTTGACAGCATACAGGCTCCCAGAACGGCGCGTTTCCCCCTTGTGTCGTCCCGAGTTGACTGAAACGAAGCACAGGACTTAATCACTCTGGACGGTAACATTGTTATTTTGGCCTTGACTGGGTTTTTTTACGCACCTAGAGATTATCCCCGGTCAACTTTCTCAGCGGAAATATGTAACGTCTGTTCTTCTCTTGTTCAAGTCTTCTTATCTGAAGTAGGGGAATAGCAAACGCTCAAAGGACGCTGTATTATATCCGGGTTCTAACGGAATTTATCTCGCAGCCAGCCTATAGGGACCTTATACCCATCTTCGGTATCGTCAACGAAGTAAGTTCATGCCGTCTCCTTTACCTTGAGTGTCTTAATTGACACGCATAACAGGCATTACTCGGTGTCATTGGGAAGGATCAACTAACCTCGTTTTATCTGGAAGCACATAATATGATTCGTGACATCACCGGTCGGGGAGCGGGCAATGGCGCGGTAGATACTCAAATTTTGTTTCGTCCTAGTGCAGCGACTCAACAGTAAACAGTACATCGCCATCCACGACGGGTTTCAAAGTCTTGACTCTTGGGCTGGATTTCTCCAGGGCTCAGACCGAATCATGTTGGACACGCATCCCTACTTCTCATTCGGCGGTATTGACACTTCCCCAATCAACGTCAATGATGGCAATGGAAATCCGGGGGGCAAATGGCCAACACAAGCGTGTGCAGCCTGGGGGCCATCGATAAACACAAGGTACAAGGGCTCCATCTACTCGGGAGTGTCACTCCAGCTCAATGTTCTCAATAGTCAAACGGACTTTGGTGTGACGATTGCTGGAGAATGGGCTGCCTCTCCAAACGATTGCGGATTCTTCCTTCGCGGAGTTGGACCTGAATCAACCAATCCAGATTGTCCAGACTACGATGACTATCTGAACTACAGCGAATCTATGAAAGCAGGAATCGCAAATTACGTGCTTGCATCCATGGACGCCACACATGACTGGTTCTTCTGGACATGGAAGGTGGGCAAATATTGGACTAAAAGGTCCCCAAACTGAATTTCTTGCAGATCGGGCCCAAAATGGACGGAACGATTGGTGCACCACTGTGGTCATATCAGCTTGGCCTACGAGAAGGCTGGATTCCTCGAGACCCCCGAACGGCGAATGGAAAATGCGCAGCGTTAGGTCAACAACCAGTATCATTCGATGGGACGTATGAGCCGTGGATGACTGGCGGTACTACTTCAACCATCGCTGCATCCTCCACGGCATCTTTCCCTTATCCGCCAACCACAATCTCCAACGTAGTCGTCCCTCTTTCGTTGATGCCCACTTTCACTTCGACAGCACCAATCATTACAATGCCGCCACAAACATTCACGGCTGCTCCTAGCTCCGTGACGGCGTCCGTTGTTGGGTGGTTCGACTCGTCTGACACCACAGGGGGAGTGACAGCGGTTGCTGGCTGTACTTACCCTGACGCCTGGAACGGTATTTTCTCAACAACACCCACAGCACCTTGTACAGGACCCACATCATGATCAGGAACGTAGAATCTCCGCGGATATCTGCACACGTATATACAAGCATTGGTTGAACATTGGACTATACTTTGGACTAGATTCTGTACAATTGTAGCGAGGACAATTGGAACATTGTGCTATCAATCAGTCACGTGGGCGTGGATTTCCCTTGAAAACTCCAACCCGCCATGATAGAGACATTGCCCGTAGAGCTCATTGGCAGGATAATAGGTGAACTGCACCTTGCAGATGTTGTAAAAGTTTCACAGCTATCCCGCCAAATGCGGCTTGTGTCGTCTGACACACTCCTCAATGTGTGGCGGCAACCCATCCTTCGTGGCCTCCGAATCGACAGCGACCAGTGTGACCCAACGCTCAAGCACCTCTCCGTCCATTCATGTGTGCCACGCCATAATTGGATCGAAATCCTCGCCATCGCAAGTCCAGAATTCATCTTATATGACTCCACCTTGCCCAACCTTGCCAATGCCGAATGGAAAGAGGCTTTCCGCCGCCGTTTCCTTCCGTCATGGTCCAAAGGGAAAGAGAGTACATGGAAACGAGCATTTATGAGGTTGAAAAGCCCTCCCCTCTACGGACAACGGAGTTCATGTTAGTCGCAGCAGTCTGCATATGGTATGGCATCGCAGTCGAACACCATGCACGGTAACCGAGGCCTGGACGAAGTCAGCCACAAGGAAGCCTCCAATAAAATGAGCTCAAGCAGCTTTTCAGATATATCGTGTTGAATCGTAATGGGTCCGCCAACCTGCTCGAAGTATCGTCACGAAACTTCAACCCAACCAATATTTTGGATAACTTGAGGCATGGAACATTTGTTGGGATGTAGATTCTCTTCTGATTTATTCAAGGCTACAACAAAATACCTACCGGTTACCTCTGCGGGCCCGAGTGAGCCTTGTCTGTTCTGTTTGTCCGGGCGTCTGATCAAACGCAAAAGCTTGTTGTACAATTTGCAGACGTCCGGATTATAGCATTAGGTACCCTCGATTATCCAAGGTCTCAATGGGCAGTCAATTCGAACGCCAAACTCCTTATGAAACCCCCAGAAATCGGGATCGCCGGACGACGTCGTAGCCTTAGTGTCTTGACACACCCGACTCCCGCCGCTACTCATGCTCGCTATCCTTTTTGCGAATCATCGCCTCCGTCAGAAGAACCCGGGTTGGAGTGGGTCGGCGGATTGATGTTGGTTTTCCAGCTCAATTTTTCGTCGGCAAAGACTGACGCTTCGCAGGATCGTAGCTCAGATATGCAGCTGCCCAGTTGATCACGAGGAAGTGGATGAAGAACTGCTCAAAGGCGCCGGTAGGCAGCAGTATGCTTCTTTTTCTTGGGAAGATCTGTGGGCTGTTGCACCATGGCTCAGAGAGAGCATTACTCGTTGCATTAATGGGCAGGGTCTAGGAAACTAGACACGTCGGCAAAATTTCCCCATTCGCACTTCGTATCCACGTGTTGACCCAAAAAGGCTAGAAACAAGATCGAATTCGGTTGATCATCGAACAAAAAGGGCGCAATCGCTTCAGCTGTCGCCGACTTCGCTAGGTCATTGTCCTTCGGCCCTTGTCTTCTTCCCAGGCGATTCTGGCCAGTTGCCTTTGGCATGCTGTGGGCGTTATAGTAGGCAATTGCCTATTCGGGAGTATCCCAGAACAATAATCCGGTTACTTTGTCGCGTCTTGTCGGAGCGGTCCTTAAAACCCGTCGAAATGCACCTCTCGATATTTCCTGCTCTTTTCCTACTCCCATTCTGCAGACGCTGCAGGACACGTTCACGCTCTCTTCTCTTTAATAATTATTCCCTAATCCGAGCGAATGCCTCGCACTCAGCACCAGTCCCGGCAGACAACTTCAACGAAGGCGGAGGTTTGTCTTTAGTTTACTTGCGAAGTCCACTGTACTGATCTCCTTGCCCAGTGTCGATGTCCTGTCTGCAAAAAGATGATTTCGCGCAAAGGCGATCTTCAACGCCATATTCGAACCCATACCGGAGAGAAGTACACTATCTGTATACTTTCTTGAAACTCTTGACCAACCTGCTTCATAGACCTTATGTTTGCGACGTATGCGGTAAAGGCTTTGCGCAAGGCTCCGCTTTAAAGACCCACATGAATTGCCAGTAAGTTCCACGCCTGGAGCTGAACGACTGAAGCTAACCATTTTGCAGCACTGGGGAAAAGCCGCATGCATGTAGTCATTGCTCGCGCGTCTTCGCGGATCGCTCGTCGTGTTCTCGTCACGAGCTCGAGGTCCATTTAATGGAAGGATGCGGTTATCAATGTCCCGATAAAGAATGCAAAGGCAACCAGTTAGTGCTTCTTTGTCTCTCGTTACCTGAATTTTAACAAGTTCTAGGCTAATGAAGCGCAAGCGAACTTTTGCGGACCATCTCAAGGACAAGCACGGTCGCAAATACGCTGGCGAGGATATCGACAACTTCTTCATTGGTGTCCGGAAGACTGCTTCGAAACGTCGTTCCACGAATCGTAGGCGTAAGGCTCCGAGCCCATCGCCATCTCCTCCACCAGAGTATGTTCATATGCAGCCGGATTACGAGATCAGCCTGACCATTCCTGGTCTGACTCCATGTATGTTTTGTTTTGAACTGTGTCTGAATTGTTACTAAGCGTTGAACAGATGGTTCTTACCCGCGCCTCCATCCTCATTATAGTCAACCCCAACCCACGCCAATTGATTTCAGCGGCCTCTTCACCATGGATTCGCCCTCCCCTTCCTCCTATTACAATTCCTCGGCGTCCCCTATGCTCTCGGAGACCTCTTTTCTTTCTCCTTTCACCGGATCTCCTTCCATCTCCGTCTCGCCTTCGCCCGAGCCTCTGTCCTTCTATGACGAGCACCAGCTGGTGCTGACCCACGCCAATTCATACGCCCACGGGGTGCCATCAAGTGCATTTCCGACAATGCCCTTTTACCACGACAACGCTTCTATTTTCGGTTGACCCGATGTTGGACAAACACTGTATCGATACTTGCTCTCCGTTTTTGCTGTCGTTGCCATTAATTGCACATACTACCATATAGCCTGTCGATTTTCTTGTATTACATAATTTCCTGTACCTATCACGTCGATACCTGAACTGTAATGTACTCGCAAATACTATCCCATCACTCGTTGCCCACGACGCGTGACATAATGTGACCAAACATCGCTTATCTAAGAATCGCCTTCTACTCGACCTGTTCCTCCTCCGACGCCCCGCATATCGCTGCCTGGGCCACGTTCCCAAACGCTCAAAAATGCTCGCCTCCCCTCTCTACCCATCGACCGGCCCATTTTCTACCGCACACGGACCCACTAACAGCAAAGACGTGGAGTCTTTTAACAAGCTTTTGCCGCCTCCCGTAGAATTCATAGAGGGCTCGTCCTCTGGCACTCTCGCCATCCCAGAAGAACAGTACGAGCCCATAAATGTCACCCCAAAGTCCGCGAAGCCTGAGGTTAGTATGCCCTATCGCCCGCAGCAGCGCATACTCATTTTTTCTTCTCTTATTAGCGGTCTCGCGCGACATCTCCACCCCCCAAGTCATCCAAAGCTGCCACCGCCTCTCGTCCCACCGCGTCATCCGCCTCGTTATATCCCGACGCGATCGACACGACATGGCCGACCGACAAGAACGCCAGCGGCTTGTATAACAGTGGCAACACTTGCTTTCTCAACAGCGCATTGCAGTGTCTGCTCCATACCCCACCACTTCTTCGAGTCCTGAACAGCCATACGGGGACTACATGTGCGTCAATCACTCTTTTTTTCGATTCGGAGTATCATACTTAGCCCATCGGTAGGTAGCGTCAAGCAGGGTTTCTGCATGTCGTGCAATCTGCGCGAGGTGGCTTTGAAGTCGTACAGCAGCCGTGTTGCGTTTCTCCCCAGCGAGATCTCCAACAAACTCCAACGTAGGGGTTTCTATGTTTTCTGTCCTCATCTGACATTTTAATGGCAGATATTGCGAAGCATATGAGGAAAGGCCGCCAAGAAGACTCTCATGAGTTCCTTCGCTATGCAATCGACGCTATGCAGAAGTCTTGTTTGGCTGGTCATCCCCCGTATGTGTCGAGCTCCGCATCTTCTCCACCTGCTGATAGGATGGCACAGGAAAATTGATCCCAAGTTGGCAGAGACGACATGGGTCCACAAAATATTCGGTGGTCGGTTACGATCGCGTGTTCATTGTCAGGACTGTGGTCACAATAGCGACACCTTCGACAGCATTCTGGACCTTAGTCTTGATATCCACAATCTTCAAGGTGTGCGTGGAGCTCTGCACAAATTTACCGAGGTCGATACCTTGAATGGTGCTGACAAGTACAAGTGCGAAAAGTGGGTATACTTGGCTCACTCTCGATGCTCATAAGTAATCCTAATTCCTTCAGGTGCAAGAAACCTGTCGTTGCCACGAAAGGCTTTTCTGTGCATGAAGCCCCGATGGTTCTCACTGTCCACCTAAAGCGTTTCACTCCTATGGGTCGGAAACTGAGCAACGTGGTCAAATACGAAGAGCAACTCTCACTTAAACCGTATATGAGCGAAGGTCAATATGGGCCGACGTATTCATTGTATGGTGTCATTTGCCACGCAGGCAGTGGTCCGAACTCAGGCCATTATTACGCGCACGTCAAGGCACCGTCTGGGAGGTGGATGGAGATGAACGATGAGACGGTGACTTCCGATCCACGTGCGCCGCTCGACCTCAAAAATGCCTACATTCTGTTCTATCTGCGAGACAAGGGCCAAGCTCTTGATGCTGCTCTCAACTTTGTACCTCGGCCCAAGGGACCTAGCCTTATTTCTGGAATGAAGAAACGTCAGCGTGAAGATGACGAGAAGGAGGACGCTGGCGTAAAGGTCACGAAGCCTTTCATCGGACCACGACTTCCGCCCCCCCTGACGAACGAGGGAGATCCGCAGGCTGACCTTATTCGCAAGAAGATCGATCAAGTCGCTGCTGTCCAATCTAGTCAGGCCTTGAACGGGCTGGCAGACTATAAGTCAGACAGCGAGGAAGAAGCACCTTCACCACCAACACCGCCACCGGTTTCTTCTCTCCCACCATCTTCTCCACCTCCACCAACATCCTCTGCCGCTGACCCGTCATCATCATCCCCTGCTCCTCGGGCTGGCGTGTCTACAACGAGTTTTTACGCTCCGAAACGCAAACATTCTGATTCGTTTGGTAAAGACCGCGACCAGCTGCCGAAGCGCTCGCCCCTTGGTCAAAGTCTCAATCCATATGGCAATAACCGCCTCACAAAGGGGCCGATGAGGCGGAGACCGCGAGGGATATAATCGAGCACCTTTTTTGTACGGATATCATTATTTCGTCTATTAGGTGTCGATAGTGGGGGTTGTTAGCTAGTCTATTGAAGCTGTTCTAGAGCTTTGCCTTGACTTGCTCGCGTGGAAGACTGACAGACGCAATCTCTGGTGACGCCTGCTCGTTGCCGGCCTCCCACCATACCACGGTAACGGACACATCGTCCCGATGTCTACGAGCATGAGGAGCAGGAATACTGAGTAAGCGGCGAAGAGCATTAGTGTCTGCGCCACCAAAAGCATTGCGGATGAGATGGGCAGAAGGATTTGAATCCACAAATGCCCAGCCCTCGGAGTCCCGCTGTCGGCGAGCAGTTTTGCCTTCGACTGCAGCGGCACCCGTCAAAGTTGGGACAAGCGTAGCGAGCTCGGGTTTGGGAACGGTGCCCTTGAGCCCATTTAGGTGACCTCCGACCAGACGGACCACGTCCTCAGAGCTAAACAGGGAACCATGTGGTTAGGTGTGATCAAGAAAAACAGCAGGTTCAAACCTTAGCTCGTCCCATAGTCCGTCGGTTGCAAGGACGATGAAGCGTAGTGCGCGTTCTTGACCAGACCTGTATTATATAATATGTCAGCCAGTAGAAAGAAACGCAAAAGTGCAAAATACGCTGGCTGATCAGGAAGCTCTAAAACACGATGTTGCACAATAGGACGCGATGTAACGTATGGCGGAGTTTTGAGAGTGGGAGGTGGAGGACGGATTTTCCGGTCGCTGCCAGATAAAAAAGCTTGAGCAAGACTAATGGACACTTATCAACGGCTTGAGAGATAAAAAAAATATTGTTCGAACATACGTTTCCTGCAGCCCCCGCGACCATTTATAGCGAGCGTCGCCAAATGCACGTGTTGGCTCGAGACCACCCAACACTCTGCCGTTGCGTATAACATCTGCAGCTTCGTCGCTCGGGTGTTCGCGCCGCATTCTTGAACGGGTCAGTTGGGAGAAACGAAGCTGGAATGGAATTACCGAGCTGCCTCCGCCGGATTCCTCCCAGTTTGGTCCTCGCTCAGAACTTCGACACGCCAATGACCTTTCCCATCCGCCTGTGGTTCCCAAATCCCAGCAACAGCGCGACTATCACCCGTGCAGGCAACATATAAGTTTCGGCGGGCAGTATCAAGAAGGGCAAGAATGGCGCAACTGCCTGACATCGCTGGGAGCATTGAGGGAAGGGCGAGAGGGTGCTTGCTCAAGTCGGGGATCGAGAGGTTGGACTTGTCGCCATCGAGGGCAGAGGCGAGAACACGAACAGGAGCTGCTATGAGTTCTGCGTCCAAGGCAAGGAATGCACGCTGGATGGCCGTGGCAACACGTGTCGGTTCACCAGGTGCGGCATGGATGTCGGTGGTTGGCTGGGGAGTTTTCCAAAATGTGTTCTTCAGGGTGTCTGTCCAGCTATTAGCGGTTTTTGACTTGAGCGCAGCTAGTTCAAGAGCAACTGCATTGATGAGAACCCGAGACAATAGCTAGGGATAGGTGATAAGTTGGAAGGACATAGCACAATAACCACTATGGGTACCCACTTGACTGGTATATCCACCACCGTGCCCATCCATGACGGCAAAGAACATGAGATCTCCATCACCTTCATCTTTGCGGATTACTTGATTGGCTGTCGCGTCTTCTATTGGGTCATTCGCAGCCACAGATGCTATTTCAGGCGTTCAACAATAAACTGGGGCATAATAAGCGGAAAGTCAGCTCACCGGTAGAGTGATGCCAGACAATACCAGGACGCGTAACTGTGTGCTCTACGGCGTTCTCGCGGAGACGGGCATCTACTTCTTGTGTGGATAGCAACGGAAGCGTTTTTGTGGACATTGTTGCCTTTCCGTCTGGGCCCCGTTCTCGCACCGGAAAGTCAAAGTATTCGTTGCGCGGTTTGTTGTAGTACCAGTATCCGAGCGCTGCAGGGACAACGACAGCAGCTGGCTTCCAAGCACGTCGAAACATCGACTCGCTTCGATTTTAGCTTCCGTGGAGGGCCAAAGGTCGGCTTAGCCAGCTCGCAAGAAGCTGCCAATGTAGTGTAGCGTGCGTATAAGTAAGTGTGAGCTGCTAACTCAGACTAAAGATCCCGAATAAGAATAATTGGGCTGACTCCAAAACGGGCGATGACTTGGGCACAATGGAAAACGAGTCTGACGTGTGACATACTGTGACATCTTCTCTCTGTCCCGTATTTAACGCGCCTCCACCAGCCGTCTCCCGCACCCCCATGGCTGACGACGACCACGCATTACTTGCTGCATATCAAGCCTCTGTTTTAGAGGCCCCGAACAAGCAGCCAGATGACGCCATGCTTGCCACCCTTGGAATTAAGGTCCGCGACTACGGGATCAACAATCCACTCCCGGCTTTGAAATCAATTCCATCAGCTCCAAAGCCGCACTCGAGAGCGTTGAAGAGGGAGAATGGTGGTCGTCTATACGGAGTAGCGAGGACGATGCCCTTTGATGACCCACGACCCACAAAGAAGCCAAGGCTAGATGACGACGATGAAGCAGCCTTGCGAGCCTCTTGCGACGAGTTTTTCAGTGCATCACAGGACTCGCAATCCCAAGACTACACACTCTCCCAATCCCAACCAGGATCATACTCGCAAGATTCGGCTGTCTTCTCACAGACTTCAGGATTTAGGACCCCCACCATCTCGCCCAATGGCTCATACTGTTGGCCTGATGGTGAACCACCTCCAGGAGTGACCGAAGGGTCCCAATCTCAAGCTGTCCAATCACAACCATCTCCCCCCTGCAGCCCTACGCCGCGGCGAGCTTCTTTCGTGACATCGCCACAGAGTAGAGGCTCTCCTAGTCCAATGCCATTGACCCCTCCTCCAGTACCGCGAAACTTTTCGCTGTCGTCGCTGTCCTCACTTTCTTCTCTTACGCCATCACCATCGCCCTCCCCACCCCCCGAGGCCATGATGATGCGGACATTTCCATCTTCAGAAGCTTCTTCATCAAGCGGCAGCTCCCCTGCCCAGACCCCGCGCTATCTACTACGCACGCGGAGAGAACCCGCGCATAAAGCGCCTGCCCGTCGCTCCAAACCTCGACGACCACATCGCCAAGAGAGCTTCACCCTCGAAATACGATCGTGAAACCCTCACTCTCAACTCCTGGTGCAAGATATTGCCCGGGAGCCGTGATGGGCATCGAAGCTTGACTGTCACTATTTTTTTTTCTCGACTTGGGCCATAACCACGGGCAGTCAGGCTTTTTGAGCCCGCAATAGCATCGCATTGAAGGATATTTAATCACGCACGCACTGTATCGGTATGCAAGTTCTGTGTACGACACCACCTGTACTAGAGTCGAAGTAGTAGTGTAAGAAGGTTGGGAATACAAGCTTATTTTATGACGAATGCCAGCCTATGTAGGTCAGCTTTTTTTGTGTGAGCCAACATCTGCGCAAGTCATAAGCTCTTGACTGAATAAATCGGTGATACCTACATTGCGCGAAAGTAGGCATGCTCAAGTTGGTTTCGACATATGGATGTGTCTTGTTTTGGGCGACAGCAATGGGAACAATGTGCTGTAGAGACGAGTTCAGCCTTGTTTGGTTCACAAAAGAGGGCACCCACATCAAATGCTTGTGCCAGTTGCGGATAGTTATTCATGGCCGTCTGCATAGTATAGTTGTTCAGCTCGTGTGCTAGTATTATCGCGCCTTTCTAAAGCAGTTTCAACATTTATACGAGAATTCTGAATTCCACGCACGGTGTTGAATGTCCCTTTTCTTGCAGCCGCAACCAACGCATCATAATTTGCTTGCACCGTCGCTGGGGTGACGCCGTTGATGCCAACCTCCCAGTCATTGGTGTTGTATTTCCACAAAATCGTGTCGAGCCCAAGCCGTGCCGCAATATACCGAATGCGGTCGTCGACGTCACCCGAGGGCGGGCGCCAGCACGTGGGAGTGTAGCCCGTAACGAGCTTGATGGCTTGCATTGTGTACCAGAGCTCTGCGAAGGCTTGCTCGTTGGTGAACGCGGTCATGTACGAATGCGACCAGGTATCTTTTGACAGCGTTCTGCACTCTGACCGACCAAGAGTATAAAATACTCACGAACACAAATTTCATGGCCGTCTGCTACCGCCCGCTGCGCCTCTTTTGGCCAGTCCAGCACATTGGACCCAATGAAGAAAACCGCTACATGAAGTTAGGCACTGAAGATGGGCCGTGAGATAGCTACGCACTCGCTTTCTGATTCTGTTTGTTCAGATAGTCGTAGAAGGCATTGTGTGAGCAGTTGGGGCCATCGTCGAAGCCATATCCCAACGTCCTAGGCTAGGTAAAATCAGTTATTTATTGGTTGCTTCTGTGAGTATCACTTGCCTCTGGTACACTCGCGATGTCTGGTTTGAGCCCTTTTAGCTTGGGACTTACACATGTGCTGTATGTCCACCAGCAGTCAGGATCGCTCGAGGGATAGGACTTGCCAGATAGGACGCCGAGGGTGCCCTGAGATGTTTGAGAGAAGAACCAAGAAGTTTGTTTGTGGACCTTCGGCGCAATATTTGGTATACTTGAGCTAAATTCAAGGAAGCGGCTATGCCCAGCGCTGTCACTACTCAAAATTGCCCGAACAGGCCGCCAGATTGGTGGAAAGTGCGAGAGAGCAGCGGTGACCGGTGGATAGCCATATGGAACACATTCTACAACGAGATAAAGCTTTGGTGCGATTGCTATTTGGAGAACCTACCTTTTGAGCCTATAACGGAAGTCGCTAACGCTAACGAAAAGAATAACCGCATGTTCAACGAGCGATGAGAGTCCACACGAGCACTCTTTTATAGCCAGCTGCCTCGCCTCGGCTTATTATCTCAAGGAGAGCCCCCGCATATTAACACCCGAAGTCGTTATCGAGATGCTTGAAAGGCACAGTCGTGCCTGGTTATGGCCAGAAAATGGATGATCGAGGTTGAAGAGAAGTTTCGTCGATCGGCTCGATTCGGCCGAAGCCAAATTTACACTCACTCTCGCTCCTCCTCCACCACCATGTCTAAAAGCTTTCGGATTGTAGTACTGCCTGGTGATGGTATCGGCCCAGAAGTCGTCAGTCAAGCTGTTCGTGTTCTGGAGACTGTGTCAGCCGCCTCCTCCGACTTTGACCTCAAGCTGGAATCGCATGACTTTGGCGGATGCGCTATCGATGCGCACGGCGACCCTCTTCCGGTCAGCACTCTTCAGGCATGCCAAGAAGCAGACGCGATCCTCATGGGCTCCATCGGTGGACCTAAATGGGGCGTTGACGCCAAAGTCCGGCCAGAACCTGGACTGTTGAAGCTTCGGAAAGCATTAGGGCTATACGCCAACATTCGCCCCGCCAACTTTGCTTCGGATTCATTGGTGGATGCATCCCCCATTAAGCCCGATCTCGTCAAAGGCGTCAATATGATTGTCGTTCGCGAACTAATTGGCGGGTTATATTTCGGAGAACGGCAAGAGCTTGGTGCTTCGAAGGAGACCCCTGATACCGCATGGGACACAATGATCTACAGCATTCCGGAGGTTGAGCGTATCACACGCGTCGCAGCCACAATTGCCATGAGCGCCAACCCTCCTCTCGAAATTCATTCCATTGACAAGGCAAATGTGCTCGCTTGCTCTCGTCTCTGGCGGAAAGTCGTCACAGAAACATTGAATAAGGAGTTTCCCCGGATAAAATACGACCACCATCTCGTCGATTCCGCTGCAATGCTCATTGTCGCCAACCCGCGCAAGCTCAACGGTGTGATTCTCACCGAGAATTTGTTCGGGGACATGTGAGTCCTATTTTTAAGCAATGTGGTGTAGTCTTGATTCTTTATTTGCAAGCTTGTCTGACCAATCGAGTGTGATACCTGGTTCCCTTGGTCTCTTACCGTCCGCGTCACTCGCTGGCGCTCCGTCTACTTCATTCTCGGCCGACTTCAAGCCGACATCGGGCTTGTATGAACCAATACACGGCTCGGCTCCTGACATAGCTGGCCAAGGCATTGCAAACCCAATTGGCACAATTCTGAGCGCTGCAATGCTTCTTCGTTACTCGCTCGGGTTAGAAAAGCCCGCCAAAGCGATCGACGACGCTGTCAGGAGCGTGCTGGATGCGGGAGTTAGGACGAAGGATCTGGGGGGAACGACGCGGTCAGAGGAGATCGGGGACCTCATCGTGAAGGAACTCCAAAGACTTTTGTAAGATAGCAAAATTTGAAGGTTGATCACGATAAGATGCCATCAATTCTTAGTAATACTCGATTATCTCACTTGAAATGGCACTCCCACCTGCTCTGCGCGCCTCTGTAACCCCTCCCGAGCTTGAACTCATGGCAACCCAAACACTCATCGAAATCGTCCCCCTCATCGCAATGGAACGGACGTCATTCATCTCGGTGTGGTCTCGCCCACCTCGCGCCATCGTCGTCTGACGCGGGAACAACCACAAGGGCGCTTACGGTCCTCTGCGACCGCCGCAAAAAGCGAGCATCCCGCTCTGGATGGCGGTCACGCTCAAGCGCAAGAAAAAGTGCCAAATCCTGGCCCCGGACTGGCTGAGTGTTGGTGTGTCGTCTGTTTTGTTTGTCAGTCCCAAACGCGTCGACTCAGAATTCGGCAGAGTACCTCCAGAACAAACTCGCGGAAGAAACGACGGCCCCGGAGTTCACGAGGCTGCCGTTCTACTTTGGGGAGATTTCCCGAGTGTTGCTCGATGTGTGCGTTTTTGTTACCTTCGTTGTGGCAGCGGTAACAACTGAGTTCGCCGCGATAGGGCATCGGACGACTTGCAGAATCCCGACAAAATACGGTCACTACTTCAAGATCTGCGGGAAGCAAGACAGGCCAAGGCCCGTCTGGGTTTACAAGAGTTGGAAGCCAATACGATCATAAAAGCAAGTCGATTGCAAAAGGCTCGGCCCCTCAGTTGACAATTTCCAGCTCACTAACCTCACGTCGATGGAGCTCAATGAAGTCAGGCCAATCTTTGTCCAAGCGATGGCGATATTGGAACAACTGCAACCTGAAGCCTGAATACGTCTAATTCTATCTAATCGGCTCAGAGTGTACAATTATTTTACATTTACGACCGTCCATAGCGGCTCTTTCTCTCAAGAAATGATCGTCCTAAGCATCAATCTACCTTGGCGAGGACTAGACACGTTCTAGTCGGAATATACACCTATCAAACAGGTTCAGGGTTGCAGAAGAAGAACAAGCAAGCTGGACACACTTGGAGGAAGTTCTGGCGGTTATTCCACGCGAATGGTGTGGTAAGATACTCCCCGCCAAGCTTCGTATTGTCAAATCCGCCAAACCGCTTCTCGTCGCTCGTTAACACAACCGAGTACTTGCCCGCGACCTCGACTCCAACACGGTAGTCGGTGAAACTCTCCGATGGGTGGAAGTTGAAAACAAAAAGAAGGCCAGCACGCTCGAATACGACGACCTTGTCTGCTTCGTTCTTCAGCGAAACATATGCCTGAATTGGAACAAATTAGCAGTATCGAGGGGCGGACGTGAGGCGGACGTTTACTTGTGGCGATTCGAGCCAGCCATATTTGGCTGCTGCGTGATTCATCGCACTATCAAATTCATTGAGGTATCTGTAACGCAAAAGTTGGTCATCCACAACGTTCCATTGACGTCGTGCGTAGTGGAAAGAGTTGTTATTGCCTGCCCGCGGGAAGTCGAGCCACTAAATGGATTAATCATCGGAAGGCAAAAAGTGCAAAAACACACTTCAGGGTGCCCAAAACTCATTCCCTTCGAAGTTAAGATATCCTTCACCTCCGAGGGAATGCGTGAACAAGCTGTGGACTTATCAATCTGACTCGTCTCGTTGAATATCCACATACCGAATCATTTTGTGCAAAGCGATTCCACGAGAAATAACCGGAGTCAACTCGGTCATGTCAGACATGTTTGTATCTGGATTGCGACCCTGAGTTTTGCATGCATATGCTAAGGAGGGAGCAACTTACACATTTCTTTGTCCATCAACCAAAATGCAATTGTCTTGTCCCCCACCAAGGCTTGGTCGTGACTTTCACAGTACGCGATGCTTTTCTCCCCATGACGTCGATTGGTCAGCGTATGCACAATGTTGCCAAAGTCCCATTCGTTATCGCTCTTGTGTTTGAGGAGTTTGATCCACATGTCTGGAATCGCCATCGAGAGCCGATAATCAAACCCAACTCCACCTTTGGAAACGGGGGCGCCGAGCAAGGGCATACCAGAAACATCTTCAGCAATACTGATGACGGACGGGTAAAGAGTATGCAACATATCGTTGGCCTGAAGGTTAAGGTGTCACTAGATTTTCTTGGAATGGGACGCCCATACCAGCATCAGATAAACGACACCCTCGACATCTTGTCCATCTCCAAAGTATTCGTGGTAGCCACCAGAAAAGCCAGTGCCAATCCCATGGTGGACGTACATCATGCTGGTGACACCGTCGAAGCGGAATCCGTCGAATTGGTACTCCTCCATGTAAAAGCGCAAGTTGCTCAAAAGGAAACGCAAAACTTCGTGTGAGCCGTAGTTGAAGAGACGACTATCCCATAACTCGTGGCGTCCTTTGCCTCCTTCATGGAAGTAGAGGTGATCAGTGCCATCGAACTCGTTCAGCCCATCGAGAACGTTCTTGCACGCATGAGAGTGAACAATATCGAGGAGGACTGTTATTCCCATTCCGTGCGCAGTGTCGATGAGTTCTTTGAGGTCTTCCGGGGTCCCATAACGCGAGCTTGCAGCAAAGAAACTTGTTACTTGATATCCGAACGCTATGTTAGTTATTAGAAAGGTAAGATTAGACATGGTGTATAAGCGCACAAGCATAATAGGCATGCTCCATGATGGCCATGAGCTGGATGACATTATAGCCAAGGTTCTTGATGCGAGGAAGGACATTTTGGGTGAATTCTTTATACGTTCCAACGCGTCCTTCTGGGGAAGATATTCCGACATGAGCCTCGTAGATTCTCACATCCGTGGCCTTGGGTGGACGCGCATTTTTGAAGGTGTAGCGGTGAGGAGGATTCCAGAAACGAGCATCGTAAACAGGAGAAACAGCAAGATCTTGGGTCACGCGCTTTATCCACGCAGGAAGCCGCTCTATTCGCTGGCCAGAGGGTATAATCATCGAAATCTACAGCGGTGTAAGAAAATATTGCGAGTTCTCCACTGGCATGGTATTACGAACCTTGAGTTTAGAGTCGTGAGGGATTGCGCAAGCGCCAGAAGATAGCGGAGGAACGGTGATTTCCCAAACTCCAAACTCGTTCTTCTTCATAGGATGAGTTGTCCTGTTCCATTCGTCTTGTGAAAAAAGGCGTGAAGGGACGCATTCAGGACCGAAAAAAAAGACACACTGAAATCGCCGATAAGACACGCTTCCCGCGCATTCGGAGCCCATTCTCGGTACACTACTTCATTGTTGGGGCCGATGTTGAGTCCGAACTTGAGATAGCCCTTGGTAAATTTTTCGTAGCCTCCTTCAGCGTTGTCAATCGTGTCCTTCCATTTTCTGTAGACATCATGGCGGGAGACGATAGAAGGAACGTTAGGCTCGAGGTATCCATCGATATCAAGGACGGTTTTGGGATTCAGCGGCTCTGTGGGCATGGTGGAGGTCGAGCACAAAGACGCGGTCTCTGACGTCGTTGATCGTGGCCCCAAATTTGGCTGCTCGTAGTGATCGCCGTATCCCCATAAGCTCCACTTTCCCAAAAACTCAACACAGTGATCTCCTTCGAATGTTACACACGAAAACTTGACACACATAGTTCCATGTCCAGGTTCTGTATTAGAAGACAATACTATACCAAAGCCCGGCCTTGACACAAGTGTATTTCACTGTAATTCTCTTACCTCTTCGAGTCCAAGTGGATCGACAGGCAAGATTCTGAAAGTCTTTGTATCATTTCCTATGTGCACAGTACTAGAATCCTTATAAAAACCCACGGATTGCTCCTCCGACGTTTAGGACATCCAGCCTACAGAAATCAGCACAAGTAAAAGGGCGTGGAATGAAGCTCACAGGAATGTATCGTGTCCCCAGACACCGCCCAGTTCATAGTATACAACACTCTCATTTCCCGCTAGCCGCAAGGCATCAACCACTTCGCGTTGCTGCTCAATTGTGAAGAGAATATCACTCTGAACACCGAGGACCAGAGTTGGTATCCTTGATAGAGGCATTAAGCCCTCCGCAAGATCAGGAAGATGGGCTGGTGGATTTGTTGGTGGAGGGTGTGATTTCGAATGTGATGTTGTGTGGGGACGCGAGTGAACGGGATTACTGGAAGAACTGGGGAGAGTAGGAGATGCGGTTTCAGGAATATGCAAAGCTCTGAGAGCTGGAGCAGTCATGTCGAACAGGTCCATAGCTTTAGAAATGTAGATGAGGGAGTTGGCGTCGTATTTGAGACAGAATTGTTCGCCTTGGTGATCGAGGTATGTTTCGATGAGGAAGTCGGGGCAGAGAGCGGGAGTTCGTGGTGCGATACTATCTGCTGGCGTGGGCCTCATTTGGCGGCCGAAGCGAGCGTCCCATTCTGGCCCCGAACGATAAGTGATTGTCGCAATTTCTTCTCAAAGCGTCAGGCTTGATGATAGAGAGCAGGAAATAAGTTACGCACGACGAGCTAACTTCATTCCAGTATGTGGCGGGAGCCCTTCGTAGTAAAACCCATTATTCCAGTTAGGGTCGGCCATCAGGACACTTCGTTGGGCATACCGCATCGCAACACTGGAAGGGCTACTTCGCGCGGTCCCGCTAATGCTCACGATTTTCCCTACTCGTTCTGGATGCAGCCAACCCGCAGCCAAACTCTGCATTGCGCCCATACTTGACCCAACACTGGCATAAAGTTTCTCAATGCCAAGGTGATTTAACAGTTGGAATTGCGCGCGAACCATGTCGAATATAGAGATAATGGGAAAGTGGGTTGCATAAGGTCGACCCGTGTCGGGGTCTATAGACGACGGGCCCGTCGACCCATAGCACCCTCCGAGAACATTTGTGCAGATGATGAAGAATTTGTTGGTGTCGAGAGCCTTTCCAGGACCAATGAACTTTTCCCACCATCCTTCGGTGGGATTGTTAAGGTTCGAAGCAGCATGTGAGGAAGCCGAAAGGCCCGTGTGGAGGAGAATTGCATTGTCCCTTGCAGGGGAAAGACTGCCCCAGGTTTCGTAAGCGATATCGAAGGAGGGAAGTGGGGACTGGCTGTATGTGAGCTGTAATGGTGTTTGGGAGCGGAATGTTGTGTAAGAGGTAGGGTTCGGCCGAGCATAAGCGGGTTCCGGGCCAACGGGAGATGCAGCCAAGGTTGCAAGCCGCGATTCACGTGTTGCGTGGGCTTCGACACATGGGAAACGAGGCGCTTTGGATGAGAACGGTCGCCGACATTGAAACGGCGGTAGACGCGGCAGTCGGCGCATGGGCGTGGAAAGTAAGCAAAGCTTCAAGCATCGTCAGCTCTGCGGGTTGTTTGCAAGAATGACGTGACCGTATTTTTGGACACAATTCTCGGGATAAAAATGATCAAGTTTTGATCGGGCCTGAATTTCGCAGGATCCGGTGACACGACGTCAATACCGCGTCTGGAGCTTGTCCTCGAGGCTCGACCAATGTCCATGGAAGCGGACGGGACCGCCACACGCAGTGGTCGAAAGCGTTCCGAGGCTCGCCGTAGCTTGTCGCTTCTGGCCACACTCGATGTGAGTCCACACATAAATAGAAGCCATGAGGCAATTCTGATATCATTTCTAGCTTGCAGGCATTATCCGCTCCAGCAGCCTTACCTCCCGACGCGTGTCTGACCACGAAGAAGGCAAACCCCGCACTTATCGACGCGGCTCTCGTCGGGTCACAGTTCATTACGAGATGGAGCCTGGACTAACAGTATGTGCATCTACGCGCAACTTCGCTTCCTTTCTATGCTGACTGGACAAGATCGAACGTCCAGCGTCAGTAACAAGCAAAGACAAAGGCGAAGACGAGCATCACGATGTTGTTCCCGAGCTTCCTTCAAGCCCGACAAAACCACCGGTGCAGTCGAGGCCCCTCTCTGCAACATCAAGCACAGTCACCCCCTCCAAAAAGCGCGTCCCTTCCCGAATCCCCACCAAAACAGAGCCTTCACAAAAGAAGCATCTCTTCGGGATCCCTCTGCCCAGTCCAGTGCGATCGTCATTCAGCAGTTCCCGGCCGACAACACCGTCAGATTCGCCCTCCACTATTTCAAAAAGCAAAGCAAAGCCGAAGCCACCAATTGGTCAAGGCTCTGCTTCAAGTCTGTCGAAATTCTTCGTTGCGGGTGGTGGATCGAGTCTACGGGTTTCCTCCGCTCCAGAATCACAAAGGAAACCCAGTCCTTCAAGCAAGCTCCCGACCCCGGTCAAACAGCACTCACCTATATCCCCTGCTTCTCCCAAACGATCTTCATTAGCCGGCAAGCCTTCCGGTGCCCATATTTCGTCCTCCACCATCGTTGTAGAGCCAGGTTCTGTCACCCCCAGACGCCTCATGTCCGAAGTTGGGAACACCACCAGAGCAGTGGAATCAACAACCAATTATCGCTCGAGCGTTTCGGTCGTCGCTTCTCGTCCAAGAACAAGCGCAATCCCAACACCAATGCGAACAAGTATATCCAATCCGCGTGCCTCCCTAGTAGCTCCGGCTCCAAGTAGCCCGACCGTGCGTGTCAGGTCTCTTTCCACTGGAGCTAGTAGTTCTCGTTCTGCGATTGGTGTATCAACACGCGTCAGCTCGAATTCATTGAGCACGGTGTCGCTTTCGCCAAGGGAACGGCGAACGTCAAGTGATTCATCATCTCATGCACATAGACCATATCGAGCAACAGTGCGGCTGGATGGGATTGCAGAGTTGAAGGGCAAAGAGGGAGACAATGGTGAACTAGATGCAAAACATTCTGCAAGCGGACATTCACGACATGTGACGGTGAGATCAACAATTGATGCCGAGCCAAGTTCTCCCATGCCCGCTGGGACTACAACGACGACGACGGCCAAGAGCTCACTAAGCACTGCTGCATCTCGAAAGCATGGGTCATTCGACTTTGAAAGACCTGGATGGGGCTCGTTGGCGGGGAAGGGTGCCTCGACGAGTTTGGGGATTGGAAGTCGCACGCGGAGGGAAGCAATAGGACGAGATTCTTCAGTCGACGAGTCGGGGAGGATACGGACAACGGGTGCTGGACTGGCAGGGGTTGGCTCTGCTCGATTTTATGCCTCAACTTCGGCTGCATCCAACCGCAATGTGCGGCTAGTTCCGCCACCAACGCCGCCTGAGCTGGAGCCAAGTCATACGGGCAACTCTGCGTCCACTTCGGCCTCTCGAACGAACGTGGGGACCAGCAGCTGGGGGCGCTCGACGGGAAAACGGCTGAGCGCTGGGTTTTCCAAACTCACAACCGGACTTGGTCTGGGCGGAAAATCAGTGCTGTCAAAAACATCGACAGCCAATGTCGGCAAGGAACGACACCACGGCAAATTTCCCTTCGAGCCACCGGTGTCGTCACCAACGATGGTGGCCCGCCAATTGTCCTTGGATAGCCAACACGACCGGGAACGTGTTTCGAGACCGTTATCGCCGGGCAGCAAAGGCCACAATGCAAGTCACTCGACATCAAGTACGACAAGTTCGACGCATACCGGTGTTAGTGCAGGACACCGTTCGGGAACTAAAGGCCGCTCGCTTGACCTCGGGTTGGGATTGGCTTGGGCACCGACGAGGGTTCGGGAGGACGCTGTTATGCCGGAGTCATCATTTGGCAGGAGTCTCAGCGCCAGCCGACGAGAACGGAGAGGGAAGGAGATTGCGGAGGAATTCCGGCAAGTACTGGATGATGACGGTTTCAAGGCTTTCAAGAAATGTGCGTACACGGTACAACTCTAGGCAAAAACACTGAATACGTTTGCAGATGTCCATCGATTCGATAACAATGAAATACCCTTTGACGGGCCCACTGGTATCGTCGCGCGGGTGGAACGTCTTTTACGCAAAGCGCGCCAGCTCGATGACGACGAGCGAAGCAGACTTCTCGACAATTTTGTCAAACTGACACTCTCGGCCGTATAACGAACACAAAAGAACAGGACTGAACCCTGGCTCAGCTATGAACCTCCGCTTATGCTTTGCAATGTCAAGACGACTCGCCAACGCTAAAGGCCGACACTGGCCACATCGCTTCAGTGCGATACTGAACAACGCCCACGCTGTAATATGCTTACTCACCCTCGCATTGCATTTACTTATCTCTTGCTGGCATCTACCCCATTGTAGTATCTTCCCCGCTTACATCACTTATGCTTATTGTTTTCGTTCAGCTACCCGTTTATATTCCTGGTGCTCTCCATGCGCGTCATGGCACGACTTGGTCTCATGTATTGATACGCTTACTTACGCACGACTCGACTTATTCACTCGCCACTCATAGGCATCCTAACCTTCTAATTAGATCTTGCTATCCGCAATGCTATAGCTCTCATTCCGAGCAGTTTGACCCACTGTAACGAAAGTTTGAGCAGCCGTAACTAACGTCTTGGCTGATCCTACAGCTTGATACCCTAACGGTTTCCACATCCTACAGAATGCCTAATAGACGTACATAGGATCAGTGTCGTTCAAGATCGACTACGGTTATAAACAAAGTAGTCGCTTGAACCGATTTTTTGCCTTGGCTTCCTTGAATTTACGAGGGAAAACTTGTTCTTGGCTCGCGATTGTCGAATTGTCCCATCCACTCTCAGAGTCTGACGGTCGTAAGTTATTCGGTGCCAACTCGGGCGCTATGGCTATGTACAGTAGGGTCAGACACCCATCTTCATTCAACAAAGTTATAAACACCCACCAAGAACAGCGTATTCTGTCAGAGAAAGTCCCGCCGCATCGTTCGTCGCAAGGTTGGCGATCTCGTTTACTGGATTCACAACGGCACTCCCGCCAACGGTGGTGACACCTGGCCAGACACCGATTGTGTTTTTGTTGATGAAGTTCCACGCCGCTTGTTTGAGAGAAGCATCGTTGAGGCGTTCGCCAGCATATGCTTGTAGTTTAGCATACCACTACTCCAGGGTTAGGTGCAGAGTAGGATAGGTGGTCTAAATCATACGTAGGTGAAGACACCAGTTGAGAACGATTTTCCGTAACGAGCTTGGATCCTTTTATAGTCGTCAGTCCCAGAGAGAAGGATTAACAATGGCATGATCGCACTGTGCAGAGGTGCCATTGGCAAGTTTGCAAAAGTCAAGCCAAGCAGCATCGAATTCTGGCTGGTCGGTGATGATATCCATTGCCTCCATAAGAAATTCGCCGCCTGTAATTATTTCAGCTTTGTCATTGGAACAGATCAGAAAAGACGAACCACCAAATACCATCATCAAGTTATACCTGCATCGTTCAGATTGAGTAAAAGAACACATAGAAGATACCTACGAGCCTTGCCCTTCGCCACCTTCGTCAACGAGATGCGAAGTGGCAGCATTCCAGCCTACAGCGGCGCCATTGCCAGTGAATAAGCCGTATTTGAAGCTGCCAATATCATTCATGCCGGTTTTGATAAGATTTAGCCATTGAGGATCATTCTGCACTGCTTAGCCAAGAACGATATTCTGTCGTATTCACGCACAGTCCGCTCCCACTTAGTGAACCAGTTGCCGGCCAACGTAGTCCAGTCGGGCCCAATTCGAAGACGCCCCGGTCCTGCAGGGTCTGGGGGAGGAAATACCTTCCTGAGAGGGTCCCAGGTCATGATCGTGTTGCCAGCTTGGAGACTGAAGTCCATAATATCACCAATCAGTTCGTCAGCTACAAAACGATCAGCTTGAATCATTATAGAAGGATCGCTAACTTGTTAAATAGTATAAAGGCCGCCGGAGAGTGCTGCCAGCGACACGAGCTTCCTTTGCACCATCACCCCAATGGTTGACATTATGGCCTTGATAGTTGGTCAGCAAACTTGTGGACGAGCGAGGAATATAGAAACTTGCGAGAGCCCAGGCCAGCAAAGGGACCAGTATGGTGTGTGTCCACTTCAGAGATGTGGCGGGTCATGTTAGATGCCATCCGAAATATATCCGCACGCCCAGTACGCATAAAGCTCATCCACAGCCACAAATCCGTTGCAATTTCGCCTTGGACCGGTTGATTAATTGGCCTCAATCCAGCTCTCTATACTCACCGTTATCCCAGGCATAACCTCCGACATCATAACGCCATGTATGCCTGGTCTGATCGTACGTGTGCATAACATCGCCAAAGTCCCAAAAGCCATAGACTGTAGAACCATGGAATTGGAAACAGGTGAATGGGATGATAGAGTACTCACACTGTCGCTGAGAAACCTCTTTGACATAAAAGTCAAGCAAATCACTCCACCGCTTTTCTAGAGCAATAGCACCACTTGTTGAAGTGTCTGGAACGTTCCAACGGCCACCAAACAACTTGTGGGACGCGTAAAATGTCGGACTAGCGACTATTTGGGGTGTTGTTGTCTGTTCGAGTATGAGGACTTGGAATGAAGACAGACGATAAGTGTAGGACGGACATGAACAGAGCTAGATGCAACCAAGGAAGATCTGGAAGGTGTCGTTGGAACAACTTGAAGGGTCATTTCATAAGAGCGACCAATTCCAATGGGCGTCGGGTCAGGATCACCAACATCTTCATACGTAAGGTCCAACTAGATTGCGATGAGCATTCCCGTGTTCATTATACTACGAAGAAGCTTACCCCATGAGCTACTATATCGTAGTGACGCATATCGTTGGCGGGTGCCTGAAATGAGGCATGAGCTTCTCCTTGAATCAATAACATGTTTCAGACCAACCCGAGGAGAATAAGCCCACATTGTCGTGGTGGCAGTATTCGACCCAGCGTTACGAATGTCGACCCCACGGGGAGCTCCCTGCCAGAAGTCTAAGCGGAATCAGATGGGTTGGGATCAAAGGTTGGTGCCAGACCTTTGAGAGCAAACACAACTCCCCCGCCTTTTGCACCACCAATATATCCCAGACCCGACGCGTGAGTACCAAAGCCAGCGTTTGTTAAAAATGAGGACGAACGACCACCAGTCGACCTCTTCGATATCGTGAAATGAGACGGCGACAGCTGGTCCAATGTGAAGTCTTGCCAGATTGGGAGTTGATCAATCTCACTTGAGACATTGGTGGGCCACGTGGACAGAGGGGGAGTGAGCTGGCCTTCAAATTGAGGCGTCAAGACAGCAGCAGTAGCGTCGCGACGGAGGCCCGAGACCACTCTGACTGGTTCACCCCAAATGCCGCCATCGTCTGTGACAAATCTGATGTGTCTATCGTGGACAAGGTCGACAAGAGGTGTTTCGAACTGAAAACCCAAGCCTTTGATGAAATCTTTGGTCTGGTCTCCGTCGTAAATAAAGAAATGAACAATGCGAAGCGCGGTACTAGACAGGGAAAATCAGAGTCATCGTCAAACTGAATTTCAGGGAGAAGACTTACGAGCCTGCCGAAATGTAGAAACGCAGAATGAAAGGGAGAAAATCCACGTGGCCAGCACCCGTGTACTTTCCAGTCATTTTGATCACCGCTCGAACAGGCCCATTCTGCTCCACAACTGCTGTTGTGATATTGCCGAGCAGGGAGGAGACAGACGATTTGTCTCCAGCAACTTCCGGTTCATCTGGGCCGTCTTGGAGGAGAAGGACAAGATTCCCGTCGAGAAGCGATCCAGTTTGCGCGGGTGCTGACCCAGCTAGGCTCAACGAACTGATTGGTGTGGAACCCGAAGTGTCGAAAGAAGCAGAAATTAATCCATTAGATATGGTGATTTTTGAATCGGTTTGAGAAACGGAAACCGGTGATGATGGTTCTTCAGGCGTGCCCAAAGCAAGAGTCAGAGAGTCAGAAAGTCCGCTGTCAGCCGCAAGACTGTGTCCAGTCCACTTCAGGCTACCGTCTGGCCAATATGCCATTGGCCAAGTCTGAAGTGAAATACTCTTGTCGTGGGAGGTTGCAGAGATGGAAGTTGTTTTATCAATCTCCCCCTGCGCCCATGGAACTCCAAACGAAGTTCCTACCGGAGTAGTGGGTGGTGCTTTACCGTCGACCCACCCAAGGGTCACACCGTCTGCCGCGCGAGGCTTAGACATAATGCGAGAGTGTTGGAGGAAGAAGCAGGACCATCTTATAAAGGAGAGGGATGGCCGCTGGGAGTTGGCGGACCGACAGAGTGCTGTCCGCGTTCATGTGATCTTCGTCAGGTCGCGATCTCTGAATTCTTGCGCCATTATTGAGATGTTCGGGTAGAGAATACGCGCAAGAAGGAGCTCAACAAACGACAGAACCTCGGCAGATGGACGGCGGGACTGAAGGAAGACGAGAAGAAATGTCGGCGTCACACCTCGTCACGGCCTCAACTTGTTCACCTGACACCGAATCGCTGCTCACGGACCGGAGGATTTTTATAGAATGCCGCTTGCACTTGGGATCCACTATGCGATGGGCGTCAGCGCTTATCGCCTCCAGCTGTCGCTTCAAACTCAACGACCTTGAGTTTAACTTGTGTCCCCTGCTCAACAAACCTGGGACTGAATTAGATATTTCTTTTTCCCAGCTTACGCCGCCGACAAATACTTCTTATCGCTATACGTTGGGTTTGGGAACGCCTATACAGCGCGATGTAACACTGCCAGCAGACTTGCAGTGTGAGGAAGGCACATACCTGTGCTTGGTTGTCCTCAATACTCGGCCAAACCATCCATCCGAACCAGCAAGATACCTTCAGGTGGTACCCATTGCAACGACAACCAGTTTAAATCCCAAAGCCAAACTACTTGAGAAAGCTCTTCCGGGCGATCTTCATGGTAGGATAATTCTCTCTACCACACTCCATGCCTGATCACCTTATAGAGCCGATGCAACTCACCCTTCATGGTGGGCTGTACAACGGACTATCGCAGAAAGCTGCATTTATCTTCCACTGTGACCATGCGATAGAAGAGGTCAGTTCTTTTCTGCCATTGCTCTCTGACTCAAAATGTTGGCCAGCCATCGTCTCCTCAATTTTCCTGGCAATTCAATGGAACACACACGTTCTCCTGGAGGACTTCACATGCATGTCCTCTCAATTTCCCGCACGGCTCTCCCAGCCAGCCTATCGAGGACCAACCTGATCCTGATCCGCCAGCACGACCTCCTCCCGATCCAGATGCCGACAACCCACCGCATCGAGGATCTTCCCATCTGGCACTGTTTTACGTCCTCATGTGTGCTTCTGTGTAGGTTCTCAGCTTCATTTGTCTCTCGCGTTAACACTCCATAGTATATACATACTCCTACGCTACATTTTACCCAGCCATTCCCGCTCAAGACACATCTCCTCTTTCCAATCATTCATGACGTTGCGTCGAGGGAGGAGGAAACCCGCAAAGAGTTTCAGGCCTCCCGCCGAGAGTCTCGTTCAGTGGGCCGAGGAAGAACAGCTTGATGACTACGAAATCGATGATAGCACACCTCTGACGCCTACTTTCAAAAGAGCATTCACCGCATCTAGTCAATACGGTAGTGCAGGATAGTATCTATTCAGTACACTCAGAATAATTAGTGTAGACTGTAGCGCTTTCCCTCGAATATTCCCTCTTCCATCGCCTTGATCTCTGTTCAAGATGTTAGTAATGAGAAAGCGGCGGCAATTTGCAGGACTGACGCAAAGCAACATGCTTCGAATGGAAACGGCAATAAGCGAGGTTCCCTGTGAAATGTTGGATTTCGGCACAATCCATGGTTACATGGGTGACTGACCCATCATATACCACAATCCAGGAATTCCTGAACCGCGTCGACACTAGGCTTGGTCCCCAGCAAAAAGACACACGCACCTAAATCACGCCAGCATCCTTGAATTTCGCCTTCCTCGTCTAGGCCCCAAATTGGCTTGCATCTATTTGCGATGTCGTCCCCGCAGACTTTCCGAATATTGTCGCGAACATCTCCAACACTGAGTAACGTTTTTAGCGACGTTCTCGAGTATCTCGAGGTTCTCACCCAGTTGCAAATATAACCACATCTGCAGGCAGTTCGGTCCCATTTTGGAACGCGAGTCCGGTCGGGGTAAACTCCGCAATTTGACTATCGTTCTTGAGCTTGATCTTGCCATCAACAATCAATTGGCTCGTTCCGACATCTACAGGAGACTATCAGTCGCAATTGTTCTTATGGCGAATGGGGACTACCGAGATAATATCCTCCAGCGTTCTCCCAAACGGCAAGGGAGAAGCCTGCATCTTGGTAGCCCATGTTGAGACGAAAACCTCGTTTTTTGAGTCCGTCTAACAGCTCTCTGTAGGATAATTCAAGGGGGATTTTGTTAAGAGCATTAAGCGCACTTGTCGGCATCGGCGATTTCCAGCGCCTTTCGTGGTGCAAGAAGCCCGACGAGGGCGTTCGGGTATGACGCATTGAGCCTATCAGAAATGTCTGGTGGTGGACTGTTTTCAGAGTAGACCCCGTCGAAGTGAATTCGCCAGCCATTCTGAGTGGTCATAACATAGGTCGATGAACGCTGAAACATGGTCACATCTAGAATTCTTAATGGTAAAACAACTAGAGAACGAGTGCGATTCACCAACTCCGTGCTCGTAGTAGTCGGCGCAGATATCATGGGCTAGATCAAGTCAATACTTGTGCATAGTTACTTTGAAACGTACCAGAGGTACAGGCCCCAATCACAACCACTCGCTTGCCGACATGATCCATTGCTTTATGGTGTTGCGAACTATGCAATATCTGTCCCCTGAAATTGTCCTTGGAATTGAGTTAAAAAACTGCATTCCTTCATCACAAGACGACTTACCATTCCAGGATAATCCGGTAACTTTCCTCGATAACTTCCAAATCCAGTCGCGAAGACAAGATGCTTCACGTTAAAAACACGGTCTTGTTCGGAGGCTCTTCCGACGGTGACTTTCCAGGTGCCATGTTCGTCGATAGTGGCCAACTTCACCTCGGAGGAGGTCCATACAGGGAGTTCCAGGGCCTCCGCATAATATTCCAACCAGTTGGCAAGCTATAATGCTCGTTGAGTTTCCTTCATCGGACGAGAGATTAGACTACTTTTTTTGCTGGTGTGTATACTGGCCAAGACGAAGGGAATCTACGAAACGTCTTCATCAAACCAATAAATCCAAAGGAAAGAACCTACGGCATATAAGGCATATGATCATACCCTGAATATCAGTTTGAGAGCGACCAACCAGACAACTATTTAAGACGTACAGACTGGGTCGTGCAAGCAAAGCGCTTCATATCTGTTCCGCCAGTTGTCTCCAATGCGAGGGTTCTTTTCGAGGACAAGGACAGAGATGTCCAAAGCCTTTAGACGGGCGGCAAGCTCCAAGCCGCTCTGGCCAGCACCAACGATAAGCACTGCGGGATCCTGGGACGCGAAAGATGTAGCGTGGCGCCGCTCTTCTTCCCATTTACCATGGTTCGGGAATGGATTTCTGAGAGGGCCGACCTAAAATAATGGCTCAATGAACATTTGGTTGGACAATTAAAAACGAATAAAAACCTTCTCGGGAAAGCCTTTGAGGTCCTCGAGATTGGTGAAGATGCAGTGGGCTTTCCACGCGTCGTTCTGGTGTGGCACGAGACGGAAGACACCTGAGCAGAACCCTATTTTAGTCTGGAACGTAAACATGGCTTCGATCCACGCGATATCGGGATAAGGGTGTCGTAGACCAAGATACTGTGCATTCAGCTTAAACTCAGACAACTCTGATGTCGCAAGTCTATCGACGAGGAAGGTGTGGACAGCTGCAGCTCCCTGGAACGTGCGAAAGTCCCAAGTCATGCAGAGTATGTCCCGCCATAGAGCCCCTTCTGAGAGCAGAGTTTCCAATTCAGCGACATTGCCGTTTGTTGCATACTTTGAGAATTGAGCAAACCACTCAGAAGCAATTCTTTGTGGGTTAATGTCGCGGAAAGCCGATTCTGAAACCTGCAGGCGCTCAAGAGTAGGCAGAGATTTGACGATGTAGGACATCGACGTGGGCGTGAGGATGAGAAAACTGTGGAGTTATGTACATGAAGTAGCGTCACATGCGTGCTTCCGAAGAAGATGAGGCGGCAGGCCAATATTAAGCTTGAAACGGGTGAGCATCGCTGGGTGCGTTTAAAAGGGAAACGAAAAAATCGTCACATCAATAAGTTACCCAACACGTCTTGCCAAGCACCACGATGACCGACTCCGACAACAGTCTGTGCCCTTCTTCTTCAAGTCCCCCGTCTTCACCGTCGAGTCGTACCAGCATATCTTTGCATCAAACCCCTCAACGATTGCCGAACCTTGCTCTGGACCCAAACCAAATTGCCACAATCGCCCATAGACTCCACGACACGCTCTGCGAATTGCGTATACCGAAACACAAAAGCAGCATCTCTGTCTCAATGAATACCCTCGAAGACATCATCGTTAGATCGCAGCAACTTGCTCTCTTGACCTCCAGCTTTGCCACAACCTTCAATGCCAGGGAGAATGGACCGGTAGCAGAAGAAATAGCGAGAATGTCCAGCGCTATATCTCATAGACTAGGAAATATCGAATCCAGACTCAAACCATCGACACAAGACAACCACCCGACGACAGCCGTGAATGGCATACGTCATGCTACGCTTTATCTCCAGGACGGAAATATTGTCCTCGTTGCAGGGTCTCCTCAAATTATATTCCGCGTTCACCGTTCAATGCTCTCACGTCAATCCGACTTTTTTGCAACTATGTTCACACTTCCTGGCCCCGACCGCGAATGCTATGATGGAGCGCCGTTGATATTTATGCAGGACGATCCCCAAGCCGTTGAGAGTTTGCTTAATGTTTTGTACGACCCAAGGTCCGCAGAGTCTGGTGGCCACTTATTCACACACTAATTTGTCTCAGCCAACTACCATATAAGCGTCTTGCGCCAGAGACTCCGTTGCGAGTTCGCCATGTGCTTGCAATTGCCACCAAATACGAAATGGATGCGTTACGGGATCGAATCGTTACTCAGCTTGAGGCTGACTGGCCATATACTCTGCGTGGTTGGGATCGTCTGGAGTCTGAGATCGAAGGACTTATCGAGGAGGACGAGGATGGCGACGTTGACGGCCTGCATATCGACGACAAGTTACCTGAACCGTGCGCAGCTGTTCGTCTTGCAGTGGAATGCAGTATTCCCAAAATACTGCCCTCAGCCTTGTATCACCTGTCACGGCTTGACATCCAGGACGACTGGCTAGAGAGTCGGAAAGACGATTCGCGGTCGACAACCACCAATCGAACAGCTAGATGGGATCTCCTTGTTGGCGACGATTTCAGGCTTTTGCTCAAGCTACGTAATATGATCGCCAGCTTCGAGTATGACGACATATACACGACTTCCCTCCAGTGTCGCTCCTCAGACGAGTGTCACGATGGTTGGCAGAGGATTCGCAATTCTTGGACGACTGCAACCGACCCTCTCGACGAACTCAAGTGTTTTATTCAGGATCGTCCCAGTGCGCTATGCAAGCACTGTTGGTCAACGTTTCAAGATGGAGCGCAAACCAAGCGGGGGGAGTTGTGGAATGCTATTTGCCTGTTTGTGGAGAAAGAATGCTGATAACCGTTAACGTTTGCTTGCGAGCTGACATTTGTACTAATACGCAATCCACATTCATTCTGACCCAAATACATCTTCTTGCGGAAGAATACTCCTGCGTTGCCCCAAACCTGACTCGCCGTGCAATCCGCGCTTTGGTGGTGTGCTCAGAGTAAAGTCGTTTCCCGTATCAAAATCAGCTGGCTTATGTCGCGGGGAGCGCGGGGGCGTCAGGCTGCTATACGAAGGGGAGTGTGGCCGGAGAAGCGGGGAACGTGGCGGGGGGATTGGCCCAGGAGAATGTGGTGTCAGAATCCCTTCCGAGCGAGCGCTTTTCGAGCGGAAAGGTAAAAGGGAGCGGAACAGAGAGACCCGAGTTGGGGCGTAGCTTTTATTGCTGGCTGCAGACGATTCAGAGCCTAAGTAAATCGAATTAATAAGCATAGAGCAGGACAGTGAGGCATTGATAGACCTGCTGCTGCTCCGGACATAGGAAGAGTGTTGTCATTGGCGCTGAGACTGAGGAAAAGGAATAGAGGAGCTGCCCAAACGCACAGGCCGAAGAAAGTCGATATCTCGGAGAAACCCAATATTCCTTTCGGAGGAGGTGCTCCACGAAACGAACGGCTATGTCTAGCTTCTTGAGAGATCCGCGCGAAATGGTTAAACCACAGAAAGTGGTCCATGATGACGAAAACGCAAGACGCCATAAACGACTGGACCAATGTGAGCGATATAATCCACCCGCGTGTGATAACTTACCCAAGAGGTGAGCTCAATAACGGGCCATGTATCGGAGAAGTTTTGGAGATAAACCAGGTGACAGAAGACGGAGAATGCAGTCTGTGCCGGTGGTAGAGAGTCTGAGAGGTACAAAGCGCCATGCAATACGATTATAACCTAGGAAAATGAGTGGGAAAGGGGGAAACGAATATAAGGACAGACATAAATGGCTCGCTGCCCCACAGTTTTCGCGGTTTTAGAATGTTCTTCTATAAGTTCGGAGCAGTAGAGGAGCCCGCTTGCTATGAACGCGCTTGTTCAGTTGCAGGCTTATGCGAATTGTGGAACGAGCCGACCAAGTGACAGAACGATGAAAGCTAAGGCGGCGGCAGCGGCGCCATAGCTAAGGAAATTAAGAATAGACGCGTTGATGAGGCATAATATGACCTTAGATAAAAGAGGAGGCCCATGCACTCCGGTGTATCCCGGATACAAATTGGTGAATTGGGATGTTGACCCGCAAAAGCAAGACAGAGCAAGACGCGTAGTTGTGACGTAATCAGAATACTTACGCAGTGACTGGGGCACAGCAACAACAGCTTCTCTCTCCTGCTGCCATGAGCAACCTTGAGAGTGAGGCCCATTGTCCTCGTATATCCGCCCGCTGATAAGCCTTAGAAACTCTTTTCCAACTCAAGGTTTCTGCCAGGTTCACTCATCTGTGCTATCCTAAACGGTCGTCAGTTCACGGCTAAGACTCTAAATCGACAAGCGAAGAAGGCGCAGAAAGACGAGAATACAGAGAAGGCTCGTTTAAAGAAGGTGAACGGGCGGAAATATCGAGACGCTGGTTCTCATTTGAACCCCGTTTCAGGCACTACAACAAGGAAATAACGAGGGTGCGCGGATCTATGCCTCCAATGCCATCCGGAAGAAGAGTGAATCTCTAAATCTGCTCCGACTATCGAGCAGGATAGACGCTGTAGCCAGTCGGGTGGAGACTGCGGTTACGATGAGACAAGTAACGGGGAACATGACATCGGTGGTGCGTGGAATGGACAAGGCGATGGAGAGCATGAACCTGGAAAGGGTGAGTCTGTTGTTGTCTTATTACTGGTGACTGAAGGAATGTAGATATCGATGGTCATGGACAAATTCGAATCACAGTTTGCTGATCTGGATGTGCAAACGTCCTATATGGAGGATGCAATGGGTTCCACGACGGCCGTCTCAACGCCACAAGATCAAATTGACCAACTCATGCGACAAACGGCCGAGGAAGCGGACATCGAGCTTCAACATGACCTAGCCGCCAAGGATCTCGACGCTGTTCCCGATTTAGCACCTCGTGAGAAGATTGGAGAAGAGGACACCAAACTAGCTGAACGATTGAGAGCTCTCCGGCCGGCCTGAAAGATTCATATCACTGTGTAATTTACTTTGCTGTACTCGACATAATCTGTTGCGGAACTTTCTCAGGTTATATGGACCCACCGACATTTGCCACCCACTAATAAGGTCGTTGACTTCTTGACTTCGGTGCGCCCTACGCTTTCCTTAGACTTCTCAAGATTAGCGCGAATCGAATTACATTTATAGCGACAAAATCGGACATTGATCACTCAAAACTGAGGGTCGTAGAGAGCAGCACCAATCGCAAGGCACTTCCACCGGTCCGAATTTTGCGTCCAGTACAGTCTGGGTCGCAACTGGAGAGTAGAAGACCCAAAGAAAACCAGGAGGAGCAGTGAAACGCCATAAGCAGCATCCGCATCACACTCTTGTGATCTTCTAACCGATGTCTTATTTTCACTACCCGGTCTCCCTTTCCGCCTCAATAAAACTGGGGCTTTGGGTTTGAGCTTCATCCTGCCTGTAGCCCACCATGCCGATGGACAAGCTGAGCATGTTCAGGGTTATGTGCGATTTCTTTTCGCCGTTTTGCATTGGGGTTTACTCATCCATCTGCAGCTCCTTTACCTTGGCTGGTGGAGATTTTGTCCAAACGATACCCGGTACTAAACACCATATATTCGTGGCTCATTGACTCATGGACCGAGTAGACACTCTTCGGCTTTACCGGAAACAATGGGTCAACAGGAGCTTGAGGTGTGTGCCATTACTTTCTCCAAGTTCACCAGTTGAAGAACGCGTTTGCAGCCCAATCTGTGTTTTCTATGCTCTCGCTCGATAGTGAGCCCCATCTACTTTGTCTATGCAAATTCTCAACATTTCAGTATGAGCGCACTCTCCTTAATAACAAACGGTGTCGGTAAGCGCAACATATGCGCCGTTCCGCATTTCGCTGAGCGCCATCAGGTTTTTTTGGCACTTCTTTCACGGCAGCAAGCTGCAAAAGATTTTACATGCTTCCGAACGTTACAGCCAGTGGGTTTTAGTGAAGCAATCTAGACCATCGCATTATTAATGACTGGGTCAGTGCTCGCCGGAATGTCAGTACAAGTCCTCATATACATCCGGTAGACATTGCTCTTCCTGATGAGTTCGATCCCACTCATTCTTTGCAGCACGTACGCCATTTCCGGTCGTTCCAAATACGTCAGATGGGGTCTGATTGGGTTGCTGGCGGTCTGCATGCCGGTGCGCCTTGACGATTAGTTCTTGACCTCTCTCATTCGATCTAGCTTCAAGTTTTCGGCATCTGCTACCATCGAGATGTGAGTTGGTATTCGCCAAATGTTCGATCCTATTGACACATTTTCTGTAGCCAGTCCTATCTTCGGTATCCCTGGCCCTGGTAGATATTTGAGGTCACTAATACTTCAATAGCGCGGAGGGTGTAAGGGAAAGGTCCTACATCGTGGAGATGTTCGTCCTGTTCGTTCATAGGTGTCGCTTTGCTCATGAAACCCTTTTAGCCTGACTGGAACATCGTGTAATTCCACCTTAAGCTGACGGCTGTGCCTCTGACAATCCCGCCAGCTATTACAGTGCTCATATGGCCTTCGATCTGGTTGCCTGTGCCACAGCGACGTTCTATCTGGTCTTTATGTCCAGGATGCATGGCCGATTGTATGTGTGGTCTAACGCTTTTGCATTCGGCTAAGATGGTTTTAGCAACATGTCCAAATTTCTACGCCGTGTTCTCCGAAACGGACTGTTGTACACCTTTGCCGTGTTTGCCGCCAACTTGTGGGTTTCAATATCAGCCACTGCTTCTGGGTTTTCATTATTCGTTTGCAGTTGGGTCGTTCTCGAGTTCGCTGGAGTTCTAAATACCGGTGCTGCGTCAACCCTACCGCTTGCTGTCGTGATGATCGGTAAGACTTCTCTTTGACTTGGATTTCAAATTCATTCTTTTCTTAGCTGCCGCCCATCTTATCCTCAGCACGCAACGTTTGCACCCCGCCGCTCCTTACACAACCAGTGAAGACGATGCTCATACGCCTAATGAAACTGGCCCGGCAATTCTTTTCCATCATCGCACAACACACGATCTAGAGCTAGACTCCAATGTCTACGGCAATCAAAATAATAAACACCTTCCGTCCTCCAACGATTCCCAAGATACCAGCAGGCATAAAGGCGAAAGCCAAGGCTCCGTGACCCGGACTAGCGAGGCTTAAGTCAGAAACCACTTTTAATAGCATGTACTTGTTGATCCTACGCCGATGTGTATTGTTATTGATATTTTCAACGTGCGAAAATGGAAACGAGTGGAAGTACACGAAAAGGGTCCCGATGTGGCAGTACAACATATGAATATTGATGGTTCAATGTCTTGACCAATTTGGATCATAAGTGGGTGGCAAGGCCTCCTCTTCAGGGACTACTCGACCTGCATCTACTTCTTGTCGTATCCGCCGCGAACTCGCGCCGTCGTCGCTTGGCATGCGGGCATGTTTTTCAGGAAGTGGCCCAGCTATCCGACTGGCTGAGGCAGAGGAAGAAGCAGACGCAATCATGCTGGCGCCAATGCTTGCAGTTCCAGAGGCGAAGGGCTGTTGGGGCGGGCGCATTGAACGCCCGTCTGAATAGGGATCGAAATCACCCGAAGTGCGTGGTGTGCTTGAATCATCTGAGTAGGGGACTTGTGGAGGCTGGGGGACATCGCGCGTCGAGGCTGAATAGGTGCTGTAGGTATATCCGTCGCGGTAAGCGGCGTATTGGTTGTCACTGTTAACCGTCATCATGTTGGTGCTCGATAGTGAATTGCTTTGTGCTGCTGTCGTGCCCAGTCAGAAACGAAAAGGAAAGTGAAATCTTAGGTACGAACGCGTCATCTGTGAGTGTGACTGGTCATCGAAGGGGGTTACCAGCATGCCATTCATGGACATCGCATCCCTTTCAGCCCGTTTTCTAGATCTGGGGGAGCGCTTTCAGCAACGCCATATTCAAGGGAATCTGCTGCCAACCTGCGACGCAAACATAGCACACCGAACAATAATAACGCAGCAACGATTACGACAGCGCCAACCTGCAGTAATCATGTCAAGCGGATAGAATAGGACAAATGACAGTTCCGCACCGCAATACCAACAATTTGACCAGTGTTGGATGACTTTGAGGTTGAGGGGAGCGAAGGATTGGAGGTTGAGGGTGGCGGGGACCCAGATGAACTGGGATCCCTAAAAATGAGTCCAACAGCGTACGCGTACTTGATCAAGATGACTTACCTGCTGAGTGGGGGCAGATTCATCATGAGGACCTAAACTGTTGATCGTACACGCAAGGCTTCGGACACTGAGCAACACGCACACTGTGAATATCAAGATAGGAGCCTTGGATCAGGTTTGTCATTTTGATATTGTAGGTTTGTGCTGGGTCAAGGCCGGACTCGAAATAAACAAGGTTGTCCAACACAAACCACTTAGAGGTGGCGTTGAATATTCGGGCTCCTCGAGAAGCTCCAGGGGGATTGAGCTCGACTGAGTAGGTTTGATGGTCCCAATTACTCGTTCCATATACGAAAAGGGCAGACCTGAACATCATCAACGAACCGCCAAGTGAAGTAACTGCGGACAAACGTTTTGGAGCAAGAAAATTCTAGAGTCGATCCTGCGCCGTTGGTATCGATACGGGTATATCCAGCATCCTGGTGAAAGTTGGCGATGCCAGTTCCCGTTGTGCTGAAGAAGGAATTTGTGGTAAATGTGTTATTCGGTCCAGCGGTTACCGCAACCACCGTCGAATTGGATATGGAGCTACCAATCAGGTAAGTAGAGCAAAACCAGAGTAGACCAGAGTTTACTTCGATGCAATGTTGGATCGAACAGCAAATTCAGCATGGGACAGAGTCAAAGACTGTCCCTGAGTAGCTTTGAGCGTTATAGTATGCATTACGCTTCCGTTCAAGGCCCCGTATGTTGCAAGTAGCGAGCCTGATGGGTTACCAGCATCTTCGGGGCCATTGTCGAGTGTTGTTGAATAAGCGCCACTAGTGCCTGCGCCATAGATAGAGACGGCGGTCCCCACAAAAGATAAACGGGCTGTCGCGCCAGAGAGTGTGGTGGTGTGGGAGGATACTCCAGATGCAAGGTTGGACGAGGCATGCGTTGGATCGTATGGTGGTTCAGGTGAAAAATCGCTCGACCATCCTGAGCTCGACGCGCCTTCGCGTTCGGGTGAGTACTCCCAGGTCGGGGATTGGTCGGAGACGGTGATGTTTACAGAGGTCATGAAAATGAGGTGCCGGCGAAAAGCCCGACCAAAGCAAGAAGAAGCGGAGAAAAGAAGAAGATTGTGGACTGGACGTGAGTTGATATATGTCGTTGATCCCCATGTGTGGCTGTCCACACACTTTGTCGTAACTGGGCGGTGATGTTTCAAGTGGGCGGAGGTCACACTGTGACGTCAATGCCTGTCAATGCTCTTGGCCTGCCTTCCGCATGTACCTTTATCTCAGCACTCAATCAGGACAACGCGTCCTTTATCTAGTTGCAACATCTCAACAGCGGGTCCTGGCCTTCCGCCACAGTGACACCAGCGCAGCCCAAGCTATCGTCGAGTTTCTCCCTCAGACTCAAGTTCCTTTAGGAACACTCATCCGGCTGACAACACGCGTGGTGAAAGGTTGTTTGGGCTTGATTTCGATTGAGAAAGGCACGCCCGTCCGCGTTTCGAGCATCATACACTTTCTCATGGCCCAATCCAGATGTCTTTCTGGCGGTCGTGACTAGTGCAACTGAGGTGGGCAACACTCGTCCGAATGCGTCCACCTCATCTGGCGAATCTATCGCTCGGATTCACGAAGTCTCTTTCTTCAGTCTCACGTCTCCCGCATGGGACGAACTCTCCAACGAGTCGTTGAATAACCCTGAGTCGGTTGATGCCATGCTGATGCGCGACAATTATGGCCAATCAACATCTCCCCCCGTTTTCGAACATCCATGTGTGCCGCTGACCAAGCTTCTCTCTTCTGGCTCATTCTACTTCGCCAAGGACTCCGAGTGGGATATCTCATCAAGACTGGCTATCCGTCTGGCACGAGGCAAACAAGCGCCTTGGGACCTCTCAACATTCGATGAAAAATTCATCTGGAATGCGTTCCTCGTCCGCAGTTTGCTCGACTTTAGATCTCGACTAGACATGCTAGAGCGACGAGACTTCGACTCGTGCCAATTTATTGTGAGAAAGCCGCTCGAATATCATTGACGCGCTCAAAAACTATAGGTGTTAGCGATACAAGGCTACGTTGGGGTCACAACGATGGCTTTGCCGGCTCCACCAACGGACGGAAAACCAGCCATCGTCACTCTGTCCCTCATATCCCGATTAGGTTGGAAAAGAGCTGGAACAAGATTCAATTCTCGAGGAGTCGATGATGATGGAAATGTTGCCAACTTTGTAGAGGTTTGTCGTATCCCCTTCAAAACTCCAGAGCCCATGCCACATCATAGACGGAAACCATTTTCACCACCGATCAGCAATGTGTTAGCGCCGTTCAAGTTCGAGGAAGCGTTCCTTGTAAGTTGTGCCAACCATTGAACTCATATCATTCATCTTGTCAAGTGTTTTGGGAACAACAGGGTCTGCAAACATTTGGCCAGAAAATCCAAATTACCCGGCCAACTACCTCTCAGCCAGCATTTGACCGGCATTTTGCGTCGCTTGTGGAAGAATATGGCGTTGTGCATGCGATCAATCTTCTTGGTTCCAAAGAAAATGAGGCTTACCTTACAAATGCTTATGCGCGCCATCTACAAATTGCACGGGAAGCGTTGGGGGACGAGGTCTGTTTGACTCATTACGACTTTCACAACGCTGTTCGGTCTGGCGGTCATGATAGCGTAGTAAGGGATCTCAGGCGAATGGAGGCCATCAGCAGACACATTGATAACTTTGGATTCACCATGTGCGACGCCGCCTCGGATGAAATTGTGACGGAGCAAAAGGGAATATTCCGTACCAATTGCCTCGACTGGTGAGTACTAGTGGCACTCACCTTTCTCATCGCTAACTTAAGCGCCAAACAGCCTCGATCGCACAAACTTTGTGCAAGACATCATGTCGCGTACCACTCTAGAACAATACATTCTCCTTGTCCGCCGGGAATGGACCCACTCGCATACCCTCTGGACCAATCACCGTGAGCTGTGGGGGGATAACGGCGACGCTCTATCCAAGTAATGCAGACCCCAGCGCTTGATTTATCTGGTTCTGATGTTTTATAGGATTTATGCCGGAACTGGAGCATTAAATACTAGCTTTACGAGGACCGGGAAGCGCACTCTTGCCGGTATATATCCCAAATTGTCCCATGACCGGCTACATCTCGATTTGCAGGAGTTCTTTCCGACGCCACCAAGAGTGTCTCGAGGGCATATATCAACAATTTCCAGGATTCAAGAAAGCAGCTCGCTATTGATATGTTTTTAGTATCGTGTCCATTCTCTCATCACTCATCCGGCTAATAGTACTCAGGGTAACATGAGCAGTCAACAATCAGTAACGATATTCGACCCCATCCATGAGTCTGTCCGCATGGCATTAGAAAATAGGTCAATATTGCGTTTTGCCTCGGTGCACCACACTGACCTTTGAAGATTGAATGAATATTCGTCCACAAAACCCTCTACCATCTTTATTGGAACATGGAACGTCAATGGTCGAGTAAGTACCCGTCGTTGCAGTTTGCAGTGATCCAATTCTACAGCCACCTTCGGAATCGCTGTTACCTTGGTTGTTCCCTCGCGATGGTGCGCGTCTTGCTATGTTCTAGTCTGGCAGTCCTTAACCTGCAAATACTCAGCGATAAATGAGTAAAGCAGCTCCATCAAGACCAAACTGCGCCTCACGTTTTAAAGTCCTGACATGTTTGTCCTTGGCTTCCAAGAAATAGTTCCTTTGACAGCACAACAAATCGTGCAAACGGATCCCGAAAAGAAGTCAGTATCTTCCAAGATAAATTCGCTGCAACCTTTTGATTGAATGTAGACGGGTCTGGGAGGCACGTATAATGGACACCCTAGACCGTCGCCCCAATAAAAAGTTTGACTACGTGCTTTTACGAAGCGAACAGGTATTTCTGTTGTCTTGACTTCGGCACGTTGAAGACCGTTTGCTAGCTGGTAGGCACGGCGCTAATGGTGATAGTCAAGACGGATCTGGCATCGGTGATGCGAAACGTAGAGGCCGCCTCCCGAAAGGTACCAATGAGTTTGGGATTCCAAGCCGACGCTCAACTTTATAAGACTGGACTCCGGGGAATGTCAGGCAATAAAGGAGCTGTTGCCGTTCGATTGGAGTACCATGACACCAGTTTTTGCTTTCTGACTGCCCATCTTGCGGCTGGGCATGCCAACGTTGAAGAGCGAAATACGGACTACCGCACGATCACCAATGGGTTGCACTTCCAACGCGGGAAGACTATTGACAGTCACGAGTATGTTTCACTGTCGCATCTCCTGTGGACTGAATGGTGTCTCTCCCCATAGCAATGTCATTTGGCTAGCGGACACCAATTATCGGATAGACTTCGAAAACGAGAGCGTTCGCTCCTGGGCGCTGTCAGATAACTATGATATGCTGCTGGCGGGAGACCAGGTTTGGTCTCCGCTTTGTTTCGGAGAATGATCTAATTGTTGGTTAAGCTCAAGCAAGCAATTGATACGGGAGCAGCTTTCGTGGGGTATGATGAGGGGCCCCTATTGTTTCGACCCACATACCGTTACAATCTGGGAACGGATGAATACGACACCAGCGAGAAAATGCGGATACCTGCATGGACAGATCGCATCCTGTATCGGGGACCCGCGTTAGATCTGGGAGTTTATTCGAGGGCGGAACTGAAGGGCTCGGACCACAAGCCAGGTAGGTCTCTGCCTCTTTTAGTCCAAACCACATCTCTGATCGGCTTCAGTTTTTGGTCTCTTCCGATGTGCGGTGCGAATAGTCGACATCGCTAAGCGCGAAGCGCTATCCCAGTTGCTTTTGAGAAATGTCATTGCGAGTGCGTCGGGAGTTCAACTTGACGAGAAGTTGGCTGCGTTGGCGCTACCTGCAGCTTTTGATTGTGAGTGACTATAGAAAGAGCAGGACTGGCTTCTTACATCGAGCAGTGCCACTTCCCAGCTCGGACGAGGATGCATGGTGGATTGGGCCAGGTATGCGTTTTCATTTTCAATGCGAAACCCACACTAAGAAGAGAAGAACATCCCAACGGTGCAATTCTCCCTTCAGATTTACGCTCAATGCGGCCCGGTGTCACGAATCCATTCGATTATTCTCCAGACGATTCCTCTCTTTCATCGTCGACATCATCGGACGAAGAACTCTACACTGATGCGTTTACACTTAACACTGAAGGCATCACCCTCCAAACACCAATATCGCCAGTAAAAGCAGCTATTCGGAAACCGCCACCACCCCCACCACCTCCACGGCGAAAGCCTGACTGATCATAGACGATGTTTGTAATATTAACCTACAACGGAAGTCGAGTCATATGAGGCCTTGTTTCTTGAGGTCCTCGTATGTTTTGCGGTTATAAACGTTGCCCTCGTCGTCCTCCAATTCTTCCATCGTCTCCTGTTCGTTTATCTCTAGACGACCCTCGTGCTTGAGCTTCTCGGCCACTGCAAAAAAAAAAGTCAGGAGTGGCTGCAGCCGAAATATAAGTGACGCACGAGAAAGAGCGTCTTCAATACGCGTTATCTCGTGGAAATGCTTGGTGTTCGGCAGACCGAGAGCGCGCATACCAAAGGCATGTCGAGATTCCTGTTTCAAGTTAGTTCCGACACAAAGCGACACAAAAAAGGTAACTGACCTGGAAATGCCGTTCAAAGTTTTTGCGGCCCATGTAGACGTGGTCCGAGCAGATTTCGCAACGATATTCGACGCCCAAACCATGCAGTTTGTACAACCAATATGGGATTGGTTTTCCATCCCAACCAAGTGGAAGTTTGAGCGGGTTGTAAATGCGCTCCTCCTCCTCTTCATCTCCTCCCTCTTCCTTTGATGGCGGTGGGGGCGCTGGCTTCTTAGCCTGATCTTCAAGTTCCTGTTCACGCTCACGAGCAGTGAGCGAGAAACGCCGCTCGACATTGGATTTTGTGTCCGCAAGTGTTGCAGCAAGCAGAACAAGGAGAGATGTAGCAAGATGGTTGGTATAAGCGACATTGCGTAGCCGAGTAGCAGCGGTTGATGAATGGGAAGCTGCAGGCTTAGGAACAGACCCATTGCCATTGGGGTTTGCTGTTTGACCACCGGACTCCTCCAATTTAGTCTGTGCCTTGACATGCTTTTTGGAGGTCAAATGCGCATCGTAAACAGTCTTTTTGGAGTAATTCTTTTGGCCTGGAAGATGTTCAAGGTGTCGAAAGACGGCACAAAAAAATAACGCACAAGCAGCACACCATATACCTTCCTCTCCGTTGGTTTTTGGCGCGTTTTCTTCCCAGCCAGTGATTTCTTTAGCCTCCCATAGCTTATCAAATTCCTCCGTCGCTTGCTGCTGCTGCGAGTCAATGTCTGACAAGGGCATGGTGCGTTTAGCGAAGGACAACAGATACGCGTGCAGATTTTTTATGTATCTGGAAGCAATTAACAAAAAGTAGGTGCGTAACGGTGACACGCACGACTCGTAGTCTTTCGAGAAACGAATATCTTTCGACAGCTCGCGATGAACAGACCCTTGTGAGGCAAGACCAAGTAGATCGAGATACTGCAGATACCCAGGACGTTTGTTGATGTTTTTGAGGTTTGTGAATGCGATATGGTTCGCATACAGGTCAACATATTTGCCATATGCCTCTTCCCCCGAGAACAGCAATGAAATAGCTTTCAACTTGTGAGAAAGGGCCAGTAAGTGCAGTTGATTACGCACGGTCTTCTTCCTCATAGTCATCGTCCGCCCCATCCTGCTCGTAGTCCTCGAGAAGAACGGATAGTTCGAAGTCGAACCCTCCTGGGACGGAATCAGGGTACTTGGCGTGGTGCTCTTGCACTTTCACCAACCGCGCGTAAAACTCGGAGAGATCGTTTTGTTGAGCGGGAGATGATATTGCCTCCAGTTCGGCGCGTCGACGGTCTTGGTCTTCGTAGATGCTGTTCAATGTGACTGCTCGCGAAGATATTCGGTCGAGCACTTGAGCAGCTCGATGCTCAGTTTGGACTCGAAGCTCATGGGTTGGAGTGTTTCGAGAAAGAAGAGTATACAGAGCCCGTTCAAAGGCCTCGATTTCCTCGTGTGTCTGCCGTTGGACCTCGAATACGCTGTCCATGAAGGAGAATTGAGGGCTCTGTCACAATTGTGACCCTGCAACAAGTCAACCCAACCAGCCATGAGTGGGATAAACCCTGGAGACGACGTGAGTTTCTCTGGCTACTTGGCGTGCAAAAAAAGCTCATTCTTTTAGAAACTCGTATTCGAATCGTCGGAAGCGGTTTCTGTCGTTTCGACTTTTGATGACTTGGGACTGAAGGAGGACCTCATTCGCGGTATATACGCGTACAGTCAGTCGATTTACCTTCATTTTGCCTTGTTTCCGACGTGTATTCAGACTTCGAAAAGCCCTCCGCCATCCAACAACGTGCCATTCTGCCAATAACACAAGGAAGAGACGTTATTGCTCAAGCTCAGTCTGGTACTGGTAAAACGGCCACATTCTCGATTTCAATCCTTCAGTCTATCGATGTGACGGTTCGAGAAACTCAGGCGCTTGTTCTCTCCCCAACTCGCGAGCTCGCGACCCAGATCCAGTCGGTTGTTTTGGCTTTGGGAGACTACATGAACGTCCAATGTCACGCTTGCATTGGCGGTACCTCGATTGGAGAGGATATCCGGAAACTCGAATATGGCCAACACGTCGTCTCTGGCACCCCTGGTCGTGTTTTCGACATGATTCGGAGAAGGAGTCTTCGCACACGCAATATCAAAATGCTCGTATTAGATGAGGCCGACGAATTATTAAACAAGGGCTTCAAGGACCAGATATACGATGTCTACCGCTATCTCCCGCCAGCAACTCAGGTCGTCCTTCTCAGCGCCACTCTCCCTTACGACGTCCTCGAAATGACCACAAAATTCATGACAGACCCCATCCGCATTCTCGTCAAGCGTGATGAGTTGACGCTGGAAGGTATCAAGCAGTTTTTCGTGGCGGTCGAGAAAGAGGATTGGAAATTCGACACACTTTGCGACCTCTACGACACCCTCACTATCACCCAAGCTGTGATTTTCTGCAACACTCGGCGTAAGGCGAGTTTTTTTTTGCTTGACTTGTGGAGCACTATTTGACCATGTCTAGGTCGACTGGCTGACAGAAAAGATGAGAAGTTCAAATTTTACTGTCTCCTCGATGCACGGCGAGATGGCTCAAAAGGAGCGTGATGCTATTATGGCAGAGTTCCGTGGAGGCACTTCGTGAGCACAACTCGTATCGGTTCTCTGTCTCAAAGTCTAATCCACATTCAGACGTGTTCTGATCACGACTGATGTGTGGGCACGGGGCATCGACGTCCAGCAGGTTTCGCTGGTCATCAACTATGACTTGCCTGCGTATGTTCCCTTGTTTCCGTCTGTTCGTTACCTTATTGTCGAATAGGAATCGCGAAAACTACATCCATCGTATTGGTCGTTCGGGTCGTTTCGGACGCAAGGGTGTAGCGATCAACGTATGCAAATAACTTTCTCCGCAGCGGCTTGCTAACTAACTTATGCCTAGTTTGTGACTGTGGACGATGTTCGTATCTTGCGAGATATCGGTAAGTCAGCGGTAGAACTGCCGATCCAAACGTTAACCCATGCTCTCAGAACAATTCTATAGCACTCAAATCGACGAAATGCCGGTGAATGCTGCAGAGCTTATTTGAGGTCATTATTCGTACTGCCTGTAATTCCTCTATGTATCACGTTTGACCTCGTTGTGTGGTAAGAATTGTCAGCGACCATCACGTGACAACAAATTTTTGGTGCTTGCTTTGGCGGGCCTTCGCCGCCATGAACATCGCGCTCAGTTTACCGTCTACTGTCACTGGTATTAGTTTCAGTTTTCTCACCGGTGAAGATGTTCGGCGCATTTCCGTCAAGCAGATTGTCAATGTGAACCTTCTCGATGACCTTAATCGTCCCACTGTCGGTGGCTTGTATGACCCTGCTCTCGGCCCTGCCGAGAGGCAAGATATGTCTGTCTATGCTCAGACTTGCCACTTATACCTTGCTAACCCAATTCTTTTGTAGCTGCGCGACTTGCCATCTCTCATTCTATACCTGTCCGGGACATTTTGGCCACATCGAACTCCCTGCACCAGTGTTCCATCCTCTTTTCATGGGAAACATGCTCAACCTACTCCGCGACACCTGTTTATTCTGCCACCGATTTAAGCTCAGCCGCACTGTGGTACGCTATCTCGACTGCACACAATACGTTCTCAACTCTTTCTAAATAGCTCGCGAAATATGTTGCCAAATTCCGTCTGTTAGAGCGTGGTCTACTGGATGCGGCCCAAGGGGTAGATGATCTACACATTCGCGTGCGGATAAAAAAGGCGGCGGCGAAGAAACGAGCTCAAGCCGATGAAGATTCATCTTCTGACGAAGAGCCTGATCGAGGTTTGCAAGTCCCTGATGAGAGCGTGGAGGACTTTGTGAAACGCATCAATCTGTACGTCGCGGTGCATTTGGCGCGTTCTCCAACCAGCCGACGCGACCATTATAAGGATGGACTGGTTTACTCGGCGCGCAAAGCCTTAATCAGCGAGTTTCTCAAAACCTCATCTACTCTCACTTGCCAGAATGAAGATTGTGGGTGGTACGTGTCAGAGGTATCTCATGCTTACCTAGTCGTGACTCACTTCCCAGTCCTGCGTATACTTTCCGCAAGGAAGGCTACACGAAAGTCATCGAATACGATCTTTCTCCAAAGCAGAAGGCGAAGGCACGCCGTAAACGACCAGATGTTCTGCTGGAAGAGTCGGCTGCACATCTTTCGAACTTGGTGTCAAAAAAGCCAAAACGCAAGGCTCGAGAGGACTCTGACGTTGAAATGGGGGACCCTGATGATGATGCGGAAGACTCAGAGGATGTGCCCTCTGAGGATGAGGAGGAGCAAGATGAAGACGAAGACGATGAAGAACTGGTCAAGCAAAAAGGCGATGGTCTTCCTCGTGCTGCAAACGGGAAAGTCAAAACTAAGAGGGGGAGAAACGAACGCGTGATGACTGCGGAAGAATGTCGAGCTCATCTCCGACGGCTTTTCCGTAACGAACCTGTTATGTGTTCGCTGCTATACGGTCGACATGGTCCATACTCCCCTCTTTCACCTGAAGGACTTTCTTTCGCCTCCCCCGATATGTTCTTCCTCGACGCTGTCCCTGTTGCACCAACTCGATTTCGTCCGGCAGCCAAGATGGCTGACAAGCTGTTCGAGCACCCACAAAACGAGCTATTAGAGAAAATCCTCAAGACCTCGTACAGGTTGAGAGATCAAAACATTGACCTTCGGACGGCCTCACAAAAAACGGAAGGTTTCGACGAAATGGCACGCAAGAGGATTATGGCTTCGTTATTGCAAACCCTGGTGCAGTTGCAGGTCGATGTCAATAGCTTTATGGACAGCAGCAAGAATCCAACACCCATGAGGATGGGCAAACTTCCTCCAGCTGGCGTCAAGCAGGGTCTCGAAAAGAAGGAAGGCCTTTTCCGCAAGAACATGATGGTTTGTTCAGCGCTCTTCTCTAAACATGGCTGACACCTCTTACAGGGCAAACGGGTCAACTACGCGGCACGTTCCGTCATTTCCCCAGATGTCAACATCGAGTCCAATGAGATTGGAGTACCTCCCGTTTTTGCTCAAAAACTTACCTTCCCTGAGCCTGTAACACCTGCCAACTTCCACGAACTGCGACAACGGGTGATCACGGGACCAAAAGGTTACCCAGGTGCAACATTGGTCGAGTACGAAGATGGTCACCAAGTCTCCCTTGTAATTTTTGCCTTGCCTAGGTTTGTCCACTTACCGTACGCTTAGGACAAAATGACCGTGGAGCAACGGACAGCCATCGCGAACCAGCTCCTCACACCGCAGGAAAACAGTCACGGAACAAAAGGCGGCCTCTTTACTCGCACACCTGCAATCAACAAGAAAGTCTATCGACATCTGCGGGATGGCGACATTCTCATCCTTAACCGGCAACCAACGCTCCACAAACCAAGTATGATGGCCCACAAAGCCCGCGTGTTGAAAGGCGAAAAGACCATTCGAATGCATTATGCAAACTGGTTCGTTCTATCATCGTCAGTCTGAGCTTGAGCTTATAGAATCATGATAGCAACTCGTACAACGGTGAGACATAATTCAAGTTAGCAATGGCATGACTCATTTACGTGGTCCAATAAAGCTGATTTCGATGGCGACGGTAAGCTAACAGCTATAGTTGTTCAACTTAGCTCACTGAATTTGCGCGACTAGAAATGAATATTCATTTTCCACGTAAGACAGCGGCAATGAATTCATATCCAGCCCAACTGAGTATCGCTTAGAAAACCAAGTCTCTCGCGCTGAGGCCACAATGATTGCTAACACGGACAACCAATATTTGGTACCCACATCTGGAAATCCTCTCCGCGGTCTGATCCAGGATCACGTTGTCGCTGGTGTTTGGATGACGAGCCAAGATTCCTTCTTCACAAGGGAGGAATACTTTCAATTACTATATGGCGCTCTTCGTCCAGAAGACGAGCCGGATGACCATTCGCGGATATCAACTCTTCCTCCTACCATCTGGAAACCAGTCCCCTTATGGACAGGCAAACAGATCGTACGTGGCTAATATTAGACGCAAAACACGTGCTTAATGATAGCTAGATTTCGACGATCCTCAAGAACATTACGCCTGATAACTTCGAAGGACTAAACCTTAATGCGAAGACCAAGGTTCCGGGAAAGCTATGGGGAAACGATTCAAAGGAAGACAAAGTCATTTTCATGGACGGGGAACTTCTTTGCGGAGTTCTCGACAAGGCTGCATTCGGGGCTTCTGACTATGGAATTGTGCATTCTGTCTACGAGCTTTATGGAGCGGATACTGCGGGGAAACTTCTTGGGATCCTCAGTCGTCTATTCACAAAGTTCCTCCAGCATCGCGCCTTCACCTGTAGAATGGACGATCTTGCTTTAACAACAGAAGGGAACGGATGGCGAAAAGATCTTCTCCACAAGGGAAGGACATTGGGCACAGAAGGCGCAATCGAAAACTTTCCATCGTTACGCAATGCCTCGAAAGCCGAGCTTCCATCAGCGTTGACTGGCCTCCTTGAGGACGTCTTGCGTGACGATAACAAGATGGCCGGACTGGATATGACGGTCAAGACCAAGCTGGGAAAACTTACTTCGTCCATCAGTGACGCGTGCATGCCCAATGGCCTCTTGCGCAAGTTTCCTCACAACCACATGCAAACAATGACGCTCTCTGGAGCCAAGGGAAGCGCGGTAAATGCGAGACAAATTTCCTGTGCATTGGGTCAACAAGAACTCGAAGGTCGTCGTGTTCCAGTGATGGTCAGCGGAAAGACGCTTCCCTCATTCCGTCCATTCGAGACCAGGGCTATTGCAGGCGGATATGTAGCCAGCCGATTCTTGACCGGTATCAAACCGCAGGAATTCTACTTTCATTGTATGGCTGGTCGTGAAGGACTGATCGACACTGCTGTGAAAACTTCACGGTCTGGATACCTGCAACGATGTTTGATCAAGCATCTGGAGGGTATTCGAGTCCACTACGATCATACCGTTCGTGGCAGTGACTCGTCGATCTACCAATTCGCCTACGGCGGGGATGCATTGGATGTCACCAAACAAAAGCACCTCCGACAATTCCAATTTATCGCTCTCAACGAAGTATCATTTGTCAACATTCTCCAACCACGCATCCTACAAGACGCCGTCGATCACGAGACCGCAGTCAACTACATGAAGCAGGTTCTCAAGCAGTCTGATTCACGGCAAGGAAAAGGGAGCACTGCTGATCGCGATGCTTATGATCCAGCTTTATCCTTGTACAGTCCCAGCCGATTTTTGGGGAGCACGTCGGAGGGATTTGCCACAGCAGTCAACAAGTATATCAAGACCAATCCTGATGGGTTGATCAGAGACAAAGGCAAGGACGAGTTGTATAACAGCTCAAGAACGTTGGCGCGATCAAAACACTTCCGAGCACTGATGAACGTCAAGTATATGCGGAGTTTGGTTGAACCTGGCGAAGCGGTTGGGCTTCTGGCATCCCAAGGGTCAGCTTCTTCAAATATGACATTCAAATTTGCTGAACTTGCTATAGTGTTGGAGAACCATCCACACAGATGACACTCAACACGTTCCATTTCGCAGGCCATGGTGCTGCCAATGTTACACTTGGTATTCCACGACTTCGAGAAATAGTCATGACCGCCTCGCAAAAGCCCAAGACACCCTCAATGACGATGATCGTTCGGCCTGGAGTCCCACCAGCTGATATTGACATTTTCTGCAAACGCGCTAGCCGAGTGACCCTTGCACAAGTTGTGCACAACATTACTGTTCGAGAACGACTCACCGTTGAAGGCGAAGCGCGACGGACGCAGTTTACTGTCGATCTCGCGTTATTCCCCAAGGCCGAGTACATGTCTGAGTATGACATTGACCCGGCCGAGATACTGGCGTGCTTTGGGAGCAAGTTTCCTTTGCGGCTAAGAAAGGAGATGCAGGATGAAATGAAAAAACTCGATGCGGATCTCCGAAGTCAGATCAAGGAGCTGGGTCAAGGCAAAAAGTCGAAGGAGTCGGAAGATGCAGAGGGAGACGAGGAAGGAGATGAGGGGGCAGATGATGCGGCACCGACAGCATCGAAAAAACAAGACGAGGATGATGAGAGTGATGATGGCGAGGATGATGAGAAACGAGCGAGGCAACGGAAACAACTGGCGACGTATGATGATGATTCGGATGAAGAAGGGACAGAAGACGAGATGAAGGACGACGACATCGAGGCTGCATATGCGTCAGATACGGCGGCGACTACCGTGCCAAAGCCGTCATCAAGTCGGCCATCAAAGAAGAGCCTGTCAAGCAAACGCGTATCCCAAGTCCGCGACCTGTTCACCAAAAACATGAAGTTTGCCACAGACTTCTCGTTTGATGAGTCAAAATGCGCCTTCCAGCTCCAGTTCCGACCAGACATGCCGAAGCTACTTTTAGTTGGCATTCTCGAGCGAACATGTCGAGCTACGATCATCAGGCAAATTCCCGGCGTCAGCGAGTGTTTCCAGACCAAGGAGGAGAGCAAAACTGGAGAGACGACCATCAAACTAACGACCAACGGTTCAAATTTACAAGGATTTTGGCAGTTCAGTGCAGAGGCGGAAAACCCCATTGTGGAGACTGATGACATCTATTCTAATGATATCTACGCCATCCTGCAAACCTATGGGGTGGAGATGGCGCGGGCTGCTATATTGAAGGAAATGGGGTCTGTCTTTGGAGCGTACAGTATTCAAGTCGACCATCGTCATCTCGAGCTTATTGCCGACTATATGGTTAGTGTCAGAATTTTCCACGAGGCGACTGCTAACTTGTGCATAGACTTTTGACGGCGGTTATAAGGCCTTCAATCGCACAGGAATATCAAGCAACTCTTCTCCGCTGCTCAAAGCCTCATACGAGATGACAGCCGCGTTTTTGTCTGACGCGACTTTATATGGCGACTATGATGACCTCTCGACACCTTCGGGTAATATTGTGCTGGGTCGACCGAGTCTCTCTGGCACTGGTGTGTTTGATGTAGTCATGGATGTAACAAAAGTACCATAAAGCCTATCTATAATCAGCATGTACTGGCTTGTTTCACACCGGAAAAAGCAAAATATCAGCTTGAACAGAAACTGTAATTGATTTTAGACCAATCTGAAGTAGAATTAGGCCGACTTAAATGCAAAGTTTTAATTGAGCAGAAACCTACTCAGAATTTGGACAAAGATGTACAAAAATCAGCTCCAACAAAACCCCTTCTTTCTTCTAACCCGAAATGGCCATAGAAACTATGCCTATCAGTGCTAGTTTCTGCGCTATTGAAAGTGGCAATTTATAGCTCACTGATTCTTGCACAGAAACGAAACCCTTTGTTTCTGTGCAAGAATCAGTGAGCTGGGAAACAGACAGAAACCCTTTGTTTCTGTACAAGAATCAGTGAGCTATAAATTGCCACTTTCAATAGCACAGAAACTAGCACTCACCTATAGTGCCCGCTTATCCCCTCTAGTTAGAGGGGCAAGGGGGGGGGGGGTTCTCCCTCTAACTAGAGGGGTTTAACACGATTGCCTATGCTTTCTTAAACTTCCTTGTGAGTGTTAGTGGACATCCTGCTCAGCGGAGGCCCAAGTCCTCAGAGGTTAGTGGACTCATCATGAGTGTTGGTGACACTACACTCGCGGCTATCTTCCTCAGCCATCAAACCTCTTTCCAGCTGTGATCCCGACACTACCCGACCCCCCGCCCACTGTCCCGATCTGATGGCGCATCAAAAGATCAAAGTTGTGCGCTTCATTTAGATAAGCCTAGATATATCAATAAAAATTGAATATCTAAAATATTAAGGAAGATATAAGACTTTTGATCTAATGATCTGCGATCATAAAATCAAAATTGTAAAGAAGGTAATTCTAGCCAGTAATGTAAAGAAATCAAGTTGAAATTCATTCTCTCTAATAAAATATAGGCTTATGATGTATGTAATATGTTCACTGAAGTTAGTGGACAACATATGTATATAGATAGGTATATAGGAAGTTTCTGGACATATATCCATACTATAGGTTATTATGACTATTCATATACCATATTGAAGCCCTTTCATAATGATTTCATTGAGCAGTTATCTACTAACTTTTCTAGACACGGGCTACAAGTTGGTAGACAGATGTCATATATAGTAGTAGGTAGGGTAGGTTCATATATGCTACTAAATGATCCGGATATTAGATACTAAATTTAACGAGGTATAATGAGATTATAGATTCTATAATGCCTTTCCCTCTCTAAAATACCATAGAAATAGCTACTGCCACTACTATGAGTATGCTTTCTTGAGTCTATAACTAACTCTATCACGCAGGCACTATATGTAGTAGCAGTTCATGAGATGTAGCATATCATAATATCTTCACTGAAGGTGTCCACTAACTTCCTAGATACAGAAGTTAGTGGACACCCAGTCTATATTAATCAGTAGGTATAGGTTATGTACTCTACTAGATATCTTGGATATCATGTACAAGATGATATATGATGATGTACTATCCCCACTGTATCATAGTGGCCCAACTTGGCTAGTGTGTCCACTAACTTCCAGGGTACAGAAGTTAGTGGACACTCAACTCAGTATATTAATCAGTATGTATAGAGATACCCTAGCAGATACCTTGAATATCATGTACATGATGATATATGATGGTGTACTATCCCCACTGTATCATAGTAGCCCAACTTGGCTACTGTGTCCACTAACTTCCAGGGTACAGAAGTTAGTGGACACTCAGTATATTAATTGGTCTATACTGGGGTATGTACCTGGCCAGATACTTGGTGTATAGGATAGTATATGGTTGTGTACTACGCTACTGTATCATAGTATCCCAACTGGAGGTGTCTACTAACTTCCTAGGTATGGTGTCCACTAACTTCTATACCTAGGAAGTTAGTGGACACCTCAGTATATTAATTGGTGTGTGGAGGGGTGTGTACTTTACCACATACCTTAGTATACAATTGGTGTACAGGATGGTATATGGCTGTATACTACCCCACTGTATTATAGTATCCCAACTGGAGGTGTCCACTAACTTTAGTACCTAGTGTCCACTAACTTCCATACCCTAGAAGTTAGTGGACACCCAGTCTATATCAATTAGTATGTATAGGGTGTGTACTCTACCAAATATCTGGAATATGATGTACGGGATGATATATGGCGGTATACTCTCCCCACTGTATCATATGGCCCAACTCAGCTAGTGTGTCCACTAACTTCTATACCCTGGAAGTTAGTGGACACCGGCTGTATGCTTCAGGCTATATACATCTATTAAATCCTGTGAGTTTCTCCTGAGGATAAATATAGTATTGCTCACAATAACTTTTGAAAGTCAGTAGAACCAATTAGCAGTGCATAAATAATTCTGTAAAGCTCAAGATGTACTCTCAGGTTGGAAGTCCTAAGTGTATCATATATATCTAAGTCAATTGTGATTTTGTTGAGAAACCAGGCGCATGATTTTATTTGGAATTAGATTTGACCCAGTATTGCTCCTGTTATTGACCCATTGATGTGCAACGACATTTTTGTTAGTGGACGCCAAAAACTATTATTGGTGCATAAATAATGGTCTTAGAGCTCATCTAAACTCTCAAAACAGATGTACTAGGTATACTACACACATCTATTTTGATTCTGACTTTGTCAAGAAAATAGATACATGATTTTACCTTGGTTCAGAACTTGAATTGCAAAGGCATATTACGTTCACACTAATTTTCACGTATCTCTCGGAATCGCTTACATATTGATACAGTGGGGATAGTACATCATCATATATCATCTTGTACATGATATCCAAGATATCTAGTAGAGTACATAACCTATACCTACTGATTAATATAGACTGGGTGTCCACTAACTTCTGTATCTAGGAAGTTAGTGGACACCTTCAGTGAAGATATTATGATATGCTACATCTCATGAACTGCTACTACATATAGTGCCTGCGTGATAGAGTTAGTTATAGACTCAAGAAAGCATACTCATAGTAGTGGCAGTAGCTATTTCTATGGTATTTTAGAGAGGGAAAGGCATTATAGAATCTATAATCTCATTATACCTCGTTAAATTTAGTATCTAATATCCGGATCATTTAGTAGCATATATGAACCTACCCTACCTACTACTATATATGACATCTGTCTACCAACTTGTAGCCCGTGTCTAGAAAAGTTAGTAGATAACTGCTCAATGAAATCATTATGAAAGGGCTTCAATATGGTATATGAATAGTCATAATAACCTATAGTATGGATATATGTCCAGAAACTTCCTATATACCTATCTATATATATATATGTTGTCCACTAACTTCAGTGAACATATTACATACATCATAAGCCTATATTTTATTAGAGAGAATGAATTTCAACTTGATTTCTTTACATTACTGGCTAGAATTACCTTCTTTACAATTTTGATTTTATGATCGCAGATCATTAGATCAAAAGTCTTATATCTTCCTTAATATTTTAGATATTCAATTTTTATTGATATATCTAGGCTTATCTAAATGAAGCGCACAACTTTGATCTTTTGATGCGCCATCAGATCGGGACAGTGGGCGGGGGGTCGGGTAGTGTCGGGATCACAGCTGGAAAGAGGTTTGATGGCTGAGGAAGATAGCCGCGAGTGTAGTGTCACCAACACTCATGATGAGTCCACTAACCTCTGAGGACTTGGGCCTCCGCTGAGCAGGATGTCCACTAACACTCACAAGGAAGTTTAAGAAAGCATAGGCAATCGTGTTAAACCCCTCTAGTTAGAGGGAGAACCCCCCCCCCCCTTGCCCCTCTAACTAGAGGGGATAAGCGGGCACTATAGGTGAGTGCTAGTTTCTGTGCTATTGAAAGTGGCAATTTATAGCTCACTGATTCTTGTACAGAAACAAAGGGTTTCTGTCTGTTTCCAGCTCACTGATTCTTGCACAGAAACAAAGGGTTTCGTTTCTGTGCAAGAATCAGTGAGCTATAAATTGCCACTTTCAATAGCGCAGAAACTAGCACTGATAGGCATAGTTTCTATGGCCATTTCGGGTTAGAAGAAAGAAGGGGTTTTGTTGGAGCTGATTTTTGTACATCTTTGTCCAAATTCTGAGTAGGTTTCTGCTCAATTAAAACTTTGCATTTAAGTTGGCCTAATTCTACTTCAGATTGGTCTAAAATCAATTACAGTTTCTGTTCAAGCTGATATTTTGCTTTTTCCGGTGTGAATATTAGACGCTATCAGGGAACCAGCCATAACTTCCCAAATCGACTTTCAACTCCCCACCACGACTTGCGGTCACAACAACACCCTCAGCCTCCAAGGCATCGCCCCTGCCTCCTTGCGCCATCTGTTCCAGGGCCACGGGAAGAAATAGCACCAGAAGAAGATATCACGCGATGCCATGGTACCGGTGGTGTCGTTCCCGGAGTCAGAAATTTGAGTGCTAATGACCCAGTCATTAGCTGGTGGATGGAATGCACATAAACTTTCTGGCCAGAACTTTTACCTAATTTTGTCTAGAGTTGTGAGTCAGGGTCGGGTGGAAGCTTGGTCAGCACAATAGTCACGAACGCGTAACTGGTCACGCGTGACCATCAACCACGTTTTCCTTCCTGCCCCAACGCGTCGTCGCCCCAGTCCCTCACAACTCGACACCATGCCTCGCGCAACGCCCTCTTCGCGCTCAAGACGTCCATTGAGAGAATTGCCACTCGCGGAGTTTCTCTCCTCAGACTCAAATGTGTCGGACGCGACTCCCCATCGCAAACGCGCCCATTCGCCCTCATCCGTCCTCTTCAGCCCTGCCAAACGCCGTATTCTCGAGTCGGAGGGTATTTTTGTGGGGATGGGATCACCCGCCAGACTCAGAGCGCTGCCTGTTCATACGAGCAGCCCCATCAAGAAACCCGACTTTGGCCTCCCCAAGAATTCGCCGGTGAAGAAGTTACCACCCAGTACTCCTCGCTCAGAGACGATCGAACCCCGCGTTACGCGTTCGGCGCGTCGTCGAGCCTCTGCAGCAGCATCACCAGCTTCGTCACCCACTGTTGTCCAACCAGAGTCATCGAGAACAGAATACTCGATTGACCCACATTCTATCCACTACCCCGGCTTTGTCGTTCATCAGGACCCATTCCTTGTCACGTCAGAATCTGTAGCCCAGGCCATCGAGTCAGCACTGGCTTCACTGAAGAAAGACGAGTACAAAGAAAATGTGGCACCGCGTAAAAGAGCTCGTCCAAGCGAGAAATCAGCCACACCTGATCTCAAACTTCGTACTCGTACTTCGCCTCGCACTCCCAAAACCGCTACTCGTGATCGCTCCGCGAGCATAACCCCTACTCGTCGTCATCCTGAAGTTGTGAGCAAGTTTGCGACACCGAAGCTGGATTCGGCTGAACGTCGTGAACTGCGCAGACGGTTGGAAGACGAAGTTGACGAATCTTGAACGCGGTCCTACAGTGCCCTATCTAATGCTACCTATCATCACCACTCTACAATTTGCTTGTGCATATAATCCCTTACCATCTCTTCTCTCATTCACGACCTCGTTATGCCCTTCTTGAACTGGATATCTTTTGTTGTAGGAAGAGTTATCTGTGTACATTTGACTGCGTCATTCTTTCTCAAACGAGAACTACTCGTTGTTTCCTTATGGTGCGTATGCTGGCAAACCCCGTTTCCATGGTTGGCAGAAACTGTCTTGATTCCAAACCGGAAATAATTCTCTCCGTGCTTCTCTTTCCAAACCCACAACTCTCTCCACTTTTCGTCGTCAAAATGACTCACTCGTTCTTCCATGTCGGCGCTAAACTGTCGTCCGCAACATACTGAGCAATAAGAGGATGCATATTCGTCCAATTAGGACGACCGTTGGGACCCGGCATGATGATTCTTTCGAATGGCTTGATCTCGAGCGGAACGGTGTTGTTTGTATTGTGGGAGACGGAACAGAGAATGACTTGGTTGGAGTTATTGTGAACCTTGAATCCTTCGACAGGCATGGTGGGGTTTGAACTCTTTGGAAACTGTCGCCATTTTATGTCGCCTCAGCCACCTAGGGGCGACACAAGCAATGCACGTCTAGATCTATTATTGTACCTGCTTGTTGCTGCAGGATATTCTCAAGTCACGAGATCTGAAGACACGTCAATAGTGCCGCCATGTCGCGAACCCTCTCAATCGTCTTTCTGCTGTGTTTCTTGCAACTGGTGGCAGCGCAATTCCAGTTCTTCGATGGGATGTTTGGACAACGCCAGCAGCAGCAACAATATCATACTGGCGCGTCACAGTGGGCGGCGCATCTCGAAAGCAGTATGTTTTGTCCGATTAGTCTGTTGGTAGGGGGAGGCTCAAACAAAATTCCCAAGTATCGTGTTCACAATATCTTTGCCCTGGAACGTTAGACTGTGTTGGAAGCCCAAGGGAATGCCCGTGTCCTGACCATGAAGATATCAAATGCACAATTCCCGATGCCGAAGGAGAGGCAACAGGTTCGTCTCCTTTTTCTTTTACTGTTCCTAGGGACCTAGTCAACTGAAACCTTGTAGTCGTATGTGTACGCGGGGCGGATGAATGCCGACAAATAGAGCGTCTGACCCGGGCATTGAAGTAGAGTCAAGATTGTCCTATACCCACTAGACAGGCAAGAGAGCCTGAAAAAAGCATTACACTAAACCCTTACCGAGGCATCGCCGCACGAGACCGTGAATGGACCGTGTTAGCCGTGAGAGTCGATTCGCCGCGCTCGCCGTGCTCTGTTCATAAACTGCCGGCAAAAAATGCATTTCCCCCTCAACATCATGATCCACTCTCTTCTCTTTGCTCTGCCTTTCCTGCTTACTGTTTCTGCTGTTTCAACGAAAGATATCAGCACTGCCTTTTCTCAGGCTGGAATTATTCCAAACGTTGTTCCAATCTTCGACGCTACCGCCGTTCTCGACGTGGTTTACTCAGATCCCTCCACGCTTAAACCTCTAACTGTGACTCTGGGGGGTAATCTCACCGTTCAACGTAGGTCATTTCTACAACAACGGAAGCACTGACTGGAATTGTCTAGAAACACAAACCATCCCCAAGTTCTTTGTGAAGCCCGCATCTGGGGACCAGGAATATGTCGTAGCGTTCTTTGACCCCGACGCTCCAACTCCGCAAAATACTTCGCTGGCTCAGTTCCGCCACTACGTAGGCGGAGGTTACAAAGCTGGGAGCGATGGCGCACTTACTAACAACACGCCTGCGTTGACCGAGTACATTGGTCCTGGGCCTCCTCCAGGTTCTGATCCCCATCGGTTCTTTCTTCCCTCTCAACCTCAACACATTGAACTGATTCACACACCCAGTTACCTCATTCTCGTCTTTGCCCAACCGTCCGACTTCAGCGCCAAAGCGCCTTCTATCCTGAATGCGACTACTCCCCGCACAAACTTCAACGTCACCACCTTTAGCGCTCAACTCGGTCTCGGTGCTCCCATCACAGGGACGTTCTGGTTCACTGGACCCGAGAATCCCAAAGATGCTTCCTCACCAAGCGGTACTCCAACATCGTTGAAAGGGAGCTCGACCGCTAAGCCACCGCCAAGCGCCGCTCCTTCTAGCGCCCGCCATCTTCGACTTGACGTGCTGGCAGCGATAACAGGTGCGATGTTGGCCATTGTCGTTGCATTAGTCTAGTCTATTCGTGGCCATTTCTTCCCTAATTTATTCAAATCATAATTGTTTCCGATAAAGCCAGATTTCTGGCACAGACAATGGCTTGTGAATGCAATGCAAGAGACAAGATCGCGGGAAAGTTACAGTACAACCTACACGAATACAGACCAAGAAACGCAAAGACCGCTAATCAATGCCCGAATCGGTTTTTATGGATATCCAGCGCCGACTCGCCCGCATAACACACCCCACAACGATCGTGATCACACTCGTATCGTAGCCTAGGCTTTTGTTCCGCCGTTGGTTCTTGTAAAGTAGAAAAGTGGGTGCCCGGACTTTTTAGACTTGTCAATTTGTGCTCCCGCGCAAGTGAGCCACCACGAATAGGTTTCGTAGGCGTTGGGGTCGTGGGACTTCTTCCCGCATTATTTGGTACACTAGACAGCGCTGACTTGGATTTGGTGGAGGATGAAGCATAGAACTGCGTTGTACATTAGTTTTCTTTCCGTCAGGGAGAACAGTAAGACAAACAGATTTAGACGATGCAGTTCCTGAAGCTTTGAGCCTAAATTTTGGAGTTACCGATTCCGCTGGCTTCGGATGAAGGGGTGTCCTTCCTGTCGACGAATCTTCAGAGAGGTGCGATCCAGATTCCGACTCGACATCTTCAATGGATCCTGCAACCAGGGAGCCTTCGTTTGCTTTCGGCGATGTTTCACCTATCGGACTATCACCTAGAGAAGATGCCGCAACCACCCCTTCACTAGCAACGGAAGGCGACAACACCGAATTTGATCTAATCTCACGTGCATCTGATGGCCGTCGGCCACCTTTCGGCGCCATCCTTGCTTTGAGCGAGGTATGGCTTCCAGTGCCAACGGGCGGGTACGATGGCTTTCGCGGAGCCTTGATTTTCGGTACCATTATCTGATCTGGTAGCTTGAAGACTCCGAATATATCACTCTTGTGCGCCGTTCTATTCTCAGTGGTAGCTGCTATTGGAGCAGAAGGTTGCACTGAAACGGCCTTCGCGCTCGAGATTGTTGGCATAGGGAGTGGATTGGGTACTTTCGGCGGGTCCAATGAAGACAATGCATTTTTCCTTGCCGAGGCAAGAAGGAGGGACCGAGATGGTTTATGGAGCAACTGGTTGAGTGACTTCGAACTTGTTTTCGCGCTGGAGGATACCTTCTCTTTCTCGTTCGATGGCTGCGAAGTTTCCACAGATGTGCTCGTGGACACTATGGATGCATCTTTCGTTGACCTTGATTCAGTTGGAAAAGCAGAGCGGGAACGTTTGTGTGGACTCCATTCGCCGAGCAAGAGTGAGCGGGAAAGAACAGAAGTGCTTGATGCTACTGATGGAGTCGTTTTCTTGGGCGACTCATGCTTCGTTGGGGAGACTGGTCGCGGGGAATGGGCGTTATTGAAAGGGCGAGCTTTGGATTTCTCTGGCGACGCGCTGGGCCGTGAATGAACTGGATGAATATCTTTGTTTGGGACACAAGCAATGAGCTATCATACAGTCAGTCAACACAAATATGATAGCAAAGAGACAACGTACACCTTTAACGCCCTGTTTCAGTTTTTTGTTAGCACACATTTCGCAATACCGCGCATGTTGATCTTTTAATCCCCACCAAAAGCGCGTCTCTTTCGCATTACAGTCTACACAAACGGGACCAGGCGTTATGGGAGTCCGAGTTGCTAAATCATCAGGACGAAGCTGGGCGGCATGCTTTGAGGCCTGGGCAGAGAGCAAGAATTCTTTGCAAGAATTACAGTAAATGCGCCGTGGGTCTAGGCCGACCTCCCACCAGAGTTTACTGGTCTTTGCTGAACAACTGGCACAATTGACAAGTGGTCGCAAGGTGTTATGCTATGTAAGCGTGAGCAGCAATGTGTAAGAGATAAAATATTCACTACCTTGGCGTGAAACAGCCCGCAGTCGTCGCAGAATAGTTCTCCGTTGCTGCCCCGCCAGCGTGTTTTGAGTTCTATCTCACAGTGATCGCATGTGTTGGCGGCGGAGGTGCTGCTTGACGAGGGCGTAGATGCCGTTGACGCGTTAAACACGACTATAGCGACTCCTCCGTCGGACAGGTCTTGAGCTCTTTCTTTTCCTTTGCGTTTTTTGTGGTGTGCTGGCTCAACATCTGGATTGGGATAGATTGGAACGTCGACGAAGACCTCGCACTTTCGTTTTGAGGATGTCGAGCTGGAGCTTGCACTGTTGGATTCAGAGGTAGATATCATGAGCCGTGGTTATTCTGATACCTTAAAACCATTCACAAATTAGTTGGAACAGCAAATGTGAACACACATACGTATACACACTAGGCCCACACGATAAATTCGGTTTTCAATAAGCACGCGACCGGAGTTGACTTGTTTAGCGGGAGAAATCGATGACTAGACAGTGCTAGGAGAACCGCAGCGAGAGACGAGTGGAGGACAATGAAACAAGATCGCTGTGTACCCTAAGCTTGCCTATTGCCTAATGCTCTCCAGGCGTTCGGCCTCAAAAATGGCAAGCAGGACAGGAGTTGCAAGTGGTTTCGCAATCGAGGCAGTGATGAGGCGTGAATCGACTGAGAAACGAGGAGGGAGAGACGCGACCCGCGTCAAGCGTGACCGTGACGATCTGTGGTGTGACGTGACACCCTTGAACACTAACATCCATGGCACTTGCACGACCAGCAGTAAGCAGCCTATTACCTCGCTGTTTGGTGTCCCTGAGCAAAGTAGCTACCTCCTGGCGCGAACCGCATCCTCTTCGTCAAAAATTTGAACTACCAGATAACGGGCGAGGATTTGTACGACCTGTTTGGCAGGTACGGCACCATACGCCAAATCCGCATGGGAAATGAGCAAAAGACGAAGGGAACCGCGTTTGTGGTGTTTGACGACGTTATGGATGTGCGTATGCTTCCACTTGGGTCGGATTATGGCTCAACCTTGTTGACCAGGCCAAAAACGCGCTCGACCATCTAAACGGTTTCCATCTGCAAGAGCGCTACATCGTGGTGCTCTACCACATGCCCGCAAAGCAAGACGCTGCTGCAGCCAAAGCTGACCTCGCACGCAGGGAAGAGGAACTCTCACAGCTAAAGAAGAAGCACAATATCGGGGGAAAACTCGTGATAAATTGTATACCGCTCTATATTGCTGAATCCAATATATCTTTTAATGGCTCCTCCTTAGAACCGCGCTCAACGCCTTGATCCTCCTCGACATGCATCGCAAAGCTTATTAAGATGTGGGGCTGCCTTGTGGTTAGGTTCGATAACTCGGTCCGTCAGAAGACGCACTATATTGCTGGGGCGACTGTCTGCTGTTAAAGGTTTAGTGGTTCTTGGGTCAATAAAAGCACTGCGCGCACTACTGCCAACATGTGCGAATGCAAGACGGGCCGGTGCAATCTTTTGGGTGGGATGGACTAAACTTGCAGCGAACGAGGTCGCACTTGATCTACGGCAAATCTTGTCAATTTTTTCGTCGGCTATTCATCGTTGGAAATTTACCTCTTCGTCTGGCTGTACACGGCAATTTAGTCTTGCAAACATAACGGTGAACCACGCACCAAAGTGATACCATGGCCACATCTCCCGTCGATCCCTTCAGAAAACAACAGGTAGGTAAGTTTGACGATATGACTCACTGGGTATAGTAATTGCGGACTCTACCAATCGTCCATCAGCTTGCTGCTATAACGATGCGTGCTTGGCAATACTCACTGACGCCAATAACACATTATTGGATTTCCGAGGTTGAGTGGATCTGTGGTTCTTGGGGTGGTGAGCTTTATAACCTACTGGCAGATGTCACCTTACACACTTGATAGGTAGATTCGCGGGACGTGTGATTTTTGTAATCGCGGAGCAGCGCAATCCTTTGGCAGGCTGCCAACGGACTGTTCATGTCATGGCTGCAGACCTAAAAAGAGAGTCGACCGCAAGTCTCTCATAATGCTCATTTGCCGTTGTTCGTCACCGATATTGGTCGGATATTAGGGTCTTCTGGCTCGGACATTCATTGGACACCAACAGCAAGCCTGGACGCGTATCTCCTCTTGGTTATCGTCTCCTTCAAAAGTTTTCTATTGCTGCACGCGATGCACGTCTCCCTCGAAGACAGTATCGGGAAGTATGATGTCACCCCGTTTCCGAGCAGGCTTTTGTTTGTGACGTTTTCTTGTCGTTAATTAGCTAACCGATGACTTGCTATCATATCCACCACGTAGATCCAGCATCTGGACTTTGATTCGAAGGGTGAAAGTGAAGTTCTTGAAGTTTATGTTCTTTCCATATCTGGGTCGATTAAATCCCAAAAATGCATCAAATACGCAAAATCAAAAGCTTGACACGGTCACGAGCGTTCAAAGTTGGTGTTGGTGCGTTTCTTGCACTCCCATGCGCAGGTTAATCACAAATCCTGTCGTTCAAAATTGTCGAGATTCCCATTGGCTAGCAAGAGCTTCGGGGCTATAAGTACATCCATGGCGTAACCAAGTACCCGACGCCAGAACTGCGTCAAGCACTCCCGTGTTCGTGGCTTTGGTACCGCGTCATCTCGTCTTCTAGCCGCATGTATCGAGAAGGATGTCTCAGTAATTTTATCCGTGAAAGGCTAACTGGTGCCAGTGACTGCATGGTGCGATGTCGGAACGCTATCGAAGCTGACGGCCAATGTCCTTTGCCTGCCATTCGAGAAAAATATCTCCCTTTTTGTTAAAGAAATCCAAATGGTACATGTTTATCCTTGAACCTTGGCGTTTAACGCTGGACTCAAGTAAGAATAGACTTGCGACTCATTCTCGAGGTTCAAACACTTTGAGAAGACCAGTGTTTGAGGCTTATGTCGGAGATTCAAGTTGATTAGCATCGCACAATGCCACATCAGCGTTGGAACTGACTTAGTACAAACATGCATACCATGAGAGACTGGTTAGCGTCCAAATATCGGCCATCTCCACCATCCTCCCGAAGATTTTACTCGAGTATTGACGTGGGTGCGCCGAGTATTTACCTTTGCTTAAGGGCGAGGGAGAGTCTGGAGTTGAAAAGTGTAGGCCGTCAACTTTTGGTCATTCTGCAAGGATTCTTCGTTGACGACTTGTGTCCTAGACACAGATCAATCCATTGTCTTGTCATCGAAGCGATAACCCGTCGTCGAACCAGCATGCGTTATGTTTGGGAGGGGAGCCATTAAGTCGTAACCTACTTGTGGCCGCCGATTATCTATCAAATTTGTCAACTTGCGGCGTCAAGCTGTGATCTCAGCAACATAGCAACTTGAAGAAGAGAATATGTCGTGCTTCTGAATTTTGACAACGAAAAGCACTCAATCACGAGGTAAGCTTGAAAGCTTATACTGCGCCAATCATTCCATGGGGGCCGAAGACTAGAGTATACTTGGAAATGGCTTAATGAGCATTGAGCACGGTTTTTCGAGGGTGCATAGACGCGAAGATGAAGCTTTGTTGTCTGAGCGGGATACAAATCAGCTCCCGAGGCGTCAACTTGGGTAGTCTATCACAGAGAGATTTATCGTCTTGTTATTTCTTCTCAGTTCCAAGCGTAGTTGCCTGTAATCAAGCTGAAGCACCAGAATCTCAGCATTGATCACCTGTGTAAGTTAATGCTGATAGCTTGAATTCAGTAGCGGTTGCCAAACACCAGTCTTGACTGGAAGCAAGAGCGAAAGAAAGGAAACCTTGTTGCAAAATTTAACCTCGCCGTCATGGTCCAGGTCAAAGTGTGATGATATTGACCCAAACTTCCTCATGCGGACGAGTTCATGCCAAAAGTCAATATTCGGGCAAAATATAAACACGTGTCACGCGCTTTCAGACCTTGTCTGACCACCTCAGCCACTCTTTTTTCTGTACGCCACTAGACAGCATGCGTGAAGTCATCTCAGTCCACGTCGGGTTAGCAAAGCATAAACTGCCTTGAAATACACACTGATACCTGTTTCAGGCAAGCAGGTGTCCAGATCGGCAATGCCTGCTGTGAGTCTCCGATGCAGCGATTTCCTTTAATAAACGCGTATTCTGACTTGGTTCGATAATAGGGGAGCTCTACACTCTTGAGCATGGCCTCAGCGTGCGTCTTTTTCTCTTTACACGCGCTACTCATGCCATCCGTTTCATAGCCTGACGGCCGCATTGCTGCTGATTCACCTTCGGTTTCAGACAGCGGCTTCTCCACCTTTTTCTCGGAGACAGGGTCTGGAAAATATGTCCCGCGGTCGCTGTATGTTGACCTTGAGCCTGGCGTCATCGACGACGTCAAGGCCGGGCCCTATCGTTCGCTCTTTCATCCAGAGACAATGGTTACAGGCAAAGAGGATGCAGCCAACAACTGTGAGGCCGACGTGTCTTTTTCTACAGCAACTCGATTGACCTTGCTCTTAGATGCTCGTGGTCATTACACCGTGGGCAAAGAGCTCATTGACCCTGTCATGGACAAGATTCGCCGTCTTGCGGACAACTGCTCTGGTCTCCAAGGCTTCTTTGTCTTCCACTCGTTCGGTGGCGGAACGGGCTCTGGTTTCGGTGCCCTCCTCCTCGAGAGGCTCTCCACGGACTACGGCAAAAAGTCCAAGCTCGAGTTTTGCGTGTACCCTGCACCTCAACTCTCCAGCTCTGTTGTCGAACCATACAACTCCGTTTTGACGACCCACACAACCCTCGAGCACTCCGACTGCTCTTTTATGGTCAGCTCATCGTCTATCTCAAACATTCCATTCTAAGTGTTTTTTAGGTTGATAACGAAGCCATCTACGATATTTGCAAGAAGAACCTTGGTGTTTCATCACCCAGCTTCTCTAACCTTAATCGCCTTATTGCTCAAGTTGTGTCCTCGGTTACCGCGTCCCTCCGCTTCGATGGTTCCCTTAATGTTGATCTTAACGAATTCCAAACCAACCTTGTTCCGTGTGTAGTTTCTTGCTCCCTTCTTGCCGCTGCTGACACGCTTCAAGATTCCCTCGAATCCACTTCCCTCTCGCTACCTTGGCTCCTATCATCTCTGCTGAGAAAGCCCATCACGAGCAAAACTCTGTTTCCGAGATGACTTTCTCTTGCTTCGAGCCCGGAAACCAGATGGTAAAATGTGACCCTCGCGAGGGGAAGTATAGTAGGTCATTCTGGTTACATATGTTGCTTGTAACTCAGTTCTCCTCAGTGGCGTGTGCTCTTCTTTTCCGTGGTGATGTCGTGCCCAAGGACGTCAGTGCTGCAGTTGCAGTTATCAAAACGAAACGCACGATCCAATTCGTTGACTGGTGCCCTACTGGTTTCAAGCTCGGCATCTGCAACGAACCGCCTTCATACGTTCCCGGAGGTGACCTTGCCAAAGTGACCCGCAGTGTTTGCATGCTGTCAAACACCACTGCTATCTCGAGTGCCTGGAGTCGTCTCGACCACAAATTCGACCTCTTGTACTCTAAACGGGCTTTCGTTCACTGGTATGTTGGTGAGGGTATGGAGGAGGTATGTTCGCATGTCTACCTGCTGTTTCCATTGCTAATCCACTCGTCAAGGGTGAATTCTCTGAGGCACGTGAAGATCTTGCTGCTTTGGAGAAGGACTATGAGGAGGTTGGCATCGACTCGGCTGACATCGAAGAGGGCGCCGAGTACTAGCCGTCCTCTCTGTTTCACTTTTTCTTCTGATATCTTCCGCATATGATACCTTGCACTCGAAACGCTTTCATCACCTCCATCAATACCATCACACTTTTTGATCCTAAGTCTGAATTAATGTTACATCTGTGTGGTACGACTAAGACACGAATTGATAACCTCATCGCACACCAAAGGAGAAAAAAAGTACGATGACTACAGCGAAATCCGCTAAAAGCGATATAAACAAGAATAAAGTAGCTGATAGATAGCCTCAACCAAGCAAGGCATTCTAGAATCGCGCGCCGATGCGAGGCGAGAACGTCGTCGTGGACTGGGTTTCCTCCTCAGACTGCTCTAGTAACGAGTCTGTACCGAAGTATGAATTCAAGACCGACATATGAGCAGGTGTCAGATGTTGTGCATTTGGGGGTGGCTCGGGGAACTCGGAGAGATTTGAGATGCGGGAGAATGTCGAGGTGGTCATGTAACTGCTACGGGTGGGGTCGACAGAGTGAGCCTGCAGGGAACTGCTTGCGGTGGAAATGCGAGGAATCGGGAGATATGCTGCGGGCTCTTTGAAGGATGGAAGAGGCTCCGGCTCTTCGACGAAAGCAAGTTGGCCAGTAAAAGAGGATCGGTTTTCGCCGGGGCTTGCTGCCGGCTTTGACGATTCCACGTTTCGAACTCGGAAGGACTCTGGAACGAGTAAGGTCAGTCACAATAGTCATTTCAAGCAATACAACCAACTTGCCATTTTCATCATCCTGCTCAAGAGACGACCCATCAATAATTGATGATGCCCGCGACGACTGGACATCGACTGGGAGACGGGTTGTAGCATGGAACGCCGACATGGCCTCCGAAGGCAGACGCCGTGGTCCTGACGCTGTCTCCGCAAGGTCAACCGAGCGCGCCATTTCCGATTCGCTGAAAATGAACTGGATATCACTTTCTCGCGGGAATCGTCCAGAAAAGCGGCTGATGCTCGAGTCCGAGTCGATGCTCCCAACTTGATGCCGCATCGCACGCAACTCCTCAAACTCCGCGCTCAGCTGGCGGGCGAGACTGGTGAGACCACTGCCCGTAGTCCGCTGTGTCTTGGTTTCCCAAGTCGCAACGGGGTACCGACCAGAGCTCGGCCGACTGAGGTTATTAAGCATTTCATCAGTGAGAGTAGGCTTGTAAAATAGGTCGCGGAAGTCGTCAAGGTCATCGACACTTCCGATGGGAGGGGGGGATCGCGGCGGAGAGGAGGCAACAGAGTTGGCGGCAGGAGAGGAGTCTGAGGTTTGGCGGATTGGCAAGGGTGGCGTGGGCGGGGTAAGTCTATGGTGTTCGTTGGTGACGGTAGGGTCTATAAGGGAGGATTCAGCTGTATGGCTGGTGTGGATAGTTTTGGGCGTGTGAGGTAAGCTCAGCATATCGTACTGAACGGGTTTGCGTTGAACACGATATGGGTGAGTGTTAATTGCAACGGCTTGACCCTCGTCGTGATCCTCGCTGGTACCAAGACCGCTGTCTCGACTTTGCTCTTCTTCCATTGCGTAAGCCAACGTCTCTCCAAGTCCAACTGTATCAAGAATTGTGGCAGTGGACTTGCGGTTCCGGACAGGCACGTAGACACCATCATCATCTTCATCGTTCTCCAGTTGATCTTGTTGTTCATCCTCTTGGGGTTCCATACCGCTACGAGGCAGAAACGGAGAATATTGGATTTCATCTGGAAGAACTTCCCGCACTATTCCAGGCGAGAGCTGAGCCCACATTTTGGAGGGCGGAGGAATATTGCTATCGGTCCTCGGCTGAGTCATCATGGCGGGGTACGAATCGCGCTTGGAGGCATATGGATGTTGGACCGTCGAAGTGTGCGGTGACTTGGCCTGGGGCGGAAGACGGTGACGGGCAGATACGTCTTGCGTGTCGGCGACGATAACAGGAATAGCAGGATGGGGTCCAGCATAGTCAGCACCCAGGGATAGTGACGGGTTCTTCTTGTGATATGAATACGATGTTGAAGTACCATTCTGGGCGTAAGGATGACTTGGCAGACGGAGCGAGTCTCGTTCAAACGAGCTGTTGTCATTTGCTGGTGGTGTCGATATTGCGATGCCAATGTGGCCTTCGCTTGTACCAGATGGCGTTGGCGAAACGCCACCAATCCGCAAAGTATCCCCAGGAATGAGTGCAGGATCAGCTAGCCTGATGACCTTTGTCCCCCCGCCACGCAATACCGACTCCAGACCATTCGGCCTCTCCTCAGCAGGAGAAAGGGCACCATCCGGAGAACAAATCGTGGCTGCTTTCTTGAGTGCTGAACGGCCCCAACTTTCTTGCCTTGAATGTCCTTGTGAAGACTTGCTGATGGTCTTTACTAACGAATTCGAGTGTGAGTGAGAATGCGATTGCGATGTTCGGGTGTTGAAGGTTGAAGTCCCCTGAGTGTTGCTACCCCCCTGGCTTGCTGATCTGGTATGCCGCGAAGGAAGCAGCGGTATAATATCTTGATTACCCAGTAGCGAACGTGCGGCGAGGAAGTCAAGATTACTTTGCGAAGCTTTCCTAGGTCGCTGGGTCAATGATTTTGCCCGAGAACGCGATAGGCTGCGCGTGCGCGTGTTTTGGAAAGAACCGGTCGCCTGCATCTGCCATTTTTTGCGCTGATGCTCCAGAATCTGGCCTTCTTCCAAAACACTGAGAAGATCCGTCAAAATGATGAAAAACACGGAATGTATGATAACGTACCGAGCTAAAGATGGAACCGGGCTCGGCAGTGCAAGGTCATCCCACGCGAAGCTCTTTGGTCGGGGAGGTCGTTCTTGAGGAGTTACGATCGGAGGGGGAGCAACTGTGACGAGCGGCGCTTCACGATATCTTATCGAAGGTTGTTTATTCTGAGACACGTCCGAATTGTTGAGGCTTGCCATACTTCGCGAATAGGCAAGAACACGCGAGGGCATGCCAGTTGGTCGTGACGGATCAGCGTTGAAATCTGCCAAAACCGGTGATCCAGGTGGACTGACGATTCGCCCGCTTCCTCCATGCAGTATTTGTTGTGCATCTTCCACCTTTAACCGTGGTCGCGGTAGCAAGACCGCGTCGCACCATGTCTCTGCGCTGAGCCACCGATCCTTGCCCTTGATCACGCTTGGCATTTTTCGAAGACGACTGGGAGAACCATCACGAAGATTTGGCGTGGAAGCGGAATTTTTGAGAGCGCGTATGCGTGAACTGGATTGCTCTGCAGGCGGTGATTGCGGAAACGCAAAACGGGGAGCGGTAAATTTGAGTTTGGGAGAGGTTAGTATTGGGGCGGTTGGAGGCGGGTCGGAAATCTCGCGTTTGGGCATTCCATAGGAATACGGATGAGGTGGAGGTATCGCGGTTTGCGGTTGAGGGAATGTGCCAAATTGGTCAGCAGCAGGTGTAAAGTTGTAGTATGAATGGTAGGTGTCGCCTTCCTGTGAAATGCTCGACCGGTGATGGTCAGACGAGACGCTGTAGATAGACGGAGGCTGAGATTTTGTCCGTTCCGGTTGTATCGCAAACACATGTGCGTATTTCGAGGGGGAAAGGTGAGAGGCTGCTGGAGGGCTAGTCGGTAACGGGACCTTAGCAGGCGAAAGCGGTAATGGTCTTCTGCTTGGATGGCCGAACGTAAATATACTGGCAAGGCTGGTCCGCTTCGGGGGAGTGGTTGTGTCGCGGGATAAATGAGCAGGCGGGGCTGGTGATTCTCCAACACCACCAGAGGCATCGAGGTTGATGTAGGATGGGACGGGAGGTCGAGGAGAGCTCTGTGAAGATTTTCGCAGCATACCCACACTACTGCGGTGAGGGTCGACAGCCCCAGACGAAACAGTACGGCCAGAAATACCAGAGTGTGTTCTGGCGCGGGGTCGGTTGCTTTTTCTGTCATCGTCTTCTCCATCCAACCATGGCTCTTGATGTAGATAGCGTTGGTGAAGCTCATGAATCATATTATTGCCCTCGTCATCGTATGCTTGGTCCCCCCAACTATCTCTGCCGCGGTCTAATGGTTTACGAGGAGGCTCCTCGTAAGGCCCATTGTAAGGAATGTAGTCGTCGTCGGCCGTATTGCGTCGGGTCACACGCGAGCGAGACTTTTGTCCTTTGCCGATGAGAGACAAGCGGGAGAAGGGACTGGAAGAGGTTTGTGTCCGGGTGGACATGGCAAGTTATGAAGTCAGGACACAGTGTGGTCGTCGAGAGGAGTATGAGAAATGAGGGAATCGTGGTCGGAATAGGCAATGAGAGCTTTTCTGCTCAAGTCGCGCAGTTATGGAGTGCTGGTGAAAACCAGGTGTGGAGATGAGGTAAGGGAAGGGAAGTCTGGGCCTGATAAAATTTTGGGTTAGCTTGCTGGGACAAATTCAAAAAATACGGGTAAACGGACGGACGGTCGCAGCTCGTCGGTGAGGGTGGGGCAAGTACTCCGGAGTGGGGGGGGGAGAGCCCTACACCCTTGGCTGGATGGAAGCCAATCCAACGTGACAGTTTGATGGCGACATTCTATCGCTGAGAGAGTGGTTACCGTGTTTTTCGGGCAAAAACATGGCGGGAAAAGTCCATGGATTCCTCGTCATACATTCGCAAGAAATATCGGGGCGAAGGCGCGTTGAGGCGTAGGCCAAGTCACTTTAGTCTCGCTTCCGAGCCCAAACCGTGACCGTTGGATGATCACGAATCAACAAAAATGTTACGACTGTTGGGCTTTTCTCTCTTCCCGTCCATCACCTACCACAATGCGCGAAGTCATCTCCATTCATGTCGGGTGAGTAGCTCGTCTGTCTACTCCATATAGTGCACTTATTCTTTGTCAAGACAAGCTGGTGTCCAAATTGGCAATGCTTGCTGTGAGTCGTTCGACCATCATCGTGTGCAAGTCTGACCAGTTTTAGGGGAGCTCTACACTCTCGAGCACGGGCTGAGCCCTGATGGTCGCATCCAAGAGGGTTCCCCATCTCACTCTGACAACGGGTTTTCAACTTTCTTCTCTGAAACGGGCTCTGGGAAGCACGTCCCCCGCTCGCTCTACGTAGATCTTGAGCCTGGTGTCATTGACGATGTCAAGTCGGGCCCATACCGCTCACTTTTCCACCCAGAGACGATGATCACTGGCAAGGAGGACGCCGCTAACAACTGTGTGTTGACTCACGTATTTGTGTCGTCAAGATCTTTAAAATGCTTATTCAGACGCTCGTGGCCACTACACCGTTGGAAAAGAGCTCATCGACCCTGTGATGGACAAGGTTCGCCGCCTTGCTGACAATTGCTCTGGTCTGCAGGGCTTCTTTGTCTTCCATTCGTTCGGTGGTGGAACTGGCTCTGGTTTCGGTGCCCTCCTCCTCGAGAGGCTCTCCACGGACTACGGAAAAAAGTCCAAGCTTGAGTTCTGTGTGTACCCCGCACCTCAACTCTCCAGCTCTGTTGTCGAACCTTACAACTCCGTTTTGACGACCCACACAACTCTTGAGCACTCTGACTGCTCGTTCATGGTATGTGTCATCGATTTGAGTACATTTTTTTTCAGTCTTCTCACCGCTGTTTAAGGTTGACAATGAGGCTATCTATGACATCTGCAAGAAAAACCTCGGTGTTTCCTCCCCCAGCTTCTCCAACCTCAACCGCCTCATCGCCCAAGTTGTATCCTCCATCACCGCGTCTCTTCGCTTTGACGGATCCCTAAACGTCGATTTGAACGAGTTCCAGACTAACTTGGTGCCGTGAGTGCTTTTCGTTTTCCCATCAAATGATGACTGATCATTCTGCAAGATTCCCGCGTATCCATTTCCCGCTGGCTACCTATGCGCCCCTCTTGTCTGCTGAGAAGGCTGGCCATGAGCAAAACTCGGTCGCCGAGATGACCTTTGCCTGCTTCGAACATGGCAACCAGATGGTTAAATGTGATCCTAAGGAGGGCAAATACAGTTCGTTAATTCTGCGTATTCTAATCTAACTTGAACTGACTTTCATGCAGTGGCGTGCTGCCTGCTCTACCGCGGTGATGTTGTCCCCAAAGACACTCAAGCTGCGGTTGCCAGCATCAAGACCAAGCGCACGATCCAGTTCGTCGACTGGTGCCCAACTGGCTTCAAGATGGGTGTCTGCAACGAGCCCCCCGCCTGCGTCCCTGGAGGTGATCTTGCCAAGACCACTCGCAGTCTTTGCATGCTTGCCAAGTTAGTTTATGCCTATCTTTACTTGAACATTTCTCACAAAACTACTCAAGCACCACCGCCATCTCCGCTGCTTGGGGTCGTCTTGGTAAGTGCTTGACCTTGGTTACTATATGCGACTCACCCTTTTATTTCTAGACTACAAGTTTGATCTCATGTACTCCAAGCGTGCCTTCGTGCACTGGTATGTTGGTGAGGGTATGGAAGAGGTATGCCGTTTTGTCCATCGTGTCTCCCAACGGTCTAACGATTGGTTAGGGTGAGTTCTCTGAGGCTCGTGAAGATCTTGCTGCGCTGGAGAAGGACTACGAGGAGGTTGGCACGGATAGCGCTGACGCCGAAGAGGAGGGCGAGTATTAGATGGAGACGCCATACAGTTCTACGGATTCTGCCGGAAACAAAAATACCCCCTCAACCACTCGGTTTTTCTTGCTCATCGTTATCATAGCCCCTCCTTTGTGATTTTTTTACACCTGCTGCTTATGACCAACTTACGCTTTACTCGCTAAACGGTTACAATTGCTAATAAAACGATTCAACTGCGGGCGATATGAATGGATGGGGAGGGGAGTTCAACCACAACACAAGGGGCTGCTTTGAAGGGTAAACAAAGTACATTCCGAAGTAGGTTTCTATTGAATACAAAATATTATCCAGAGAGATCGTTTCTCGAGCAACCTTCGCCAAATAAACCAAAGTACAGTTCTAAGTAGACGTTTCTGTTGAATAGATAGGTTAACGACCCGTGTGTCTTCGTTGAGGGGTAGCTCGTCGTTGGGGTGTGGGAACAGAGCTTGGACGGCGGGTGCCGGGGCCAGAGGGGTCACGGCGGGGAGTTGACTGTTGAGATGGTCTGCGTGGTGCCATAGCGTGTTGGCCAGATGAGGAACGTATTGGGGTGCCTCTTCCAACCGGTCGCGGTTTAGGATTGAGAGTGCCAAAAAGTGCTGACGAGCCAGTGTCGCGGCGGGCGGGAGGCGCTGGTCGGCGCTGCGATCGCTGCGACTTGACCTTCTTGTGGTAGCGTGCATCCTGCATTTCCTTCATGCCCCTACCAGAAAACAAGGTCGACGGAGTTAGAAGCAGAAGAGGGTTAGGGCGTACTTGGACCGCAGCTCTTCGTTGCCGAGTAAAGTACCGCGCATCTTGGCGAGCCAGCCGTGCATCGTGCTGTCACAAATTACTAGTCCGTCCAGTGTTGTTCAGCAGGCAGTATAACCTTGGTGGGGGCTTGCGTCGGCTCCCATCGCTCCGGAACTTTGAGAACAAAGCCTTAGCCGCGGAAGCAAATCGAACAACTGTGGGCTTACGTGCGACGCCCACTCGATCTTCATAATAAAGCGTTAAAAGGGTCTCCAAGAATAGAGGGTGGAAGAAGTAAAGTGAAGGTAGAAAGTAAGAGCAAGAATGCGCTAGCCGCACGATTTGGGTGTGGACTGTGTGTGCGTGGGGTTGACAGCACCTGCGTGATGTCAGACACGCGTCACGTCACGCGGCGCCTTTCCCTCTCCGCACCAAACGGGAAGAGGCATCAGTTGCGCTTAACGCGTCCTTATTCTCAAAGGGACAACAGCTCCCTACTACTGTCCCCTTTCCGTACTACTGGGAGCGTCCGTCCAGGGCAGTGAACCCGACGTATCTAATTGTAAACTTCTTGGGGCCGCCAACCGCGAACTTCTAACGCGGCCGCTACACCTAATATTTACCCAAAACGACTACTCGCTCCGCTTCCACGAGACAAGAAAGCTTAATTCTACATGCGACTCGCTGTGTGCGCCACGTTACCGGTCCGGGGACTGCACCATGTCAACGGTCTTGGAAGTATTGGTTGGCTAACGCTAAAATTTATCAAGACATTGTCTCTATTGTACATCTCTGGAGACCATTCATGCTCTCGGTCAAACACGGAGCCTCAGGAACGCCTCGACACCAATTTTTTTCTTGCTAGGTGTCAATGATCGCCTGCGCACCGCTTTAGAGCTCGCCATCAATCCCGAACGGATTTTGGGAGCGTAATTTGCGCGTCTGCCCTTGTTCTCGATGCGCCCACGTGGCGCTCCATCAGCGTTTACGGTCGCGCTACACTGGGGCCTGGCATCGCCATAGCCCTTCGTTTCGTTCGCTCTGCAGTATGGCTGCCCTCGGAGGCGCACCTCCCCGACCAGCCAGCGGCATTCTCGCTTTCCTAGCCGAGACTACAAAGGCTGGCTCTGACGCAAGGTTTCTCTCCAGAATTCCAAGCAGCACCCACAAATGGTCTGGCGCAACGTCGATCCCATAATCGAGAACAAGCTCTACTTGGGAAAGTGCGTCCATCCCCGCTCGCTGTCACCAGCCTCGTCATTGATGCGTCTACTTACAGCCTTGTTGCCGCCCGCTCGACCCGATCACTGACTGGTATGTGGGTCCCGCTTGATTTAGCTTGGGGGGCTGATGATGGGGTTTGTTTAGAACGGCGCATCACGCATGTTCTTTCGGTCTGCAAGGAGCCCATCCCCGCCGAGCTTCCCCAGTCTGGGATTCAGCATATGCGCATTGGCATTGAGGACGTCGATTACGCCGACCTCCTCATCCACCTTCCCTCTGCCTGCCAGTTTATCCACACCGCTATGCAGTCTGGCGGCGCAATTTTGGTGCATGACGTCCAAGGTGTTTCGCGGAGCGCGGCTGTCGTCGCGGCCTATCGTGAGCTTCTTTCTCGTGTTTTGTCTGGCGAAGTTTGGCTTATTCGGCTCAAGTCATGTGGTCGCAGCGGCTCAGCGCGACAAAGGCGCTCGAGACTATACGTAGATGTAAGCCCTTTCTTACCTCTGTTTTGTTGATCTAATCGCATTTCCAGCACGCGACCAGATCTGGCCCAACGCTGGTTTCCAGGTAAATCATCTTCTCTCAAAGTTTTTCTCCAAGGTATTGACGTTCTGGCTAGGAACAGTTAGTTCTCTTCGAGCTGTGTCAATATGCACCCTCGCCCATGAACGGCATTTACCGCAGTTGGCGGACAAAACTCGAGCAGCAACTTCGAGCTGCCGGAATGTTATAATACTATTTTTTTTCTCTCTTTTCGCCACTCTGCCACGTCATCTTGTTGTTGTAATACCTATCTATATAAAATTGTAGCCTAGCGAGTCCAATCCACTAGATCTGACCCTGAGCGAGTCATTGTCGGGGGCGGCGCAGCAGACCACGTATATGCCCGACGTGGTCTGGGACAGCCCGTATATAAGGCCACGCCAGGCGCCGTCAAAAAAACAGACAAGTGCCTGCTCACGTGCATTTACCCACGCGGACTCACAGCTTCCTCACACTTTCACCACCAACACCAACCTCTCCTCAGTTCGCCATGGGTCTCTCAGTCTCCCGCCTCCTCTCTGGCCTCTTTGGCAAGAAGGAGATGCGTACGTAGCCCCCGCCTTGTCTGGTAGCCCGCATGCTGACTCGCTGGTTGCCTTTGCAGGAATTCTTATGGTATGATTTCACCTGCCTCCCCCGTTTGACCCGATGCCGACTTGACTCCCTCGCCAAGGTCGGCCTCGACGCCGCGGGAAAGACGACCATCCTCTACAAGCTGAAGCTCGGCGAGATCGTCACCACCATCCCGACCATTGGTAACGTGTCGTGTCGTCTGCCCCGCCCCAGGCACTGACGCCTTCTTCCCCAGGGTTCAACGTCGAGACTGTCGAGTACAAGAACATTTCATTCACCGTCTGGGACGTTGGAGGGCAGGACAAGATTCGCCCGCTCTGGCGGCACTGTGCGCTCCTGAAACTTTTTTTTTCGCTCTCCCTCCTGACCACCGAAACAGACTTCCAGAATACCCAGGGCATCATCTTCGTCGTCGACTCGAACGACCGGGAGCGTGTCTCTGAGGCCCGGGAGGAGCTCCAGCGGATGCTCAATGAGGACGAGCTCCGTGACGCCCTTTTGCTCGTCTTCGCCAACAAGCAGGACTTGCCCAATGCGATGCAGGCGTCTGAAATCACCGACAAACTTGGTCTCCATGGCCTTAGACAGCGGACTTGGTACATCCAGGTGAGTCATTCGTTGCCTCAATTTCGTCTAATACTTAAAAACCACTTTCCAGGCGGCCTGCGCAACTTCTGGTGACGGTCTTTACGAGGGTCTCGAGTGGTTGAGCGCCAACATCAAGCGTCGGGTATAATTTCAACGGCGGGTCACCCCCAAATACTTTACAGCGTTTGTTTTACGATCCTCACGATAAACGCACTCGCCTAGTCTCCCCCATCCGTCATGTCTCCCCTACATTCGAGCCGTTTTTTCCCCCTTTGCTCTTAACATGGTCCTTTTTCTTATGTATAAAATTGGCCCTTGGAGGTCCGTATAAAAGCTGCTTGTCTGTCGTGGACAGTCTAGACATCATCATCATCATCATGCCTGACTCGGTCCCGGTATCAACGCCCTTCTCCGGGAAACAGCCGACCAACAGCGTCAGCCTCCTTTCGCCTTCTGTCGCCGAGTTCTCTGGAAGGAGCGTCTCGCTGGGATGCGCCATATTTGGCAAGTTTGTCCAAGAGCGACTGCAGCTTCTTGTGTTTAACCGCGGCGAACGAGGTCTGGCGCATGGCGGGCACGAGGAAGTCTGGCACGGTGTTGTTGAGCGGGATTGCCGTCATCTAACGACAGAGTTAACGGGTCAAAAATTAAAAATATTGGGACTTTTTATTTACCGTTCGAAGCTCGACAAATACGCCCGACAAATGGCCCCTGCCGATGCGGCGCAGCTCTTCCTCTAGGAAGTCGACGTCGATGAGGATGTTGGTGATGGCGTTCTCGTTCATCATGGGGATGTTCCGGCCGGTGAGGAAGTCCTTGACGAGGGCATTGGGTTACTTATAGTCATTTAGCTAGAGACAAAAACTTACCATGAGGCAGTCAGCAATGTAGGACACCGCGCCTTTATATGCCTCGTCTTTATACGCCTCCTTGATGACGAGCGCATCGACAACGGTCGTAAGCCAATTCACCAGCTCGTAGAGGTACATGCTCGGCCCGTCCTCGCAGCCCCGCGGCGTCCAGTCATACTCCGACAGCCCAAAGAAGTCGTCTAGTTTGGACGATATTAACCCTGTTATCCGCTGGAGCGCACGGGACAGTGTTGCCTCGAAGGAGGAAGAGGCTGTCAAAATGACCGACCCGCCACGCTGGGAGGACCGGAGGTTGGTTAGCGAGCGTTGCAACTCGCCACAGGTGACCTGGAGGTGCTCGAGGTTGGTCACGATCTGCGCGATCTGGGTCAGCGTTGAAAGACTGGTGAGGCGCTGGCTGATCGTCTTGCTGATGTGGTTGATGAGGAGGCTGTCGAGGGACTGCGAAATGTTGAAGAGATGTCATCATTTTCAGAAGAATCTACCTTGCTCAAGAGTTCATCGATGTTGCGGTGGTGTTGGGATACGCCTTCGACAAAAGCGTAGAATTTCTGGATGAATGATCGAATCTGGTGGAAATATTCACCAGACAGAATACGGAGAACGAGGAACACACACATCTTGACAACACAAGTAGAAGGTTTGTGACCAGGGAAGGTTGTAGGGCGTAGGATTCCTAAATCACGCAAATGAGGCAGCATTTTGAGATAGTGAGAACCAGTACTCTTCGATGGCCTTTCGTTCGGAAGCATCTATCCAAACAACGTCGAGGACCATCTTCATCTGGTTGGGCGTTTCAACTTGCATTTGAAGGTGGTCGTCTTGTTTGACGATCTGAGAGGAAATGTAAGGTTTTGAAGGCAGGAAATAGAAAACAAACATCATCGAAGCGCTTGTTAAACTGCGTCTCCAGCAGACGAGCGTATTTCTCGAACAACACGATAATGAATGAATGTAGAGGAAGGGTCGAGTAGTTTGACGACTATAGCAAGTCAGTAACACAGAATTATCACGGAATAAAGTTACCTCAAGGGTGACGATGAAGCTCAGCAGGCTTTCCTTGACCGCTAGGAAGGAATCTGGATCCGTCTCTGTTCTGAGCGCGTAATCTATGCCAGTCGTTAACCGAGCGAGAACGCTGTCCCAAAGTTCCTCCACGTCTCGTTCTGACCGGAAGTTGCCCGTTGTTTGCAGGACATGGGTTTCAATAATGAAGAACCCTGATATTTCTTGGATGAGAGATGGTAGGGAGGCAAGCGGGAGTGGGGATGGGAGAATGAGGTCGGATTGGGCCTGGGCAATTAAGTCGATTTCGAACCTTGATTATTTAGTATCTTACCTTACGGTCAGCTTGATACGACTTTTGCAAGTCCTCCAACGAGTCCAGCGTCGTATAGATGTGTATGCACTCAAACAGCGGTTTGAAATCCACGCTTATTTGCTCGTTATTAAGAACATCGACTAGTTTGTGATTCAGTATGAGCATAACGCAGACTAGGACCTCACAGTCGTTCTTCTCAAACGTAACCATTTCCACAGCACTCCCGACCCGACTCATCCGTAGCAGCGGATCTTTGTCGCGTCTTGAGCGCCATTTCCGTGTTCGACTCTCCATCTGGTCGAGCGCGACACCGCCAACATCTCCGCTTATATTCCGTATTTCGAGGAGCCATTGCTTCATGGAAGAATTAACGGCGTCCTTGATCTGGACCCGCAGAGAAGGCAGTGCAGCAAGTAGATATTGGAAGAACGGTGTTTGGGAGAGTGAGGTCGGAGGCATGCTTTCGATGTCTTCAAGGGACTGAATAATAAGTAAGAGCCAAATAATACTAAGAGGCCAACAACGCACCCGCAACGCGCTCCAGTACTTTCCCTCCCGCACCATCTCCTGAACACGGTTCACGACATCCAACACCCGTAAACAAGCCTGGAGGGTGTCGATAGCTTCGTCCAGATTAGACGCGGTCTTCTTCGACTGCAGCAAGCCGCGTTTCTTCTCCACGAGCCCCTTCCCAAGCTGGGCAACACTGTTGTCGAGCGTCCGGATGTTCTCCTTCATCTTGTCGGTGTAAGACTTGACGGAGAACAGGGTCGAGACGGAGGAGATAAAGTCCTGGTAGTTTTCGCCGCATATCTTCTCAATGTCTGCATCTTTGGATTCAATGAGCCCTTGGACAGTGCGCAAGAACGCCTCTTGCTGGCGGTTGGCGTGTATTGTCTTGATTATTGGCCCTAATTGTTCAAGGTTTTCTGACGAGGAAGACGGGTCGAGGAGATGGATTTGCTGTAGCTGCTGGTCAATGGACTCCTGCGTAAACTGGGCTCTTCGCCGCGGGGGCATGTTGGCGGTTACAATCAGAAATACAGGTCAGGTGACGAGATTAGATACTATTAGGGTACCATGGCTGCTGCCTTCTCCTCTTTCGCCTTCTCCAGCTCCATACTCTTCGCCGCATACTGGTTCGGATGCGTGACGCTCTCCCCGCTACCAACGCCGTCTCCTCGCTTCACGCCAGACGACGCGTGTGTGATTTCGTAGACCCTCGTGCACGCGACATGGAAATGGTTGTTCTTCACTTGGTTCATCACATCGTGGAGGTCAGCGGAGCTCAGCCCATACGCCGAGACCAACGCAGACCGTAAATTATCCACCGAAAAGTGGCGGTATGGGCAGCCAGGGTCCCCGCCAGAGGTGAGAATTTGCTGACAGCTGTAGAGTTTTTAGACTCGACATATTGTCACTGAAACAACCTTACGTCTTTGCTGGATAGTTCGCCCGCTTGCCCTCCAACCCATACGAGTGCCGGATGTTGTATTTGTACATTTTGTTGAACGTGTCGTCTGTTATGCGGTCGAACGACTTTCTCCAAAAGACGATGGCCTCTTCAATAGACAGTCCGAGCACCTTCAAGAACAAGCCGTATTGCAATCGGCCAAAGTGGTTCAGGCGGTGGTCTGCGCGGAGTTTCTGATGTGAGTTCCGCATGCACATCGGGAAGTGCTTCGCGGCTAGCTCGTCGACCATCTCCGCTTTGATGCCCTGGACATTGGCGTCCATCGGAGAGCTATTCCATTCAGAGGATACGCCGGCAAGGAAACCTTGCGAAAGATTGTCCAATACACCCTTCAAACGCGTGTCTTCATCTAGCCGGGGCATATATCTTGCAGTAACCTGGTAGATTGGAGTTGGCGGTGGATGCGCGGGTGGTGAATAGCTCATACCATCAAATCCTTTTCCAAATGTGTCTCAAACTCCTGGTAAATGATGCTAGATTGTTCCTTGCCAGGGACATACGCCCAGCCGCCTTTGAGAAATACCCTGCGCCGGTCGACGAGGTCGGGGACACGCGTCCATCGGACCTAAGACGTTGAAATGGAGTTTACAGTTGTCTTTCAACCACATACTTTGAAATACTTCTCCCTCGCAAAATCGTCGTTTTTCGTGTTATAGTAGGTGAGTAGACTCTGTTGATGCTCCGCCTTTTCCTGGTCTCCGACCTTGGGATAGTGTGAACGGCGGTAGAACCATAAGATACCACAACATACCGCAACCCAGTTGAAATTTCGCGAGCCCAGGAACTTCTGCCTCTCCACGCTGTCGTCTGTCTCGTAACGAATCTTGAAAAGAGTAGTCTCCGCCTTAACAAATCGTCGTCTTAGTTCCTCGCTATTCAAACTCCGAGTCAGTAAGTGCTTCACGAGAGAATAGTCACCACTTACGAGCGACAGAAAGCCAGTCTTAAGACAAAGTGGCCAAGCTGGTCTGTTCTCCGCTGTTCATCGAGGTCGACGTTGAGTGCGCCGGCCGATTTGAGGGGGAGGTACTTTTCGCATTGCGCGATTATGACTGTTTTCGTCTCGTCCCACTTGCGGTCGCGCGCGGCGGAGGACTCGATCTCTGCCAGGACCCGCAGGCGGTTCAGCGCTGCAGACTCGAATGCCTCGATAGTAACATCGTAAAGAGGAGGCGTGTCATAACTCGAGCGGCATTAACACTGGGAAAGAGAGAGAGAGGGCAGTCACCCACAAGTTCAGTCGATATGGATAGCGCGGGCCATGCAGCTTGACTTCATCCGAGCCAGAACCTCGATCTTCGACTTTGTACATGTCGCGGGTGGTGGCACGCGTCGAGAAGAAGAAACGCGTGACAGATGGCGTTGTCACGGTCACACGTTCCCCCGCTTGACTCCATCCGTCTACCCGTTCCAAAGATTGCCAGCGGCGGGCGCCTGGGATGGCCCTATCGGACATACCTGGCGCGAACAGCCAACGGGGGTGAGGTGAGGCTCGCCAAACTCGACGCATACCCATCACATCGGATTTTCGCTCCGAACCTGAAACCTCTTTTTGCTTTTACCCGTCATCTGGGTTGAGGAACATGCCCTCCACGACGTTCACCGTTGACTGCATCCTCTTTGATATGGACGGCACCCTCGTCAACAGCACGGTATGCTGTCCCCCTTGTTGTTGTTAGGGTAGCTCACCTGTTTTAATTTCCAGGCGGGTGTGGAGGGTGCTTGGGACCTCTTTAAGCAGACATACCCCAACATCGATGTCGAAGATATCCTCAGCTGTGAGTGAATTCCTGCGTCCAATTTCCTGTCAGCTCATTCTACATAGCCTCTCATGGGGTCCGTACAATTGACAACCTCCGAAAACACTGTGGTATCACCGATGCGGATGAGCTAGAGGTTCGTCTCACTTTATAAACCCATCGATACGTATACTGACAATATCGATCCCACAGCGCGAGGCTGAACGGTTCGAGAAAGCGATTGTCACCACTTCAACTGAGAATGGTCGGGCGGGGATTGTCCTTCTTCCCGGCGTCAAGGCTGCCTTCGAACAGGCACGTTCCCTCTGGGCTCGCTTTTTTCTTTCCGCCGACGATTTACCGCAGATCGGGTCCGCTCATGCCCTCCCCCATCCACGCTGGGCGATATGCACTTCCGCAACGCGTGATTACGCTTCTTCAGCAGTCAGACTTGCAGGCGTACCGGTCCCTGACGTATTTGTCGTGGCCGAGGACGTCGTAAACGGCAAACCACAGTGAATTAGCAAAAAGTATTCAGCTACTCGTTGGCTGACTGCAGTATAGCCCCGACCCTTACCTTCTTGGAGCTACCAAATGCGGCGTCAAACCTGAGAATTGTAACGCATAATAGACATTACTATGTGCTCATTCTGATTACGTTACCCAGGTGTTGTATTCGAAGACGCACCGGCCGGTGTGCGAAGTGGACAGGCTGCGGGCTGCAAGACGATTGGGTTCCTCACAACACATCCGCGCAGCCAGATGGAGGCCGTGAAGCCAGACTTCCTCGTGCAAAACATGTCTAATATCTCGTTCAAACTTTTAGAGACGGGTGTCGAAATAACGGTGAATGTAGAGTAGGTACACGGCCAATGGCAAATCGCTTCGAGTGCTCTCACTATCAAGACGCGACTGACCACAAGTTATGACGGGATGCCTTTGGATCTGCGCCTCGAAACCGTTCAAGCACTTGCTCTCTGCCACCCACATACGCCTGACTGATTTGCAGTGTCTAAGAGCTAAGCGTAATCGGAATGGATGAGATGTGGCTGGCGGAAGTATTCAACTCTCATGGTTCACAGCTGGAGCGCAACCATAATGATCCAGAAAGCGGGTGTCGAAAGCTAGCCGCCGGAATGAAGAACGATCTGGTACTTAAACGCCGAATCTGCGGTCCTCCAGCCTGACAAAACAAACACACCCCTGCGACGAAATGAATTTCCTCTTGCTCAAGCTCAAGTTTTTCGCATCTGCGATGTTCAGCCTTTGCCGCCGCTGGCTCAGTACTCTTTAACGGGACTCCCTCCCAGTGAGCATCCATTTTGTGTCTAATGGCACGTCGTTGACCAACCCTCGTTCAGTTTTCTGTCAGGAGAGACAGCAACAATTTTGAGAAACAATAACAATTTCGGATCGTGAAGCAGTCGGCAGCCTTTTGAAGAAGTAGTTATTATCCAATGGGAATATACTTTTGTGTCTGCCCTGGCTAGGGATGCACCGTCTGCATGCCCTTCTTCTTTTTCTTCTTTTTGCGCTTGCGCTTCTTTTTGTACTTCCTCGGGTTGCTCTTCCGCAGGCTTGTCAAGGAATAGCAGTGGGACAATCGGCGCTGTTGGTCCAGCAGTTGGTGGTGGGTCTGTGGTATATTTAAGAACAAGACGAGCAGAAAATGCAGCTACACACTTGAAACGACAGTATGTGGTGGCTCCGCTGCATGTTCATGCAGGCCAAGTTGCATACCTTCAGGCCCGGCGTTGGCTTGGTGTTTCCGCCGTTTCTTCTTCTTTTTGCGTGCCGTCTCAGCGGACTCTGCGGGTTCAACAGGCGGTGTACGCTGGCCAGGTGAGACCTCGTCGTTGGCGGTTGTGGTCGTTGTGGTCGACATCGAGAACGGGTTTTTGCTGCCAGTTTCGTTCACTGTTCTGCTGGCGGTCCCGGGCTGGTCGGGCCCGGGCTCTACACGCGGCCGCTTGCTGCTGTTTTTGCTGGCCCCGTCATCATCATCCCTGGCCCGCTTCAGGGCCTTCTTCTTCTGCTTTTTGTTGTTGTCGCCGAACGGGTCTGTACGCGCTTTCTTCTTGGCCGAGGCACCTCTTACGTCGTCCTCATCGGGGTTGTCGTTACTATTGCCAGTGTCAGGGTCCTCACCCCTGGCCCGTTTGCCGCTCAGTTTTGATTTGAGCTTCTGGGCGTCGCGCGCGGCGGTGCTAACAGCGGGGACATCCGCGCCTACACCCAGTCTACTCTATTCAGCTGAAGACTCAATATAAAACTGGGCACGCACCGTGGTGGTCGACGCATATGCTCCTTGAGCTCCGCCTCAAGAGCCCCTGTTTTCTGCTTTTGGTTCTTGGCGGAAGGCGTGACCCATGACGCAGCGAGGCTCTGCGCGAACGAGAGCGAGAGGTCGATCTGGGCCTGTAGCGCATCGCCGTCGATGTCGTCCTCCATGGCCGTCACGGAGGAGCGTGACATCACGTGATGTCCTTCGTGGACTCGGACGACGATGACCTCGCATTTGGACGGCAGATCTTGCCCGTGGCTTCGGCGCTCCCTGTGGACTTTGACGGTGTGCCAGCGACGGGGGAGGAGTATTTGCTGACTGTGCGGTGTGTTGTTGTGGTGTGTTTGGTCCTGCTGAGGCTGATGAAATTGGTAGACGCGACGCGCGGAGTCTGCCCCATGTGACGCGTGTCGCGAATCCGTACGCGCTGCCCGAGGTAACGCCGCCATTGCCCGCTGGAGAGAAGTCATCCGCTGCGCTGCCTTCGCCTGAGTGGTGTGCTCTGTACGAGTCACGGTTTCGCAATTTCAGAAAGGTGCGCTTGTGACTTCTGCCATCTGAATTCTGCTCACGATGTACAGAACCTCTCGCAGCCCACGACTCACGTGTCGCAGAGTAATGGGTCGCGGGTGATGCCGGAGGTCAGTCGACGCGATTGCTGGTGGACATTTCTTGCAGGAAAGCCGCGGGAGATGTGGGATCCGCCGCCAAAGGACAAGGGAAAGGGGAGAATGCGTGCGTTTTCAGACGACGAGGCAGACATCGATGATAGTCCCGTTGTCCCGCTTGAGCCAACGCCTGCGATCTTACTCCGCATTGACCATGTAAGCTTTATACTCATTATTACTACCGCTAATGGTTTTACAGCGCTCGACACTACATCTGCTTATGTACTTCACCCACTGGATGCAGCAACACCCCCTCCAACTGCGCACATCCCACTTCCGCTGGATATTCGCTTTACTCGCCCGCCTCGATGCACAGCTTTCCTCGGACGAACTGCACCAGCTTCGTAATTTGGCGCGCGCCGCCATCGCGCTACTCAAACACGTGACACGCGCCGAGACGGAGTTGGACGCGAGTTGTTGCTGGATAGTAATTGCGACTGTCGTGCATGTGTGGGGCCAGCGCGATCTCTGGACCGACGCGGCCGACGCGCTAGCAACGTAACAATCAAAAGTTTGTAGCATGTACACGTAATCATACGCCTCTTTTCTCTCGCTTCTCGCCTCGCTCGTCGCTCTTTTACGTCTCCCCACCCACCCATGCTCGCCACACGCACCCTCCTCGCGCTCGCTGCCTTTGCTGCCTCTGTTTCGGCGTTCACTGTGACTGCCCCGCGCACTGGCCAGAACTTCACCACGGACGGGTCGAATGTCGTAAGCTGGACAACGGTCGCTTCAGACCGCAAGAACTTCACCATCGTCCTCTCCAACGGCGTGCGTCTCTTTTCTTCCCTCTCTTCTGTGTGGCTGACTGTGAACAGAACCCCGCGGACAACCAACAACTGAAGGCACTCGTCGACGCGACCAGCGGCACTGTGTGTTTCCTCCCTTGCCCTCGTTACCCATGACTAATCCACACAACAAGACGACCGTAGACCCGCCCTCGACAGGCTGGCCCGCGCCTGGGGCTGGCCCGTTCCAGATCAACCTCGTCCAAGACACACAAAATCTCAACGCCATCCTCGCCCAGTCCTCCCAGTTCTTCTTCGCAGCGCCAAAGGTCTCTGCCGCGCCCTCTCCCTCTGGCCCCGTCACCCAGCCACCCCCGCCCACCCAGCAACCGTGCGCACTCTTCTTTCTTTTTTTTGTGGGAGTGTTTATTTATCATTTTTAAAGGAACAACAACCCCTCCGGCTCTTCCCCGCCTGCGCCATCCGACAGCGGCCTCGTCACCCCGCCCGCCAACGGCGCTGCGTCTATGGGTGCCAATGCGGGCCTCGTTGCCGCGCTCGTTCTCCTCGGCGCAGTCCTCGCTTAGAGTTTTTACTTAGAGTACTTCCTTCCCTTTCTTGTCGCATACGGACTACGTTATCCCACAAAGAGGGGCATCAATTAACTGACGTTGTCTTCCCCCACAACATGTCATTCGAGGCGGACACTGTCTGGCCCAAAGAACTACTTGCAGTCTTCAAGAATGCACACACTAGCCGAGGGTTCTTTGACAACCAGTACTTTGGGCCGTACACTCGACTGCTGAGCTACTGCTTCAGCGGTGGGTTCGACTTTCTCGTTGCTCCGCAAGTCTCGCCGGCCTTTTCGGACGAGCTCCGGACTCCGCTCGACTACGTCATCTACCTGATTGTCTTCGACACGCGCCATCGGCCAGTGTTCTTTGTGCAGGTCAACCCAGAAGACAGGGGCTCTACGGCGGAGCGGCGGAGGGAGGCGGACGTGAGCATGCGTGAGCGCTTCAGTGACGTCATGTATGCGTGTCCCCTCCCCCGCCTCTACGCACTAAGCATCCTTGGCACCCACATGCGCGTCTACTGCCATGATTTCCTGCAGAACACAACAACACCGCAATTTGTGCCGAGAGGGGAAGACTCTGAAGACTATTTAAAGGGCGAATGGCCCATCGATATCTTGTCCAGGCAAGGCTTCAGCGAGCTAAAACGGCTGGTCGGCTGGATCAGGGATGAAAGCAAGAAATTGGACGACATGCAAGTGCTTTCGTTTAAGTATTTTTTCCGATTGGCTCATTCAAGTGTCAGGCCGCAATCCACCACCAAAAAGAAGGGGCATTCCAAAGTTTTCACCAGGACTCAAGCGGGTCTCCAAAGACCTTTCGCAACCTGGGCTGGACCCAAAACATCCCACCCTCCTCCACTCTCAGCCCCATATTATGCAAGAACAATCACTATGAATCATGCTCACAAACGTATTCCTTTCACCTCTCTATACATGTACAAAGTTGGCAGCCTTCTCAGCCGAATCTTACGCTACTGAACTATACTCCATGTTCGTTAGAAAATCCGAGGTAGCGACAAGCCGATTTGCGAAGAGGGGCAGCAAGCACCAAGTCGTGTGAACCGAAATGATGCATCGTCCGTTGGTTGAGCTCGAAGACAATTAGATGATACAGTTCCAAAAAACAAAGAGGCACGTACGGATAGAAAACGTCTAACTTGCCTTTTGCCCTTTCACCTGGCATTGAACACCATTAACTTGATCGCATCCAGACAGCGGCGAGAAAATGCATGGTGAACATGAACCTCAAGCTACCGGTGATCGCCGCACAAAAAACCCGAAAGACTCTTTCCTGTCAATGAAAAGAAAGTCACAAAGCTGCAGGTAGTGGATAAGTAATTTCTCACGAAGTTGGACTGGACATCGGTTGAAGAGAGAGCTGGTAGCACCGCTGAGAGATCGTTGACCGCAGTAAGCACATTCTAGATGTTCACAGGAGCTTGAATATCGATAGATGCTTGCTCTGGATCGACTGTTGTCAGAACATTCCACCAAATTGAGGCGCTCTCGACTTGATGATTGCATTTGGTTTGAGGGTATGCGTATAGACGGCTGAGATTGAACACATGTTCACGATCCTCGTTGGAAGCGACAGAAGGGCTTGTGCTGGCTTGGGGGGTGGAATCGAGCATGAAGGAGCAATGGTTGGAGGCGAATAGAGAGCGATGGAGGCGGGAAGGTGTTGGAAGCAAGTGACGATGGTCTGGGAGGGACTGTCTTGGCTTTCCCGCAAGCACTTCGCCAGAAGCATGAGCAATGATAGGAGGAATAGAGAGCGGTTGAGGTGTGTATGATGATGGAAACGAACGAGAATATAGTTTGAGGGGCTGTCTTGACCTCGAGTTAGGGAGGACAATTCTACAGTCACATTGGTGATCGCCGGCTTGTCGCGAATTTTCTAACGAACATGAAGTATAGTTCAGTAGCGTAAGATTCGGCTGAGAAGGCTGCCAACTTTGTACATGTATAGAGAGGTGAAAGGAATACGTTTGTGAGCATGATTCATAGTGATTGTTCTTGCATAATATGGGGCTGAGAGTGGAGGAGGGTGGGATGTTTTGATCAGAGTGCGTCCAGCCCAGGTTGTGAAAGGTCTTTGGAGACCCGCTTGAGTCCTGGTGAAAACTTTGGAATGCCCCTTCTTTTTGGTGTTGGATTGCGGCCTGACACTTGAATGAGCCAACCGGAAAAAATACTTAAACGAAAGCACTTGCATGTCGTCCAATTTCTTGCTTTCATCCCTGATCCAACCGACCAACCGTTTTAGCTCGCTGAAGCCTTGACTGGACAAGATATCGATGGGCCATTCGCCCTTTAAATAGTCCTTTGGGAGCACATACGGGTCGGCGGCATCCACCGTGGCAAACGAGGGCATCGTATTACTAGTATTCCCTGTGTAGTCACGAGCGTATACGCGCATGTTGGTGCCTATAACGCTGACCCCATACAGCCGTGGGAGCGGACACTCGCCCTCCATGTCGAGTAAGCGTTCCCGCATGTCTGCATCCACCTGCCTGCGTCGCTGGGGTGTGTAACCCCTGTCTTCCGCATTGGCCTCGAGGAGGAGCACGGGCCGCTGGGCCGCATCGGAGACGACAAGATAAAGCTTGAACTCGAGTGCGATTCTTTCGTTGTCAGAGTCCGCCATCGGTGGCTGCGGGGCGACGAGGAAGTCAAAACCATCCCCGAAACAGTGCTCCAGCAGCCGGGTGTACGGCCCGAAGTACCGGTTCTCGTAAAGGGCGTCCGGATGGCCCTCACCAATACGCGCATTCTCAAAAAAGTTGAGCAGGCCCGCAGGCCAGGTAGAGGACATGTTCAATAGCAGATCCGTGTGACGTCACACAAATTCCAATCACGTGGTGTCAAATCGCTTCTTGCCAACGTCGATGGCGCTCGCTCAGAAGCTGCTGGTGGACATCCACACACACGTGTACCTGCCGCGCTACGCGGCGCTCCTCCGCGCGCGCTCTGCCGTTCCGCGTATACTCTCTGCACCAGCTGGCGAGCGGTTGTTGATTCTGGACCACGAGCCGAGCGGAGGCCGGCCCGTGGGCCCGCAGTATTGGGATAGAGAGGAGAAGATTGGGTTCATGGACAGGCACGGGATCGACGTGTCCGTCGTGAGGTGTGTACTAGGCTATCTCTGCAAAGTGGATTAAATATAATAATAAATCAGCTCTGCTAACCCGTGGCTGGACTTTCTCCAGCCAGACGACGCGCAGAGGCTTGCCACAGAGCTGAACGATGACCTCGAGGCGTATTGTGCCCAGTCTCCGTCATTAAGTGGCGGGATGAAGCGCTTATATGGATTTGGGTTGCTCCCGCTTGTCCCCGGTGTCCCCATTCCCGCCCTCCTCGAGTCTGTTGACCAGATATCCAAGCTACCACATCTGAAGGGCGTCATTCTGGGTACCCGGTGCGCTATCCACCCATTCTACCGATTATCTTAACAACATCTTTCAGCGGAATCGGCGCCGGCCTAGACGACCCCTCGCTGTCCCCGCTCTGGGGCGCGCTTTCCTCCGCCAACCTCGTCGCGTTCCTGCACCCACACTACGGCGTCGGCGATGCCTGGGGCCCACGTGACAACGGGCACGTGCTCCCGCTTGCGCTCGGCTTCCCGTTCGAGACGACCGCCGCGGCGACGCGTCTGATCCTCTCCGGCGCACTTGACGCGCATCCAACTTTGAAAATACTCCTCGCACACGCGGGTGGCGCACTGCCACAACTGTCCTCCCGACTTGCGTCCTGCATCGACCATGACCCGGTTGTCGCGTCGAGGTTGGCCCACGACGCCCGCTGGTACCTCGGCAAGCTCCACTTTGACGCCGTCGCATACGGCCCGGAGGAGCTCGGCTTTGTCAGCGACGTCGTTGCGCGGTCTGCCCAGTTTGGCGACAAGAAGACAGCCGGGTTTGGGTATACGGTGGACCGCAAACTTGGCAGCAGAAACATGCTCTTCGGGACAGACCACCCGTTCTTCCCGCCGCTGAGCAATACCGATAAGTGGCGAAGCGTTGTGGAGAATCTACAGGCGATCGACGCGGTGTCTGGCTGGGGCGATGCGGAGAAGGACGGCGTACGCGGGGGGAACGCGTTGGCGCTGTTTGGGCTTGCATAAAATTACAAATCTAATCTAATCTACTCTCGGTTTCTGAATCTTGAGGCTAAAGTCAATGTGCTGGACGGACTGGTGAACAGTGCTTGTGCTGAGGATGTCCACATCTGAAAGAACAAATCAGCACGACGGGATAGCATTAAGGGATTGCTCACCATTCGACGCGCGTTCCTGCAAGTTGGCCTCGGTGATGTTGCCGCTCGTCTCCAACAAAAACTTTCTCTTTCCCGCCCACTTCTCGCGTAAACTTCTCGCAACGCTGACCAACTGCTCACCCTCCATATTATCCAGCATGATAACATCCGCACCCGCGTCAATCGCCTCGTCCGCCTCCGCCTCGCTCTGTACCTCCACATCCAATAACAGACTGAACCCACCGACCTGTCTTGCGCGTTGCACTGCCGCTGTTATCGAGCCGGCCGACCAAATGTGGTTGTCCTTGAGCATAATCATGCTCGACAGGTCGTGGCGGTGCGGGTCGATCCCACCAACGAGCATCCCATACTTTTCCACCAGCCGGAACCCCGGTGTTGTCTTCCGAGTTCCCGCCACGATCCCATTGAAGCCATACCCCCGCGCGAGGTCCTTGATCCGCTTCGATCTGGGGGGGAATTAGTAATAAGTAGAGTGGAAAAAGACAACGCACTTAGTGGCGATGCCGCTACAGCGCGCGAGTAGATTCAACGCGACGCGCTCCCCGAGTAGCAGATGTCTTGCTGGCCCCGTGACCGTCGCGACATGCTTCACCGGCTCGAACGTGTCCCCTTCCTCGATATGCCACTCGACAGTACAGCCCAGCTGCGTGAATATCTCGCTGACAAACGGGGACCCCGCAAGCACCGCTGTCTGGCTTCCTTTCCCCAGCAAGAACGCAGTGCGCTGAGCCTCGCCGACGACGAACCCGCCATAGTCAAACGAGGGTGTGTCCTCTGCGAGCCACGCGCCGACTTCTGTCTTCCAGCTCGGCGGCAGCAGGTGCGCGTAAGACATGATGGTGGTTCAGGATAAGATGCGATATGATGCCATCATAGATACCCAATAAATGTTATTCCCGACAAGATTTAGTACAAGTATGGCCATCCAGATTTGCAGATTTGTAGCGTCCTACGTATACTGAGTCAGATGTAAAGTCCTCTCAGCATCGTGGCAGTACGATAAGATGTGCATGTGACTTTCATTGGACTGTTGACAATGATCCGTGGAGGTTTATTCCTTACCTTCATGCCAGCAGGCTCATGAGCATTGCCAAAGAAGAAGGTCGGTGTTGGCGGCTTGCTTTTTCTGGCCTGACATCGCTCCGCAGAGGGAGATTTCGACGATGAGTATTTGGGCGTTGGACTTGAGTACCCGCCATCGAATCCACACTACTCGACCACCGCATCAGAGGCGTCGGGCTCGTGTCTCCGCCACAAGTTTCCGCAGCATGTGAGGGAGGAGCATACTACTGTGGAACTATTCCGTGAGTTCCCTGCCCATCACACACCAATCACTGACGGACGATGGGCAAGAATGGTTGCAGGCGGACAAAATCGACCTCGGGGCGGAGTACCAGCGGAGTGAGGGCGGCCTGCTTAGAAGAAGAAGTTGGAATTTGACCTTTTCACAGAATTCGTTTGGCCGGCCGAATCGCAGACGAGCCTTGTCGACTCCATTTTGCGCGGTGCCCCGGTGAATCAGTTGATGTTCGGTGCGAGCTATTCTGGCTGGCTTTTCTCCGCTGACGCTTTTCATAGCCAAGTTCACTGAGAATGGGAGGCAAAGGCTGCGCTGTATGGACGGGAAACAACGGTTGACGTCGCTCCAGAAATTCATGACAGGAGAGATCATATGTGCGTCGTCCTACGCTTTTTTGCTTACTCTGACATTTCTCATAGTTCGCAATGGGTACATACTTCCTCGTCGACATTGTCACGAAACTGACCGCAAGTAGAGAAGACGGCCGGAAGTACTTTTGGACGGACAACGGCACACATAGGGGGGCCACTCGTCTCCCTGCTCACGACAGACAAGCCTTTGAGAAAACGGTTATATCCTGTCTAGTCTTTGACAAGATTCTTCCTGAAGAAGAACGCGATATCTTCGAGGTACGCGAAGTCTGTTTGCCACGTTTTTTTCGTTGCTGACCGTCGCCAAGCGGGTTCAACGTGGTCGGCCCCTCAGTAAGGCGGAGAAACTCCGTGCGATTGTGTCTGCGCGGGCTTCACTCGTTACGGGCCTCGAAACCGACTTCATCGTCAATGTCGACTCTCCGCTCAGCCAAAATCTGTTCAAAGGGTCCTCGCTCCACCGCTCCGTTCCATTCCGATCTCTGGCTGAGCTTGTTGGCGCCATTTCCTTGGGGAAAATCACTCCGATGGTGGCGGGGCCCGAGAAATGGATGTTGGACCAAGCAGCAGTCCCGCCTCTGCTAGAACATGACGCGCGGGAGACACTCGAGATACTGGAGCTCATTCACCAGCGGACACACACCCTCTACCAGCTTGCGCCAGTGGAATTTGTCGTTTGCGGCTTTTTGGTATACCGCCATCGTTCAAGCACCACCCTGGCCAGGCTGGTTGATGGGATCAGGAGTGTAACGAACGATGTTCGGGAGCAACATAGAGGCCAGATAAAGATGAACACGACGGTGCTGGGGACGATGAGCGAGTCGGTGGCGACGTGGGCAAGCGAGGGGAACGTTATTCATGCTCAGCAAGGAGAAATTTCCGCGGTTGCAGAGCTGAGGCGGTCAAAGGGAGTAGCAGACGCTGTTCCGTCCCCGAATACCACTGCTACAGGGGTGGTAGAGCTGGGCAGTCCTCCTCGATCAAATAAACGCCCGCGGGAGGAAGACGGGGTTAAGGAGGAGGAGCCGGATATCGAGATTCTCGATGGCCCACCTGGGACCAGTGCAATCTTACCGTCTCCGCAGAAGAGGCCCCGGCTTGGGCTACCGCAGCCAAACTTGTCGGGGGTGATCTCGAATCTCGCGACTGCGCGGCCAACTCAAGCTGCTAGAGAGGGACAATATGTGTTTTCGGCAGCTAGAGGAGCAAGTCAGGTTTCGCCGTCAATGGCCTCGTCGTCTCAACCCAATGTTCAGCCGATACCGGGTCCCTCCCATTCTATCGCCTCGCAACCCTCAGCGCTAGCAGCCCAATCACAATTTGGCTCTCCACAGACAACACAGACTGCACATGCACCTACTAGACCACCATCACAACCGATGATGCAGGTCGTGCATGCTACCAACATGCAGTCAAGTGCCCAGTTAGTAATTGCAACAAACCAAGAAAGTTACTGACGAGGATACATTCTAGCAACTCGCCAATACTGCGACCACCGTCACAACCCGCCGGACCATCTCAACCTGTCTTTTCGCAGCTAGCACATGTCGCGAATCCACCGACCAGACCACCATCACAACCGACAATGCAAGTAATGCACGCGACAAATCTGCAGCCAAACGCCCAGTTAGTCATCACGAATATGATTAAAAAAAGTAACTGACGAAGGTAGCACCTCGCCAATAATGCGACCACCGTCACAGCCAGCAGGCTCATCACAGCATCCTGGCTTTTCGCAGATGCGATATCCTGCAAACCCACCTCCTAGACCACCATCACAGCCAACAACGCCGGTAATGCATGGTACAAACATGCAGCCACACATCCAGTGAGTATTGTTAACGTATTCAAACACGGCACTCACAGTGATATGTTTCAGCAATTCGCCAATAATGCGGACCCCATCGCAGCCACCTGTGAATCCACAGACGAATCTACCTCCCCGACCACCATCACAGCCCGGCAGGATCCATTCACCTTATAATACAGCAACGGGTTACAATGCGCCAGCCAGACCGCCATCCCAGCCGACGAGCCAAGCGATTCTTGAAGGTGGGACACAGATGCAGTGAGTCCCCTTAAGATAAGATAAGATTAGATAACTGACGAGAGGTTTTTTCAGATCTGCGATGACAGCGAATGCGCGAATGCCGTCGCAGCCTGTCGCCTCGACAAGTGCTGTGCCATATTCGCAGCCTCCGCCGGTGAATTATGCACCAATTCCACAGGCAAACGCGGGCAATGAACCTGTCGTGTACGTGGATGAACGGGGAATGCTGCATCAACGTCCACCGTCGCACGCATTACCACCACAGACACAATATCCTCATTCTTCCCCCATTCAGCAGGCAGCACTGCCACCACCACCACCGACGCAATTTCCTTATTCAGCATATGTGCCGCAACAACCCCATCCCCCACCACCAATGCAATATCCTTATTCTGGGCATTTTTCTTCATCCCAACCACCGCCGTCGCCCCAGCAATTCTCGCTTGGATCCCAACATAATATTAATCCAACGCAACAGCTTGTTGTGCAACTACTCGCGGCGGCACAACAACAACCTCACGAGTTTTCAGCTACCCTCCTCGGGAAATTCCTAGCGCTGCCGCCATCACAGCAGCAGATAGTGTTCCCCCGGCTTGCGCCCAGGCAGCAGGCCGCGGTCCTCATCGACACGCGGGTCCTATTCGATCCGGCAATTGCACTGATCGCGACGCTGGCAAAGGAGACGCAGACGGAGGTCGCGGCACTGATCCCCGTGCGCTGGGCCGACCTCAAGGACCATCACGTGGTGAAAAGGTTCCAGGAGTTGACGCCCGAGGAGCGCCGCGTCCGGTTCCCTCACCTCGATGCGCGTGGGCAGGCGGGCTCGCTTGTGAAGATGCCGCTCCCGGAGGCACGCGGCCTGCTGCAGGTGCTCCCGCCAGAGCGCCGTGCGCACGTGATCGGCACAGTTCTGTGGCCTGTCACAGCGCCGGACCGGCCGGCCGTGCCGCCGATCGTCGGGGAGTACTTCCGCGGCCTGGATCTCGACGGACGCCAGCGGTTCCTCGCACGCTTGATTTCAGCGCGGCAGGCGGCACTGTTGGTGCTACTGAGCTACACCGAAGCATGGGCGCTGCTGCCGGCGTGCTCGGCCGAGGCACGTGATCTGGCGTCAAAGTGGTATCCCGACTTCAACAAAGGGCTGATCCAGTGGTACACGACCACGACGGCGACGCGGCTGCGAGGGCTCGCGTGGGACGTGCGTGTGCGTGAGTTCGGCCGTCTGACAAGCACGGTGCGGGCGGGGGTGATTGGGTTGATGACGTATGCGGAGGCCGGGCCGCTGATTGGCACGCTGTCACCGGCGGACCGGGAGGCAACGATCACGCACATGACTCGGGAGACTGGGGAGAGGCTGAAGCGGGAGGCGGCGGCGGAGCAGGCGCGGCAGTTGCAGGCGATTATGGCCACGGTGGGGTCGGCCCGGGCCGCGACGGCATTACCGGCTGTGACTGATTTGACAATGGACTTTACGGACGCGGCGCCTTCTTCAGTGTTGGCGCAGCTACCAGAACCGCCGTTGGGTGAGGATCAGCCAATGGAAACAGAAACTCCGGTGGTTGACGGGCTGGATGCAGCAGAGCCTGTTGCACAATTACCCAATACGACTACCGCGGCATCAACGATGGAAACTGTCTCTGAGAATACGGAACTACAGCCAGATCCCATTATTGTGGAAGCAGAGATGCCGGGGGTTGACGAGCTGGAGGTTGGCACGGAGGTTGCGCCCCAAACGGAGTCACAATTACCCAACACGACTACCGCGGCGTTAACGATGGACTCGACGGACACGGCTTCCTCTTCGGTACCTGCCCCGCCATTGGGTCGCGAGGGTGAAAATGCTCAGTCGAGTCGAATCGCGTTGGAAAATCCCATATTGCCAGTCGTTGACGAGGTCGAAATGGAAATTGCGACCCAACCGGAGCAGCAATCGACAGTCACTCAACCGGAGACCAACAGAGAAAGTGCGGCTGAGACGGAGACAGGGACTATGTCCCAGCCCGAGGGAGCGCCAGAGGTGCCAAACTTGGAAATGCAATTACCAAATTCGGACGACGAAGGCACGGCGATCAGCACGCCCCGCGCGAGCCCAAGCCCGAGCCCGGCGCCTCTGGAGAGCTCCCAGGAGATCCCAGTCCAACGAGAAAGACGCGCGTCGTCGCCGATCCTGGAAGACCCGTCCATGCCGGGTACACGTGACCCGACCGAGCCGGTCATCAAGCCGGAGCCGGGGCCGGACCGGGTTCCGTCGCCGAGCCCAAGCACGAGCCGGAAGCCGATCTCGATGCGGTTCTCGCCAACAGGGCTGCTCCCTGAATCGCCAGCGCGATCTAGGTCGTCTGTGTCCAGGACGGAAGGGACGGGGACACCGGGGAAGGTTCTGTCACGCATTGTGGTCCAACGGGTTGCGCCGAGTCTGTCTGGGTCTGGATCTGTGGCGAGCTCAAGTAGGGAGGCGGAACAAAAGACGCCGAGAAAGGTGGTTGTAGTGAGGACGAGTCCCATGAAGAAGAACGTGGTCAAGGGGAAGAAAGGGCGGGGACCGCCGGGGCAGCGCGGCATGTAGAATAAAGTATTTATATTTATGTTGAGTATCACGTGGAGTGTGGGAGTCACGCTCATTTTACCATGACCTCCATTTTCGCCGCGCCAAAAACTAAACGCAATGCTGCACGGAAAATCCATATACGAAGACTATACGACATGATGAATATTGCCATCCAGCGCAACGACTATGTCCGAGCAAACCGAGCATGGAGTATCCTTGCTCGATGTCCGGAGGTCGATTGGAAAGCTTTATGGACTACGGGGGTTTATCTTGTCGCTGAAGGGCTAGACGACCACGAGAAACTTTCAAGCAAGATCGACTTTCTGCGCGTTATGATGCTGCAGCGCCCCAGCGATGTGAAGCGACTAGCATTCCGTTGCCACAGCTGTTTCAACTTTTTCACAGAAAGAAATTATCCTAAAGGAACTTTGTCTGCGACTGATTCTCTCTGGACGATACCGCGAGGCGTTGGACGACCTGGAACTGTAAGACTTGTCGATTGAAACCGTGTCGAGTGCAACTGATCTGCTCTGCAAGGTATCTGCCCTCATTTCCGTATCAGGACAACCCTATTCTCAATATATATGCTGGTCTTCTGACCTTATATCTTGCTCAGTCGCCACAACAAGGCCAGGCCAACGGACCAAACCCAAAACTAATGCGGGATGCGCAAACCTATTTCGAACGTGCCGCGAGCTTGCAGCCTGACTTCACTCTTGCTCAAGGTTACCTTGACCTGGTATTCTATCTACCGGACCGTTGTCCATCCGCTTACGAGTAATCTAGCTGGGCACTATGGCGGGCCAGTCGCAGGCCAGTCCCTCTGACGAAGATCAAGATGAGATTGTGTCTCCCCAGTCAGATCTCCCAAGACGGAAACGAATGAGAACAAACCTCATGATGCAATTCCCTGCATGATTCAATTTCCGCCTTTTAAGTGGTGTTTGTATAGAGACCACAACTAGCATCGACAACGAACCCCCCAGCAAAAACGATTTCTGGTCACGATCACGTGGACATTTTGAATGCGTTGTCCTATTTCACCAGAGAAATTGGTATTCTACCAAATCCCTGCCAAGGCCTACTCTTCCTCAGAGTCTGAGTCAAGATCAATCGCTGGCATTTCCTCGTTCCTGTCATTGTCTTGCTCAACTTCCATCGGCGCTTCGATCCTGGTTTCGATGGCACGCGGCATGGTCAATGGTGGGGTTTCCTGTGTTCGGAGTATAGACGATGTCGAGGGTTGTGCCGGTGCCTGGATAGCTGTAGGCGGTCTAAAAGATGGAGCAGGGATTGTCGGTATTTGGACTGCTGGGGGTTCTCGGGGAACGCTATTCATCGCCGGGGCTTCGACAATGGGATCCCCAGAAGAGGTTGGAATCTCGACAGTGGGGGTGTTTGGGGACACCAATTTTAGTGACTGGAGCAGATCAGACTCCTCCTGGCTTTCCTCCGCACGCGACAAGGAGAGTGCCTCGATACCGGGCATACTTCGCATTAATGGGGGCAAGCGAGGATGCAGCAAAATTTCGAGTTCGCTGCTGAGCTATAAAGAAATGAGTAATCGAAACTCGGCGAGGGACTGCGACGAACTGTTCCCCCAGCCAAACAGGCGCCGACTATCAATCCGAAACTTTTGCTCATCCCTTCAACAGACGCGACTGCAAATTCCACACATATACGTTGGATCATGTCGAGAAGAACGCAATGCAATTGAGGATCATTTGAAAGTGATGCTGGTGTCATTTGTGGAAGAGAAAGGAGGGCTGATAAAGCTACTCGACAAGCGATGGACTGTAATGCAGGGGACAGGCTTGTGGTGCGAAGCAGGAGTCGTATGACTGTTGTAAAATAAGCTCGATAGGCATTTTATTCAAGATTTACCCACCAGAAAATGCTGCCAGAAGTACTCCGTCATCCAGTGCTGTCGGGCAAATAACGTCACGCGAAAACCTGAGGATCTCGTCGCCTTCGAACTCCCTTGCGCGCTTCTTGCCTTTCTTACTCTGCCCGACTTCACTGTCTGTAGTCCGAGTATCGCCTTCTCGTGCAAGAACCACTCTCGCCAGAGGGAGGACAATCTTGGCCAGACGATTGGCAATCAAAGTAGAGTGTAACGTACGCTCATCCGAAAGCAACACTTGGACGACCTCGAGGAATGGGAGGCGCTCAGAACTAACATTTAGTCAAGATCAAAGGCGGTTGGCAACGGAAAGGTGACACACGAGATGTGCGTTTGTTCAAGTTGGAATGAGATTGATGTGAGTAATCGGGGAATATGACAGGTGAGATGCGGAAGAAAGCTGGAATATATCAGGCATTATATAGTGATAGGTTTTTGCAAAGCTAGCCTGTTTGCCAGACTGGACACGAGCTGGCATCCCAGAGCCCAAATCTTGCTCGTGACAGCTGTTTCCATTGAGCGTGTGGCAATGTCGAAATGCCCTTCAATTTTCTCTTCCCTGGGACACGCTACAAGTGCAGAAGCAAATTTGACCAATGCTCCTAATGGGACTTGCACCGGACGCTGAGCAGCGGCTAGGAAAAGTTTCTGGAGAACGACAATAGTACATCTGAGTCGGTCCAGATTCAAAGGTATCCAAGTCAATGGTTCGGAGGCACCTGGTGGGGGCTGTGGTAGACGACCTGAACGTAGTTTTGGCGCGAAGTTAAGATAGGAAAAATGAAAATCACCATCCACCAGGAACGTAGTCCGCAGAGACGATAACGCCGTCCACCCAAATGACAGTGCATCGTCGACAGATTTTCTCCACAGATTTACGGCGCCGACCTTACCGCCAGTCAAGTGAAGGGTCGCGTATAGTTCAGATGCAGCATTAACAAGGTTGTCGTGGGGCGGTTTGAAAGCGTTTCCATTGAGAAACACGAAACATAAGGAAGATAACGCGGTCTGATTGGCGCGATGAAGGGTTGGGTAGATGGGTAGGAGACGCGTCAAAGTCGCGAGAATCAAGATCTGGGGCAAGTTAAAGATGATTTGAGCCAGGCCGTAGTGTAAGCTCACGCGCAGCTCCGTGTCAGGATGAGACTCTCCCAAAGAAATCAGGGCAGTGGTGAACTTGAGCACGTTCGGGGTCGATACTTGTCTTTGAAACTCATGCATATTTGTGGCAGAGCTAAATATGAGCCCAAGAAGGTGTATTGCTGCACTCAAAACGGGGGTAGCCTCTTTTTTCTTGTCGAAACATGAATACGTGAAGCGCGAAGGGGATGATATGAGGACGGACTGCAAGAAGAGGTAGTGCGATGCCTATCCAGCCTTGCGCACACTCTATCATCATTGCTTGAGAGAGAAGGGAAGACTTGTGTGCCAAACAGAGACCAGCCCAACGAGCGTCTGAAGTTTTGGCATGGAGCAGAGAGTTGATTCGAGCTGTCCATTTTGATGTATGAGCGGATGGGAGAAGGGTTTCTGCAGTGAGTGATGCGAGAGTGTGTGGTAGATGCAGAACTGCAGAGGAATCGGAGGCTAACTGAAGCTGCAAAAGAATTTTGAGCGGATGAGCATCCATTTCAAGCGCCGTTGTGACCAAAGCAGTCACACATTCCTCCTTCATGGCGAGGCGCGCAGCGCCAACGCTCGACCCTGCTGTTGAAGACCATCTCGAACTATCTGCATTCAAGGCTTGTGGCTAGACCATGTTCTAGTCTTGTTTATTTTATTCATCTTGGAGCAGGCCAAGTTCGATGTCACTGAATTTGTGGGCAATGTTTCTGAGAAACTCATCGCGCAATCCAAGCAAAATGCTGGGCGTATGTCGTAGCTCATACCCGCAACGCTCCCTCTGACAGTCCAAGCCTTCGATCCAACCCCATTCATTAACACATTCGAGGCTGCTATCGACAAACTTATTGCCGTCCGAAAGGATGTTCAAGCCAAGACAGAACAGATGGAGAAGAGTGTCCGTATATCTGAACGGGAATACTCCAAAAAGATGGCAGAGCTTAATAGAGGATTCGAGGTGTGTTCTATTCTACCTTCGCCCGCCTAAACACATCCATTATATAGAACGTCGGGAACTCCTTCAATGGAATGGAGAGTCGAATGAGCGAAGTCAGTAGCACGGCCGTGCGTATAGGTGGGTTGTTTCCCAGCTCATAGCCCTTGTGCTCAATCATTCCAGGTGAACAGTTAGAGACAGTCCACATCGAACGACAACGGGCTCAGGCAGCTTACGACTTGATTGACTTTTACAACCAGTTTTCGCGTGGCGATACCACTCGGCTAGATGCTCTACGGAAAGATGGTCGAGCTGGCAGGCGTCAGGTTGCGGTGCTATTGAGACGACTGAATACGGTTGCCAAAGAAGTGGACCTTCCCGCTGCCGACAAGGTCAGAGTATAACTTTGCTGGTTAACATCACCTCACATAGTCAGACTCGGGAAAATATAGAAAAGTACTGTGAAAAATTCGAGAAGGAAATGCTCGGTCTATTCGACAGATGTTATCGTAGGGGCGACCCGAAGATGATGCATGTGCGTAGTTTCATGCTTACGAGTCCAACAATAACGATCTATGCTTGTCTAGCACTGTGCGCAGACGCTCCTCGAATTCAACGGAGGGGCATCTTGCGTTCAAGTCTATGTCAATCAACACGACTTTTTTATTAATTCAGCTAGAGAAGCACAACCAGCAGAAGACGCTCGATTGTAACTCATCGGCTTTATAATGTTTACTTTTCACTCATTCGCAAGCTAGATGGGATGTCCTGCCGGATCCTGATGCCAGTCCACCCAAAACCGAGGCGGGGTTGACAGAGTTGTTCACTGAAATTCGCGCTACAGTTGATACCGAGGCACAAATCGTCAAGGCTGTCTTTCCCAACCCTCCTGTGGTTATGCAAGTCTTTCTCCAGCGTGTTTTCGCACAATCTGTAGGTTCATCATGTGCTCATAATGCAATTGAGAATTGACCTCTTGCAGATACAGCAACACATGGAACAACTCCTTCACCAAGCTAGCAGTATCTCCGATTTGTCTTATCTTCGGGTGCTGCAACTGGTGCATGTCCAAGCAACATCACTAGTGGACGATCTTAAGTCGTATGAGCTTCCTTCCGTTGCCCCTCGCACGCCATTTGAAGCATCGGAGTTTCGGAGATCCCTTGCTGGGTCTGCGCTTCCCGGAGCTTCGACCTCCTCGAGTGTTGGGACTATGCTGGAGTCAGCAATGGAGGAGCTGTTTGTGCCTTACACGGAGGGTCAGAGGTATCTCGAGCGCGAAAGCAAAAGCTTAGGGTCTCTTTTTACGGGTTTGCTGGCCAATTTCACCCGATATCACGTAGGCCAACCTCGAGAAATAATTCCAATACGATCTCATTGTGCAATAGGCCAGAATTCAAAAATCGGGGAAATCATCCATGTTCGACCTCATGAAGAACCAGCTCACGGCAGCAGCCGCCAACACTTCTACAGGAGGAACCTCAACCACATCTGCCCAAGCAGCGGCGGCTTTGATGCGCTTTGGAGGCATCAACGCCACCCAGAAACAAGACGAAGAACCTATCCGAGAAGAAGATGGCTTGCTCAATGTCGAGACCGCTGAAACGATGTTGAAGTGGCACGCTGAAGCTATCGGCCGATGCGTCGAATTAAGTCCTCCCACAGATCTGTAAGCCTCTCCGGCGGTCTGACTTTTGTTACTGACTTTTGAAACAGCGCCAAACATACGTTTACTCTACTCCGCGTGTTGTCCGACGCCTTAGTCAACACCTATGTTGAGGCGGCTCTCGAAACGTGCGCCATGCTTTTCTTTCCCCTCAAACATCCACTTGATGGTCTTCCAGTGCCCAGGGGAAAGTGGACAATGCCGATTCGAAGTCAGAACCCAATCTACAGCCACTGAGTATCCTCAAAATGGTCGACCTAATATGTCATCTATGGCAACAATACGTGAACACCGCTCTTCTTCCGCTGGCTAGCTCTTCCGTGACAATTCGACGAGAAATGTCAGTGTTCAACAACCAAACGGTCAGTCGATTAGAAGGCGCAGCGAATGCATTGACACAACGAATCACGGATGGTATCGGAAACCCTTCACATCTTTTTACATGCTCAAACGAATTGCAGCAATAATTTCGTGGCTTTCACTAAATCTTGCCAAGCAGAAGAAGAACGATTTCAAGCCCCGAGACGACGACTTGTCTTTCGCTCGTGTCAACACTGAACCTTGTGTTGTGTGTTGTGAGACATTAGAACGAGTCCGAGATGCTGCCAAAAACAGTTTGAGTGGCAAGAATTTGGAGATCTTCTACACAGAGATTGGCGTGTCGTTCCACGGGTATGACTTTCTTTTTTTTCCCGTTTGATTCTGCTGATACATCGCAGTCTTCTCCTCGATCATCTACGCAAGTTCCCTGTGAGCGATACCGGAGGACTGATGCTTGCAAAGTTTGCCCATTCTCTGTCTTGGTTATCGCTCCTAAAATTTACTCAGGGACATCAAGTCGTACCAAGATACAATTTCAACATTCGGTATTCCCGCCCTCAACGAGCGCTTTGAATTCATTCGACAACTTGGCAACATTTTCCTCGTCCGCCCCGACATTCTCAAGTCGTATATCACGGAGAATTACCTCGGGCGTGTTGATTCCAGCTTGTTGAAGCCATACATTGCCCTCCGCAGCGACTACGCCCAGTTCGAGAAAGGGTTCGCGGAGCTCAACGGTTCAGAGGATGTGAACGCCAGCCGTGGCTTGCGAGATCGGTTTGGCCGTTTATCGGTGATGATGAAGGATTTGGATGGCCTGAGACCGGAAATGCCGAGCATTCCGACGAGTTTGGCGGGCGGCTTTGCGGGTGGCTTTGGGTCAATCTCGACACGGTTTGGGTGAAGATGTAATTGTATTGCTAGACTATGTTATTCGCCTTTGAAGACGGGACGTCGTTTTTGTTTGAATGCCTCGAGAGCTTCAAGGCGGTCGCTGGAAGGAATCAACAAGTTGTAGGCCGCGCGCTCAAAATCGAGTCCTGTTACAGCTTAACAAGAGGCACAAACCAAAACAGCAGCTATACCTGTTTCTAATGGGACATCTTCTGACCGAGAAATGACATGTTTAGCTGCACGAACGGCCAACGGAGCTATCGAAGCTTGAGCTACGCTGTTTTTCATGACAAAAGACCGCCAACCATTGCGAGCAATCATAACCGCCAAGGACAGTGCCTTGTCGAATGCGCTCGGTGAGACGTAATCCACGACGCCTGGAGGATGGTGAACGCTGAGAGAGAGAGTATGATGAAAAGAAAGGTACCCCAATCGAGTGCTTGTTGTGCAGTCAATAAGCGTCCCGTGAATATGAGGTCCTTTGCTTTGCTCTGGCCCAGCAGTCGAGCTGCTCGCTGCGTCCCGCCTGCGCCGGGGATGATGCCCAGTCCGGTTTCGGGTAGGCCGATTTTCTCGACGCTGGAGCCAGCAACGCGCAAATCGCAAGCAAGGGCCATTTCGAGGCCGCCACCGAGCGCGGGGCCGTCAATAGCGCATATTGTTGGCATGGGGAGAGCTTCGAGTCGACCCAATGCATCGCGGAGGTCGGTGAGGAATTCGCCGACTTGGTTATCGGACATGGAGCGCCGTTCTACTAGATCCGCGCCAGCACAGAATGAACCAGGGGTTGTTGACCGTAAGATGAGTGCTCGAATGCTGAGAAACTGTTGTTAGAACTGGAGATGTTTGGATAAACAGGACGCGCCTCCGATCTGAGTGAACTGTTTGGAGGCTTTCTCGAAGTTCCTGCAGTCTTCAGGTCAGCTGAATCCTGAGTTGGATATCAATAACCTTTAGCAAAGTTGTGGAGATGGCGTTTTTGGCCTCAGGTCGGTTCAGGGAGAGACAAGTAATGCCGGGATATTCGGAAAGGGGCTCAAGGAAGGCCTGTTGGGAGAAAGCGCGAGTAACAACGCGTCGGGTGACATTGAGGTGGTGGTGGTGAAAGCGGAACATGTTTCTTTGGACACGCCCATCAACATCATTTGCGGGGTATATATGCTTTCTGAGGTCAATCCAGCTCTTACCCATGCCACCAGGACCAGCCCTGTTGTTCTTGTGGTCCAGGCACTGGTCGGCGTATGGCGCGTTTACTTGACCTTCCCAATGAACTCCTTCTGTCGATTCTGGCCGAACTCGCCCACACACCGCAGGAACTGCTTTCTCTCCCTCTACTCTGTCATCGACTTCACTTTCTGGCCCTCCCCATGTACTTTACCAGTATGGGAATGGGCGAGCCGACCCAAAGAGCCATTGTCCAGATGTCCAACGGCAATTCCAGAGACAGTCTAGACGCGCTCCAAATGGCGTCCTTCATAACCTCTATCGACAACCTCTGTTGCTCATTACCTCGAAATGGACCTTTCGAGGCTGCTGAGACGGTCCGCCATGTTGCTCGTGTCTCTAAGCTGATACACAAGCTAGAATTCGTTCACGAAGTCACCATCGTTTGGGCACCACCCAACGAGCTGATGCAGTCATTCGAAGCTGACAAAGACACGATTGCATGCAGACCTCTGGCGCTTGAGATGGAAAAGCTGCTGAACTGTGTCTTGGAGCATGGTTGCACGTCGCTGACCCTCCAAGGCGGCATGTTTTTCCCAATATCACCCAGAACCATGCGATTTGGGACCATTGACGCGGTTCGGACAGCAACGTCCAAGATCCTACCCACGGCTTTGTCACTGGGGAGGAACGAGAATTGGATCGATGCTCAAATAGAGAGATTCACGGTCGAGGAAACTGCCACACTGAAATTCGACCTCAACGGCAAACCATCTTATCTTTCGCGATTGAACATCAATTCCTCCATGTTCCTGCTTCCACCCTGCATTAATTGGACCCTCTCCGCTCTTCGCTCCTCTGCCATCTCTTCAGTTTCACTCTGTGGCATCTTTTTGCCTACAAAAATGTGGGCAGTTCTCCTCCCGCTTATCGCGAGCATCATACCCAACTTGGCGGAATTATCGCTCGCAGACCTTCATGGCCTCTCTGGTACAGATATCTTAGTATTTTTGACCAGGCTTCCGCTTTTGAAATCGCTTGCAATTGGTTATACCGAGTACAGCCGACAGGTTCAATCTTCTTGCCCTGATTCAGCGCCTACCCCGAAACTCGAGAACCTAGAGCATCTTCATGCACCAAGCACCTTCATTGTTCACTTTCTGAAGAAAAAATCGACGTTACCAAACCTACGCACACTTTGTATTACCCCTAGAAAGCTTATTCTGGGCTACCGGGGACTACGCCACATTCGCCAGTTCATTACGGACATTGCACGCAGACTAGAGAAGCACAGAATTTCTCCCGAGGTGACGCTTGAAATGCGCTGCGGACAAGATATGGACAGGGACCTGACCGCTGATATTGTGGAGCCACTTGGGGAGGAGCTTGCGCGGAGTTTGAGGATGGTTACACGCCTGGTCGTATTTCTCGAGCTGAAACCCAGCAAAATGTCAATCGCTGAGATGGGGACGCTAGCAAGATGGATCAATCGTTTCCCAGGACTGATGTATGTTTGTTTGCGGTTCGACTTGGACAATGCTGTTGAGGATGGAGTTATGATGGACCATGTCAGGACGTTGTCGGAGCAGAACCCTCAAGTCAAATCGTTTCACCTCAACAATGAGGCGTATGATCCAGACGCGCTGTTGTTATCTTCCCTCTGATAAGTAGTGGGGTGTAATGATTGTTTGAAGTCTCGCCAGTCTGTGATTTGCATCCGATGATGAATGGTAAAATGTGCAGATATCAGTACTACCTTAGCGCTCCGCTGCCGGGCCCCAAAGCCTGTGGAATCAGGGATTGGCAACCATGCCAACGGGAGGAAGACAAACAGAAATAGCCGTATATGCAAAGCACATGAATAATAATGGAAGAATAAGTCAGAATCCGTCCAGGGAGGTATAAGGAAGAGGCTAGATCGCCGTTCCAGCGGCGCCATAGAAGGAGTCGAGTGACTGTTGTGTGAAGGCCGAGTCACGGCCAGCGAACGGTCGCATGGGGGCGGCGGGCGCTGCAGAGGTGTGGGAAGGGTGGGAATAAGGGTGGGGAGAGATGGAAGCGCCACGATCGGGAGCTGAGACACTGTAGGTGTTTGTTTGCCCTCCCGAATAGTATTGATTGTACGCCTCGTAAGCCCCGTTGTCGGTGTGGCCACCGTAGGCATTTGCATATGCCGTGTTATCGGTATAGTGTCCAGCGTTAGGGGTAACCGGCTCAGCGTAATAGTCCTGCTGCGGCTCTTGTTGTTCATGAGCACCGTAATAATGCTGTTGAGGAGGAGCAGCATTATTATTATAAGTCGTTCCGGGGGGATAGTTGTACTCGTTTGTGTCCACGAGATAATGGTCTGCACCACCGTAGTTAGGAACTGGGGCAGAATGTGGATCCAAAGCATCATTTCCCAAGGAAACTATGCTGGCCGAGTATCGCTGGTGGTCTTCGACAACGGGGCTTTTAGTATCGAAGAAGGTGTCTCTGGCGCTATTCCGGCTCTCTTGTCGGTGGCGAAAAGTTCGCAGGAAGAGAAGGAGAATAGCGAGGATCACAAGAGCGACGACAGTAAATGTACCGGCCACCGCACCTTTGTTGGCCCAGAAGCCGTTCGAGGTGGCAGCGACCTTGCCGGTCGTCGCAGATTCTGAAGGCTGATCTTCTGGGTTTTCTGTGGTGGTTGCAAGGTCCTTGTTACCAATCGTGCCAGCTTGTTGGATGGCGGGGGGCTTCGAGAGGGTCACGGGAGTAGTAGATGAGGAGGAACGAGCCGGTATGCTACGCCAATAAGAAAAAAGTTGATCACGGTTTGAAGATGTCCTCACCTGGAGACTGAGCTGGATGCTGGAGAAGATGATATACTGCTGATTACACTGCTAGTGGTTGTGGTTGTAGTTGTGGTGACTGGGGTGCTTGAAGTTGTTGTAGACGAACGAGGGGTCGTGGTGGATGAAGAGGGTAATGGTTTGGAGGATGGAAGAGTGCTGCTCACTGAAGAGCGGGAAGGTTGGGAGGAAGATGAGACAGATTCAGTGCCATTGTTTTGGCGAGGGTAGTAGAGAGCGGCTTGAGCAAAGACGGGGAGGGCACATAAGGCCCAAAGGGCCACGCGCATTGAGAGAGAAGAGATGCTGTGACCGAGTAACGCGCCGCTCCCTTATGAACTCCTCCACGACCAACGCACCCCAACTCAGCCTCTCGATAAATCATTCTTCGTCATTCAAGCGCTCTTTCACCAGCCAGTTCGGCTTTGATGAACTTGACAGTCCCGCCGATGTGGACAACACCGACTCAGTAGACAATAGGCGCAAGCGACCACGAAGCACCAGCAGCTTGAGCGAGCCCGAAGCTACTTCATCATCTTCGTCAACGATGAACTCGTTTGAAGGCTCCTCGTCGTCTTCAGGGCCTCGTCGTCACCTTTTACTCGACTTGGAAATAGGACGGGGTCTGGAAAGCAGTGTGGCGCTAGGCTTGGGGATCGAGCATGCCCATGAACCACCTCCACGGCTACCTACACCTGCATTACTGGACTCGGACGATGTAGAAATGGCCGATGCCCTTTTACCAACCGCTGAACAACAAGTTCGTCGCTCAGTCGACCGATTTAATGCATTCGAGAGACATATCAGTATCCTTCGCTCATCTTCTCCCCCCATTATCCCTCTTCCAACTGAACTAACCACCCGTAACTCTCCGCCCACGCTCCCGCCTCTCCCACTTGTTGACTTGGCACTGCACCCTGAAGTGGACAATGGTCGGTCACATTGATAATACGTCTGCATCCATCCATTCTGAATCATTTAATTTGCAGAAACAGCCTCAAGCAATACACCCCCCAGATTGGATCTCAACCTTCCGCCAACTTCTCTTAGTCCTCATTCGAACTCTCCGCCAGCACATGTTCTCACCCACGAGGCCGCCCAATTCCGAGAACGCCTTGATTCAGCCCTTGACGGTCTTGGGACAGGCGATCTCCATTTCGAGGTTCCAATGCCAGACCAACAAGAGCCTGTTCCATCTGTGGCCCCTCTATCTGACTGGCCATCAACAGTCAATAGTGAGCGTGCCGATCGAGCCGGACCTACATTGTCTGTTCCATGGAGGCCTTGGCTTGTCAGACCATCTCAAGCAACCGCAACGACAGATAGAACCAGCGCGGACATACGGAGGTTCATCGGGAGAAGATTGTCCCCTTCTCCGTCGCCACCACCAGCACCCGCCCCACCACCACCACCCCGTCTTTATCCACGACCCGCTTCTCTTGCGGCCCCTCTGAGCGTTGACACAAGTGCTGAAACTCCGCTGGATGCTGACCTCGTCGGCACATACCTCGATTTCCACCGAACTGATGCTTTGGAACATGCACTTGATCGAGTGCGAATGCTTCATCGGGAACGTCGCCAGCAGCGCGAAAGATATCATGAGCGCTTAGAGCAACTAGATCGTGATACCGACTATTCATGGAGTTTTGACACCTTTTTGGGAAACCCGAATCGCCGGCGGAATCGCGACTGGGAAGCCGAAACGCAATCCCGCAGGGAGGCGAGCGATGAAGTGTTCAATCGTCTGGTACGCAGACAAGACCGGGATGTCACACTTGGGCCCTATCGGTTTGACCAACTTGAAAGTGAACCAAACACTTCTTCATCTGCAACATGGCGGCGTTTGAGGTCAACCCTGGTTGAAGAGTCTTCGCGTCGTACCTCCGAAGATGACATGAGTGATCCTCTGCAACGGTTTCGTGGCCGGCGCAATACTTCTCAAGCCCGAGAGGCCGATTGGTCGACAGGAACGGATCCTTTAGACTGGTTTACACCGTCAGGTCTGTGCTGTTAGCTGATTGGAATACGATTAACAATTATTGTCAACTTTCAGCTCAGTCCTCCCTTTCTCGACCTCGCTCATACCGCCCGGAAAACACACAATCCGATTCTCGTTCGTATTTTCCACTCTGGTTGATTTGCTTACTAATACTCAAGATAGCGATAAGCCCTAGATTTGGAACCTGGCAACCACGTCTGGCTTTGTCTCCACCTGCACCCTCAACTGTCCAGCCCACAAGAACAACAGCTCATGCACGGGCTCAATCGATCCCAAATGCCTCAATGAATCCTACCCCAACGTATCAATCTCTCAGTCAACTTCGCACGCGTCTGGCTGGTCCTCTGAGAGCAGCCGCAGTGGGATCATCCAACTCTCTTTTGGCTGAAAGTGTGGCTGCTCGAAGGCAGAGTGCAGCTCGTCTTGAAATGACACTGAATCAAGGACGCAGGTCAGAGTCCAACTCGGATTCTGACGAAGATTGGGACAATATTGCCTCATATACTGTCGAGCCTGAAGATGATGTGGATATGCCAGAAATCGGTGTATTCCGCCCACCGCTTCGTCGCCGTGTGACTAGACCTCGATCTTCTTCTCGAAGTGAGGTAAACCTACCTTTCATTCCAGCACCCACCCCACTGCGACTGCCTCCACCTCGTCACGATCACAATGAGGATGTTCCCTTCAACTCACGACAAGCTCATTATCGACGACCTATCCCTCACTTACGACAACATTCTACTGGGGGCGAGCCGAGTCTTGCCTCCTCTGGCGTTGATCGTCGGCATGTTTCCTGGGAGGCTCCACGTGACCCTGCTGTCTCGAGTACTTATGCCTATCTCTCTGCGCTGTCGCATGGGTTCGATTCGCACGCACTCTCTCTTTCTGATCTTGCCCAGACAATTACGAGTAACTCCGCTGTTAATTCGCCACCCTCACCTCATTGGGATGGGGAGGATGGCATTGATGCTGAGACTGAAGTACCGTTCTCCACTCTTTTTGGTCGTTCTTCTGCTATTCAGGATCGAGAACTTGCTCGTCGACATTCCTCTTCTATATCTCTTCGGGGAAATGTCCCTCGTATCCCACCTTCCTTACCTCCACCAGATCTCGGCGGAGATTTTGAACAAACAGAGAACGCTCTACGGTCAACAAATGTTGACACTACCGGCCTAGAATCTCAGAGGTCATCGTCCATTCGGCCTCCTTCACCACCAAGGTCTCAGGCAGATTCATTTACTGGACCCTTTCGTTTGACGATGCAACGACGCGACGAGTACTCGAGGAGGGCTCTTCGCCGGGAACCGCCCACAATTCCTCCCCTATATTTTGGAGATCAACCTGAAGTTGAGCCAACTTCTTCCTCATCTGCGTTGCCAGACAGGGCAGATACACGAGTATGTTTCGTTTTCTACATGGATGACAAGACACTAACATCGCCTCAGCATCGTTTGTTGGCTTCAAGAGAAAGTCGGTCGGCAACTCCTCGGAGATGGGTGGGACATCCCTCGAGCGAGCTTTCGTCTGTGCACTCGTCGCGTCTAGCGGATGCAGAACGGAGACTTCTCAATTACCTTGGACCCCAAACCCCAAATAGTGACACACCGCGTACAATCCCCCCCTCTTCCAGCGCTACTGCTGCTCAATCTACACATCGACCTCCACGGTACAGTGCTGCTGACATGCACAATGTTCTTGCCCGTCAGGCCCGCTTGGAGGGTTCACGATTGGATCTCCCCTCTGCATTTGGAGGGTCTGACCGCGAATCGAACCCTTTTGACCTTGACCACACTGGCTCGTCATCTGCTTCACGAGCTGAACGGTTTATATCCCAATTCAGAGAGCAACGGCAAACAGCAGAACCCTCTTCGTCAGGCAGTTCTTGGGCTTCGATACCGCGTCGGGCAGATGGAATCAGTTTGGGCGAGGTTCATGCTCGTAGACGCCGTCTTGCCTCTCGTTCATTCCTAGATGACGATAATCGCGCTCGTCCATTGCGTGAATCGTTGAGGGGTAGGATTTCGCCTGGTCATCATACGAGTATGTTCCGGCGGAGGCCCATTGGAGACTATGTGGTGAGTGGATATCATTTTGTTTGTAAAGCTTTCCCTAACCTTATCTGCAGCGGGACGAAGATTTTGATACGTCATATGAGAGTCTACTCACATTGAGCGGTTTGATTGGTGAAGCAAGACCGAAAGGCACCTCAGATGAAACCTTGTCGTCACTGGAGTCGGCGCAGTATCAAGAGTGGGCAACTGCAGATAGCGACCACCGGTGTCCCATCTGCTTGGATGATGTAAGTTTTAATTGCATTCCGTTTTCGTTCTGTTGACGAGTAATTCCCAATAGTACCAACCCACTGACACTGTAATGCGGCTCAAGGACTGCAGGCACTGGTTGCACAAAGAGTGTCTAGTGCAGTGGCTCAAAGGCGCGACCACGTGTCCTGTCTGCCGGAAAGACGTCAAGGACAATAATCCGGCGCGGAGGTCGCATTCGCACAGCTCTGGGTTTGGTCATCCTTTTGGAGGCCCTTGGAGAAGAGACAGGCCAGGAGGCGGTGGTGGCAGTGGGCGGAATGACGGTTGGATCGAGCTCTGGTAAACTTAAAGCTGAAGAGACACTTTGGATTGTCTATGTACAGACTGCACATGAACTTTTTCTTGTTAAATAATAGCCGTCGAATAAATGCCTCTGTTGAGGATTGAACCGCCGGCTTGTCACGTGCACATCGGCGTCACACCATTCTTACTTTTCGCTATGGACGATGATCTCACATTTGGCTCGTCCGTCTGGGGATCGCCTGACCCCGTTCTTCCTCCTCTTTCCCAGTCATTCTCTGCACCTGCCCCACAATTCGATGATTTCGATGATGATTTTGGGGACTCTGCGCCAGTTGACACAACCAACACCGGTGAAGACGACGATTTTGGTGATTTCGGAGACTTTGGCGAGGCAGATGGGGTCCCGGACACCTCATTTGGTGTTGCATTGCAAGACACGGTGCTTCCGCTAGCAATCGCGGCTGCTTGGGAGCCACTCAAGTTAGATCCAATGCCTGACAAGGACGACCTTCGAGAACAGGTTGACACAATACTCGCGCCCATCTGGAGATACGGAGATGTTACAACCAACGAGGGTATCCGTGAGGTAGAGGGAATTAGTCAAATTTTGGTCAGTCCGCAAAGGTGTGTTCTCCAGTCAAAGTCATAGCCTTGTTGTTTAATTTTTTGACCAGTCGGGAACTCTACGCAATGCTTTTCCAGTCTCCTCCACCTACAAAACCGCCAAATTGGACCCGCTCACGCATCCGCCGGCAGCACCTGATCACGCTAGGCATTCCGGTCAACCTAGACGAAGTGTTACCCCCCGCAGGCCAATGGCCATGCCATGCCCCCACTCCAAGTAACAATGCGACCCATGTCTGCACCACCGGGTCCTCACAAGAATGGTCCTGTCTCCGGAGGTCTAGCGCCACGGTCTGGTACTCCTCAACCAGGCGGCAGGGCAGAGCAGTTTGGCCCCAAACCAGAAATAGACAACGCCAAGATTGCGCAATTGCTTGCCTTAGATTCGGGTAAAAAAACTGGTATTATGTCTTCGTGTTGCTCAAGTAACTTGTGTCAGAAACCCTCGCGATACAGCCAATCAGCGTTTTGGAGGGCTACCTGGCAGCCTTACGCACGCAAACTGCAACAACATCAACACTACTTTCCCACCTTCTCCAGACTCGAGATTCGCTCCAACAAGATTCAGAAACTTACAACAAGCTCATCGCAGAGCTTGTGGGTGAGGCGCAAAAAATCAAGACCAAAGGTCGGACGCCCAGCAGAAAAGGGAGCGGCATGAGCTAACGTCTGCCTCGTCTTTCCAATGAATTCAAAAGGAAACTAATTGTCTACTAGTCCGTTGTGCATGCAAGAGAATGGTAAAAAAAATATCATGATGGGCTGTTCGTTCAAGCGTTCACTGCGTTTTTGACAGCCTCCTTGCCGTTTTCCGCCGTCTCGGTGCTCTTCCTCATAAAGTACCTGGCAGGCGTCAGTCATATTGCGGGAAATGGGGATTGAGCCAAGCAAAAATCAACTGACCCGAGAAGCACATCCCAAACGCGCATGCCGTTCAAGCCAATGTTATTGCGAACTTGCGCCTCAGCCACAGACTGTTTGGGAGGCTTGTTGGGATCGTCATTGGGGTCCAGTGCCGCCTTGACTGCATCCGACAACTTAAGCTTGGGTATGGTTCGGTGGGTAGCGGGAGCCGTATGGTAGATATGTTTCTTCAATAATGCGAGGGCTTCTGGCTGTGGTCAGGAACCGTTGTTAGTGCAGTAACCGTAAGAAAGAAACAAGCTCACTGTATCGAGCCTTTTTGCGATGGCCGAGGGTGGTGGTCGCTCGTCATCAAGGTCTAGTGGGCCCCATCGTCGCTCCCGCTCAATGACACCTCCCGTCTCATGCAACGATGCGGAGTCTGGCGTCGTTGCAACACCAGAATCTGAAACATGCTGCAGTCCTTGCTCTTTTGCGTGGGCGATAATTTTCTCGGCCTTCTCTAGATTCCTCTGCCTCTTCTTCATCGCTTTCTCCGCCGTTCGTTTGTACTTCTTGTCCCATTGCTGTTGGCCCTTGAACCACCGTACGGTCGGTTGTTCCTTGATTATTCCGATTTGTCCGGGCTCGATATTCAAGACGTCCATTTCCTCCATTGGTTCCATCGCTCTCAACTCGCCTTTGATGTCGACCCTTTGACGGATCATCCTGGATGGATCCGTCAAATCAGTAAAATGAGGGAACGGATTGCTTGGAGTAGACTCTGCATTCGTGACGTGCTTCACGAACGCGCCTATGGAGCGGTACGCATGTTTGGCCTGAAGTATATCAAAACAATACAGAATCGGATATTGGCTCGCCATACGCTTTCCGTAAAGGTGAAGACAGTCAGAACATGACACATATCTGAGTCTGCTCAGAGTCGCGTGTAAAGGAGGGCAGAAATTCACCATCATACAGTTCAAGATGAACCTGAAGCTTATTAGTGCCAAGCATGTAGCCGAGGCAGAACATACTTTTGTGGGCTCAGTGTAACGACCTGCGTTTTCCTGCTGCCGATGAGCATCCCGGAGTGTTCCTTTGCGAGTCGGAAATTTTTCTGGGTGCGATGCACGATGGGCGATATAGACAATCTCATCACGGAGCACTTCCCCGTCACCTGCCAGGATGTAAAGCGGAGGAAGATTTGCCAAAGAGCCCTGCAAGATCGGGGAGACAAGGGGATGTGTTAACTGCCTTGATTGGGTCAACTCGGGTTTGATGGCTGAGAGGAAGATGAAGAAAAACATACTCGTTGGTCGCGTATAGTTGAATTTGGGAGTGGAGCTCTAACGGGACGGCCTTTGAGTCTGCCATTTGCACCTTGGGCGGCCTTGGTTCCCAATAGTCAATGTCGTATTCGTCTGCATCTGCTTTGGTGGTATCGGGAGGAGTGGACGGTTCTGATCTATCTTCGGCCTCTTCTTGCACCCGAGCGACGGTAGGACGAAGTTGGTCTGCATGCCCAGGTTCCGGCGGGGGGTTACTTTTCGTCGAGGTTACCCGACCCTCTCCTACAAGGTCGATGGGCCATAGCGCACTAGGTTTTGCGAGAAATCCGTGTTCAGGAATTATGTCCTAGAACGTGGCTGAGGGGAGTTATGTGTGTCTTGTGCTATTCAACATACCGACTTGGTATTGTTCATGACGCTGGGTAGTGAGTGCGTAAGATCCACCCAAGGAGAGATGAGAACGGCTCCGGAAGGTAAAGGAATATCCATGTCTCGAAGAACGGACAACATAGAGAGGCATAAACCGCCACCTGCTGAGTCGCCTGCAAGGGCATTGATTGATGGAAAGGGTTGAAGAATGGCCCACTACCTGCTAAAACGATCTTGGAGGGTGATACTGGCTTGTGAGGTGCATTCGGTGGTGGACGAATAAGATACAAGTCTAAAACTGGTGAAATTTCAGGCGCACGAAAAAAAACAGCGACACACATGCTGCAAGTACGTCTTGCAATGGACACGGCCAAGGATATTGTGGAGCTTTTCTGTACTGGAACTTTAGGAGAGAGAGGTGCAGAAATATGGGCGCACTGACCTGTAGTTGACGGCAAAAACTCTTCCCTCTATTTTGCGAGCTAGTGTGATCGCTAGTCAGTCCAGCAATAAAAAACCTTGACCGCGTACCATAGCGTATCAGCTGGTATCTGTGAGTATCTTGGGTTTGTAATCAGTCGCGCGGGATAGAAACGGGCACCATCTTACTTATTGAACCCCAGAAATAGCCACCGCCGTGGACATATAGCATAACCCTTTCAAGTGAATCCATTCTGCGAATGTCGTTGGTTGCTTCGTCTAATGTGTCGTCATCCTTGGTGTCGGGGAGCAAATGCTTCTGTGTGATCCATTCTGCGTCGACACCTTGCAGACCTCGAACTTGCCACCATCGTTCACCTCCCACGACAGACTTGAGCTCTTCAGGGCCAAACCAGTCAATCAAATAGTCGGCGGAAGCATTGCATGTGGTGAGTGGGATGGAGACGGGAGCTACCACGGCCCAATAGGGAGATGGAACATGCGTGTTTGTGCTATAAGCTGTTAGTTGTATACTGGCCAAATTGCCTAGAAGAGGCTAACAATGATTGTAGGCTCTCCACCGTGTTTAGAGTGCCAAATTCAATAAAGGACTTGACTATGTGAAATGCCCTGCCATGAGTGAGCAAGGGCGAGTTCAACCATGCAACACTTGCTCGTCGAAAAAGACACTGTCTTGAGCGTCTTCTTTCTCCTTCCTTTTGAGTTTCTTCTTTGAGTGCTTGAAGAAAGTTTTGACTGCTGTCGGTCCAATGTAGGCTGCGGCAGAAACAGTCGACACCGGCATTTGTGGTTCTTGGAGAGTTGCTGTACGTCATGTCACACGGCGAGATCAAACCCAATCTTATCTTGCCTCTTGCCATCAACTTTTTCCGGGGGCCGCTCGGTCAACAAATGTTTTCCCGTCATAATGAACTCGTATTGCATGCGTGTAGGCCGCTTTGCTTACAGCGCTCATCCTCCCGATGTTCTCGGCCCGTTATGCGCTGACTCTTCTCCTTCTACACGTCGCAGCCATTGCCCAAGCTGCTCCAAGGAGAACCTTACCACGCCCGGAAAATCCCTTCCTCGACCCTAAGCATGACCCTTATAATCCTCTAAGGTCATTGTCATTTGCTTATCGACCTCAATACGTTGAAACTGCCACAGATATATCGCGTCTAATGTCTTGACTGCAATTGCTCTCGGTGCGTCCCTACTCCTACGCCCACATCCATCGCCATTTCGTCTGTCATTCCAAAGAAGCGGCGCTCACGTCAACCGTTTTTCTAATGCCGCTCAGCGTTGGTCCTGATTGTTGCGCTCTCTCAAACGTTCATGGTGCGCAAATGGGGTGCCAAATTCATGCTCTCAATGGTTATCGGCTGCTACACATTCGCGTTGGGTATCGCAACACGATTCGGTCTGCACAAAAACCCGGAATCGAGAGGCCTATACATAGGTCAGTGGTGCGCTTCGCGTGATGGCCTTTCTAAATGTTACCACCAGTTGAATATCTATTCGTCGTTCTTTCGCCTTGTGCGTTCATTGCGGCGGAATATGTGCTGTTGGGCCGTCTGGCAGCTTATCTGCGCTGCGACTCTCACCTTCTTGTCTCCCCACGCCGAATCACGCTTGTATTCATCTTGAGGTCGGTCCCTCAGTTACGCTGATTCGTCCTGTGCTCATACGTGCCCCAGCGACATCATTACTTTCCTCATTCAGGTAATTCAGAGCTGATAAACCTGCATTATGGCTTACTCTCTGTAGGCTGCAGGCGGTTCCGTGTCCATCTCGACGAACACGTTATCTACTGCGGAGAGTGAGTGAAACACATTGTTTCCTAAGGCATTGTCACTGAAGGAATCCTAGCTGGGGCACACGTACGTTCTACAGTCAAAATGCCGCGCTTACATGAGCATACGATGCCCAGATATTCCTCGCCGGACTCGTGCTCCAACTCGTCTCCTTCCTCGTCTTTACCGTCATCTTTATCGTCTTCATCTATCGCGTGCGCTCGTTGGAGCCGGCAACCTGGGCTGTGGACAGCGAAAAGCGCTGGTATCAAGACTGGCGGGCATTAGCTAGCGCGATGACGTTGAGTTTTATCGGAATTCTGGTTCGCTCCCGCACTCTGTGTCGTCGCTCAGCTCAACCCTTGATAGACTCGTTCTGCATATCGTGTTGCAGAGCTGTCCCAAGGATACGCTGGGCCACTTGCCACGAATGAAGGACTATTCTATGGCTTAGGTCTGTGATTGATGTTCCCCAGTTGCAGCCGCCTGATTCTTTCAGACACGCTTCCCTTATTCATTGCGATCTCGGTCTACGTCTTTGCCTGGCCGGGGCGGTACATTGGAAACGGAACACCCTCTGCCCATATCCTTGCTCTAAAGGCAGATTCGCCTAGTACCGTAGAACCCAAGGAATGAATGAAGTCGTTATCTGATAAGATGCACCAGAAGTTGAAAGAGTTGTGTGGTATATTTTTTCAAAAATGCGAGACGTACAACAACATGCAACAAAAGAACCATGCCATGGAAAATTATACACAAGATAGATTAGACTGATATAGCAAAATGATTTGCTCCATTTTTTCACCACGAAGTGGGACCGAAAGTTTCCCCGGGAGCCACCTTGAGAAGACCAACCCTGGAACCATCGAGGGTATTGCTGTAGACGGTGTTGCCCCACCAGGTCTGAATCGTGTTCTCGCCAATGGTGCCGCCCTTGGGGTACTGCAGGATGAAGAAGATGAGAACCGCGGAGACGGCAACACCGGCATCCAGGGCAGCAGACAGGACGTAGTTGTACTTGGTCCACCACGAGAAGTGACGACGGCGAACAACGTATTGGAAGATGAACCCAACCAATGCCCACGAAACCTAAACAACAATGAGTAAAGAGCGACGAGGACAACTGTGACGCAGAGAAACTCACGTAGTTGATAGCAGACGCCGGGGGGATGTAGCCAGTTCCCGAGAAGATGACGGGGAAGCTGCCAAGTAGTTAGCCTCCGGGTCAAGTCCGATTGACTGACTCACTTGATGTAACGGATGAAACTGTTGGGCCACTTCAAGTGGATGAGCCAGGAAATCAGCGGCGTGACAGCGCCAATGAGGAAGAAGAAGACAAGGCCTGTAGGAAATTAGTCACAAAGTACGGATTGGAGGGCGGACAGGAATTACCGTAGTAGACCTGTCCCTTGGAGAACTGGCGAGCCGGACCAATCACACCCCAGATGATGCTGGCAGTACCGAAGACTTGAGTGCTGGGGCAAGTAAAGCCGTTCTTCTGTTCTGAATCACACATGCCCTCGATGTTGGTGAACATCCAGGCCTGGACACCGAGTTGAACGGCTACAGGAGCTGTTCAGCAAATGGACGGAGCATCACATTATCAACTTACTTCCGGCGATAACTGTTGCGACAACTTGGGCCCAGAACATGGCACGGGGAGGGATCTTCATGTAGTGGCCGAGCTTGAAGTCGCTTGTGAACGTCAGGGCTTGTGCCATGGTGATATAGCCCCAGGTCTTGAACATCATCATCGCGACAGGGTGGCCGGGAAGTGCATAGCTGACATCTTCGTTAACGGGCTGAAGTGGAGCAGCGAAATGAACAAACCCAATGATAAGCTCAGTGATGACGTTCAAGCCGACTTGTTGATTGGTGATAGCTTGGATCATACCGATGGGAATAACGTAAACGAAAGCAATCACGAGAGCGAGGATGAAGTATTGAACAGGGAACTTGGTGTCCCAGACTTCGACCACAACTTGAAAAGTAAGGTTAAAAAGGGTAATTGGAGCAAGGAAACTGACATACTGATTCCACAGACAAACATGGAAACGAAGATGATTGCATACCACCATTCAGGCACCTGGGGGTAGACGGCCATCAAGCGCGCATGGATATCTGGCTGCTCGTGCATCGCACGACGAGATTGAGTCCAGATCTGCTTGCGGAAGAAGAGGCTGAAGTTTGGTCAGGACAGCAGCTTAGACACGGTAGAAATGACGGACATTGCGTGGGAGATCGTGGCTGTGATACTGGCGAACGAGAGACCGTATGACAAAGCAAAAGTCATTGAGAGGAAAAGGAGGACTGTAGGCCTTGTATTTCTCCTCGTTGAACGTGAGATCGTCGTTAAGGATAGCAGCCACTGTGTTGATGTTAATAAAGGCTCCGTAACCATCGCAGGAACTCACCAGAGTAGGTGCGACCATGATTGTTGAAGGAGCCACGGCTGGAGATGGGCATATATTTGCTGTACCAGACGTTGGAGAAGTAGAGGGCAGGTGTAAGAATCCAGAAGAAGAAAACGAATCCAGCTGCGACGTTGGCTTCAGCCCACCATGGGGTGGCAAGAGGCGAGCCGATGTAGGCGACCTGGGCCCAGTCGAACGTGAACAGACTCATTCCAAGGCCGTAGTTGACACCGAATAGTTGATTGACAACATTGTTGTTGGGCTGAGAAGTAATCAGTATGACACCTCTTCAGGGTGTAATGAACGTACCGCAATCCAGCAGACCCACGAGAAGTAGGAAAGCGCGGTGAACAGGTAGCCAGGAAGCAAATACCAGACTGCTGAGCATGCGAACGCAATGTAGAAGAAGCGCTCTCGGCTGTATCCTCCGCGAGTACCAATACCGGCATACTCGGTGGAGTGCAGGGTATTGAAAAGAGCGCAAGAGACAAGGTTAGCAGGCCAGACTAAGCACGCATGAGCAAGAGACAACGAAAAGGGACAAAAAGCTCACTCATGGATGGCGGCTGGACAAGGAAACGACGAGCAATACCCCCGATGGAGAAGCCGATCAGCTGAGTGCTCATGACCATAAGCCACTGGAAGCTGAAGTTGTAGGTTTGGTTGTAGAATACTCGCTGCACAGCAACAATGTCGGTGGCGTAGGCGCTACCAGCACCGACAGTAGCCATGATGGTGATCAGCACATGCTCCTTGATGTTGAATGGCCCTGGGTTGAGTGCGACGCCGAAAACGGTAACATTAGGGACGATGCGTGCCCAGAGGCGACCAACGGGAAGCGAAAGCAGCTGGGCAATAATGCCAGTGACAGTGATGGAAGGGTAACGGAAAAAGAAGAACTGGTTGAGGCCTATACGGCGTGGTCAATAGATGTTTGGGGAGAAGTTTGGAAGACGAACCAGGAATGAGGATAGCCCAGATGAGACCAATAACCCAAGCACGAAGAGTAGAAACCGGAATAGTAGGATCGTCAGTGTTTGCGACAGCAGAACGGACTTCAGGGTAGGGCGAATCGTCCTCTGATGAAGAGTGTTGAGGGAGCAATCGTGGTGATAGATAGTTGGACTAACCAGCAAGGCCCTCGATGGCAGCATCGGGGTCGCCGTTGGGGTCATCGAATTCAGGGACATCCCGGGTATCAACGACGGCGACGTCGTGGTCTTGGACCTTTTCCAAGTCGAGAGTCGAGGCACTACCCTTGTCGGCAGACATGACGAGCAAGAAAGGGAAAGGGAAGTGGGTAAGATTGGGGGCACACGACTCTTTTAAACATGGGACACTGTTGATGGCGAAACATGCCCGTGGTAACTCGGCTATTAGCGGTGAGTGTGGACATGTCGACACCGGAGTAAAATGTGGTGAAAGTCATCCAAAATGCGTGGACTTCGAAGCTACCAGCGTGAAGAGGCTGTGCATTTGCCAAGAACTGCGAACCGATCCGTCCAAACTTGCAACGCCATCAGTGCATCGGCATGCAGATAAGAACTTTGTCACATGGTGGTGGCACGAAAAAATAGAACAGCGATCGTCGTTGTTGCGCCCTTGGCGCAAGTAATCGGATCGCGCGGAGGCGATTGATGAAATGATTTTTTTGATATTTCGGTGCCTGTTAGAACCTGTTCCGGATAACGACGAGAGCAAATTCGAGCTCCAAAGGTTTTGACAATGAAAGCGACTAGTTCAGGTTTGCGGCAGATACAGAAGTCACTCCAGAGTTTAGCGGGATTTTTACTCCCAAAAGTTAATTTAAAAAGTACTACTTTTTGCACAAAAATCTATATCACAGGAAACAAATGGTTTCCGCAAAGGGAACCAGTTTGTATAAAGTTTTCCCTTTGTGGAAACTATTTGTTTTCTGTAAAAATATTTTTTGTATGAAAACTAGCCCTTTTTGAATCAACTTTTGGGAGTCAAAAACATGGTAAACTCCGGAGTGAGTCGCGGTAGGTGTGTGGTGGTAGTGGTGGTCAAGTTCCTCGCAACGCATCACCGCCGTGACACATCACATGATTACTTTTCGACCGCTCTGTGGTGCAGCCAATTCCTCACAAACAACCCCACTTTGTTACCTCCTGCAAATCGACGATGTAAAAATACTTTTGGACTGCGGGTCCCCAGATTGGTCCCCAGAAGACCAAACTAATCCAGACACATTTCCCTGGGAGGATTATTGTCAAACCCTTCGCGAGTCAGTCTTCATGCACGTCTACTTCTTGTCGTGAACTCTCTTCCTTTCCCAGACTTTCTTCTACAGTAGACCTCGTTCTTCTGTCCCATGGTGACCTTGCGCATTGCGGGCTTTATGCTTACGCGTATTCGCGATGGAATCTCAAGGCGCCTGCATACACAAGTCTTCCTGTTCAGGCAATGGGACGTATCGCAACCATGGAAGACATAGAGGGAATTCGTGATCAAGAAGACCTTGATGACGACGGGCAAGAGCCTCAGCAGGATGGCGACACCTCGTTACTCGACTCAGACGTTGTTGACTCTCCCATCCAAACTACACATCGCGACAAGCTTAAAGGCAAATACGTGGCGACTGTCGACGAGGTTCAGGAAGCTTTTGACTCTGTTAATACCCTGCGGTACTCGCAACCAACGCGTCTTCAAGGTGAGTCTCCTTTTTTCTTTTCATCCGACAAATGACTCAAAAATAGATAGGAAAATGCCAAGGATTGACGATCACACCGTTCAACGCGGGCCACACCATAGGAGGCACGATATGGAAGATAAGGTCTCCCTCCTCCGGCACTATTCTGTATGCTGTAGATGTGAACCACATGCGAGAAAGACATCTCGATGGCGCTGTGATTATAAGCAAATCTTCTGGCGGAGTCTTTGAACCGTTGGCAAGGCCGGATCTCCTGATTACAGACGCAGACCGGACTCCCGTTGTCAATAGTAAACAACGCGACCGCGATGCGGCGCTCATTGGTGAGTGAATTAATCAACCATTACCACTCCAAGTTGCTAAGCTTTCTATCAACAGACACTGTAACCTCCACCTTGACATCATCTACCAGATCTTCGGTCCTTATTCCTTGCGATGCGAGCACTCGTGTACTCGAACTTCTCGTTCTTCTGGACCAACACTGGAAATTTTCACGGTTATCCTATCCAATATGTCTGCTGTCGCGCACTGGGAGCGAGATGCTGACGTTTGTGCGGGCGATGATGGAATGGCTGGGAGGAACAGTGAGCAAGGAAGATGTTGGTGAAGATGGTGGCAATAAACCTTCAAGGCGGCGGCGAGAGGACGACAATGATGACGATGCATTAGGCGCCTTCGCCCTTCGTTTCAAGTGAGAGAGCTTTACTCGAGTCACAGACAAAACTGATCCCCAGCACAAAGGTACCTCGAATTCTTCCCAAACCCTCAGGCGCTCGTTCAACGCTACTCCTCAACTGACCCCAAATTGATTCTTGCTGTGCCTGCATCTCTATCTCATGGGCCATCGCGAAGTTTATTCACCAGCTTCGCGGCAGTTCCAAACAATGTCATCCTCCTCACGTCCCGCAGCGAGGAGGGCACTCTCGGTCGCGTTCTGTTTGACAAATGGAACGACAGACAACGGGCACAGGAGAAATGGGACAAGGGTCGTATTGGAAGCAACGTAATGATGGATGGAAATATTGACCTGTCCGTAAGTTCTTCCTCTTTGTCTGGCTGACCGTCGAATTCAATTGACGAGTATTTATAGATGCGCTCAAAAGTCCCCCTCCAAGGCGCCGAACTAGAGGCATACATGCAAAAGGAACGCGCTGCGAAGGAAAAGGAGGCGGCACACCAAGCCCAGTTAGCCCGCAGCCAGCGAATGCTCGAGGCCGACGAGGACGAGAGTGATTCCGATTCGGACTCAGATGCTGACGAAGATGAGGTTCGCCAAACTTTGGAAGGGGACGGTATGGACATGGATGGTGACTTTGAGGGCATTGGCAAGAAGCGCAAAGCCGATAAGGCCCTTGAAAATGCCGATTGGGGAGACGGAGACGAAGGGCTGACGAAACAACTTTTGTCGTTTGACATCTACCTCAAGGGTAACGTCTCCAAAGCGAACTCGTTTTTCAAAAGTGCTGGTGGACAGAGCCATCGTTTTCGTATGTTCCCCTACGTGGAGAAGAAGCGGAGGGTGGACGACTATGGAGAGACTGTTGACGTCGCCATGTGGTTACGGAAGGGAAAAGTTTTTGAGGAAGAGGCGGAGACCGATGAGACGAAAGACTACCGGAAGAGAAAACAAGCAGAGGAAGAAGCCAAGGTGGGATTCACTTTCTATGATGATTTTGACTCAGTAAATGTAGGCGATTCAAGAACCGCCTTCCAAGTTTGTTGTTTCCAGCGTCGAAGTCCAGATGGCTTGTCGATTACTTTTCGTTGATATGGAAGGTCTGAACGACGGTCGAGCGGTCAAAGCTATTGTACCACAAGTCAACCCACGGAAAATGGTATCCTCCGACGGTCTTCGCAATGCTCATCTAACCATGCACAACAGATTATCGTCCATTCGTCTACGGCGGCGGCTGACGAGCTCATCCAAAGCTGTGCCAACATCCGTTCGATGACCAAAGACATTTTCGCCCCCGGCCAGGGTGAAAATGTGCAGATCGGCCAACAAACCAACAACTTTTCAATCTCTATCAGCGACGAGTTGCTCGCTTCTCTCAAAATGTCCACGGTATGCTGTCGTTCCTTGGTGTGTTCAGACTTTGCGTAACTCACGTCCCTGTAGTTTGAAGACAATGAAGTCAGCTTTGTAACCGGGCGAGTCGTAGCGCATGCGAGCTCGACCATCCCTGTTCTTGAACCCATTGCAGACTCGCCAGCTCCTTCCGTGCCAACGGGTATAACCCGAACAACGCTGCCAAATGTCCCTGGAACAAGACCTCAAGTGGAGCTCCCTCGGTCAACGATGATTGGAGAACTAAAACTGACCGCACTCAAAACACGTTTGGCTTCTGTTGGCGTCCCTGCAGAACTCATTGGCGAGGGTGTCCTCATCTGTGGGCCAGCAGCTGGCAAAATGGCCATCTCAGATGCAGTCGAGCACTCAGTTGCAGTGCGAAAAACTGGAAGCGGGAAAGTGGAGTTGGAGGGATCTGCTTCGCCCGTTTATTACATGGTGCGGAAAGAAATATATAATCTACACGCCCTCGTAGCTTGAATTTGTAATCTGTATTATTCATTCTCGAGCAACCTTCCAATGCCACAGCCACCGCTGGAAGCGGTTTTGAGCATCCTCAAGCAGTCTCTCGTTCACCTGTGCGAAATAGTAGTTCCAATCAAAGTAAAAGTCTGGAGCTTCAGGAAAGATACTGGTAAACACGGCAGTGAAAGTTCGGGCGAAACTTGCTTGGGTTTCTTGATTCCGTAGGTTGTCCTCGGTCAAATTAGAACCTTGTCGCTTGTTAAGGCGCTGAACGGTCTCTTTGATCCAATCGTAAGTCTGGGCAAGAGGACAAACCCCAACGAGGTCGTTGATTTTCTCAGACATCGGCCAAGGCGGTCAGCCACGGCGCAAGTCAGCACAAATGGCAGAAATGGCACCTGAAGAATTGCGATGATACTCTCCAGACTCTCCATGCGGATAGTATCTTGTGCCTGGAAGGTATGAATGAGTTGAAGAAGAGACTGGAATGACCAATACCTGATCAATTTCTCTTTCGATGTTTTGCGCCTTCAAAGTCGTGGGCTCTGAATCGTCATGCTGGCTCGTGAGCGAGGAGGGGTCGTTTGAAGCAGCGCCAGTGTGAAGTTCGGGCATGTAGGATAGAAACAAGGCGTGAACCTAGTGGGTAAGTCTTACATCTCCTAAGACCACCCACACATCTCATCATTGCATCTAATCTATATCCACGTGACCGAGTACTGACAGCCGCAGTTATTCGCCGAGCACACGCAGGTCCCCAATCGAGGCAGTAACATAGTCCGGAACGATGCTCGAAGCATTGGGGCCAGTTATTTCCGCCTCCGTAGTAATTCCTGCAATGGCTCAGCAAAGGCTTGAACCGCGGAGGATGGCTTATCGAACCTGTCAACACAAGGAGCGTAGCAAGACCACCGTTCTGCCCAAACAAAATATCGGTGTTCAGTCTATCGCCGACCATAATGGTGCGTTTCGGGTCATAGTCGACTCTTCCAAGAATGTTTCAGTATAATGATAAGACTGGAAGAAGCTACGCACTTGGCCTTGATACAATCTAGCATTGTGCTTGCTGGCTTTCCAATGGCGATCGGGTCTTTTCCGAGTGCATAGCGCAGAGGAGCGCTGATAGCGCCGGCTCCGGGCAACAAGCCGCCTCCCGCTGGGTACGTGCTGTCCTCATTAGTCGCGAGGAAAAGACATCCCGGGTTGCGCGTGAGGTACTGGAAAGCCTTTGACAGCTTCGTGTAGTTGATCGCAGTGTCCAGGCCACAGACCACCGCGCCGACATCGGGATCAAGAGTGAAGTCAGCAAGAGAGAACGGCTCGACAGTCGAATCTGCTGGATCCTACTTCTGTTTGTAAACTCAAACGAGAAGAATTGTTACTTTGACAAGCGCACCGTTCCCCCAAGAAAGCTCAGACCCTCATCGTGCAATTCCTCCTCGAGACCCTTCATTCCGATGACATAGACCTTCTTCTCTTTGGGAAGTTTGACGACGGACGAAATGTAGACCGCTGCAGCATATGCAGACCCATAAATCTCGTCCTTCGTCCCTGCTCTTAGCCGGAGTTAGAGAGCTGAAACTGGTGTCACCCACGACGTGTGCTTCGACGCCGAGTTGGTCGAACTTGCCCTTGTAGCTCTTGCGCGATTTGGTGGCGTTGTTGGTAACAAAGAGGACCTTCTTGTCTGTGTTGTGGGGTGAGATTTAGTGACAGCAGAAGTAATTGTTACACGCACTTCGCCGTCGAAGAATGTCCAGGACTTGAACAGCCCCTTCGATTAGACGATCTCCATGCCAGAGGACGCCATCGCAGTCGAACATCCACGTGTCATACTTGTCAAGAAGCGACTCGTAGTCGGCGTTGGAAGACAACCGCGCACTCATGAACCACCAACGTTGAGAGCAAAGTTAGCATCAGATCAAACCCCCCATCTACGCGAAGTGCAACAATTACAGACCAATATCATACCGAAGCCTTGCCCGAGTCCTCCTTCAAGCTAACAATCCGATTCAACACCACATAATCACCCTGCTTCCGAGTCGGTGCAACGCTCTCCGGCTCTTCTAACGACCCAATCCTCGAATCTTTATCAACAGCGAAATACGCAACCCTCAAGCCCTGGAAGCGAATGCACTCGTTGCCCACCAGCTGATCACTCGTCGCGCGAGGTGTGTCACTGTCAGTTGCATCTGTTGGTGCACTGTCCTTTAAGGCCTTCTCTGTTCGGGCCTTGCCCACTGTTCGAGCTTCTGATATCGCGCGTTTAGCCAGGGACCAGAATCCAACCTCCACCATTGCGCCTTTGATGACCTCCAGACTATTCGGATCTACATCGTCAAGGAAGTTGGCGGACGGCTGGTCGCTCTTGAACAACTGGTGGAATATCCTTATCTCGTCAACATGGACTGGGCTTCCGGATGCTGGATGTTCTGCAACCCATTGGATGAACGCTTTAGGCTTCTTGACCTCTCCCGTATTTTCCAAGCGACAGATGAGTTCGACGACCTCGCCTGAAACCGGATCGGTTTTGTATGACGTGCACGTGATCGGATGGGGAGCCTGGAAAAGGCCAACCGTCTTGCCTGGCGCCAACCTGAAGTAATCCTTCGAGTCCTCAAGCCGGAAGTCATCAGCCTCGATATATATCGTTCTCGTGAAAGGAATGCTAGATGTGCCGAGCGACGCGACCTTTGGATGCAAAGGTTTCTCAACCATGAGCAGGTAATCTTCAGGCAAATTCTCGATGGTGACCTTGAGTGGTCGGAGAACCATCAGTAGCCTCGGCGCAGTGCTTTCGAGGTATTGGCGGACTGCCTGTTCAAATCGCGCCAGTTCTGTGTTGGAAGTTGCCGTCGATACCCCCAGCGTGCTGACAAACGAGATGATGGCGCCAGGCGGGACACCACGTCGACGAAGAGCAATGAGCGTGTAAAGTCGGGGGTCATCCCACCCGCTCACATAGCCCTGCTGAACGAGAGCTAAGATTTTTCGTTTTGACATGATTGTTCCCTCAAGGTTGAGCCTGCCGAATTCAGATTGACGCGGTTTATAGACATCCAAAGCATCGCAAAGCCACTCGTAAGACTGGCGCGAGGCGACAAATTCGGTCGTGCAAAGCGAATGTCTTCGGGTTCCCTGATTAACAGCTCACGAGACCGAGACTAGAATACGCACGATATATTCTCGAAACTATCCACCAAGCAATGGGTGTAGTCGTATGTCGGGTAGATTTTCCACTTGTCGTGTGTTCGGTGGTGGGGAGTTTCGAGGACCCGATAAGCGGTCAAGTCCCACATCTGGGGGTTGCCGTCGGTCAAATCCATTTTCATTCGTAAATTGGCCTCTTTTGGTCGATAAAAGCCGTCCTTCATCCGTTCAAACTCGACGAGTGATTCTGAAATTGGCCTTGATCGGTGAGCACAAGCTGTCGGTAGCTGTCCGCTCTTTTCTCCACGCGATGCCTTGATTTCTTCTTCTGTAAAAGGAATGAGCAGTTGTTGGACAGGGGGAAATAGGCCAACACACGAGTGCAATGGCAAACATACGCCTTGTCCCGTTTGATGAGTTCCACAGCAAGCTCGTACAGCTGCTGGAAGTAGTCGCTCGAATAGGTGATTTTCCAAGGCTCGAATCCCAGCCAGCGAACCATTTCCAGAATGCTCTCGAAATACTGCGCCTCCTCTTTCTCTGGGTTCGTGTCGTCATATCGCAGGTAGGTTTTACCGCCATGATGCGCTGCATAGCCAAAATCGACGAAGATTGCCTTGGAGTGACCAATATGCAGATAACCGTTCGGTTCTGGGGGGAAACGCGTGAACACCTTGCCGCCTGTTACTGCAAGATGCTGGTCGCGGAGCTCAGGACGCGTCTGAGGGTTCTCTCCTGGTCTGTGCAGTGCCCCAAGGAAACCTTCTTCAAAGACACTTTTCTTAGGAGCGCTGCTATCTTCACTAGTTTTGGCGGCGGGATTAGCAGATGCCTTTTTAGGCTCCTACATCGCATAATCAGAGTGAGAGCAAACCTACAAAAAGTTTCTTTTACAGACCTTGGCTTTGGGTTTCGCGGCCTCCTTCACACCAAACTTATCTAGAAACACCTTCTCCGCCGCATTCTTCACCTCGAGCGTATTCGCCCATCTCAGCTCAGAAATGCCCTTCACGGCACCCAACACTTGTCCCAGATTGGCCCATCCAGCAACCGCCGTCTCAGTTGTGTACTTTGCGATTTGGTCGTATAGCTCCTGAGCCGTTATGCTGAAGCCCACCCCACAAGCCTTGTCAAAGTCCGCAGAGTCGATGGGTGTTGGATGAGTCTCAACATATTTGACGGCGGCTGAGTGAATGGGAGTAAGACGCAAGATGTCAAAGACGCGTCGGATAACAACACACCAGTGACCTGGTCCACACTCTTCAGCTGCCCTTCTGCGATCTTGCGCACGACATACTCGCGTTTCTCCAATGACACCGGTTCCGATTTCACGAGTTGCCCGGCAAGTGCTACGATAAGACTCGCTTGCTTCTCGTCGAGCTTTCCGAGTGAACTTGACTCGACGATCGACTGGAGCTCTGCTGCGATTTTTGGCGATTTTACTGCTTCCAAAGCTTTGGCGTGTGGAAGTCCAATTGCTTCCAGCAGCGGAACCACCGGATGAGTGGACATGGTCGAAAAGCAAGATAGTGAAATTCGAGTCACAAAGTTTACAAGTTTGTTCCTCAAATACTCAAAGCTAATCACAGAACATAACGATAGCCACTCCAGTTGTCCCCCTTCTCCCGTTTGGCATCTTCCACCGTCTCAAACCGCCCATTTCCGTTATCCGCTAATGTCTCCGGGCCAATGACCTCGTCTCGTTCACCACGGTCCCGTCGAGCGTTCTCTTTCCTGATCAGATAGAGGAAGAGCGAATTGGCGATGATGCCCATGCAAATATACATCAAAACCAGTCCTAGTTAAGAGTCAGTGGCAGGAACCACTCAGGAAGCGGAATTGATTACCATGACCTAAGTAGTGGTAGGGTTGATTAGATTAGCTTCAGAATTGACTGATCTGTGAACTGACCCAAATGATACCGTGGTTGGTCGCGAGCGCGATACTAAGGAAATTTTCATGGATGAAACGCGGACAACTCTGGTCCACGCACCACGTTAGAGCTCACAGCTCCATGCAGATTGCCCCTACGATCGTAAGTCGGAGAGACATTCACAAAGGTTTTTTCTTACATGCCAATGGCCGCCGCCAAAGTGACACCGCGCTTCACCGATCCTTCATTGTTGTTTGCAATCCACGTCCTTTATAAAGGGTCAGGCAAGTTGCAAGCACAAAACTGCAGCTGCCTACACTGTATTCGCTGAAAGAATTGTCAATTTTTATTCAGGCACGAGCGCAGTCACTTACGTACGGCAGGGAAAATTCCCCTGTCACAGTGAGATCAAATGCTCTATGGTGAAAGAACTGATAGCTCACCAACTGGCAACATAGACAGCAAAATACGAGAGCGGAGCATTCTTTGAAACGAGCAAAATTACATAACCAATGGCGGCTAAAAGAAACTGTCAGCCATTACAAGCTGGCGAAGTAAACCAAAGATCACAAAGCAAAAGCAGGGCTCTGACGCGAAGTCATTAGACAGAGACCATTCAGACTTGTTGACGCACATATTCCACATTCCTCTATTCCCATATCTATCGACCCAGACGGCGACGATAACGGTCATGATTGCCGCAGAAACATATATGGGGACAGACATCAGATTGGCCTTGGTTGCCTTGAAGCCTAGTAGATTCAGCAAGTTTGACTCGACACCAAGAGAGCATTGAACGAACCAAGCTGCAGCATCATCAGTCAAGTCATTCACTCTTTATGGACTGTGACAAACCTGGCTGACGATGGAAGGAGTGAATAACGAGAACGCATACAAGGGCATATTGCAGCCCATCACTTGGACCACTGAGAACAGTTAGACCAGGTTTGAGTCCAAAATCAGCCACGGACTATTGATCCAAGTCTTCTTCTCCTTGAGACTCGCGACGATGCTCTTCCACCGTATACGCTCACCTCCAGCCGAAAAGAGGCCATCATCTTGCAGTCTCCGGATGACAAACGTCCGTTCCTCCTCGGTGAGGAACTTTGCAGTGTCCGGGAAGTCTTGAACAAACCAGAAGGATAGTATTCCGACGACGATGGTGACAAGACCTTCAAGGATGAATATCCACGCCCATGCTGGCCTTCCTGCAATGCCGCCCATATTCGAAATCGCAGCCTGGACATAGATCAGAGGATTGATGGCATGTTCAGCAGTTGACGAACCGCAAGAAGCCCGCCGAAAGCGCCAGCTCCCGTGGCTGAGGTAAATATAGCCGCTCGAAGCTATTTTGGGAGCCTCAGCGAAGCTCGTCTGACAGATAATGGCACAACTGACGCCCAATTCAGATCGCTTATACCAGCTATTCAGTTTGAGTATATGGAAAGGAAGAGTAGGATGAGAAGACATACGAGCTTGAATGATAGACAATGCCTAACGCATCGTGAACAAGCCGCAAGCAAAAGACGCGAATACGAGCACTTACCTGGATACAGGCCCGCCTCAAAAGTCCCTAGCATCCAACGAAGTGCTGTGGAAAAGGTTCATATTATTCGAACCCGATGAATCAAGAGAACACCGACTCGTAATGCCGCCGAAGTTGTGTGCCACTCCTTGAAGGGTCTACGGCAGTCAACAAAGAAGCTTGACGCATAGTTATGTAACACACCATGATCAGCCCCCACCCAATCATGATAGTTGAAAACCAGACTGCTGGTCGGAAACGCTTGAGGATGATGTTGGACGGAATTTCGAAGGTTGCATAGCTGAATAGTCGGTTTTCCTCAATGTAATTGGGCGTGAAACATACGCAATGAAGAAGACAGTCAAGGCAATGAGATACTGGCTATCTGTGATGTTGAGGTCGGCTTCCATATGGTAAAGCTGAATAGCATCAGCTTTTATTGGGGCTTCGTCGCATTGCTTTCAAGCACCTTTGCACTGTTGCTGCTTCAGACGGCATGTAGCGAGACAATATAGCCACTCACTTTCCAATACTCGTCCGGTCGAGAAATGAGAGCATGAAGAGAAGTGAAAACCAGGGAATCAACGCAAAGTCGATCTTGCGTATAAGCTTCTTCTCGTCGACACCCGACGTGTCCACTTCCGAATTGTATACTGGCCGGAGGTCAGACTGGAAGGAGCTTGTCTTCTCCTCGAGGGCACGGACGGACTCGGAGTCGGGGAGCGACGATTTGTCCATAGCCTGAGTGGTGGTCGAAGTAAGGTTCGCGAGTCTGGCGATAAGGTCACTTGTCCTTCATAAGTGGGATGCTTATGATCAGGGTGTGAAGCTGGACAGGCTGGGTCGGCTGATAACAGTGCGTTTGGTCGCCCGATAGAAGATGTGCCAGTTCTCGACAGGTGCAGCCTTCTCTACAACACACGGACTGTACCGGGGAAATCCAAACTAGGATAAAGGCTCACTAGCGTTCACTACCTGTACCAGTCTTGACATTGCGGTTTTGCAAATATCCAAGGTACCAAACATTCACAGCTAGAATTTTGATTTCGAGAGATAGAGACCACAGCCGTTATCTTTCCATTGAGTGTAGAGCGAAAGCATGGGATGAATATGCGGACAGCTGGCGTGACAAGAGGTGCTTCCGTGCGAGTTCGTCAGGGCTCCGAAGGAGTTGGTGGTTGTTCTTTGAAAAAAAGGTCCGATTTAGTCACGACCACGTGCCGTAGCTGTCAAAACCACACAAAAGTACTTCAACAGCTTATCGGCATGTTATTATTTCATAAACGACTATACAGATGCACTGTCTCTTCCGGCACTCTCTCAGCGTTTGAGTGCTCAAATGTCTTGGCCAAATGGCGACGCAGCTCTGAGATTCCCTTTCCGCTATAGACGTAAAACGCCTTTCGCTGAGCAATAGTAAAATCCTGCAGAGCAAGCGTTTAGTTAGTTGAAACGCTGCATACAGCAGAAGACAACGAACCTCTGGCGGCTGGCGACAGAATTGGCGCAATTCAGGGCGCTGGCTGAAACTGGTGACACCAGTCAAACTCAGGTGGTCCAACTTGTCCGCTTTTTGCAGCAGGGCATGGATGGCTTCGACCGAAATTTGGTCGCAATAAGAGAGATGGAGACGCTCCAGTGTTCCATGTAGGCCCTCTGCCAGACCGAAAATGGCCTTGTCTGTCAGGTTCAAGCAACGGACTAGACCGACTCGGCGCAACTTGGGGAGTGCAGCCAACTCAAAGACGGATATGTCGGTCAGGAGGGTACACGACGCGAAGTCAACATATCGCAAACGAGTGCATGCATGCACGAGCGCGCGAACAGCGCCATCAGTAATGTTCCCGAGGTGTCCGAGTTCAAGATGGTGTAGGAAATCGCCCAGTTTACAGATCGCGTCGACACTGCGGTCAGTTAGCTGGCTGCATTTGTGTAGGATCAGGTGACGGATGTGTGGGGCGTGCGCTATGATACCCTCGATAGCCGCATCCGTGATGCCCAGGCATTCCCTCAGGTCAAGGACTCGAAGGTCCTCAAATGTTTTGCCGATGACGAGTGGCATAGCGGATGCCCCGACTTGGACCGCAGCAGGGAAGGCAGCATCAGTAAGCTGCTCGCAAGATGATAACCGCAGTTCTTGTAGATGATTCAAGTGAACCCAGATATCGCGAATGGAAACATCGGTTATGAGCTTGCAATGGCTGAGGTCCACTTCGCAAAGGAGGGGGCAAGAAGTTGCCAACGCAGACACAGCATGGTCCGTAAGCTCTTCAAGGCCACTCAGTGTGACTCGACGAAGCAGAGGGCAGTTGCCTGCAAGGGCTAAGATCCCTTCATCCGAGACACTTTTGCAATTCGTAATATTGATTTTCTGCAGGTGTGGCATGGACGAGGCCAGTTGGACAATCGTGGTATTGTCCGTGTTAACCACCCCAGTGAGGTCGATGGAAACAAGGGACGTCAGAGCGGGCAAGACCTGATTCAGCGCGTCCGTCGCTACTTGTTCAGAATCAACCAGCTACGTCGCTACTTGTTCAGAATCAACCAGCTTCAGGCGCTGGAGGCGTTCACTAAAAGTGGGGTCGCGAAGCTCTTCAGTGAGGGATTGGAGGTTGAGTCGGTGAGTGATTGAGTGTTTCGTGGATTGTGACCTGGAGTGAGGGTCCATGGATATCGCGAGCATGTCTTGAAGCTCGAAGGCTTCCTTGGAGTTGGAAGTAGACTTGCAAGGTCCGAATACTTATTCATGAGTAGAGGCTGGGGCCAGCGGGGTATTGATCATTGACAGGTCGCGTGACTTGGGCGTGTTGTGTTCGTGTTTGGAGGCTCTTCAGTCCTCACTCACTCCTCAGTGGTACGAAATAATATCTAACTCTAAACCAAATTTATTTCATAGGGCACAACACACAAACTAATATCCTTGGGTCCGGAAAATGATACAAAAATTACGAGTGCTCATACAGATGAAAATTGTTTCCTACAGAATGTAAGGCAGAATATAAGGGCACGGCAAACAGGAAAGAAACGGTTAAATGTGGGACAAATCATTCCTAATCCTCTGTGGGTGGGGAGCGTCGACCAAAGATGAGCGACGAGGCATATTGCTCTGCTGCGTTAAGCGTATTGCGTAGGCTGCGCTTCACACTTCTTCCGCGATGGTCTGGCCTAGTTGCTTCACTACCCAAAGCAGATTGGACTGAGTCGTGCAGCTCGCGAGTTGTTGGAGAGGATGGTTCACGGTAGGGCCATGCAACACTACTCGAAGAGCCCGCCAACGTCGTTGTGGTTGATGATGAAGGGTATGAAGAGGAAGGCACCGAGTCCACCTCGACGAGAGGTGGCCGTCGCCCTTCTCTTCTGGCATTTTGTGCGCCACGGCCATGACCGATCTCTGCGTAATTAAGATCAGGCGTCAATGCTCCAGTCCCCTGTGGGGAGACAGGCTCCTGGTAGGTTCGGAAGAAGCCTGCCCCGTTAGTCCGACCACTGCCTTCACTGGGAGCTGGTGATCTTGACGTCTCTACAATGGGTAACATATCTGCAACTCCGCTGCGAGCATTCTGGCGAACAATGCGGGACGGTCCTGGTTCTTGTTGACTGCGATTCGAACTCCGTGGCGTAATATGGGCATCAGCTATTGGTGTAGCCGTAGGGGTTCTCGATTGACGTTGCCTTTGTGAAAAAGATGGTTGTACTGGTGGCGGGGGATTGGTTGGCAACCTGTTTCCACCACGGACAGAAGCCAGTTGCTGAAGATGAAGGAACATCCTACGTGATCCGAACTCGTCATCTTCTTCGATTTCTTCGGGTTCAGGCTCAGGCGTATCCTCTTCACGATAAGCTTCAGCATCCATCATCTCTTCCTCCTCTTCTTCAGTGTCGTCTGTGGCATTCATTTCCGTCAAATGATCAAACAATTCTGTCAAAAAGCCACGGAGTTGGGAAACTCCCTTCCCAGAATAAACGCAAAATGCCATTTGCTGAGTGGTGCTAAATTCCTATGATGGGATCAGCTACGGATCACAGATAAATAGAGAGGAACAAACATGGGGCGGTTCACGGCAGAATCGTTGGAGTTCAGGTTGCCGGAAAGCAGGTACGCCGGTCAAGCTCAAATGTGTCAACTTGTGCAGCTTTTGCAACAAGAAATGGACGGCCATGACCGAGATTTGATCGCAATAAGACAGATGTATCCGTTCGAGAGTCGCATGTCGGTCTGCAAGAGCGAAAATTGCCTCATCTGTGAGATTGCTCACGCGTACTAAGCCAACGCGGCGAAGTTTAGGGAGCGCGGACAACTCAAAGACCGACATATCAGTCAAGAGAATGCAGTCTGTTGGGTATCAGTCAGCTCGTCGAAACATCTAGAAATACCGCCTACTTGCGAAATCAACGTATCTCAGTCGGGTACAAGAGCGGGCTAGGGTGCGAACAGAGCGATCCGTGATTTTGGCGGCATGGCCGAGATGGAGATAGTGAAGGTACCGTCCTAGTTTGCATATGTTTTCAACGCTGCGGTCGGTCAACTGCCCACATTTGGAAAGCACCAGATTACGAATGCGAGGAGCGTGTGAGATGATGCCATCAACGGCATCGTCCGTGACCTGAGAGCAAGCAGTCAGGTCAAGCATCCGAAGGTGCTCAAATGTTTTGTTGATTACGAGCGGAGGCAGGTCGGAGGAAACAACCGTATTGGGGAATGGATTAGGAGCCTCAGCAGTTTCTAGTTTGATTGGAGCGGGGAATGCTGCGTCAGTCAGCTCAGGGCAATGGGATAGCCGCATTTCGCGCATATGGTTTGAATGGATCCAAATGTCCCGTATGGAAACATCGGTGACAAGTTTGCAGTGGTTGAGGTCTATTTCGAGAAGAAGGGGGCAAGAGATGGCGAGCGCGGAAACGGCCCGGTCTGTAAGGTCTTCTAGGCCACTTAATTTGACTCGGCGAAGAAGGGGACAGTTGTTAGCAAGGGCCAGGACTCCTCTGTCTGACACGCGTTTGCAACCCGCCAGATTGATCCCTTGTAGACGCTGTGCCGAAGAGGCGAGGCCAACGATCGCAGTGTTGGACGTATTGCCCACGCCCGTGAGATCGATGGCAACGAGGTGGGTGAAGCATGGCAAGACTTGACTTAATGCATCTGCCGACACATGTTCGCAGTTTACAAGCGTAAGCCGCTCCAAACGGTCGCAGCGAGCAAGGACATTGAAGGTACGGTCACGAAGCTCTTTTCCAAGGGATAGGAAGTTGAGTCTGCGGATGAAACTGGCGTAGGTGAATGTCTGGTCCGGAGAGTCGAGGAGAGCCGCCATTTTTACGAGGGTGTCGTACTTTGGGAAAGCTGGTTTATGCCAAAGTAGCTCCACGGAGCACTCACACCAAGTCCGACTGACTTGGAGAGCAGTATGAAGGTCTTTTACTGCATGGAGGTGTTTGAGAATGTGGATGAGGAGTTCTGGAGGAATGCGAGATATGGGGCTGAGGGTGGTAGCAGGGGGTAGAAGGGAGAGTCGCTTTGTGTGGGACCATTGGGCCGGCGACAAGACAAGGGTGTCGCTGTCGTCCTCCTCTATGACGGAGGTGTTGTGCTCGTCTTCATCGTCGTCCGAGAGAGAGCGGGAAGAGGGGTTACTATGCTTATAGACCATTCGTGGTGGTTCACCAGAGAGAACAAGGCTCCCACGTGCACCTGATGGATTTGGAAGAATCCCCACTGTCTGGTGTCGAACTCTACAATGCGCGTAGGGCTCGCTGGCTCACTCCTCCGGCCACGCCACCAACACCAGCCGAACCAACTCCCTCATCAACGTCCAGGAGACGACTCGAACAGGTTCTCAATGCTCCCGATGCCTTAACCAACGACGATGTCTGGTATGGCAACATCGAGAAGATATGGAAAGGCCTTAGTGCTGGGGGCCGACTTAAGAGAAGACTACCAATGCAGCTTGTGGTAATATGGCTCCCCGATCTATTCCCAAAATCTCAGCTTCGAAAACAGGTCAAGATTGTTCATGCTGCTTGGCTGAGAGATAACACTTGGCCGGCCGGTGCTATCGTCCAAGAGGACGACGAATTAGACCCTCCTCCAGCCCCGGTATTGGCACCCACGTCAGCCCCGTCGTCAGGTATATCGACGCCATGGACACAAGTTGAGGAGGGTTAGATACACAATGGAATTTTATGACGAGCGCTCAATTCACGTTCGCGACGGAGGAGAAACCTGCTTCGATTTGAGCGGCAAGGCACACAGGACAGAATTTCGATGACTGACCAATATAACGCCGTCCCCACGGACAAACAACATCTCTACTTTTCTTTTTGCAACCTGCTCAATAATTAGCCTGGAAATCTCATGGTCGTCATCGCGCACATTGACAGCGGTCGTAGCTTCGTCTACAATCATAATCGTCTCTTCAACATCACTCATTATAAGGTTCATGTGTCCGTCGTAAGCCTATAAAAACATCAGCGATCGTTCAAAGCCAAACGCGTCGTAGTACATGTAAGATTCCCGTCAGTTCTCTGTCTCCTCTGAGCTTTACAAAGACGCGTTCGCTGAGAGAGAGTCTTATGAGGTCGAATGGTTCTTGTATTGAAGACGTCTCCATCGTGGTAAGAAAGCAAACAGTAGTCACAGTCGGCGCATCTCTTGTTCTCGACCATAACAATGCCTGTAATTTTTCTCTACTTTGCTCTCTCTTCCATGGTTAATCTGGTTTAGAAACACTACTGCGACTACTGTGATGTTTTCTTGACTCACGATTCCACCTCTGGTAAATTGCATCAACTTACTAGCCTTGGTTGATTCACACTCAGTGTAGTCCGCAAGGCACACAATAGTGGGCGGAATCACCTAGCGAATGTTCGCGACTACTATGCTTGTAGGCTATGTTTTTCGTCATCCACATTTTTTGCTCACGCAAGGCAGCACTTGGGCACGACAAAGCTCAGAGTATCATCGACCAAATTACTTCTGCATATGAGACTGGCAGCGGCCCACCACCTGGTGGTTTCGGATTCGGACCTCAACACCTCGTTGCCCAGCCGCCTCCTGGGTTTGGCGGTCCGATGCCCCCGCCAGGCTTCGGTGGTCGTGCGTTTGTGGTCTAACATATTCAATTCCCGTTAACTATCTCATAGCTCGACCTCCCTTCCCACCTGGTATGGCTCCGCCCGGTATGATGGCACCGCCATTTCCACCTAATGGTCCGATGGGAGGTGAGTCGTCAATTTCCACATTACTTCCCTTCCTAAATCTCTGCAGCCCCCCCATTTCCGCCGAATGGAATGGGAGGTGAGTGGTCAATTTACTATCTGTTGCGTTTCTTACATCCTCATAGCCCCTCCTTTCCCGCCCAATGGTGCAATGGGAGGTCAGTCTTCAATCCATTTGCCTGATCCCTTCCGACTAATTTCTCGTAGCACCTCCGTTCCCACCCAATGGTGCGATGGGAGGTGCGTGTCATGGAATTCTACTCATTTTGTTTTCATTGCCTCAAACTGTACAGGTCCTCCGTTCCCTCCACCAAACAATGCACAAGGACCTGGCCCGTCTGCTCCAGGAAACGGCCCAACAATGCATCCAGATCGCATGCGCATGATGGGCAATGGGCGTTGAGTAGAATAGCACTCTGTTTTATTCTTTTGTGTACCTTCGACTTGCTTCCGAAATTTCTCTTGGATATCCAATTCAGACGTCACGATCACCAGTCGCACGTTCTTTCTCCCTCTCATGTCCACCCAACCTCTACTTCAGCGTACAGCGGCTAAGCGCATCGCCCTTCCCGTTCGTGTCGAGCCCAAAGTTTCTTTTGCCAACGAGCGCACTTTCCTCTCGTGGTTACACTTCACCGTGGTACTGGGAGGCTTGGCAGTTGGACTACTCAACTTCGGCGATAATGTGAGTCTCTGCTCGTCCCCCGCTACGCTTCCGTCTGTTTAAATATTTATTCAAAAGGTCGGAAAAGTCAGCGCAGCCATGTTTTCGGTTATCGGTGAGCAGTAATGATTGCGCTAACCTGACCTTGAACTTATTATATCAGCAATGGGCATTATGGTCTACGCCCTTTACACATATCACTGGAGGGCTGCGTCAATTCGGAGTGGGGGAAGAGGTCCTTACGATGACCGTTTAGGGCCGGTGAGCCATATCCACCCAACAAGTTATCTTCCACTTACCCTCAGCCAGACGGTGCTATGCATTTCGCTACTAGGTACGTCTACATAGTCTGCTATTGGATCAAGCTGAACAACTTGCAGTTGCCATCGTCGTCAACTTCGTACTGCGGTTTACTCAAAGCTAATAATAACATTTTGTTTTGCAGAGCATGGAAATCCAGATTCCTACTTCAATGTTCGCTGCCGCTTTCCAGCAGGAACCTACTCGGATAAATTCATCCTAACAAATTGAACGAAAGCACAATAACAAACCTCGTTTCGGCTCCGAGTTATGTTTTGTTCCTGGTCAGATTCTTGCTTGTCGTCCCTCGCTTGAGTTTGTTTTCGCTTGTGGAGCGAACGATGCTACTCAGTACGCATTCAATGGATATCGAAATCGGTTTGAAAAAAGAACCTGGTTTGTCTGCGAGTCGCACAGTTGTTCTGTTACCTCTGGCAGAACCTCTTCATCCACCAGTTGCGCTTCTGCAAATGTGCCGCCCTCCTCTTCCCCATGAGTCAGCAAGAGGAAGGGATACTCCTGCATCTCGTCGAGCCTCCGCTAGGTTATATTAGAAAACAAAAGGCGCTTGGACCATGACTAACCAGACTTGTGGTGAACATGTTTGGCAGCTCAATAGCCCCCCAACCCACAGGAATGTGGAAATCTTGTCCACCAACCCCGAGAGTTATCCCCTTCTCCCAGAACGGCCGCGACACTGCTACGCCCGCACTATCTGAAGGGACAACAAAGACAAATAAGACCTCGACGTCGACGTGGTGTTTTTGATAAAGTTCAATAAGCAGTCTGATATCCTGACCCCATATTTTATGGGCCCGAGCAATCGCTGCTTGGAACAAAGTGACTTGCATTTTGTTCCCAACTTTGCTGGCTGTCAAAGCATCGAACGATGCGTAACTTTGGTGAGGTATGGTTAGTTGGTTCGGATTTGGCAAAACCCCACTTGAAGGATGGAATGGCGCGGGATGAATGGGAAGACGAGATGGCAGGGAAAAGGTCAGGCTGGAGCGGTGGAATTTAGCCTCGAACGGCGAGTTGCCCAACGATAGAAAATTAGGCATCAAGGCCTCGTAGAGTACGCCAGCCACTTGCGGCATGTGGAAGAATTGCGCGACGCGCTCATATTGCTCTTCAAGTGCGCACTTCTCCAGCTCGCGCACAAATTGACGAGCAAGAAACTTGGTCGGAACAAAATATTGGGGTTGAAACCCCAATGGCCATCGCAATTTGTGGCGGCCATGAAAGCGGGGAGGGAGCGCAAAAACGAAACTGTCGAATTCCTGCTGGATTATAGTAGGGTCGACAATACGGGAGGTCAAGTTTCGTATGCTTTGGATATTCGGTGACGGTACCAGATGACCCAAGTCTGCATGGATATCTCCCGAGTTTCTGATTCGGTTTTGGAAAGGGAGGCGAACAGCCGGCCCAAGCAATCGAAATAGTTGTAAAGGAGTGTAGAACTCGCCAGGGTCTTCAGTTGGTACCTCTCCAGCCAACTCACGCAACTCCCTATGGAATCTTCATGAGGAATGAGGGTTGACAAGTAGATCGAAATGACCTACTGGAGGCTGGAAAACTCCATCTCAGTCCACAAATCCATGGGCCACAACATCGCTATCTTACGCTTTGCCCAGGAGTACGTTGCGCGCTCGAAAACGGTCGATGTTGCCTGCACAATTAGTGCACAATTTGCCTCATTCATGAAGGTTGGTGGAGGGTGTGGGTTTCCAGGACCGGAGTCGGAAAGGACGAGGTGAACTCGAGGAAAATGGCAAAAAGCTAATTCACTTGCCCTGATTGTGAATAGCTCTGACTCGGAGACTGCAGGGTCAAAGACAATCGCAGTGTCCGCTTCGCAATGCCACGTCGTGAAGATCCTCCAATGTATAGCCAGAGCAAGCAGATACGACAAGCCGACCGATTTACCTAGAGGTTGGGTTAACCAATTGTTCGTTGATTCATAGAACAACGTGCCTATTCCAGGCTGACCGCTGATTATCAGGCCGCCTTGTGTGGCACGCGAGTTCGCGGTGGCCTTCCGTTCTAGTTCTTCGAAAACATAGGACGCTATAGAAGGATATTCCGGCCTTTCTAGGATTGGCTCGTTTCGCCAGCTCCTTAATGAGATCGAACGGATGCCCCCCTCTTCGACCACCGGATGGGTTGTTCGGAACTTGGTAAACCACTCTATGGCCCAACCATCCTCAGCACGAAGTGGCTCTTGCATTGAGGCTTGGACAATCGAGTTCATGTCGACAAGGAAAGACAGGAGGATCGACACAGGTCACGTTTTGTCCATCATAATTACACAAAAACTACTTCCGTTGCCGCTTTCGAGCGGATACCGACGTATCCACAGAGGATATAGACATTGACCGTCGGTGCTTCAGATTAAGAATTAACATAATATCAAAAAAAAAAAAAAACAATGAAAAACGGACCTGTTTTCGGGCGCTTCGCGTGCTTACAACACTCTGAGCTCTACCTTCCTCTGGTTCTGCCTCTCCGTCCGCATCCTCTAGTTCCATTGGCTCACCATCTTCGTTTTTTGGTGCAGTTGTCTGCATGCCAAGCCTGCCCCGCAATACCTGGATTTCAAATTCAACTCTGTCCACGTTCCTTTTCGTCTCGACTAGGTTCGTCGCAGCATCCATTACGTTTTCCAGATGTACTAGATTTGCTGCTGTTGGCATAACCAACCGTGTTGACGAAATACCCAGTTCGGTCATAGCCTGGACCACCTTCTGAGCTTGCGCCGCTTTCGGATAGGGGATTTTGAACGAGCGTAGGTATGCAACTTGGTGGGACTTGTTGAATGTACCATTTGGTTCCGTGCGGGTGATGCAGTGCTGGATATCCTGCGCTGAGCTCTTGATCGTCCGTTTGAATGACGGCGCAGACAACGGTGTTGACGGGCTGTCCAATTCATTGCCTCGTTTCTTCCTTTTGGGGTCCGCTAGGATTCCAGCAAGTTGTGCATCATCTTCAACAACATCAGGCAAACCCGATTCGATTCCTGCGACAGTGCGGAGGAGATCGTCTCGTTCTCGTTTGAACCGCCGCTCATTTTGTTCCAATCGCTTGATTTCCACGTAGAGTGCTTCCTCTTCAGCTATTTGTTGGGGAGTCCGGTTCTCCAGACTTGTGATATACTTTTTGCGAAGCACTTCTCTATCTGGAAGTAGGTCTTGAGAGAAGGAACCCCAAATAGAACTAAAACACACCTTTCTCAAAGTTAAAACCCGCAAGAAGCGCCTGCCGACTTGCATCGTCTCCTGTCCACGGCCGATTTCGGATGAGTTTACGACAAACGCCACAGTATCTGTCTTTGAGGTCCTTCACGAAAGTGAGAGTCGGGTCGACTTGAGAAATTGGACATACCTCAAGGGATCGTGGACTATCCTCTGGCCGTGGGTACTCATAACGGTCGTGGATGATATACCACCGGGTGTCATAATCTTTCACAAGACTCATGAGGTAATCTGTTTCCTCTCTCGTCCACCCCTCCTCTGGCCACCTCAATCAGCGTCAGTATAGAAGCCGCAAAGCTGCGCACCTTGAAGCAAGCTATTATATTCATCATCGGAGTATGTGAATGTTGGTCGTTGAACATTGTATTTCGCAAACTGGTACTCTTCACCGCATGTTAGCGGCGTGATTCGACACACACTGACGCGACGACATCCAGTGCTCACCTGAATTTGCATCACTCGTAGCCTTAGTCCAATGATTGAGCTGTAACGAGTCTGCTCGTCCACCATTCTTGAAAGATCGCCACTCCCTTCTCAACATTAGATAAAGCGCCATGAAGAGAAAGTTACGGTACCATTTAACCTTGGCGCTGGCGCCAAATGTTGGCTTTTGTTTCAACTGTGGTTTCGCGAATTGGGCGACAAGGGTGGTGGAAGATGGGCCAATGAGCGAGTAGAGCTCACGAGAAATTCCTTCTGGTTTACGCGGAGCGGACGCTGTTGGCTTCTTAGGCTGGGAAGGGCCCGCAATTGGTTGATGGGCAGGGAGGTCGAGGATTGAACGGACTTCAGCTGAAGTCGCCATCAAGGTTAGGGTCAAGAGTGCAAAACTCTCCCACGACACTTATTCTCACGCCTCTATTCCTGCGGCGGTGATCACCCCAACCTTACCACGACGAAGTATCGTTGTTTGCGGAAATCCAGTCAGTAGTCAATCGCCTGACCATGCGTCCGAACACGCAACTGAACGCGTATTAGCACACGTACTACAACAGACCGCAGCAGCACTTGCTCTATTAAAGTTGAACGCGTGTGACCTTAGCGCTTAACTGCTCTTGAGCTCCATCCACCATGGCCAACCTGACGGACGACTTCATCAACGTTTGGACCTCTGCTACTGGAGGCAACGAGTTTCACCAAGCCTGGTCTACTACAGCTGGTGCCCCGCATGCTAACCCGGTTCTGCAAGCAGCCAACGACCTCCGAAAGCTCTACCCTGAACATAGTCTCACCCTTACGCTCCATGATGTTATACACTTCCCATTGGCACTGTTCAGGCCTCTTCCGGAGGCACCTATGGTCACCACCACTTATTTTGCCCCTCTGGGTCGCCCACAAGGCAAAATAACTGGTGTCCTCGTGGACAGACCTGAATTCTTCGCTGCGTCTGTTGCTTGGGATGTGCGTAGCTCCTCCATAGCGTTATGTCCGCTCAAGATCTCCAGTCCTACGACTTCATTGTCTATGCAGTCACGGTAAGTCGCCAGGCAACCCAAAATTCGACCTGTCTGATATCTCCGCAGTACCCCAGCGGCTTCGGCACCTCCACCTTATTCTGCGTCTTGCATCAAGGTCCGCAGGAGCCTGCCCGCAAACTCGTGTTAGCAGCTGGCACATACAGTCAGTCCTTGGTAAGTCAATACGTCAACACCCTGTCACTCCGTACTGAGCAAAGTAGCATCAGGAAATTTGGGTCTACAACCAGGGCTTTTGGCAGAAGGACCACGAGCTCTGGCGGGACATTCAATCGGCGAGCTGGGATGATGTTATCCTTAAAGAAGGTGTGTACCATTGCATTGCCTCGGTATTGCCTCATTCTATCCAGAGTTCAAGACGGCTTTGAAGAAGGACATATACGGATTCTTCAAGTCAGAGCCCATTTATAAGCGATACGCAATTCCTTGGAAGGTATTTGTGTCAAATGGCACTGGGTCATTTGTTCTTACCAGCATTTTCTAGCGCGGCATCATCATGCATGGCCCACCGGTTCGTCTTCACGATGATTCCATGCATTCTCTGAGAGCACACAGGGAAATGGCAAAACTATCAGCATCAAGGTCGTCATGAAGACTTGTGAAGACCTCGGCTTTGCTCCTCTATATGTCAAATCCTTCCAAAGTAAGCCTCTTGGCTGCATATTACTCTTATTCAACATCTATAGGCTGGATGGGTGAGGAAGCTGCGATGCTAGATGTGTTTTCTAAGGCTCGCCAACTATCCCCATGTGTGGTCGTACTTGAAGATTTGGATGCGCTAATCAACGACCGCAATCGGTCCTTCTTCCTTAACCAACTCGATGGATTGCAAGGCAACGACGGGTTACTTGTCGTTGGAACAACAAACCATTTCGACCGCCTTGATCCTGGGCTGAGCACCCGTCCTAGTCGTTTCGATCGCAAATAGTAAGAGCTATCCTCCCTGTTCGCCCAAAATAAACTCAGAGATCACCAGTCTTTTTGATGACCCCAGCCGGGATGAGCGCGCCCTTTATGCTAAATACTGGCAAGGGAAACTCAAGGACAATGAGGAAATTGACTTCCCTGACTCTTTGGTCAACGAGGTGGCCGATTCGACCAGCAAATTCAGTTTCGCATATCTCAAAGAAGTCTTGTGCGTGTTTTACACTCTATCACGTTGTCCCCACTGATAAACTCCGAAGTGTATCGTCGTTGGTCACCCTGGCCGGATATGAGGGTGAGGACAAGCCTACGTTCGCGCAAATGCTGTCCCAGACAATCAAGACGCTTCGCAAGCAGCTAGATAAGATGGTGATATCGGCCAAGGTCTCCACCGAGTCTTCTGCCCAGAAGCAGGACTTCCGTCCTCTGTTTGATTCACTTTCTGGACCCTCATTCATGCCCACCTTGAATGAAACGGCAGCCTCAGGAACAGAGCTCGACTTCCGCCTCACTTTCGATAGACTCTCCTTGAATCGTCGGAACGATGTGGTGTTGAATGAGCTTGCAAGGAGGGCTGCTGAGAGCCGTCTGGATTAGATCTGTACTTAGCTGTAGCTAGCGATGCGAACCAAATATACGGGACGTAGTCATCACCGACAACACCGCTAGAGGACATTTCTCGAGAAAATATGATGTCAATCCTTCCCCATGTTTACACTTCGACCCCCTCATGGCGCTTTTGCCGTCGGGGCTACAACTCTCACTTCTCCGGTTCAGCCGCCGTCTACTGTAGGGAGCGGGCTGACAGTCGACGGGCAAGCACTGGTCCTTGACGAGATCGCATTTACGCTCTTCTACCCAACCGAATCGAAGCGCAAGGGTCCGCAAAGCATACCATGGCTGCTAAGGCACGTCTATATATTTCTTTCCTCTGGCTTCATAACCAAGGCTTGACAGGCCGGTGTACTCAACGTTCGTTGGGTTTTCTCGATTCAGCGGTATCTCAGCGTTCCTACTGTGGCCAATCGTTTATCTCTTCGGGGTCTTGCTGAAGGTGAGTTCGACAAAGCGCTTCTTTGCCGAATGATAATCCCTCCAATAGATCCCCGTTCATCCCAATGCACCGCTACTACATCCACCGGAGAACATCAAACAATGGCCTCTTGTCTTCTTCTCTCACGGGCTTGGTGGCTCACGGACGGCATATAGTCAAGTCTGCGCTGAGCTTGCCTCTTCAGGACGCGTTGTTCTTGCCATTGAGCACCGCGACGGCACCTCTCCTGCTACAACTGCTCGCAATGGCCGGACAGTGCTCTATTACCGCGAGCAAGACGTGGCGTACGTGGCCATTGTAAACTTCCTGAGGACCTGACACGCATTTCCCAGCTTAGTTTTCCTGAAGACATGAAACTGGGGGTGCTTCCACTCCGCACAGACCAACTCGCGTTCCGGCGACAGGAAATCTACCGTATATTCGAAGCGTTCAGCGCGCTCGTCAATACCAAAGATGCCGCTTCGTTTGCGGGCTTAGAGGGAGAGCAGGTGGATCTTGGTGGCTGGCAGTCATCTACTGGAGTCCCTCTTGTTAAATGCGACAACCTCACCCTTGCCGGCCACTCGTTTGGCGGTTGCACTGTCGTATGTTCATCTATTCAGCTGAAGGGCATCTAAGCTCACTGTCCAAAGCTTGACGTCCTTTCATCGCCGCCCTGCAGCCCCTCATCACCGCTACCAGTCGCAAAAGCCCTCTTGTTAGATCCCTGGCTCGAACCGCTGCCCACCCCGGGACCTACACTTGTCCATCCTCCCTCTTCGCTGCGCCTTCTTGTCATCAACTCACAAACATTCACTCTCTGGAACGACCACTTCACACGGTTGCTTGACCTGGTCAAGGAATGGGACTCTGATCATGGCAAGCTGTTAACCTTAGGTGTGCCTATTCTTTATCTGCACAACCCACTAGCTCAAATGCCCTCAGTCGGGTCAGTTCACCACTCGTTCTCTGATTTTGCCGTCTTTCCACTAGTTCGAAAACGGCCAGCCGAACTCATCATGGATCGGATAACAACGTTATCGCTCAGTTTCTTGAACGACAATCTCCAGAACACGCTTACAAATCTCCCAACGCGAGACATGGAAACAGTGGTTATTGGAAAACGTCCTGATGGACGACCTAGACGCTCATTGGTTGGGGCCACTGGTGATGTAGTTGTAATGTGAAGGTGGTTGTCTCCACATAGATGTATTATTCAGTGGCTTTGCTACAGTATAGAGACATGTTTCAGGACATTAGGGTAATGAGATGCTTCCCAGTCCATACTGATACTCAGCGCCAATGATGGAGCAGATCTCTTTCGTGAAACAACAGCAAGGTTGCGTGAGCGTCAAACTCGAAAACTATTCCTGTTGCGAGTCGACTTACTAGCCATAGCTAGCAGTGCTATCTCCCGTTCCCGGTCTCTTACCTCGTTCCTTTCTTTGCTTTGCTATCCTTAATCCGGCCTCATAACCGCTCTCATAGACCCCTTCTGGCGGAGAATATGTATGCAAAGGGCCTGCGCTCGATGTAGATGGCAATGATGAAGGGAGTGAAGGTGGTTCGTTGCCTGATATCGAGGTTCGGGGAGGAGCGGCCGCTAATGACGACGAAGAAGCCATCATTCCGACGGGTGATGCGGGTGGAGACGCGACTAATGTCGATGGGGTACTGGGCAGGCCAGCGTAGTGGTCAGCTACCTTTGGTGCTGGTTTCCGTCGGGAATTGGAATGAGGCCTAGGCGGATAGGCGATGTCTGTTGATCTCCTGGGTCGCCGAAGGTCATCTTTGCTGCCAAGAAATGACCGTGCAGTACCCGGAACATCGTCTTCCGCCTCCGGAGGGAGATTGCCCAAACCCAACCCACCACCACCATAAGTGTCAGCAAACGCCACGTCAAGATCGAGGTTCGATGCAGAGGGTTGATAAGGTTTGCCGTAGTTGCTCGTTTGGTATGGGTGTCTGCCGTAGTACGCGTATTGTCCATCGTTGATGTTGCGGTAGCTTTGTGAAATAGAAACCGCCTCCCCGTTATCTTCGGTGATGTGGGAAGTTGGCGCCGGAATCGAACGAATGTTTATCATCATGCGGGAAACCTGGTCAGAGGAATTGAGTCCGACGCTTGGCCAGCTGAACAATGATATCTCCTCACAGCAATGCATGAAATGGCGCTTGTGAGTCCCAACAATATCGCGTGGTAGTACGCGGCAAAGGACAATTCATAAATCACGGCGTTCGTGAGGGAAAAGGCTGAAAATTGAATAAGCGTAAGCCGCGGACCAACTTGACGTGAAACCTACTGAAGATGAACAAAAAATACACCAATGAATCTCTGGCCAGGACGTCCAGTGTTGGGTTTCCACCCGAGCCGAGTGCGACACCGAAGAAAGCCAGACCGGAGCTAGTCCCAGCTTGGGAGTTAGGTCGCGAACGGAATGACCAACGAGGCAGAAGTTTGAACAGTGTAATGACGACCATGACAACTGAGAAAGCAATTATTGTAGAGAGAAAAAGTACGGGGAGAGCGGCGCTTACATTCGAAAACGACTGGGGCAATCCATGTGGCACTTGCATATCGCTTTAACAAATAGCCGCTGACGCTAATGAGACCACAGGACAACGGGGCCGGTTGTGCGACACCTTGAGTGTCAATAGTAGCAATTATTATGGAGCCGAGGACCGCTAGGAACTCGCAAGCGTAGAGAAAGCTGAGCAAATAGAGCATCCTGCGGGAATTATTGTCTAGTCCATCGCATTCAGCAGGATCGACAAGTTGATGCAAACATAGACGCACAGATGGCCCACACTCTAATAACCACAAGTGCTTGCGCGGCCAGAATAGCGAGCCGAAGAGGGAACATCTGCCACCAGCTGTAAACTTGGCAGAATCCAGGAGAAATAGAGGGAAAGTCGGCGACAATCCAAAGCGCACTATAGCGGCCGCGTCAGCAGGGAGATGGGAGAAGTCTTGAAATCGTACACAAGAATAGCCCGGATAACATAGCGATTGAGCATGAAGAGAATCTTCGGGAGACGCCATTTGAGTGGCCAAATGCGTGCAACTTCGTCGTCAAGGGAAGTAAAGAGCTCGTAGACGAGAAGGGTCGCGACAGCGTCTATAAAACGATTCAAAATCGACGAAAAAGTGAGGAAATATGGCGCACAGTTGAGATAGTTGCCTATGAGGGTGAACTGGACATATTCCCTGGCCTCGTCTGCGGTATAGTGCTCTGGTCCATATTGAAGCGCAGGTCCAGGCATGGTTGATGACTCTGCGACACTTTCTGATACTCAAGCAATGGCCATGAGAGTAGAGAAAGAGCGCAAGCGCGATAACAAGTTGTGGCGCTATTTGACAGTTGGCGCATCCGGCGAAAGCGTGTTGCCATTTTGTAGCCGTCCAGCTAAGCGATCACATCCTGTCAATCAATTGACACACTTATCAGGTGGTGACTCAGGACCCCCGACAACCCCCTTAGATGCCGAAGGCCCGACCGGGTAAAATTTGCGGAAATTTTTGCCAAGGCCGGAGGCAAACTGGGTAAAAATGGCCCAATTTTGGCCGGGGGCCTCAGGTGTAAGACTGGGTAAAAGTGACCGTCGTCTGGGGGAGCCAGAGGCCCAACCGGGTAACTTCTCCCCTCACTTGTTCTTGGTGTAACCGGCCGTACTCCGCGTGGTCTGTAGCCCCTATTAGGCTGCCGACGTCGTTCGATCCCGTCTTGAGCCAGTTTTCTCTCTCTGAAATGCGCTCCAGCCGATTTCTGACCTCGCGCCTTTTTTAGCACTACCCTGTAAGGCTGGAGGTCGAAACTGGGTAAAAATGGGCCCTTTCCGGAGGCCGGAGGCAAAATTCGGGTAAAAACTGGCCAAAAACGCTCAAAAAAATTCGGGTAAAAACCCCCAAACCCGGCCTCCGGCCTCTAAGGGGGTTGTCGGGGGTCCTGGTGACTCCCGTAGCGGGTTGATGCGCCATAGCGTCGTCGGCGCAAGAAATAGCACCGCGGCGAAACCGTTGATGACCTTGGATGGCAAGTGCCGCTCATAACAATGCTAGAAAGGTTCCCTGAGATTTTTGTGGTTATTTGAAAGCCACAATTATCCAAAGCTGTAAATTGAGATGTGCCTGAAGCTCATGATGCTTCATCGACGAGTCATCTTCAATTGCAACTCTCCGACAAGTGATCCAAGTGATAAGTAAAGGTGGGTGCATGGCGAATGGCTGAACCGTTGAACCCGCCACATGTTCGGATTTTCTATTGCACGGTAACACTCTTTTCTATCCAACTTGTGTGGCTTCCTAAAAACACTACCTCCAAAGCTCACGAAGGTTCAAGGATTCCTTAGTTACCCGCATGGCGCACACGTTGAACGGAGTCAAAATTAAATATGCGAATGACAGGTGGCGATGCGGCGATGGCATGTGACCGTGGAATGATTGTCGCGATCATCTCCGACCTTTTTCAATGCACACCACGAGCATTCGACAAATGCGCATGGAAGACTTGCAAGGGATGCAAGCATGCAATCTGTTTAACCTTCCCGAGAACTACACTCTCAGATATTACCTTTATCATGCCCTGACTTGGCCGTCTCTTTCCTACGTTGCAGAGGCAAGTTGTGAAGAATCTGCTGCAAACCCAAACAACAGGGAATCTTATATACTGGCAGGATCACAAGGGGCGAATAGTTGGCTATATCCTCGCAAAAATGTCTGCTTCAAGGTTCTGGCACGCCTTCTGTTCTGACCGCCAGCTACTAGGGATGAAGAAACGCCGGAAGGCGGTGAGCCTCACGGGCATGTGACGAGGTCTGCGATCGTCGATTTAAATGAGCTCTCGCTAACTTGACTAGTATCTCAGTTCTGCGTAGCTATCGCCGTCTGGGAATAGCCAAAAAATTGATGCTACAGTCTCGTGCGTCAGTTTCAACCTAGTACCAAGTGTCTAATTTGTCTCCCAGAATTTGGTCTGTTTGAATTCATCCCGCCAATAATACCCCCAACTCATATGTCCAAAGCCATGGCATCGGTATATCGCGCGTCGTGTGTGTCGTTGCATGTTCGGAAGTCTAATCGAGCGGCCTTGTCTCTCTATCGGGACACGTTGGGTTTTTCCGTTCAAGATGTCGAAAAGAAATATTGTTAGTGCTTATGTAAGACTGGAAGCCATCATCTAACTATTCTGTAGATGCAGACGGCGAGGACGCATATTCAATGAGGCTATCGTTACAAGTCTAGTGGTGAATAGAATAAACAAATAATCGTAGTCGTTAGGATTCTACAAGTGTACCTCGACTCGTCAGTATTGCTGTCCTTATGGCATTAGCAGCTTCGAGTCCCAAATCATAATACCCGTCGTTTGTCTTCGCTGCAAACATGCCCGTGTGTGCTTCCACTTCGGTAGTCGCAAGCCCATTTCTTGCTAAAATGAACCGGGATGCTACATGAGAGCTTTTCTTGGGCAGTACAATGAAAGTCCGTCCAGCACTATTCAGTAGGGGTGTCGGAGGAATGAAGGTGTAAAAGCTATCAGCCATGAGATGAGAGGAATAGCTCCTAACAGAAATGCGTACTTTCGAAATATTATTCCCTCCTTCTCTTCAGACTCTACGAGCTGCTCCAATCTTTTATTGAGTGCAGCGTTGTCCCAGAGGTTGCCAACATATTTTAAGTGATCTGTGGCCCAAGAGAAGGAGAGCGCGAGATCATCGCGCTTGTAGTAGGTTACTCCAGCAGCGGCACCAGCTAAGAGTGCGCCGCCTAGAGCATAAGTGGCGGGGCCAGACCATTTCCCCCACCCTCCTGCGTTGGGTGGGGTTTCGGAGGGCGGCGGAGTGGTCGCTTTACTCGCTCCAAAACCAGCGAGGGCACCAAGAAAGCCAGTTCCAACGGTTCGCGCGGCTTGAGCATATTCCAAAGCTTTCGTCGCGCTGTCCTTGAAGACCCCAGGATTAAGGCCAAGGTACTAATGTCTGTTGAGTCAAAGGACTTGCAAAGGCGGGTTACGCACAGGCGTATCGAACGCTAAGCAAGCGATTATCTTGGGCCATAAAGGGGCATTCGCATCTGGTCTCCCTCTGACGAACTCTTGCAGAGTGTCGGCAGTAAGAAGGCCGCCCATGCTAGGCCAGAATGAATTTCGGGAGGGAAAGGCAAGTGGATGGCGCACCTATGTCCACACAATACGATCTTAGCCCTCCCTGCACCTCCGCCAGATGCAACCTCCTTCTCGACAGTCAAGGTCGTTAACCAGTCGGAGAAACGGATGACAGCTTCATTCTAGCGGTTTATTCGCGGGGCGAACAGTGTAGCATGCTTGGGGCCTACCAAATCTCCCTTGGTTTCATACGCCGGAAATACGATGCATTCTACCTGCAACCGAGAGCTTAACGGTCACGACCCACCCAAGAGGCACTAAAGCGCACTGAAACATCGGGAACAGTCTCCGTTAGAATGTGCTGGAGGCGCTCAGGGAATTGGGAAAAAGTTTGGTCGGTGCCTTTGAATCCGTGCACGAAGATAATCAGAAGCACATCCCCAGAGACCGTTAGAGCCATTGGTCTCAGAAAGAGAGGGAGGTCAGCTTATGTCATCGCTATCATTCTTCACATTTTTCAGATACAAGAGCTACGGTGCAGATGGCTTAAAAAATTAAATTGTGGTTCTGCCAACTCATGGCTCAACTCTCTGACATCCTCCAAACTGGACCCTCCATCCCCTCTGCAAAGAGCTCAAGACCAAGTCCCTACTCCTGGCTTTGGCTTTGATACGGGGCTTGTGTTCGCGGAATAAAGGGCGACGACGACTCTAAACTGTGCAGAAAAGGTTGTGAAAGCATACTTGGGTTCAGTGTACCGGGCGGTGACTGCAACTTCATTGAACCAGATCGGAATGAACGTGTTTGGGCATGATTCGGAGAGCCATACCACGGCTGTCTGGTGGGCGTGTAAGTAGAGCGTTGCTGCGTGATGCCGGCCTGTGATTGTGAAGAGGACGAGGACGACGCTGAGGAGTGTTGTTGTGAATAGGATTGAGATTGGGACTGTGAGGTGCCTGTCCAATTGAGCTCTCCTGCATATGGATTTGATTGTGAGACGTCAAAAGACATGTCTAGATCCTGTGTAAGCTGTCGCTCTACGGAAATGTCGGAGTCCTGCGATCCATAGAAGGGCAGTCGAGACGAAGGGGACAACTGTTGTGAAATCATAGTGTCGAGCTCAGGAAGCTCTGGATTGGGGATGGCGTCTGGCGTTGATGTGTTTTCGATAGCTGAAAGGTTCGGTGTTGTGGGTCGTAGCACAGGAGAAAGGGCGTTAGCGAGGGAGGACGAAGATGAGCTGTGTGATAACATCGCTAATGGCTGTCGCAACGCCTCGAATGAGTCTAAAGAGTGGGAATTTTGACTATTCGTTCCTAGTCCCAGAGAGATCGACCGTCCGATGCCTTCTTCAGCTCGGAGTTGCTCAGCCAAATCACGAAGTCGGCAGGGTTGTTCGGCTTGCACATGATTTTGGACGTGCTTAACAAGCTCTGCGGTAGTATTGTAGACACTTCGACACCATTTCCAGCGACAAGGATAGACTGGTGGGCTTGGAGTCGACATTCTTTGGTGCTGATGGTTGGGGGAAAAAGACAGACGTGACATTGATAAGCAACCTTATGTCGTCTTCCGCAGCGATTCGCAAGTACTTGGGTCTTGAAGAGGGCTCTCAACCCGATCCGGAAACCGAGCCAATTCTTTTCCTCAAGCAATATCTTACCGCTGGGCTGCCTCCCCAACTACTTTTGTACTTTTCCTCGGTAACAACACCCAAACAACGCTCGGTTCTGCCCGCGATACGCAACAGACGATTGAAATATACCAGTACCAACCCACCTGAGCTAGGATTCACCTCGGCAAGTACAACCTGGCCATTGCTATATGAAGGGCAGCAAGGTCGCCGCGGGCAAAGAGAAGGAGAGGCTGAGAAAACATGGGCAGACAAGGACTTCCTGCAGGGCTCAACAAAACATGTAGGAAAACTAGGGAGTCTATTAGGAAACTACGAGGAAGAGGCAAGCTTTCTGCATTTTTCACTAGTCCATCTGAACTGGTATAGCGTGAGGCAGAACGAGTGCGAACACTGAGACGTCAGAAGGTGGAGGAGTTTGTGCCGGAAGAGGAAAGCGATAGTGACGATGAGCCGATGGAAAGTACTCTCCCAGAACCAGTTGACGAAGACGACGCCAAGGCAACCTTTGAGCGTGTCATTCGGGAGCGATTTATTTATGGACTGCTTGAGGTGAGCAAAATCATTCATTTTAAGGTCTCTGAAAACTAGAAAGGGAATCGATTATGATAAAGCGGACTGGGACGAGGCATTCGATAGTGAAATGGACAGAGATGCGGAGGACAGGTGGTTCGAAGATGATGATTAGATTGTTAGTCAGCTTTAGTCACCCGCGTCACTGCCACCCCTCCAATTTCACCATGTCGGACACAGAGCATATTGAGCAGCGTCAACTTCAAGATTCTTCGGAGAGGAAAAAGAAGAAAAAGAAAGGAAAACATAGCATTCACGACATTCTCTCAGCAGAGCCAGATCCAGAAGTGCCGAGTGTAGTTGAGCACAAGAAGAAGAAAAGAAAACACGAGGACGACGCAGATAATAAACCAAAGAAAAAGAAAAAGAGGAGAGACTCAGAGGATCCTGAAGTGCTCGCGGAATCTGACGCGTCGGGAAAGGAGAAAAAGAAGCGGAAACGCAAGCACGACGAAACGGTTGACACTGCCGGAGAGGGGACTGAACAGAGCGTCCAGCCACCACCCCAGAAGGAAAAGCGACGAAAGGATTCAGTGCGTCAATATGGATACATACCCCACAGTTGTTCACCATTTCACAGATTACCTTAGGGTCGGCTTCCCTCTTACCATTACCTTCCCAAGAGACGTTCACAGCCTTTTTCCCTTCCCTCGAAGGCCTGGACTCCAACGAAGACATTCTTCGAGCCTTACAGAACGCTGACTTGTCCAGCCACACTCAGGGCTCCTCCACCAATGTACCCAGTAAACCTCGAACGGCCACCAGTAACACATCGACGTCCAAGAAAGCTTCCAAACCACGTAAAAGCAAAAGCACTCTCACCGACACGGATACCTCTGATCATGCTGAACTGCTGGCAACTAAGTGGCTGAATAGCGATCAACTTGCTGCGTTGGCGAAGGAACAAGGTAAGACCAAGTCTTATCCCAGTCTTTTCGCTGATCTCCCTGGAGGCCTGGTGTACAAAAAGGGCGTCTTCTCTACATTCGAGGCCAAGCTTGCAGCAGATGCGGTGGTCAAGTACCAAACTCTCCACGAGCTTGCGGAGGAAGACATCGATAGGCTCATCTTTCCTGACACTAAGGCCAAGAAAGACTCTTCGTTCTGGTCTGAAATTGGTACCCTCTTAATTCTAGATCATAGGCTGCGTGCTCAATATTTCTTCAGCGAGAGCAGTTCCTCAACGACCGCTCAATGCTATATACCACCATCTTCGACGTGCGCGTCATCCACTTAAACAACAGGGGAAATGGACAGAAGCTGAGGACGAGAAGCTTATACAGTGCGCATCATAATGTTGCCCACTTCACTCACCAATCATCTTCTTCAGAGCCGTTGTTTCCGTTGGAAAGCATTGGGAGAAGGTTTCTACCCTGGTCGGTCGCCAAGCTACGGACTGTCGCGACCGCTATCGCAATTATCTCAAAGACCGAGATGCTCGCCAGACAGGTAAGAAGCCTGAGCTCCCGCTTCATCAAGTTCAAGTTTATACGTTGCTTTAAGGACCATGGACTGCGGAAGAAGAAGAAAAGCTTAGTGAAATTGTGCTGGAACTGCAAGAGGGGAAAGATCTCGACTATGATGTTCCCTGGACCCAAGTTGCAGAGCTTATGGGCGGGACAAGAGGTCGTCAACAATGTCGTATCAAATGGCTGGATAAACTCAACCTGAAGCACAAAACGAATGGGACAGGTGCTCGCTGGAGCCGTACAGATGCTGAAAAACTAATCAACAAGTAAGTGCTTCTCGAAAAATGCCGGTGTCCTAATTCCATATAACCAGAATTGCTGTCCTCAACGTTCGTGACGATACCGAAATTGACTGGAAAACCTTACGCGAAGAGGACTGGAACCTGTGGAGCGCCCATGTTCTGCAACGCCGATGGCTTAACATGAAGAGAGCAGTGAAAGGGTACGAAGATATGACAATTCCAGGTACTATATCTTGTTCACCTCCCCTATGACGCGTGTAATCAACCGTTGCCAGACATTATCAGCACCTTACAAGCCAAAAACATTGCCAAAAAGGTCGAATTCAAGAGCCGTGAATTTGTTGAAAGTGAGGATGAGACCTGAGGCTTGATCGCGTAGTTGTTCGTAAATTTTAGCCGTCAGTGAGGTAACAGGCAGGCGTGTTGCGTGTTGCTCTCAACCCTGCAATGAACCTCGTGTTTCACGCTCTCTCTCGTCTCCTTCAGCAATGAGTGGCTCTCCCCGTATTCCACTCCTCGTATTCCTGGTCACGCTATTCGCGTGGATATTTGACAGAACAACATACTTTCCTCATAAACATGTCTTCACGTTGACAGGGACCGACCCTGCAGTCAAGATGCCACCAGCTGTGTTGAAGAAATGCACTGAGGCCAAGATTTCACCAGGCGCTTCGTCTCAATTTGCCAAACGGGAGGTATCAGACCGCTTCGAACCCGGAGTAAACACGTCCTGGTTAATCACGAATGCTACGTTGGTTGTTGGGCGAGGGAACGCAACACACTGGATTCAAGGCGACTTGTATCTGGACAAGGGAATCATCAAAGCAATTGGAAACAACCTGGCCACACAACTCTCGACTCAGCGTGTCCTCAATTTGACAGTTGTGAACGCTAATCGTCGTTGGGTCACTGCAGGACTCGGTATGCACATTTTATTATTCTACGTCCGTAGACTGAATATCAAGGTTGAAGTTGACATACACTCCCACTTGGGGGCATTGAGTACTCCATTCATGGCAGGTGAGAACGAGTAACTGCGAGTAATTAAAGCTTCACTGAGCTTGGAACTATCAGGAAATCTTGATTTGGTCTCCAGTAAAGGCCCAACGACTCCATGGCTACAAGTCATCGACGGCTTCAACACGCATGACGAAGCGTTCCAGCTGGCAATGGCTGGTGGTGTCACCTCAGCCTTGATCCAGTCCGGTGGAAAGAACACAATAGGTTAGATGATCGCGCAACTAACTCAACGCAGTAGTATGGAACTGACTGGGAAAATCAGGTTCACAAGCATTCGTGGCCAAGTTGCGGCCGACTGTTGAACGGTCCCCTTCGTCAATGCTCGTTGAGCCACGCTTCGGTTCAGCTCATCCACAGTTTTGGAGACATCTTGTGTTTGTTCGGTTCCTTAAGGCATAACCATTGCTAACATGAACGCCCGACAGGCAAGCATGCGGCGAGACGCCGTCAGAGTATGGGACACGTCTTGATGCGATTTGGTCATTGCGTTCCGCCTACGCTCAAGCACGGGAAATCATAGCACTGCAAGACTCTTATTGCGAGAAAGCGACAGCAGGGTTGTGGAGTGAGTCGATGGGTGCATTTCCGGAGGACTTGCGAGTGGAGACCCTCGTCGACGTCTTGCGCGGCAAAGTCAAGGTATTTACCATCCTATATATTCGCAAGCTAGTACCAAGCAATATTTAGGTCAGCGCACTTTGTCAGGAAGCAGTCGATATCGACGCACTCGTTCGAGTAAGCTCCCTGTCCTGTACATATATGCGTTTAGATTCTCATTACCCCACAGTTGACAAATGAATTCGAATTTCCCATTGCCTCTCTCCAACACGCGTCGGAAGCTTGGCTAGTGCCGCATTTGCTGAACAGAACATGGGGAGGATTGCCAACTGTCGCGCTTTTCGCGTCGAATTACCAGTTAGTGAACCCGTTGCGGCTCATCAGCAGACCTCGTGACCGCGATATGCAGATATGATGTCCCATCGTTTCGAGGTTCCGAGCACGCTGCGCGTATACTGGCAGATTTGGAGGTACCAGTGGCTCTAAAATCACAGCACCCGGTTATCAACTCGCGGTATCTTGCTCAAGAAGCCCAAGTTGCGCACTACTATGGATTGCCGCCACGTTTGGCACTGGCCTCCGTCACTTCTGTACCTGCTAAAGCCCTTGGATTAGATCATCGGATAGGAGTGCTTGAAGAGGGCGCAGACGCGGATGTCGTGTTATGGGATTCAAACCCACTTCAACTAGGTGCAACACCGATCAAAGTATGGATCGATGGCCAGTTACAGATCCCGTTGCCTCGACGATCTGGAGAGAAGGGGGGTCAAGTCCAAATTGGCGTAGGAAAAGATGGTCGAGGGTGGTCAGAGTTTCCCGACGTTCCGGATTGGCAGAAGGAGCGATCGCGGGCTATTGAATGGGAGGGCCTCCCCCCTTTGGCGAATCTGAACAAGGCGCGCAGAGTGATCTTCGACGATGTGCGAACGGTCCACCATAATGGTTTTATTCACACCAGCGATGTCGGCTTCCATGTTGTCGCTGTGGACGGGCGAATCGACTGCATCGGAAACGCGATCACGTGCTCATTTGACGCGTCCTCTGACCAACATGTGAACCTCGACGGTGGAGTCATTGTGCCAGGAATGATGACATTTGGGTCGACGTTGGGTACAGAGGAGATTCACAATGAATTGTCAACTGGTGCCGGGCTGTCGCTGGATGCGTTATCGGAAAATGTCCCCGAAATTTTGAAGGATCCCGGAGCCATGGTGTATGCAGTGGATTCATTGATGTTCGGCACCCGGAATGCTTTGTGAGCAGCACATTCCCCTTTCTTCTGTTAATATTCAAAGAGCTACAGATCGGCGTATCGCTCTGGCATTACCACTGGCACAGTGGTTGGAGCCCAAGGCGATTTCATAGCCGGTGTTTCAACAACATTTTCGACGGGACGTCTACATGCGATGGAAAGAGGCGCCATTTTGCAGAAATTCAGCGCAATGCATGTCTCAATACATCGCAGTGACCCATTCTCGAAGCCTCGTAGCGTCAACAACCAAATCGCGGCGCTGCGGAGGTTGTTGTTGGGGTGGGAGAGTCAAGCCTCAGACACAGGAACGTGGTTCAAGAAAGCAGCGGAGGTAAGTAAGCGGCGAAGAGCGATGTCCTGGTGCTAACACTGTTACCAGGGTATTGTGCCGCTCGTTGTTGATGTTGACAGCGCCGATATCATGGCCACCTTGCTAATCCTGAAAGCAGACATCGAGGATCGGCTTGGCTCCCGGATGCGTATGGTGTTTAACGGTGCTGCAGAGAGCCACATTCTGGCCAGAGAAATTGGTACGAACAAGAATACCAACTCTCATCCACTAAATCAATTTGGATTATGTGCAGGGAGAGCTCGTATAGGTGTCATTCTGGACGCTAAACCAGTCTTTGGGTCATGGGAGACTCTCAGAGGGTAAGCAATATCGCCACAGATTGATTTATGCCAACTTCCTAGTAGACTTCCGGGCCCACCCATAACCAACGACACGACGCTTGCGACTTTGATCAAAGAAGGAGTGAAGGTTGGATTGAGGTGTAAGGAAGCACAGAACGTGAAGAGCATGGGTTTCGATCTGCGTTGGGTACGTTTGAGTCGCTTTTATTCTGGAATCAGCTGAATCTGAGCACTAGGCAATGCTGGCTGCCAATGGCGTCGTCACACAAGACGATGTTTATGCATTGGTATCATCTAATTTGCGCGAGTTGTTGGGCGTTACAGTGGAGGATGAAGAGTTCGTGGCATATTCAGGCGGTGGGCCATTGAATATGTCGAGTAAAGTCGTTGCAGTGATAGCGTCGGGAGCGGTAGATATTTTGTGAGTGTTATACAACACCAAGAAGGGCTGCGCCACCCTTGATCGCACGTCCACGGGAAGCGGCAAGTGAAATGGCCAGACAGCTAAGAAGCCAGCCGGAGAACCTATTCGAGTGTCAAAGTTGGACGTAGAGAAGGTTTGGAGACTGACCTAAAAAATGCTACACGCGAGATTGATCTTTCCTCGTTTGGAGTGCGTGAAGACGCGAAAATGGCTCTGAGTGCTGCTGGGGTAACGCGCCGAGATGAGTCTGAGGAAGGGGAAGCCCTTGCAGTCCGACTGCTGCTCGTGGTCGACATTCAAGAAGTTTTGACCTGTGACAGATAAATGATGGACTCAAATCTCATTTACTCTCCGCGGCCCCCAAATCTTGCGACCTGCATGTTTCGCCATGCTGAATATTCTCAACAGGCCGTCCTTCCATGAGGACATGGTCACAGTGGAGTCTCGGCTGCCTACCGAGGGCGAATTTCGTCGTGTCAGGCATCTCGTCCTACAACAACTCGAACTTGAGTTTGAACCCATCTCCGACGACGATATTGCTCGCGTTTTTGCCGAGTCTCCCCACTTGGAATCAGTTGTGTTGTCTGCAGTTCCCGGGATAACGGACCGCTCGGTGGTATTGCTCACCGACAACGCCTTGAATTTGCAAGGAATAGATATTAGTGGTTGCAACCAGGTGTGTAACCATCCCATTTGAAGCTCGGCCACAGAGTGATTCTCGTTTTCAGATTACAGACGTGTCTATATTTGAACTCAGTGCCAAATCCTTGCCGCTCCAATGGATTCTACTCAACGGCGTTACGGGTCTCACTGACGCCTCCATCACTGCTCTCGCCAAAACCTGCTCTCGTCTTTCTGTTCTCGAGCTATGTGATCTTCCTCTCCTCTCTGCACATTCAGTTCGCGACATTTTCACGTATTCCCGGTACTTTTTCTTCCCTTCGATTATTGCAATAGTCTCATCACGCTGACGAAGGAAATTACGCACCCTTCGCCTTGCTCGATGTCCGCTGTTGACCGACAAGGCATTTCCTGCTATTTCTGCCTCGAGGTCCACAACCCCAGTCACAACTTCGAGCGGTTATGATAAGCCACTACCCCCGCGACCGACAAGTTGGTTCGACGAATTACCTCCACTTATCCTTCGCCATACGGCCGACAACCTACGGGTAGTGGACCTCTCGTTTGTTACGGGGATCACAGACGCTGCGATTGATGGCCTCGTCAGCCATGCCCCTCGAATACAGAATCTACGGTTAACAGGATGCAAACAACTGTCTGATAAAACACTAGAGAGTATTTCCAAACTGGGAGACCACCTGGGTGATTATTTAATGCTTTACTGGGTTCAAACTGTGTATCTCAAGCATCTCAGATGTTCTCCTACTGGCTCACGTGTCAGAAATAACGGACAATGGCATCGTCAAACTGGCGCGGTCATGCACCAAACTGCGCTGCATCGATGTGGGTTGTGAGTTGGTCTATATTTTTCGCTGCGTCTGTTGATATAGACTTCAGTTTGCAGAAATTTGACCGATTTGGCTGTTTTCTGCCTGGCCGAACTGAGATATATGCGACGACTAAGCCTTGTTCGCGTCCACCGAGTAACCGATATTGCCATCTTCGCCTTGGCTGAACATGCTCTTGACCTTGAACGACTGAATCTGTCATACTGCGATAGACTTTCGCTGGACGCACTTCATCTTCTTCTAAAACGGCTTATGCGGCTGCAAAACTTTGCCGCCACAGGAATACCTTCTCTGAAACGGAAGGGCGTTCATCGCTTCTCAGATATGGCCCCGCCGGTGAGAAAATCGCCTTTACCAAGGATGTTCACGCTTATTAAGCGACCCCAGGATTATGACGCAGACCAGCAGGCCGCGTACAATGTTTTTACGGGGGAGCGCGTAAGTGCTCTGAAGAAGTTTCTCAACAAGGAAGAAACTCGTCGTCGTGAGTGTGAGGCCAAGAACATTAGGTTCACGGAGAGCTCAGACGATGGCATAGATTTATACTAGAACATCTTATCTTAATTGTCTTATCTAGTGGGTTTTTGATGGGATTTCTGAATGGCGTGACGTCACAAATATTCCTTCGAACCCTGAAGCATTTAGTGATCGCGATCCCATGGCCTAGAGCTTTAATGGGGTACTGGCTCAAGTAATGGCATTGTCCAAAGGTCTTGTCGGCTAGTGGATAAAGCGGAGAGAAGTCCAGGTGGCGGAACCATGGGGGAAAAGGCCGGAAGGCATATCGAATGGACGAAGAACAAGGGTAGGAATCGTTCAATAAACCCAACCCCTAGTATGGAACTCGATATGAAAAAAATAAGTACGTACTCCAATTTTTTTGCTCTATGACGGAATCATAGTCATGTCGCCATGTCTCAGCTAGCTCTCAAAAGCGCAATGGCCTAGGTAACAGATCGAGAAAGAGAACCCCTTTCTGCAGGCGGACCACAACTACGCCGAGCCGTTGCGGCTCTTCACCTTTCCCCCACCACCATGCAACCTTCTCTCAGAAACAGACGGTCTCTACGAGGCTCGCCTGAGCATCGTCTTAGCATCAAAGGCTTCCTACCACTTCCTCCAATCGCCTCTTCTCCAATTTGCACTCCAACATCAGCTATGGTCGCTGGCGAGGCACTCCCTACTAGCACTCCTGCCGAAGATGTCCATCTCCTTCGAGTTCTACCAACTTGGATAGCAATTCCTCCGACTCCTCCTGGAAATCACATCCGCCGCTCTGTGACATGCGTTACTCCTTCCTCACCACTTTCGCCTTCGGTATCATGTCCCGCGCCTCCAACTACAGGCTCCCATTGTTTCGGACCACGTCGTCCACGGGCTCTTTCTGATCCTCTCGTCCAACAACCAATAACCTCGTTATATCGGCAAGAAGATGTGGACGAGTCGCAATTGGAGAAAGCGAAAGACGATATTAGGCGTTTCCATGCCCTCATGGAACTCTTGGCCACCGAAGTCAGCTATCTCGCCGACTTGCGTATATTATTCTCGGTATTTTTATTCAATTCTTGCTTGATCCATTCTTGATCTCCGTCGTTCAGGTCTATCTGCGTCATCTCCCAACCCTTTGTCGCACACAATCAACTTTCAGTCTTTCCCCCTCGAGAAACAGCTCGACAACCCACCTACCCAAGACGATGACTACCGTTCTCTCTGACCAAGGACTGAATCCCTTGACAAGCATTAGCACGAAGCCCAAGTCCTCCGCACGCCCACTCTTCACCAGTCGAGAGGTGGATATACTCGCTCGCAACGTCGAACAAGTTCTCCAACTACATGAAAACTTCGTACAGGAACTCTGTGTTGCCCTCTCTCCATTCGGATTTACGATGGAATCCGATCCTGCGTTGACCAGTGATAAGCCTCAAATTCATAACCTTGACGATGCCATTTCGGTAGTATCTACCAAATTTGCCACTGAAGTGAGTGCTAACACGATGTTACTATCTGCACTTCTCAACACTCACTTAGGCATCCCGTTTCGACGCATATCAAACCTTTTGCAGCGGTCATCCGGAAGCCCTCGTGTTAATACACCGTGTCCAGACCCAATATGCCGGCGAATGGGAGGCTTTTGAGCAGCAGTGTGCGTTGGTCTCGCTCAATATGACCGATTTACCGGAGGCTTCTTCACCCGAGGCTGCGCGATCTCATTCTGAAGGCAATGAGAGATCGGTTCCGCCTTCTATTATGACCGTCAGCGATCGTAAACGAACAAGGTCGCTTACCTCCATCGAAGGCGCCCGCAAAGCGCATTCGCGGACCAACTCGAAAGACAGCTCGGGAGAAGGACGTCACCGTCTCGCTTTCCTCGATTACATGATCAAACCGATTCAGAGGATATGTCGCTACCCGCTCTTACTTGATCAACTTCGGCCCGGTGCTAAGCTTCGACAACTGGGACACCCATTTCTTCACGCTCACGTCAATGTCGTCGTCGAAAGTGCTACTAAAGCAATGCGCCACGTTGCCAGCGCTGTCGACGAAGCTCGGCATCGGCAGAATGTCCAAATGCAGTCGTCCCTCATTATCTCCCGTATTACCCTGGCTCACCCCACGATGGCCACTTCCCATATGGCAGCCATGAACTTGAGCTCGCCGACGTTTCAAATATTGACTCCAAGTTTCCTGTCTTCCCTCGGAATATGTCTTTTGGCAGGGTCGCTGGACGTTATGCATTATCAGTCATCAAAACCGACGGGTAGTGGGATAAACGTCAATGCCAAATATCTCGGGGCTTTCTTGTATCTCGGTGGCTACTTGATCCTCGTCAAAGTGTCCAAAAACAAGTATGAACCACGTCACTGGTTTCCACTTGCAGACTTTGATGTTATCGAGCAGGAGGAGGAAGACAGTGGGTTTTTACCTTCGTTGGTTCTCCAGAAAACATCTGAACTTTCGCAGCTTCGCTACCGTGTACCTTCAGTCTGATCTACCGAGGTCATCAATTCGACTTGACTGCAGCATGCCAGAGGTGAGGACGCGACGAAAAGCCTCAATACAATGACTCAATTGCCATCAGGGAAAAGGATGTTTGGCTGACTTCTATCCGAGAGTCGCGACTTCACCCGCCTGAGTGGATCAATGAACCCACCTCGAGCCTTCATCTCGATGGTAAAGGCGAAATGGTTCCCTCAACCCTTGATGAACCTTATGAGATCATCAACCCTCTGCCAACCATCCAATCGCTCCCAGAACTTGCCCAAGATGATGACCACGAGGATCTGAAGGAGTCTGTTTTGGCTGTTTTCAGGAACGAGGTTGCGGTTCACAGCGCAGTCAAGGTGGATATGCCCAATAAGGCCCCGGAGGTGGTCACAAGTCGTCGCTCATCCTCTGCATCCGTCGCAGCCAAGTTAACCGCTAATTCCGATGGCGACACGATTATCATTCGGCGTTCTTCCCCTGCTGCGAGGTCATTAGTGGACCAAGGCCTACAGGATGTAGTTTCGGAGCCGATAGTGGCGGCCCGTTTTGGTACCCGCGACGAGCTTTTCCAGGCTCCGCGGATTCTTCGAATATCGGGCTCTGGTTCTGGCTTCTCGCGTTCCAACTCGGCTCTGAGCCTGACGAGCCTTACCAAAAACCGTCTTTCCAAGCACGAAAGTGTCCGTGTTCCTCGGAGACGAAGCGCGCAAGACGACCCTCCTGTGATACCATCTAAAAAGGCCACATCGCTGCGTGGCCCGCCAAGGCGGCGTCCTCAAAGGCTGACAATTATGTCAGCATCTGAGGCCGAGAGCATCTTTCAACCCATCAGCGTTTCTAGCTCCCCCTTTTCGCAATCGTCATCTATTCCTTCCACACCAACCAGCCCCACAACACTCGAGTCGCCTTTTGAGCTGCGAACCCGGTCGCAAAAGTCGTCATTGACCAGCAACACCTCGTCAGGAGGATCGCGCTCGGTGTCTCCAACGACTACAACGGCCAGTCAGCATTCAAAGCCCAGTATGAATACCTACAAGACGATGACACAAGGCATTCGCACATTGTGGACAAAGGGATCGCGACACCGACGGACACGCAGTATTCCTTCAGACGAGAATATGCCTGAGATGTCGTCCTCCCCATTGCCTCCCCCGACCCTGTCATTGGAATCACCTACTACCAGCCCAGTCACTCATTCTTCCCCAACGCCCAGTCGAACACTATCGCGCAATCAACTGCGTATATTGTCAACTGGCGCCCCAATGACTCCCAGACACTCATTTTCAAACAACAACACGGAGCTTGGGTCCATAAACAAGAGAAGTTCGATATTCAAACGTCTCAAAGGTCTTTCTGCCTAAGACTGCTCCCATTCCTTTCCATTTGTACTACTATTCTAGAAGCCCATACCCTGCATGCATATCCATTCCATTTGTACTACACACACCACACATTCGCTCACATTTTTGGTTAGACTTTAATTGAAGACAAAATGCAAATAGATGGGAAACTACAAATACAGCGCCAGTCTAAGAGGTCAGGGGATGAGGCCGTGAGCCTTCAATAACGAACGCCACCTGTCGTGCGGTCATGAGCATCTACAAAAGAAAGGGACAAAGAGAGTTACTCTTCTTGTTGTAACTCAAGTTCAGCTAATCGCCTCTTCAGTTGCCTACATCACATCAGTCACGTGCAGGAGATAAGATAGGGAAACAAAACTGACGAGTTTTCTTTACTCAGGGCATTCCGCCCCTCTTTGGTCTTCCGGAGATCGTCCGACATTGACGCCCATGCCTCGTCATCCGGGAGATTTGCGTCATTGTACATGCCCTCCAACTCCTCGTTGAAGGCCTTGGAGCGAATATTCAGCACACATCAATTGGCAAAAGAAAGAGAAAATCTACCTCATACATGATCTCCTTCTCCGCAGTCGCGTCATCTAGCAAGCTCTTGACGAGCTCGCACTGACGTCGTGAGTTTTGGAGATCCAGACGAGTTCTCTCCAATTCGGCTGATTTCTACGCGGTCACGTGAATATGTGGCTTGGGAGGCAAATCAAATATAGAACCCACATCCTTTAGGTCGTCGGCCAGCTGCTGGATACCACTCTGTAGTGAATCATGGTTGGAAGCGGCTCGTGCCAGGTTACCTTCCGCATCACCCGCCAAAACACTGAGATTGCGACGGACATCGTCTGTTGACCTGATCGAGTTGGTATTGCGGGTGGGTGTCCCAACCGCCATGCTCAGTGGACGACGTGGTGTTCCTCCGTCGTTTCTCTGACCAATCAGTTGCCGCATTTCTTCCAATCGGTCAATCGCTGCCTGAGTCTACAAATGCCGATGAATAATCAACTCTAAAGTAAAAGGAAATATCTACCATTGGTGCCGCACCAGCGCGCTGGGGAGTGCGCAGTGCTTTGCTCGGTGACGACGGTCGTATGATTTCTTCTGGAAGTGGATCAGTTGCGAGGGTTTCAATCTCAAGCTTTATGCGTTTGAGAGCACGGTGGGATGAGTCGACCTGCTCAATGTCAGTTCAACAGCAGCGGAAACCAATCACGACCAACATCTTCTTTAGTCATTTGCGAGAGTTGCACCAATCGATGCGGCCCATCGCTCTTGGCAGGACTGTTGCGCATTGAAATAGCTCGTGTTGCGCGGACCTGAGGGGACACCCTTCGCGGAGAATCGACTGTCTTCGCTCTGGATAACGGGGAGTTTCGAGGTGGTTTCCTGTCCGTGACCGACTCCGAGCTATGCACGGAGGTTTTCTTCTTGATGGACAGTGGTTCGATGAAGCCAGCACTACCCGTTCCACCCAAAGGTTTCGGAGTAGCGTCTATATTGCCAGCGGGGAACAAAGGTTGTCGTTTACTCCGTGGGATACCAGTCGCGCGGACCGGGGCTGAACGCTGAAGCTTCCCTGTATTTTCTATAGCCAGGTCTTGATCCATGGACCGCAGCTCTGGTGGGTTCACTGGTGGAAGCGGAGACGGACTTCGAGGACCTAAGGGTCGCCGTTCTATTGAGTGTGATCTACCCTGGCGAGGCGGGGAGTCTATTCGGTTGGAGTGAGAGGAATCTGGTCGTGGTGTTGCGTCTTTGGAAGGTCGCAGGAGGGGGGCGGGGGGTTGATCATCTGAAATTTGCTCAGGGTACAAACCGAGAAAAATATAAACACACGATACCTTCGTAAATCGTCTCTTCCGACGGATTTTGCAGAGGCACAGCAGGAAGCGACCTGCCATGCTGGTTCTGGCTATTCTTCCGAGCCAAAGCAAGCTGGAACGCAAGATCACGCTCAGTGGGGTCCATCTCCCGCACGTGATCAAGAATCGTGCCGTCATCGTCATCACTGTAATCCATGCCGTCCCGTTCCCGCGACGTTGCCCGCGAGCTGCTCCGTGAGCCGGAACGAGAAAATGCACGACTCGGCGGCCGACTTTCCGGCTCGGGTGTTCCGCCGGGTGACCTGCTCAGCTTCCTCAGGACGTTTCGCGACCGTGAAGAAGATCGCGTCCCGCACGAGTCGTCATCCACGGTTGTTGCAGTCGAATTCGACCTTCGTGAAAACCTTGTCAGACTTCCAGATGCTGTCGTCTGGCTGTAAGTCGATGACCGACTAACAGAAGACTTGGTCCGTCGGTGACTGCTGACAGTCCCTCCAAAGAAATCACCCATAGCCGAGCCAGGCCTGGCATTGAAGAGATTTTTCGAAATGGCATCTAAACTGAACATGGCGCCTTTGGAGCGAGAGGTGGGAGTCGCCGGCAGGGAGTTTCGGCCAGTGCGGAACTCGAATAAACCAAACTGATGGACTGTTGGGGCGCGTCAGTCATTTTTGAACAAACGAATAAGGAAGGGCGAACTGGTTAGCACGATGCGGGCCGGGACACGGGCAGTCTGGACAATGTCTTCCTCTCCGGGATCACTTGGGTCGCTTGATGTGACTTTATAACGACACAAACCACCAGCCAAGGGTTGGAGACGAATGACGCCAAACGGTGGGCTCCCCATACCAAAAGGAATCTTGTCTGCAGAACCATGTGCATCGATGTGGACAACGATTTTGGTCTAGCAACAGTCAGTATTCGATCATTGAAATCGTGTTCAAGTCTCTGACCTTCTTCGGTTCCTGAAGAAACGCTGTTCGTTGGTACACGTTATAGTATGTGCGAGCAACAGTGACTCGGCTTCCCTTAGACTCCACTTCCATCTCATCTGCACGAAGCACAACAGACTGCCCGGCTCGAGCACGATATGTTGCTTGGACCTTCCACAAGTTTTCCAGGAAGCGCTGCTTGTCCGTCTCAGCTTGGCTAGAGCTAAAACTGCCTGATTGCACAACAGTATAGGAGCGGAACGGCCGTCCTGTCCAGCGCTCGCGGTCCTTCTCATCCATGGAAGGAGGATTCTCCAGGTAAACATTCAAATCTTGAACGGAATGAGCACCATTGCAAGGGAACATGCTTTTTTTGAACATACCTGAACCACCTATGTCGGTTGCGACGACCTCAGTGACATCAACAACACCTTTGAAGGACATCCCAGTCTTCTTCTTGAGATGAATTCCGGCTCCCTTGGTCAACTTGTCCAGTTCGTCCAAACCTGCGAGCACGCGTCCGCTTTTGTCGCTATTTCCGGGCCTCTTGACGATGACGAGTTTATCATCGAACAAGAAAAGAGTACAATTGAGGGAATACGAGGATGCACTGTTGACCGAGGCTGAAGATGACGAGGGAGCTTCGGAAATAATGTCCTCGACGTCGATGCAGTCTACGAATCGCCTCGAGCTTGAACGTAGGTCAGCGGGAAACCCGTCGATAGCTGCACCGAGGCAGTGGAAAATTGCGGCACGTTTGGTTTCTTCGTCGAGCTCAGCTAAAGCAATCTTGCTGGCGAGTTCGTCTGCTTCGAGGAGTTTAGCGCGTTGTGGGTCATCTGAAGCCATATGCTTCATCATGGTCCGGAACATCAGCGTATATTGAGGTATTCGTTGGACCGGGTTAATGAGGAGTTCACGGAGGCCAACGCGGTTTCTGGACTCTGAGGCTTGATATTTGATACGCTTTAGATGTGTGAGCAAACGAGACTGGACTTTGGAAGGGTGACACACATCGATATAAGCGGCAAACGGTGACGACTTTCTGTTCATCTCGTGTTCAAAGATCCGCTGCGCCTCCTCACGTTTGACGTAGTACTGCTTGTACTGTTCAAACCCTCGCAACTCCTTGAAATGACGGAGCGCAACGTCCCCGACACCGCCAACCATCCTTTCGCCGTTGGGCCCGAGCATCTTCTCTAGGTCTGTCAAGAACGCTTCATTGACGGGAAGCAGGTTGTCGACGTTGCCGAAGAGTGTCTTTGCCTCGTAAGGAGGGATGATTGCAGTGCTCTTGGTTCGAGCGAAATTGCGAAGGGGGTCCGCATAGTCGTATTTCAGAGACCGAAGTCGCTTCACATATGAGCGTTCTGTCTCCACCAGCTCGTTGATGCTGGAAGTCAGTGCGGAAGTGTTGGTTAGTGCTCGTTTCCTCTGTGCCGGACGTTCCTAGAGTGCCCTGTGAGCTGAAAGCTAAGATATAGATGGTGGACTGACTGAGTTGTCTGGATTAAGTTCAGACACAGACGCTAGATCTGCACCGGAAGCCACTGTGGCGCCGAAGGAGAGCACAAGGTCTTGAATATCTGCACAAGCAACCCAGGTAAGTCATGGAATCTAGGGGGAAGAAAAGAGTACGCGCCGTCAGGAAGCCTCTTGCCACTCTCAGACCCCTCCACGACAACCCCACAGAAAAACACGCGCTTGGTAAAGCCGGGGGCCAACGACTCGCAACGGGAACGCGTCTCTTCACCAGTGGAGAGCGGTATAACCTTGCGGGGGGATGTGTTGAGCGCCATGATGCCACGGGGGGCGGTTAGTAACAACAAGAGTCTTCCAGTGCGAGAAGCGGAAGATCAACGGAGGTTGGTTTGTTCTCACGTGCCCGTTGTCAGTGATGTGATGTCACGCGCTCGCTTAGGGGTAGTTTGGACGTGAGGGATTGCTCTAGTCGTAGTACTAGTACTGATGAGAGGTAACCAAAGAAGTACATTCAAAAAATTCATGATCATGGGTCTTGTCAGTCTCTTAGTTGTATTTAGCATGAGTTGAGCACATGCCACAAACTCAAAAATTGTCTCTGAAAATTAGTTATTGGCATAAAAAGCTTGAGGACTGTTTTTATGGCTGCCACTATCTGTTATTTGAGTAATGTAACAGGGTTTGAAGCAATAAAAAAGCTAGATTCTAGGAATTTGCTCTCAGAAGGAAGTCACTTCTTAGGCTAGGCTAGGAATATGTCTCAAGTTTAGCCTTGCAAACAAGTAAGGCCTCAGAAAATGCATAGAAACTTGGAAACTTATTTCCTTTATCTAATCTTTATTATATCTGCTGCAGGTAAATTTTCTATATCCAGCTGATCGGCCAACTACCTTTTAAAGCATCGTTTTCCCTAGGCTTTGGCTTTCATGTTGAAATGCATTTACTTTCAGTATACAGATACGTGACTTGATCTGAGATGCGAGAGTTACTTGTGAGCCAATGTGTGTCATCTACGCATGTTGGGGTCTGGATTCCGGTCCGTATCGATTAGTGGTTAAATCACCTCGTTGTGGTAGCGTGTTTCAATCTATCCGAGGAGCCGCCTGTTCGATCCAGGCTACGGACATCCTGGGCCAGGGCCCCGTCTTTTTTGCCCACCCTTTTTTTTTTTTTTGCTCAAGTGACGTGATTGCGGCCGAATTTTTCGATCACACTCTCCCTTTTCGAGTCATGTCCCGACAGAATTACTCTCTCTGAGTAGTGCATGGGATTTATAGCCGCGCGTCTCAGACTCTGCGTTGCACTCGGCATCAACCACCATCGTCTTACTGCCCCGTCCCTTAAACGCTTCTACATGGCAAGCAAAACCCAAGTTCACCCGATGGAAATTACCTTCCTCGGAACGGCGTCGGCGGTGCCGTCCTCGACACGAAGCCATTCGTGTCTCTCGTTGCGCATTGGGAGCGACGTCTGGCTATTTGATTGTGGAGGTATGTCTCGTCTACACCTACACAAAAGCGACGCGTCCAACGTGCTCTAGAGGGAACGCAGCGGCAACTGCAACGGAGTGTTGTAAAAATGGGGAGGATCAATAGGATCTTCCTCACTCACTTGCATGGTCCGTTGTTCTGTTAACCTCTTCTATTGAACTTCACAATCCTCCAGGGGACCATATTTTTGGTGTTACTCCGCTTCTGGCTGGTCTTTTGAATGGTTCAGGTGGGGTCACGGAGGGAGAGGAGGATCCCAGACAATTTTTGGACGTGAACAATCCAGTGTGTTATACTGCTTCTCTTTTTTTTCTTTCTCTTCTAACCAAAAACTAGGCTATCGAAATCTATGGACCTCTGGGAACGCGCGCCTACATTCGTTCTAGCCTTACCCATACTTATACCACGCTCGGCAGCGCATACGTTGTGCATGAGCTCCGCTTTCCCGACGACCCCAAGACAGGAGACTTCACCAACCTCCGCCGCCACCGGTCCGAATCGCCATCTGGACGCAACATCCAACAGGTCGATGGTCTCTGGAGAGACATCCTCACTGACGGACGTATTTCTGTCTCCGCCGCGCCGATCCAGCACTCCGTTCCTTGTGTTGGCTATGTGGTCAATGAGGCGCCTCTCCCCGGCAAGGTCGACCCCCAAAAGTATATCCCAGAACTGAAGAGGACGAACACGCCCATGAAGGTGATGCGCGACATCCAGGAAGGAAAACGCGTCAAGCTCAACGACGGCACCATCCTCGAAGGTCCGCAAAACCGGCCCGGGCGGAAACTAGTGATTTTAGGCGATACATACGACCCTTCTCCCATCGAGCCTTTGGCGCTGGATGCCCACCTGCTCATTCATGAGGCCACAAATGCCCACTTACCCGGGGTAGACTCGCGGACAAAGGAAGAGGACACTTACGAGTCGATCGAGGCCAGGACAAAATCACGGGGGCATTCAACACCGCAGATGGCTGGTGCTTTTGCGAAGCGCATTCGTGCCAGAACCCTCATCCTGAACCACTTCTCGACCAAATATGCTGCTGATGAGGATGGCGACGACGAGGCCAAGCTGATAATGGACACCATCCGCGGGCAGGCAGCTGGAATTGCGGACTGTGAGGTGATCTGTGCCCGCGATTTTCTTAGTCATACGGTAGTTGTACCTGCAGATTAGATTAGGACTCGATATGTTGCTGAACTCTCAAGAGGGAAAGAGCTTGCGCAGTAATGACTTACAGTTTGCATGGCACCTCGCACAAAATATTGAATTTCTGCCCTTCCAAGTGCCTATATCGGCGGTGCTTCCGACATGATCAGATCTAGAGGTGCAACATATCAGATTTTACCCTAATTCCTTGAAGCGCTTGCACACTGAGAAGCTTTGGCCTTCTGTGAAACTATATAGCACTCATCCGAAGGACTTTATTTTATCAAATTTGCCTACATCTTCTCCAGAACAGCCAAAATTGGGTTCTCAGATCAGCAATAGCAGATAAACTGCCTCATTCATGTACTTACAAGGCTATATGCTTTAGAAAGTTGAAGATCTACTATGGTCCTATTTTAGAAAGCTATGATCAATTTCGAGTTGCATCTTGCCGTCACGATGCACAATCCCTGGGCGGCTGGTATGGCTCAGTTCAGTGTTTGGGGTGAACTAATAGAGCTCCAGCCTCTTGGCCAAGCCCGGAAACATCAGATGATGCGCCGGCCGGGGCCACATCTCACCCAGCCCTTCTCCGCGCCGCCCACTCAGTAGCAGCGCGCTCGTCAATACACGGGCCAGAGCTATTATTTCTGCCCCCATCAATGCCCAGTCCCCCTCTTATTCCACCCCGACCGCCAGAGCCACCTTCGCTCCGCCGAAACCGGACAGTTCCCCATCCGCTTGCTGCACCACCAGCGATTCCGCCCAAGCCACTGCTCTCTCCACCACGTCGGGTTAGCGAGCCTCCCATTCCGCCAAAGACAGAGCCCCCACAAATTCCACTTCCCCCACCGCCCATTGTCGAAACAACAACCCGACCAGAACTCGGCCAGCACTCGAAATCGGCACCGGAGCCCTCTCGGAACGACGACGACGACGATGCTGAACTTGCCCAGTTGGCTGCGGTCATTGCCCTCTCCCAGGCTGAGTCGCTAAGGTGTGTTGCGGCTTTGTTTCTATCATGTTTCAACCTAGCTCTATGGCAGGAAGGAGAGACTTGAGCAGAAAATACAGAGCCAGGAGGAAGCCGACCTCGCACGGGCCATGGAGGCCTCGCTTTCCCCAAATGCATGGTCGCATTCTCTGGGGCCTCATTCAACAGAGGACGGACCCTCACATCTAACTTCAGCCATGATGATTGTACTAACGCCGATGGAGTCTGAATTCCCCCAATCGCAATATATGGACGACGAGACTTTCGCACGGATGCTCGCTGCCCAAGATACCCCAACTCAATCTTCATTCCCACCAAGTCCTATTCCTTTGCCGAGCAATGGCCTGGCTGCGGACGAGAAGTTCGCGCTCAAACTGGCTGCGGAGGAGGAGAAGCTGACACGAGAAGAGCAAGAAAGCCCTCCCGAGGAACCACCGGATATTCCCGTTCAGACAAAGCCACCACCACTGGATTTACCCAAACTCGAACCGGCCGATCTCCCCAAGTTGAAGCCGGGTGGGGAATTCTTGACTTGGGTCGATAGCAGCCTAGAAAGTCCTGTGGATACCAAGAAAGTTATCAACATTGACCTCGCAAGTTCCCGGTCAACGCCAATATTAGAAGCCCTTACGCCTGGGAGTGAGGAGAGCGAAGGCAGGTCCCCAAACGCGAGCCAGTATGTCGACGCGGATCTGTTGCTAGGTGTCTGTGAGTTGGTTTTACCTGTCGTCTATCCTTCTCTCAATGTTACTAGCGATCGGCTTCGTCGCGCCCATGATAACATCACATTTAGTCCCACTGTCAGGCTCGATGCCTAACATTGTCTCGCTGCCATATGGGCGCTGTCCTCCCCTTCATTTGCAAGCGCCCAGTTGGCGGCATCTTTTGAAGTTGATGGCCAGGCTAAGTGGGACAAGATTCGAACCAACCGTCGAAGCATTAGCAGTGGCCCGCTCGTCCGAAATGCATCTGCGGACAGTAGTCCAATTCGTTCGGCTCAACCCCGTGACTCCAGACTGGCGGGCCATTCTCTGGTTCACAATTGACCATCCGGTGCCAGCTTCGATGCCAAACTCGCGCAAATTCACCAATGGCGATGTCGATGTTCTTCCTTGGTCGTATACTCTGTCAAGTCTGCCCGCGCTTCTCCGCGACAGCGCCGACACGCCTTTATCGAAGTGTTACACCATACCAGCAACAAATAACGTGCCGTTTCCTGCGCTCCCGATCTCGTTTCCCAATATGGCTTTGTACCTTCAAGCCGCACTGGAAGAATCACGGAGGCAGATGAGCGACAGCGGCAGTGGTGTGCGCAAACTGGCTAAAATGCTCGAGACGTGCTATCCTACGACCGATCTCAAGGGGGATGACGAAAGGAGCAGGATGGGCGGGCTGCTGAAGAAACTTGGCAGGAAGGACAGGCGGGGCAAGAAGGGCAAAGGCGGGGGGAATGAAGATACCTATGAGCTTGTTACTCCGTTTGTCCTCGATGAATGGGGACCATGATTGTAGCGCTAGTTTACCCATGTATCGGTAACAATTTATACCACCTCGTTGTAGCGGAGCACACAGGGGTCAAGAACGGTCACATTGCTGTGTCACACATCTCCTCCTGCTCACCATGGCCTCACAGAGCACCAGCATCGTCCCTTTGACGGCGGAGGAAGAAGGTGCGTTGCATTTAGTCAAAATAGGGCCCAAAGCATAACTTGAAATAGACCGTATTATTCTTGAACGAATAACGAACGATGAACGGCCTCTCCGACGCGTGATGAGGAAACTACAGAACTACCACAATGTTGCCTACCCTCATCTGTTCCCATATATGGCCGCCGCGGACGCCTCAGGCCCGACAGTGGACAACGCGAAGGAGGCTCTCATAATAGAACTCGCGTCGTTTCGGCTGATGTTGCGGAAAGGCGCGATGATATGTGAGGCGGAGGCGCGGCAGGTCGAAGAGTATAAGAAAGAGAAGGAGAGGATAGGTGTGTTTACTTTGCTTTGGTTGTTTCTCTAAGCTCACTAGGTCAGATCTTGAGCATGGCACTCTACGCGGCCAAATCGAGCAGCTCAAGACAAACTTGGAGCGCGAACAAATGCGGCGGCGGCGAAAGATGGAGTACGACTTTGTCGCGGAGAAGGTCAACACGCTGCCCAGCCGCGAAGAGCTCGAGGCGAGCATCCACTCGCTGGAAAACGACATGACAACAATCCGTGCCGAACACGAGGCTCAGGACAAGGCAATTCTCGCACAGCAGGCCGCGCTCGACCAGATTATCGAGAATTTAGAGGCGCTGAGGGCACTGGGCCGTGGTGTGGATCAAGACATTGCATTGGTGGCCGGAGATGCAACTGCTGACACTCCCGCGCCGGAAGAGGCTCCGACCGAAGCACAAACAACGGAAAAGGTAGAAGAGGCGGAAGAGGGTGAAGACGAGAGCAACAAGCAAAAAACAGAAGATGATGACATAGAGATGGGTGAACTGGAAGAACCTGAAAAAAAGGGTAAAAAGAAACGAGACGAAGAGTTGGAGGAGGGTGAGGCCAGCGACAGCAGTGATTTGAGTAGTATATTATCAGACGTCCCAGAAAATATCTAATCTGTCGTATGACTAAGAAAATCGCGGCACACTGCTGGAAGTTGCGTTGTCATCCAAAAGCCCAAAACTGGGACAATTGATGCAGTGTATAATATTATACTCTAACGTACATCCAGAAACGAAGATTGAGTATGCAAGGGGGTTGATGTGCTCAAAGCAAGGAATGCATGCAAAAGAAAAAGAAATTGACATAAAATGAGCGTTATCCAGATCATGAGCGGGTCATTGTGACGTTGTCGTCACTTTGGTTGGGGCTCCTTGAACAGTCGCGGTTTTGAAGCCGAGCTGTCGCAGAACATCTGCAAACACGCGTAAGAAGAAGAACCGTAAACAACTCAGACTTACTGAGAAGATCGGCCTTTTGTAAAGGCTTGGAAAGAGAAGCAGCAAACAGGTTCTCGACCCCGCTTACATCCGCCCCATCATACGCGCTGACCGCGATAATGGGCGTATGCGTGTTTTTGCTGTTGGTGCTCTTGATGTAACGTGCTGCACCTTCCCCATCGACTTGGCCACTATTAGTTTCACTCTATCAACCAATTTAGCACACTTACGAACTGGCATGTGCAAGTCCATCAAAATGCAGTCGAATTCTGATTCCAAGAGTCAGTATACGTGGTGGCGCTCACAATCACTTACTGATATCACCCATAGCCACACTGATTGCCTCTGAACCATCGGCAACGACCACACATCGACATCCAAGGCGAATCAGCAACGTCTCAATGATTTTCGCTGTAATCGGGTTGTCTTCCGCCAGTAGACACGTTACAGCACGGTCATTTGGATCAGGTCCCTTGCGCAGATCAATCGAAACAACAGACGAAGGCGGGGTCTCGTGATGGCCCGACGACGAGTTCCAAGTTTCCGAGCCTGACCCATCACCCGCACTCGAAACTGACGCAGTCCTCAACCGACTAGGCATCGAATTTCGTCGGTCAAGCCCGCTATCGAGATGGCTCTGTCTGAATCGTTCCACAGCACCAAATTCGGAGGGTTTGCGTGAGTGACCACCCCCGCTTCCTGGAGTAGAGGGCGGTAAACTTGTTCGGGACGGAGACGAGGCGATAGACGAGCTCGAAGTTGCTGGTGAAGGAGGATTGGTCGCTATCGCCTTGTTCAAACTGTTGGGTTCGATGGCAGTGACCACACTTGGAGGCTTCTTGAACCGATGCGAAACGCTCCGTTTGCGATTATGCAGTCCCGCAGGCTCGGACAATGCGTGCGTAAGAGGCGCCATCTGGTCAGTTTTGAATTTGCGGATAACGTCGTCATTTGCCTGCTTCAAGACCGGATAGTTCTTGTAACTGAAAGAACCGAATTCGACATCATTTGAAGCTTCACGACTAGCTGGGATTGGGACCGGTGCAGCCGGGGGAGGCATTGAAGAGTCGACAGTAGGACTATTGAGCGCCGACTGGCCAACAGCAATTTGATCGTCATCGTGGAAGAGCTGGGGAATCGCACCGCGAGGATCGAAATAGTCGGTAGATTCAGGGTCGCTGATTTGAGGGATGAAAGCTGCCTCAGTTGTGGTCACCTGATCCCAGTCGATTCCTTCGAAGAAGGGGTGGGCTTTGACTTCCTCAGCGCCATGAGCACCCAATCGCGTTGTGGGGTCCAAAGTCATCAGGCGGGCCATGAAGTCGCGAGCTTCTGGTGAGAAGTCCACCCATTCATCATGCCATTCAATATGGCCTGAGAGGATGTTTTCAAACACCCTTTCTGGTGTTTCGGCGTGGAATGGCGGTATTCCATACAGGAACTCGTATGTGATGACACCTAAAGCCCACTAAAAGAAATATCAGTCTTGTGGGCACGACAAATAGCAGCTACAGACCCAGTCCACAGCAGCGTCATCACCACGCAGACCAAGAATCGTTTCTGGCGCAAGGTAATCGGGGGTACCGACAACCTTTTGCTCGCCAGGAGGAGTAGATGATGACTGAGAATTGGAATGCGAACGCAAATCAGTGGTAAGTTCGGTGGCGAACGATTGTAAGGGACTATCGTTTGACTTGACTGCTCTCCGAAGGTGAATACCAGCAAGAGATTCGGAACCGCTCGACTCGCTGACATCGTCTGTATACATATGAGGTGCTGAACCAGATCTTGGAATTGATGGGGGTCGTGGGTTGAAGTACGAACCTCCGTTGTTATAGTCGGCATGGATGAGAGGCGAAGACAAATATGCAGCATCCATTGAAGGAGGCCGAGAACGAGAACCATGCCTTGTGACAGGTCGTCCAAGTTGACTTTCTCGAGTTTGGCGACCTAATAAGCCAATCCGGCTCAATCCAAAGTCAGTCAGTTTCAGATGCCCGTGTTGATCAATCAGCAAATTGTCCGGCTTAAGGTCACTAGCAGAACGTCAGTAAGAGATCGACGAGCAGTAAGACGGAGCAGTCGCACCGATGCACAACCCCACGTTGATGCAAATATTCGAGACCAAGAACTACCTCAGCGATATAGTTCTTCGTCCACTCTTCTGGTAATGAACCCAGAGACTTGATCAATGCCGCGCAGTCACCACCATTTAGGTATTCCATCACCAGATACAGGTTGTCTTTGCTCTGGAAAGTGAAATAAAGTTTGGCGACAAATGGCGACTCGGCTTGCTTCATGAGGATCATCCGCTCAGCCTTGACGTTAGTAATTTGATTCTTTGCAATCATGTCCGCCTTTTTCAACACTTTGATAGCAAAGTAGTCCCCAGTGACTTTCTTTTTGGCCAAAAAGACGGAGCCAAATGCGCCTTTGCTGATAGGCTTTATGATGTCGAAATCCTTAATCGAGGTGGGTGTGGCACGCGAGATCGGGGCAGTCGAAGGAGCACGCGGAGATGTCGGTGGAATATTGAAGTTATTAGCAGTGGAATGGCGGCGATGTCCACGTTTGGTAGAGGACTCTCTGGCCAGACCATCCTTGGTCGTGATCAAGGGCGATAAGGGAGGGGTCGTACCGCTTGACGGATCCAGGAGACTTGATGATGACTTGCGCGTTTTGATGACCAAAGGCTGCGGAGGTGCTGGTACTTCGTCCAAGCTCATTGGTGGTGGTATATCGTCGGGAGACGATGGAGCGACAATTGGAGCCGCGAGAGCTAAAGGAGAAGAGACCGAGGACGGTGTTGAAGACCTCGTATGCATCATTTGCCGCGATGGAGGCACGTAGGTCACAGAGGCAGGATAGACCGACCTGCTCTGTCGGACATCAGCTGGAAGGGCGGCAGGTGAAGGTGAAGGAGACAGGGCCATCGGAGTAGGATCCGAAGAGCCATTACCACCAGCATAATCGTATTCGGATGTTGTGCTTGAATGGTCGTCATCCTCGTCAGGTACAACACCGGGATGGCTCAATTGTTCGCCCTCGCCCTCGCTTTCTGATGACTCATCGCCAACTGCCAGATACTGCGCTACTCGCTCCTCCCACTCGTGCCAAATTTTCTCCGCATAGCGAATGGTGTTTTGCATTCGCGCGACATTATCGAGCTTCTGCCGCATGACTCTTTCGGCGTCTTGAACAAGCTGACCTAAAGCCGAGTCTTCGGTTGAAGGTTTCGCCCAATTGCGGACTTGGGTCATCTTTCGCTCTGAACTGGGAGAAAGTAGCCTTTGTCGTTCAATGGGTTCTTTAGCCTCTTCCTCCTTGAGCGCGGGAACTGACACTTCTGCAGCAACTTGAAGAATGTCCTCGAGCTGATCGAGCAATTGCCGTTGCATCTTTTTAACGCCGACTTTTTGCATTTTGTTGGCACGGAAAAGTTGCAATGGCGAAGCGATAGTCGGCGACGTGGAAGGCGAAAATATTGGCATGCCTCGATACTCGGGAACACTGTGAGTGTCGCGGTCGATAGTGGCGCATAGATCCCGAATTGTGTTACGTAATTCAGCAATCGACTCGTTGCACTCTGTGATCTCAGCCTCGAGTCGATGGGTCTCCGCACAAGTTTCGCTGTGCTTCTCAAAGTACCACTGCGGGATTTGTGACTCGCAAATGCGACACATGATGGGCTCGATGCAAATAGGTTGAGTGAAAGGAAACGGCGCGGCTGTTTCAAGACGGCTCGAGTCCTCGAAGAATCCAGTTGACACAGATTCTTCCTCGGGTAGCCTGATCGATGGCGAATCATGCTCATACCGAGGTGGACCGATAGGTTTGATGACCCACATAGTGTGGGAAGGCTCGCCGTCTTCCCGGTCGACCATTAGCATTCCCTTGCCTTCCATCTGCTGATAGAGAACACCAGGAGTCGAGAGCTCACGGTCATCTTCTGACTGGACCTGAAGCTTGAAACGAACTTCGACAGTGTGCGAGTCGTCATCCCTTAGACATTTGGTAGCGAGAGCGAACACATCCCGATCGTTGGGAGCGAGCAATCGAGAAATGCGAGTGCCGACCATGTCTTCAGAGTTAGTCCTAAAATAGAAAACCGTTTAGCCCTGGGGACGACAGATGCACACTCAACTCACCTCACGACAAATCTCCATGCGTAATTGATCCATATGAAGTGATCGCCGTCGAGACTGAGCTCTATAACAATATTCTGGTTTTGAGCGGTCTCTGCTTGAAGTCGCAATCTCTCGGTAGCAAGAATCCGAGCAGACTCGTTGGGGGGTAGCAATTTAGACCCAGCGCGGGAAATCGTTTCCTGCTCCTGAGAAGTAGAAGGCTCCTTGTGATGTTCGTCCCTTGGCCGACGAGAATGACTGGGTGGTCGGGATAGTTTCAATTTAGCTTCTTCCTCAGGGGAAACACGTAGAGGACCCGGCTCGCCATCGGGTCGTCGCACGGTCGGAGTTGGTGCAGGTATTGATTCCTCCGCCGGTTTAGTGACAAACATCAGAGGCTCTTCAAGTTCGTCGTCGTTGTCGTCGAAGTTCCAGAATTGCTTTTCGGCCTCCCACCATTCAACCACTCGACTGAGGCTGGCAACGGCAAGCAGAACTTGCACATACCAATTGCGACCATGCCAGTCAGGGTGATCATCCCATGCTTTGCCAATGTTCTGTATCCTTTGGACAATGGATTCACAGATTTTAGGTTGAGCGGTGAGTTGCTGAACAGACATCTCCATCACATCGGTGGCAACAGCGATGAGTTCGTACAACGCGGTCATGATAGGATCGATAGGATCATCGACGAGAATGCGAGAGCTCCGACGGGGGTTTGGTGGAGCAGCTGTATTGTAGTCGGAAAAACTGCTATGAGATGACAAGGGAGGGAGTGGAGAGCGTGATCGCGAGGTTGAGCGGGAGCTGTGGCCAGAAAGGGAGGGCCGGGGAATGTGAATTGTTCTAGAGAGCCGGCGGGAGGGGAGCCCTTGGTTTGACCAAGCGGTGGGTGCTGCATTAGCCGCTTTGCGAGTTAACGGTGGTGCTTCTGGAAGAAGAATTGTGGATGTAGCAGGGCTAGAAGAAATAGCACTGGATGATACGGAGGAAGACACTGGGCGGTCACGGTCCCAGGGGGCGGCGCTTTGTCGACGAAGTGAACCGGGACTGAGAGAAGACGAGTTGGAGGCTGCATTAAGAGCAGAGGAGGAGGTGGAATGGGTAAGCGTGCGAAGTTGATCGTCAGTTAACGCACTGGTGCGGCTGTGGCGAGTATATTCAGGCTCTGCATCGTATCCACCATCTGAACTGGACTCGTCTGTCTGGAGGGCGGAACGAAGGTCGGCAGGGTGGAACATAAATGGGTCGCGCAATGCCTCGTTGTCGACGTTGTCAATGCCCACGCGCCCTCTTTCAATCTCGTAGTCAGCATCTCGTAGTCGTTCTTCGAAGAAGACCGTAATATTGTTCGTGATGCGTTGCAGGTCCTTGTCGCACTCCGCTTTCGAGGCTTTCAGTCGTCGAGTAACATGTCTCCGAACAAAAGGCATGGACACAGTGTTGTTGGAGCTGGGGGAAGATGAATATGACAGTAATCGAGGCCACGAAGCTTACCTAGACGCATGGGTAGCACGGGGAGGGGAGAGAACAGTCTCTGGAGAAAACACAAGGGGGCTTGGTGGCTGGCGCCTGGGGCCAGAATCGGCCATCAGGGTCGGCCAGACACTGGAGAGGCCGCAAAGACAACGTCAAGACAGTCGATAGTGGTGGTAAGATTCAGAGAGCAACAGTGAGTGATCGCAACTTGTCCTTGCTTTTTTCCCTGATGCTTCGTCGTCTCCTCTATACGACTGCACGCAGGCATAATGACAGCATCCCGTCTATGAATAATCTGACGGACGTCCTCCTTCAGACCCACGAAGACCAGCAAACCGGTATGTGTTCCGTGGTCTGGTCAAAAAAAAAAAACTTAGAGCGTTTTCGCAGCCAAAGACGAAGAGGCAAAAGGAGCGGCAACAGAAACCATCCAGCCTATACGCAATTACAAGAACTTTGAACCCAACGATGTAGGGGACTTTCTCGCTCTGAATAAATCAACACATATCCTCAACATTCTTAGTTCATACGGCCCTGGGATCTCAGTCTGGAAGGACGAACATTGACGCCACCTCGAGCTACTCGTAGACTGACTACAGCACCCAGAACACGCGACGCCCGGTCAGCAGACGTGTTTTATAACCTGGGAATCGACCCTCTCAAACTGGCTCTTCATCCAGGCGTCCTGGACCCATTCATCACCGAACTAGCTATGATTTTACCACGTAGAACCACAGGCCTTACATCCAAGAGCCAACGGAGAGTAGCTAAAGCCATTCGACGCGCGAAGATGATGGGAATTATGCCATTACACTCTGAACCTACCGAACTTTTCTAACCCATATCCTTACTTACTCTGTATAACAATCTCAGCATCCTTGGCCACACCTTGGAGACTGAACCATCAGAATTCTACCCCTTCCGGGTCTGCTGACCGCCTATACTTTTCCAAATTATTATACGCGACTCTATTACAACTCCGCCAGTAGCATCGTGCCTAGTGTTTGTACAACTTGGTCTCCCATCGCTTTTTCAACTGCCTCCTCCAAGTGTCGCTTAGGATCTTGTTTTCCAACGTGACGCGTCTTGAGTTGCTCGGCAGTTAGAGTGGATTCGTCTTGCACAGATTTGTTGTACGCCTCTGACAAGTTGAGCATTGCCTACGGTCGTTAGCTGTTGCATTCCAACACGTCAAGACAGCCCACGAACCTTCACGGCTTTCTCATTGCTCTCCTTGTGGCCATTGAAGTCACGGAGCTTCAAGCCTTCTGTCCAATTGCGTTTATGCAGGTTCATCAACATCGCCTGCTCCAGTTCCGTCTTCCGCCAAGCGACAGCAATAGAGTAGTAATGGCGGTTTAGGCCATGTATTAGTGCTTGGATGGAAGGTTTGTTGATGTGCCCAATATTAGATGTCGTTTGCCGGGGCTCACGTCCACTCATAATCGTCTGAGGATTGATAAGACGGAACGCGTCGATAACCACCTTTCCTTTCACGGATTGGATGGGGTCAATGACAACGCCGACAGCGCGCGAGTTAAGGGACTCGAAGGACTAGAAACAAGCATTAGCGTTTCGACAGGTTGAAGGAAATGCGATAGTACTTGTTGTGTATTGATATCGGTGCTTGAAAGCCAACAGCCAAACCCTGGATGAGAATGGTACCAGCCAACAACCATCTCAGGTCTAAGCTTTTCTAAGCAGCAAGATCAGAATGAGACAGATAAAAACATACCGCCCAGTTTGCTTTAACATTTCCAACATCTTCGTTTGAAAGACGTGGTCGACAGACTCGACACTGACAGTTGTCCCAGACTGAGGCATGGCAAAGACGTCGACAATTTGGATCGTGTATTCGTCTACAAACTCTCCGAGAAGCAGACCCATCACTTCCATGGGCACGCCTGCACGGCCATGCTTGAGCATCTGAAGCCGGAGAGTAAGTCAAGTTCCCACGAAAGAGAGCGCGAGTACTTTGAGGAGAGCAAGGGAGGATATGTGAATAACTTCGCCGCTGCAAACGCTTTGAATATTGCCTTCTAACAGAGGAAAGACACTTACTTATCTGGAGTGCCTGCGTCTGGCCGCGCAGCCTGGCCTCTCCCTCCTTGCTGCATCATCATTAGTCGCTCAACCTCTGGATCCATTCTGTTCTGTGTTCGTGGTTGCGGGAAAGTGCGAGGTGACGCGTCGGTGTAACACCGTGACTTGTCACGATCGCGTCCAAGTTTAAACCTTGCAGCCATCATCGAGGCATGGTCGGCAGGTGGGTTGACATGACTCATACACCACCGCAGTCAAGGACCACCTCAGTCGGAACATTACCAGCAATTCAGTTCAGCTTACCGTTGGTCAAAGTTCATTAGATGGACTAATAATCAGATAAGCAGAAATCCACGAAGGATACCATCGCCGAAACGTATATAAACAAACTCAACCACCAGCCACTGTAGCTCAATCTCGAAAATACCCCCTCTCAACATCTTCCGTCGACTCCCTATGTCATATAGCGCCAAACCAAACATTGTCGTGATTGGTGGCAGTTATGTTGGCCTCAACTTTGTCGACAGCATTGCGCCTTTAGTCCACAAAACCCATCGCACTGTTCTTGTGGAGAAGAACTCCCATTTCGAGGTAGCTTCACTCATTTACTGCTTCCAAGAACTGACCATTGTGCAGCATTTGTTTGCATTCCCTCGAGCCAGCGTTATATCTGGCTTCGCCCATAAAGCATTCATTCCGTATACGAATGCATTTAATGCAGCCCCGCCTGGCTCTATATCCGTAGTTCGCGGAGCGGCCGACAAGATCATTCACAATGAAGTCATTCTCCAAAGCGGCGAAAAGATTCCCTACGAGTACCTTGTCATTGCCACTGGCACTGGCTTGTTACCGCTGTCCTCGCGCAATAAGGTAGATGAGGTCTTGGCTTTCGAGAAGCTACAAGAACGGGTCAAGCAGTCGGATAATGTTGTTATAATCGGCGGTGGGGCATCCGGGGTCCGTGAGTGACTTTCACAATACATCTTTCTAAGCATCTCAAGCTCTTAGAAATGGCTACCGACGCGAAGGAATCATATCCTACCAAGAACATTACTCTCATTCACTCACGCGATCAGTTGATGAATCGATTCCATCCAGAGCTGCACAATGTTGTCATGAAGAGGCTCGCAGAGTTGGGAGTCGATGTTGTCCTGGGTCAACGAGTCAAACTGCCAGTCTCTGGCCATTACGAAGTCTCAGGGCCATCGTATAGCGTCGAGCTGGCAAACGGTGGGCTCATTCCTGCAGATATCGCGGTAGTCCTCATTCCGTTCAAAAGCAAAAGAAACTAAATGACCTTTACAGTCACGGCGAAATTATAATACGCCTTCCTAATCGAGTAAGCACCCATCAAACGATCAAAATGAGCGCTCCAAAGGCTCTTTATTGAAATACAGTATGCTACAAGCAAGATAGGTGTGTATGATACATTGGTAGAGTACTAGTAGTCAGTCCATAAGTAGTTGTTGTCCTTGAGGGCTTGTAAACGACGAGGGAAGGAGTAGTAACATTTTTTGGCATATGCAATGAATGAAGCGGACTTCCACACCTCTGTAGCGATTGAAAAAAACATCCTCCTGTGTCTTAGCTGTCGTATACCGTGGGTGTTTGCGAACCTCCTGCTTGAGAAGTGCCCAGCAGTTCTCAATTGGTGACAGGTCGGGTGATTTCGGCGGCCACTGCATGGGATTAATCACCTCGTCGTAGAAGAAGTCTTTCGTGTAGCGAGCGGTGTGCGTGGGAGCGTTGTCTTGTTGGAATATGACGGTGGAGTGGGTGTAGTTGCGTTTTTGGCCGGGTGCACCTTTGGGCATGGGAAGAGCGGGGGAGGGGAGTTGGAGTTGCCTATGGGCTATTTGAACATGGGTGTGGCGGAGGCAGTGTTGAATTCAGCTGCATCGTGGCTCAACAACGCGTCGACGCGTCAACAAACGCGCTGGGCAAGCGTAAGAGGCAAAAGATGTACCATCAGTCACTCGTTACACGTAACTACCCGATTAGGAAGGCGTATTATAATTTCGCCGTGACTGTAGATTTCCTGCATTGGTGCAGTGCCTCTTAGCCAGCCACTCATATCACTTTCCCCCGATTCCATCGACGAGTCCAAATTCATTCGCGTGAAATCCACTCTCCAGATTTCTGATGAGCGCTTTCCGAGGGTGTTTTCCATTGGAGATGTAGCAGCAACTGGCGGCAACAAGAATGCGCGTTCTGGTGTCGCGCAAGCCAAAGTTGCTGCCACAAATATCGCAGCCATGATTAAAGGTGGGTCGCCAACAGAACTATATGACCCATCTCCGTTTGCTATCCATATGTCTGTTGGGCTTTGGCGCTGGGTCATGTTCAGGAATCCAGCTTCTCCGGATGTAGCCCCAACGGTAGACTATCAGAACACTGAAGAGTTCAAGGGCACAGAAGAGGGAGACATCAGATACGAGATGGGTTGCCGGAGACTTTGGGCCTCGCGTGCGCCAGGAATTCAAGATTACAGCTTGTAGTGTGTCAGAGAGGGCATGTAGAATCGATAGAATTGGCATCGACTGTCGCGCGACGTGAATGTTTCTGATCCTGTGACCGTGCCAGCATCAAACCACTTTTATGGCTCAATACGTTGAGTTGCACAACCAAGTCGAGGTATTTTGCCTCGTACTCTTTCTTGCTCATTTGATTCACCAATACTAGACCAGCGTTCGGCTTCTCAACTCCCTCGAAACATTCCTTTCCACGTTCCAAAAAGACCTTTCCGCTGTTTCTGGCCAAATATCCGACCTCCAAGATCGTAGCAAGGACATTGAGAGCAGGCTCAAGTCTCGCAGAGTGTGTCTCTCTCTCCGCCCTGCTTACCGAAGCTTATAATGTTCAGCGAATCGAGAAACCACTCTCTAACCTCATCACCGACATCACAGTCCCTCCTCATCTGGCAACCCGTATCCTCGACTCTGACGTTGACGAGTCATGGATCCTCTCCATAGAAGAGTTTGAGCGGAGGCTGGTGATATCCAAAGGTCGGTCGCGCGTCAAGGCTGCTCGAGATTTGGGAGAAGTCATGGAGGGTCTGCGAATAGTGGTGTGTTGGCTAAAGTTCTTAGTCAATTCCCAGGATTGAGTCTCCTCTGCAGGCTGCTACGAAAATTCGGGCCTTCTTCATTGCACTCTTCCAGCCCATCCGAACCAATGTCACCACCAACATGCAAGTCATGCAGACTTCCGTGCTTCTCAAGTATCGGCCATTATTCTCTTTCTTGCACAGACAAGCCCCAAATGTGGCCCATGAACTTCAGCGATCATATATTGCTGCTGCGCGTGTCTACTACGAAACTGGATTTCGAAGGTATGCGCGGAGTCTGACTTGGATCAAGGTTTTTTTGTTCTTGTTTCCTCCTTGATACCTACCGGGCTCATATATTGTAGAGCCGTACGGTGGAGAAATTTGAGCCAATTGTCTCTTCTGAGCGTGAACGGGATGTTGTTGTGGACTCGAACCGACTGGAACACGCCAAGATTGAGGGTCCCAGTGTCACTCTCGCATATATGGCTGACGACAAAACACACAAATCCCCCATTGAAGCCTTAGCTCGCTCGCTACTCTTGGTCTTCATGGACAATGCGACAGCAGAATATGCATTCGTTGGAGCCTTTTTTGCCTCTGAGACCCTGCGAGATGCAGCTCAAGACCTCGATGTGGATTTGGACAACGCACTATTGTCACCTTCTCTGCTTTCTCCTGACCCTCGAGTAGAGAGGCGCATGTCCATTGCGGGGTCTGACCGTGGCGCCCGGCATCGTCAGCGTGCTGCAAGTGTTATTAGTGCCGGTGCGAGCGGCACACAATTGCAGGCGCTGGCTACCGCAGTCAAAGAGGATCAGGCCAGCACTGATGCGATCTGGAAACAGATTATGGACCCCGTTCTCGAGTATACTCAGGTCGACTTTCAATTCTTTTCGGGCCTCTCTGCTTCACTGAACATGTTTCCATTAGACCTTCTTCAATTCCGTTTTGGACCCACCTCCGCCAGTGGTACCGCTTTTGACCATCATCCGCTTGACCGAATCTGTCATGACCGAAGTCCAAAAGCGTGCATGTCCTCCGGTTGAATCTTTTGTGTTCACGCTTCGTTTGAAGATGTGGCCGGTCTTCCAGAAGGCCATGACAGAGAATATCGAAACGCTTAAAAAAAGCCGCCGAAGGAGGGTTTATCGTGTCTTCTACAAGTGGGACGACCGGAGGATGGTTGGGCGGAATAGGTCTTGGTCGATTGGGAGCGACGCCTACAACAGACGCAAGTTTGGCGAACATCTATAAGCGCTACATCGCCATGTTCAATTCCTTCGTGATTCTCACAGCGCAAGCTGAGGAGACCATGATCTTCGCAAAGTCAGTCTTGTTTCCTATCGATATTCTTGACTCCCATTGATTTTGTTCGCTAGCTTACTGCGTATGCAGCAAGAGCTGGCCAAACTTATAACACGGCACACAGATCAAGCTGGTGATCCCATTGCGAAGGCGACCGCTCAGTCGACCATCTACGAATCATTGCTGCATGGTCTAAGTGTAAGCTTATTCAGTCTTGTCGACTGTTTTCCTCGACCAACACCTTTTCAGCAGGATACTCCTTCAAGTGCTCATCCGAAAGCTCAACAAGAGATTGCTTACTGGTCAAAACTTCAAGAAGATGCGCGACGGAAAATTGTCGCGAGGAATCAGCTCAAAAGCAGACGATAGTATATGCTTAATAATCTCTATAGTGGGTCGGATAATATGCTACAATGGATTATATAGGGATAACTCAAGCCCGTTCGTGTTATTACTCTGCTTTTGACTTTTGGAGAGCCTTAACCTCGAGCATGGGGTCCAAGCTTGATTCGGGCTGGCGGTAGGAGCTTCCTGCTCGGTCGGCCCACGTAAAGTACTAGACAAAGAGTCAGCATCTTTAGGAGAGTAGTGCTGGGTTACTCGCCTGGCCATAATTGCAGGTGAAGTAGAGATGGTGCAGAGTGTGGTGAGCAGGGCCGTTGATGACTTTTTCGAGTGGATGGCCAGTGATCATATCAGAGTCGTGGATCTAGCCATATTGAGCGGGAGAACAAGTGAATGAGAGGGAAGACGCACAAAGATGCTCCAAAAGTTGACAAACACAAACAGGCCAAGATATAACAGCCGATGGAGGGGGAATATGAAGACAAAAAAGATGATACGGCACGCTCTGGAGGTAGCCGTCAACAGGGTGGAATGCGTGCGACGCCCATGGTGTCGGAACTAGGCCTTGTCAGAAACAAGGGATCAGGTGATGAGATAACGCACTGATCCACTTGTGGTGCGGTTTGTGGAGAGCCTTGTAGAAGAAAGGAATATGGAGCCATCGGTGTACCCAGTAAATGCAATAGTCGGTAAACAGGAGGAAGCTACGGACAATCAGGACAGCAAGAGAAAGTCAAACGACAACTCACAATGGGGCAGAGGCAAAGAGATACAAGTAGCCATACGAATCAGCTCCATCGTATAATTTCGAGTAGCCCCGGACCTCTCCCAGGAACCACGGAAGCGTTAGCAATGTGATCATGGGGAATGCCCGTAAGCTCGACTGGATCTCGAGCTTCTCTTGCTGCGGCAGAAACCGTGGGTGTTTGCGCATTTCGTGGTTGAATATGTACCGGTACGACAGCCCGGCAAATATGAAGTAGAGCAGGTGGATCCCGATGAGCGTTAGGACGGAGAGCGAGAGCACTTGTCGAGGAATGTAGTCTCGCGGCCAGGCTGACGCATATATCGGGTGAGAAATGGACGAGGGTGAGGCAGGCGTGTCATCCACCATGATGGACGACAGTGGGAGGTCAGACATTATTTTCGACCACTGGGATGAGGCCGGGAGAACTGCAGTCACCGAAGCGTTTAAAGAACGCGTCGCGTCGAGAGGTATTATTTTGGCATAAACGGCGTCCAAGAAGTAGGTGTCGCAGAGGTCGAGTACGAAATCCATGGTGAAGGGGACGGGTTGTCCGTGGAAGGCGTCTGGCAACAACTTATATTCACGACAGAAAAGTGGTCCGATTACTGCAGAAATCAGGGACACGTGATCCCGCTTCCGATTTCATGATTATGTGCCGTTGATGACCTCGGTTCCTCCAGAATATCGAAAATTATACAGCTCTAGGTCCTGTCGAGAGTCCCCCCACGCACACGCACGAACCCAAAATTAAACGACCCTAAGTTCCAGACTCCCCTCCACCCTTCCCGATTGGAAATGACGACTTGAGTAAACTCCCGTTTGTCTTGCCAATACCCAATCGATTCAGCACATCGCGGACTTCGGCTGGTCCTGATGGCGTAGCTCGCCGTCGGGACTTGGTTCGCTGTCGTACGAACTTGCTATCCGCCGCAATAGATGACACATGGTCAAAGGTGGAGACTGATGGTGGCTTCACAAGGGCTGGGTTTGACATGCTACTCCGTCCTTCTAGAGCCTCTCTCAAATCTGTGACACCAATGCCTCGGGTCGAACGGGCCAAGCTAGCGAGAGAAACGTTGTCAATGTGCATTAAAGCAGGTGAAATTTTCAGCAATGGAGATACTCCATCCCCTCGAATTGTCGACTCGAAAATGTTGGAGCGTTCGATAGCTGATTGAATCAAAAGTCAGGAAAAGATCATGATATATTATTGGTAAGCCTCTCACAGTCTTTGAGCGCTAGTTCGGCTGTCCACTCAACAGAAAGCCGAACTAATGCGGACTGTTGGTCCAGACCCGTCGCAGCATGGACAGAAGGGCATGATGCAATAGCAAGCAAGGCGGTTTGGGAGTCAATACCATGCCATGGTTCGACGTCGCCTTCTGAAGGTATAGAGACGGCCTCATATGCAGGATGTAGCCGGAATTCAAGGTCTGGGATCGAGGGCAAGTCGCCAGCAGGCGGTATTGATGCTATTGCCTATCCAGAAATCAGAGCATGGTTGAGCCTAGCAAGTTCATCGCGTACCTTGTTGGCAATATTAATGAGATCTGTAGAGCCCCATATTCTACCGATAGCCGCCCAAACTCGCGCGATGACCATTTTCGTGGCATTTTTCCGTGTTGTCGTGGCGAAATCGTCTCCATCATGGGCTTCGGTCTGTTTGTCCAACGCTAACAGCATGGGAACTCCTGTGAGGAGGCCGCGGACAGGAAACTGCTCGTGAATGGTGTTAAGAATGGATAATATATGAGAATAATCCGAGAGTGTAGCAGCAGCACCACCGGAAGCACGTGAAGGGGATCGGTCCAGTAGTCGGTGCATTACAGAGACTTTTCTGGCTCGAGGTGCCTGTGAGCCAATGGAACGACGCCCATTCCCTTGCACATTTCCCTCGGATTCCTCTGTTGCCGTGCCTTCCGGCTCTGCGGTGGCAGGCCCATTAGCGATGCTGTTTCCAGAGCTTGACACACCAGAACTGAGACCCAAACTCGAAGACGTCGCCAATGCATAGACGTAAGCTTGTATAGCATTCAAGAATTTGGTTCCAAAATCACCAGATTGCACCAAAATCCTCACGTCGGCATTGTGGTGGAATGGTGATTCGATAAGGTGACGTATTTTCTTTACTCCATCCCCTTCCGATGTCTCTCCGACCGTTGGTATCTCATTTTCGAGATAGAATATAAGTCCAAGAGCGTAGTCGGCCCTAACAGCGTAATCTGTCTCGCAGAGAATGCTAAGGGTGTCTTGCCAGATGTCAGGTGGGACACGTGTTCTCCTAGAAGCAGGATGGGGGGCAAGTTCGGGGTTGGCGATCTGGGCTGCGGGGGGAAGCAACTTTAACAGAGGAAGAGCGTCGCCGTTTGGGAGGCTCAGCTAGCTCTGCTTTCGCTGTCTCTGTGCTTTCAGCAGCATGGATAATTCCGAGGAGGCCGGCAAGTAAACATCGAATGGCTTGAGAACGGCTTGACTTCGTTTTAGCATTTAGATTCTGGGCTTCAACTGCTAATATTCTGTTGATTATTTCTCCCTGGACACAGACTGATCAATGCATAGGAGGTGAATTCAAGCAGGGAACTTACAGCAAGATCCTGGATTTGATCTGAGTAGTAAACATGTCGACCAAGAGATGATATGCACTCGACAAGGGCCGGAAGAAGAGCATCATCAGGGGAAATGGATGTGCGACGAAGCAAGAGGTTCATCAAGTTGGAAACAACATCGGAGGTAGAAAGATTGACGAGAGGAGTGGGAGAGTCAAAAACGGCGGTAACCATTGCTGCCAGAGCGGTATGCATGTTCACAGTTGTTGGTGCCTCTTGATTTTCAACCAGTCGTTCGACGAGCCAAGTGGGTATCGCGTATCGATATTGATATTGTGCCCACTCCGCTACCTGCTTCGCAAACCAGCAACAGTGGTCAACTTGGGACCACTTCTTCGTTGTTGCAACTTCATCGAGAGTATCAAGAGAGGCGCGCATAATGTGTCCTAGTTGACCTCCATTTGCGTGCTCAAGTAGTGAGAAGAGTGCTCGAAGCGCCGCACTAGAAACTTCTGACATGGAAGGACCGGTTTCTCCGTCAATATGGACATGTATTGATGCTGCCCTTCGTTCCATAGCTGGTCGTGTGCGGAACTCAGCCAAATAGGGTGATATAGGTGCATCCTTGACAATTTCTGCCCTGAAGAAGTACATTAGAAAGGGAATACGCGATGTTATTCAAACTGGAAACGCACTGATGTTCCAAAATGTCGACATTGGTCTGAAATACGGTGACCAGTATCGGCTTCATGATGACAGAGACTTGAGTTCTGAATTGCACTGAGTCGTTGTACAATGCTTCAGAATTCAAGGCTCCCGTTAGTGCTGCGAAGCCAACCAAACGTGTGCTTTTTCACGATTGAGAAGAAGACATCACGCTCAAGCCAAAGGGCCATACCGATTTCGCACTTCTTGGTCTTGGACATCCGAACAGCTCAGAGCTGCAAATCGTTTCAACACGTTGATATACTCGCGGGTCATGTTGCTATCCGCTCCAATGAGGTGTCCGTCCGTGTATGTTGTCCAGGCGGTGAACTAGGAAATGGTTCAAACCGGTGTTGTAGGAATAAGGATGCTATGAACGAACCACACTCGCAGCTCTAGCCATGACTTCTAAATCTTTTGGGACCGCAGCCATAGTAGCTGATATGGCGGCAATAAGGGAAGGGGAGAAAAGGGCGATGTCGCGGCGGCATTCCGTGGCCAAGGAACGGAGAATAGCAAGAGATATAAGCAGTGACCTGTAAGAATGTTTCAACGCAGCACCAGAGTAGGATAAAGTGGACACACGCTCGAGTGCGGATATTACCCGCTTGTGCCTTCTTGCATTCGAGTTTTATTCGCTTCTCGAGCTCACTCCCAAGTTTGGCGAGTTTTCCTGGGTGATTTGAGCTATTGCAACATGTCAAGCAGGAGATAATTGTGGACTGGAGGCGATACCGACGCGTAGTATGTCAGCCGGCTCAATTCCTGCGAGTTGGGCGAGTAGTCGGGTCCAGCAGTGAGCAGCTAAGAAAGGTACGTCATGACCCGTGATATTGGAGCAAGGCCCCATTCTTACAGAGGAAGAAGGAGGGTATGAGCTATTCAGTAACTGGACATGGTATGGGTTGAGGAAATTCATGCCAGGATGCGATTATTGTAAGGAGGTTTTCATGCAGTCGAGAGGGAAAGTCGAGGTAAGCTTGTGATAGTGCACGTGCCGCCACCACTTTTTGCTTTTGACCACAACAACAACGTTATGAGCCATTCATCGGTGAGCTCCCTCTCCTTGCTGCCCACATGCCCACAGGAAGAGCTTTTTGCTGTGCACCAGACCGAGTGTACTACGAGGAAAACCTACCCTGCGACGATATATACGCTTTTCGTCGCCTGACCTTTTTTTATTTTTTGACGAGCCATTCTGGATGTCCGCCATGACTGACATGGTTTTAGGTTGAACTCCTCGTTGTGGTTACCATAGTGAGTGCTGATTCCTTTCTTTTCTTATGAAGATTTTTTGCTGTGCACCAGACCGAGTGCCTTGCACGCCGAGGATAATCTCCCTGGCACGATATAATACGCTTTCGTGTCCTGATTCTTCTCCAAGTCCTTTGTTCTTAACATTAGCTGACTTTATTCTCTTCAGATTCTTCCGTCGATACATGCTTTTTGTAACAACTTTTACACCAAATGTCATTGTCTACTTCTTGACAGAGAAGGCATATGTCGCCGTCCAGGTATAATCGCGACCTGGTCCATAAATCTGGTTGACGCCGAACTCTGGGTTGTTGATAGCGTCTGGACTGGTCAGCCTTGCGATTTGTGTTGGCAAAAAACACACCAATGTAGGACTCCTGCTCCACAACAAGGCATGAGTGGTTGGGGTAGGATTGTGACGGGCCGCCTTGGTTTGCCTTTCGTGGAATCGGGGAGGCAGGGTTGAAGATGCCGTTGCAAGTATAAATCTGCAGCGAACACTTGAGAAAAGGCTGATGGTCATTTGGAGGGATCTTACTTGGAGCGCAGGTTGGTTGGTGCTAACATCGAGCTTGATGCCCGAGACGGTGCTCCAAAGAGAGAAAACAGGCTCGCTCTTGACTTTGTGGTCATAAATCCAGCAGTTGTCGAGTCCAACACATCCAGTGCCGCAATATTGCGCCTGAGCGGTCGCATTGAGACTGTTTCCAATGGATTTCGCAGTTCGGAAGTCGAGCGCGGTCCCCTTGACGGGCGTGAATTTGCCATTGGGAATCAAGTTGCCGTCGGTGGAAATAATCTTGTCCGACTGGATGCGCATGACGTGGTCGACGAGATCATTGGAGGGGGCATCGTAAGCATCAAGGTTGAAATAATTGTGTGTGCTGAAAGATTCAAACAGTAAACTATCTGGCAAGAAAACAAGGCTTGGAACAAACCTCAGCATGATTGGGGTTTGCTTCGACGCGGTTGAATGGATGGCGATGTTCCATGTCGATTTGGATTCAAGCTATGATACCACCAACATCAGTTCACATTCCGGGCAAGGTACTTTCAGGCTCACAGTGTAGTCAATGGTTGTGACGACTTTACCAGGGAAACCTTGGAAGCCGTCTGGATCGACCAAGCTGAAAACCACAGAATTTTTGGTGTGCTTGACCACTGTCCATGGCCGAACGTCATAGCCGATCAGTCCACCGTGGAGCGTATCTGCCGGGCAAAAAAAAACTAAATTTGCGATGATTGAACGAATCATGTCACTCACTCGTGCCGTCGTGTTCGTTCTCGACAACTTGAAACTTCTTCCCCGGGCCCTTCGCGTTTTTCGAAATGGGAATAGTGAAAGTCCCGTTTCTAATCCGGTTCGCGTAGCTAAAGCAACTTTCATTCAGTGCCATGCTTGATGGTGCCAAATCAACCATACCGGCCGACGACGGGACTGAAATAGTTACGTCCTTCGGCGGAAGTTTGGTACAGTGTCTGATTTTTGGCAGGTCAGCATGAGCGCTTCGCGGGTGCAATCGCCAGCGCGAACCTTGTCGTCGTACCCAAGCAGGATATCCCTGAACTTGCCCTGCTTGTCTTTGACCCAGAAATTTGTTGCTGTTGCGCCGAATCTGTGGGAATGTTAGTTCAAACCGATGCAGGTATGGTGAAAGGCGAACGCGATGAAGTCGGCCTTGGCTGAACCGTCTGGAGACGCTATTGAGATCGTCTGAAGAGGCTACAAGTCCAGTGTTAGTTTTGTCACCTGAAGAAGAAGTAAAACTTACGTCGGTCTGGCCAGGAACGGAGGAGGCGAAGGCCGCAAGGGCGAAAGTTGCCAAAAATGCAGTGGCGAACACCATTTTGTGGGGCGGTGACATCGTTGCGAGAAAAATGGACGCATATTTATGGAGGATGCAGGACAAGTGTGATGCGCCCTGACGTCTGGGAAAAGAATCAGAAGAAAATGCGCTCGGGTCACGATGGAAGGTCAGCGGTCGGTCAGCAGACTGAGAAGCGCGCCGGTGAGGGCAGAACGGGACGAAGCAAGCTTACGGCTATACGCTGATGGCGGCCAACAAGTCGTCACTGAATTCGTTGGATCCACATGCAGTGATGCATTCACTGTTTCACCGGGAAACTCCCGTTCAATGCAACATTGCAATTATATTCCTTGTCCCTGTGTTGACTATGACCGCGTATTCGCGCTCTGGCCGCCGTTTCCCTGCCTCTATACTCTCAAACACCCACTCAGGCTTCACCACAAAAGGAACGCGACGCTGAGTCTTTGCCGTCAAGATTTTGTGGTTTTTAGACCCGCTTAGTGGCCGCGAGGTAATGATATGTGTCGCGTTGTTCGCCACAGGTCTATCGCATCTCAGCATGGCAGTATGGATCGCATGAAAAACCCACAAGACAGTCCCACCAGCACCAACAATAACACGCTTCATTTCAAGGTCTGTCGTTCCTTCCAAATAGCCGTTTATATAGCAGCGAACGTCGCCCAGGACTGCAGGTTGGGCAGACCCAGTTGCCTCCATAGTTTGCACTTTAATCTTCTTCGTTCGTTCGGTTAGATAACGCCGACGATCCACTGTGCCCTCAGCCACTTGATGGCCCGTTGATGTTGAGAACATCGGCACTATGTGGTAGTGAATCACATTCACGGTGGCAAGCTTGTCAACATACTGGATTTCTCCGCAATATCAGAATGGGTGATTGGGTTGGACTCATTCGTGAGTGTCGAAAGCAGGTACTTGGTTAAATCAGCATTAGAAGGTCTCTCAGCTCTGTAACTTTATGGTTATGAAGACAAACGATATGAACCCAACTTACTTGTTGGCGACTGCATCCTTGCTGAGAGTGTATGGCCGGTATTTACGTTCCTCTCGTCTAGCCGACTTGCCATTGGAGAGTGAAGACGCGTCCATAGGACATGAGAATGGTGTATTTACAGAGGGGCTCGTGGTATGACTCCAAGACGTGAATGACCTGTCAAACAAACGTGACCGTCTTTCGCCATTGATGAGCCGTGCTATCGACTCAATTTTTCGTTCCTTCCACATCTGTTGCCGTCTTTCCAGGCGGACGATGACGACGCGGTCGTATCGAGAGGCCATCGATACCCTCAACTCTCTTCAGAGCAATGCGGCTGCGCTCGATCTTGTGCGTGCGACTGGAGGCCGGTCAAGCGCGTTTGCCATCCCAGAAATGATAGAATACCTTGGGATTATTGGCTATAAGGTTCGTTTTAAGGCTGTTCCCCTTGAATCACTAGCTTGAAAATGTAGCCAGCCAGCCGACCTCAACGCTCTCAACGTCATCCATATCACTGGCACCAAAGGAAAAGGTTCCACAAGCGCCTTTACTGACAGCATATTGCGAGAAGCTCATCCGGAGTGGACCATTGGTCTGTTGGAAGCTCCTCACTCTCCGTCAATTCTCAACATCGGGCAGGACTATACACCTCCCCACATCTAATTGCTGTTCGTGAACGAATACGAGTAAATGGCAAACCGCTCTCCGAAGAGGATTTCTCGCGTTTCTTTTTTGAAGTGTGGGACAAAATAGAGACAAACAAGGTACGTAGCTCACTTCGCTGTCTACCATCTTCCAAGACTTTAGACTCGAGTGGAAACAACACCAGACAAGCCTGGCTACTTCCGCTTCCTCACTCTCGTCGCTTATCATGCGTTCCTTTCCCTCAAAGTCGACGCCACAATACTCGAGGTCGGTGTTGGAGGCGCGCATGACAGCACAAACATCGTACCTCGTCCAATCGTGACTGGTATTACTGCCCTTGGGATCGACCATGTCAATGTGCTTGGGAAGACGCTGGCTGAGATTGCATGGCAGAAGGGCGGAATATTCAAGGTAGTCATCCAACTCCTGCCGCTTCCTTTTCTTCTGACCGCAACTAGCAAGGTGTTCCTGCCTTGACCGTCAGCCAGCCACCAGAAGGTCTTGAGGTCCTCAAACAACAAGCTACGGATTTGAAGGCGTCCGAATTCAAGGTGGTATCGTCTATACCGCAACTCTCTGAAATAGAGCTAGGTACTTTCTTTCTGTTCATGCCATGTCAAAGCTCATGTCCTCCCTGGTTTGGCGGGCAAGCATCAACAACAGAACGCAACACTTGCGGTCCATCTGGCTCAAACCTTTTTAAGGGCTCAAGAAGGCTCGCTGTCGGATACCGATGTTCTTCCTCCAGTAATAGTGCGCGGACTGGAGAAGGCACGCTGGCCGGGTCGCTGCCAGACCGTCGAAGATCCTGTTTACACGAATACGACATGGTACCTAGATGGCGCACACACTTTAGAAAGCCTGGAATGTTGCGTGCAGTGGTTCGCCAGCCCTGGGGTCGGTCTACGGTCAGAAATAGGGTGAGGCCGGCTCCAGATATATTAGTTTTTTTTTCTAAATGGCCACAGCAAACCACAACGCAGAATCTTAATATTTAACTGCACCAGCGGGCGGTCGGGGGCATCTTTCCTCGATGCCATCCACTCTCACATAAAAAGCCAACTACAAATTTTTGGTTCTGACGAGACCCCTTCGTTGTTCTTTGACCATGTTGTGTTTTGCACCAATGTAACCTATGTCGATGGGGGATTCAAGGGCGGTCAGTAGTTTCTATTGGTATCGACCATTTTCTTAACTCGATATCCCAGATCTTACATCCCTCGCGATCCCCGAGTCTGACCTCACACATCTCAAGACCCAACACCAGCTCTCCGCTGCTTGGTCAGAGCTGATCCCGACATTCCCTGCTGAAAATGTTCATGTGTTGCCCTCCATCCAACACGCTGTGAACCTAATACGGCAATTCGACAAGTCGGATGGTGACCACACCGCAGTGCTGGTGACTGGCAGTCTGCATCTTGTGGGCGGGGTTATCGAAGTGGCTGACTTATCTTTCTCGCTATGAATATTTAAACTAGACTAATTCCCGCCTTCAACACGTTTAGATGATCTTAGACTCAACACTTTCTGGTTTCAATTCTTGCAATTAATATTTTGGTTGCGATTATACAGATGACTACACAATGCTGGCAGAGCTGACAGTGCCCGCAGTGACGGGTTTGAGAACGGGCGAGGCGCTAACTGGGCAAGCGAGAGTGCTCGAAGCGGGAAGTGCGGGGGTACGCGCGGATTTCACGGGCCGCTTTCTTGGCAGCATCGGCGTTTTTCTCTGGCTCGGGGACGGTGGACTTCTTGAAGCACTTGTTAAGTACGGCGAAGTTCTTGGTGAAGAGGTTGGCCTTGGTGCTCTTCCAAGAATCTCCCAACCTGCTGCTTTGGTGATGTCTGTAATGGCATCCTTGGACCCCCAGATACGAAGAGTGCCTGCAGCAGTAGCGTTGGATTCGTACACGGCACCGTCCAGTCGTTCTTCGCGTTAATTACAGTTATGAAAGGGACGAGAACAACAAGTGAAAAAAGCATGATGAAAAAAGCCGACCAGAGAAACCGAAAAAAAACGAGGGCCGTTCAACGACCAAGGAAGAGAACCAAAAGGAGGAGGGAGAAAAAAGAGAACGACGAGCAAAACACGCAACTGTGATGCATGCTCAACGTGAATCAGTCTTGCCATCAGAGAATGATCCATGAGCCCGTGATTTTGAAAAGATAAGTTACAAGGATTTAGACTTTACATCCAGCTGGCCAAGTGTGAGCAAGAGGGAGTGGTTTATCGCTACCTGATAACATACTGAAGCTTCCGTGTTTCATCCTCGATCTGCTGCTATAAGCGACAAGTCTTTGCACGCGACGGCAACTCTCCATCCTGGTCACCCACAGGATTGTTATTCAGCGACTTTGCCAGTAACGCTGGCTTACCTGACCAGCATCAATTGGCCGTAGTCGCTCAGCAAATCCGATGATGAGTAAACGCAGTCGGGGATCGGCTTTCTGCCTCGTCGTCCGCCGCTAGTATTGAAGTGTTTCCCATCAGCCTTTCCCTTGAGCTTTGACTCGAGCAGCTGCATTTCGCGTCGCCAATGCTTTCGACGGACGGTAGGAGAAGGGCTAGCGGGTCGTGGCTCCGAATCCGACTCGAGTTGATCATATTCCTCTTCAGAATCCGTCTCTGTATCGATATCCATGCCAGTCCATTCCAGCTTCTTCTCGTAGTAAGCAGTGAGTGATGAGAGTATCAGAGTGAGATTCGTGTCGACTGGCAGGTCAAGATTGTTGGCCGAGGATGGGGCATGTGGGACGGCCATATTCAAGAGGGGGAGGGTACCCCGCGCACTAGCGCTTCGTATATAATGACCAGCAGCATTTGGTCTCGTAGTGTCTAGAATCGGTCTTTGGCGAAGGTCCAATGAAGCAACAGATTCATGTGACGTCACGTTCCTACACCTCGACCACGACCGTTTCCGCCGCTATCAACGCCTAGACTGAATTCAGGGTCCACCTGCGGGGTTCAAGATGCTACGCGTATTGGCTTCTGTGCTTTTCGCGCTTCCGGTCGCGTTCTCCGCCCAATACAACGTGTACCACCGTCTCTATCAGCCTCACCTTCCCGAATCGACATTTTCTCCCCGAGGGACTCTGCTTATACCTGAAACTGGGCCCGCGTCATTTTTACCATCCCCCACACTGGCCCAAGACCTCACGCAGCTCTCCGACGAACTCGAGACTGTCAAGGGTACTCTATACCAGATTGCATTACAACTCGATGACGCCAATCCCGGCCAATGGGACCTAGTCTCTGCTGTTAAAGTGGTGGGTCCAGCCCGCGGAGTCTCGAACTTGGGATCATACCACCTGTAGTGCCACCTCCATCAAGCTACTGCAGAGAAGTTTATCATCCAAACAACTCGCGCTGGCCAGCCATACGCTCTGGATTATTTCGTCGCACCAACCTCGCACAATGGCGCGTGTCCGAAGAAAGTAAAGAAACCGATACTTGCGTTTGCCAACAACGTGGCTGCATTGAACAGCACTATTGAGCTCCGTGCAATTCGCACTCCGCCATCGTATATAGTCTTGACTGACTCGAAGAAGAATTATTTGCTTATCTATCTCCAGACTGGAACTACATGTGCCTCCACCTCTCACACCGGAAGGCCAGCCTGTCGTTCCAGAACCCGAAAAGACTTTCTTCCAGAGGTACTGGGTGTGTACATTCTATCAAACAATTGATTGGTCGAGACTTAATGCGCCACAGCTTTATGGGGCTGCCATTCTTATCGCCCTCAGTAAGGCAATCGCGTCGACAATTCTAGTCCAAGCTAACAACAGACATTCCAGTGATCTCTGGTGGCCCAGAGGAAGAGCAGAAAAAGTAGACCGCTTTGTTACAGTATTACAACTACTTTTACTCTTCGTTTGTCCACATTTTGGGCATCTGCTTCTTGAATGGTTCCAAGGTGAACTCGAGGGCAGAACAGGGGTAACTGATGTCAAACTTCTCAAGCACCGAGGGGTGTAAGATGCCCAAACTGCCTATCTTTATGTCGGTCTCAATTTTGAGAGCCGACTCAATTCGGCGTTCAATGCTTTGAACGAGACTCTTCTTCTTCGCGGGCGGTCGATAGTATACTTCAGCGGCCCGGCCAGGGAAGTACATGGGATCTAGAGCAGGTCTAATGGAGTCTGTCCACAAACAAATAAGCGGCACCTACCGCTGACTTCTTTGATGTAATACCCAGTCGTAGCTTCGTGGTCAGCACTTGTGATTCGTGGCACATCAAGCATCTTCATGGCCCGGTCCAACATTCCATGCACGACCTCGAACCCAGCGGTTTTGTTGCACCAGACTGCAGCAGCGTGTCGGACATTTCTCGCTTGCCTCTCTCTCTTCAGGTCTTTGACAACAATGTCACTCGTCTCGAACACCTTGATGGGCAGGGCGTGCGATCGATTTTCACGAATTGTCTTCAGTAGGCCTGGGAGCAGTGTTGTCCGCACGATCTGGAACTCGAGGGTCTTGGGGTTGGCAATCTTGACCGCCGTTGTATTGTCGTCCTCGTGGTTCAGCCACGCAAAGTTTTCTTCGTGAGAACACTAAGAGACGTGAGTTTGGAATCTAATGGACTTCGTATGGGAGGAAATACCAGGATGAGAGGTAAAACTTCAATCCAACCTGCTAATGCCCATTCTTTACGAACAACATCTGATAATTGACCAATAGCTAATGGCTGGCCGACAGTGGCTGTCGGAGGGAAGGAGAACGGGAGGTTATTGAAACCGTATGCAATGGCGGCATCTTCCATGATGTCGCATTCATGGAGAATGTCAGGACGTGTGGGGGGTATCTCTACGAGAATCTCATCGGCGTTAGAAGGCGACAATGTGGTGCTAATAGACATCTTCTGGAGCAGACCAGATACTTGCGGCGCGGTCAAATTCAGACCTGTGCAGGAGTTAATGTAAGACGCATGAGCGGTAGTTTGGCGGCAAGAAATGTCGGGGGTTATTTTCGTCGAGCCATCGGCTTGGATAACCCTTACAGGTTCGATTCTGAGCCAAAATCAGTCCTGTAATCCCAGCAGAAAACGGTTGCATACGTGTAGGGCTTTTCACAGTATTCAGAGAACATGGTCGCAACGATATTGACCACGATGGCAAGCTTTGTTTCGTCTGTGGCAGTGACGTCTATGAAGACATTTCTTGTGTTGAGCGTAATCTTGCTGTGTTCTGAGTTGATGATAGGAGGCATTGAGAGCACGCGATCTTGAGCATCGTAGATGATGGGATAGACAGGCGAGTCCCGAATAATGTGGAGAAATTTGGAGAGTTGTCGATCCGACTATGTAACATGTTGGTATTTGGGTTCAAAAAAAGAAAGAAAAAACCAACTTCATACACCGTCATTAATTCCTCAGCAGTGTAAGCTTTGTTCTTGTTCAAGGGAACAAACTTGATGTCTGTTGGGGCCCTTGCTTCATAGCGGAAGGGAGGTTCAAGGGTGTCCAAGTCATGAGTGCCGATAGCGACAAACTGTCGCCTTCTGCAGATGTTGTGGTGGAGCTTGTCCTGCAAGTCGATGAACGAGGCATAAGATCGTGGGGTGAACTTGACATTGCGCAAAATCGCGCAGGCAAAGTAAGGCCGAATTTTACTTGTCTACTGGGCTATAAGCCGGGCTATATGAAGGAGGAGAACTCAAAACAAACATCGGGGTGTATCGAAACAGTCAAGAGGTCAGACTCTCCGCCTGGAGGGAGTACCAGCTTGTATTGTGGGACTTCAGTGGCAGTCGTTTGGAGGAAAACGCGTAGGGCGCGGGAAAGTCCTTCGATACAAAGCAGGTCATATCTGGACATCATGTTGGCAAAAGGAGAGGCAGTCCTGGCATCGCTCACCTGTTTGCAGGTATTTCTATTTTGAGTTGCTGGACGAGAGCGTTGGTAATGGGTTTCGATACCAGCGCGGCTCATACCGGACGATCAATCTCCACATTCTTTTCCGTCTTCGCTTTCTCAACCAGTTCATTGATATCGGCGAGTGCAACGGGACTGTGACTGGGGAAGACCTTTTTCAGCTCGTCGGTTATTTCAGATGTAGTCTATAGAGTAAATTCAGGCGCGATGCTTCAAAATTTGAAGACGCACATCATCGTCTAGTTCTAGGCCGTATTCGAATAAAAGATGGTCGAATTCCTCAGAGGCTACGCAAGATCAGATTGAGTTCAGAGGCACACATTTGATTCACAATATTCCTGGCCCAGTCTCTCCCAGAGATCTGCTTTGTCGATAGCAATAGTCGGCATCGAGGACGAGTCAAAATGTTAATGTCAATGGTCACACGCGTGACACGCTTGATGAAGTACATTGCTCTGCTGAGTGGAGGCAAAGACAGTTGCTACAACCTCCTGCACTGCCAGAAAAATGGCCACGAACTTGTGGCATCTGCATCGCTTGGGCCAGAAGCAGGAAAAGGTACTAGAGATTGACTTTAAATTTGTGACCTGCTTGACACAAAACACAGAGGAACTTGACTCTTACATGTACCAAACGGTCGGCCAAGATGCGATAGAGCTTGTAGCGCGTGCTCTAGACGTTCCTCTCTACCGCAGGGTCATATCTGGCGAGGCGATTGAGCAAGGATCGGAATATGGGGCCCGAACCGCGAACTCTGGAGTCTCTGGCGACGAAACGGAAGATCTCTATGCTTTACTTTCAACAGTCAAAGTAACTTCTCAACCGGGACTCGCAAGCCACGTTTAACCTGGTTCAGTCCTATCATCCCGATGTACAAGGCGTCTCTGTTGGAGCAATCCTTTCCAACTACCAACGCGTTCGCGTGGAACATGTGTGGGTGCCCCGTTCAAGTCTCCCTCAATCCTCTCAAATTCCGTAGTTGTCGCCGTTTAAACTTGACCCCACTGTGCTATCTCTGGCAACGGGACCAAGGCCAATTAATGTCGGAAATGATTGCAGCCGGCATGAAATCCATACTAATCAAAGTTGCCGGTATTGGGCTTACGGTTAGCCATTTGGGACACACCCTCGCACAGATGGAGCCGACGTTGATAAAACTGGTAGCATCTTCCACCCTATGACCCGCTGGGAACTCAGTTTTTTGTAGCATAACCTCTATGGCGCTCATATCTGCGGAGAAGGTGGCGAATACGAAACGCTGACCTTGGATTGCCCGCTATTCAAACAAAAAATCGTCCTGTCGGTGCTTTTGCTACATCGCTGTTTGTATCATAAACGTTTTCAGCCACGAAGTTGAGACTGTCATCCATTCCGATAACGACTTTGCAACTGTTGCGTTTCTTCGAGTCAAGAAGGCCGCCCTCCAGGACAAAGAAGCTCCTTCTGGCGCCGATTTTGATGTCCCAGAGTTACTCGATGAAGATACTGCAGTAATCGAAGTCGACATCCCACACGTCGTAGATGCTTCCGCCACCATCGATGCTAACAACCACAAGCACATTGTTCGTCATGCAGGAACTCAGAGCAGAGAGATCAATGGATGGGTGTCAGTGGGTAATGTGGTTGCAACTACAGAGGAGGAGATTTCCGTAGAACAGGAAGTTAGGGAGTGCTTCCAAATTTTAAGAGGTCGGTCTTCTCATCGCTGTGAACTACACCCTCAATTTCCTAGACGAACTTGCGCGACATTCACTGGAGCTTCTCGACTGCACTAACATCAACATATTCCTCTCTTCGATGGATATTTTTGCCACTATGAACGCAATATATGGGTCGTTTTTCGGAACCAGTCCGCCTGCTCGTGCTTGTGTTGCCATTTGTCTTCCTCGGCCTCATAAAGTCATGCTTGAATGTATTGCGCACTCGCGTTCTGCTGAGCGACACGCCCTTCACGTGCAAAGTCTCAGCTACTGGGCGCCTGCCAATATTGGACCATACTCACAGGCTATCTTGGTGGGTTTCTCTCCATCAGAAATCCGATGGACCGTTGATGCTTGGTAGACAGACGAACGAGTGTTTGTTTCAGGCCAGATAGGCTTGATCCCAAGTAGTCTGACGCTTCCGTCTCCACAATCTCTTCCGCTAGAAGCAGCCCTTGCTGGGCAACACGCCAATCGGGTGGTGCGTGCTCTTAGCACGAACACAGGAAGCTGGACCGGGCAAACACAACTGGCTTTATACTGGCTCACGAGCCCGAGTCATCTTTTCGCTGTGCGGGAGCCTCTCGCGTCTGTATGTTGCCTGCCTCGACGACACTGCCCAGCTTAAAGCCTCTTTTAGATTGATGTTTCCCCGACGCTTTTTGTCGTTGTGCAAAGTCTCCCTAAAGGCGCCGTCGTCGAGAAGCAGATTCTCCTGCATACCGGACGTGTCCCAATCATAGACGAAGACGGAGAAACTGTTATAGAAACCCGAGAATCAGACTTCACACAGGGTAAAGCGCCACCATTGTGTATCATTTTCATTAACTTGATCGTCAGGCGCTGAAGGCCCGTTCGCCTTCGAAACATCAACCATTGCGGATGTTAGTGCAGGATGCACTCTCATTTTCGGTCGCGACGCAGGTAAGCAGTTTCCAGTGAGTCATTCGACGAACCCATCTTAACGGGTGAAACAGTCAGCGACGAGGACATCAGTCGACTTCGCGCGCGGGGTGCGATTGCTCATACTTGGACGGGGGCTCTAAGCGTGCGGATATTTTATGTCCCGTCTGAGAAAACTAATGGTATTTCCGGTTTACTTGCTCAGCCATGGATCTGACTTGAAACTAGTCCAAACCATTTACCAAAGCTTGTTTGAGGCGTTTAGGCCGCCGGTGTCATTTGTTCCTTGTGCGGTGGTCTCGAGTAGGGATTCAGAATGGGATTACGCGTTGTGTATCATCATGGTGTGATTTTCGTGTCTTGACACGTGATCGTGATCTTCAAGTTGAAGGTCAAAAAGTGTCAACATGTAATCTGTCCATTAGCCACGATTGTGTGCACTAACACAGTGTAATTTACAACAGCTATGCAAAGGAAAACAAAACAAGGAAGACCACCATGCAAGGGACAAACTTTCATGGCGTCGAATCCTCTCTCAGCACCATCATCTCTCCCAGGCGACGTCTCATCGCTTTCTCAGTGGGAGTTGGAGGTACCCTTCGCGCGAACATCGCGCCAACAAGGGTTGCCGCTCCGCCAAAACGGAGGACCCACCCGACACCGTGTTTCCCAAAGTAGGTGCCTTCCCCTCCATGTTCAGCAGGAACATTTCCGTCAACTGTTTGGAATATTATGCTGGTCACAATCGCAACCTGGTTTGATGTTAAGACAAATGTTTGCTGTAAAAAAAAAGACATGACGTACAATTAGTTGAGGCGCCACGATTGCTAAATTATGGACCCCGAGGATTGTTCCACCCGCAACACGCGCTGCTGGTGGCACCTCTTCTTGCTCAGCATCATATGCGTCGAAAGATCGACGTCGGCGAAGTAATGGCTGCCTCTCGTCGCTTCCGCGGCGGGTCTGCACGGGAACCGAGAGGGTTCGTGAGTGAGTTGGACGTATAGTCGGAGGCGTCGACAGGTCTTTCAGCAGCTATGTAAAAAAAATGAGTATAAAACTATGAAAGCTTTTTTGAGACAGCACCTCCATGATGATTGCGAATGGTGCCCACACTTGTGCGAAGATGTCAGATAGACACAGGAAGGCTCAAAATAGTGACCGACTTGCAACAGACCAGCAAATGCCGATCAAGCTAATGAATATTGTAGCCTAGTGTGCACGGTAAGTGAATGATGGGGAAGATATAAAGGGCGATATGGACCTGAAAGACCGTATGAATGAACAAGGTTGACATAGTCAACACGGTGAACAACAGTAACGCGCCGGTCCAGATGTTTCGCAGAAGGAAGGGCATAACGGGGAGCCGAAGGGGCTTTCCTTGCCGGGCCGCATCAATCTTCCATTGCCGTACCATTCCTCGAATGCGAGTCAACTCAGCATCGACATCGTCGTCACCTTGTTGGGCCATGAGACGCCGGTCACGATTAGCAAGGTGCGGTAGAATCGTTCCAGATACGACAGCAACTAGAACACGTTAGGTCATTCAAGCAAGTGTAATGCGAGCCAACCAATGCTGTAAATGAGCATCGCAAATTCGCCCTTGCGCATAACCATAAGCTTGTCCGACATGGAGCACAGAAAAGAGACGACACCTTTCTCGTAGCCAACTCGGGGTCTGGCTCCCGGCCAATTTCTTCCGCCATTACCTGCCCAACATAAGTTGTACTAACAGAGGATGAGCACATTTCGGTCTCCTAAAAGGGAGCCGCGGACGCGTAAAAGAGGAAGGGAAACCTATTCATTATGTCAGTGGACAAAAAAAAACTTTGAAGCCTGTCATCGGTACCAGCCCATAAACGCAAATAGTTGGACGTAGCAAACTCTGCGGATCGGTCGCGGAAGGTTGAATATGGCATTCTTGATATTCTCTAGGACCTCTTTTGTTTGACTGTTGCTCGGCTGAGTCCTGTGTTGGCATTGGGATGCTGAAGAGCTCACCCTCTTTGATTAGCCACTGCAGGACGTTCTTGTTCTTCATGAAGATAACAAGTGATCCAAACTGTGGCAACGAGAATAACGATGCAGATGATACAAAACTTGCGGAATTGACTGCCACCAAGTAGCTTGATCAAGGGAAGCTCAGCAAGAGGAAGGAAACCTAACCATGTAGGCGTTAATAAGGCTCGGCTGAGTTCAAGATAGAGGAGGTCGAACCAAATCCAAAACCGATGATATTGCCGGCATTCGTCATCCTGCCATGCCAAGCATTGCCAGAGTTGAGCTGCGACGCTGGTGCGATATCAAGCAGAAGGTTCCGCAAAGAGGCTTGGAGTGCATTGAGAGCGAAATCAAGAATGTAGAACGAGAAGATGGCTAGTCCAATCGCTGTGTTCTTCGCCTGACACGCGAACACAGTTCACCAAACTGAACACGAAGGGTCAAGCTTCAACTCACATATGTGTTGCGCTTCTCGTCCCAAATTCCATTCCCGAGAGAGAAGAGATCCACGAGGAATCCGGCAAGTGCTTCGCAGTAAGCAAGTATAAGTGTCGAGAAGACGAGAGCCACAGTTGAGAGTATGATCCAGTATCGTCGGCGGTATTTGGACGTTGAAGAGTCGCTGATGGCGCCTGTGTCGATGGAGATGAATGATGTGGTCATTATTAGTACTCGTTGCAGAACATACCGATGACTGGTTGCGCGATAAGTCCGCTGATTGGCCCAGCCAGCCACACCAGCGAAGTCAGTTGTTCCGAAATGCCTGCAGTCTATCAGAGAGTATCAGACCATAATAGAGGGTAAAACGTACCCAATCCAAGAAGAAACGGCGTGCCGTAGCTATTTCGAGTCAGCTAACAAGTAGTTTCTCCGAGAAGTAGAGGAGACTGCACCCAAGCTCGACCGTCCACGCTATCTGAGCCCCAGCCATAGAAATGCTCAGTGTAATAAGATCCCATGTCGAGAGTCGTCTCTTTGCAGGCACCAAAACTCCCTTAGCCACATCCTCAACCTCATTTGACTCTACCACCGTGGACGAAGGAGCATCGCTGGTTACCCTTGTACGAGTGGGCCAAGGTACCTGCGTAGTTGGGTCTTCTGGCTCGGCGACTGGAGGAATCATTGCGCGTGTTTACCACGCAAGCAGGAGGCAAGAGAGAGAGAGATGAGCACCAAGGTGATGATGGCACGTGTCCGTTTTGCTAAACTTGGATTCTTGCGCTGAAATGCAGACTGGTGAATACAAAGTGGACTGTACTAAATACATAAATAAACAAGTACAGCAAGCAAAGACGACCGAATAAGGATAACAAATGGGTACAATGCAAATAATACATCATGGACCACGGACTGACGCGGCAGATAAACCACGCCTATGGTTGATGTTGGGGGGGTCCGCGTTAGGAAGGGGTTTCGACAAAATATTGAAAGGCAACCGCCGACCGGCAGTGGGAGTGCTGCTATCATCTGGAGCAACTGGTGGTTCAGGAAATGTGGCGTATTGAATCGGTGGGCCAGTGTAACTTCCTGGTGGATGTTCGGTATAAGGCGAAGTTGATACTGACGTCGAACGATGTAGTTGGGGGAGTGTTGGTCTAGGGGCAGTAGGATTTGTTCCAGAGCGAGTCCGGTGTTCAGAGGACGAGGGAAAGGCCGTGACGATATTGAGCACATCTGGATTTGTCCTCAACTGCGCAGCCGAGACGGATGGTCTCAACCTTCGTGGGGTAACGGACCCACTTACTCCACCCATTCTCGCCAAGGGGTCCTCGTCGACGGAGAGACTTGTTGAGGTATACTGGGTCCCATTTTGTGACTTATTGTCAGTTGAAGCACTGCCTGACCGATTCCGAGCCATCCCGGAATCGTTCATGAACTTGACTCGCGCATCAGCATCGCGCTCTCGCATTCGGGTAGCCACCGGTGACGCTGAAGAAGCTGGGGCCCAAGGAGAATTACTTCGCATCTTGGACGGAGATGGCACGAATCCATTGGTAGACCCATGTGGAGAAAGATATGGTTGGGGGGCGGTAGACGGTGAAGAGGAGGAGGACTGGCTTTTGTGTGCGGGAGCCAAGCCATTGCTCTCGACTTCACCGCTATCAGAGGTTGTTGTCGTACGACTTGTTCCCGATCCACTCCTTATTCGATTTGGTGATTGCTTGATATCACGGCCTTTCGAGGGCACAGGAGGCGGAACGTTGGATGGTCCAGCCCAGTCACTCCCTCGCACAGCAGCTTGGGCCAGGACATTCCGTCTACTCTTCTTGTTGTTTTCAAATTGCAGCCTTGCTGTGTCTTGGAGGGTGTCTTTGGTCGTGAAACTATTTGGGTTTTGAACACTCATGGCCAGAGACACCGTTAGCACGTACGAATAAGCATAATCTAATGCTGTGAAGCCGTCGTTATTCTTGGCCGTGTACACACATCCCCGTTCGATGAGAAGTTGAACTATCTGCGGCGACAGTCAGATGATGGAAAGGAAGCCGAGGTTGGCGCGCACTGGAATATGGCCCCACGAGCTAGCGCTGGAAAGGAAGAAATCAACCCGAGTGGCAAGATGGTTTACGACTACGCACTAGTGTAACGGCGTATTGCCCTTGTTGTCCGAGAGATCCACATCGGCACCAAAGTCGCAGAGCATCTGAGACAAATTAATGTCCGCCACACTAAACCAAACTGACATACGCGAACGAGCTCTTCGTGGCCTTTTAGGGAAGCCAAATGGAGAGCGGTCTTTCCATGGATGTTCGACCAATCGAGAATGTCAGGGTATCGGTCATAGTACATTCTTGCCATCCGAAGCGCCGCGCCTTTGACATCGGCGCTGTTTGTATTGGAAGGAGTGTAGTCGGCAAGGATCATGAGGATGGTGTTGTTTTCCGAGTCCTAGAAATGACATATGAGGGAAACTAACGATGAAGGACGAGAACCATTTCTTCTTACCTTGCTCAACTCTGCATCGTCGTGACCGGCGTTCATCAGGAACTCAAACGTTTCTTCATTGGCAAGTACAGCAGACCAAGCCAGCGAGGTATATCTGCGAGGCCCAGGGTCTGGATTGCGCATGTCGGTCCGTTGAATCAGGCGCTTTACGATGAAGAGGTTATTCTCTGAATTTCATGAGCAATTTTGTCGAAATAAACGAGGTACCACAGACCCTTGACCGCCCGCCTAAGACGGGCTGTAGCATCTTTCTCCGCCATGAAGCGCCCCAAAAGCCGGTGAGTGGTGGTTGGAATGAATGAATGGACGTGTGTGTGGCTGTGTGACTGAAGGCGCTTTCACTTGGCTTTCACGCGTACGACCATCCCGTTTTCTATCGGTTGCTCTCTTGATCGTTTCAGACGATGCCCAAAGTTGTTTCAAAATCTCAGGTGTTGTGCTGCACAATAACTGCCGACAATTTTAACTGATAGCTACTAGGTCTCGTCATCGATAGACGGTACTTATAATAATTGCCTGGGCGCATCTGGCGAATCTGGCTGACAATCACTCCAGCTAAACCTACCCCGTCCTCAGCAGCCACTCTTCGGGTTTATTGTACGTTTCAACCAGACAGAAGGCAATGATCCAAGTCTAATAACTTCAAGATTGTATTTGTGGGGAATTCAACGTGAGTTTGTTTCCCAGACCAACGTCGTCGCGTACTTTTCACCTAGATAACAGCTCGTAATTGACAAAACACTCGCCGCCCTTCCCCGGCGTCAGACGGACGGAGCAACAATCGTACAAACTCAAGATAATGAACTTGGCGCGGCCCGCGTATTCAAGTTGAATGCAAAACCAAATTCAGAACCAGTCTTACTCAAGAGGTGTGTGTTTGAACGTGCGCTTATGGGGGAAAACAAATACGATTCCGAATAGGCCAGAAGGCTACGAGCGAAGATACAGCTTTGCATGTCCACGGTGTACCCTTCCAATCGCCTACCAAACTGCCCCACCGCCCGTCAAATCCAATCCATACCTTTACATCCTATCCGGAGCTTTGAGTCAAGCGCAAGGTCAGATACCATTAGATGCGTTTGAAGGGGAGGAAACTGCTGAAGGAATGGATCAGCAACCGTGAAGAACAGAGAGCGGAGAAAAAGTAAGAGGCGATTCAGATACCGTTGTAGAAAGAGTGTACTCATAGCATACGGATTATTCCGTATGTTCGTACAGTGTGAATATTTGTGCATCATGGAAAGGAGAGGGACGAAGGGAAAAGAGACTCACGGTGGTCGTTGAAAAACAAGGAAGAAAAAAAGCCTGGGAAAGAATTTATATGGCGAAAATGTCACAAGCTGTCAATAGTCACACCAAATGGATCTTCCGTCTGTTCGTGAACTTGAGCTCGAGGCTCTAGTTCGTCAACGCGACAAACAGTTAGCCGTGCTCCAAGTACGCGTTCTCCACAAACGACTCCCTCAAACTAACCTGGGTAGGATGAAATTACTCGTCTCCGACGCTTCATCGCGACCCAACCCACGCCCACAACAGAGGCTGCTGTCTCGTTACCTCCTCCAATGACCGCGCTGCTCATGCCTCACCTGACCGCAAAGACCTCTGGTACATCTTCATCAGGGGCTACAGCCCTTATGCAGCGAACGCGAATGCTACAAGCGGAAAACGACGAGTTATATGACCTCCTCAAGACTTCCGAAACCGGAAAACTCAAAGAAGAGGTCCGCGGTCTTCGCCGAGTGGTGGAGCGTCTCGAAGGAGCCTTACGCGGTATGTCAGCTTCTAATCATGGGTTACTTATTCGCCTAATCGTCACTCAGAATCCCACCAGGCTGTCCAATCACTCTCGTGCGTCTTCTCTCCTCCCAAATGTAGCCTTTTTACAGATGAGTAAACAACGCAGTACCGAGCTGGATAAGACATACGAGTCGATAGCGGATTCCCGTCCTCGATCACCGCGTTCTCCACGAAACAACCCTTCTGTCAACCACAGTGCTAACAATAATGCTGCGAAGCTGCCGCCAACAGGGCCACGAGCCCACAAGAAGCCACGGATTTCTGAGCCTTTGCCTCGTGGGCCGTCTCCACAAAAGCCACATCGCAACAACAACAACATGGACATCGACGAGAAGCCTCCTCCTCCTTCCCGGCCTCGCGGCCGTGACAGAGAACGACCGCGCAATAATAGTAATAATGGTCGGCCCGGTGGCGGCGGTGGTGGTGACAGACGGAGAGGACCGATGGCAGAAAGCTCTAGCTCTACTGATCGGACGTTGAAAGAGAGACTGGGACTCTAATAGTGTAGCCATAGTCTTATTGTTTGTATTCGCTTTGATTTACGACTTCAAAACAAGCAGCAAGTGCGAACTAGTACTACAAAAACACACAAGTACAAGACAGGTTGTACAGCGACAGGCTGTCGCGCTATAATCTTAGCGAGATTACGATGATTTTAACGAATAAAAAGAGTGGGTGGAGTTGTTAAAGAGAGTAAGTAAGGTAAGTCGATCTCCCCAAGTGGAGTGGTGGGTCCAAGAAAGTAACGCTTAGCAGGACTTGCTAGAGCGCGGCGACTGGTTGTGGCGTTTGACTCGACTTGTTGTGGAGTGCAAAAAAAGTCGAACAAGTCATTGGCGCTGGGGCAGCGACCGCCCGACGCGCCGACATAATCGAAGCTCCACCTGACAACCGAGGCTTGCGAGGTGTGACCGGGAACTGCTCCCATTCAGGCAGATATACCTCGTTGGCGCGCGTTGGCAGTGGATGTAAAACAGGCTAATCGTCTAATAAGAGACTGCGTCTAACGAGAAACACGTAAATGACACACCTTTTTGTCAGTTGGCGAGAGGACGAAGTCAGGAATGGCGGGCACAGGCGGAATGGGCGAGGAGATTGCCGGACTGGGTGGTGGAGAGCGATATGGGATCGCAAACGACAAAGTGCGTTTGTGGGTCCGACGAAAGCTGGCCTCTGAGTCGGTTGGCGAGGCCGGTTCACGTGGGGTTGGAGGAGCAGACACAACAGAGCGAATGCTACTTCTTGGTGTTGGTGGCTGTCTGAGCTCTCCACAAGACCGCATAGAGGTCAGTCTCCGTTCTGGCTTTAGACTGGTTGGGCGTGTTTCTGAGCTCTGCAAACTGAGCCGAGTGGGACGTTGAGCATTCGTCCTGCGTGGTGGGGGGAGTGGAGAAAGAACAACTTCAGGTGAAGGAGAACGAGGAGGAGGAGAATCGGGACGGCGGGTCGTGAACATAGTAGTGGTTGGTGAAAGAAAAAAGGAAAAGAATGGGAAGTCGTCAACTCAACCTCATTGCGTTTTAAAGTGAAAGCCGAAGGCCATGTTCCGCATTTGGAAGTGGATGAAATCTAAGATCGAGGGCATGTCAAACTCGACCTGTCAAATGAACGGCTTCTAACCTTGTCTCGAATCTTTTCTTCTGGACCACCATGAGATGATTCCAGCGTACTGCTCGGGACACTCAACCATTGTGAATCGTCAAGCTTACTCTCTCAGCTTGACTTCTTTTTTGTTGCTTACATCCAGCGTATCAACAATAGCGCGGAAGCAAAGCGGCCCCGGCCCACCCGCCACCGTGACAGTCGTCAAGAGCATTGTCCTCTATATTTGACACGGCCTCATGCTCACTGTAATTCTCGAGCCGCGTTTCTTGCGCTTTTCTCGGTTTACCTCTTTACTCCCGAACTGCACCGCCATTTCGGCGCCGACAAGTGGATCATAAAAATGAAAAAATTTGGTTTTACATTGATCTACTCTACAACGTGAGCTGCAACCAAAACGTAAGTTGGTCTCCACAACGCTCAAAATAATATGTACGCACCAATGCCAAGTGGCCGCCAACCACTGGACGAGCCTTGAATCCAATGGCGACAGCACCTGTCACCGTATCATACAAGTCTCCGAATGGCGCTGCGACCATCTCAGTTGGTTTCTCACAGATCATCACGCTACCCACCATTGTATTGGCCGTCCGACACCCAGCTCTTAACTGCTGAAATGAGCAGATCTCGAACTGCAGTCGTCGTTGCCCATGACGCGGTGAATATTTCCCAGTCTAAGGATTTTCGGTCAATTCCTGAAACAATCATTGGTGGAGAATTCGACGCATACCAGTCTTAGTGTACGTGTGCCTGGCGGGCAGTCGGGTCAGCGCAATCTAATGCGGAAGTCGGGCGGGGCAACCTGCTCACCGAGTGTCAAGAGGAACTCCAAATTTGTCTGTTATGCCCGTCAATTTTATCTGCAATCTGGTGCTCGGATGATGATATCTTACTCGCGTGGCTCGAATACCAGGCGGTTTCTACTTTCGGTCAGTTTCTTTCTCTAAATGGGTATTCGGAAGCATATACGTTGAGAGTAGACCGAAGCAGGGAACAGGTTTAGCTTGAGCAGCTTATCGCCGTACAAGTTGTATGAGAGCCCCCACGAATTCGCATTGCCATACTACCAGAAGGGTCAGCAAGTACTCTGGGTCAGGCACTCAGGCACCTACAGCGAGGGTCAAGTGCGCCCCAGTGCTTGACGCAGACAGAGTCTGCCATTGTGTGACATAGCTCTTCGCAATGGCCTAGAGTTTGAGGTACCATCAGCAATTGAACCCAACAAAAGTTATGGTGGACCCACAGTGTAGTTTGCGCCCTTGCTCGTGTTACCGAGTAGATTCCAAATTTGGCCCATAGCCCCGATGCCCACGATACCTACCGCCCTATTAAAAAACCGCATTGTGGGTCCCACACCACTCGCCTTTGATCGCAAGATTGGTTTGATTCGCCAAGGAACCGGCAAAATCATCCTAGAGGTGCATATCAGGATGCATACCCACAAAACGCCGAGATAGGAACTTGCCGTGCTGATCTGGTTGGCAGGAATGAGGCTGTCAGAAATCAAGAAAGAGGTCCATTGGTCCAGCAGAGCGCTATAGCGTTGCAAATGCGACAAGTCTCCGGTCTTCTGTGCGTAACTCAGAGCCATGATAACCATGTTTCCGCTCTCCTCAACCGGCATTGCCTCATCACCCCCGTCGTTGTGCCCCAGCGCCTTGGGGTAAGACGAGCCAAGATCGTGGACGGACCATTTGTTGCTAAAACGCGAGATTAGCGTCTGTGTGACGAAAGTGAAGGAGAGTGATACGGGTATTGACCGGATGCCTGGTACCGGAAAAGGCCTTCAAGTAAAAATTTGCCGAGTTGAGGATTGGTATACAGGAAAATAGGCCTAATGGCTATTAGTACTATATGCTCGGTTGAGCTGAGCACATACCATGCAGGGAAGATCACATCGACCGTGTTGACATTCTAACATGACATCAGCCAAAACACGATCACATGATTGGATCCATACCCCATCACTCGAAATTTCCTTCATAAAAACAATGACATCAGAGGTGTTGAACGCGCCGGAAGAAGTCTTAGAGAGGGTAATCTCGTTTGCGGAGAGCGATTGACGAATGGAGATGGCGACAACACCTGCGTAGTCGGCCGAGATTTTACTAGCATCGGACTGGACTTTGGCGTCAAAGGTGTTGGCTCGCCCAAGTGCCGCGCTATAGTCGCCGAGGAATGAAGAGATCTGGGAGAGACCGTTGATTTAGTTTGAGACGCAGAGTATTATGACATACAACTGCATCTGATGTCGAGAACTGGCTCAAGAAATAGCTGCTACGGCTTTGGAGAGCTCCACCAGTCACGATGTATTGGATAGCAGGGTCGCGAATATGACCGACGGAGAACAAGACCGGAGCGGAAGCCGTCGTAACAGAACCGAGGTCATGGGCGAGACCGAAGACGGGCCAATTATTATTTATTGCCCGGAAGTTGGTGTCGAGAGTGTTGCCGAGCTTGCCGTTGTTGATGAATTGTGCGCGCACAGTAACGTCTGCTCCAGTTTGGTAGGTTGCGCTGACGGTCTGCGAAAAGAGCGTGAGAATAAGTGATGTGAATCGTAAAACAGACAAACGTTGGGGGTGGAGTAGAAAGCGGAGCCATCTGAACATGTTAGATGTTAAAGCGGAAGACAAATAATAGGCCGAACATTGAGTATGATCATTGACTTCGCTAAAGACATTTTGTGTCTGCAGTTGAACTTGGTGAGTCAAGATACTCCCCGTTGTGGTCGAGTTCCACTTGACGGCAAGAGAATTGTCGCCGGAGACCCATTCGGCAGATATGTCACTGTATACCTGAACAGTATGCGCCTTGCCATCCGTCGAGGCTACGTATCAATGTTCAAAAAACATGAGCCCATCAAACAAATCAACTTTACCAGCAGAAACCGACAAATACGAAAAAGGGATTGATTGCTTGAGAAGGTCGGTTGGCTATGAAGGTTTGATCGCTGAAGCTGCAACATCTCATTGTTCACACTGACCTCTACCGGGCTCAGGAAAGTCACAGTCAGATCGACGGCACCAGCAGAGAGTACGAATATGCTTTGAGTGGAAGTGAACTATCAGGCGAAATTAGTTGCTAGTGGTAGGACAGCGTTTCAGTTTCAACCTTGAAGCTTTTCTGGACTGCCTTGTTGAACGTTGCAGAAGGGACACTTGAGGCACCCAGGAACGAGTACGCCACACCATCGACTTTGACGAACCCAGCCCATCCAGTAATTTGCCCAGCCCAGAATGTGGGCCATGCCTAGCTGGATTCAGCCATCCAATATGCGAAATGATCGCTGGACACACATCGTTAAGGGCAGCACCTGCGCCCTGTGGCAACCTGTAACATTATCGTTAGTCAATGTGAATGTGGGTCTCACAACACCTGCAGACCAAGTACTCAGATATGGCGTTCGAACAGCAAGTGGGATTGATGAAGGGTTGAATGGTGTTGTCGTCCAGCTAAGGGCAGCGGCAAACGGAAGGAGGCAGATGGAGGCCAGACTGATTCTACGCATGGCTGGCGGTTGGAAAACGCATAGCCCGGCGTATGCTAAATTTATACTGGGAGCCTCGTCGATGACGGTAGTAGTCATGGGATCGAAGTGCATGGAAAGAAGGACATCCAGATGATTTCATGGTCAGAGGATGCGTTGTCGTATCAAGTAACTTGTGGTTGTTGCTCGATCCTTGTTGTTCTCGCACCATTCGACGTCCTGATGGCCCTCACAATACGACAAGCGGCGCTGGTCGATGAAGCAGCGCTTTCCCACATCTGCCTCGTCACTGCTGACGCTGGCAAATCCGCCGACCCATTGCACGACCACAAAGAGCTGCCAGGCTTGGTTTACGCAGTTCCGTATCTTCATCTACCAACAACATGGGCATTTGTGTTGGTTGACAACGAGAATGTGGTTGGATATATCGTGGGTTCAAAGGACACACGTGTTTTCGAACAGCGAGCAGCGGAAGAATGGTGGCCTATTCATGCAGAAAAGTACCCACCCACAGAGATGGTCAAGGAAGCAGACAAGCGTTACGCGAAGTTATTGAGAAACATGGACATCGCTCCAGAGGCCCACGTTGCCTTCTCTCCGGCCCATCTCCATATAAACATCGTCGAGGAGCACCAAGGAAAGGGCTGGGGTCGCAAACTCATCGAGACCGCTGTGAATCATCTGAAGACGGAGGGAGTCGATGGTGTTTGGCTGGGTATGGATCCACGGAATTCGGAGGCCAGGAAATTTTACCAGCGTGTTGGTTTTTCTACATTCGAAGGAGCGTCCCCCCATGCTGTCGGTATGCGATTCAAATGATAAGTCGAGAAATGTATTCGGTCCATCCATCACCGTGGCTTTCTTTCAACCACCATGTCTCGAAACCCACCCATCTCGCCACTGCAGCCAGACAGCTACCCTCAACCTCGAGAAGCCGCACCGCAATCCGTATTGCGTGCTGGGTCACAGCAGTGGAATATAGTTCAGCGCGACAGCAGTGCAGACGAAGTCGAAAGTGTGGAATTCCCTATCCGAAAATCACCCAGCCTCGCTCCCCCAGACCAAGAAGACACTCGCCGAGTCTCGTCGGGCAGTATGAACACGTTGTTTGGCTCTTCTAGCGACGACGAGCTTTCAAAAAGATACTCTTTCTCCTCTTACCAACATCCATACGACATTCCAACCCTCCCTAATGCCTACGCTGGTGTTCCTATCGACCAAAATACGCCGCCTCGCTCTCGTCAACAGCGCAGAGTTAGCTTCTCGGATGAACCCCAAGTCAACGAATACGATCAAGAGGCACAGATCAACTCGAGCGACCGTACTCCACTCAAGCGTCGTGGTATTCTCTCAAACATGATGGATTTGTATGCTCTAGAACATGGCTTGCACGATGATCAGCCTAATGACTCTCAAGAAGAACTTCGTGGACCTTCACGCTATCCTAATCGCTCTCAGTTGAATCGACGCATCTCCACCGACTCAAATCATTCTGATTTACTGGACCCAGATGACCCTCGTGTAACTGGAATTGTCGGACGTAATCTTGATGACCATCAAGAGCTGGACAAGAGCGTACTTCGAACTATGGACTACAAAAGTCGTCGCAAGTATCTTATGCGCGTCAAAATCGAGTTCAACGTTTCAAGTACTTCTCCCTGAGGTACCCATAATCTTCGTCTGATCTGTTATGCAGCCATGATGCAACGTCAAGACTTTCTCCTGAAGTTGGCGCGAGCTTTGATGACCTTTGGAGCTCCTTCTCATCGAATTGAGTCGCAACTCATCGCGGCAGCGAGGATATTGGAAGTCGAAGCCGAGTTCATTCATCTTCCTGGCATCATAATCTGTTCCTTCGGCGACCAAGAATTGGGCTGCTCTGAGACTCACTTCATCAAATGTGGCGGTCGACTCTCGCTCGGCGCGTTGCACAAGGTCCATGTCATATATCGCTCAGTCGTTCACGATGAAATCAGCGCTGCTGAAGCGGCTAACAGACTAGAAGCTTTACTCAATGCTCCTGCTTTGTATCCAATTTGGATCCGGTGTCTACTCTCCTTTTGTCTCTCGGCATTGATTTGCCCGCTGGCGTTCGGCGGCTCTTTCTTGGATATGTGGATAGCAGGCTGTGGGGCTTTGGTCCTATCCTACCTTCAACTTTGCGCAGCAACAAAAAGTGCCATATATGCCAACGTTTTCGAGTACGTGGAACAGTCAATTCTTACCATTCTAAGTTCAACTGAACGGTCTTGCCTCCAGAATCACAATCGCCATTTTCGTTTCCTTCACGGCTCGTGGTCTTAGCAGCATCCGCAGCCACCTATTCTGCTATTCCGCTATATCTTCGGCTGGGATCATTGGTATTTTACCAGGTTATCTAATCCGTGAGTTACCAGCAAACATGCTTCGTTTTCTGAATTGAGTATCAGTCAGCAGCTCTTTGGAGTTAGCCTCAAAGAATATTGTCTGTGGTAGTGTCAAAATGGTGTATGCTCTTATCTACACACTTTTCCTGGTCAGTATACGACATCCTCCTTGCTCTCCAGCTCATATCCACCAGGGCTTCGGTCTTCAAATAGGGTCAGATTTTTATCTCCTTTTGGATCGTCCGGCCCGAGAACAGCTCCTTGCGCTATCGACAACGTTACAAACGTCTTCGACACTTTCTGGGACGTGGACGGCGGACAATTTTTCCCAGGATCAAGATGTCGTCCTCCCTGGTATGGGTACATGGACATTCGTTCAACTTATCCAACCACACACTATGGATATTGTCAATGGTTGTTACCGGCCAGTAAACTTTCCGTGGTATCTCCAACCCTTCCCGTTGTGGTGCAGCTTTATCATCGTTCCTTTGTTTTCGTTGCTGTCTTCCCTGGCCAATCTTCAACCCTGGCGAAGCAGGCAGCTGCCCGTGATGGTGGTCATCTCGTGTTGCTCGTATGCGACGAACAAGATAGCAAACCACTATATCTTCAATCGCTCGGACATTGTTTCTGCTATTGGCGCATTCACCACTGGGGTAATGGGCAACGTTTATTCGCGTAGGATGGGTGGGACGGCGTTTACATCTATGGTTACTGGCGTGCTTTTTCTAGTTCCAGTATGGAAACCTCATTCCTTTACACCTCGAACTGACCACATTTTAGTCCGGACTCTCGCAAGCTGGTGGCATCACAGCCAGCGGCAATGGAATCGACATTGGTGGGGCTATGATTGCCGTGACCATCGGAATCACTGTCGGGCTGTTCATGAGTCAAGCACTAGTCTACACTTTCGGGAGTAGGAAAAATGCCGCCGTTTTCTCATTTTAGGACTCCTGTTTATCTTATTTTTCTACCAATACCACCACATCTACAACATCGGAGCCGGCGAACCCTCAATGTAGTCAATTGAGGTCTTGTGGCCGAGTAGCGTTCGAATGTTGTTGATCCCGTAACGAATCATGGTTGGTCTTTCGAGACCTAGACCCCAGCCATGCACCCGCACATCTTTGGGGAAACCCATTGGCTCCAACATTTCTGGTCGGAACATGCCACTGTTCCCGACTTCGACCCAGCGGTTTAATAGCGGATGGAAAGCGAAAATCTCCAGGGAAGGCTGGATGACAGGGAATTAGACAACTTGGACAGTCGAAGAAAAGGCAAACCTCTGTGTACGGATTATACGCCGGTTTGAAGCGCACTTGTTGAATACCCATCTTGCTGAAGAAGACCTTCATAAAACCAATGAGGTCTGCGAGGGTCAAGTTGCGATCAGCAACTACACCCTCGACCTGATGGAACTCCGCCAAATGGGTGGCATCTGTCGTCTCGTTTCGGAAGACGCGGTCAATGCTGAAGAGCTTAGCAGGTCGGAAGCCGTCGTCTTTTCCATCGCTGTTCTGGGGTTTCTTCCCTGCCGCTGGACGGTCATCGTCTTCTACATCCTCGCCTCGACATCTCGCAGCAAGTTTGTAGAGCATGTGTGCTGAACTGGCTGTGGTATGGGTGCGGAGGAGGAGTTTGGTCGTTTCGTCATGTGACCACGGGGCTCGATAGCCAGTGGAGCCAAATCCACCATGCTCGTGGATGGTTGACACGGTTTTGTAGTATTTAGGCTCAGGATCAAGGGATTTCGCTGGGTCTATGGCCAATTTGTGAGCCTTCCTTGCTTTGATGACAACAGAAACACACCGGAGAGGTAAAAGGTATCTTGGACCTCTCGAGCAGGATGTTGTTGTGGAACGAAGAGCGCATCGAAACACCAGAAACCTGATTCTACGAAAGACGCCGTCGGCATCTCTGCGAAACCCATTTCCAAGAAAATATTGCGTATCTCTTCACGGACTTTGAGTAGCGGGTGTAACGAGCCGCCTGTTGTCGGTGCGCCTTCTGCCTCGAAGTTGTATTTTTTGAAGGTCGACGTTTTCCACGCTCCTCTTGAGTGCGATCTAAGTACTGAGGAAGGAGAGAGAAAACAGGAACACACGATGTGAGCATCTCGACAGTCAAATCGGTCTCTGGCTTAGCAGTAGAGGTGCTGAAGTTGGGTCCCTTCGAAACGGTGAACCACTGGCCCTTTCTGGAAGAATCTTCAGGTTTGAAGTGAGTTGACACGATACTACTACCTTTGCACAATCAACTTGCGCTTTCGTAGATCGGCCAGAACTTTTTCGCCAGATTTCAGAGTTCCAGTCGACTGCACCTCCAATAGATCCAGTTTCGTAGCGTCCTGTATCGTTGGGGCTATTTGGACGAAGCCATCTCCATCTTTCCCGATCCATTTGTTCTTGAATGCCCTGCCCTGCCCGATGCTGGCCGTTTCGTCGCCGACAAGAGTTTTGAGCTGCGCAACTGTGACCGGGGCGCCTTGCCCCTTGACTGGTAAAGCAGCCCAAACCCGAGCTTCATGCGAGCCTTCGATGGCGATTTGGTTGCCTTCAGCAGACAACGCATGGGCAAGCGTTTCGTGGGTTTCAAAGCTGACCATCTGGAATCGTGTTCAACATTGTAAATCATAGATTCACTTGCCCCAAGATTTACTTCACGGCTCAAGAGGGAATTGAGTGCACCAAGGACCGTTATCTGGGCATCTTGAGACGTAGCAGGTTCCGATTGGCCAGGTATAGTAAGCGTTCGAGTATCAGGTATAGTCGTATTGGCATCGAGCAAGTCGAGTACGAGCTGCTGCAAGCTCTCTGACATGGCTTTTGACTCGAAGAAATCTAATAGATGCACGTGATCATCGACACTTCTCCCTCCTCCCAAAATGGAAGCTGCCTGGGCAGCCGCTCAGACGCGACTGGCAGAGATTCGTGCTCTCGGCTTGGGCAGCGGTCCCTCAAAGCGTACAATTCGCGTTGGTCAGCTTGATGCGGAGCTTCTTGACCAAGAGTTAGTGCAGCTTTTGCAAGAGCCGGTCGCCAAAGCACTCAATTCACCACGGTGGACACCAGAACTCTCCCTTTTCATTCGGATGATGCTATATAAGCTTTCCGTATGGGACTCCGGCGCAACTTATGGCGCAAAACTTCAGGACTTGCGATACACAATTCCTCGTTCTCCAAGCCGTCTGGCTCTTTCGCGTGCGTTTGGTCACGACCGTCGAGCAAGGCACGCCTGACCAATCGAGTCCAGCTTCTGGCTTGCCGCGAAGGACATTGCTGATCCATGCATTCCTCACCGTCATCGTTCCGTATTTTCATACCCGAATTCGCTCCCACGCTCTATCCCGAGCATGGCCAGACGCACCTTCGTCAGATCGGCGACGCAAAATATGGGACATCCTCGTCTCTTTGGAGTCGGTTCATGCACTAGTCGCACTGCTCAGTTTCGTTGCCTTCCTATGGGACGGGAGGTTCCGGACTGTCACCGACCGCCTGCTAAAAATGCGTCTTACTCCCTCAAGAAAGCTCATCAAGCGCGATGTTAGCTATGAGTTTATGAACCGCCAGATGGTCTGGCACGCGTTCACGGTGAGTTCCCTTCGAAGTTGTCTGACCAAGTCATTAACGCCGACTACAGGAATTCTTGCTCTTCCTCCTCCCTCTTCTCAACGCCAAGAGCCTACGACGAAGACTCTCGAGACTGAAAACTACCCTGACGCCATCTTTCCTTCGTGGCACAACTGAATCTAAACTTAAAACAACTAGAGGGAAGTACTGGTCGTTGCCCCAAGACCAGTGTGCCATCTGTGCCGAAAACGCGTCCTTTAATCTCAATCTTGCGGACCCTACAAACGCTTTGACCTCCCTGACAACTTCCGTTGGCCCTTCAGAGGATGGAGAACCCCCTCTTTACCCTATCTATACGCCATATGTTGCGTCTTGCGGGGATGTGTTCTGTTACCATTGCATCGCCGAGCGTATCATGCGTGCAGCAGACGAAGAGGATGGACAGAAATGGGAATGTCTCCGGTGTGGTCAACCGGTTGAGAGTGCAGACCGGTTAATCGTTGAACCAACCGGCAGCGATCACGAGCTCAGTGACTACGACTTTAGCAGCGATATCACTGATTTGTCAAGCTCAATGGTGTCCATGGGCAGTTATAGTGAATCTGTATTGTCTGAATCCTAGAATGATCCTGCTAGCTAACTAACAAGGAAAGCAAAAGAAAATGCAATGTGCGCGGTAGATGGTCGTATGAGATGGTGTCTGTCAGTAATGGAGGTAAGTCAGGCTATGTACTAATGCTCAATGAGCGAGCTCGTTCTGGATTTGGGCCAGCACTGCTGGATCCGCTTTGGATAGGTAGTTGATTTGGAATGCTTGAGGCCCGCATTGAGTCTGGGCCGCATTCAACTTCTCAGCGATATATGCAGTTAGTTTGACCGTCCGAACAGGGTCATGGTCGTATAACTGGTACCGAATAAAACAACGAGGCAAAGGATGAGGTTGGAAACTCACAGCTTTGCGACGTTCGTACTCGAGAGTACCTTCCGTATCTTGGTAGTAGTCAGAAGGCGCCTCGTCCAGATCCCAATGCCGGTGAAGGGAAACTTGATATCTAGGAGGAATATTCAGTGTCGATGGATGGTATTCTGGAAAGTCTTACTCTCCGTCATCGGAAGCAGCCGCTTGCATGGCTTCTTTCAGTTCAAGCAGAACATCGGTCCACATATTGAATATATCGCCATGTAGTCTTTCCAGGACATCTGGCCTTGCAGTTGAAACCAGGGCTGCCATACCCATCGCCGAGAGCTTGCGATGTCTGGCTTCCGACATATTGTCCCACTACGCAGATTTGTCAGGGAAGAGAGAAAAACGTCCGCAAGAACTCACCGTGCCCCACCATTGGTCTAGGAGGAGTTCGTATAATTTGTTTTCGCTCATATTAGGGGTTGCAGTTGCAGCCATCAGCTGTAAAAACATTTGTGGGTCTGCCATCACGATGCGAGACATTAATAGGATGTGCTCCATGAGAATTTGGGCCTGAGCCTTCGTCTGTAATGAGTGACATTGGCCAGGTAAAGGTCAGAATAGATACCTCGCCCTCCACAATCGTCTTCAGAAGTACAGAAAACAAACCCGAGGTGTGCATTGGTTCACCCCACAGAGCCGAAGGAGCAAGTTGAACGAGTAAATTAAGTGCCAAAATCATGTCTTTGATGTTTCTTTCAACTGCAGCGCTCGAAAGCGCGTTGACAAAAGCGCGGAATAAATCCACAGCAGACGTCTAAGCTGCGTGTTTAGTTGCTGAGTTAGTTAGACACCTGACTGACCTGGAGAATGGTGGAAGCATCAACCAATAAATGAGCAACGATGATATCTGTCGCTTTGCCAAGCAGATCCAAGTTTGTGGCGAGGAGCGCGACTGCCTTAGGATATAATTCAACCAGACCGACACCGGTCGTGTTCTGGAGAGTGGTTGTATGGCGCAAAGCCGCCAGCCAAAGAGTAAGAGCATCTTCATCCAGATGAGAAGCGACCTGATTGAAGATAATCATTTAGAGCTGCTAAGTCTCGAGACGTGCCGAACCTCTGGCATTAGTCCTTCTCGCACGAGTGGCACCACCAAGCCATGCAGACTTGTTGATCGTTGTTTGGTGGCTTCAACGAGTTTGGTAACAGTCTCGAGTAATGTAGACTTGAAGGCAAAATTCTCTGAGGCGTCCAGCCCTATTTCTGAATAAATTCGGGCGAATTCTGCAGTGGCAAAGACGTACAGAATCTAGGGATTGGATCCGCTATGATGGGTACCAGGTCCGAAATCTAAGAGGTATTTAGATTCCCTTATGAATGAAAGAACTCACTCACTCGCTCGCCCGCTTGTTCGATGACGACATTCAATGTGTAGTCCACTCGACGTTTCATCTCGAAGGTGTCGACCTCGCCCAATAACTTAACCAGTTCGGACACAACGTCTGGGAGGAAAGGAGCAAACACTTCGATGTTAAATTCGAGAGTCTGCGGTTGGCCTTAGGGAACAGATAGTTGAAATGGGGATGGACAAACGTCAATGCACTCCCTTAGCGCTATCGCAGCAGAGAGACGAACAACAGCATCTGATCCGGGTCCCCGATCTCGGATCAGATGGACGAGAATTTGCCACAACAACGGATCAGTGACGGCAATACATGAATCAGCGATCACAAGTTTGCCGAGAAGCCATGCGATGCGGCGTTTGATGATTGGATAACTGGAGATGGTTCAGTGGAATAGAAAATAGAAAAACAGAGTGAAAAGCATACACAGAGTTAGTGCTTTGAGCCTCAGCTGCCAATGTGGTCTGCATCCATTGCTGGAATGGAAGTATGGTCTTGAGCTTTGGGGCACAACGCCCAATAGCACAATATAGTGCTTCTTTTTGAATGACTTGTTGCAGGTCATTAGCGGGTATTGCTGGTTCTGCTGTCAGTCTATAGCATGATCCCTATTTCAAAACCTACTGCCGAAGCTGTTGTAAAGGTTGAGAAGTAGTGTTGCAACAGTGTCAGGAAATGCGACGGATAACGCCATCAGTACACGCTCGCTACAAGGCTACCCAATAGTCAGAGAATAATCCAAGGGTGAAGGGTGAATACACATACCCGTATTTCGAAGACCCATTGTTCATTAACACTATCCTCGTCGTTAACCCATTGTTCGGGGTCGTTCATCCACTCGGTAAGTTCAGCGTCCTTCAAAGGCATAAATTGCCGGATAAGAGTCTCCACGGCGACTTCGACGAAATTTGTGGGCAAGGCTTGGAACAACAGTATCAGTGTGATTCTGGCAGAAAACTCTCTCGCACCGTTTGCATTCTCGACGCCATCTCTCCGGGTTGGTTTCCACTGACTAAGATTCTCTTTGAAAAGAACCATTCCTTGAACAAGAAACCGAACAGGATATGGGGCCTCTGTCGTATCTGAACACTGGTCAGGTTTAAAGCGGGTTCTTTTAAGAGCAAGTTTTGCCTGCTATCGCGGATGAATCTTGTTTGGCAGATGCCGTGGCCTCAACAACCTGGCTCCAGTACCAAGCCACAAGATCTGGGCAACAGGGGAGAGCGGAGAAGCGCAGAACAGAAAGTTCTTGGAGACGCCGAAGGAATTTGCCGATAGAACGTATATGCTTGGTTAAGACATGCACCGAGCGTAAAGCAAATGCATTCGACTTGAGCCCGGCACCAACATCCCGAATAATCTGAAGGCGCAATTTCGTGAGTTGCTTTAGAGCTTCGAATGTCTCTGCGACGAGGGTCGCGATCTGATGTCTTTCGATCAGTATATTGACGAAGAGTAAATAGAACGATGCAGACCCAATTGAGAGCCGCTACAGGGTCGATTTCGCTTTTGGCAGAAGTGAGGCGCATGAACAGCCAAGTGGCTATACTTGAGACAGACTTGAAAACAAGGTGACCAAGCAAAAGGTCCGTGCAAGTTCGAGGAGAGATGATGCCCGGGTACGGGTTTTTAAGATAGGTGGATATTAAAGAGGAATAGAGCCCAGCTAGGATGCTCTGGGACTTGCTCACAATCTTGGACCGGGTTAGTATGGTTGATACGAAAAAAAACGCAGCCAACCATAGCCATTGTCTTGAGACCAGACGGCATTTTAACGCTCGAGAACTCTTTGCAGATCGTACTTAGTAGCTTGAGGCTACGACGAAGAAGTAGTGTATCTTGGGCATTTTCATTGACAGGGTCGGAGAAATGCTTTTGAAATGTCGCTTGGATACCCTGAAGAAGGTCGTCGACGAGGTTTCGCCTAGGAACGCGTCAAGTAGGCGAGATAGTTTGAGTATGACGCACCAGTTGGTGGGAAAGTCTATTCGCGCAATCTTGGCTACTATATGTTCGTTGCATTCGGCGATCTAAGTACTTAGTGAGTAGAGAGCATAAGAGTTTGTCAAGGAGATCTTACAGTGTCGTCCTGCTCGTCGAGAAATGTGAAAGTGCGCGCTCGAATGCTTATTCTTTGCTCGTCTGAGATCACCCTAAGCAGATCATTCGGTCGGTCGATTTCAAGCAGTGAACATAGTCGTACTTTCGGGATCGCCAGTGTTGTGCAGCGCTGTTCTTGAATTGGATTATGGCCTGCTGGCGAATATGAAGAGGTACAGCCTTTTGGGCGGCGATTTCATGCAAGGCCTCATATATACCAAAAACGTTCAGTAATTCTTTCAAGCGCGCACTGGAGGCCTGGAGCACGGCAGGATCCTGCGACGAGCAGCCAGACATGACCTGAAAGACTTCATCTGTGGAAACTGATTCCACACCATTCATCGAGGAAGCGTTAAAGGAGTTACAAAAAGGAACAGACAGACGGTCACGCATGCGACGGGCCTTTTCCCTTGCCATTGGCCCGCATCAAAGGTATCGACTCACCCACCGCTTTATGTCGCGTCATATTGTAGAAGAAGTCCCAGACTCTGAACCTGAACGCGAGGCTGAGCGACAAGCGCGTAAACAGGAGCGAAAGAAGAGAAAGCTCACCAGAACCGCCACCCCCGAAATCATTGTCATTTCAGGTGAACTAGTCCACCTGAGCGTATCTCGGGCTAAGAATGTGCAGATGACAGCTCCGCCCATAGTCCAGTCATCGCTCCCAGCAAGTCTCCATCCGTCATCAACATTAGTGGTGTGTAATTCTCAACCACACCTCACCGTTGTCTGACTCAGACCCTCCAGACAACAGCATCAACGTCGACCAAAACGTTATATCCATCAGTACAAGTGTGGAGGCGCCTCCCGACGAGGATGACGATGTAGAACTCGTTCCTACTTTGAACATTGGTCGTTTCGCCTTTCAGAACACTACGCGTCCACTTCAGCAAAGAAACTCAGCGTCAACAATCGGGTCAAGCTCCAACAGTGAAGCGCCAGCTAAGCCTGCTGCTCGTCGATCCCGCAAACATCTCGAAGAAATATCAGACAACGATTTGAATAAGCTTTCTAAATGCGTCAGTTGTTCAATACCATGGACTACGCGCAAAACCGCCGCGCAAAAGATGATACATATCCGTTCTTGTGCGAAGAAGAGTGGCATGACCGACGAAACCGTCGTCTTCCTTGTACGCAAAGAAATCGAAAACTCGCCAGCTACGGGTGGGAAAGGAAATGCTGCTCCATTGACGGGACCTTCAACTCTTCTGGAAGAGGTCGTACGCGATGCTGGCCCGAAGCGCAAGGGCAAGCGCCCGCTAGTTGTCGACGTATTGAAGCCTGTGTCCGAGACGAGAAACAACATCTTGGATCGTGCTCGAAACTTGCTGACGGAAACCGACGACCCGCCAACTCAAGCTGCTGTAATTCCTCCCACTACGCCATCCCTTGGTGCAAGTCGGCTGGGTCGAAAGCAACAGGGCAAGGTGGCCTTATTTGACGATTCGGATGAAGAATCAGACTTTGACCCACCAGCTGCCACCCAGGCGTTTGCGCCGTCCAAACTCGGAGGGGGAACGAAGAAACAGTCAGCATGGGGCTACGATTCCGAACCTGAATCGGAACCTGTTGCCTCTAGTGTGAGTTCTTATGTCGTCAAGTTGAGAATGGGCTAATAACATGTAGTCGAAACCTTCCAGGGCAAAAGGACCTTCTCAGATTGCTTCTCTGATGACGAAAATGACTCTTGACCCATCTACGCTTGAACGATCTCACACACCTGAATCAGACGATGGGTATATCCATTATGAACCTAGTAACTATCCGATACCCCCACCTCCGCCCCCGAGGGGAAAGAAAAAACAGCTCCCGACGATTACCGACGTGATACCCCAACCAAACCAAAGAAAAAGAAGGACTACCTCCGAGGCGTTTGATGAAGCGGCGTTATTGAACAAGATTCTCGAGGATGAAGCGCTCCATCTCCAAATCCTGCGCTACGAGGTCTGTGTGGTCCGCGGTGTTTATGGCAGCTTTGGAACTCATCGCGCATTGGCAGGCTGTCGACTTCAACACTTTCCTTGCCCTTGTTCTTCAACCCGGGGAGACAGCAAGCCCCAAAACCAAGCTGCAAATGCAGTCATTCTTGGACAAGCAAGCCATCGTCTTTTTTGGTGGTGAAACTCGTAATTATAAGTCGCGAGGACGCAGAGGGAGGCGGTAGGCTATCTAGGGTACGGTGGTGAATATCTGTATTGTCATGTAGTTTTTCTATTTAGTCTGTGTAGTGATTGTGTGTATTCTTTGGTCTAATTGCGCTAAAATGGTGTCCAATCCGAGGAGTACACCCTCGTCAGGCCCTTGCCCAGGAACAAAACGGGTGTGTGCAAAGTCGATGAGGCGAACATCATAGGCGGGACCTGGTTTCGGGGGTTTGCTTTCGTCTTCGTCTGATTCCGAGTCTTCTTCGTCGAGATCACGAAGCATCCACTTCAACCCCTCTTCTGCACGGGTAGCGTCACTTTCGTAAATGAAAAGTAGACTTCCGCCGATCATTCGGAGCTCAACTTGAGCAAATGCGTCGCGGATCTCCTGCACATCCTCGCGTAATAGCTCCAAGATCTGCAGTAAAAGTCCAGCGGGTAGGCCTTGTGAAGGCAGTGCGCCATGTTCACCGACTCCCAAAACAGGGAACACTCGAGCAAAACCCTCCGGTAGTTGTTCTTTCGTGATTGATTTCCCATAGGCCTTGGGCGTCGTTACTGGCTCCCCTGACGCGTTGTCGTACACCGAGAGTCAAAGTAAGACAAGATGGAACATGGAGAGAAACGGTGTAATACCTGGAAACCGGTAAGCCGGATGCCTGTCTTGAGCGAGGTGGTATTTTCAGCCGCCTTGAGCATACGGGCAACTTTCTCCGGTGAAGCTGTCTCGTCGTAGAGTACTGTGCCCAATTTGACGTCAAGGACGTTGGGCTTGGTGAACGGATGTGTGAGGTTCTCCAACACTAGGGACTGTGCAAAAGAGAGTAAGATTTCATCAGATCGTCCAACTTGCCGCACTCATCTTTCCCGCCATTCGTCGCAATTGGCTTGACCGGGATGCTGGTTTCGGTCGTTGGCTTGTCCGGATCGAATTCTCCTTCCAAGGTTAATGTTCCGAGGAATTTGGGCAGATATGGGCGCAGAGCATCGATTGCTGGCTCTGTCGATGCTGCAACAGTGCGATAGAATTGGAGTTCGACGGGAAGAGCTTGTTTGATGAGCAGAGTATCGTCCTCGGTGGTAAGAACTCCATTAGCATGGCCGCCAACTTGAGAAGTCAGCGAATGGGTTGATGGTGCTTCCGAATCTGTGCTTGCAACAGAGGACATCGAAGAACGGAACAAAATTAGATCAGGGTCACGCAAAAGCTTGTTGTCTTTGTTGCGTTTTTCAAGCGTCCTTAAGTTTCCACTCGGAGGACCTTCAATCGAAACCAATCTCAAGTCCTCGCACAAATATTCGAACTGTCTCACTGTGTATGCTTGGTTTTCCGAACGACGACAATTAGACGAGTAGACTTGCTCTTACTGTTCGATACCATTCTTGTTTCCTGCGAGATGCAGTGTTCCCAAGGCCCGCATAAGCTGAGTGAAATTTCGTCTCACTGCGACTTATTTCACGATTGTACTAAGATAGACTGTGAAACGAAACTGAAAGGTACAAATAAACACTAGACGCGGTAATCATCCAACAACCACACCGGGGGATTATTCTCGGCCTTGAGTACTCTAGTGAGAGATTTGATTATTTCTTCGTCCTCCGCCTTCGCCAGAGCGTCAGGGGTTCTGTTGTTGGTGAAGTGCAGGAAGGTAAAGTACAACAGGTTCCTCCCCAAAAGGTCCGTTCCTCTCGGCCCCAGTGGTACTACCGAGATGTCGAAGCTAGACAATTGTTGTTAGATGGTTCAAAGTCGAACTTCAGTGGACACACCTTTCCCCATACACGGCACAGCAATCATTCATGAGGTCGTGGACATAATTCATTGTGGGCGACTCCCGCCAGTGCAACTCTGGTGGCGTGATTGCGCGTAGGTCGTCGTCGCTCATAAGCCAACCAAAGCGATATCGAGGGCGAAGCGCGGTTCTCGTCTTGTAGTCGGCAAGCCCAGGGGATGACTTCATGACCTGGTGAAAACCGAGGCGAGACTTGGAGGAAAGGTTGTTGGCCTCTCTTTGGACATAATACTGAGCTCTGGATTCTAGAGAGAGTCGGGAAACGCACGCTGTCATCATGAGTAGGTGGTGGTACAAACACAACTTTGTCTCCCGCAGTCAGACTGTGAACTTGAATTTGGTCTGAAGAGGGGGTGAGTGTGACGACCAAAATGACAAGTCTGAGCTTGCACACCCAGAGATCATAGGGGACAGTGGATCTGGCTTTGACTCTCCAGACGACTACCGATTCAACTTGCCTAACTTATTGGCGATCTCAGTAAGACTCATTGATCAAGTACAATATCTAATCTATATGCACGCTTAGTACTCAAGCCCGGTACCCGCGTCAAGGGGGTGCATCGTCTACCAGGAACTTCACCATACATGAAAGAACAGTCAACAAAGTTTCCCTCTTCCCCAAACAGCCTCTCCCCAACACCTCTACTGCGAACCTTGAGTGAATCGGACGTGGACATATTCCAGAGGTTCTCTTCTTGCATCACCAGGCTGTCTTGAACGTTCCCTACCATTGGTCAACCTGTCAAAGTCTATAGAAGACTCAAGGTCTATAGAAGGTTTGACTTGGGCTGCAGTACAGAGGGGTCTACGAATGATATCGGTCCTGCCCAGGTCGCTAGATAGCTTCCCGGACAAGGCAATCCATAAGATAACCAACTGCCTGAGCTCTTCCAGTGTGGTGGTCAACGGCACGGAGTAATGCGAAGATTCTGTACAGGAGCTTCCAGTCGTCGTGCTGACCCACAAATAATCTCCCATTATTTATAGGATTCCTGCTGAGACAGAGCGGTGTTTTCCGCCCGGATGTAAGCCACATCCGAGCCCGCTCCGCCTCAAGTCTGACTCAGATAGAAGCTCGACGTGTCTCAGGTCATCGTGTCTTGCACTGGAAAAGAAAGAAAGAAAAGATTCTCTTGCTCAATATCTATGGATCAGACTAGGGTGCAGACTTGAGTCAACCGAGTAAACGATGTTCTCAGACCATAAGAATCTTGAAGATTCCCCCACCAATCCTTCACGATTTTGTGTTTCGTGCGTGGTTGGGTGCGTTTAGCGCAGGATGCGAGAGTCACTTCAAGTTGTGGCTGAGCGATCACTAAGTAAAGGCCGCGTTCGGCCATCAATCTACATCAATATCACTTGGTCCCTTCCCTCTTATCCATTCACTCCCTTACCCTTGCTCAGTCGTAAACTATAGCTGCCATGTCGGGCAGATATGCCCCTCTTCCTAATAACAATGTCGACGAGGAGGGCCGGAATGAGATGGACGCAGCTTTTGATGATTCGGATGACGAAGACGAGAACCGCCCACTGAATCCAACTCCAAGCTCTCCTGTTGCAGCAACTCATGTCTCCCGAGCTTCTACTCACATTCCCGGTACCTACAACTTCGAGGTTGACTATGACATGCCGCCGCCAGGCAGTCCCCCTGGCCCATCGTCGACTGCTCTCCCAAATGGTGCGCCATCACAGTGTCGCCCCACTATTATATTTTCTCATCAGTTCTGTCGCAGAGCATGGCAATTCGAATGGGTTCATTCCCAATTTTGCTAGCGCTGTCGACTCCGTTTCTCGTGGCCCTCGACTCGGCTGGTTCAAGCGTGCTGCCACCGCCGTCTTACCAACACACTACGTCCAGCGCCTTGGCATGAGCGGTGCTGACCGCAACGTAATGGGGACCAACAACGATGGCGTCTTTGCGAATGTCACTGCAAAACCAACTCCACCAGTTCGCATCCAAGATGGTTCGCCGTTTCTGATAATGGAGGCTCAGCTAATTCAGCCTTCACAGGAGATAGTACCTATATCGTACCTGAGGAAGTTCGTGCTGAGGCGCCGCCTTCCTATGCGTCTGCTCAAGCGGACGCTGTCCCACAGTATTACGAAGTTCATGCAGTGCGTCAACAATCATCACTTTGACAAGACTTGTTCTCAAGCTTCATATAGCCTTTTACTCCTGGTACAGCGGGAGAGATGATCATAGATAATCTTCCCAGTGGTACCTTGTTTAGCTTCCTCTGGAACATGCTCGTTTCCATTAGTTTCCAATTCGTTGGCTTCCTCCTCACCTAGTATGTCACCCTCTTTTCTTTTACTTCCTTCTCAATGCTTTCGACTAGCCTTCTCCATACCACACACGCTGCTCGTTTGGGTGCCCGTGCTGGACTGGGCGTCACTCTGATCCAATATGGTATGTTTATGCCATGATTGGTAGATCTCTGATCTGAACTTGGCATTCAGGTTTTGCTCTTCGCACACGAAATGACGGAACGGAGGAAGAAGCTGCTAATGCCTGGGCGTCTTGGTCGAACCAGCCAACATTTGCTACTGAAGCTGAGGCTGCTGCCTATTATAACGGAACTAGTACCGATCCAACGGCTCTCCCAACTCTCACACCTGAACAAGCTAACGCGATTGTTGCGGATGCTACGAGCGAGGTGCGTTTGCTTGTCTTTCCCTACTCGACGCGTCTGATCAGGACAGTGGCTCTCGTTCTTCTTGATGACCATTGGCTGGTTCATTTTACTGACCTCGGTGCTTGGTTTCTGGCGTGTCAAACGATGGGAGCGTGGTGTTCTTGCTTCTCAGCGAGAGACCCCTGGATCAGCGCCAGCACCTCTTTCTGCTGGGCCCTTCCTCGCGCAATTCGAGAGAGGATTTGGATTACGTGGTATCTCGCAAGCAGACTTCTTCCGCCAAGGATTTGGGTTTGGTCCTCGGTCTGAGGAGCGCGAGCGCGAAAGAGCACGTGATCATGCCGATGGAGAGGCGGAGGAAACGGAGTTCATGATTCCTGCAGACGCCGATCCAGAACGAGCCCAGCAACTTCAAGAGGCAATCAACAACGAACGAAGATTACACGCAGAGCTTCGAGCTGCTGGTCTTTTGTGATACATACCAAACAACACGGACACCGGGTTGATATCTGTATATTTCTATTTCTTATGAGAAGAGGTGTAGTTGAACTGAATTGAGGCCATCGGAGAAACGGCCGCGGTAGTTGTTGGTGTGACGTGTGACACATTATGCCTGTCTGTTGCTATGTCCTTGGCGCCGCCCCAGGCAACGACTCCCGAGGCGAACGACATAGCTTGACTCATCACTACTTCCCTCGTTCCTGGAGAATTTCACTCCACTTAGAGATAGGAGCTCCACCCAGAACTGGCAGAAGCCCCCAGATTTGACCGGAAAGTACATCGCAACTACTCCGCATTGCACATTTGGAATTTACATTCAGGCTAAACCGAAACCAAGACTATCGCTGCTCACTTTGCTTGCACTCTGCTAGCGGAACAGTCGGGTTGTACCAACTCCAGATGACCTCTGGCTCTGCGCTAGCTATTCAATCAAAGCACTGGCGGCTGATCCCGGTTGGTTGCCGCGACCGAGTCGAGGCGAGAGACGAGGCGAACCGACGGAAAAACTAGCGATCACACAGCATCCAAATGGGGTTAACGGAATCCAAACAAGTACAAGAACCGGCACAAAAATATCTACCACCAACTTTCCCCTCCCGCTGCCATGTCCGGTCCCCGTAGACGCACTATTGACACGGTTCCTGCCCAACTACCATTCCTCGTTGAAACAGCCATGCCTTCTCGATTACACGACCGTATGCCTGCAGCTATGAGCATCGATGTTCGACTTGCGGATGAGGGAAAGAGGATCCGACCTCTACCTCGCGTCCCTCCAACTCCCAGAAGTGCACCTCCGATGCCTAGCCACCACAGACAACTTTCCGCGACGCGGCCGCTACCTAGCCTACCGGAATCTGGCTCGCTTGCGATCTCTGTAACTCCCGCAACTCCCCTACCACCACCAACACCAATGGCAGAGGCTAGCTCTGCATATCTGGCCCCGAGTTCTCCTCGCCGTGGCCCCCCGCGATCCACCTCCCTCACACTAAACATGAAGGTCTCGCCTGATGCCGATGTTCGCCAGGCATTTGAACGGACCCTTCCCGAGCCACCAACCCCCCGCACTGCTCACCGTATGCGCAACTCAAAACTGAGACGACATCTGGGAGAGTCTGTCCAAATCGTGCTCGACTCACCAGCCGATGGTCACTTCAGACATCAGCTTCAACCCGAAAGCGACGACTCGTACAGCGAAGAGTCAGAGGAAGACGTCGAGGACGCTTTTTATATGCCTTCTCTCCCCTCTCAGCCAACGCCACCCAGTCCTCCGTCACAAAAATGGGTCCGAGAGCGCGGAAAAAATCGCTGGACAGAGGCCAATTTCGCACAAATCCTCCAGGATCTACGCAACTTGTAAAGGGACGATTATGTAAATTATGTACAATTCGTAGATGTTGGTGCGGAATCAAACAAGTGCTGTTTTTGTTCCCCATTCCATGCATGGCGACCCGAGCCCGACTTGTTTCACTACCAAGGAAGATTCAAGCCGCTGAGTTTATACGCGGGGAGACCATCGCGTTTGATGCTCGTCGATTTACAATTTTCAGTTGAGTTACTGCAGGCGCAGCAGTCGCGGTTGAACGGAACCAATGTGACAGACGCGTGACAGACGCGTGACATCACACTATTTCCTTTCTTCTGACCCTGGTGGTCCAGCATGAGCGGCTCTCTTTACTTCGTTTTGATCTCGCTTTTTCATCTCGCTCGTGGCCTTCCTTCTCCGATTGATCTTGGACCCCTCCAAATCACGCCCATCCAACTCACCCAGCCAATCATCCAATTCGATCCCCTAATATCGCCCATCCAACCCGTCCCCGTCCCCGTCGACTCTACCCTGCCAACGATTTCTACCCTGCCAATGATACCTAACGCTCAATCACCTTTCCCGCCTTACGACGAGATACCTTTTCGCATCATGCCGCCGCAGCAGTCATCTTCATCGTACAAGGCCCCTCAACCCAAACGACTCGTGATGGCTTACTATCCGGACTGGTCTGGGTCCGACTTCCCCCCCGAGAAAATCGACTTCACGCGTTTTGACTGGATAGACTTTGCTTTTGCCATGCCAGCCAAAGATTTCACTCTAGCTTGGGACGACCCGAATACCGGTCCTCGACTCTTAGCTCGTCTTGTTGCGGCTGCTCATGCGAAACAGAAAAAGGTCAAGCTTAGCATTGGTGGCTGGACTGGCAGCCAGTATGTTTCTGTCTATCATCCGCTGACTGGGTATTGATTTGGTTTATGTAGATACTTTTCGGCTGCGGTTAGCTCGCCCAACAACAGACAGCTTTTTGCCAACAACATCGCCGCTCTTTATAAGCAATTTGGACTGGACGGTATCGACATTGACTGGGAATATCCTGGGCGACAAGGTGCTGGCAACAATGGTGTTAACCCGTCGGATTCAAGCAATCTCTTGCTCCTTCTCCAGTACCTAAGAAGCATCCTACCACCACAAGCCAAGATTTCGGCAGCTGTTCTACCTACGCCCTTCTTTGATTCGAATGGGGAACCCATGCAAGATGTCTCTGGCTTTGCGAGGGTGTTGGACTGGGTGACTGTTATGAACTATGATGTCTGGGGATGTTAGTGACTCGTCACCATCTATCAGGAGAATCACTGACTCCTCGCTAGCATCTTCTAGTCCAGGACCTAATGCTCCATTGTCCGACGCTTGCAATAACTCCACGCAACCAGAGGCCAGCGCCGTTTCCGCATATCAAGCATGGACAAATGCTAACTTTCCACCTTCAAAACTTGTTCTCGGTGTTCCATCATACGCATACGTGTCTTCTTCCACCGCCACACGGCTCCGTCAACGCGCTGGGAATGTCAGACTTGTCTCCGACGGGGACCAAATTCAATTTCGTGACCTCGTCAAGCAAGGAGCACTGGCAAATCCCAACTCGTCTGATAGTTTTGGACCCATGTACAATGGCACGGGAGGCTTCGTGAGATACTGGGATGAATGCTCCAACACGCCATATCTACGTTCTGCTTCGTCGCGACAAGTTGTCAGCTACGACGACCCACAGTCACTCGGGAGAAAGGCGCAGTATGTGAAAAAGGTCGGGATGTTGGGAGTCAACATGTTCGATGTTAGGGATGTAGATTGTTGGGATTTGACGGACTCCCTTCGTCGTGGGTTGGGTTTGATAAGATAATTGTACTTAATCGCATCAGAGTCTTCTATTTAATAAGGCTTCCATGTTACTCTCAGTTCAGTTCGCTCGCCTTCTTTTTCGCCTCTACTAGCCGGTTTTTTGAATGCGTTTCTTTGGCCTTTTGTTGCTGGCCGTGTTTTCTTTTATTTCTTGTCACGGTCAGGTTACTTGGCAAGCAACTCCGTTCAACCCCGCCTCGTTCGTGCATTTTTTGCACAACGAGACAACTCTCAACTATACCTCAGTATCCCACTCGCTGTCCGAACACCGTATCTATCCACATGGCTCCCTCAAGGCGCGGGTCATCCTTTGAATGGCGCTTGGTCAACTCATTGGACTGGCAATGTTCGTTGTAAATAAACTTCCCATGATGCCTCTGACCACTGTTGTAGATTACCGGCTGGGCTGGGTTTATGAGGGTGGACGGGGCTGCATTTAGCTTTTTGGGAGACCCGACGTTGCCTGTCGCTTTCGCAAAAGCAGCACAGAAATCGATGGAGGTGCATTGGTTACTCCCAGACGCGTTTTTTTGCTCACGGATGGGTAGTTTACGTCGACGCAAAGCATCTTCGTCATGTCTGCTGGCGGTATCGACTTGACGGTGACCTTCCTCAGTCCAGTGGAGGTAAGGTGCCGCGAGTGGTTGTGCACGTAGTAACATCCGCGGCAGACAACCGACCTGGCGAAACAGTCGTTCCCGTTCTCATATATGGCGCTTACAGCCACCAGCAACGACGGCAAGACTCACTCTGTTCAAGTTTACAGCGACATTTCTGGCGAATTCGTCTCGAGTGGACCTGATCAGGTGATTAACTGGAATACCACGGTCGGCGACACTTTGGTCCACCAGGTTCAATTGCAGAATCAAGTGGTGTTCCAAGAGGTCAGCGATCGTGCGCAATGTGAGCATCGCTTCTTTTCAGAAGGGTCGAAGTGACCATGAACATAAACAGATGGCTCTGTATTCTATGCTACCACTGCTGTTAGTTATCGTCGACGATCCTTTCCGGCATCTGATATTTCTCAGGCCTCGGGAGTTACTTACCAAACCGGTGGCGATGTTGCAGTTCGCAGCCAATTTGTGAGAAATGGTGAACTTGCCAACACCCTAGACTCGAACTTTCGCCCCATTTCGGACAACTTCCCTGTCTTCGCGTTTGCGCACGATCTAGGCCAAGTGTCAGGAGCGACAAAACCAGTGGTGGTTGCGATTGGGCATGTCCGCGATCCTGCTGTCAAGTACATCGTAGCGAACGCTCAGGTGGGTATCAGAGGTCCCCTCGTCGTTGAGAATAGTGCTGAATAGTAACCAGCTTCAAGAGCGTTCGTCTCTCTTCTGGAACCAATTCAGCAACATTGAAGATTCAATCGCTGCCTTTTTGAAGGACTACGATGGTGCAATGACGCGAAACTCAGCCTTTGACGCCCAGGTCCACAAGGATGCATCCGCGATTTCCAGCGACTACGCCGACATCGTAGCACTGTCGATTCGGCAGGCAATGGCGAGTATGGAAATCACGGTGTCCAAGAATTCAGATGGTTCTTTCAACACGAGCGATATACTGGTGTTCATGAAAGGTATATTTTATGGACTGCATAGTTGGAACTAAACCTATTCTACGCAGAAATTTCGAGTGACGGCAACGTGAACACGGTCGATGTGATCTACCCTGCTTATCCTCTCCTACTCTATGTCAACCCTCTGCTTGCTAAATACCTTCTGGCCGGACTGTTCGAATACCAAGCGACTGGCCAATACCCAAACAAGTACAGTGTACACGATTTAGGTGCTAGTTATCCAAATGCCATTGGCCATAATGACGGACAAGACGAAGCAATGCCTGTTGAAGGTCAGCACAATTTTCTTTGGTGATGTCTAGACTCAATCCCCCCGCAGAAAGCGGCAATATGCTCATTATGGCCTTGGCATATGCGCAAAGGACAGGCGACAATTCCCAGCTTACACAGTACTTTGGTCTCTTGGACCGATGGACGCAATTCTTGATCGAAGATTCCCTGGTCCCAGCCTCTCAAATATCAACAGACGATTTCGCCGGCTCGCTGGCCAATCAGACCAACCTCGCCGTCAAGGGTATCATCGGAATAAAAGCCATGTCCCAGATTGCGACGATCCTTGGGGACGGTCAACGCAGTTCCAACTATAGTGCAAGTCGAACGAGGTTCATCAAGCTCTTGGTTGACTTTTCTGCTGCAGGTTATCGCCTCGTCGTTTGTCGAGAAGTTCAAAACTTTTGCCATTAGCCCCGACTCCGCCCATCTTACCTTATCCGTGAGCCTATAATGATTTCGTGGCTCCGTCTGACTGCATGCTGTCAGTATGGCAATTCAGCCTCATGGGGTCTTTCCTATAACCTCTATGCGGATAAACTTCTCCAGTTGAACTTGTTTCCGGATGCGATTTATCAAATGCGTGCGTAGGTTCTGTTATGTTTATCCGATTTCACAATAAGTGCAGAGACGAAATGGTATCAAAATGTCAAGTCAACATTTGGAACTGCTCTCGATACTCGGCATACGTACACAAAATCTGGTAAATTCACCTTTCGCCCCATAATTGATTTTGAACTGTTTTTCCCGTAGACTGGCAAATCTGGACTGCAGGTATCATGACCGATATAGACACTCGCAACAGCTTTATATCTGGCGTCAAGAAAACGGCTGCCAACGGGTTGAGCTCGCAGCCATTCGCTGATTGGTATGACACTCTTACTGGTCGACCCGAGGGGTTTAGAGCACGGCCTGTTGTTGGTGGGCATCTGGCTTTGGTGAGTAGAATGTAGATTTCGAGGAGGCACTCCCGTTAATTTGGACTCGTAGTTGATCTTGCCGTCTCCTTCCGGTAACTCGAGCGTGTCCAACCCTACTAGCACAAGCCCGACTCGGAGTTCTTCGACTCCTGCAAACGCAGCTCAAAGTCTTCGAGTACCGCAGCTCTTCCTGTGGTTAAGACTGCTATTTTATATTATCTAATACACAGTACAAATCTCTGTAACATGAGTTAGACTGCGTTTGCATGCCTAGAAACTGGAGTCCATAGTCGATGGGTAATATCATGATGGGGGCGATCTGAGATCTGCCAAACGGAAGAGAAATCCGCCGAAGCCGCATTGATGATGAGAGGCGGCTGAATAGTTTGGCTTTGTTTACTTGGGAGCGCCTAATGTCACACTTGGCTGGGGCGTCGCGTCGTGTGTGAGGATTGTGCCGCCTCTTGTTCTGCGATACCCTGCCTCTTCCCGCCTCTAACCTCTTAAAAATGGCACCCGACTATTATCATACCCATTTTGTGGTACAATACCACTCCAGCTGCACATCTTTGACAGCTTGCAGCCGTTTAAGTTAGCATCATTGCCCACCAAAACTCGAAGCACTTATATATGTATTCATTTGAGCGTTGCTGGTGTAGGTCAAGAGTTGCAGTTGTATGACAAGGAAAATAATAATAATTGTTGGATGCAGCCGTTGCTGGCCAGCTCCCTGGGTTACGAGAACGTGCGCATAGGCGTCGCCGGGTGTCGGGCCAGTGTGACACGGCAGCTTCTCGGCCACCTTGATACGGTCAACGATGGGGCCGAAACTGCCGCAAGGGACGCTTACGTCAATGGTCTTGCCGACATCATGATATTACCCTTTTACTTGTTACTCTAGAAACTGAAAGTATCAGTCACGCTCCCGTGACGTCACGCGTTAACACGCGTTCATCGTTTCCCTCAATGGCGCCGTCGCGCCTCACCACGATGTTGGCTCAATCATCCTCAAAAAAAAAAATCAAGCTAACTCTCTTAGAGCACCTCCAGGGCCGCCTCCTACACGACCACTCACCACTATCTTACCTCCGACCGTCGATACACCCTCCTTCATCATCGCCGCTGCCAACAAATCGTACAAACACCAATACGCAAACGTCTATTTCTTGCGGCTACAAAAATTGAAAGAAACCGTGGCCCAGAAAGCGAGAGACAGGTGGCAGGGCATTGAGGGTGCGTGCGCCTGACGCCACGGAATTCTTGTGTTTTAAAAACTTAGAAAGGCGATCCTAAGTTTGTCCACAAAGTCCTGGAGGTAGAAAAGTCGCAACTTTCCTATATCGTGGGTACTGTTTATATGGACATGCCGCTCAAACCAAATATTCTTGAAGATATCGCCCGTGATGTGCGTGTTTTTTTTTTCTTTCTTTCTTACCCATGTGCTGGAATTCCTTTTGCAGAACTCCATTCCCCCGCCGCCACCACGACCTACATTCTACTCGAAGGATGACAGGATAATGCTAGAGGATGAGTCGGGGCGGTTAGAGCTTGTCGGCGACCGAATAGCGGACGCGCGCCTGGTGACTGGGGCCATCATCGCGGCGCTTGGAGTGGAGACTCCCAATGGCGAATTTGAAGTTGTGGACATTTGCTTTGCGGGGCTGGCGCCACAACCCGAAAATGTAACGATGGAGGTGGACGGTAAGTGTCAGTCTCGCATATTGATTGCTTTTAATATTTCCTAGACGATCCATCCCATGACTCGTATATTGCTGTCGTATCTGGCCTTGACATCGGCTCTGCAGCACCTTCAGACGCGCCAATACAACTGCTCGTCGAGTTTCTGACAGGAGAAGGCGGAGGACCAGGAATGCAGGCACGGGCAGCACAAATTTCTCGTCTCATCATCGCTGGGGATTCCCTTGCTGCTGTTGGTTCATCTTTTAAGCCAGAAGGAAGCACGGAAGAGAAAGAGACTAAGAAAAGTGTTGGTTTGTTTGTGACCCCTCTGTCCTCTAGTTAATTGATGTTCAGCGACGCTACGGCTATGATACGGCGGCCTTCTCCCCACATCCTATGCAAAACTTCTCCGCCCATCTTTTGGATATAGCCCGTACGATGCCTGTGCATCTATTGCCAGGAGAAACAGATCCCTCTGGCGTGATTCTACCTCAACAACCGCTTCCCCGGGCAATGTTTGGCGCTGTGTCGTCCTACGAGAATTTCTCGTGCGAAACCAACCCAACATACTTGCGTATCGCTCCTGGCCCTGACGAGGAGGCAAGAGCGAGGACATTACTCGTTCATTCAGGACAACCCATCAACGACATGCTCAAATACCTCGCCTCCCCACCAAATACCCCACTTTCCATCGCAGAAGCGACATTACGGTGGAGGCATATTGCGCCAACTGCGCCCGACACGCTCTGGTGCCATCCATATTTTGAAGCGGACCCATTTCTGATCTCTACTACCCCCGACCTCTACCTCGTGGGCGGACAACGCTCATTTGGAACCAAGGTCGTCACAGAAAAGGGCAACGATAAGAAGAAATGTCGTGTGGTCTTGATTCCGCGCTTCGCTGAGACGGGAATTATAGTGATGGTAAATCTGCGGACTTTGGGCGTCAAATGTGTCCAACTTGCGGTTGAAGGTGAACTTGTGGGTCCAGGCAAAGCCCAAGGTAAAGCTCCTTGAATGCCGCGTGATGGTGGACTAATTCGATGAGACAGTTAAAAGGGAGCCGTCTCCGCCATCCTGATTACTCTTACATTGTTGTATTATTAATACACTGTGTACCTTTATACGTCCCATTTCATGGCGGACGTTACCCAGTAAGCTGTGCCGGAGAATTCGTCCTGTTCATCCAGCCAACAGAGTCCATCTCGCAGCACCATATTATCTAATGCCGTTTTGGCGCGATTGTGGGTCCAGCCTTTGCGAGCAACCAGCATGTCAGCGACAATCCGGCCTCCCTCTTGTTGCGCGACGGCCAATATAGCAGCCTGGTCTTCGTCCAGTTCTTTTGGCACGCTGCGCACCAACTTGCGGCTGTCAGAAAGGACAATGACCTCATACCCACCTCCCAGCGGCTGAAGTGTCTTGATACTTCTTACAACATCCTCTTCGGTGACTTGGCCACCACCAACACCGCGTAGCTTGCGGACTAGCCTGAGCAATTCGTCCATCTCGATTAACCCCCCATTCCGCTCCCGCGTGCTCACACAAACATCCACAATCTGCACCCCAAGCTCGTACTGCCAGTCACCAAGCCCGAGCATTTCCGCCCACCAGCCGCCCTTTCGCGGCCCTGCAAGCGGGTCTACCCCTATCGATGAGCACATCTGCTGGAACGCATGGCGGAAGGCAGCATCTTTGCGGATCGAGTCGCGGTGGGTTGTCGCGAAACGAGCGAGAGCGGTTCGGAATTGGTTCAGCTGGGCATGGAGGTTGTCGACCTGGGCTTGGGAGAGCTGGCTGGATAACTGAGCGAACGATCTGTTGGATTGCTGTTGGCGGTCGAAAGCAGCGAGGCCGACGCCGCGTCGCATGAGTGTGGGAAAAAGCGCGTCACGGTCACAGCTTGGATTCGATCGAACGACGAACGCCAACAATGAATCTCTTTTGGCAGAGCACCTTGTCGAGCCTTCCGTGTTGAGAACGCATCTTTTTATGATCTCAGAGGATGTCATGACTTCCTCGACTCCCTTGTTATTTTAAACTTGGTCAGATGCCTGGAGTTTCTTATCTTCGCCATGCATGTTTTTTTCTGTCTTGGGGCTGCTTTCCCTCGCAGTCGCTCATCGACTTGGGCGTCAGGAGCACCTTGTCTCCGTTGTCGACACTATTCCAAATGACCCGTTGTTCATTGAGGTCTGCTTGGCGATTGCGAAGGCAGGAGGACTGGCACTAAACCGTCATAGATGCCTTTGGACCACTTCAACTCCATGAACGACAAATTCTTCAAGAATCGATACTGGATCAACGCAACATACTATGAGCCTGGAGGACCTGTTTTTCGTAGGCTCGTAATTTCCAGCGACCAGTTGCTGTTGACCCGAGTTAGTTTTCGACTCTGGAGAGCAAAACGCGGAGCCACTACTCCCGTATTATCTCCAAGTGGGCATCCATTATCTGTCTTGATTGATATTCTCATCCCATGAAGGAGCACCATGGTCTCTCTGCTGTGATGCGACTTGCGGCCCGGTATCGCGGACTGGCTATACTGTGGGAGCATCGTTACTATGGCGCATCCTTGCCGTTTCCGGTGAATGTGGGTCCACAGTGATCTTTTCGCTCCTTGCGCTTAAAAAAGAGACAGAAAAACACGACTATGGCACAATGGAAGTTCTTGGATACCGAACAAGCGCTCGAGGATGTCGTTTACTTTGCCAACTCCTTTTCTAAACCATCCGAAAGCCACAAAAACTCTTCCGTTCCGAATGACTTGTCTATTCACCCGTCCAGCACACCTTGGGTATTCCTTGGAGGATCGTACCCAGGAGTCCGAGCGGCAATGCTCCGTCAACGGAATCCTTCCGTCATTTTTGCGTCTTGGGCTTCGTCAGCTCCGGTTCAGGTACTTATGAACGCTTTTTAGAGGAATATTTTCATGTGTTTACCTGCAGGCCCAAGTTGACATGTCCAGTTATTACAAAGCAGCTGAGCGAAGCTTGACGCGAAACTGCTCAGCCGATTGGGTAGCGGTAACCAAGTCCGGTCTTGTTTTTCCTGCTGTTGTTGTAGTCCTAAAGAAAGTCAGATTTGTCGATGATTCGCTCAAGAACGGCAGCGCAGAATCGAAAGAACAGCTTAAATTTCGTTTACTCAAAGCCAGGCTTAGTGGTCCCGGTGGAAATACCTCCGCCGCAGACCATCTAACACTCCAACAAGCCAACGAGACCAGTAATTTGGATGCAGCCACAATCCTAATGGACCCGTTGAACTTCTATCAAGTTTGTTTTCCGCAACAAACAACCATTTGAACTGACTATTGACAAGTATTACGGCTTCGCTGAGTCTGTCTTGCCCTTCTGCAACCTGCTCGAGACCCGAAATTTTACCACTGAACCAACTGAAAGCGGCATCGCTTCCTCGGCTGGTGTGAGCAAAGCTTTGGACGCTTTCCTGGTTGCTATCGGCGAGCTGGATTACGACTCTATCCCAGGAAATGCCGATGATCCTGTTCAGGACATGTCGTGGATGAGGCAATACTGCTCGGAATACGGTCAGCTCACGAAATTCACCACACAGACAACATTTCGCCTGATGCAATAATCCAAGGGTTTTACCAGCGCGGCGACCCACAGAACCCACTCTCGATCGAAACTTCATTCCTGTCGCTCGAGCTATTCCAACAGCAATGCGCAGAGACTTTTCCGGACCTTCCGGCCTCTCCACAGGTCCAAAAGGTGAATAAATATGGCGGCTGGCACATGAACCCATCCAACGTCCTATTCACCAATGGAGAATGTACGCCAATTTCGTTCTCATTCAAATGAATCGCACCGATCCTGACTCAGTTGACCCATGGCGAACTATGGGCCTCGCTTCGATCGAACCAAACTCTCCAGGCCGCCAACCTACCCCAGCCATACCTGCGTATGTACTACGAGCACTTGATATCGACATCTTAGGCCCTGCAGATGCAACACATCTCCGAACCAAACGACCTTCTTTGGCCTGACCTACAAGAATATGGTCCACGTGACTGATATGAGAGTGCTGCTTGTCCCAGACGAGCAGCACTCCGGCTTCAAAACCGTTGGGTTCTACTCTCCAGTGTCGCAAGAGCAATTCTACACAGGACTGGGGTTGTTTCAACTCGCGCTCGATCAATGGCTGCCCTGCTTTGTCAAAGAGGATAGCGGACTGTGATTCCGGGTATTGCTGCCAACATGGTACATTGGTCATGTAGTTGACGTCTCGTACAACAAAAAAAATCATTGTGCCTGTTCCGCGTAGATCTAATGGCCATAAATTAGCAGAACCTAGCAAATAGCAACTTGAACGCACCTTTATCGTCTTGTCCGCCCCACCAGTGATCAATCTCGTGCCTGTCATGTCGAACGTAGAACAGAAAACACCAGCCTCTGCTTCCAAAGACCCAGGTTGAGGCACATCCTCCAATGCTTGGAAAGATGTTCCCGTATTGTAGTCCCAGAACATCAGCGAGCCATTGTCCGCTGAATCATCACTGTCAGAACGACAAAAGAGTGGGAGGTAAGGTTACACACCTCCAGAGAAGAGGACGCTTTCCGCGTTGACAGACATGGTATTGATGATGGCGTTGTGGCCACTGAAATTGCAGACGAATGCACCTTCGGGGCACTTCCATTTTTTGATGTTGTTTCCGCCCGCAGAGCCTGACGCGAACGAGTATTCGGTGGGATGAATGGCGAGTGCACGGACAGATTTTTTGTGGTGGGTAAGCGTGACGCGTGCTTTGCCAGCGGCAAGGTCCCAAAGCCTAGCTACAAGTCAACAACAGATTTTTCCGTTTAGAAGGCTTGGACCTACCGAACGGTCGAGTCCATGCTTCCCGTAATCACCTGAGGCTCCGAGTCTTGACATTTCACGTCTGCAACGGTACCAGTGTGCCCAGAAAGGACGTGGATTTGCGACTTTGTTCGCATGTCCCAGACGCGAGCTGAAGCATCACGGCCAGCGGTCACCAAAACATCAAGCGTGGGGTGCAGGGATAGGGCATATACTCCGGACAAATGGCCATGGTAATGGCGAATAATTTTGTTGGATTCAAGATCCCAGCAACGCACCATCTTGGGTTCAAGTGAGTCAGAGATTGCTAGGGGCTGAGTAGCTACGCACCTTGTCTTCACCACATGAAAACAGATATGGGTGCCGTGAGGAGACAGCCAGCCCTCTGACGGTCGAAATATGTCCCGTCAGCGAAAGCTTCAGCTCCCCCGACGCCAGATCCCAAATCTTTATGACACGGTCTCCTGCCCCAGTCGCAAACCACTGGTTTCCTGGCTCGACAGCGACGCTCCTGACCCAGCCAAGATGGCCAGAAATGACGCGGACCAGCTTCCACGACGGATGGTATGTGGGCTTTATCGTCCGTGTTGTTTTGTGCAGCGTCAAAGCCTGCGAAAGACGGGTCGAGGATGTGAAGGTGGACGGCTGGTAGGTCGGTGTTTTGTCGATTTGGGAAATTATTAGGGCCGTTGAGGTCTCTGAGGCTGATAATCCAGTTAAACAGGTTGCGCAAAAGCAAACGGTTTAAACTCACGACCAGCAGTAATTAGTTTGCGTGAGGGGTCCCTAGGTCGGACTGGGCCTACTGGGCCTTGCTGAGCGAGAAGGGCAGGGGGGAGCTCTTTGACATCGCGATATTCGTCGTGTATCTTCGAGGCAAGGCGTATTCGCACACTGTTTAGACAATTTAGCGCAAAGTCAAACAAACAAAAGTTCTATATCACACACCTCTTCTCATCGTCAACCATTCCGTCGTCAGGACATGCCTCGAATATAGCTCGTGTTCGTTTGGCACTCGCACGGAAGAGTGGGTCCAGCGACGGAAGAGTTGCAACAGCGGCCATGATGAGAGATTTGGAGAGCGGCGTGACCGTGACAGTACATCAATGACTCGCATCATTCCGCCCGCATCAGCCGAATCAAGCGGCCATCACTCCTGCCGAGGACTTTTTGGAGTTGAGAATCTTATCGTAGTACAGATATGTATTGTATAGATAGCAAAGGCAAAAAAATTTAGACTTCTCCCGGATTCTTAAACCTCCGTAGTGCTCGTTCTCTTGCTTTCTTGTGTTCAACTACTGCGTGTGGATAACCCAGCTTGTCTGCTGTAGCGGCAGATGGTTGATGTAACTCTGCGGGATCATTATGAGCTAGTTTTCAGATAAAAATGAAAAAATAACTGACCAGGTCCACGTAACTTGGCGAGTTCAGGAACATAGTGTCGAATGAAATCCCCACTGGGATCGGCCTACAGTTGCGTGAATGAACTAGCTCAAGTCCATGACACATTCCATACCTTTGAGCTCTGGACATAAGGGTTGAATATGCGGAAATATGGGCAAGGGTCTACGCCAGTCGATGCTGACCATTGCCTAGAGTGGGTTAACAGAAAGTAAGATCGTTGAGAACAAAACCTACCATCCACCGTTATTGCTAGCCAGATCACCATCGATAAGTTGCTGCATAAAATACTGTCCAAGGTCAATGTTGAATGATAACGACGAGACCACCAGCAAGCGCACCTTCTCCCCCACTCTCCAATCTATCATCAGATCCTTGGTGAGGTACATGGCGCAGATCATTCTCAAACGATTATGCAACCAGCCCATAGTGTTGAGACAGCGCATCCCAGCATCGACAATCGGAACACCCGTCTTGCCTGGAAATGGTCAGTGATCAGGTCAATGAGCAGCTTTTGAACCGCTGACCTGCTTTCCACTTCTCAATATTCTCTTCCGCTTTGGCAAGTTCATCTGCGGAAGGCTTGTGTTCTTCTTCAGTTCCCTCGTAGGCATCCTCCAGCGGCGGTCCCTCCCACACAACATCTGCATATTTCTCGAGGAACGGGCGGCCCATACTGACTCTCGGATACCCCGCCAGTATACAGACATAGAAATCACGCCACGCGACTTCCTGGACCCACCGCCCAATGGAAGTGTTTTTTGTGCCATCGACTTTGGTCTGCTTATTCAGCTTTTGATCCGGATCGCGATCCGAAAACAAGGTCGCTCTAATGCATGTCCGCGCTGAGATTATACCGGCAGCAAGATACGGGCTGATGCGACTCGTCGTGTCCTTGTCGGCTTGGTCGCGTTCAGCGTCGTACTGTACCAGACGGTTATGTTTCGAGTCGTCTGCTCCCTTCGCCAATGGGTCGACCGCACCGAGTTGAGACTTCCGTGCCTTGGTAAGCATGAAACGCTTCAGAATCTGTAGGAACAGTTTGAACACTGCAATAACCACACACTTGGCAGCACAAACCTCTTGCGCTGCCAGTTCTCCTGCTGGCCATATTTCCGCCATCTTTTGGTGGTCGGCGTCCTCCAGCTCAAATCCTGGAATATTCTCTGGCACGGTGGAATCAAACAGGCGCCCAAATTTAGCAGATTTGCGAATGGATTCATCATTGGGTTGGGGGTCTATGCATTTCTCCAAGAACCGAGGAATGTCTGCATTGAGCTTTGCGAGCCACAGCTTTTGGTATGGGGTGTAGACCTGTCCCAACGCGTTATTAAAACATCAACAACAAGTAGCGAGAACATACAGAATACGTCTTGATTTCTTTGGTCAGAACAACGCCAGGCTCGACGACACACTTGTCATGGACAAAGTGGACGGCGATCTTCTTTGGGCTCGCAAGATCTCCGATTCGAATATCGCGACGCAGCTCATCGACTTCATACTCGATGTTGGCGTACAAGGCACAGGCAGAAAAATTGTCCAGGAGACGAATGACCTCTTGAGGGACTTGTTTACGCTCAGACTGGGTCACCGTAAAGAGGGGGATGTGGAGCTTAGACAGAGTTGCTTGAATGTCGCGAAGGTTGCGCAGAGTAAAATCGATTCGGCGTGCTCCTCTGTCATGGGCAATGTAGTCTTGGGGACTGAAGACAAAGATGACAATGAGAGGAACTCCTTCGCGCTTGGCGTGTTTGGAGGCGAGCGAGAGAGCTCTGTTGTCCGAAACTGAGACATGGTCAACGGTTCGCGTCTTCGTGAAAGTGAGCTCGATAAGTTACCACGAAGATCACCCATGCGCATCCAATACACCACGCTCTCCCCTGTTCGAGGCGACTTGCTGGGTTCCATTTTGACGAGTCTCGCCAGTGGAGGGTCTGCATCGACAGCGGCTGCATTGTCAACTTGAGCTATCTTTCTTGGATTGAAAACAGAGTGGCGAGGGCGTTTCGGTGGCGACGCTATAGTAGGCGATGCGCTTCTTTTCGATGCCATGCTGGTCTGAGCAGAGGAGAAAAGCCGTGAACAAGACGTAATCCAGGCGGAAGATCGAAAAGGCATCGAATCGGTTACGTCACTTGTTGCGCCATATCAGGCAACTCGATTGCCTAAATAGTGTTATCTAATCGTATCGTTCATCCAGCTTGCATACTTTCTTCCTCTGCCTCCTTCTCTTCCGCTTCGACAATCTCCACATCGAGAGGAAAGGTTAGAATTGCGGCGATTCCGGTAAGTTGATTAAGTTCTGCGAGAATATAAGTAGCCCTCCCAAAAAAACATGATAAAAGGACGTGCGTTGGCCAGATTCATGCATACTGGAAAAGATGACGACCTCGCCACCCTTTTGCTGCACTGCTTCCACAAGTGCCACATATTTCTTTCGCGTTGTTGGATTGCTGGCACTAGAAGAGTTATTAGCCGTTATCGATAATGAATCATCCCAAGTTCTCCTCACCGGAATAAGTCGTCCGAAATGAGCAGAGTCCCAATTGCACCACGATCTGCCGCTAAAACAACATGATCAGGGCCATACCATGCTCGCATTTCGTCCGTCCCAAGCATCTTGAAGAACCTATGATCATGATGAGATATGATTTAGGGTTAGGGTCGCATCAAGCACTTGTCGAGGACTATTCCTTCCCGAGCAAACTTTGTCTCCTTGAGTTGAGAGACTATCTTTTCCACAGATTAGTTGATACAAATCGAGAGTAAGAGATGAAAATACCTCGGGGCTCTTCAGAACTTCGACCAGACTATGAACATGCGGGCTGTTTACATGCACCCGTATAGTCTTCTCTTTTAGCGCTTTCTGGAGGATCTTGTCCCCCCTACGAGATGCCTCCTGCACGATAAAGTCGTACACTGAGTCCCTGACCCAGCCTGGGCTGGCAATAACAATAGCCTTCAGTCCAACATTCGCGTATGGGACGTGCCGAATAAATGAATCGAATAATGAGCTATAAAACTTGCTGAGGCCCTTCTCGTGTTGGGAGGACGACCCGGCCTTGCGGGGTATTGAAACCGATAGTCGATTGGTGACCAGTGTCATATGTTGCGAAAGCAGACAAAAAGCAGCCGTTCCCTCCCCACAGACTACGGCGGCGACCTCTGCACCTCTTCCAGGGACGATAGCTTCGTCTACCCGCCCCAAAGCGACGCTGTCCCAACCCTCAGCTTTCTCTATCCTGATGTCGCGTTGTGCCTCGATGTCAAGGGTGTGGAAAGCGCCTAGTCGGACGTGCTGGTTCTCAGAAGTGACTGGCCCAGTTATATGGAGGGAGGCAGTCGTGGTTTCCGCAGGCGCAGAAGCGTCAGCTGGGTTATCATCGGCAGCTCCACCTCCACTCGATCCCGACGAAAATTCTATGCGGGCGACTCTGATCGTCAGGTTTAGCTTGACGCGATTCGAGTCAACAGAGCCGGTGTTGGATATTTTCTGTACCCGTCTGGATTGGTCATTCAGTTGAGTATAAGTTGGGGAAATGACGAACCTGACGGCGGGTGCTCGGACGGAGTCACCTTCCTGGATGAGATTGTAAAGATGCCACATGTCTTCGTCGTCCTCTGGTCGCAGCGTGACATGGCCCTAGCAGCCAATGAGCCACGCAATCGGGCCGTCGAAAGCCGCCACCCACAGAGCCATGCTTGTCGATGTGCTTGTTAACGAGTTTCATCACGGTGGGAAGAAAGAAACAACTTTTGATCATGGACCAGTAACTTGCTTTCTCCTTCGTTCCGTCGTGCCATTGCTGAGCGACATCCAGCAACCCCAAGCTTGCGTCTCTTGCTGCTCGTTTGGTAGAGCCCAATTACCGACCACGCGACGAGGAAGACGACGAAGATGCGTTGTTCGCTGAACTTGAAGAGGAAATCGAAAACGACAGCAGCGCAGAAATCCGAGAATATGGCATGAAGCTTATTCGAGAGCAGTATGTTGCCTACTTCATGAATAGCCCGAATGAACACTTTCAAGGATGGATCAATTGAACGATATGAAGGACAACAAACATGGTCAATACTCTGAAATATCAGATGAGAAGGAGGTCGTTCGCGCCTGTGCGTGAGTCTTCTCTCTAGAATGACACGCGTGTCTCATTGTTGAATGCTTCGTCCAGACGCGAAACGAAGTGTGTAGTGCATTTCTACCATTCAAACTTCAAGCGATGCGAGATTATGGACAAGCACCTGGCGGTTCGTTGACTCTTAGCGCTCCATCCAACCCTCAAACCCAGTAGAAAATTGCGCCAAAATATTTTAACACTCGCTTCTTCCGCGTCTTTGTCGAAAATGTCCCCTGGCTCGTCGAAAAACTGGGTATCAAGGTCCTGCCCTGTGTAATCTGCTTTGTGGATGGCATTTCCAAAGACAGGTAGCATCTTTCTATCGAGCGCAATGAATCTTACGTTTCCCAGATTAATTGGGTTCGAGGAGTTGGGAAATAACGACGCATTCGATACAGCTGTCCTCGAAATGCGATTAGGAACTTCTGGTGAGTAACTCGCTCTTTTATCAAGGCTGCATCTGGACATTCTTCAGGTGTTATAGAAAAGACTTCCTCTTCAAAGGGCGGGTTAGGACCTGTGTACTCGAACAGTTCATCTTCACGACTATACCAAGTAAACAACCAAGAAGTGTTTGATTTGGACGAATGATATACTTGATACCCGCCACCGCTGGTTTTTGCCTCAAACGATATTACAGTATGAGGTCAGAAATTACCCCCTTAATCCTTTCCAGATATGCCTGCCACCCAGCGACCTGGTACCTCTTTGCCTGAGAAACAATGCTGTCGACAAGACTCGGGTCTTTGCCATATATGCCCCGTCCAACGATAATAACGTCGCATCCAGACTCCAACACGACCTGCTCAGGTGTTCGATACTGCTGTCCCATAGAATCCCCTTTTACGTCAAGGCCGACTCCCGGGGTCAAAATTAGAAAGTCCTCCTCCGAAGTTGAGTTCTTTCCAACTCCATCCATTCGTCGTTGCGCGATAAAGCCAATAACAAAGTCTTGATTCTCACGAGCCATTTCTACAGCCGCTTCAGTGTACAAGCCCGTCGCAAGGGAGCCTTTGGTGCTCATTTCTGCTAGCAATAGCAATCCCCGCCCAAGCGGTAGTCCGACTGAGGAAAGTCCAGCGATGATGGAGGGGCCAGGCACAGGATGGGCATTCGTGATATGCGACCAAGACGCGATTTTATGGACACCACTGGAGTATTGGAGCGAGACGGTATTCCCTATCCACTTGACTGAGCTGCTGCGAACTCTGCAACATTTGATGGCAACAAACCGATATCAGCAAACTTGCGATCTTCAAAGATAACAAAATCGTGTTTGGCGCTCAGAGCCTGCAACTCAGTGATAAGTTGGGGAGTAAAGTCTTCAATGATGTCCACGTGGGTCTTAAGCAGCCGTCAGAAAGGAGTTCCGCCTTATCGAAGAGACTGATGCCTTGACGAGGCACACAAATGGTCCAACAACGTCGATGATGTTCAGAAAGTCTTTTGCAGACACAACATCGACGCTGACTGCGAGATTAGATTGTTTTCGCTCGATAGTCTCCAGAAGAAGTCGTGCGGCAGGGTTTTTATGAACTTTTGCGCGGTCCCCATAAGTCCTCCGATGCGCCATGTTGGGTGAAGTGAAGGTGTTACGGTTGGCGTGACATGCCGCTAATTTTCCACGAACGCGATCAAGACGAGCAGGCTGAACCTGCCTCTAAACGGCCCAAACTCGATGGCCCGGCGCCAGCCCAAGATATATTCCCTCCAAGTCATGTACTTTTAGGAGTTCCCTTGCCAGAATTGACGAATGGGTTCTTGAACTTCAGCGAGCGCAATGTTGGCATATCCGAGTATGTTGGCCACGGCATCCCCAAAATCGAAGGCATTATCAAGCAGCGGTGGGTTTTGTTTCCAACTCTTTTGCTGCGATCCTCATCAGTGCAGATTCACCGACTTCCTGGTCTACGAAATCGACTTGGACGGCAATGTCGTGCATCTGACTGATGTGCAAAAACCGCCAACACCAAAAGGCGAAGAAGAAGCCGCAGGGACTTCTGCTGATGCCCAACCGGCGGCAGCGCTTACCGAAGCTGCGGTTGAGGAGGCAACGAAAGAGCCTGAACCCACAGAGCCAGAGGGGCCATGGCCGGACCGCTTCAATACCCGTCTCTCTGAATTCCTGTCAGCGGAGGCGATTGAAAAGTTAAAAGGCATGTTCCTTGAAGGCCCAGTGCCACCGCTTGTCTCTGATAGCGGCTGGGGATCACGGCCTGGTGCAAGCTCTTCGTCAGAAACAACAACAACAACGGAACCTGTTGTGGTTGAAACTAGAGGCCGTGGTCGCGGTAGAGGCGGTCGTGGTGGACGAGGTGGCGGCAGAGGTGGGCGGGCTAATGGAAGAGAAGACCACAGGAAAGTTGTCTCTGAGGTATGTTACCCTTCTTCAATCTGAACAACTGATCATAATTATTATTTTGAAGCCCATCCAATCAAAGGCCACGCGAACCGACTTGCACAAAGCTGTTCGTGAGCTGTTTGGCGGGAAACTCGAGTCTGAAGCGGACATGTCTTCTCCTGCATCTGAAGAAGGCACACGTATCGTGATCAAATGGAATCCTTCTCGAGGCCGAGGAGGTGGTGGTGGTGGGGGTAATCGTGGTGGAAGGGGTTCGTTTTGTCAGACTGCTCTACTGCCTTGGTTTTAACATGCTCAGGACGTGCTCCCCGCGGCACATTTCCACCATACATCCACTTTACCCTCCAAAAAACAAACCGCGATACCCAAGACGCCCTCGCGCATCTTTCGCGGGTGCTCAAAGTCTCTTTAAAGGACTTGTCCGTTGCAGGAACCAAAGACAAGCGCGGCATCACAGTCCAGCGTGTTTCCTTGAAACGCAACAATAAAACCGTTGAAGACGTTTGGCGCGCTGCCAACGGCCAGGTTGGTCGACAGTCGCATAATAATGGGACCGTCAACAAACGCGGGGATCGCGGGGTCCGGATTGGGGATTTCAATTATCGAAAAGCTAGCTTGGAACTGGGGATGTTAAAAGGCAATGAATTCCTCATCACCTTGCGGTATGTTTCCTTCAGTTCCAAGCACGGAAGCTTGATATTGGCTGTAGGAGCGTACAAGTAGATTCGATGGAAACTCTGGATAAGGCTCTTGGGGTTATCAAGGAGAAAGGGTTCATCAACTACTATGGTTTGTCCATCTTAAAAAATCTACTGCCGCTCATGTTCAATCCAGGTATGCAGCGTTTCGGAACGGCATCGGTTCCTACTCACTCAATCGGACTTGCCTTGCTCAAGTCGGAATGGCAAGCAGCTGTTGACATGATCTTACAAAAACGACCAGGAGAGCATCCTGATGTTGAAGTAGCAAGAAACGCATGGCTCGTGGAGCACGATCTCGACAAGGCGCTCCAACTTATGCCACGGAGAGTCGTTGCTGAGCGTTGTATTTTGGAGAGTTACAAGAAGCAAAAGGGCGACACGCGTAATGCCATGGGCTCCCTCTCCACTGTGCCTTTTTCTCTTCACCCCTTTAGCTTTTGTTGACATTTTCTCAAGATTCCCAAAAATCTGCGGTTGATGTACGTTCACGCGTACCAATCTTATGTTTGGAATGCCATTGTTTCGGAGCGCATTCGGACTTTTGGTGTGGAAAAGCCAGTTGTCGGTGACCTTGTCTTCGACAACGATCCGCAGGATGTAGCAATGCCGGATGTGGAGCAAACCGAGGAGCCGGCAGCCGACGAGAACGAAAATGAGGGGGAAGAAGCGGAACCGCCGGAAGCTGACGGTCAGTTGCTTACTGATGCAAGGCTTTTTACTCGACTGACTGGAAAAAGAAGCGCCATTGTCCAATCGGGCCCAGAAGAGAGCCCGGCCTCCGAGACCTCCTCAACGGGTCAAGACACTCACAGAAGAAGACGTTGACAAATACACGATCTTTGACGTGCTCATGCCTCTACCCGGTACCGATGTGGCCTATCCTGGCGGTGCGCTGGGAGAAAAATACCGGGAATACCTTCGCATGGACGGCTTGGACCCGGATAACTTTGTCCGAAAGCAACGGTGGGAGTTTGTTGTGGTCGTACTTTCCCACAGTTACTGACCTGCTTTCTCAGGGAATACACCCTCTCTGGCTCATATCGGGCGATGCTGCACCTACCCAAAGAGCTTTCGTGGACGGTATTACGCTATACCGACCCCGATGTTGCGCTGGCTCAAGCTGATGAGGACAAGCTGCTTAACTTCGACCCACCGATGGTTTCCAACGACGGTCTATTCATGGCGCTGCAAATTAAGCTCTCGCTGGGAACTGCCGCATATGCCACAATGGCATTGCGTGAGATTACCAAGACGGAGACGAGCTCACACTTCCAGAGTAGTCTCACAAGCGCAGCAGAAGATCAGAAATTTCGAGGAACAGGGACGGATGTGGATGCTACCGGAGAGCCTGAAGAATAGACTGAATTGTAACCTGTACCTTTATAAAGACCTTCCCCGGGCATCGTAGACCGACTGATTAGCTCTCGCCGCCATGTCCGCTCCTGCCGTGTCACGGTCACGATTTCAGCTCTCTCATCTAACCCCCACCACTTCCTTCTCTTCTTTATTCGACAGGACGCGACGCGCATCGTTCTCTTTGAGTATGGCGTCGCTTTCTGTCCCGACTATTGTTTTCCTTTCGCTGGTGCTCGATTTGTTTGCCTTCACACTCCCCCTGCCGCTCTTTCCGAGACTCATCGAATGGTTTACGATCCGCGAGTCTTCTGACCCAAACGGCTTTCTCTCACAAACCCTCAACTTCGTTTCCAATATCCGTGGCATTTTCTACAACCCCGCTTCCCATTCTACGAAATGGGACGTTGTCCTCCTTGGTAATGCACGATCATTGTGTCCTGTGTCCATCCCGCTAATGTGTGTACCACCAGGCGGACTTATGGGCTCGGTCTTCTCGTGCGTCCGATCTGGCTTACTCCGGTCCTGTTCTGACTGACTTGGGCGCCGCAATAGAACTCTCCAGTTCCTCGTTTCACCGAGGATTGGGTCGCTGTCAGACAAGTATGGGCGCAAGCGCATATTGCTAATTACTATGATCGGAAATATTCTTTCCGCGATAATGTGTGCCGCCTTGTTTACTGCTAAGACTGACTAATAAATATTTCGTCAGATGGATGGTTTCGTCCAATTTTGCGACTTATATGCTTTCGCGGGTGGTGGGTGGCCTCAGTGAGGGAAATGTGCAACTCGCAATGTGCGTGTGCATCGGACGTGTGTCAGGGGTCGCCAATTAATTTTTTAGCGCCATCCTTTCTGACGTGACGACGCCGGCGGAACGATCCAAAGCCCTCGCCCATGTTGGCATAGCATTTGCGATATGCTTCTGCATTGGCCCTCCCATCGGGGCATACTTCGCTACACGACCACTGCCCAGTTCACTTAACACCTGGGGTCTAGAACTAAACGTCTACGTCGTTCCAGCCGCAATCACATTGATCCTTCTCCTTGTAGAGACGCTATTCCTCATCGTCGCCCTCCCCGAAACAAGAGGCAAGCGCATTGTCTCATCGACAGAGAAGACCAACGGGGCTTCTCCTTCGAAGCCTATCAAGAAAGCTAGTGTTGAGCAACGGATCAAAACACTCAGGACTCTCCGATGGCTGCACTTTTTATTCCTCGGCGTCTTTTCTGGTGTCGAGTTTACTCTGACCTTCCTCACATTCGACTGTACGTGTTTACTATCCTTGATCATTTTTCTTTGCTGACCCGTTTAGTGTTCGATTGGAACAACCGGCAGAACGGAGCCTTGATTGGGTCTATTGGAATTGTCAGCGCACTCCTCCAAGGGGGATATGTGCGGAGAGCTACATCGAAGATTGGCGAAGGAGTCATGGCTCGCCGTGGCGTGTCGAGTTGCGCGGCTGGTCTCGTCTTGCTCGCCCTTCTCCCCAATTTCACCACATCACGCCCCACACTCGCTCTCCGACTGCTGCAAGGGGCTGCGGTCTGCATGGCGTTTACCTCAGCCACCGTGGTCAACTCCTTGACCGCGTTTGCATCACTCCAGTGTGATGACACAAGCGTCGACCCGATAACCGGAAAACCAAAGGAGCACTCGCAGCTTGCCAAGGGTAAAGCCCTTGGCCAGTTCCGATCCTCAGGGCAGCTTGGACGCGCAATCGGCCCTCTTCTTGGTATGGAGTCTATTCCCTTTAGGAATTGTGTCCTGATTTTTGCCCCCTCAGCTTGTGCCTCGTATTGGACGTTTGGTCCATCGTGGACCTACGCCATCTCTGCTGTCGCCATGACTGTTTTGTCGGTGGGCATGAGGCCCATAAGTGCTACAAAATCATCGTAATCTTATAGAGTGTCTATCATTATGTAATAGGATCTCTTCATCTTCCCTTGAACGAACATTTGTTTGCAACTAGTAACTACTGCCAAAAGAAGAAGAAAAGTCTGTTAATTGCGTGCTGTAGAGTAAACTGTGATGTGGTAGGGGCAGTAAACAACAAGGGTTTGTGCAAGAATGTGGGTTGTAATGTCTGTCTCTCCCCTTATAAATTAATAATAGGTCTAGCGCATGCAGATCACGATAGGCCCCATCGTTCACTGATACGTGCAACTTTTTTTGTGTTCTTCTCCCATTCATTTCAGTGTTCGTAAGGCCATCGCAGCGTGAGTATGGTGGGTATGAGCGAGGTTCTGGGGGGTATCGTGGGTCACCTCCGCGGTGCCGCTCCTTTCGGAGAAGAGCGCAGAGTGGCCACACCGTCAGTGAGGAGCTCAACGGGTGACGCCTCTGCATAGTACTCCTCCTCATAGCGCTGCTTTTCACCGCGCGAATAAGGATGCGTGACCAGCGGCACTGGAGGCTGCACAGCCTGCGCCCTCGAAAACGATGCACCCAGCTCGATATCAGACGGCGGGGCAAACATGGCAGGCAAAAAGAAAAGCACGCCATTGTTGTAGCGCTGGCGTCTGCGTACTGGAGTCCGCGGTATTGGCGGTGGTGGCGGGGGAATCGGCCGACCACCGGCCATGGTTACGAAGCGGTTACGAAGGCGGCGAACAACATCGAAAACGGAGCCGGTGTCATATGGTGGCAGCTGATCGCTAGAGACATCCGACCCTGTTGGCGAAGATGGATGTACATGAATTGGGAGGTGGAGCACAGAGAGATCTTCAAAGCCTTGCTCACTACCATCGGGAGAAGGTAGTGATGTCGAAGTTCCAGAGGCTGGCTCACCCAGATGTATTTGCCATCGTCCCGAACGGCGCGGGAAGAGAACATCATAGCCACCAATTCTCCTTAGATTGCGCCGCCGCTGTTTGTTGGGCCAAACCTTCGCTGTGCCAACGATCAGGAGAGCAAGTCCAATCCACATAAGCCCCTTGCCCCATTCTCCCAGGAACTGAATGAATGCAGCATCGTCCGAGTGCCAACTACTGCCGTAGTAATGCGAAAAGAACGAGTGGGGGGCAGGTTCAGCGTTCTTGCCATATAGCGCCTTCGGTAAAATGCGGACATTGCCCCCTGACACCCGCTGGGCAGTGAAGATGCCATACTGGACCGACAAGAACATCGGTCCCGTTGAGAACATAACCGTCGGGTAGTGCAGGATCCAGGAGTGGTCGAATGTCGCAAGGTTGTGGATGGTTTGGGCGAAGAACGGGTGGTGTTTTTGCGCAAACATTAGGTCGTTGGAGACACCAACAGGAATCGTTTTGGGGAGGATTACCGGGTATACCAAAAGAGGGTCGAGCGGACGCAAGCATCCCACATCCATGTCGAGGTAAATGCCGCCATAATGGTAGAGCACGAAGTAGCGAATCGCGTCAGCCCGCAGGATGGCGTAGCTGTAGTCGTCGAACGTGTTGAGGAACCACGGATAGTGACGCGCGATGAATTCACGTGAGCTCTCGTCGGTCCAGAGCATGTATTCGCTGGGGGAAATGAGTTGAGAATCAAAAGACTCGACACGGGTTAATTTACGCACTAGTCGGGCATCATGGCACGGCAGGCCTCGGAATACTGTTGGTACTGCTCGGGCAGGGAGTTGGTCTTCCATGTCTGGTGGATGATGCGAGGTATGCGCTCGACTTGACCGTGCTCTGTGGCATTCCAGCGTAACGACGGGTCGGTATAAGGGACCTCGATTTCATTGAGGTAGGCGCTGGGGTCGATAGAGAGATAGTATGTTATCGAGCTCAGAACGACGACCGTGCCAAACAGAAACAGGCCAAGCAAGGTGAGAACCGCGAACAAAGCTCTTCTCCGGCGCATTCCTGACCCGTGAATTGCTCAAGGACGAATGCGGGAATGGAGGAAGATGGAGGAGAGAGAGAGAAGAAGGGAGGAGGGGGAAGAAGTAAGGGATTAGCGTGGGAGAAAATCAGCTGCGCCATCAACAGCTTTGCCGACCTTGCATTGCTTTGATTTTCAGACCACGTGCAAACGTCCACATCTACGTTCATTGCGTTCAACGGAAGATTGGTTTCCGACCTTCGCGCTCCCAAATCGATAAGGCTCAATTGCGACGGAAAACAATCTGGCGGTGCATGTTGACCTCTTCAACATCAGCTACTATGGAGATGTCCCCCCAAGCCTCTCCCAACGCCCTCAATTCATCAAGCGCAGTCCTCCACGCCTCATATGACCATAGGCTTCCTATTCTAGCCCCCGTTGTGTAGGGCCTGCTAAGAAACAAATCTAGTCGTGGGTTTGTCGCTCTCGGCCGACCGGGCCGACGATAGTCAAGGTATTCCAGGCACTCGACTGCGCTCCACTCACTGCTTGGTTTCGCGTAGTTTCTCCATCTCGGCGCATGTCTAGATGCAACAGTCCCTCCGTCCGCAGTCGCAGGGTCTTCAAGCTCCGGCCCGCCTATCCGACTAACCAAGGCCACCAACAATCCCGTAAAATGGTTGATGACCTGCTTATGCAGCAAATCGCTCGCCTGCTCGTAGCTCACTTTGGTATCGTCGTCAACATCCATCGCGTCGTCGTCCTGGATGCTCCCGGGGCCAGCATAATCTGGTTCACGTGCCGCAAACTCCTTGAGAGCCCTCCCGAACAACACAAGCGCAAGATCGTGGCTGCTGGAAGGAGAGATGGCTTTCACTTCTGTATTCGTTTCAGTTTTGTTTGGTGTCAAGTATAAAATTGTGTTTACCATTGCTCTCGGCTTCATTGATCAAGTTATGGTCGCCCGTTAATAGACAGGTACGCCCGCGTCGTACAAAAAACCGAGCGCAGTCCAAAATCAGTCGATCATTCAAACGACCTTGCTCCTGGCCAAACTTCTGGCCGTTAACACAAGCCATGAAATTGAAGCAGCATTTGAACGCACCTCCGAAGGTTCTCTGACCCTCCAATTCCCCGAAACTTTGCACGTTTCGCCATCGCGCTGACAACGAAGATACGATGGTCTTTCCTTGACCATCTTGACCATCCACACTGAAGCTCGCCGCGAGAACCACCCAAGCCTCTCTGTCTTCTTCTGCCTGTCGTTACAATGCATATGAGTTTAGATCAACCTTCGTAACTCTGCACCTACTTGTCCAATTCGTTGAGAACAGCGCCAGGGATGATGAGGAGCACCGAATGGCGCGTGGGTTTCACGTCGTCGATGAATCGTTGAAGCAGCGAGAGCTTGTCGAGGAGGACATTGGTGTCGACGACGAGATAGGTCGTGTCAGTGGCGAGTGGCATATCAACATCTCTTTGAGCTTGGACTTGTCCTAGGGAAATGTCGTCCAAGCTCGTTTCTGGGTCATCGCCGTACATTCGTAGTCGGGGAGAGTCTAAGACGGAGTCGGTTCAGGTGTTTTTTTTTCGGGCATTGAAGAGCGAATACTTGGGTACTGCGACATAGTCAAGATCAAGTCACATTTCAGGGCAAAATGAAAAATGCATTGGTACGTTTACATTTGGATTGTGTTGAACAACGGAAAAAGAAAAGAAAGTTTTATGCTACATGCTATTTTCACACATCTCCCACCCATCCAGACAGTTCGACGACCGAGACGCGAACGCTGTTGAAGCGACAATTAGGTCATTCAAACGTACGTCTGCCGGGCCCAGGTAGCACCAGCAACGAGATTAACGAGCGAGGCTATAAGAGAGTTCAGGTCAACGAAAAAAAAAAAAGACTCAAACACGCACCCTCAGTCTCCTTCCATCCACGAGTCTTCAAGCCACAGTCAGGATTGACGAAGAGAAGAGAGTCAGGGAGAATGTCAAGCATGGCCTTGAGACGATCCTTGATTTCCTGGTCTCCGGGAACACGTGGGGAGTGGATATCATAGACACCGGGGCCAATCTGGTTGGAGTAGCCGTAGTGCTTGAAGGTGTTGAGCAACTTCATGTCGCTCTTCGACGCTTCGATGGAAATGACATCCGCATCGAGACGTTGGATCGAAGGGAAAATGTCGTCAAAGTCGGAATAGCAGAAGTGAGAGTGGGTCTGGAGTTGGTCAGTGACACCAGCGGTCGATAGCTTGAACGAGTCGACGGCCCATTTCAGGTAGGCATCCCAGTCTGAGCGACGGAGAGGGAGACCTTCACGAATAGCGGGCTCATCAACTTGAATAGCGTTGATGCCAGCCTTCTCAAGGTCGACAACTTCGTCACGGAGAGCAAGAGCAAGTTGCTTGGATTGCAGCTCACGAGAAACGTCGGCACGGGGGAAGGACCAGTTGAGAATGGTAACTGGGCCCGTCAACATTCCCTTCATCGGCTTCTTGGTGATGCTCTGGGCATAACTGCTCCAGCGAACTGTCATGGGTCCAGGACGGCTAACGTCCGACACAATAATCGGTGGGCGGACGTAACGCGAGCCATAGCTCTGAACCCAAGCGTTTTGGGTGAAGACAAATCCGGAAAGCTGTTCACCGAAGTATTGAACCATGTCATTGCGTTCAGGTTCACCGTGGACCAAAAGGTCGAGACCAATGCGTTCCTGGAATCGCACAACAGTCTCAATCTCTTTCTTGATGAACTCGTCGTACTCCTCGACTGTGAGTTCGCCTTTGCCAAGCTTGGCACGGGCTTGACGGATCTCCTTGGTTTGCTACCAAGATATGTGAGAAGAGAGCCTACAAAAAATGAAACAAAACTGACAGGGAAAGAGCCGATGGTGGTGGTTGGGAACTTGGGCAGGTTGAGATGTTTGGCTTGGACTTCTTTGCGAACAGCGAAGGGGCTCTGGCGGTCGAGCATCTCAGGGGTGATGGCAGCAACGCGCTTGCGGACAGTGTCATCCGAGGTGCTTTCGAATTCACGACGCTTGGCGATAGAGGTTTTGTTCGCCTCAAGAGCAGTGGCGACAGCCGCATCTTGGGAGCCAGAGAGCGCTGAAGCGATGACAGATACTTCAGATGCCTTCTCAAGGGCAAACGAGAACCAGTCCTTTTGCTCGGCAGTCAGCTTCTTCTCCGAAGCGAGCGTGACGGGTGTGTGGAGGAGAGAGGATGAAGTCGCGATGATAACTCGCTCAGCACCAAGAGCATCGACCGCGGTTTGGCCACTCTTGATGGCAGCGGCAAAGTCGGTCTTCCAGATGTTACGACCAGACACAACACCTAGAGAAAGGATGATGCTCGTGGATTTAATGGCGGCAATTACATCCTCAAGCTGGCCAGGCGCACGGTCGAGATCGATATGAAGACCAGCAATGGGCAGCTTGGCGATGAACGAAACGTTGGAATCGAGGCGAGAGAAATAAGTGGCGAGAACGATTTTGGGGGCGATGGGAGCGAGCTTCTCGTAGACAGATGTATATTGCTTCTCGAGAGCGGCAGCGCTATCAAGAACAAGAATGGGCTCGTCGATCTGGACAGACTCGACACCAGCGGCCTTCAAGTCAGTGAGGAGGGTTTCGTAGACAGGCAAGAGTTTGGGCAGAACAGAGATGGGTTGGAAGCCAGCTGCAGCGCCCTTCGCGGCCTTGCTAAGAACAAGGAAAGAAATGGGGCCAAGAATGACAGGCCGCGTGGTGACTCCAGCAGCCTTGGCCTCTTGGAATTCTTCGAGGGCCTTGTTGAAGTTGAGCTTGAAATCGGTCTCCTCCGACACTTCGGGCACGACAAAGTGGTAGTTAGAATCGAACCTGAAAAGAGTTCACTGAGAATTGCGGCAGATGATCTTGCAAAAAAAACGTACCACTTCTTCATCTCGCAAGCAGGGACATCAACACCCTCAGCCTGGCGACCACGACCCATAGCGAAGTAAACATCAATCGGAGAGAGCCCGAGACCAACATAGCGCTTGGGAATAACGTTGAAGGCAGCAGAGTGGTCGAGGACGTGATCATAGAGAGAGAATTCACCGCTGTAAATCGATGAGCAACGACAATCGATGAGCGTAAAACCAAACTACCTGGGGATGAGGTCAACTCCCCGCTCTTTCAGGCTCGTCCAGCTGGTCTTCTTAACATCAGCCGCAGCCTTGGTGAGTTCATCTTGCGAGATTTTGCCTGCCCAGTACGCTTCAACGGCCTTCTTGATTTCACGGTTCGCGCCTATAATATCAACTCAGACGAAGGCTAGTCAGCAGTTAGAAACGAACCGATTCTGGGGAAACCAAGGACGCTGGATGAGACCATTGTGAAAGGAAAAGGGAAAGGGAAAGAAAATTTTCAGGTGGCGCGACAAAATCGCGTTTTATGTCGCCACGTGCCGTGGCTTAAGCGAGATAAACCGCAGATAACCTACACGAGGCCGCCTATCTCATTAACAGCTACAAAGTCCGCAATTTCATTTACAAATTAAAAACTACCTACACCCAGATAAAAAGAAAAAAGACCGTAGAATGAGACAGACTAGATGTTGTTAATGACCCTGGAAATCCTACGCAGTGCCTTCTTGAAAACTGAACCCGTCTGAACTTTCTCCTCTCCATCCTGCTTGGGCTCAAAGTAAGCTGATGCACCAATACCTTCGTCTTCAGGGAGATCGGGAACCTGCACATCGATATTTGGGTCTTCAGGGAGAGTTGCTGGCGTGACTGGAGCTCCAACTGAAGACGCATCGCTGGAGCTGAGGGAAGTGGTATCGGTATGGGAGGAAGGCGGGGCGAGAAGCTTTGGCGACGAGCACATGAAAGGATTCTCCTCGTAATTGCACTCGAAAGGTTGTTCTTCGTACAGATAGACATCATCTGGAATTGTCGATCCAGAAGTAGCAGATTCCTCATTGACAGAAGCACTTTGAGGCGGAACATCCGAATCTTCATTCTCCTCCGAGTCCACTGGCGACGGGGAAGAATAGTACTCTGCGATAGTCTGTTGACGTGGTGAGGCCTCGGAAAGCTCTTCGTCCGTTAAGAAAAACGTCTCCGTGTTGACAACAGCTTCGCAAATTTGAGCGATGGTGGGCCGCTTGAGGGGGTCACAACAGAAGATGCGTTTGAGGAGAACATTCGCCTCACGAGAAATGGGTAGAGCATGGTACAGGAAGTCTGAGTCAGCAAGATACGCCGCATAACAGTCGTCTTTGGGTTGAGCCATTCTCCAAGGATTACGGCCAGAGATCATGTTCGTGAGGATGACGCCCAGAGCCCAAACATCGCTCGCTCGGCAAGAGAAAGCATCATTTGACGATTTGAAGAGAGCCTCTGGTGTCCAAGGTCAGAATAGTTGATTGAATTGTTTTTAAGGATATCTCACCAGGACTTATATAGTATGGGCTTCCCAGACCATAGTCTTTACTCGAAGCGTGCGACGTAGCGAGACCAAAATCGGCGAGACGAATATGTTTGCCAGTGGCATCACAGAGGATGTTTTCAGGCTTGAGATCACGATGAAAGACGCCCCTGGAGTGACAGTACTGGACTGCATCGAGAATTTGAACGAATATCGTCTTGACCATGGCATCGTTTCGGTAGAAGCGGCGTAGCGTGGTAATGTTATGGAAGAGGTCGCCGCCTTCGCAATAGTCGAGAACAATGAGAAGGAAGTCGGCCGCCTCGATGTATCTATGCAGTTTGCAGACGTTAGGATGTCGTGAAACCTACTCGCCAAGGAAGTATGAGCTATGCGAGATACGAAATGGAAAGTTCTGACCAAAGCATGAAGTTTGAGTTCACGTTGATGGAAGACATTCGCTCGGACGCCCACAGGGAACTTCTTGACGCATTTAACAGCAAAGAAAGACGGCGAATTACTGGGCGAGCTTGTATCGAGGGCTTTGTAGACGATTCCGTATGCTCCAGAACCAAGTACTTCGACGAACTTGAGGCGACCGTGATCCACAGTTGTGCCCAGAAGGTCAGGTAGCTCTTGAGATGAAGTCATAGCGATGGAAATAATCAACGATAGAGGGGAGTAGACTGTGCAGGTTAGATGTTGGGAGAAAGCAAGATGTGTTTGTGTCACCAAATTGTGACATTGCAACAGGAACATCGTTTCCGGAAATAATTCGGGGCTGAATCGCTCATGTAGATGCAATTTAGGCGCGCCGACCGGGCCGTCTGCTGGTTCTCTTCAACCCACCATGTCCGACAACCCATCCTTCGTCCTTAAGGCTATCGAGCAAGTGGTTTACGAACAACGTCCCATTCCAGAGATCTCTGGTGACCAGGTCCTCATTCAGGTCAAGAAGACTGGTACCGAGCTCACACATTATTTGTTTCTCCTCTCACTGTTCTCAAGGCATTTGTGGCTCGGATGTGAGGCGATATCATTCCTCTTGTCTCTCTGTATGGATTTCCAAAGGTCCATTACCTGGTTCATGGCAGAATCGGCGACTTTATTGTGAATGACCCTATGGTAAAGTTGCGAGTGCTATCGAAACCACTTTCTCATGACATCGCAATTAGGTCCTTGGCCATGAATCTGCTGGAATCGTTGCGAAAGGTCCTTTTTTTACGATTGTCCAGCTGCTATATCCTCACTCGGCACGAAAGTGGGTCCCAATGTCAAGCACCTGAAAGTGGGCGATCGTGTCGCTGTCGAGCCTGGCGCTACATGCCGTGAGTCATGCCATTGCGCTGCTTTGGTGACAAGTGGAAGCAAACAAACTTTTATTCAGGTGCTTGTGACGCCTGCAAGGCCGGTCGATACAACGTAGCTCTTTGCTCTCGGACCCATATCTTCTCTCACTGGCCTTCTAGCTGTGCCCTGATATTGTTTTTGCTGCAACTCCTCCATACGATGGGACTTTGGCAAGATTTTATCGCGTACCCGCGGATCTTGCCTATCCACTTCCCGAAGGCGTCTCGCTAGAAGATGGAGCCATGGCATGTTTTCCTCCGAGTCTTCGCCGATCTAACTTGGAAGAGTAGATGGAACCGCTAGCAGTTGGTGTTCACTCGGTCTCCAACCTTGGTGGATTCCGTGCTGAGCAATCGATCGCTGTGTTTGGTTGTGGTCCTGTCGGTCTGCTTTGTATGGCGGTCGCAAAAGCTCTCGGCGCCAAACGCATCATAGCAGTTGATATAGTGCCTGCTCGCCTTGAATTTGCCAAGGAATACGCGGCAACTCATACCTATCTGCCTATCTCTCCCAATGAGGGTGAAAGCAAAACCGACTTCAGCAAACGTAACGCGGACGCAATGAAGTCTCAACTCGATATTCAAGATAGAGGTTCTCAGGCGATAGACTTGGTCATTGATGCCAGCGGAGCGGAGGTCTCAATTCAGACCGCATTTCACATCGTCAAGACTGGCGGTACCTATGTCCAAGTTGGAATGGGAAATCCCAATGTCACTGTCAGCGTGGGGATGCTTATGGTTTGGTGCTTGACTTTTAATCCTGTGTATTATTCATTCGTTTGCAAGGTCAAGGAATTGGTTTACAAGGGCTCTGTGAGTCTTTAACTCTGCTTCTGATCTCCAATTAATTAATTTGTCCTAGTTCCGTTATGGCGTACGTGCCAACTTGAACGACTTGAGTTAGTTTGAATGGTTTGTTAGCCCGGAGACTACCCTCTCGCGATTTCGTTGGTCGCGCAAGGCAAGATCAACTTGAAACCGTTGGTTACCCACAGGTCTTTCGTTTCTCCCTTCAGTATTTTATGACTTGCTCATGGGAAGTTAGGTTTGCGTTCGACGAAGCGATTACCGCGTTCAAGGCTACTCGGGCTGGCAAGAGCGAAGACGGTAAAGGCGTCATAAAGGCCATTATTTCTGGTCCAGATGTTTCCGTGGATGAGATTTAAGTGAATTTATCGTGTATGAATATTAGAAAATATGTACCATCAAATCAATCAATTTCGATGACTTAGCTGACGCGTGACCGCGTCGGCACCGCGCTTTTCTCCTTTCCCTCACCAACAACGCGTCCTTTACTTGGTTCTCATGAAGTTCCGCACCAGGAACCCCTTATATCTACGCGTATCGCAACACCACGTATTGCCACTCTATCTTTACCTTGACGAACGCCATGTGAGCTGGATGTCCGAAACTGTCCTCCAACATGTTCTCGCCGATCTTCAACCCAAGATTCTTCCCAAGCTAAGGGCAGAAGCAGACGTTCATGCAGCCTCAGCCGCGTCAGCTAAGAAGCCCACAGTCGACACACATCGAGGAGGTTAGCGATTCGCTCACTGAACTGTTCGTCATCCAATGGCTTTTGTGAGACTCGTACCAGTTCTGTTATTTCATAAGACGAACTGAGCAACACTCGGCGCTTATCAAGGTATGCGCTATCACCATAGCTGATTCGTCAACGGACTATCTAGACTCGCTACTTCACCGCTGCACCACCGCAAAGCAGAGCGCCTCCCCCGCACCAAGGATCGAAGCGTAAAGGTCGCAAGGAAAGCGCACGTACAGCTCCAAACAAGCGGAGAAAGACGAAAGGAAAGGGAAAAGCGTCCGATGAAGGCGATGATGCAGCATTATCTAGTGGTGGTGAAGAGGATGCAGCACAGAGTAACTTGGATGACGTTGAGATGGTACTTGTGTGGTTGGTAGTCATGTTTGGAACTAAATCTTTTTCTCTAGGATGATGTTGCTCCTAACGAAATCGAGTCTACTCCAATAGACATTGACCAGGACGATGACGAGGAGAAACCAAAACCAGCTTTATCCTTAACTTATCAAAACTTCAGCATCTACGGACAGTGTCTTTGTGTGGTGGTCGAACCATATCCTCCATTGCGATCTTCTTCCATCGCTCCATCACGTGCCCCTTCTATCGCCCCCGTCTTTGCGACTGCTCGCCAACAGAGTGTTGCTCCCACACCTATATCGGGAGGTTCTGCACAGAGAGCACGGACCCCGTTATTTCTTCCTGACGATGAAGACGAGCGAGAAGGAAGTGTTATACCTCCGGAAAGCAAGTCGAGACAGTTACCTCCCGTTCCGCTGTTTAGCCCAGACGATCCAGAGGAGGAAGACAATGGAGGCATGATGGCATTCAGTCAAGTAATGACGAGCTATAGCCACTTACCCGCAGGTATGGTAGAGGATGACGACGAACTAGACGGCGCCGTTTTCTTTGGCGATGCAGATGAGATGAAGGAGTTATATGATTAAAGTATATTATATGGACAAATCTATTCAAGCGCGGCCTAGCTCTTTCAAAATCTCTGTTTTGCGCGAATCTGAGACGAATCTGAACCCTGCATTAGCCATCTCGAAAGTTCCGTGTCCACCAGATAGAGCCCGCAAGCGGTTGGAATAGTCCAGCATTTGGCTCAGTGGTGCAACTGCATTTATTGACCGCTTCATGCGCAGAGATCCTGTAGCACCGTGTTTCACGTGACCAGACGGGGAAAGCTCCAGAGGAGGAATGTAATTCCCGTCCTCAGGGTATCCGCCAATTTCGTCTTCCGACGAGCCTGTATCGACTTCAAACACCTCTGCTCCATGTTCTGTTAAATCCTTCACTGCTTTACCAAGGCTATCCTCATTGACAGACACCTTCACTGTGACGAATGGCTCCAAAATAGGACCCATGCCCGCCTCCCGCAAGAATTCGCGAAGAATAACTGCTGCTGCGCTAGTCAAGATACTAGTTGGAGCACTGGGAGGAATGACGAATCCGTGGACTTGGACGTGAACATGCGACATTTGAAGAGCCGTATGAGGAGAGTTGGAAAGGGCACTAGCGATCCCTTGTGCGACCAAAACGTTTGGTGAAGTCGACGATACGTTGTTCGGGCTATCGAATGGTTTACCATCCCGATCGACGACAACATTACCGTCCCATGTCGGATCGCCGGTTTCCTCTGAGCCCAATGATCGTACTGAGAGCGTGATATCAACAGTTGTCGAAATGCCCCCAACATCAGTTTTCCATGAGCGGGATTGCGGACCGCGCATCCTGCTAAAAAAATCCGCCTTCGCAGAGATGCCTGAGCCTAGACCTTCTCGATAACTAACCCGTCTGGTCCCAAACTCGAAATTGACGCCCCATTCGTCACGCAAGCGACCTTCCACGATTTCAAGATGCAAGGCCCCAAGACCATGAGCGAGAAGTTGGCCTTCTTGGGTGTCGACGCGAACCGATGGGTCTGTTCGAGAAAGTGCCGCCAGTGCGTCTTGGACAGGTTGTAAATCAGAGTGTGAATTAGGGATAACCGAGACGGCGATAACTGCAGGGGGGGCTGTGATTTCACGTAGCGAAGATCGAGCTGAGGCAGAGGCACCCGACGACTCGAGTGTGTCTCCGGTCCGCGTATGCTTGAATCCAAGAAGGACACCGACGGTTCCAAAAGGCAGCTCCTCGACTTCTTCTGGCTGGGAAGCATATAATAACATGAGCTTTGAGATTCTCTCCTTCTGGCCACGCGTCGTGTTTATCAGCGACGTTTTTCGAGTGACTTTTCCGGAGTAGACACGAACGAAGGTCATCCAACCTAGCCGTTTGTCCCAGGTCACCTTCCAAGCGAGAAGCCTTACAGGTGAATTATTTCGTTGGGGGTCATGTTCCAAGTCAAGCGGGCTGGCCAACAATGCACCAACATAATCCATGACCAAATCTGTCCCGATATTTTTTACCGCTGCACCGCACAGTACTGGCAGAACTTCATTTCGCAAGGTAGCTTGACGGAGATGTTTCATGAGGGTGTTGTTGTTGAAGTCTAGGTAGCCGGGGTGACTGCTTGGGAGCTCAAGCAATGAGTCCATGAGTTCATCTGAGGACATGGCTAGTCGATCCAACAAAGCAGTCCTTGCTGGAGCAAGATGAGGGAGAATCGGATGGTTGATGGGCAGTAGACCAGCACCAGCTGCAACTTCGTCGCCATTTGTGGGCAGGGGATGTCGGGTTGGGTCGGCGTCTGGGTCTTTCCAGCGCCATATTTCCCAGTTGACGAGGTCTACGATTCCCTGGATACCAGGCTCCGCATGGGCATAGTCTTGCGGGTCAAAGGACGCAATTGGGAGAGTTAATGGGAGTGGGTGGGGATGGAGGCGGTTGGCTAAAAGCGAGGAAACAGATGCGCTAAATGACGCCCCTGGCCGGTCAAGTTTGTTGAGGAACATGATACGAGTAGGGACACCGTATCTATATTTGTTTAGCTATGGGTAGATCTACTTTTGCACCTCTTACCGGTCCAATTGGCGCCAAACACCTTTGGTTTGGGCCTCCACACCTTCAACAGAGTCGATCAAGACGACTGCACCATCTACGACGCGACTTGCGCTTTCTACCTCCATGCCAAAGTCAGCATGACCCGGAGTGTCAATTAGATTGAACAGTTTATCCTTCCATTGCACGGGAATGCTGGCGGATTGGATGGTTATACCTCGTTCACGTTCTGCTGGCAAGAAGTCTGTTGTAGTGCTGCCCGTGTCCACGGAACCGGAACTCGAGAGGTATGACGATTTGAGTAGGATGGATTCAGTGAGTGTAGTCTTGCCTGAGTCTGCTGCGGTTGAATTTTGACGCGTCGAACGTGACTGTTTGTACCTATGTGGGCAACGAGTGCAATATTCCTGATTTTTTGAGGGTCATTGGCAGCAGTTGAGATACTGCGAAAAAGGTGCGGAACAAGCCGCATATTGCCGAGTCCGATCATCCACTTTTCTTTTGTCTTCTGGCGTCAATGCAGCAGACTCAACTTGGTCTTTCACCATAATGTCCTCCCCCTCCTCCGCCCAACCTCAGTACAAGGGTCGTATACCTAACACCCCTCTCGCAGCATCATTCGTCTCCTTTCTTCTTGGAGGCACATTCGCCCTCGGCACGGTCACCTTTCTAGTGGGTGGCCTGCTCACAACAAACCCCGCATTTCCAAACGCGCCATGGTGGCTGACGGGCCAATTGGGCTTCTTCATCGGCGCGTGGTCGCTTTTCCACTGGGGCGAATACGCCGTCACCGCTGGCTGGAATCTTGAGAAATGCAGTGTCGATTGTATGTGCTTGTCTCTTTTGAAGCTTTGACTGACTGACGTTCACATAGCCTTCCTTCTGGAGAACGGCTCTCTATATCACATCGCACACGGTACTGCTCTCACCGAATACCTCATCACACTATGGCTGCGACCAAACTGGAAGACATATCCCAATTTCGCCTTGGTTGGACTAGTGCTTGTTATCATTGGCCAAATTCTCCGATCTACAGCCATGATTCATGCATCGACCAACTTTTCGCATGCTGTCGCGTTTAAGAAACGGGACACCCATATTCTTGTCACCGATGGCGTCTATGCGTGGCTTAGACATCCATCCTACACTGGCTTCTTTTATTGGGCATTAGGAACCCAACTAGTCCTCCAGAATCGCCTCTCATTCGTCTTATACGCCATTTTGCTCTGGAGATTCTTTTACTACCGTATTCGCGCAGAAGAGAGGGCATTGATCGTCTTCTTTGGTGACTCGTATGTGCAGTACAGAAAGCGAGTAGGCACTCTTATTCCTTTCGTTCCATAGCAATAGAATCAGCTTTTTGTTTTTTCGTGGGTGAACCATAAGCATAGCATGGATATGGACATGGTCTACATTACTCGTCTGCGATCACGGTGCCCTTGCCCGACACGTAGATCCCGTCAAGGAATTTCCGGATGTCCTTGTTTCGGACAAGGCAAGCACCATGAATCGAAGCGGCTGACTGCGAAACATTGTCGATGTCGTTGCCCTCCAAAATGAGCTCGTCTTTTTGGGCTGTTGATTCGGAGATTTTGACCCCAGACAGCATGTCCACGTGCCGTACGGCCTACAAAAAACATAATCAGTCCAGGTCAAAAAGAGGTCAACGATTCTACACACCTTTTCGCCCAAGAAATTACGGATCTCGACCTTTGTGCCGTCTTCCTGGATGATGCAGTTGATGGGGAAATGGGCATAGACGGCACGCATTTTGTATTGGAAACCCTGAACACATCAAGTTAGCGGTGGAGAGTAGATAGCCCAGCTACGACGACGTGCCTTTGTAACACCAGTTATCATGTTGCTGATCAAGCTCTTGATGGTGCGGAGGCAGGCGACGTGTTTGCGGCCACCTTGCCAGACAGCGAGGGTGACTTTGTTGGTTTTGCCCTTGAGCAGTCGGATGTCCATGTTAACGTGGCGGACATTCTTCGTCAGGGTTCCCCGCGGGCCAGTAACGGTGATCAGTCGCGACTTGACCGAGACCTCAACGCCGGAGGGGATTTCGAGCTCTTCCGTCTTGAGGACGTCGTACATCTGAGGAAAACTGTCAGCATCCACCCCATCTCTCACCGAAACTGTCCGAAATGGGGCTCGTTTGGAAGCAGAGCTCCATCTGAGTGCCGTAGACACAGTTTCGGTGAAGCAGAGAGACACACGCACGGCGGGTGGCTTGAGGGAGAGTGGTGGAAAAAAGACGAGTTTTGATGGCTGATGGGGGAGTGACAATCGGTCGGATTATGCAGATGCACGTTGAGGACTCAAAAAAAATGACTGTAGAACCCGAAAAGTAGTATACAGTAATTTGGAATCGACTCGAGGTACCGCACTACTCCAGGAACAATGGGGACGGTGGCTCTGACTCCCTCTCAAACAATTGGTGCATCACACCAGTCACATCAATCGCATCTTGGCTTCGTTCCTACGTAGTTGAATCCCATGTACGCTCAGCAGCACTATGCTGCCCCTCCCACAAGCTACGGTAGTGGTTATTACTACCAGCAGCCCCCGCCACCCCCGCCACCTCCAGCTCCGTACAATCCCGACCCAAATACCTTCCGCAGAGACTACACAAATCTGCTCACCGAATTGAAGGTCAACTCAAGACCAATCATTCAACACCTTTCCATGCTCGCCCAAGATTTTACTCGCTATGCGGACATCGTCGCCCATTGCATTGAGTCTCATATTCGTAGAGTAAGTCATCGGCGCAGTTTAGCCGAACAGCCACCCTCAGCTCACATGTCGCAGGTGCCACCCTGGATGAAACTGCCCGCTTTCTATGTCCTCGACGCTATCTCAAAGAACGTTCACGACCCGTACGCCCGCCAGTTCTCAACCTTTGTTGTTCCGCTGTTCCTCGAGACCTACGGTCAAGTAGACCAGGCAACACGTACCAAAATGGAAGAGATGCTGCTCACTTGGCGGAACAGCTCTCCCGCTGGCTCTCAAGTTTTTGGTGCTCCAGCGCAGGCCGATATCGAGCGTGGTATATGGGGTGGTGGCGATCCTCAGTCAAGCCAAATATCAAGGGCGCAAGTTCTCTCTGAGCTGGAGTACACCCTCAACCAGAAGGAGCGTGCCTTACAGGCCAACCCAGCAGATAGCACTTCACAAAACCACATTAGCATCTTGCATCAGGTATGTCATCATGAATCATGCGCTCGACACACTAGCTTACGTCGCGTTAGCTTCGGAAACTTGTAGAAGCCGGCACTGTTTCGCAAGAAGAACTCCACCAAATCCTTGCTCAACTTCGCTCTCTAATGCGTGCTGTCGTCCCGACCCCAGCACCAATACCGGCCGTTTCCGCGCCAGTTTCTGTCTCGTGGTCCAATTCTTATCCACAACCGCCTCCCGCTCCTATGTATCCTACGTATGATACCGTGAAAACAGAGCAACCTCCGGCTGTTACTGGTCCCGATATCGTTGGTTTGATGGCGAGGTTAAAAGAGGCAGGCTATGTTAATGGAGCTAACCCCGTCGTCAAGTCTGAGTCTGACCCCGAGAGAGAGCAGTCTCGTGTGTATAGGAGGGATGTTCTCAGCTTAGATATGAAGTTATCTACTGCTGACATATCAAGGTATGTTGACCGTCGAGAGCGAATGAATTATAACAGAACACTTGCTAACAGGAGACGGCCCGGCATCACCACATTTCTCTATCAACGCCTTCCAGCGAAGTGTACCCAATGTGGTCTTCGATTCCCTGGTACTGACGACGGACCCGAAATGCAAGCCCATCTCGACATGCATTTTGCGCAAAATAGAAAAGCGAATCAGAACGTTGGACGGGGCCATAGTCGGAGCTGGTTCGTTGGAGTTGAGGTGCGTCACCTTCTTGAGAGATTTGTTCCTTGTTTATACTGATTCCATGGTCAGGACTGGGTCCAAGATGTGAAGGGTAAAGGCCGAGAAGGCGACCGTCCCATCAATGCGAAAGCTGCTGCTGCTGCTGCCACCGCCAAGCGAGATGCTGAACTGCGGGCCCAGTACGTTGTCGTTCCGCGCGGGGAGGAGGCAACAGCTGTTTCATGTCCGATATGTAAAGAGCAATTCAAGACCGAGTTCTTGGACGATGATGAGGAGTGGGTATGGCGGAATGCCGTTTCTAAGGAGGAACGGGTGCGTGCTTGTTGTGACAATGGCGTTGGGCGCTTACGAATCCAGGTCTACCATGCGACATGTTATGCGGGGCTGGCTGCCCAACGACTACTGCGGAGTGACTTGGCGGCGAGTCTGCGTAGCCATTCTAGTACGCCCGAGATTTCAGTGCGGAGTTTAAAGAGTGATGACACTGCCTCATCACAACGACCCTCCAAATCGCCCTCGCCAGATTCTAAGCTGCTAGGGACAAAACGTAAGGTTGACGATACCGACGCTGCTCTGAGTCCTGAGGCCGAGGGCACTCCTCGTTCCAAAAAACTTGCGTTGGACATAAAAGCTGAGGAGACTTCGCCGTAAGGTTTTCCCCTCTCCTACTTTTTTTTCTGCTGCATCCGTCGTTAAATTTGGAAGGATTTCATGACCTGCTTAAGCATATGTTTATTTTTTTTTCCCCACAACCAAATCACTTGTACTAGACCACCATTATACGGAGGAATAAATTCTTCGAAATACTTTATTACACTGTCCCTGTGTCATTAGCCCGTGGTATAACCATTCGCTCGTCTGTCGCTGTCTCAGCAGCCAGTTCGTCGTCGTCTGGTAATCGTCCATTTGGTCGTTTCTCCTCCTCTGTTTTCACGTGATCGAGTCCAGGAATGACACCGTCGATTGCCGGATGCTCCATCGCCAACGCCGCACGAAGCCGTTCCTTGACCTTTTCGACCCGCTTCGTGTGGGCACCGCCGATAGCGATGAACACCGCAGCGAAAATGCCACAGAGGAAGCTTGCAGGAATAAGGATGCCCGTGCTCCATGCCGGCCGTTGGAAGCTACCAGTCCAGTGAGATTAGAAGTTATCAAGTAGTGGTGGACAGACCGATTGAGGCCCCACATCGTCCCACAGAGCATGATCTAAATATACTTTATTCCCAATAAAACCCCAAGTGTGAAGCCTGTTACCTGAAAAATGGAATTGCCATCGTTGAGACAGCAAATGAGGAGGGCAGTACTAGAAGGGTGTTGAGCCACAGAAAGTGATTCTTTTGGCAACGAACTTTATTGGGAATGCCTACATCCACATTTTTTTTTTAGTTTGAACGCAGCCAGGAGGGCGCCCTTACCCGATGTGTTTCCGTCCCATGCGCCATATACCATGTCTGATGACGGGCAAACTTGACTTGTTCTACCACCGGGTCAGACTACCAAAAACGGTCGATATACTGTCAGGGGTCACACACGGCGGTGGAGGAACTGCTGCTCCTTGTCGGTGAGGACATGGACGTAGTTTTGGTCGTAGGCCGGATCGGGAAGGTCATCCTCGTCGAAGAGGGTTGGCAGGCCCGCCTTGGCGCGTAGCCTGCGTGTCCTCCGTTTGTAGTACCATATCCAGTAGATTCTATATGTGTCCAGCACCCGCGCGGGAATCAGGCCAATGCCTGTGACCGTGAATAGACCTGTTTTGTTTGGCGAGGAAAAGTGAGAGAATGACACGATAACGCACCGTTCTCGACTTGTGAGCTGACTTCGACCCAGAAGCCCTGCGTGTTTTCGTTGTGGAGGTTGATAATTTTGGCGAGGAAGATGACGATGGCGGCACCCCAGAATACTGTGGACATTGATTACCTGCCAGGCACATTCACAATAGCACACACCGACAGCAAAGCCGTAGATTGCAGTAAGGACCTGTACAAGGTTGCGTGACAAGGAATCAATGAGCGAGCAGTAGGACATACGCCGAGTGCTAAACGTTGTAATAAGAAAGTGAGGAAAGAGGGCGATGAAGAGGACCCAACGAGTTTTGACGAAAGCCCACACTCCCTTCAGTGTTCTCCTTATCTTCGAGGGGCGCTTGAGGAGGTCTTCGACATGTCTATCCAGCGAGTCCTCGTATTCTTTCCCCGGCCGGTCAGCCGACTCGAAGCCCTGGGGTGGGCTCGACAAGGTCACAACCGGCTTAATCGAATACCAAGTGGGTGGACTATAACAACAGCCTGTTAACTCGGGTAAAATGGGAGTCGGAGAAGACACACAAAAGGATGGCATTAGCGGCATTCGTTAGCGTCTGCACTGTCGCGACTTGTGGATCAATGACATCAAGGTGGTCGACGACATCGTCGTGGTGGTCTAGCTCGTCTGCAGTGTCTTGACCCTGCGAGGATGGCAGACTGAGTGCGCTCCCAATGAGGCCCGGCTGCCCATCTGACCGTGCACGGACCACAACATCGGTATTCGTGCCAGAGTGATGAGAAAGGGGCGTAGCGGGCCGTGCTAGCGAGTCTGGCGACAACGCCCCGCTCGTCACTGACGACCGCCCAACGCTCGCTACGCGAATCGGGACATTGCTTGTTGCGGTAATGTGGCTTTGGATGCGGCTACCACGCAAAGTGTTGGAGGGAAAGGGAATCGGGGGGCCGGGAGGTGGGGGAGGTGAGTGTTCAGCGAATATGGCAGCGAGCGAGCGGTCCTGTGTGTCCCCTGAATAAGTGCTCCGTCTGACGCGAACCGAGGGCATGGCAGGAGGAAAACCAGGTCCAAAGAAAGCATCACGGTCACGACATTTTGCTCCGTCGAAAGCCGTATGTAGTCATAGATAGGTATAAGATAGCGGGGGGTATGTACATCTCTCTAGCGCTACAAATTCTACGACTGACTAGGCACCTCTGGCTGTCCTTTATTGCGTCCAAACTTGATGGTAAACTTGCGGTTCCGACTTGGTGGCCGTGAAGGGGTTTCCTCCTCCGTCGGTTCATCAGTAAAGGACGTTCCGGGTAGTATAGACGGTGGAGGTGGTGTCTCCATCTTTTTACGCCTTCGCGCCCAACGCAAATGCGGAGACTGCGGCCGTTCAATCAACTCGCCACCCTCGCCTGGCGGTAAGGCTTTGGGGGCATGAACTTCTTTGTGGCTCGCAATCCACTTGGTCTTCGATATGAGCTCCCGTGCAACTGGTAGCACGGGCACCAAAGGCTGGTGGAACGCCATTTTAACCCATCCTCTCCAGCTCATATCTGAGGGAATGAACTGCCCAACAAGTTCTTCGAACTAGCCACAAAAAAATGAGCTTGGATGCAAAGGACAAATAGGTATACTCACACTCCACGTTTGATTGCGGAACTCGAGGTCTCGCGTGCGAATATGTGCGTCTCGGCACACAAACGATTCCTCCTTCATAACACTCAACAACAGATTCAAACTGCCAAATGCAATCAGAGACAGATAAAGAAAAGGGCATAAAAACTACCTTGATATTTTGACCAACACAAAACTCTTCTGCGAAGAACGCGTCTTCATTTCAGCGGCGTCGCCAGCCTTCTTTGTCAGCTGTGCTGACTTGTGGCTGGTGTCTGACCGAGTTTTCCTCCTCATTGGTTCTGGAGGTCGCAAAGTTGCTTGGTGCAAATCTCCAGATGAGGCTGTGCGATGTAATTGTGGAGCTGAAGGTGGCGAAAGTGACGCAGAGCGTAGGTCGGTGAAGGAGCGTGAAGAGCTAAGCCTCATTGGAGGTGCCAACGCGGGCACCGATAACGTGGCTTTCTTCCCAACTTGGGAGTCTAGTGAAGAGCGCGCTAAAACAACCTCAGTCGAGGGTTGCTCAGTAGGAGGCGTCTCTTCTTCGCTCAACCGTTTGCGATCCCGCCGCCCAGGCCAAACGTATTCCATAATCCGACGCCCGACTCTAGCGTCAACTTGAAGACGCATCGGATGGAAATTAAGTTCGAACGCTTCGTAGATGGTGATTCCACCAACAGGCGCCAACACAGACCAATTGGCGAGCACAAACAGTCCACGCTGTGGATTCTTAGCCTACTAATCGCTGAAGCAGCAAGCCACAAACCTTGAGTAAAGGATGATTTGGAGGCTCATCATGCTTGCTCAGAATCTCGGCCCATTGGGCGTCCCGAGAGCCGTCAAAAGCTTGAAGGTTTCCGACAGTCAGATTGTTGACTGTTGAGCTGTCCTGTCGTTTCAACCAGAAGAAGTCGATGTTTTGCACAACGAGCTTGGCCAGTAGCTCTCTGTGTTCGTCCAGCATCCGCCATGAAATCTCGGATGATGATGTGTGCAGAAGTAGTGCTGATTTAGGGTCATTCTGGTGGTCCCTTTGGTCCTGGGCGAGCGCAATACACTCAAATAATCCGCCTAGTTCCTCTGAAAGAAGCTTGGAGGGATCAATTGAGCGATAAATAAAACCTAAAGAAATGAAAGCTCACCATCTTGTGAGCTTTGAGCTTGAGCATCTCTAGTTGGGCGGCTTCGGGGGTTAGATGAGCGACATCAGCCATGAGTTCAGTATCAATAGCGTCGCGGAAATTAGTTTGAAGGTCAGTAACGACGTCTGCAACAGAGGCGAGGTCGTTGAAATCATAAGTAAATAGCAAGGTTTCTAGAGTATTCATGCGAGTTTTGTGAGCGGCGTCGGAAAATAGGAGCAGTTTGGCCACAATATTAGAGATGATTTGGAAGTGTTGGTCGATAGCAGTGACTGTGAAGCGAGGGATGTTGACCTGGATAAGATCCTGCAGAGACAATTAGAATGCCGATCACATCGTGAAAAACTCAACTCGCCGTTTGGTCGTGGAGATGGTCGTGGTTACCGAGACGGGCCTTGCCTGGATGGGATCTAACAACAGAGGTGACATTGTTCCTCAGTCGTAGCCGGTTGAACTTGTCGTAGTGGAATGTGGCATCCGTCTGCGGTACGAGTCGTTCAAAGTCTTGAGTTTCGCAGCGGAAGTCAATCAGCACTTCAAGCGGGACACAGCCATCTCCGCTGTAGTCTGCGGAAACCGGAGAAAAGGTCTGCAGCCCAGAAAGAGTGGTGAATGTTCTAAATGTGGATCAGTTGGCTATCTAAGCATCAAACAAGACTAATAATCGAACCTTGACATGACTTTACCGCTGATCGGGTCGTCGACATTGCCGTTGTCCATAATGGCATACGACTGGAGTTTGGCTTGAACAGCAGCAACAACACAACTCCTTTGAGACGACCAGTCATCGCGAAGCACAATTTGTGGCTTGAGTAGCAAGCAACAATGGCCCTTCACCAAGGAAACACCCTCCATCCAACCATCTAGTGGGTTCAGACCGATGGAAGGATCTAATGGAGACCCTTCATCTTCGAAAGACGGTCGTTCGTGGCCAGTCAAGATTTTCTTGAGGGCATGGGCTGCAGCCTGAGCAGCACCGAGGGAATGATGCTTGTCCAAGCCGGCAATGCCACTAACTTGTTCTGCCTGATCCCTAATGAACTTGACCGCACTAACGAACCTAATTAGCCACGGGTTTGCAGAGAATGTTGACAACGGACCGTGTTGCCATATGGTACTCTATGCCGCGGCGTGTTTGAGAGCAGTAGTAATATTGCATCATTATCTGCCGCGGAAGTTGAGGTCAGCGCTCAAGCGTATGATGAGAAATGGAACCCACATCACGAATAGCACTATCTAAAAATATCTTGGGGCATTGGATTTGATAGACATTGTCAAACTCGGCCCATTCAGCCTCGGAAACTGTGTCTGCTGGAATATGGTAGCTGTGGTCTCCAGATTCGCCGTTGGTGCGAGCCCCGGCTCGAGTTTGTTCAAGCAAAGCGATGTAATCCAGCAGCAATTTTTCCATTTTCTTGGTCGTCGCGATGTCCGGCTGGTGAAAAATCCATTAATGGAGAACGAGGGACGGAGAAAGGAAACGGACATCATTTTCATCTGCTTTCTTTGACAAACCCCGGAGTTCATTAACGCGGTCCTTTGCTAGATCGATCTGCACTTCCAAAACAGCTGCAACATATCAACAAAATAGAATGAAAAAAGACTAGAGAAGACGTACAAGGCTGCTTCCCAATAAAGCAAGTGTGAGTTGACTCCATTCCGAATTTGCTGCTTTCCTCTTGATCCTGCGCAGCATCCGCCCTGCGGAAGTATGTAAAGCGCGGACAGGTCACAACTTGCAAAAGATGCAGCAAAGGTGGCGATTGCGGAGTCCAATCAAGCTCGATAAAATCGTCCGGGTCATACCAGATCGAATCATGGGGGACACGAGGAAGATCGGTACGAGTGCGATAATTGCTTCGCTGCGGAGATGCACTGACGCCAACGCTGACTTTGATGGGATCATCAAAGGTCGCAAGCATTGCGCGGAGGTCGAGTCCGTTGATTACAAGCTCAACCGCATAGAACGGCTTTCGACGCACAAGTTTCATGGTGTCCGGTCGGGCACCAGGCATAAGTGCTTCCTCTTCTCGCTGGTGCATCTATAAATATGTGAGTTGGGGACAGACTGGATAAAATGGGAGACAAACATCGACTCTGAACTCGTCAATAAATCCTTTAACCCCGATCCAAGGCGTGACGCCATCCGCCCATGCTGAGGTCACGTGAGAGCCAGCAGAAACATGTGTAAACAAAACGCACTTTCTCTGGAATCGTCGAGATAGGCATGCATGACATAGAGATGCTTGATAGATATTCGATACTTGAGGGTCGCCAAATGACGACTAAACTTGGGAGATATGTGTCGAGCAGGCCACGCGCTACCTTGTCGAATTGGCAGAGAGAGCACACTGTCAAAAAGCTTCCACCACGACCAAAAATGTGAAAACACTTGAGGAGTCAAGTGGAAGTTGCTCGAGTTCGTGTCTGCCCCAGACTTCGCATTGAGTGCGCAGGACAATGAAGTTGAGAGGTGAATGAAGTCGGACCGGAAACCATTATAAGTGTCGTTAGCGGTCTTGACCTCAGGCACGCCCGATTTCTTCTGTAGCTTGACATCATAGTGCGGCCGGAAGTCGTAGAAACGGCATTTACGATAGAACGCCGCGCCCCTACACGTGTCGCATTCTGGGCCACAGGCTCTTTCCATCACAAAGCCAACTCCAAAACAAACACCGGATCCGAGTTTGGCGCATATCTTGGTAAAAGGGCGGACTTTTTCTCCCTCACGACGACGCTTGCGTTTGGTTTTGGGTAGAAGATAAGAGAAACTTGATGGGCATGTCAAAAAAGGATGAAATGTTTGTCAACTGTGCTTACTCGGGAATCGCAATGATCATGGACTCGCTGAACACCTGGATGAGCTCCTTGTGAATGTTCTCCTGTGCTATCAATAGCCTAGGTTTTCCTTGCCACACAAGAGCGAAACCCGCCCCGGCATCGTGGATGATATGAGGGTCACGCAGGCCTGGTCAAGGATAAGTCGAGTTGAAAAAAGGTCTATCGGATCTCACCTTTCATTTGATACCGCACCTCTCCTGTAAAATCTGCCTGAATGTTCCAATGGAAGATAAGCCGCATCTGAATAATATTTAGGTTCATACTTAATTGTTTGTTGTGATTAAGGAAATACCTTGTCCCAGAAACCTATCGCCGGCGAGGCATCACGAGGCGCACTCGACAACGTTTCCACCACTCGCATGAGATCTTGAGTCGCCGGTTGGTAACTCACACCCCAGGTAAAAATGGTAGGAGCCGTTGTTGTCACATCGATGACTGGACTCGCATATGACTTGACCGGCATGATCGTCTTGGGCACCGAAAGAGAGAACGGCGCAGCACCAGGAAGCCCGTAATCGGAGCCAACCACCGAGCAGTGGACCCAGTCAACGGAAAGGTCAGTACCCATTTCCTCTGCAATAACCAAATCGCTGTCAAAATCAAGAGCGAAAAGGGTTTTATCCTCATGAGGAGGAATATAGACGAGGGGCAGTGGGTAGTCCCGTAATGTGACGCGTAAGGAGGCCAGTCCAAAATTCAGGTGCATTGGAACAAGCAGCGAATATTGGGTGTCAAGTGGGAGACCTCCGCCTTGTTTGTGGAGAAACAGAGGGAGACCATCGATGGGGAAGGAAGGAGGAGAGACATTGAGGGCTATGTTGGTCAAAGCAAGTCGTATAAGAGGTGGGGTCTGAGAGACGGGCTCGACCGAAATCAAATTGGGAACCGCGCGATCAACTCTCACTGGAAGGGAGCCGAAATGTTTCCGCGTAACAGACTCTTCATCTTTGGCTCGCCGATGCTTTGCCATATTAAGACGCATAGCCCAGTCAACAGAATGGACCTCGTTGAGCCGTTCACGGGCCTCGTCGATGGATATGGAATGGACCGCGTCAAAGTTGTAGTCCAGATTCTCGTGTGGACGGTCACCATTGGAGTTCTCTTCCAATCGAATACTCTGGACTTTGGCCGCAAATGCCTGTTCACGATCTTTGCGGGTCCTTGCAGCTTCCAGGCCCGTGCGAAATATGGCTCCGAGACGAGTTTCAAAGGGGTCATCTGCAGCCTCTGCAATCAGGGACCGAATGTTGACCATTATTTTCGGTACTTTCTTGGGGCCTTCCGCCTCTGGTGTCGGTATTGCGTAGTACCTTCCAAGGAAGCATATTCGAGAAAGATGACGAGCAGCCTTTACAATAACGCTGATGTCGAAGATAAGATCAGATAAGATGAAGCCATGGGGAATGCGAAGTTTAGCATTGTCTGCTTCAACTTCAATTGAATCGGTGTGCAACGTAATCTTCCATTTCTGGAGAGAAGCAAACTCTTCCCAGCGATCATGAGTATATCCCGACGCGAAACCGCTTGTTGGCGCATAGACTTGAACCCATGCAATCGCTCGATCCCAAGTTGCGATCAATGATGCTCCCGGTGCGGCAATCAATTTGATCGCATCCAGTCTAAGGACAGCATGTTGCTTGAGCAAGTTGCACATTATTTGGACAGTCCGAACGGTCACTGTAGTCTTCAAGACCAGAGGACGGCCGGGCACAGCAGCTGAGTCAGATACTCTCGGTACAGCGGAAACATTAGGGCGGGCCTGGGCTAGTTGCTTGAGTGTTGAGACGCCTAATAGAACACTGTATATATGGGAAAGTTGGAGAGTTCCCCGCAAATACGGAATGACAATGGCGACATCACAACTGTCTGTAAGACTGACAGTTGGCCAGAAAGTACCACTCGACAGCGATATTTGGAGCTGGAATCCTTTGAGACCCAAAAATTCCTGTCCCTTGAGATTCGGGTCGTCACGCTCGGCAAGAAGGGGGTCATCAGCGTCATATTGTGTCGAAACCGCACTGCGGAGAGCAAGGTCTGGAACAGAGACAGAGACGAAAACAGCCGTACTGTTGGTGCGTAAGGCGTTGAGAACGGCAGGTAACAGAGCCTCTTGAGGAAGATAGAGCTTTTGCCGAGTCGCTGATCGCCAATCCGCCTGTCGATCAGGATTTGAGCGAAGGGAGCAGTACTGGATCGAGAAGCCGGTAGCACGAGCAGCAAAGCCACGACACAAATCCATGGTATCATCAGGATTGATGTCTGGGGCTGTCACCATGAAGACACATCGCGCAAGGGAGAATGTTGCGGAAATGCCGTTGGGGAGTTTATTGAGGATCGAAGTTGAAGATGTGGATGCCTTGGTCCGTTGCGCCTTGGGAGGTAGAGAGGAGAGGATGCCAGTCAGGGTGTTGATGACTAAAGGATGCCAGAGTTCGACGCACAGAGCATCTGTGGTGCAATGAAGAGAAACAATCTTCGAATGCGTGTCCACTGTTGGGGGGCCATCTTCGTGGATCAACGCTTCTGCAGTGCCAGAACCGGAGAGTTCAAGTGCCTCCATGGAAAGAAGGACGGGATCATCGGAAGAAGTGTCCACAAAATTCCCTCGAGTCGAACACACTCGAAGGAAGAGAGGCCGAAGCACAACATGCAGCGTCCCATGAAGTTGTAAAGGTAGTGAATCTGAAAGTGGCAAGGCTGCTGCAGAATTCGAGCGCGGATAATGATGTGAGTAATGGGTAGACGCGGACACAATGAAACCGTCAGTGTTGAAGGCCAGTGCAGCCGGATCAGCGGCTGTTGTTCCGACGATCAGCCGAACGGAGATCGGATCACATTCCACTTCAAACGAAATTCGAGGCAGAGCAATACCGGTTCCTTCGAAAGCTGGAGCCGGAGGAGAATCATCCACTACTGCTGCCGCTGGAGGTGATTTGTGGTCGGCGAATAATGCAGTCAGCCGATCAAGACGCTCAGTCATGTCGATGGTACCAACATGCGCATGAACAGCAAGTAGCGATGCATTGGGGTCCTCCGTCATGAAAGGTGAGGTGTGTAACCATGGAGTCGGCCACTGGCTGCCAAATGCTTGGATATTGGTGGATTCGATTATCAACAAACGAAGTTGGCTGACGGAGGTCTTGCGGTCGAGTTTGATTTCACCCGTTGAGAAAGAACAGATGTAGCCTTCAGCATCAATGAATTTCGTCTTTGCTCCGTGACCAAGTAGTCGGCGATGAAGAGGCGTGTGCTCTGGGTCGCTGATCTTGGCACCAACATTTATATCTTGCACGCATGCCTTGTACGTCTCTTCCCCATGAAGATTATCGCCGAATGTAGCAGTTAGCCTCGACATTTGGAAACTGACACTGTCCAGAAAAACCAGTTTAGACTAAAACAGGTTAGCTCATGGTAATGAAAAATTTGCCGAATTTACCTTGTCCACAGATTCCTTCAACTTGATGGAGGGAGGAATTGCACGTCGTGTTTTCGTTGTCTAGGGGATTCAAGTCAGCGGAACAGGACAGTGAGACATGTAAGGACTTGCAACAGAGAAGGCTCCGAAGAAGGGTGACCGAGGGGAAGTTGGCGATATTGGAGAGAAGAACGAGGTCCTGGGAGAAAGGATGGCCATACGCGGAGGATCGAAAGAGGGCGGGACGTCGACAATTTGCACGTCGGGTTCAACAACAGTAGGTGAAGCCCGCTTGATAGAGCTCAACAAAGTGATCAGAGCCGCAACATTGACATGCGCATCGGGAAGGCTCAGTGAAATATTGACGCTATGTGGGTCAATGGTGCCGCTCCTGGGACGGAATCCCAAAGACGCATCGAAATTAATGGCCCCGGGTAGTTTGAAGAAGTCGTTCTCTGCAAGTTAAAAAAAGTCAACGTGTTAGAATGTGGGGTAACTGCAACCGCACCATCCATGGACCCAATAATCTCCTGAAATTTGAATTGGAAGGTCGCAGAGCCGTGTGTCTGCCCCCATGCCCGCTCCCAAGACCGATGTAAGCTCTTCGTAAAAGCGGCGCCGCCATGCAGCCACAGACCGAGCCTGAGTTGAAGTTCGTGACCGTGGGGAACGAGGAACGACGACTCTCTCGGTCTGAGAGAATGCGAGAACTGTCCGTAGTGAGATTGTAGTTGTAACAATCTTCGCTCCGGGAAGGTCGGCAAATGTTAGTGTTGGAGAATGTAGATCCAGCGCCAGCGCTTGACTCAAACGCGGAACCCATCCAATGACCAGACGAAGACAGGCAGCGAAGTACGAGCGGATTAACGGTCGGACGAATGGGTCCGCGAAAGAGTAGAATGCGGAGAATAGTGTCCAAAAGGGATTGGCGATGGAGGAGGGGGTTAGTTGAGATTTTGTGTGGGCGCTGTGAGCCTGAGTTACAGGCTTATCGCCGAGCTGAAGCCGCGCCCCATGTACAGCGAAAGTGAGGCGGCGGGAAGCGTCTGTCGGCGCCCAAGACCATGTAATCCTTTCCACCCATAATGTCAACCCTCCAAACTTGGCATATATTCCCCGTATAGAGCGCAGGCTGATGCTTCGCACTCTCAGGTGCTTTGAAACTCGTCCAATGGTCCATGGGACGATATAAGTTCGGAGGAGGAGTGACAACGCTACAAGTCGCACGAGCCATAGAGAGAAGGTTGTCCACCACACATCATCGGGAAGAAACGCATTGAAGATGAGCAAGATGGGGTCGACGGTGGGGACTCGCATAGAATTGAGGGTCAAGCACAGAGGATGAGGACTTGAATCTCCCCAGTGGTCGTCAACAACATCAACTCAGGACTTGCGATCACACTGACTAATATATTCCTTCTAAATAGTTCCGTTGATCATAACCGTTCAGCAAGCAGCAAAGGAAAACAAGAGTCAGTAAAACTATCTAGATATCGTCAAAGTCATCGCTTGTCTTTACTTGCGGGTCTCCCAAGAAGGAGGCCCACAAGTCGCTGGTACTTGGCACGTGTTCAGTGAGAGGGCAGAATCTTGTTCGCCGGTAACTTCAAGTTGACCAGTAACACATCCTGACGCCTAGGCCTTGAGCTCGCTCCGTTGCTCTTTTTCGGTTAGTTGGCACAAGTTTTCAGGCTGCTTAACTCATACGTTAGAATCTTTGTCTGCTACCAAATCAACGCGGAGTCTGAAGGGCCGATGTTCCGACAATACGTCACACACATTACTACAAGTTACATGACTTCAATCAAACAGATTTCTTTGCCGGAGGACGTTGCTTAAGCTACGATGATCAGCAAGTCAGACTTGAGTAAGTGGACGGTCCTACCAGGATGATTTCTTGGACCTAAAATAGAGTTAGCTGATGACGAAGCCAAGGAGCAGCTGATACCTTCGCATGCTGTTCTTTAACTTGAGAATATATGTGTGCTGCTTCAGCCCTTTCATCTTCAGTCCTCTCTGGAAGGCGAGCCAATCGTTCCCATTTCAGAGTGGACATCCGGAGAAGTTCTGCCCTTACGAGCAGGTGGCGTATGCTGAGATCCTCCAAATTCTCCTTGGGAGCCGGAGGCGGCGGGACAGAAGGCTTGAGACTATCGGCAATGGCACGGAAGGATGATTGGAAGAATCCAAGCATTGTAGGACCCCTAAAAGTCCCTACTGGAGTAGGATTCTGAAAAATCTGTCCGGATTTTTCACCCTCAGTTTGTCCGGATTTGGATCAGACATAACCAAAATGTTTTCCTGTTCCAACCTCCAAAAAGCGTGATCATTAGTTCGTTCAGCAAGCAGAAAAGGAAAACAAGAGTCAGTAGTATTATGTATATAGATATTGTCAAAGTCATCACTTGCGGTCTCCGTCGAAGAACGCCACCATTTGGGCAACGGGCTTCCCGCTCAATGGTTTTATTGTCCCATCCTTTCCGACGTTGCTGGTCTGTTTCCTCAGCACCAGCGGATCGACAAAATTATTACCCGTTCCAAATCGGTCAATAGACTTGGAGCGTCCGTGTGGTATGGGTGAGGGACGGCGTTCCGCCAAGGACGAAACAGTATTGGGAGAAGCATGAAGGATGGAAGAAAGCCCATACGCGGATTGGGCACGCACTCGTGGCTCTTTCAACGGCGTTGATGCCTTTTGTGCAAGTTTGGCTGCAGCAGATTTGCCAATAGTGTCGCCACCACCAAATTCTTCGCCATCAGAACCTGAAAATGTGGCCGTACCCATCTCAACGTTTGAGTCGGAGTCCGAATCTGCTCCTCCTAGCGCCACGGTGTATCGCTTTCGTGGTGTTGGGCTTACACTTCCACGGCCAGAGCGAGAGGGAGGCTTGGGCACTGGAAGTTCGCTCGCTTTCATAGAGAGTGATGATACAGAAGAGAAGGACGCGTTTGAATAAGAGGTAGAGGTCGAAAGAGGGGGCGCCGTGCTTGGAAGACCGGAGATGGAATGGGATTCAGTCGTTGGTGAGGCCGTGAAAACATCGCGGGAGGGTAGCGCAGACTGCGTTGGAGAAGTGTAGTCACCTGTCGGGTAAGGTAATCGCGTGCTGCTTGTCGAATTAGACCTCATAGGTGGGGATGTAGAGTCAAGGGCAGTATGTCCAGAGACAGTACGCGGAGATGTGCCAGGGATGGCAAATGATGACGAAGGGGTGTTGGGACTGGCCGATATTTCGGCAGGGTATCGTGCCTTGGTTGGCTGAGAAAGATTGGCAGGCGTAACTGCGAACTTGGCCATTTCACGTCCGAGGGAAGAAACCCGACTTTGTAGTTCATGAAGACCCTCACGAATCTCAGCCAACCCTTCTCCGTCTTCATTTGGCGTCTTATGAGACTCCTTATCGTTCTCTTTGTCAACCAGCCACCTTTCTACGTCACCCATTCTTTCCTCTAATGCTCGGACATGACCCACTGTCCACTTTTCCAGTTTCTCGAATCGTTTGGCTATCGTGAGGAGCGTGACATGAACGTCCAAAGTGCCCGTTGTTTCGTCGAAGTGTGCATATAACGGAGGTGCCTCTTTCTCTTTGGAAGGGTCCGCACGCATGGGTGATGGTGTAAGATTTGGCGGCATGTTAGAATTCTGTGGTCGAGAAGGTGATGGAGAGGGAGTCGATGGTGAAGATGGTGAAGGTGCCTGAGAACGAGATGGAGGTGGAACGAGACTGGAATAAGATGGATTGTTGTACTTGGCCCATTCCTTCTCCTTTCCCTTCGCATTCTTCTTGTTTTCCTTTTCCCGAGCCTTCGCTTCTTGAATTACTTGCTGAGCTGGTGTCAAGTCCTTGTTTGGAGTCAAACGGTTCTTCGCTGCAGTCCACCATCCACCCTCTTTCTGAGACCCTGATGGTGAGGGTGGGTCCATTGATTGCGTCCTAGATGGCGGAGGGGGAAGAGCTTTAGTGCTTTCCATCATTGCGAGAACCCTTTCCTCCAGCCGTCTGTCTTCTGCCTCTCTCGTTAATATGCGCTCAGCCTCTCTTCTGCTTCTATCCCTCTCCCTTTCAGCCTCCTGCTCATCTTCTGGCACGCCCGGCGTCTTGGGTGCAACCGCGTCCATCATTGAACGGACAAAACTTGCAGCCATTTGGCTCACATGAGAGACAGACGATGCGGGAGAAGGAGACCTCCAGTCTTCATGCTCTTCGTCGTGTTCGAAATGGGGATCGATCCCGGTAGAAGTACTGTTAGGCAAGAAGCCATTTCTCAAAGGAGAGGACGGCCGATTGGCGGTTGGTTGATGATAACTACCTTCTGGCTATACACACACATGAGGTTCGCTATCGACAACATAACAAACATACGGGTTGGAGTGAGCCGGCTGGAGCGGTCATTCGCCGCTGTTGTTTCTGCATGTTGAGTTGAAACCACCAGATAACGCTGTGACACTCACCATCACTTTCTGCATTCGCCACGATGAGCGCGACCTGGCGTAGCGTATTCACGTCAGTCTCCCCTCCGTTTTTCCTCAGTATTTATCACCATTAAACAGCTATAACAAATACACTCAAATCACCGCACGGGCCGTGCGCAACTCGCTCGAGGAAACTCATCGGCTGGCAGCGGAAAAACGCGGGTTGACGCTCCTCCGTTACCAGAAGTGGGAAGATGGTGTTGGTGGAACCCAGGTACGCTATGCTGACTCTACCGCTACCGCTTTTTAACATGGGTAAAGACAGTGTTGAATCCGGACGTAGAAACGTCAGACCCCAAGAAGAGTGCAGCGGTGTGATAGACAAACAAACACTCTGGCCATAGACCACAAAACCAATCGAGACTGTTTTAAGCACCAAGTTTACCCCAACACCCATCCTATGAGACGAAAGTTTACACTCTTCTACTTGAATTGTGTTCGAGGAATCGAACAGATTTTGGAACTCATAGCCTCTTTCTATTAGGAATGACACTTGCGTCTTCTATTCGGTGAAAAGGCAAGGCAATGCATTTTGAAGAATGTCCCGTCTGGCATTAACCTCTGATATTCACTCATCTTACTACGCCCAGATTTCTGGCGAAGGTCCCCGTGGGGTTGACGCTGGTCGGATACTGGCACCACATTGTCAGCCTTGGTTCAAAGTTCTCACATGCGAATAGACGAAAACGCGACAAATCGTTGCTAGACCGACATTTAATTCTACGCGTCCCATAAGTGGTTTACTCTAGCAAAGCGGCGGAGTGATTTGCTTGACTCGTACTTGTGAATATTCTACCAAAGCGCTGGGCCTTGCCGAGAAGAAGTCGGGACTGGCAAGATGTACCATGGCTTTGTACCTCTGTGCTCGTCCAACGAAGATACTACATCATGCTTGATTGGCTTGCGCACCACATCAAGACTGTCTTGGTTGCACTCACGGAGCCGATTGAGACAATGTCTTGGTTGCACTCACGGATCAGGCGGAGTGAGTGGTTGTTTCACGGAACTGACTCACTCTTCCACCTTAAAAGGCCTGGTGCTAGCTATTCTCATTCAAGGGATCTTTCGGGCTCTCTCCACTGTACGCAATCATTTTTTCTCTTCAATTACTTACTTACATACCTACAGAACGTGACGATTGGACGTTCCCAGGGCGAATACTTGCAAGGTTTAAGCCCTTGACCACCACAATGGGAGCAGTAGCGGCAGCCGGGGAGCTGATGGGTCTTTCCACTCGGCGAACTGAATGGCGACCCCGGGTGGAATTGTGATATCATCAGCAGAGACGACTGTGCGCTACATCAAGAAACCTTCCATAGGCCCAACCGGCCGGCCGACAAATGGTAGGATGAGTTCATGACGGCCGAATCATGCGCGGAAAGTACTCCGGGAAACGTCCAATTCCAATCGTTCAGTGACGAGATCTTCGATGGGCTGGTGGGAGGTGGCGTTGGGGGGTTGTCTTTTGTTGATCGCTAAATCATGTATGGTGGAGGTCCTGGTGGAAGATGCGCCCCCTTGACGTGGGCACCGGGCTTGAGCACTAAGCGCGCATCATATGTTTGTAGTAAAAGTTAGCGTTTGTATGACAAAGCGTTTTCTATTTGGTGAAAAGGTGGCAAGGTAATGCATCATTTTGGAGAATGTCCAGGCTGGAACCTTTTAGTGTTTGTTTCCCAATGCAAGACAAAAATGGCTCTGGGCTAGCCAATGGAATAACTGCTACATGGCTGCATATGTACCTCTTGATCATCCCATTCGACTTGCTCAGTACTCTCTCGCCAATAAGTCACACTGAAAACGTGCAAACATTTAACGGTGTGCATGTTCACTTGCGCCACGAAATCAACCCCCAAGGGTGAATAAGTATGCATCACACGGTGAACATGTACAGTACTAGTTACAAACATATTAATCGTATTTCAAGTTCTTGCTATTCTTGGGCGGATTTTTCTTGAGCTACAACGCTAAGCAAGTCAAACGCGTGCAGGTGGATGGTCCTACCTCGATGGCTGCCTGGACCTGGGAATTCGAACAAGTCAGTTAACGCCGCCAAGGGCTAGTCGATCGATACCTTCGCAAGCTGCTCTTTGAACTGAGGATAAATAAACGCTGCATCGTCCCTCTGCTCTTGAGTAAGGTTCTTCTGGCGAGACAACCGTTCCCAATGCCAAGTGAGGGATTCGAGATGCACCATCATTACGCTCAATTCGTACATGCTGAGATTCCCCAGATTTTCGTAGTCAGGGAATGAAATCGGAGGCGGGACAGAAGGCGCAAAACTATCGACGATAGCGCGGTAGCACGCTGCGCAGAATTGTAGGCATCCAGGCATTCTGTGGCGAATTTCTCTGTAAGAGCGGGTTGGATGAGTCGACTGGATTTCCCCCTGATTACAAATCATTCATCGGTGAACGTTCCCACGAGCTGAGGCGTTGCTTCGTTCGTCACTTGCGTGAACTTCAACTTGTTTTTCTGTGGCCAAGATACTTGTGCTGACCAGCAAGAAAGAGTAGGGACTGATTATCGGTACTCCGAGTCCCCAATCTGCTTGCGACGCGTCATTTCTGCCCCACTTGAATTGTCTGGTATATTTTGGGCTGGAAGTGGTGGTGGGTGGCCGCAGGCTTTACAGGCAAGCTACCTTTTTCATATACCTACCTTGCAGTCGTTCAACGATCATAGCTTATATTTCAACAACGCGTTGGAGTCTGGACACGCGAAGACTTGAATTAGAACGGGCCCATGCTGCACATAAAGCCCAGTGATACGCCCTCCAGAAGTTGTCCACGCGAAGCTCCAGATCCTACGCGCCGCTCAGCCCGCTCCAGTAACTGTCATCATAAGAGTGTCTGTAAAAGGGCGACCTATGTACTCTCCGATGGATGAAACAAGCGCTGTCTCCGAGGCGGAACAGATTTTCAGACTCATCGCATCTTGCCAGGATTAGCACCAGCGCTCTCTACGTGTTAAAAGGCGACAATGCATCCCGGAGACCCTCTATGGCTCTTAAATCATGGAACCTCACTATTCCTAACACGTCCCCCGCGTTTTCGTACCGTCTGTACTCTGTTTTTGTGATTCCTTAAACTGACGCTATCTAGACCCTTACTGTACGTCTTGCATTGTTAAAAACAAGGCAAAAAAACCATTCTCGTCTAGCCGATGGGTTGAATACCGCATATGGATTCCAGATCGCCTTCTCGACGGCGTTCAACACGCAGCCCGGGGAGATGGGCCAGGGTAGCTCCGCGCACGTGACCAGCCTAAACGGCGCAGGATTCTTGCTCGACTTCTATGGTAAAGTCATCACCGCCTTGACTCTGGTCTCAACGGAATCTAGGAAACGCCGTCTATGTGCATGGGTCCTCAAGCGCCTCGTACGATGTAACACTGGATGGGACTGCGCCGGTTGCAATGCCGCCTGACGACACTACTGGCGTGCTATTCGCCAAAGACAACTTGATCGAAGAGCATCATTCCAGTGCGTAGACCCGAGAAGCCGCCTTTCCGTCGCCCATTCCTCGCCGCAGTCACTTTCACGACCAGGGTTGCGACCGTGACCGGGCAGCTGTTCAACCTCACAGATGCTGTCATCTCGAGCTCCGAGTGTGTTTTATCCATCTCTGAGTGTTACACGCCTAAACAAGCATCACGCAGTCGTATTCTCCCATCTCAACTCGGCTTTGACAGCTCTGATGCGTTTTTCACCTATTCCGGGCGCTGGACGACAAACACGGTCACGGGAGTCCCTAACAACACCGAAACGCGGCCATTCCAGCAAACGACGGACCTGGGGGCCAGTGTCCTGTTCAGCTTCACGAATGCCTCGGCATTCGCAGTCCACGGGTCGCTCAATTTTGGGCACGGACTCTACTCGGTCGTATGGCTGTATTTTTTTTCTCTTGGGCCCAACGAAGCTGATAATCTCTTAGTCCGTCGACAATTCAGTGCCTCAACAGATGAACGGCAGCACGTTCTGGCTGGTGCCCGACACCGTGCTCTTCTTCCAGTCCGGTTTGGACCCGGACCGATCGCATTCAGTCAACATCACAAACCTCAGCGCCAATGGCAAGTTCACGCTGAGCTCTGTAGTCGTCTACGCATTAGCTGCCAGTGTGGACTCTCCTCCGTAGGCGCAATTGCCCCCTCGGCTATACTGAAATTTGACTATATTCAGCTCTTCACCAACATCGGGCAGTCCGCCGTAAGCCAGTGCATTACCTGCTATGAAGATATAATGATTAACCAGCTCTGGGCCGTCATCTCCGCACAAAACTGCTGCATTTGCAGCAATTGCCGGGACCACCGTTGGGGTCGTCGTCCTCCTATCCGCACTTCTCTGTCTTTTCTACTTGCGGGCCCGCCGGAAGCGCCCAGCCGCTGCTGCTGTTTCGCCGTTTGTTGCCCAAGCGGCGCCGATTGCCTCTGACCGCAAAGGCGGAAATCGGACCGCGCCCAACGACCACAGCCCGAGTAGAACCCCGAGCCCCGATGTGAACCATCTCCTTGAGCTCATCGCGCAGCGCATTGACCGACGGCCAATGGAAGCTGATTCGGCTTCACCACCGCGGTATGATTACAACCCATGACTGGGTGGTATGCTTTTACACGATATTTGATTATATAATGCTAAGGATATTTCTTTAAATTTGGCGGAAAGTTTCCCCTTTGCTACAAATGCTCAGCAAGTCGACATTTTAGGGGCCAAGTCCTACATACCAGGAGAACTGCCTGCACCTGAGAACGAGTCAGTCAGCCAACAACGAAGCCTAGGAATAGCTTCTACCTTTTCAAGCTGTTCCTTGAAACTTGGATAGCAGAATGCGGCATGAGCCCTCTGCTCTTCAGTGAAGTTAACAGGGTCCCCCGCCACTTGTTCACATCGAAGCACATAGACCTTGAGCTCTTCCCGCATCCAGCGCAGTTCAGGCATGCTCAGGTCCTCCACGGGTGTCCTGGGAGGCGGATCTTGTTCCGGTTCAGGTTCAGCTTGAAAAGCATCGACGATGGCGCTCAAGAGCTTTACGTAGAATTGGAGCAATCGAAGCATCTTGCGTCAAGTGTCATCTGATTACCAAAGCACCTCCATAGTGGCTGTACACGGCGCACTACATGCTGTTTATGGGCAACGCTATATCCTTGAGCTCATCTCATCGCACAGCACATCAACCGACGGCCAACTCGTCGTCACCACCGCGCTATAATTACACCCCGACCGTCTCACGAAAACGTGTTTACGAGTATCCTGGTATCTCTAGTGACACAGCTTGAGCGTAGCATAGTTCGCGGCCCTACAGCGCCATAATAAACAACAAAGCCAATAATAACAGTCCTGTCGACGGCAACACCGTGGTTGCGCGATTCGGGAGCCCCGAGGAACCGGGCGTCGAGCCTGTGGGAGTAGCCAAAAAAGTCGAAGTGGACAAGAAGGCGGCAGACGTCAATTGCGACGTCAGAATTTGGGTGGAGGTAGTTGACGCACCCGAAGCAGTAGGAATACCGGGCACACCGGGTAAAGAGCCTCTCACAGACGAGCCCCCGTTGCTGGTGTCTACCCCACCAGCGCCGAGAGCGGCGAAACCAACTGACGGGGGTGATTGCCTGAAAACACTATACACGTTTTTCTGTAGCAACGTTGGTAAAAAAAAATGGGACATAAACAATTGAACCACTCACGAGGAAGGTGTCTCCAACAACCCAGCTGGGGCCTAACAGCAGTGGTTACTTCTCGAAAAGTAAATTGTATGACAAATACCTGATGAACCAGTGTTGGCGCCAAGGGTCAGGTCAAATATCGAGCCGGCACAGTTGGCGCTGCCGGCTGAGACTTGCCCCAGGTTCATGTCTTCGGGGCTTATAGTCCAAGCTTGGCCGCCAAATGACAGCGTCACCGTAACAGCTGTGCTGCAGGCTGTGAAGACAGAGTTAAGACAGATTATCTCACAATCAGATATACTCACGGAACTGGAAAAAGCCGGAAGGGAGGCTGGGGTCTGACAGACGACTAGCACCAGGGACTGCAGCCCAAATAGCCGCAACATCAGCGGAGGGACCGCCCAACGCAGTAGTGCCAGTATCAATCGCCGACAGAGCAGCATTTCCAGTCGAGATGGTGATTGGTTTCCCTTGGACAGTAATAGCTACAAACGGTCAGAAGTCATTTCCCAGCGGGCCACAGCGCCAGACCTGACATCTGCAGCATCCAGAACTGCGGGTTGGACGATGAGCCAACAAGGTTGTGGAACTCGATGTTGCCGCTGAACAGCGAAGAGTTGGTCCCGCCAAGCGTAAAGGTCCCGCCCGGCTGATTGCTCAGGCTCTGAGATCGTTTCAGGAAGAACGACATCTCTGGCGCGCTAAGTTCGTTGTTGTTGATCAGTGCCAGCCAGAAGGGAACCGCTTGAGTCTCCGCAAGCGCCGTGAACGCAAGGCCAATCAGGCCGGACACATCTCCGTCGACGAGGCCTTGGGTCATCCTCTCCGTTGTGACTAAGATTTATAATTCAAACGCGGAACGCCAACAAGATATCAATAGTGGTGCTCACCAAACGTCTGTTTTTGTACCGAATATGGACCCATGGCGACTGTGTCGCTTGCCACCAGGCCCTGCACTGATCCAGAGCCGTAGTTGATCTGGATGGGGCGGTTGCTTGTCTGCGAAAACGAGGAGGACTTGGACGGGTCGAAAGTTGGCCCACCCGAACAACCGATGCACTTGTTGTCGGTCACCCAAAGATCAGATGACCCCGTGTCGAGCACAACACTGAAGGTTTGCGCGCTGCAAACGAGTTATTAAATCCACGCCCGAATTAAACGGCACATACGGTGAGCCAATTGATATCGACGCTATATAGCTGGCGTCCGCTTGCTAGTCACAGTCATCAGTTTCCGTCCACGCGATTGAGCCACAAAGCACACACCTGGTTAGTAATGGCAAAGCCTTGTGAGCTCGCCCGACGTTGCGGGTCCGTTGTCTGATAGCCATACCGCGCCCGGGCCTTTTCTGCTGCTGCAAAAGCGTCTTTGAGGGTATGGGTGCTTGCTCTCCGAGTCAACGGGATATGGACCGGCTCTGAAAGACAAAGAGCGGGAAAAACGAGCAGAAGCACAAGCGAGGATGCGACCATGGTGGTCTAGAGGGAAAAGAGTGGAGAAATTGCGCAGTAGCTGTGTGCCGTGTGGTGGGAGTCCGAAACTACGATGGAGATGACGGCTTGCCGGGTTATACTGATTGTCGCCGATCCTAAATTTACCCAGCCTTCAAAAAAAAAGGTTTCAGAGCCATGACGCAACCATCCCAACCTCGATCGAATGTTGCTTGCTACTATAATCTCAACACGAAGATATTGACTGCTGCGGTCTCCGTCGTCGCTGGCTTTCCTCTCAAAAAAGGCAGGTCCAATGAGAAAAAAAGGCCAAGAATGAAGCCTTGATTTGATTTGTTGGCCAAGCTGGCAGGTTGGTACGAACAAGTGTGCTTGGCAACACTCGATGCTGTTTTATCAGCGCGCGATCCATGTTCTACTATACACCCAGAGGCAGTGATTAATCTCCGTCCTAAATGCGTCCTAAGATGGCTTCATCAAATCCAGTCTCTTCATCGACCCCCCCAACATCCTCCATCTCTCGATAGCCAAGCCCTCCAGGCCCTTCACCGTCCCCAACACTACCCGTCTTATCATATTCGTAGCCAGAAAAGTTCATGATACTGTTGTGTTGCTGCGTTAGAAATGGCTTGAAATGCACGTAAATATGACTCACTAAATGCTTCCATCCGCACAACCAACCACGACTTCTTCATGCGATAGTGCCATGGACATTGGGTTCTTCTCGGGTGTGGCAAGGCCAGCAAACTTCGGCGGAGGAAATGTCCCTTTGACGCCTCGGGTATCGCTATACGGCGGACTTGCAACGGCACTCCAAACGCCGTTCAGCGGTGTTGCGGCCAAATCGATGTCAACCGGCGTTCCGGCGCGCAACTCGCTCGTCTTAACCGCTTCACCCTCTTTGTCTTCATGGGTCGATACAAATATCTACAGCCGTAAGTTAGCAATATAACCAGACATTTAAAAAATATCACACACCCTTCTGTCTGCCCCTGCCCGAGAGCTGAATCTAGTAGCGGTAACAACACGTCTTTTCCGCGCATCTACAGCACCAACAGCAACATCAGGAGTCTCTACTAATCCAACGACTTTTGGTGGTGAAGTTAAGATCGCCGCTCGCCCAAAACGAACCGAAAATAGTGTGTCAGTTCCTGTGCTCGGCGCTATTCCTGAGATAGATGTTGCGGGGGTTCTCGTTCTCGAGGCAGAAACGGGCGTTCCCGTTCGAGTGCTTGGCGTGGTGGGTGTGTCACTTCCAGCAGTGCTCAGGCTCAATCGAGCCTTCTCTTTCGTTGACGTGCTCATACTTAAGCTTGGCCGCGGCGAAGGGAGGCCACCCGTGCTTGCGGAGAGACGCGAAGAGGATGCAATAGACATGCTTGTGCTCAGCCTACGTTCACTTGCAGTTGGAGGGGGTTGCAAAGATGTTCGACGCTGAGGCGTAGCACCCCGAGTTGATGGTGTTGGTGTAGCCCGGGCCCGGGTTGCAGTTGTAAATGAGGAAGAAGTGGTGGATGTTGTCATTATAGAGCCCGTTGAAAGTTCATTGTTAACCTCTGTCGTACTAGCGCTTGAGCTGAGGCGTTTACGATGAGTGGGGCTTTGGGGAAGTAAAGAGGGACGAGGAGAAGTTACAGAAGCACCGCCTCGAGATGAAGGCGGACCAGTAGACCGAGGGGATGCCACACCGACAGATCCTCGCGGAGAAGTAGCGGGTGCTCCACCACGCGAAACAGTCGATCCACGGGTAGAGGTTGTTCGAGTTCTGGCTCGGGTAGCAGGTGGCTGAATTGGTGATGTTAGGGCGAGGTCGGAAAGATCCAAGGTATCTGTGCCATTCTCAACAGGCTTTTCATCCCCCTCCTGCCATTGCAGATGCATTATGACAGACTTGGTAGCACACTGAAAAAAACTTGATCAGAGCATAGAGCTATTCAACTCAACACTCACCGTCATCTGAGTTCCTTTAGCAGCAAACCATCTACAAAAAATGAGTTGGTGAATACCCTCAAGCAAGATATTTCCTTACTGAAGCATGTTATCTGGAGCCTTGCCAACGTTCCAAAGCTTCGTTGAAAGCACAGGATCGTTGCCTCCCAGTTCAGACAACTTGAACTGAGATATCATTTCTCGTCGTTTGATGGAAAAAACGCGGACGACGCCGTCGATAGTGATGCTCACAACGCGCTCGCCTTCGGACAAGTCCGTGCCTATTGCCATCAGCAACAAGGTCCAAGTTAGAGAATGTCTCATGAACCTTGAACCAATTGGACGCCAACATTGACGGTAGTCTGTTGCCCAAAACGTACTATTTTGGTCCCCGTTCGCCAATCCCAGCATACTAGAGCCTGCAGGTTTGTTGGAAGAATTTGAGGATAGGACGTTGATCACTTTCCTTGTCGGCTCCAGCACTGACTAGATTCTTGGAGCTCAATGCAACAGCACGAATGCCATTCAGATGTCCAGCAAGTTGCTGCAGAGGCGTGTAGGTAATAGCCGAGAAGAGGTGCACTCGTCTGTGATTCTTCCAAATGAGCAACAGGGTGAGAAAATACACTGTGATGCATACCCGACATCATGGAAACCAACGACGAAGACCTCTGTGGCATGATGTTACTGGGATTTCTGTGAATGAACTTGAAGCCCACCTTCACCCGCAAGATAGTCAACACAACTAACCGGCTTTCCCACTTCCAAACAGCGTATCATTTCGCCAGAATCAACGTTGTAGAAGCGGATGGTCCCATCATAGGAGCCACTAATTAGACGTCGCGCACGGAGCATGAGAACCGTGACGAAATTTGTGTGGCAAGGTGTCAAAAAACGCAAAGCTTGCGGTGTTCCACTCTGGAAGTTGCCTTCACGGCGAGCCAGGGCACGATACAGAGGGAGCCAGCCTTCGGGTTTTGCGGGAGGGGTAGGCGGGTGAGGATCGCCCTTTGTAATACGTAGACAATGGTAACGCCATAGCTCAGGGAGTCGAGTAAGGACTGACCAGCGACGGTTTACGACCGCGCAGCGCAATAGTAGATGAGGGACGGGAATTAAACGAAGGACATGCAAAGCCACAGAGGGCGCAAGGGAACCGACGATATCATGCGAACGTTTGGCGTACTTTTGTAGAGTGAGGATTTGGAGGGGAAGATCGCCTGGGAGGGAAGCATCCAAAATAGTGCGGAGGAGAAGACTGCGTTCAGCCCGACCGAGGCGTCGGATAGTGTAGGGAGAGAAACCGGCCACAGTGCTTGTTTCATCGTCATCGGGGAGTGCATAAGCACTCCAATAGGTGCCCTTTTTGCAAACACACTCTTCAGACGACATTACTGGAGCAGGCTGAGTGGCGCGAAGAAGCTGGATTTCTGCCTGGAGGGCGTGTAGCTGGGCGTGATTTGAAGCATGGGCCCGTTCCAGCACGCGTTTAAGGGAAAGTGCTTTCTTCGCGTGGAGTTTAGCGACTACGTCCAGCGCCTCGTTAAACTGTGATCGTTGAATAGCCGCAAGGTATGTGAAAAGGGTAACTCGCCTCTTCATCCACCTCGCCATCATCGCTTCCAGCGGGTTCATCCCAAAATATGTCAGGCGGTTCAAGTTCTTCGCGCGGAAATGGCTGAAGTGGGGCAGAAGTGACGCGTCGCGGAGTGGGTTGAGCGGATTGAGGAGTTCCAGCAATCGAACGTGGCCTACTTTTCTTCGGCGTTGTGATCACTGACATCCAAGGCGGATAGGGTTGGGTATAGAAGAGGGTCAAGAGGCACGTTAGGTCACGATGTCACGCGTTTTCTGTTTCTGTTTGAAGGTTACAAGTAGGTTACAGCAGCTACATTGAAAATCCATTCACTCTTCTCCATCCTCATCTTCGAGCACACTACAGAAATGATGAGCGAATGAAACGCGATAAACCAAGTTCTGACCATTCTTCCGAATTCATCTGAGCTGGCTGATAAGTCGAAAACACAAACGCGGCGCCAACAAAGCGTCCAGGATTGAAAACATGGCAGCCAGTATATGTGATCTTATAACGGTCGTATTTGTCCGCTAGAATCACCTGCAGCATTCGTCAGACAAAGACGTTTACTTTCCTAATCAGGCTCACGGCAGTCGGCAGAGGATATAGGCGCATCGCATGATCAAAGTCGGAGAGTGTCGCATGGATGTTTATTGTGAGGGGGGCAAAGATGCCCTTGGTCCAGAATAGATTGCACCAACTGCAGACTGAGAATCAGTAATTCATCGCAAGAGGACTGTGGCTTACAAATCGCTTCAAATCGTCACTTCGAGCATCAGGTTTTACTCCAACAATATTTCGCAACATCCTGGCCATGGAATCTTCCCGGAAGACAACAATTTCCTGATGAAAGAACTTGATCCGGCATGGATTGGTCGCAAAATGTATTTTGGGAATTTTAGCTTTGAGACGACCGGTAAATGTCGACAGTAATGGTCGTCGGGGAAGTGTCGAGTTGACCGTAATGTCCAGCGGGCCTGGGACAAGTACGAAATGGGTGGTGCGGGTTATCGAGGGGTATGAAGCAATGAGATCGGCCAATGCATCAAAGTTTTCTGGCGCATTCAGTCAGGCTGGTAATCGATAGTGCGAATCCTACCTTGATAACGCTGTACATCTCGGCCTTGACCGTGACTAATTGACTTGCTTGTGAAATTGCCGCACAAAACAATGAGTTTTGGGATAAAGCGGTTGTCGATGCAGTTTTGAAACATTTTTTGTAGACCAGGAAGTGTTCGAGGATGGTCTAACCACACGTCCGAAAGGAAGAAGAAGTTAATGTCCGCCAGTTCGCGATGAACCCTAACAGATAAGCTGGTCTGCTGGCATTAGCCAAGTACATTCGGTCGTCAATAACGCACGTCTTCCAAGAGCGAAGTAGCCCCCTTGCCGAGGAAATCAATATGACCGTATATTGATCTAGTAGCGGTAAGACTCGAGCGATTGGATACTTGACCACTCACCGAGAAGTCTCTCTGGGTTCACATGGAGGTTGTCCAATGGCAATTATTTCTAGCGTCCCTTCGTCCGTGTATTCGCCTTCAACAAGAGCAAAGCCGCCTTCTGTGAACAGACCATCTCCTGGCTCGTCCTATAAGTAGCGGCTTATCCCAGGTCTGCAAACGAATGAAAAGCAGGAAGAGGACCAACCAGCTTGGAATAGTCCAACTCGACGCTCCCGTCAGCATCTTCGATGCAAAGCTTGCCTTCTTTGTTATGAGCGAGCATTCCCAACAGCAAGAAACGCTCTCCGGAGCGGCCAAGAAGCTGTTTGGTGGACCGCAACTGAGAAGCGTTGGAGGAGTGATGAGGCTAAGATGCTGGCAACTTACAGTGACTAATCGCTCTCGGTCCCTTGAAGGCAAAGTCGATGGTGCGAAATGTTCATTGCGAAGCACGGATTGTTTGATGATATTCAAACGGTCGCGCATGGCTAGAACCCGCGAGTCGGCAGAAGCAGACATGGTAAGCGGCGTGGAAACCCTGAATGGTCAAACAACACATGAGTATCTTTATCAGCACTTACTTTTCAAACGTTCCCCGTTCTTGCGACCAATGCCAAAGTGGCATCTCGAATGCATCAACCACAAATAAGTGCGCATCTGGATCTAGGGCCTCTTTCTCTGCCCCTGGACGCTGTCCTTGGTCTTGGAGTGACTCGTAGACCCGTTGAAGCACTTCGATAGAGACTTTCATCAAAGCGTCTGGTGAATTCCATGAGTTTCAGAAGACTGCTGAGAAAGAGTCGTACCATCCTGCTTATTGTATTCGTGCGCAAGGGTGTCGATGGACGATTCGACCTCGGCGTCCTCGATTTCATGTTGATCCAGAATTGTTTCCAGGAACTCAATGACATCCGGTCCCAGTGAGTTGCTGTATTTGCGGAAAACCTACTTCTTGCATAAGAAAATGTAGTTTGACGCGAGTTGAACGCACCTTGATAATGGTTCGTTGGCGTGCATCAGCCATAGCGCGTCGCGACGCGTGGGCAGGAACAAGGGAGATAAGTCACGCCATGTGACTTAGTTACTACTTGTCTCTCGCGTTGAAGCAACCTCCATGATCTCAGCACTGGATTGTGATGTACGGCCTGGTTCCGGTTTGGGAATATTTGAGCTTGGTGCGCCTATTTACCCCGGAAATATTCCGCTTATAACATATCTGTTGCTAGGATCATCGTTGTGGACAGTGCTGGACCTGCTGAGGAGACTTCAACACTCATTTCCTCAAGTGGATGTCAAATATGACACTGACGCAGCCTCTACCACCCCCATTGTCCTTTATATCCGTCCGGTATGATCTCCGTCGACTCCCAACGGAAGGCTTCTCAACTTACTAGCATCTTGAATTGCTCTTCTCAGGGAAAAACCAACGCTTGCATACCATCATTCTTCGTAAACTCCGCCTCGGAGCCGGAGAGCCTCCAGTAACATTACGATACAAAGACGTTGTTCTGTCTTCCCCAGACAATGTCCTCAAACGCGTCTTCGTCAGTCGGACATTTGGGCCTACCTACCCATCGGGCGACGATTTGCGGTCTGATCTACGCTACCCTGGTCTCTGGTTTAGCTTTGTGGAAGACGGCATGGGCGACTCATTGAAGAGTAGCGACGATCCAAGAATGCAGGAGGTCAAACGTGTTATTGTGTCACAGAAGGAGCGTGAAGGTGAAGATCGAGATGCGTTAGGTGAACCGGTTGAGTGCGCCGCAATGGAGGGTGATATCTTTCGTGCGGTCGCAAAGGTAAACGAAAGCTTCCTTATTTTTTCATGCCAATTTTTCATGTTCCAGGTTCATGAAGGCGTCACCTTGTACTTTTATCCTTCAAAATCATCTCCACTGCGCATCAGACTTGGGGAAACGACAGTTCAAGATCTTACAATAGACCTCGGTCCACCCAATCGAGTGCACTATAAGGACGATGACCGAATGACCATTCATGCTACAGCGCGTTCTGGAGAACATTCAGAGTCTTCGTGTACGGGCTGGCTATCTTTCCTACGCCTCATTTAACTGCGGACAGACTTTTATAACTACTTCCAGCATGGTATCGATTTCATGCTCTCACCTAGCCATGTTGTGAGCAAAATTATCTTACACTCCAACGTGCCGGGTTCTCCCTTGTTCCAGCGTTACAAACGCTGTAACTGGGAGATCGAGGGTAAACCAGAAGATGACGAAGATGGTCAGCTAGCTCACCCTGCGAACCGATCACTGAAAATTGTTCTAGATACCCCGCCACGAAAGCGTTTCCATGATCGGGTTTATTTTCATCTGCTGCTTCAATCGTTGGCTCATGGCTTCCAGTTCGAGACGATTAGCCACTTCCTCTCTCCACGCGAGCCGCCTCCGTCTATGCTACTCGACCGAACAGACGACGAAGAAGCTTTAACGCTCCCTAACGCAACTTCACGGCGTAAGTCTCAGTTCTTGAAGCGAATCAGCATGTTGAAACAGCAGAGGACAGTCCACGGTTATGATGGAATCATTTTAGAGGTATCTGAATCTTCACAGGTGCTCGCTGTGATGTTGTTCTAAATATATAGTGTACATTAATTGTTGTAGCCATATGTATGACCAGTCTCAGAATCTATGGACTCTTACAGATCGACGCCGTCCTCGTCAGGAACTGGTTGTGGTGCGACTATTCGCTGGACCGCTGGGGTATCCTCCGACTTGTGAACTACCTCGTCGTAGTGCCCACTAGTAGCGATTCCTTTCTCAGTCAACGCAAGCTTTAAGATACTGATTCGTTCCGTTTGGGACCCACTGGACCGGCCATTAGATCGTCGACGATTGCCCAAAGAATTATGAACGAACATGACAGTCTCGTTCTCTTCCAATGCCTTGGAAAGTTCAGGGTCTGGTTCAGAGATGAGGGCTTCTTTCAAGAGGGTCTGTGTTTCATGCAGTCGCTGAAGAGAGTTTTGAAGGCGAGAGATTTCTAACTGAATAAGACTCCGAAGCACCGGCCAGACTTGACAATTTCACCTTCAGCTATTGTCTGGACATCGAGCAGTCTTACTTCGGCCAGACTGAAAGGTTGTTGGTATTGCGGTTTGTAGTCCATTGCTGTGAAAGGCAAAACACATCTATCACATGAGATCATAGATCGCTTCTACTAGAGATAAGATTAAGGAAGATTTAAACTAACCAGCCCCCAAATGGATCACATTCTACGAAAATACCTCAGGCCAAACCTTTCTTAGCTCCTCCAAGTCTTCAATGACATCGATCCCTTCCAAAGACTCTGTCTGTGCTATTTCCTTTGCTTTACCGCCTTCCACGTGAACGAGTCCTATCCCTCGCTCAGTCCTGCAACTGGAACTGAAATTGACGACGTACCTCTTTCGCAGAAATGAACGACGTGACCCCAGCCTAAGGCGCGCGCAGCTTTCACATTGATTCCGCTATCGTCGACGAAATAGCAATCGGATGGATCGGACACTTGGGCTTTAACCAAAGCTAGATTGAGCGAGTAAGCAAATGCATGTATCCCCGAGGTTGGAGGTCTTGCCTCGATGGTAGTACTCGGCGTCAGGCTTGCAGGCGAAGTTAGGCTCTTCGTAGTCACAGAAAATCACGCCGTCCAGGAGATCATCTACTTGAAGTATTTTCAGGACACGTTGGGCGTGCTTAGAGAGGTCAGGCGACATTTTCTCGACACCAAAGAGCTAGCTTACAAATCGGTAGGCGTTGGTGAGGGCCCATATCCTCACTTTTTCGCGGTTCATGTCTTCCAGTAGCTTCCGGAGGTGTGGTGTCGGCTTGATGAGATCCTCAAGAGGGAGTGCTTGGTCACATTTGGCGTCAAAATCGAGGGGGTCCACAGAATGGTGGCGTATTAGACCTCTCAGCGCTAGGCCATAGGAAGTATAGTATTGGTGATGCAGAGTGGAAGCCTCGTCGTGATCGAGGCCCATTCCAACGAAATACTCTGTGCGGGAGTTGGCCCCGTTGGTGTGATCTGACGAAAGTGGGTACCATGAATTTTCTGCCCCATGGCCGCGGAGACTTTCGTCGATGCAGAGTAGAGGGTATTGTCGATATCCAAGAAGACGGTTTTCAGTGGACTCATGGTGCGCAATATCGATGCCTGCGCGAAATCGTATCGGGAGCGGAGTGCTTAGTCATATTACTCGTGATCCTAGGCAGTCACAACTCACAGCATCACAGGCCTTCCTCAAAACACATTTCTTGTGAGCGATTTCGGTGGTCGCTGTGCTTCAACTAAACTCTCTCAGATGGCCAGAAGTAAAGAACTCGTCCCCGGCGTCGGCCGCCTTTCCCGATCCCAGGTGTTTGCTCAGCGCGCCTTGTACAAGGGCCAGAAAAAGTCGACACCGAAAGCTGAAGCTGACGCTCCGGCTACGGTCGAGAAAACGATTGGTGGTGGAAAGAACGGCGGCAAGCGACTTGTGCCCACCTCTAAAGCATCGCGTTTCTATCCCGCTGACGATGTTCGCCAACCCAAAAAGAGCCGCAAGACGCCTAAACCCACCCACCTTCGCTCTTCCATAACCCCCGGCACCATTCTCATCCTGCTTGCTGGTCGCTTCCGGGGCAAACGCGTTGTATTCTTGAAGCAGTTGGAGAGTGGTCTGCTTCTTGTAACTGGCCCGTTCAAAGTCAACGGTGTTCCCCTGCGACGGGTCAACCAGGCATATGTTATCGCGACAACGACCAAGATCGACCTTGGTGGCTTCAAGGTTTGTTATGTTCTGATTCTCTAGTCATCTACTCAATAACATCTAGGTCGATGACAAGATCAACGACTCCTACTTCGCGAAAGCCGCTACCAAAGGCGCTGGTTCAGCCGAGGCAGAGTTCTTTGAGGGTGGAAAGCCAAAGGCAAAGGAGGCTTTCCCTGAGTCCAAGTCGGGTGACCAGAAGGAGGTCGACAAAGCTGTCATCGCCGCTGTGAAGAAGACGGAGAACTTGGCCAAATACCTCAAGACCAGCTGGGGACTGTCAAAGGGTCAATTCCCTCATCAGCTGGCTTTCTGAGTGGGGGGTCTTGTAGTAGTATGCAGAAAATACACATGTCTCCTACCTATGACCCATGAACTAACTACTTACGGCGTCGCATCACAACTTTTACCATCATTTTATGCTTCGTCGTGGACTCTCACTTGGACGCGTACCTCGACATGTCTCTCCTCAACGTCGTTTCTTCATCCAGTCCGCTTGCGACGGATTTCTGGATCTTGCGACCGTGATACCTTTTGGCTCGTATATTCCGCCGTATTCCGGCACAATCATTCTCGTCACTGCCGTCTCCCGTCTTGCCCTCTTCCCTGTAGCTCTCTGGGTAGTTTTCATAACAAACATTCCATTCGAAGCAAATAACTGCTTTCCAGGGCAGAAATCGCGTGCGCACGCTTGAAGATGTTGTGTTGCCAGAGGTCGAAAGACTGAAACCAATCCTCTCAAAACAGGTCCTGGACGAGATGAAGAAAGAGCCAATGCCCAAGGAAATGTTGAACGTCGAAAACCTTCAGCGCATGCATATCTCCCGTTTCATCGAAAGGGTACGAGTGTCATCCTGCTGTAGCAAAGCTCATGTGCGTTCAGGTCAAAGCCGAACAAACGCGTCTAGTCGCCCAACACAAATGCTATCCTAGACTCGCGATTCTTGCCAGCCCGCTCAGCCAGCTGCCTGTCTTCGTCTTCATGACCACTCTCTTCAACCGTCTCGCGGCTGACCCAACTCCCTTCGACTCTGAGGCGTTCTTTACCCTCACCACGCTCAACCACCCAGATGCTACCTGGACACTGCCCATCATGCTCGGCATGATAACGATGGCCAACGTCGAGTCCAACAACTGGCTCATGAGCGCTGTGCAGCGCGACCGAATGCGTAAAATGGAGGAGGACCGCGAAAAACAAATAGCAGCAGGGCGAAGGAGTCCTATCCAAGTACACAAAATCATCAAAAGCTCGCTCAGTCTACTGTCCGTCGTGCGGATTATCGTTGCTGCATTCAGCCCTGGAGTAAGTGGCGTTTTTGCATCCCACCCTATCGTCTAACGCCCCTCTAGAGTGTTGTCTTATATTGGACTACTTCAGCGACATTGGGCTTGTTTCAGACTTGGATATTGGACTACCGACCGTCCATTAAGACTTCTCCCGCCCCTCCTAGTCCAATAACAGAAACCCTCCCTCCGAAACCCATTCGAAAATTACCAAAGAGTCGCAAAAACAAGTGGTGAGTGCATGTTTCCATTCTCGGGGATGAAAACAACAGTGGTTGGGAGGTACCCGCGCTCTAAGCGTCCTGGGTACCAGTGACCCTTCCTTGATCTAATATGACCCTCCGACTGAATCTTTTCGGCTTTGTTCTGGGCATTGACGATTCCAACAGAGCCTACCGTTGATATACAAGAAAGTACACAAGAATGATGTAAGACGAACTCCAATTAACCCATTCGATCCCAAGTACCGCGAATTCTTCGAGCAAGCTGGATGTCGCGTTGCATGAGTGTAACCCTTTTGGCGTGGATGGCACAGAGATTGCTGGAAGAGAATTAAAACGGAGAGATAATGGGGGCGAAGTAGACGCACGCGTCCTCAAATAAATGGACAAGATAGGCCTCTGTGGCTTCTTGCAACGCTAATAACGCGGTACTTTGCCATCGGAGGTCGGTGAAGTGACCGTTGTAATCCGTGGTCATTTCTGACGCGATTTCACGAACCTAAGCATAAGTAAGAACGAGTTCGTGGTCTATTGAGATAGAGGACACACGAGACGAGCGAAAGGGAGCTTCCTGAGAAGCAAATCCGTAGACTTTTGGTACTTGCGGATTTCACGCAATGCCACAGTGCCCGGACGAAAGCGTTTCTTACGAGGAGCTGAATCTCACGTGTCAGCAGTGGCCTGGGGGTAAGTGAGACGCGCACCTTCAGCAGCGTCACTGGCATTCGACTTCCGAGGAGCTTTGCCGCCAGTGCTTTTCCGCGCAGTCATTTTAGCCTTTTTAGCTGGCGTAGGTGGGTCGGAATCGACCTGCGCCTTGCGCTTCGCGGAAGGGATGGGACGAGTGGATGTTTGAGGCATAAGAGGGGTATCGCAGTCGTGTAAAGAGGTGGTGGCAAGAGAACAAGAATATCCTGAAGTCCAACATTTGATGCCGATCACGGGTCTCTTTCTTCCGTTCTCAATCAACCATCGTCTTTTGGCTTGCAATGTCCACTCCGATTGTTACTGGATTCTATCGATACACAGACTGCTGGTTCACGGTAGGCTGCTATCTACAACTAACCCATTTGAGTGCCGACACGTGCAGTGGCCCGACCTGGTGCCCCAATACAAAGAGGCGGTCAAAAGCGTTCTGGCGCACGATTCTCTCGTCGATTCAGGACACCCTCTACATCCAGGGGTAGAAGGAATCACTCTGACCCGCGGGGTTCTAAAAGAAAACGGAGAAGCAAGACTTTTGTTCACTTCCAAGCAGATCGACTATCTGAGATATTGGCTTCATGAAATGGGCCTCACTGAAGAGATGGTCCCACTGCCTCACTCCGATGCGCTGATCATGAAGGATGAACTCGAGTCCGCAGAGCCCGTCTTCTTCAAAACAGGCGGCGATCTTCGTGGCGCCGTGAAAGTGTGTTGTCTCTTTCTTCTTGCTTTCACTTCACATAACGTGATTTCAGCAAATCGATAAGGAGAACAAACGCTCAAAGAATGCACCCAACTCGCTGGCAAGTCTTCGTGTTGCTTTTGAGCGAACCCGTACAGCTTGGAATGCGAAACGAGGCACGTGGATTGCAATTGACGTGGAGGACTGGGAGCTGGCGCACAAGGTTCTACTCGAGTTTGGATATTCTTTGATCTACTTCGACGGAGATAAAGAGCACAGCGAAGACGCTCACTTTACGTTCAGTTCGACGTTATCATGCCACAATGGCCAGTATGTCGCTGACAACCGACGTGTGAGCCACTCGTTCCAACCAAGAAAAATGGTCAGCTTTAACCTCCCTCCACAGAACTATGTATTTGGGGAGACAACTGTGCTGCCCAAACCTGCTGCATTCAAGCCAAAACTCGCGGAGCTAATCCTTTCCTCCCAGAAACGAGGACCGGTATTCCTTGTTTTCCACAACCACAGTCAGGATATCAAGTGCGTAGAAATCTGATACCTTTTCTTCAATCTAATGGAGGCTCAAGATCGCTGGAGCAGCTGGAGGCCCCAATTCAAAGTCTTGTCTACACACTTCCACTTGAAGCCCCATCAGAAGGCCTTTTTGTGGTTGACACTCAAAACCTATTCTCTGCTCTCATTGGTAGTAGTCAGGGGAATGGGCTGGCACAAGTATGCAACCACCTAAGAATTGAAAAAGCAAACAGCACAACACTCCATAATGCTGGCAATGATGCCAAGGCAGGTGACTGTTGTTCACTGAAGATATCTACTTGACTTATTGCAGTTTACACTTACTGCATTGCGGGCCATGGTTGGTGATGAGCCGCTCGATGCCTTGCGTGAAAAGTTGTGGCCAAATCGCACACCTGCAGGGCTGGAAGTAAAATTCCAGCCGTGGGAGGAGGATGCCGACTACTCAGACCAAGAGGGAATGTAAAATGCTCGAGGCATAAAGTGCGTCAGCTGTGTTTGTAGTTGTGTATGGACCTTGGTCGTTGTGTACTAGTAGCCCAAAAAGGGAAATCGCAGTTCGCCTCTCCTTCCACGATTCGGCAAACTTCAAAAACGTCGACGTCGACATGGTCGCCACTTTGAGTGGATGGATTCGCTGCACCGACATCTTATTTCACTATCATTCATCGCTTAAGGATACGCGAGACGGTGTCTCTTTGCAGAAGATTCTAGGTACCAATTTTTCTTCGATGAACTCCACGACCTTTGTAGATTTACATCCTCATAGACAGGGACTCACTACTGCATTCAAGACACCCCTTAGCTTCCGATAAAGACGGGAAACCGGGGATACAAGCCTATGTGGGCACCTTTCACGATGGCCAAGCGCGTCTGCTCTTCAGTTCTGCTCAAGTCGACTACCTCCGCTACTGGATGCACCAGATGCGGCTCACAACTAAGCTCATTCCTCTTCCCTACTCCAATTGCATGTTTCTCAACACCGACATCGCGTCTATCGAGCCAACCGTCTTTGCGGACTTGTCCTTGCTGAGCGAAACGAGCAAAGTACTTTCCCACCCTCGTTCGCCCTGCCGGAAAGCCTCATCTGTCATCTCCAGAAACTAGGTCGAATGAACACGCATTTGAGGGCAAACCCGCTTCTTGTGAATCGGCGGTCGGTATTCGAACATCTGCGTGGGCTCTGGGCGGCGAAGAAGGGAGTGTGGTGTGCCCTGAATATCGATGCTTGGGAGCGCGACCATACTGTCATCTCGGATGTTGGCTGGACATGGCTCCGATGGGATTCTGGCTCGGAAATGCTGCGGCGCGGGCATTTAGTCGTCACGAAAAACCAGACGTATGCTGCAACATCGCTTGAGGTACGGCTTCGTTTTACGTCGGCCCATTTCGCTGAAATCCGACCTTAGGACAGCCTATCTCATGAATTTGTTACCATCAATACCCTCAAGCAAAAGCTACAGTCGCTGTTCACTGAAATGCAGCAGAATGAACCGATCTTTCTTATCTCAAGCGACGCCCAAGGAACCATGAGGCACGGACCCTTCATTTATTGACTCTCAGATTCTAAGGACCTTTTATTAGATACTTGCAGTCGCAATTGCGCCTGAACATCCCAAGCACTAACGTCCTTCCCTGTGAAAACGGGACAGGCATGTACATCGTCGACTACAACGAACTATTCAATGCTCTCATTGGCCGTCTGGACCATGAAATCGAGCCTAAACCGCTCGAACGCGTCTGCCACCACCTCAAGCTCCCTTTCAAAATGACCCGCAACGCCGGTGTTGACTCTGAGGTTCGTACAATTGCCTGTTTTTCCTCTTTCTTCCCATTCTCAGACATGTCTGGATATCGTGCGTTCCATGGTGTCCGGGCCAAAGCTCGACTTGCAACGAGAAGCGCGTTGGCCATTGCAGCTGGAGGTGCAGGTTCAATTTCCTCCATGGGAGGAGGATCCCAACTACGCTGATCTTGAAGGAGTTATACCTCCAAAGAAGTAACTTTTAACTGTTGTTTTCTTGTAGCACATCTTGCTGTCTATTAACATGGTCGTCTAGTACAATACAATATATAGTTATAAGTGGTCCCTTAGCTCTTTTTCGGTTTCCCATTACTTGCCTTGCTGCTCTTAATACGTCCGCTCTGTTTCGGGACAGATTTCTCAGTGGGTGGCTCAGCTTTTTGTTCCTCCTCTTCCTCGTCATCTGAACGGTCGTCATCCGTCGTGGCCGTGAGAATTGTGCTATTCGTGATCAGTGACTTGCAATTCTAGAGAACGAGGTGATGATCTACCGAAGGAGGATTCGAAGAATAAGGTAGAACCAGAACAAGTTGAGCAGTTGAAGAAGTACCAATGGGATGAAGACTTGATATCTCATCCACCCGACTAGCCAAACGCCATCAGGCCTAAACCAACGCTTGCTTTGCTCCCTGATACAAACAAAAGGATCAGAGGGGGAAAATCACATTTCCTGTTGGGTCGCTTACGGAATCAAGTCAAACTCTGTCCAAACTGACCAGAGGATAACGAAGTTCAAGTAGTGTCGGAAATACCTGGAACATTGTCAGTCAAGCGAAAAAATGGTTTGCATAGAGACGCACGCCCAGACGACAGTGAAAATGAGGAAGCTGAATACTTTGGCACGCTCGAAGCGCAGATAATTAAGCACTTTGGAGAACTGGACCGAGTTATAAAGGATTCTAAGGGCCAAAATAGCACACGGACCGCTAGACAAGTATCCGGCAAGTCCATGCTGAGATATACTGCGTTGCCAATCAAAGTGAGGTTGACGAGATAACTCCAGCTAGCAAATTGTAAGCTCAAGGCCCGACCATTAGTGAATACGACGCACCCAACCAGCCACAATGTGACGATGTGATGGGCGATGAGTTCATTATAATCTTTCCGCGGCTTTTCCAGACGTAAAACGAGCACAATGAACTGCTGGCACCAATAAGCCATTTGCATTAGATAATAACGCTTCAGTTCGGGGGTCATATCCCAATGTGGGTAACCTACTCAAATAAGCAAAGTTGGCAGAGAAAATTCAAGGAACAACGGACCTAACCAGAAGTACTTGGTTTGGTACCACCAGATTGGCAGAGAATACATAACCCGCTGGTACCCATGCGTTAATCGCTAATTTCGATCACAGCGAGAGCACGTACGATTCCCCAAAGGCTAGAGAGAAGGAAATACACCACTGCATAACCCTGCTCGCCAAGTCTGTCGAGTTTTCCCTCCTTATTGATGCCATAAGCATGTCCGACACGACGGAAGAGGTTGACGGTGACGAGCTGCCTGAAGCAGGAGAAGAATACAACATAATAGGCGATGAACACAAGGTCAAGATAGCTCTTAGCGTAGCGCGGGTCGTCCGGTGGAGATGATGCGACGGGGTTTGACAGGAGGAATAGAGGTGCGAATGGGTTCGGCAGTTGACCATCAGGGAGGTAAGGCCCAAGGGTTGATGACCACGGCTCAATAATTGTTTGAAGACGTGGAGTTAACAGTTCCCAGTTGAGATATAGCACCACGGGTATCAACAGAAGCTTGAAAGCCTCCACTGGAAATGTATTTCAGGCCGCGACTAAAGTTAGGTTGTGAATGACGCACGGGGTTCAATAACCCATCTGAGCCATGGTTGAACCTTGGGCGGAGTCCATCGTTGAGGCGACAGAGACCTTGTGGGCGTCGAGGAGCCACTGGTTAACGGGCTAAAAAAGTTTAGCTGGTTGGCTGATGATAGTCTTAAAACGTACGTTTGGGGTTGGACTCCGTCAGAAGCTGCGTGCTCAGTGGCAGCATCCGTAGAAATGTTAGGAGGCGCGCGCTTTTTGTCCATCTCAGTGGTCGGCTTGGTCGCCGCGGTTGGTGTCAAGGAGGGTCACGGTGTCACACTCCATTCGCATTGACGCGACGACGTTGACGCGAATTATAGAAGTCACCGTGTTGAGCTTCGCAATTCGGGCCAATCTTCTCGGGAACCCAGAGCCCACGATATCAGACTATGTTCTCCACGCTGAAATTATTCCAAGTGCCTTGCCCAGATGCAAGAACCTGCATACGACCAAACTGTTTATTTTCGCACAACAGCAGCATACCTACCCCGCCTGGCCTTTCTATTCCGATCGAGCAACCAACTACCACCCAACCACCCCCTCCCAGGCCCTCAACATCAAGCACCATACCCGCCAAACGACCATTATCCACACCGTCTTCCCCGAATGAACCTCCGCGAAAGAATTTGAAAGTAGCACCTAATCGAGCGGTCCCCACTCCTCAACAGCCGACCTCTGGGCCACCTGTTCTTCGCATCAATGCCGCAGCCAGCTTCGTACCACTCCCTGTACGCCAAGCGCTGTTGAAAACTCTTTACGACCACTTTGTCGTCCTATATGATGATATACCTGGAATATCTACTTCGCTAGCGTCTGAACATGCTCTTCGACAAGAACAAGAAATCTACGACAAGTCAAACAAGCAGAGCTATCGCGTGGTATGCACGATGAGAATGCCAGATACCTTAAACCCATGGCTTACAGGCAATTATTCAATGTTGTGCAGCGATCAAGCGGAGACCCACCCCAGATTCGACATCCCATTCGTCTGTAGGTACTGAGGCAGAGGTTTTGGCCCGCGCTGAGGCGCAAAAAACGCGGAAATCACTTCGTTTGACTCGCAATCATCTGGAACATCTTATTCTCTCCAGGGCAGAACTAGAAACATGGGGCTTCATCGTCGAAATCCCATTCGGAATTGGTGGAGATAAGCCTAGTATTGAAAACGAGTTGTCTACCTGCGATCGTTGTCGGAAAGCGGTTCTGGTAAAGCGAAGGGAAGAGGCGGAAGAATGCATATACCACTGGGGCAAACCAATTTCACGCGTCGTTAGCGGTAAGCCTTCTGCTTTACTGCGGGACGTGATTTACCGCTGGGAAAAAAACAGGTCAGAGGGTGCGGGTTCATCGTTGTTGCGGGAAACAAGCACCAGACGACGAAGGATGTGCTAGTGGCCCCCATGTTTTCTACGAAAACAAACCAGAAGATCTGCACGCTCGTCACGCGTTCTCCTACCTCAAGTCCCCACCTTCTGCCAGCACTGTTCTTGATGTCGCTTCAGTGGATTGTGAGATGGTCTACACGACGGGTGGGATGCGTGTGGCTCGCGTCTCTGTTGTCGACGGAAATGGCGACCCTGTATTCGACGAGCTGGTGACAATGGACGAAGGGGTGCATATAATGTTTGGCTGTCCTTCTCGAGCGCTTCTACGTGTTTGACCCACTACTTCAGAGACTTCAACACCCGATTTTCGGGTATTACGGAGGAAGAGTATGGCAAGGCGGTGCTATCTTTGTCGGCCATTCGAGAAGCGCTGGACCGACTTATCGACCGGGATACGATTCTCATTGGTCTTGCTCCCATCACATCAAATATTTCTCTGCTCACTCGTCAGTAGGCCATGGTTTGGACAACGACCTCAATACGCTTCGCATAATTCATCATAACAACGTGGACACCTCCATCATCTTCAAACATTCCGCTGGTCCACCATACCGCAAGGCTCTACGAGACCTGTGGGTGCCATTCAGCAGCAAAGTTTTTCTATGCGTTCCTAATGTCGTTTTCAGCGCCCGAGAACATCTCGGTATCTCGATTCAGAATGGAGGGGGAAGTGTGGGCCATTCGTCGCTTGAGGATTGCATAGCGACATTAGATCTAGTGAAGTGGTACATTACCAGTCCCAACTCGCACAAGACGTAAAATCTAGATATAATTGGTTTCGTGACAGGAGGTGACAGAAACTCTTAGACCTTCTCTCTCTCCGACTATTTACTGACCCCGGTTTCTACCTTGCGCGGAGCGACATATTTCAGGTTCCCAATTTCCTCCTCATCCATAACTGATAGCAACTTGTTGTTAGCATGGCAGCTCCGCCACCACCAAGTTTCCAGCAATTCGAGTTCCATACCATAGGAAAGGAGCCATCGTTACTCAAGCGCATGTCTACTGGCCAGCCAACAATCCCATACCATTACACCCCTTCTCCTCCCCCTACCCCCCACCCCGAACGCGACATTCCGCCCGTTGTTTTGAATCGACCTACCCTCTTCGAAGCCTTGGGACAGTCATCGCTCGTGTCACCCTTTCCAGTCCGGCAAGGCTCTAGTACGTCTTCTTCAGATGACGATATGCAACTCCAATACCCTGAGCCTGAAGATCCGCCATTCGTCCCCAATTACGCGGCCTTGAAAGACCTTCATTCTCGGTTGGACACAATGCAGAATCTAATTTCTCTGCCCCCACCGAAGCTCCCTAAAGTTGTACCTCCTACGTTACCCCAGCCAGCTCTCGTCGCGGTTGCCAACGCACTACAACATTCCGAATCGGCGCAAAGAAAGACACAAGACCTTTCTGAGACAATGCAAGCACGTGTAGCCGTGGCCCAACAGAGTGTGGCAACGGCCCAAGCCATGGTCTATAGCTTGACCCAAGCGCTCTCCGCAGCTCAGGCAACTCTCGATGTCGCTCAAAAGTCACTCGAAGATGCTCACAAAGCAGCTGACGATGCGAAAACGGTTGCTCTCGCTTCACAGACAGCGGCAGAGGCTGTCGCCAACACCAAACACATTCTTGATGTGCCTACTCCCGCTCGCTCACCTACACCAGAACCAGCTAATCCACACGCTGGCATCATTCATGATATGAAGCAGGTGCTGGATGGTGTCAAGCTGTGGGTCAGTGAAAGTGAAACTGGCCACGGACTTGCACCACCTAGCCGCCATCCGTCTCCAAAGCCCCAATTGCCTCCTCCGGCATCCGACGCTCTTCCTAAGATCAAAGTTGAAGAGGAAGCCACACGTGCTCTTGTTGAGCTCTCAGATGTGAAGGCTGCTCGTCCTGACCCACAAGCCGAAGCTCTGGAACGCGAGGCCATCTTGCGAAAGATGCAGGATGCAAAGCGGGAACAAGTGAGATTGGACAAGCTACACGCCCACGCGGAAGCAGCCAAATCGATCTTGAAAGAACGGGAAGAAAAGGCGGAGTTGGCGAATAAGCCAATCTCGACATCTTCAAGCCAACCCTCCTCGATACGTCCATCCCCTACCGGTTATGTTAATGCTCAGCCTGTTGTTGCTCCACCATCGTCCGCCGTGATCTCCAAGGTTCAAGGAAAGAAGAAACAAACACTCCCCGGTGTTTCCAAAGCCGGATCGAAGCCCGAGACCAAACAGCCCGTTAATCGTCAATCGCCTTTGCTTTCAGTCTCGGCGTCATCGACTAGTGCGGCCACTAACCTATCATGGTCGGGTACTTCGGACGGAACCAATCATCCCGCTCCTCAGACGTCCTATACCTCTAAGCCCATGTTGAATAGTACATCGTCTCAATTCGCTCAGCTTGTGAAGCCGCAACCCCCCATGAAGAAACCCACGTCGAAAAACAAGAAAGCGGTTCAGCAGATACCAGTACAGACGGGAGCGGGTAGCTCCAAGAATGGACCTCCTGTTGTGTCGACGCAGAAACAAGCACCCAAGTCTTCTGCAAAGGCAAAGCCACTGCCGCGACAGCCAACACCACCTCCCCGATTGTCTGCTCGAACGCCCGAAATCTACCACGAGGACGTTTGGAATGGAAGAGAATATAGGTCGCCAAGCCCTATTTATCGTCGGTCTTACTCTCCAGAGTCCGCAAGCTACTCAAATTCTAATGCACAATATCCCAATTATTTCGACTATTACCCGTCGTATTCACCGCCACCGCCATCTCATGCGCCAGTGAATCCTTATAAACGACCACGTGATCCAGAAGTGCACCAGCAGACACAGAACCGGTTCAAAGATGATAGAGAGGAGCGACGTTCGCTTGAAGACCGATTGGGGGTATCGTCGCAAATGCACAATCAACAGTCTGATATATTTTCCCGCATTCATGCGACCCCTACCGCTCCCCGAGTTCTTCGTGCCGGGACCAGAGGCGGCAAAGGTGGTCGTGGAGGTGGGCGCGGGAGAGGACAAGGAGAACGGTCTTTGTTCGACCGCATGGGCTGAATAATGGTATGTTGGCGTGTTGTCAGGTCAGTTTTTTTTTCTGTGCTTTCGCTTCAACTTCCTGTGTATCGTTATCCACTTCGAATTACCCAATTTGTAACTTTCTAGCACAAATCCATTGCATCAAGTACTCGAGTATATCAATTGGCGCCACAAATGGAAAGCTCTCGCATTTCCTGCAGTACACTTTCTACTTGGGCGTCCAGTTGCCCAGCGGCGTAGTCGTCACGAATCGAATCGGCGAAATACCTAGAGAATGAGCACGATGGGAGGACAGGAAAGAAAGACAGATTACCGTTGAACACCACTCAATTTCTCGTAACCTTCCTCTGCGAATTTGGACTGCATGCGAATCATCGCCTCGAAGCTCGGGTCGAAGTAGGGTACTCGTAAATCCAGCAGTTGGGGCAGCTCCGCGACCAATTGGTCGTTCAGCATGTCGAAAACCTCCTTTGCTTCGTCGTGCTCTTGCTGGGCCTTGGGCAGCTTCGTTGAGTCTTCGCTGGGCTTGTCGACGAGTTTCCGCATTTTACTCCGTGCCGAGTCGTAGTCCAGGAGCTAACACAGCAATCAGAGTGTGGAGTCAAAGACAAGGATAAAAAACCTTCTTGTTGCGTTTGGCGATGTGGTCGTTAACAACAGGGAAGTAGGCGCACATCTTGCCCAGCGGCTCGGAGATGGTCGTTCGGTATGGGCCGTCCTGGGGGAGTTTAAGTAAAGTAGAGTAAAGCGAAGCAGACGCACCAGTTCTCTCCCGAAGCCACCGTCCAAATCGTCGACCGACCGCTTGTAAGCGTGGCCCGCCATTGCCCCATCGGAGGTCCGGTCAGAAGAGCCGTAAAAGGTCTCGAGCGTCTCCGCTATGCGCGTCTGTGCCGCCGTCATCGCTGGCGAGAAATTAGCCAGAACAAAGGGTCAGACCCGCTGATACTACCTCGCATTGCATCCCAGTAGCTCTTGCTGTCCTTCTGCAGCGCCTGACATTCCTTCTCGAATCTGCCTCATTTCAGACACCAGCCAGCACACACGCCTTGATGACCCACGTTTTGTACTTTGCTTCCTCGTCTGCAAACTCTCGGTCGATTGTCCGCTCGATTTGGCCGGTCTTCTGCAGCAGCTGTAGATCTGTTAGCAATGTCTTGTCGGGATCCAATCGCCACAGTGACACACTGTCGTCCCCGCGCGGTTAACCGACTTCTTGAATCTAAGAGGGTTGAGCGAATGGTTTCCTCCAGTTGGAATCCCAAACTTGCCCCGACCAGCTCATGATGATGATAGTGTTTCGTGAGAAAGAAAGGAGTTGCTAAATATGGCAACACGGCACTTTAGTGGGAAAAAAAGTACCCAAGATGAACTTGTCCCAGTTTGGATTATATCTGTATGTAATACTACCATGCTAGAAAAGAGAAAAAAACTCCGCTCATACTATGCATACAGTGGATATCAATGCGTGTGTAAATGAGTGTGGTAATAAATGGGTGGAATAATAATCATACACAGCTAAGTGATCGTGGTTTGCCGCCTTTTCGAGGCAGGTAGAGTCCATTGAGCAACAACGACGGGATTCAATTGTTGTTGCGAGTATGAGGTCATCAGTGGCGGTGCCGTCCAAGGCATGGCTGCAGGCGGTGGCTGGAAACTTGACGGCGGTCTAGCTGCCCTGCCACGAGCTAAAGAGGTGCTCGAGTGGGAGCGCAAAGAGCCATACGGGTCTTTGTGAGGCGCCAAATTAGCATGTTTCGCATCATCGCTGCTACGTCTTTGGTGCGCCATGTCTGGTCGCCGCGAGGTGGAAGATGAATTCGACGCTCTGCGAGAGGATGATTGAGGGGGCTGGAGGTTAACCCGATCCGAACTCGAATTATTGCTCGGAAGATGTTGTCTGGAGGGCGAGCCGGAAAGAGAAGAGCGACCAGGTGAAGAATCTCGTGACTCCTGTGACCGTGGTCGAGGATATTGGTGGAGCATGAACGGAGGCGTGGGAGGGAGTAATGGCATGTCTAGGGCATACATCGGCATTGGAGGAACCGGCGGCATCAACGAAGGGTTACTTGTCGACCACAAAGAGTACATGGACGACCGGTCAGAGGGCGGATTTCTGCTAGGTAACGAAGCCATTGAACTGCGCTTAGCAGCGTTAGCATTGTGCTGCGGTTTGGATTCCTCTGATGATGAGTGAACTGATGCTGGTCTAGAGGAATTTCGGCCAAAACTCCCCGCTTGATGAAGGCTGGGAGGCCGCGAACTGGAAGGAGATGATGTGTGTGGAGAGCTGGAAGTGCTTCCATGTTGGGGTACTGCTGGTTCTGAAGCTTGACGACGTCTGTCGTGTAAAGGTCGAGAATGGAAAGTCGAGTCAGACTTGTGGCGATCGTCGCGCAAGGAAGCTGTGGAACTAGACGCTAGCAAGGAATTGCCAACACCATAGCTTCCACCAGCTCGTTGGTGCTCCCTTCTGGCTCGAGCAGCAATAACTTCTTCGGCATAAATCCTTTGTCTGCGTTCGTCTTCGATAGCCTTCTTTTCTTTCTCCCATGCTCGTTTTTCCTCTTCCCATTGTCTCCTTTCCGATTCTCTCCGTCTCCGCTCCTCCTCGTGTCTAGCCTTTTCTAGCTCGAAGGCACGGCGCTCTTGTTCTTCACGCAAGAATTTTGCCTTTTCTTCACGTCGTTTTTTGGAACGAAGGGCATAACCGAGTGGGATCACATCATCTTTATCGTCCTCTGCGAAGCGCACTCGCGAGGTTGTCGGAGCGAGTACAGGCGGGTCCGGATTTGGATTCGGAGTTGGATCTACCGGCGACGCTGACTTGAGAGCCGAGTTGCGAAGAGGTGAGGGAGCGACTACGTTGTTTGAAATCGCAGGGGCTAGACAATAAACTTTCAGGGACCAACTACGGGCGGAATTTAATTATGCTCACCGACAGTCGACAGTTCTTCTTGGCCAGTGAACCCTATCATAGCTTCGACGGAAGGGGAAAATTCAAGTTCAGCGACCGCAGCCGACGAGCCTTGTACCGGGCATGAAGCGAAGCCACCATCCACTGGAACCCAAACAACGAATCGCTCTTCAAAACAAGGGCGGGACATCCAGCGACGCAAACCGGGGCTGGTTGGAGTGATGTTGAGAGTTGCTGAATGTGCGCGGATGTGATACCAGGGGAGGGAGGGGGAAGAATCGAGAAGGGTTGGTCGGGGATGGGAGGTAAAAGGTAACAACAAGTTTGAAGGCGTTGATTGGCCGGTGTCGGTGTCGCCTAGGCGCCGGAGTAAGAGCCTTTTATGCATGATCGTCTGCATACTACTCGTAGGTAGGAGGAGCTGAGGAGAGTTGGACGACCGCGGATACAATAGACTGTTGACTGGGCAAGCAAAAGGCGAGGAAGCCCATACTGGAGGAGTTAGGCTGTTCTGGATATAGGTCTTGGCTTTTTCTAGATTCGGCATCGGGGCGGGGTCGTCCTCATCTTCATGTTCGGAGTCAGAGGCGTCTTCATCAGAGTCAAGGTCGGTGACAATTCGAGGTGGAGGGGGTGGCTGGGATTTGGGGGCTGGCGGTGGTTGGAGTTGGGGAGGTCGCCATTGTGGGACATCGTCTGGAATTGGCGGGCGAGCACGTTTGATCGTTCCCTTTTTTCCAAGCCATGTCGACCACTTCTTGGTAGGGGTACGAGAAAGTAAATCTGGTTCCTCTTCTGGTTCTGGTGTTTGGATACTGGCAGAGCCATTAGATGAGGTGGAAGAAGCGGGTTCACTGCCGAAGCTGAGAACTGGAGTTGTAGGAATTGGGGTAAGGACTGTATGACTGCGTTTGAGGTCGGCTTTGGGAGCCTCCTTGTCCTTGTTGCGCGTAAAGACACTCGCAAAGCGCCTCATCACCAAGGACAAGTCGCGATGAACGGTGCGAGGTCAGAAGAAAGCCATAACAATCATGTCACAAAATGACGTAACATTCATCGTTTGCGTAATCGCCACAGACGTCGCTCGTAACTAAGCACAACATTCTCGACCAACTCGCGCTTGATAGCAAGCCACTCACTTACACGTAGTACAACCTCTTCAGCGCCTTCTCCTAGTCGATATTCCTCGCCGGGTTCTAAAAATCCCTCTTCGGCGGTTTGTCGCCGTGTTGCAGTCATTTCCTCATGAGCAATATCCACTACGTATTTCCGCGTGGCCGGAGGACCCGTGTTTAGAGGAAAATATCGATCAAGAAGCTCGTCTGTTTGTTCCAGATCAATTCACCTCCATGGTGCATCATCTTTTACCTACCGCTCCCGTTTCCAACCAACGCTCGTTCGCAAAATACGAGGTACTCGTCCATCGTCTGGTCATCTAGATCTTCGATTGTCCTAAAAAAAATCAAGAAAAAGTGACAGGACATCACAAAACTAACATCTTTCGATGGGGACTGAAGGCCGCATCGCGAGCTGTCCCGTCGGCATCATCGAGCCGTTTGAAGAAAGCCAAGTATTCATCTAGCCGTGGCATTTCGCAGGCGGGGTCCTCGATGTTGAGAGGGAGGCTGCCAGTAACGCGTCAGAAAGCTGACGTTGGGCGCGTAATCACAACTGACCGCCGTTTTCCATCCAGTCCGTATACCAATTTGAGCACGATGATACATGTCGCAGTGAATGCGAGTTCTGGCGCGATGTTGTCATACTTGTGACTTTCAGGATCGTAATCTTTTACTCGCCGCAACGGCGGGGCTAATGAATGGTGGACAGTCAGAGAGAGTGAGAGCCTGGCAGCAAGTCGCTTGACAAGCCTGTACAACGTTGCTTGCATTTAATAAGCATCTTAATAGAAAAAAAAGGAACGTGCAAGACACACGATTTCCACCAAAACACCGCGATACCACTCGCCAAAGTATCGGCGCCGCATTAGCCTCTGGGGTCAATATGCCATAGGTCTCCCGCATTCGCCGGGCCAGAGACGAGACTTGGTCATGGAGATCAACAAGAGAGGGTGCGTTCTTTTAGCCATCTGTCATGAGTTGAATGCAGAATAGCCAGATGATGCTCACCGGAGGAGTTAACGCTTGAATGTTATATTTCGTGAGATGCGAAACCATGTTTTGAGGCAGGAGTCGCATCACATCGAGGTAGGGTAACTCATAAGACTGAACTAGACTTCAAAACGTTAGTCAAAGCACACTTGACAGGAATGGACCCACTCTAACAAGTCTCGGTAAAGAATTGGGATGCGTAGCGTCCAACATGCTAAAACCAGTATCGCAAGGGTACTATACGCTCGGTCGTGTTTATGTCGACCGCGATTTCGTTGACCCTTTGATCTCGAGGTTGTTGTAGTCGTTGGAACTACATCTGGATCCCCCTCGGAATCGGACTCGGATTGCGAATTTTCGGCGAGAAGTTGGTCAATTTCGGCATCATTGTCATCGTCGCTGGAAGACTGTTTTGTCTCCGGGTTTACATGTATTTCCTCCATCTGGATAGACTGTTCTTGGGAATGCGTCGTCGCTGGATCGACCTCTTCTTCTTCACTCGAGCCTTCAGCAAATTCTTCGGGGATTGAATCTCGGAGTAAACTTAGGTGGAGAGTCCATATATCTTTGCATACGACCTGAACTGCGGTCTGTGAATCTGGTCAAACGAATCAAGTCAGCGGTACCTCGAATTGGAGAGGAAGCGTCCATTCTGCAGTCAGGACGGCAATTTGATGCCTAAGGACTAGTTGGAGGCATTGAAAATAGAAGAATCGCCCTTTTTTGCCATGGAAGACTTGTTCATTGATTCAGAGAATATACGATTGAAAAGTTCGCAACAAGTACGTTTCGAGTCTTTGAGTTTCGTAGAAGTATGCTTATCCCTCTTAATGGTGCGCTTCTTGAGTTGGTGCCGAGGGGCGTCCTCCATCTCCCTTGATTCGTTTCTATAGTTCTGGTCCAAGTTGAGTTGCGATTCACTGGCTTTGTAGGACAGACTAATTGACTTGTAGAATGTGGCCTTCACTGCATGCAATAAGACCACTCGACGGTTCCTTATGCCATTGTTTTGAACGGCAAACAGGACAACGACGAGCCATCTTGCTAGAGCAATGATGACGGTTCGCGTCACGTAGTATCACAACTTCTTTTCTTGTCCACTGTGGTCAATCTGCGTACACTTTCGTCTTCAGTCTTCGTCTTTTACCTACCGTCTTTGTCTCCACCCGGAATACGTGGAGAAAATGCGGCTTCTACTCGCCTTATGGGCCTGCTTTGCTTTGCTGGCAGTCGTTTTCGCTTGGGAGAAAGAAGATCATGAAATTTTTGACCTCGTCAGCAGCATTCAGGTGCGCAATTGCTTTCTTTTACGGCGTTGCAAACTTATTCGACTCCTAGGCATCCGAAGGAAAGGATGTAACGTTCTATAGCTGGCTCGATGTGCCCTCCACTGCAACCACCGCTGAAATTGCCAAGGCATATCGCAAGAAAAGCATGGTGCTCCAGCAAGTCATGTTTACTGTACTCGCCAAACGGTATTCATAATTCCTGACAGTCCCGACAAAAATCCAAACGACAAAACCATACAAGAACGTTTTGCACGTCTTGGTGTCGTGGCGGCCATTCTCAGAAACAAGGAAAGCAGAGAAAGGTGCGGCATGTCTTTCCTTAGCAGAGGGCTAGCTGACAAGTCCCGAAGATATGACTTTTTCTATAAGAACGGTGTTCCTGTGTGGCGCGGGACGGGCTACTACTATTCACGTTTCCGGTGCAGTTTTTTTCGTTTAAATCTTATTCCAGTGCCCTGATATATGAGCTCACAGACCTGGCCTCGGGGTACGGGTTTGGTTTTCAAATCTTTAGCGCCACTTCTCATCATTGTAGTCCGTTTTTGTCTTCCTCATTCTCGCCACCTCTGGATTCCAATACGCCGCGCAACATGTCAATTATCGACGGGATCTTAGTAGGATTGAAGACATCGTTAACAACGCGAGGCAAGCTGCTTGGGGTCCGCGCATGGTTCCCATAGATGGAAAACGAAAGGTTTGGCCAACCGTTTGTTACTAAGTTTTTGTTAAAGCTTTTTTCAAGGTCAAAGTCAATCTTGGCGGTGGATTTGAGTCGCAGGAGCGATGGCTTGACATGGTGGTGGATGCAAGCAACGTCTACATCGTGAGTTATGCGTTTCTTACTTTTTTTTTGAACTCAGTCGTGTGCAGTTGGACCCTTCCGGAGATCTCGAGTTGCTCGATGCGTCCACTGCCCCCAAACCGGCTTTTACCAACACATGGTTCTTTGCGCTTGTTCGCGCCCTGTTGTCTTCGGCTATTGGTCGCTTTTCACAACCAAAAGAAACAGAGCAGTCTCACTCCGATGATGATGACACGGCATCTGAGGCACCTGGCAGTGGTACCGTCACCCCCAAAGAGGGACAGCCCGCGGCTGGCAGACGCAAAAGACCGGCAAAGCGGCGGTGAATCGTCTTTATCCAAGTTGCGGAATAGTGTACATGTAGCTACGTGGAATAATATCAGTATTCGCTGGGGAGCTAGAGGACAAGAAATTTGGTCCCGTGACTTTCAACTCTGTTAACACCAAAATATTCTGAATCGCGATACCCCTTTTCACACCACTACTCTCACACCTTCATTGGGAATGGAACCAATTGAAGATGGTCAGCATTGTTCCTCCGAACTCCCACACAAATTTGACGCATTCTATCATACAACAATAGACCAGGATACCTATCACCGTCCCCCATCTCTCTCTCAGGTCTGCACGCGTTTGACGCGTTATTGTCGCGCTCACCCGGTTTATAGTCCTCAAGCTTCTCAGTCGAAAACGATATTTCCGAATGGGCCGCATTTGCACCGAGCCAACTGTTTAGGCCAGCCGCGGAACCAAAAGATGCAACAAATGTTGAAGGGCCCAGCCTGTCTCAAGTATTCTCCTCCCCCACCCAAATACCGTATTCCTAACCTGTCATAGCATTCCAGCTTCTCAGAACTTGGTGGTGTGGACGACATCTCGGACCTGATCAGGATTGCGCCTACTCAAATGGTCCAAGCAGCGTTGCCTGATCAACAACGTGCAACATCCTTTGCCCGGACAGACAGCGCATCTTCCTCTGGCTCTGGCTCGTCTACCGACTCTAAATGGTCAAATGCAACCTCATTGACGAGCGTTGAATCTACGACAACACTTCCCATTGCCAGCACATCCGCTGTGAAACTTGAAACCGTCAGGCGAAATAATGCAGCAACAGAGCCTGAGATTGATCCCAGAAAACGGAAATTTTCGGTCTTCAGCGAGAGCAACCCCAAACCCGCTAAAAAACCAAGACTGCCAGAAGTGGATGACCCAGATGCGCCTTTTATCATTGCATGTCGCGTCTAACTAAGTTTGCGAGTGCTGACTCCTTTAATATAGGCTCATTCCCCTGCTCTGCATCGGGCTATGAGCACCCTCGACCTGCCGTACGGGGTCCAATTCGAAATCAATCGGTTCACCAAACGCCCCGGATACGAACTGAAGGAACCATTGGAAGTTCTAAAAGCCAAAAACAATACCCAAGCCGCATCATTGATACCCGGTCTTTTTGGCCAATCCGAAACTGCAGCGCAAGATGCATTCGCGAAAGAAATAGCAGCAAAGGTAAGGCTATGCCCGCAATAATAATCTTGTTACCACTTCAAGGCAGGCTCCGTGGACCGAGCTCGATCTTGAGGACAGGTACCTCAATGTGAACCCTTTAGCTGGTTTGGGTGAGTTTAAACCCTCCTTCCAAATCCAACTCATGTTGATTCTAGGCCACTTTTCCGAAACGAAAGATTGGTTTGGCGGCAAGATAGACTTTAAAGGGACCATTCACCAAGGATACAAAATTGTCTTAAAACCTCCAGAACTGAGCACATCCAATCGATTTGCGCGGCGTTTCGGATCTGCCCGGTTTCTTACTCTGACCATCGACAAAAAGATGATCAACGAGGGACAGCGGATGATAGACTTTCTGTGTCGACCTTTTGTTCTCTGCGGCTACGTTTTCCGTGCATATGATGCGAAGGACAATAATGTCTTCCTGGTGGCGACAAACGAGGTTGTCGAGGGTCCAGACTCTCGAATCAACCCGCGTAGAACCATCCCAGGGTTTTTGTCCTTGTCAGAATTTTTGGACTGGCATAATGACATCACATTGGACGATAAACAAACGATGGCGAAATGGGCTGCAAGGCAGGCTTCGAGTCCTTGACAAGATTGGATGCTTTCATTGACTTGTTTCAGGTTCGCTTTGGGAAGGTCCAACTCCATTCCTATCTTACGACTGGAAGCAGATGCCATTGTAAAGATTCCTGATCTCGGTCGGTCGGTTTGACCCTTCAATTCTCTTGATTGAATGCGGTTGTATCATCAGAATCGGCTTCCGGGAGCGATATGACCGATGGTGCGGGCTTGGCCAATAAAGCGGCTTTACGGTTAATCTACAATCGGATCGAAATGGATGCGTGGCCGACTGCTGTCCAAGTTCGAGTAGTTGGTAAGCCGTTGTAAGTGCGATCTTCTTGTTTGGGCTGACAGAGATAGGTGCAAAGGGCCTGCTGGTCATGGACCCAGAAGACACGCAAGAGACACCCAAGATTTGGCTACGACCATCCCAAATCAAAGTCAAACACAACTTGGATGAGCTCAGTAGCGCAGACCCAGCTCTGCTTACCATCGACCTTCTCCGAACAGCGCACTGTCGAACGAGCTGCCGCTTGTCAATAGAGACCATAATCAACCTCGCAGAGAACGGAGTTCCTACATCGGTCTTTCTCAGGTTACTTGAGAGCGCCATGGTCAATCTAATCACTCCTCTCATCACCTGGGACGGTGAAGACGCGATGCAAAATTTATGGTATGCTGTCGCACGTACTGGGGGGGTTATCCCTGCGCGATTGGCACGGCAAGAGACTGTTTTGGCGCGCCAAAAAGGCTACGCCGAACGAGAAGTTGAAGAAGATGACGAAGAAGACGACGACAATCAACCTCAGAGCACCGCCTGGTGGGTTGATGAAATATCTGGCTGTCCATCGTCACTCGAAGAGACGGTTCTCGCTCTTCTCGATTCCGGGTTTCACCCCGAGACTTGCTCAGTGCTTCGTGCAAAGCTTGGCAAGGTTGTTGACAGTTGCTTCAACCGGTACTTCGAATCGTATCGGATTGATCTACCAAGTGGCATGTCTGCGACGGCGTTTATAGTTCCGGATCAGTTTGGCGTGTTAGAAGAAGGCGAGTTCTTCTTGAAGAGCACTCATTTCGACTTCTTCACTGAAGATGGATTGCCGACGGAAGTTCTGTGCGGAGATGCGCTAATAACCCGATACCCATGCAAGGTTGGTCTGTCCTCTCTAATCACGCTGGGCAGTCAAAGTTATCGGAGACCCAAAAAGGGCGATTAGTGATCGGACCGGGACCGGACCGAGCGGTTTCTTTGACGCCGTTTTGGGCCTCCGATAACTTGGTTCCTGGTGTGATCAATTCGTTACTGGTGCCAATAGTTTGTTAGCTCCCCACAGATATCCAAAAGGTAGGAAAAGATATCTAATTTTTGGACAACATGCTGAAGAATGTTGCAGTGGAAGGCGGTTGATCGGCCAGAACTAAGGCATCTCACAGATGTAATTGTTCTTTCGACCAAAGGCCAACGCCGTGCTGCAGATTTTCTGAGTGGAGGCAAGTCTATTACCAACTTGGGCTGTCTGAGGCCTGAAATATGCCCCAGGGGATTATGATGGCGACAAGGCACTTGTTATCTGGGAACCAGAGATGGTAGCGAACTTCCGGAATGCACCACTTCACTATTCTGAGGAGCCCGAATCGGTTTCCAAGTCGTTTTCGCCCAATAACGAGACGGTGGCCCAGTTCTTCGAAAGAACCAAGGATTTCACTACCGAAGCTCGTCTACGGGCGAAACAGCAATATCTTTTGAGCGCCATTCGAGATCCAGCGACTGTCGGGCAGTATAGTAATTGGCATTTGAATGCCATTTACACTCTCGGCTACACCCACCCCGATACTATTCGTCTCGCTTATATGTTTGCAATGCCTGCAACTTTCGGGTTGAGTCGTTGATTTTTCATAGGTTCTGCAAGACGTTGGATGGTGCCAAAACTGGGCTTCGAGTCCTTGAACCGATCTACAAGGCTGACAAGAAAAAGTTTGATAAGAGACCACCTGCAGTATGTCTCTCATTGTGAATGCCAGCTATACTAACCAGTGAGTATCAGTGGAAAGAAGGATCAAATTCAAAACGAGGCGACGAGACAAACATGCTTAATATCCAGCGGGATCCTAAATTGGGGCCATTCATAATGGACGAGCTGCATAAACGAAAATGGCACTCCATGGAGTGGAGTCGGAAGCTCAAAGAAGAGGTCGACGCGAAATTCAATCAGCGTAAGCACATGGTGGACGAAGACCTCACTGCACCTTGGCTCTTATTCGAAGCAACCGAGACAGCCAGGATCCAAAGACAAACGGCGGACAATGCGAAAATAGCGACATTAGCAAAGGGAGCACAAAATCATGAAGAGCTGAAGGGAATGGCGGACGAGTTATTAGCGAGGATTGAGAGCATTCCGCAGAGCGACCTGGACCTCATCAAAGAACATGTTCAAGGTGTCTACAAAAACCACGGTGCCAGAATTGATCGTAGGTTACTCCATTATTGGGTCAAGAAGTGTCGTTTATCTGGTCCACAGGAAAGTTCACCACTATGAAGATTGAGAAACGCCAGGACACCCTTCGAGAACTCTCCAGGGAGTTTGCGGATGGTGCGAACAAGTTATCAATGGACAAAGTTTGGATGCATATCGAAATTTCTGACCGCATTTTTTAATCGTTGCAGGACCAGGCTCTTCGGATCATGGCATCGTACGCATACTGGTATGACTCGGAGGAGAGAAAGTCCAAATGGTCGGCGTGGTCTCGATTCCCTTGGGATGTTGCGTTCCGAGAAGTGAGTCAAGCTTTATTCTCGTGGTAACCAGTAGCATGAACGATTGCAGTTGTGTTTGATCAAGACCAAGGCGGCGAAGACGACCAACTTGAAGCCAGTGGCTTCAGAGTTTTACAATAGATTCTATCTCAAGGCTCCCAAGTCACGGACTTGATAGAAGACTGTCCTGTTTTATTTGAGGAAATTTGTATCGCTAGCCACCGTTGTACTTGTACATAGCTTGGTCGAATGGAAAGAGATGTAGTAACCCTCGGTCACGCGGCACGCTGTCATGATTAACTACATCCTCCTCGTTTCTCGTCAAGGCCTGCTTTCTCTCAGCACGTACTGCCCGCCTACTCACGATACAGACCAGGCAAAGTCCGTCTCTCGAAGTGGTTTACAACAACAGCGCCAAAGGCCAAGGCAAAGATTGTCAAAGATGTCACTCAACTTGTCCTTGCGCGACGGACTCGCATGTGCAACTTCTTGGAGTACAAAGGCTGGTGAAATGGAGCGTTTTGGGGGCCGGGCTAATGGTCAACCAGATACGAAAGTGGTCTATCGACGATATGCCTCTCTCTTCTTCGTCTGTGGGATTACTTCGAGCGACAACGAGCTGGTCACATTAGAGGTGTGTGGTTATGGATGCTTGGCAACCTTTTATCGACTTTCACAAGATCATCCATCGCTATGTCGAAGTCCTGGACCGATATTTCGGGAATGTGGGTCCACTTCGCACCCTCTTCGGAACTTTGAGCCGATGAATGGTCAGGTTTGCGAATTGGACTTGTGAGACGCGTGTCAGGTCTGTATTGTGAGAGGGACTGAACCGGAGCTCCGTTTGCACAGGATATTCAATTTTCAGAAGGCATATGCTGTGAGTTTTTCTATTGTTCCTATCCTCCCACTCAAACACGCCCTGTTAGATTCTTGACGAGCTAATAATCTCCGGAGAACTGCAAGAATCGTCCAAGAAATCAGTGTTGCGTGTGGTAGGCCGTCATAGTTTATCCGAAAGTGAGCAAATCTAAGTCGTATCAGGTTACTCAGAGCGACTCGGTCGAAGAGCAGGCGAGTTTGGAGTATAATATTTGGTGGCGTATCACTGGCTTATCTTCTCCTAGGAAAACTCGGAGGACTCGATGGTGAGGCTAGGCTCTCGTAGTATATAGCCACGAGACAGGTGACTAGCATGTATTTTTGTATTTCACTCCAATTTTTTGGGGGCTGTTTTATGCAGATCCGGAGTGGGGCAATGTGATGGATGGTCTCGATGACGTCGACAACAATGAGGAAAAAAATTACTGAGCGGTGCTGAGGCTGGACACCGACCTAAGAGTGAAGGCAGTGGCGCCCAGCCAGCTTATCGATGTTCCTGAACAGACAGATCGGCAACATGCGCTAAGACCATATTTAGGCGGTATTCGTTTGAGTCACTATCTTCTCTCTTTCCTCTTCCCACCATGGCTCAGTCCTACAAGAACGACCTCCTTGCTCCCTACCTCGCTCTCCCTCAGGGCGAAAAGGTTCAAGCAGAGTGTAGGTTGATTTCCCCAGGCTACTTGCTTCTTGTCTCACGATTGGTAGATGTTTGGATTGACGGCGACGGTGGACTTCGTTCCAAGACTACGACTGTGAGCAAGAAGGTCACCGATATTGGCCAGCTTCGCACATGGGACTTTGACGGCTCTTCAACCAACCAAGCCCCAGGCCACGATTCTGACGTTCTTCTTCGTCCTGTTGCCATTTTCCCCGACCCCTTCCGTGGAGGCGACAACATTCTCGTTCTCGCTGAAACATACAACAATGACGGCACCCCCAATAGAACCAACTACCGCCACCATGCCAAGAAGGTCATGGAGCAAGCCAAAGACTTTGAGCCCTGGTTCGGTATCGAGCAGGAGTACACTCTCTTCGACGCCGATGGCCGCCCTTACGCTTGGCCAAAAGGCGGTTTCCCAGGCCCTCAGGGACCATACTACTGTGGCGCAGGTGAGCTTCACGACCGATCTGTGAAATTTTTAACTACAATTTGCTATTAGGTACCGGCAAAGTTGTCGCTCGTGATCTCATCGAGGCCCACTACCGTGCTTGCCTCTATGCCAACATCAACATTAGCGGTATCAACGCTGAAGTTATGCCTTCCCAGTGGGAATATCAAGTTGGACCCTGCGAAGGCATTTCTATGGGCGACCACCTTTGGATGTCACGTTATTTGCTTCTTCGCATTGCCGAACAGTGGGGGATCGTCGTTTCCTTCCACCCCAAGCCTTTGCAGGGCGACTGGAACGGTGCCGGCTGTCACACCAACTACTCGACCAAGGCGATGCGTGAACCTGGAGGAATCAAACACATCGAAGGTGCCATCGAGAAGCTTTCCAAGAAGCACAATGAGCATATTGCTGTTTACGGCGAGGACAACGACCTCCGTCTGACTGGACGACATGAAACTGGCCACATCAGCGACTTTAGCTCCGGTGTAGCCAACCGTGGAGCCTCGATTCGTATCCCTCGTCACGTTGCCGCCCAAGGCTATGGTTACATGGAAGACCGCCGCCCTGCTTCTAACATTGGTACGAGATGTCTCATGCTTGACCCTTTTTGTTTGTGCTGACATTTGGACGCATTAGACCCATACCGCGTCACTTCGATCATTGTCGAGACCACGCTCCTCCAGTAAATCATCGGAGGTGTTTGTGCAGGAAGGAAGTGAAGTGCTAATGAAGTTGATATGGATGGACTCTAGACAGAAAACAAAGAATAAAGTAATGCGCTCTGGTTTCCTTTTCGAGGTGGTGTGACACCTGGCGTCAGTGTGACAGACGCGTCTTATGCCTGAATTCGACCTCGCGTTCTCTGCGTCGCTTACAGAAGAGACTGGACACTTCAAGTTGCTTGAGTTGCCCACAGAAATATGTGCTCTTGTTGAAAACTCTCTGACTCCTTTGAGGTAATGATGCCACTCCCCTGCAAAACCAATTCACAAGACGCGTCTAGATTTTCGGTCAAAGGCCAGTCTAGCGAAGATGCGGTGCTCTGCACACCCGACGACAAGACATACACTATCCGCTCGGTGGTCCTTTCAAATAACATCCTCGTCGTCACATCCGACCCTGAAAACGATGCTGCCGTCGTTGTCCGCGATCAGCTCACAGAAATTTTAGAGCTCACACCTACACTTCCCAAGCTGGAGAAACTGACAGCCCTTCTCCGGGGAAGAGACCTCGACGATGTGGCAGACAACGCGGATGGAGAGCCTGAGCCAGTGCGTCTGATTCAACCCATTATTTTCTTGTCCTGAAAAGCTACTAGGGCATTTCTTACGAAGACGCCAAGTCGCTGATCCAGGCAAGCGACGGAGAACTCGCCAGTACCCTCCGGAAACGGCGCATCCTCGATATCCGCGGCAAACTCCGTCCGATTGCGCCAAGCTACCTCACGACTATCCTCGAGACGATACTCAACCACATCGTCGCGCAGGGGCTCAAGCCAGAGGCCGTCCCCGCCTCAGAGCTCTCCGCGACGCTGGCGGACGAAAACGAGATATCAGTGGCGGTGTCGATGCAGGTCATGACCTGGTTCGGCAACCTTAACGATGGCGTGTGGGTTTTGGATGTTCCCGCTGTCGTACGCGAGATCGGACTGGACATTTTGAGGGCGCAGAAGGCAAAGAAAAACTTCTCATTTTTTTTTGCCTTCGGTACTAACCGAGACACAGCACGAGCCGCTCACGCGGGAAGAACTCTTGCGTCGATGGAAGTTGGCTGTTGGCGACACATTCGAGGCCTCGGTCGCGCTGGACTTGCTTTCGGTATGCTGCTTATACTTCCATTTTTCAGGGCTAACACTCTCAGGGAAACTATCTCGAAACGGCTTCGACAGGCCTGTTCTCTGCCGACACACTGACTTACTTCCCGTCGTCTGCACTTCCGGTGGAGCCAGCGAGTCGCTTTGCGGATTTGTTTCTCACACGACAACGATGGAGAGCAGAGGACATTTCCCCATTCTTATCTGACATTGCGCTCAACAACAAGGAGCGTGACAAGCTGCTACTAAAATATACGAGAACGACTACGGACTCGGGAGGACAAGTATACTACACAAAAAGATGATCACATTAGCCTCTTCGCCTTTTAGACCCGTTATCCATGCCAGGGCGGTAGTCATGGTCTGACTCGGCACCTCGTTTCTTTCGAGAGCTTGACGAGTGGGTGGGTGGGTCATGTTTGAGCTCATCAATGATCGCCCACATTCCCAGTCCGACATTAGAATTCATACGTATATCCGTAAATCTTTTCCTGATGGTTTTGCGAAGAAACTGTATGCAGGCGGCCTTTTCCCTGTCCGCAAAACGGCGTATAACATAGAGTAAGACACCTAGGGAGTCAATAAGATTTGAACGGCTGTCCTAAATCTCCTCACCGATGAAGACAAATTCGATGGGGGAAATACGCTGTTTGTTGCTGAAAGCCACAGACTTCAAGTGTGGTTCTTCCGCGATCCGAGTGTAGTCATCCAGCACACTCTTGATATCACTTCTGAACTCGGGCGAAGGCGCGTCGGTACGACTGATCCACTAGGGTGATGTCAGCAAGTTTGAAAGTTGAAAGGTGACAGACCTTGGTAATCTTTGCTGCAGTAGGCACTTCCTCACTCGGATATTGCTCTGCACAATACACCAGCTGGGCAATATTCTGGAATTGGCGACCTCGCTTAGTGTCCCAGTCTAGAAGGTCTGCAAGACCATTGTCTGAAGCTAATTTGGACAGGTCATCTAGGTTTTCACTGAGAAACTCTGGCACTTACTGACGTATCGGCCCTCGAGTACCGATACTAGTCTGCTGGGAGTTAGAGTCTCTCGGCCTATAACTATTGACTGTTCACTTACGCAGACCAGGGAGAGTCGATCGCCGCTAGCTTTTCTGCTCTGTGCACAAGTCGATTAATGGCTGACGAGAAGATCGAGATTAAACACGACATACGCCGTCAATTGCATGCCCATCTGAACGCGTTGGAAGATTTCTCTTTCAAGGGCAGGAGTAAGATCGGAATGCTCCTCTGTCCCCGATTGAGATATAAGAGCGAAGATCAAGGCTTGGACCATACCACAAGCTATTTGTTTGTCCAAGAAAATCTCCTTGTAAGCGTCAGGTATCAAGAGTCGTTGTTTGGCTGAATCTGGCGAAGTGAAATAATATTGCTTGCTTCGTGACATCTTGTAGGGAAGCTGGCCAACAAGGAACTTTTGAATGCTTGTCAGCCTCTACATAGAGTTAGCCTTCATTATATGCCAGGCGTGTTTACGCACCTGTTTGCCATCCACGCAAACTTTCACAGGGACCCCATCCTCATCTGGAACAATGGCGAACACGAGCGCAGGAATAGATATATTGCGCCAGAGGCTGTCTATGAGAAGACTATTGACCGTTGAGCCTCGGGTCCACGCGGCAATTCTTGGTTTTTTTTACCTCTGCTTCGCGGGTGGCCACACAACATCGCGTTGATAAGGGGGATTGAGATCGATGCTACCCTGCATGATAAGATCAAATAGTTCCCTTAACGTCACTATCTTCTCCAGTTAGAGAATGTCGCGCATTTGAAGGCAACACGAACTCGTCTTTCAGGCGGTGATAGTTCTCCAGGGATGTGGAATTCTCCTTCTTCTTCGTCAGAGAAATCGTCATCCTCGGGCTCGATTTTAGGCACAGTGACAGAGGATGCACTGGGTTGTGGTTGGCTGACGAGAGATGGAAAGAAGGGAGCCGACATAGGACCAAAATAACACAAAGCCCCGTCGAGCGCGTGAAGAGCTGAATGGTAGTGGGGTGAGAGCGGGGGTGTCGCGGAGTTGTAAAAAAATAGGTTCGAGTCTTGCACGCGAAGTCGGAAGAGTACACGAGGAAGACAAAGGCTGCGAATATGGTTGACCGGCAGAATCAACCCTTCACGACATTTGATTGCATCAATAGTCCGGCGATGATGTCACGGCCAGATCGGCGCGCTGTGACTCTCTCTCTCTCTCCTTCGACATGGACGACGAAGTGAAGTTGGCGCTACCAAAGTTTCTCAAAATATTCGCAAATAATGGCATTCCTATGCAAAAGGCCATGGTCCTGGCTAAGCACTGTTACAAAGACTTCGCTTTGCCCAGCAAGCTTTCTGAGATGACGGATGTGAAGCTGGCCTCTCTTGGTGTCGACGACAAAGACTTGCGAAAACAAGCTATCTCCGCGCTCAAGAAAGGTGGTTACATCGGCTCTACCCTTCGTCAGCCCAAGGCCGGCTCCAGTCAGCCGCCCTCTACGATGACTGCCGTTGAAACGCTTGTATGATGCCACAGATGTTCCCCAGACTGCGACGTTGAATGCATTGCCCATAGACAACGCCCACTAAGAAGCGGAAGCGCGCGAAGGCCTCAGATGTCAACGAATTCCTACCAACTCCCAAAGACGAAACGGAAGATGTGGGCAATCTGGAGTTCAACGAGGTCTTGGACGAAGAGGTGAGCTCGCTTATTGGAATATAGCATCCTTTCAATGGGCCAAGGTGCTGCAAACAAAGTCAACGGTCGTCAACCGTGCGCCTCTGCTTACCGCGTGGGCAACTCTAGTAGCCGAAAAACTCGGCTTTCAACGAGAGGAAGCCTTGAGCATCGGTATCAAATAAAACATTAGAGCCCAGTTGTCTCACACACGCGCTAGCCTCAGTCTTTACGGAAATGAACGCCATCTCGAAGGGAATAGCTCTGGGAAAGTTTAAGAAAAATGCTGCAAACGGTATGGAGGCCTCAACCAAAGGAACACAACCCTACGTCGATCTTATGGGTAGACGGTGCGATTTGCACTTAATTTGATTTGAGAATACTAATGTTCGGTAGAATGTAGGTGCTCTTCTGTCTCACCATATCGCTACCTTACTTCTGCCAGACCGCTCTACCAAAACCAGACCTCACAGTGGCGTGGTCTGTCTGCGGGCAACGCCGTCCCACCGAGTACGGCTTTCGCTTACATCTCTCGAGCTTTACGGCAAACGGCACCGCATATAATCGGGGCCATGAGACTGCTTTTGGATACCTACAGTGTGGAGGAAATCAACGCGAAGGGTTGGGGGCTATATGCTGATTTCAGGCCAGATGTGAGTGGATGGGGCGATAGAGCTGAAGTTCGATGTTCCACGATACTGGATCTCCGTCAAACACAAACGGTCAGTCAAGAACGACAACAACCCGCTGTTCAAACGACAGGAAACTTGGTCGACCAACTGTCCGAAGAACCATCACCCAAACGCTCTCGTGTTATGACATTGGAGGAGTACGAAGCAGCCTTAGATGAAGACCGAACGTTTGACAATGTGAACCTCGACTTTGATACCCAATACTAGTCGTGAGAAAATATGTCCTTCAACACTTGCGCAGAACAACCCCAACGATGATTCCTCCAATCAACATTTCCGCCGCGACGACACATTTCACGCCAGCGATCCCTTTTGGTGTTGGGTCCAAAACTTTCATCGTTGTCGTAGGCGAACCAGCCATACACGACGCCTTTTGTTGCAGCTGTGGCTGAAGTATACGCCACATCCTGCAAAGAATGACTGTTCAGTGCGTCAAAAAAAAGTTGTCCATCTGGTCGACGCTTAATGAGGCAAGTCTTGAAATCGTTGAACTCTGTGTGGACCATAATTCGGTTGCCGACTTGGAAGAGGAGGCGATCTTCCCCTTCCTCTCCTTCGCATTTATATGCCTGGGGGAGAACTTTACCGGGGAAACCATAAACGTGTGTAAGTGTCCAAGCCCAGTCACAAGGAAAGCCTTGCCAATCAGCCCTTCGTAGATAACCTTCCATATCCGGCTTGGAGCGCCATCTAGGTCCAGATATGGCAATGTTGGCCTTCGACCATTGTGCTACAGCGGCTTCAATAACCTCTGGTGGCATATCGTCTTGAGGTCCAAACGGTAGGCTTAATTCGATAGTAGACTATAGGAAGTGAGTAAGCCCTTTGACGTGAATGGAAAAACAAGACCACCTGCGGCAGAACGCGTGAGAGTGCTGTCGTCGTTGGAGCGTAAAGCTCCGTGTCAGTGCATTGAAGAAGACCCCGGCCACAGTGATCGTAAATGGCCAATTCACCAAAACAGTTCCCAAACACCGTTATTCCCAAAGTTTCATCGAAGTCGACCACAGGGACTGCCCACAGTGCCACATCAGACGCCGTGCCAGGCGTCCATTCAATTAAGCGCAAGTCATCTGTGTTGACGTTTACAAACAAAGGACGCGAGCGGTGACTTTTGCCGACGGGGGGAGATGCGACCGAAATCCACAGTGGTCGGGTTCCGGTGCTTCCGGCACATAGACCGTACCACGGAGTAGACAAACGCGTCCGCCTTTCGCACAATGGCATAGGCGCAAGACATTCAGTGGAAAGAGACTTAATGCCTGGTTCTAACAGCATTTCCGCATTGACGTCGATAGCCTCAATTCCACGAGGAGAAATGATCATAAGACGAAGCAAAGAAGATGTAGGCTTGCAGGCGGAGACCTCCCAAATGACTGGTGTTTGGATAGTTTTCAGAAAGCCAATGGAATCTTGCACAGAATACACTTCAAGGCCGCCCAGTCGAGCGACAACCAGAATGTCATCGAGTAAAAACATACCATGCGGCACACTCTATAGTCAGATTTGTCAGGCATGGTCTAACGGTAAGAAACACACCTGTCGGTCCATAGCATCCAAACTACCGGGCAGTTGTGAGATTCCAATAAGTTCTTGGGTGGTCCAGTCCAGAAGGTGTGGAACATTGTCTCCATGGCGTACTGCACAACCAACAATATTTCCTGACAACAGCAAGACATGTGAGACATCTTTTATGCAGGCAAGTTCGGTGAATAGATAGCTGCCAGAGGATGAGCAACGCTCGAGAGTCACAATGTGAATCGCAGATATCCTAGATTGGGTTTTCAAGACAGAATCAGTCACAACTACCGGCAGTCTACCGCTCGCTCACTCTGGTCCTAAGCCAAGAGCAATCGCTATTCTAGAGGGTTGAACCTCCAGTTGAACAGTTTGAACTCGGCCGGGAAGGTAACCAATTGCAATCGGTCCAGTGTGGCTATCAAAAGTCGAAGTGATGTCCCAGCAGCCAATCCCACTGGTAGAGTTGTCAGAGAAGGTGCAGAAGAGCCAGCGCCCTGCAACCAGGCGAAGCCATGTGATTGACTGAGGGAGGTATAATCGGGAAACCTTTGCTGGAGAGAGGTCACCAGCCAGCCATTTTTCTTGTAGCTTCTGGGCCCGCCATGCAAGAGCCTCGAGCTTTGGAGAATGTAGTCCATGGTATCTGGCAGGGTCGTTATTGAGCAAGCGGAGCCATATGACCTGCTCCTGAGTCATGGCATATAAACGAGAACAAACCTAAATTCTTCCAGACACCAGTGAATGAGAAGGATACTTCCATACCTGCCGCAATATGAGGATCTCGCTCACTGTTAACATAACGCAAATGTCTAGCAGCAAATCGGTTGGTAGTTGTTCGAAAGGCATGGTCACGTTGTAACAGCGTGACTCAGTGCCATTGCAATGGTGGATCGTATCGCTGGGGACAAAACTTTTCGAAAGGTTTCACAAAAATCTGTAGGATGAGTCCGATGCTTGAACAATTTACATAAGTAAAATCGATCCTGGTACCATTGACAAAATCGGGGCGTTTGATGCTAACCTCATTGACATAAAAGACATGACAAACAACGACAAGCGAGACGCATAGACAGGCAAAATACTTGTTTGCAAGATCAGCGATCAACAGTTATAAGTTGGCATCAAAAGGCACGTTCGGCACGGGTGGAGATTAGTGCAAGGCAAGTGCAAGGACAACTGTGCGCGGCCAATCCTCTCGCCTTGTAAGTGTACCTCCTTTTGACAGAAATATCGCTGCCTTGCATTTTACACACGTCTCAGATGATCACGAACTGTCTTTTCTCACCGCATTAGCTTTGCAGAGGAAAATAAGGCAGCGTCCCCAGTTTTGACCAACTTAGCTGAACTTCCGCTTCGGTACAGAATAAGTTACGCATCCATAGGAACACTAGTAATGTAAATCACTCTAAATGTCTAAAGATGGCGGCTCATAGAGCATTGATGATCGCCGAGGTGAATTCTGAGGTCGTGGCGGAGCCTCCCATGTCTGCGGTGCGGACTTTTCCAGCGTTGATGACCTCGAAGGTGGCCGACGCAATTTGGTTGGCAAGTGGGTCGAGTCTACGATGGTTTTATTGTCAAGGAGGCAAACTGAAGAGAAGCAATACTTACCCCAAATGTCTCAACATCATGGTTGCACTGAGAATCATAGCAGCAGGGTTGGCGCGGTTTGTGCCCATGATATCGCTAGCGACGTGTCTGCAGCCAGGTTCGAACAGAGCATATTCCTAGCAATGGTTGAATCGGTTGTTTTTCACGCAAAGACGAACACCGACAGATCCAATGTTGCAGCCAGGGACAATGCCAGGCCCACCAACTAAAGCAGCTCCGATGTTCGAGACAATCGCCCCGTACAAGTTGGGCATGACCATGACATCGAATTGCTGTGGTTTGGCCACCAGCTGCATTGATCTGAATCCAACGTCAAGGGTGGAACGTAGACACTGCTTGAAACACACGTGTTATCGACAATCATGTCGTTAGACTCGATACCAGCAGACTTGTACTCTTCTGCGACGCGGCGGAACGTGTTGAGGAACAAACCATCACCAAGCTTCATGATGTTTGCCTTGTGGACGCAAGTGACTTTCTGCCATGAGTGTTGAGCGAAAGATAGCCGTGAAAAAGGTGGTGATTGCAGACCTTGCGGTTGTTTTTTAATGCGAAATCGAATGCGAAACGAGCGATACGCTCCGCTTTTGCCCGAGTTGACACCTTCAAACTCTCTACAACGCCAGGGTAGCTCTGATGTTCGAGACCTGAGTACTCGCCCTCAGTGTTTTCACGGATGATAGCAAAATCCACGTTGGAATGACGCGTCGAGAATCCTGGCAACGATTTGCAAAGGACAACTGAGGCGTAGATGTCGAGCTGCTGGCGCATCGCAACATTCCAAGAAATGTGACCTGACTGTGAAATGGGAGTAAAAAGAATCCCTGAGGCACAGTGGTGAGCATGCTGATTTATATAAGTAAGCGTGATAACAGACTCACCCTTCAATCCTACTCTGTTACGCTTCAAACTATCCATAGCCTGCTTGAATAGTGCCTCGCCCGACGAGGACATTCCAGAGACATCGTATTGCTCCCATTCGATAGGTGCATTGACGTGCTCGAAAATTTCCTTCACCGAGTCGGTAATTTCTGCGCCGATACCGTCACCAGGAATGAGGGTGACCTACAGCAGTGAGCGAGGTTTTTCTTGTTGGAGAGGAAGGTGATTACGGTGTAGATGCCGCCATACTTGGTTGTAGGCTACAACAAGACTCAGTCATGGATGAAAAACTGCCACATCAATCTATCATACCCGTTGGGAGACCTTGGAGAATGCCTCGGGGGCGAGTGTGGTGGCCGGACGCTGCGAAAAAGGATTGGAAACACGACAGATAACATTCTAGGCGAGTCTACACACCGAAAGAGCTGACCGAGAGGCAGAAGTGAGCGCTGAGCGGAGCATGGTGGTCGAAAGAAGAAGAAAGTTGGCACAAGCCGATCTTTCCGAAGTCGAAATCAGGTGCCAACTTTCCCCCCTGTGTGTTGTCATCTCGCTTGCTCATGGCTCTCACCATTGACGAGGAGCCGGACGTCCCCAAGCCCACTGAAAGGTCCTACTACATTGTCGCTCTCTTCTTGCTACCCTTCCAACTCGTCTCTGCTATTTCTTGGGCCTGTCTTGCTTATTCGTTGGTCTGGGGAAATGTCTGGTCATGGAAATTCGCTCTGGCTGCTTGTGAGGTATACCAAAGACTAATAATGACAACCAAGGTTTCTCAATAATCGTAGGCAATATTCTCCGTGTATCATTGGCATCTCTCGAGACTAGCATCTCAACCCTGGCGCCACGGAACAGGTTTGAACTAACAAGCATCTATCCACATTGCTCACATCCTACAGGAAGTTTGGCCCAACTCCAACTTTCCTACAATCGTGTTCTTCAGTGTGGCTTAGCGAACCTGCCCGAGGACGGCTCTGAGTCCCACCGACCTGCCAGCCCAACGTACCCCATCACGCAACTTGAGTGGGACGACCCCCGCGCTGTCGACTTCCGTCACACACTGCGAACGGTTCGAGATCATCATCTCACATGAGCCACGAAACTGACATCAAGAAGTGGTTCAACAGAGTCCCTTTCTCAGCGATCCGTCGTTTTGAAGTCCGCCAATGGTTATACTGGTCGATATTCGCCAAGGATCTCCCAGAAACCATGCCCCCAGGTCATCAAGCAATCATTGACGATTCTTTGCGGAGATTAGAGATGCGCGTCGGCGGCAAAATACCAGAAGGCTCCAATCCTAATGCTCCACCAATGCGAGTTACCCTAGACGAAGTTCAAATCTCTACACGACCACTCTTTTTATACGCACTCATTTTCGCCGTTAACTGGTGTTTACAAAAGTACTACGGGATTCGCTATGGCCTAAAATACGGGTCATATCAGGATCTTGAGTATGTCAACATCATTTGACGCAAGCAAAATGGTCTTATCTTATTTCAGGTATCTTCTCTACATTCCCAACGGTTGGGATATCAACACCGGCCCACAACCAACTATTTTCTTTCATGGCTTAGGGCTTGGGCTGCTTCAATACCATCCATTGCTCATGGACCTTCGCCATCACTTCAAAGACCGTCCACTCCTGTTCCCCCTTCAACCGCATATCAGCCAGAACATTTTCCACTCTAAATTCTTGGGTACGCGTCTAGTATAGATATCTTTCTCCGCGTCTGAAACTAGTTTCAGACCCTCCTAGCAGACGAGACTTGGCTGATCTCTTTGCTGGACTCCTTCATCAACTAGGCTGGGTGGACTTGTCGTCTACGGATGAAGATCTGAGCAGGGACGCAAGCAGAAGCCGAACCGTTACAGTATTGAGTCACTCCAAGTGTGTATGTCGTTTCCTCCTCTTGCCAAGTTCACCATACTTTCAGCGGGTCGTATATGCATACGTGGTGTGTCAAGGCCTATCCAGAGCTTATATCGCGGTCCTGCTTCGTTGACCCGGTCTCCTTGTGTCTCTGGGAAGGCGGTAAATATGTTTTGTTTCTGCTTGTTCAAAAATTTATAAATTCTGGCAGATCTACCTCACAACTTCCTCTATCAACCACCAACTCACGTAAGCAATTTTGTCTCTGTTGTTGTGACTTCTTTTACGTTCTGTTTCTAGGGCGTCGGTCTGATTGTTCGATATTTTGTGGGACGAGAACTCGGCACCGCTGCCCAGCTCTATCGCAACTTTGACTGGTCCTCGAATGAGTTGTGGTTCGAAGATATCCCCAACGCCCAGGACCCCACCAAAACCTTCTTTTTACTTGGTGGAAATGACGCAATCGTCAATTCTCCGCGCGTTAGAAAATACTTGTCGTCGCATGGTGTACACAAGGGACTATGGTACGACGAAATGGCTCAACATGGTGATGCTTTGTTGCGCGGAACAAAGGGGCACGCCATGGTCTTAGATTGGTTGAAGCATAACTACTGAGGACTGATGTTGTAAACTAGAGGGTTGCTATTAATCTGGATGTTTTCTAAAGAGCTGGAGAGCGTTGTCGAGAGTGATGGCTTCTAAGTCTGGTTTGTTATCTCTATAAAAGTCCTCCAAATGCTTGGTGTACCACCCCGCGGTCTCTGCACTAACAGCTACGATGATATTGGTTCATGGCATCAACCTAGGTGTTTGCCCTCACCTGGAAAGTCTGTTCCAAACAAGATTCGTTCTGGTCCCACGAAAGACTGCATCAGTCTGAGCGTAGTCGGATGTGCACTTAGCGCCGATTCAAAATAGAAAGTTTGAAAGTCTTGTATGACTTGCTCAGGACTGAGGATTCATTAGTGCCGCTTATTTAGCTATAACACACCTACCTCAGTTCGCATCCCATATGAGCTGAAAGTGCCGCCACTCGCGCCGCCAGAAATGGTGTACTCCCTCCGAGATGAGCGAGAATTATTTTCGTGTTGGGATACTTGCGTTTGCGACCGCTGACAACCAGATGTGCCGCTGCTTTAAACGTTTCCCCTGGCACCTGGAATCATCAGAACAAGGTACCATCGAAATAAGGCTGTACCAGAAATGTACCTCGGTCACTGGAATTCCCAGAAATGGATGTGGGTAAGGAGTAGACGACGGGGTCTGTGCGCCATGGAGGAAAACAACGGTTCTGCGGTGATTCAATTCGCGCCAGATCGCGTCGAACAAGTCGTCTCCAATGTAGACTGTCCTTTCGGTGAGCTATTTCAAGGGCAAGTGTGGAATCATAGACCCGCATCGTCTCCTTCTCCATAACACGAAGACAACGAAATCCCATCAGCACCCAACTCGTCCAGAGCAAATGCAATTTCCGCAAGAGCACCTATCCGGTTATTTCTAGTCAGTAGCAAGTTTCAACACGCGTCTTACCTTCCACATCGCGCAAAAAGGGAAGTGTAGCGAAGAAGCCGAATCTGGTAGGGTGTGTTCGACAGATTTCGGCCATCGCAAGGTTTCGCTGACGCGTCTTTTCGCGATTTTCGGTGCTTATAGAGCCGCTGGAGATGGCTGGAAAGCTTAGAATGGCCACATCAATGCCATGCGCGTCCATATACTTGAGGCTGACTTGGGGGCTCCAAGGAAGGTTTTCTGCTGGAGTCAACCATCCGACCTTCTTACTTGCGTTCGCCTTGTCGAGGGTCGCCTCGAAGTAATGGTGGTGGATATCGATTCGTTGAATGGGTCGGGACTGCCAATGACCACTAGGCATCGAGGACAAGAACAAGTAGTGTTACTTCGACTGATCCGAGCTTGAGCTTGTGGTACATTCTTTTTAGACAGCTTCTCTAAATAGCGCACACTCATCGGCATCCCAGCTAACGAATTGGCCGCTCATGCTTTTTGGCGCCGAGATTGCCAAAGATGCAATTACTCGAGCGGGGTCCTCGGCCTTGAGCAATTCTCCATTCGCATGCACTGAAACAAACTTTTCGTGGTCTTTGGCGGACATATGCGGTGCTCCAGTTTCTCTGAGAGCTACCTGCATCTATAAAGCCTTTTAACAAAGGTACTATGTATGATGATAAGTCAAGCTACCTACCGCCGTGTCCACCATGCCTGGCCGTAGAGCGACGGAAGTGATCGTTGGCTCTTCTTCCGACAGAGTCCTGACGAAAATAAGTGAGTCAAAGAAAGATTGATCCCCACTGAACAATTTCTAACCGACAAAGTGAGTTCATCGCCGCTTTTGACGCGTTGTATGGTCCCCATCCTGCTGTACCTTTAGTAGCAGCGCCAGAACTGACGAATACGACACGTCCTATTCTGAACTTAGACCCACACCCTAAGTTATGGAGAAAATCGCTTGCCTCCGTGCTTGCTGTCGCGTAAAGAAGGAAGGGCGGCTTGCAGGGCATCGACGAGCGAAAAGAAATTGACATCAAAATGGGTTTTCCACTTCTCCAGTCCGACTGTCCTGTCCCCAATGCGACAAAGAGGTTCAAGGGTGGCTGCGTTGAGAATTAGCCCATCAAGACTAGAAAAAGTCTTCAGTGCTTGATCAACGGCGTTGGTAATGGCCGCGGTATCAGTGCTAGGATTGGCATTTCAGGTAGTGTTCAGAACAAAAAAACGGTCTTACACATCACCATCGACGATGAGCAGCTTATCGCAGGCCAGAGCCAAAAGTTCTGGGGTTCGAGATCGTTGGAATGCAACAACGTTCACGCCTTTACGAAGGAGGACGGCTGCGACAGCAAGTCCAATTCCCTATTCCTTTGAAAAAGCCCGAAAATTGACTAGCTGCTAATGCGCATTACTTTTGAGGCGCCAGAAATGAATACGGTTGGGGTAGACATGTCAGAGTTCGGCTGAAGACGGGTGCCAATTGGTCACGCGTTCATTCTTGTCTTCTCCCCAAAATTTATGGCTTCTTTGGCCTTTGCCCGCCTAGTGCGCTCTCGTCCTGCTCCGGCACTGGCCGCCTCCAGGGCATTTGCTGCTCGTCGCTATGCTTCTTCTGAGCCAGAACACACGGTACGAACTGCTCATTTACTTGTTTCGACGTGTCAGGCAATGAACATTGAATAGATGACCGTGCGTGATGCTCTCAACGCGGCAATAGAGGAGGAGATGCTGCGGGACGAGAAGGTGTTCATTCTGGGTGAGGAGGTCGCGCGTTACAATGGTGCCTACAAGGTCTGTTACGCGTGTGGTCATTGCAGCGAGCGTCTGACAATGCTTGCCAGGTCACAAAGGGCCTGCTGGACAAGTTTGGCGAAAAGCGTGTCGTAGACACGCCAATTACTGAGATGGGTTTTGCGGGCATTGCGGTTGGCGCAGCGCTTTCAGGTCTTCGTCCAATGTTGGCCCCCTTTTATGTTTGGGTCCGCGGCCTCTAACTCAAATGGACAGATGCGAGTTCATGACTTTCAATTTCGCTATGCAGGCCATCGACCAGATAGTCAACTCTGCGGGCAAGACATACTATATGTCTGGCGGAAATGTACCATGTCCAGTTGTTTTCCGTGGTCCTAATGGTGCTGCTGCTGGTGTAGCTGCCCAACACTCACAAGACTACGCTGCGTGGTACGGCTCAATACCTGGTCTGAAGGTAGTAAGCCCATGGAGTGCGGAGGACTGCAAGGGTCTGCTGAAGGTTTGCATATTGATCTTAGTCTTTTTTGTTCGACTGATTTAATTCTTAACCAGTCTGCCATTCGTGACCCTAATCCCGTTGTCTTCTTGGAGAACGAGATGTTGTACGGTGTCTCCTTCCCTATGTCGAACGAGGCCATGTCCGACAACTTCCTCCTGCCTATCGGCAAGGCAAAAGTGGAGCGCGAGGGCAGTGATGTGACCATTGTTGCCCACAGCAAGATGGTCACCCACAGCATCGAGGCTGCTGACGCACTCGCCAAGGAGGGCATTAAGGCGGAGGTCATCAACCTGAGGAGTATCCGCCCACTTGACATCGACACGATCATCAAGTCGGTCAAAAAGACGAACAGACTCGTCATCGTTGAGGGTGGTTTCCCTGCATTCGGCGTTGGCAGCGAGATTTGTGCCCAGATCGTGGAGAGTGAGGCATTTGACTACTTAGACGCCCCCGTTGAGCGAGTCACTGGCGCCGACGTTCCTACACCAGTAAGCAGATTTGCTTTCTTTCCTTCTCGGAATATTTTGTCTTACGCCAAGCACAGTATGCTACCAATCTTGAAGTTCTTTCTTTCCCCGACACCCCGCTTATCACCAAGGTCGCGAAGCGGGCTCTCTATCGTACTAACTAGGCTTTCGTTGTTTTGCTCTCCTACACCAATAGATGCTACTATTTTCTGTTAGTCCCGTAATCGAATCCGTACCGCGTTCGCGTGGGCTTCTAAACCTTCACAGTCGGCCAATGTCGCCACTACAGGGCCGAGCTTTTGCAAACCCGTTTGCGTGATCTCTTGGGAAGTGATGTGCTTTTGGAACGATTGGGTGTTTACACCGCTAAACTGTCGCGCATAACCGTTCGTTGGCAAAGTGTGGTTGGTGCCGGACGCGTAGTCTCCGCAACTAAAAGCCAAAATGAGCAAAAAAGAGAACAGCGATCGTTGTGGACTTTCACTCGTACCTTTCAGGTGAAAATGGACCAACAAAGACACTGCCTGCATTTTCGACGAAGGCAACTGTGTCATGGGCATCCTGGAGGTGAATAATCAAGTGCTCTGGCGCGTAGTCGTTGGAGAATCTGAACGCCTCTTCGACGGATTCAACTTTGACGATGACGCTCTTTCCAATAGACACCCGCACAATGTCGACGCGCGAGAGAGCATGGGCTTGGACATCGACCTCTTTTTCTATCGCTGCCAGTTTTTCGGCGTCTAGGTTGACAGCAACTAATACGACCTGAGAATCGACCCCATGTTCTGCCTGGGACAGCAAGTCTGCAGCGACAAACGCTGGATTAGCTGTGTGGTCAGCAATGACCTGTGTCGACGTTAAAACATCAGATTGACAAAAAAAAATTGAAAGACATACCAAAACCTCGGACGGTCCGGCTGGCATATCGATAGAAACCAAAGCATCGGTGTCGTTTTGCACGAGCATTTTTGCAGCAGTGACCCACTGATTACCAGGTCCAAATATTTTGTCGACTTTGGGAACAGATTCTGTACCATATGCCAACGCAGCCACTGCTTGTGCACCTCCAGCCTTTAAAACGGCAGATGCTCCAACGAGGTTTGCCACATACATGACCTCTGGGGAAATGCTGCCGTCTTGACGCGGAGGAGTTGCGATCACGATGTCTTTGCAGCCGGCAACCTGGGCCGGAATGCCGAGCATTAAAGCAGTCGACGGAAGGATTGCCGTGCCTCCCGGAACATAAAGTCCAACCCGAGCAATCGGGCGTGCAAACCGAGAGCAAACAACACCAGGCATTGTTTCGACCGTCAGAGTCGTTCCGTCAGCTTGGGCTTCATGGAACTTTCGAATATTGGCATAAGCTGTGCTAATAGCCTCGCCCACTTGAGGATCAACTTGCATTGTTTCTGGAGAAAAAGGTGGTAGGAGGACTGTTGATTCCAGCTTCACCTTGTCAAATTTGGCTGTCAGTTCGAGCAGTGCAGCGTCTCCGCCAGCCCGAACTTGCTCTACGATCGGTTTAACTTTGTTGATCATTTCGTCAGATTTAAGAACGGGACGACGAAGAAGGGCAGCTCGTTCATCGGTTGACACAGTCACGAGGTTATAGCTTCTCATTCGAATCGGTGCGTCCTCTGCGACGATAGCCTTTGCTGGCGGTGGCGGAGGGGCAGCTTTCGACCACTGGGGCTTCGCATTTCCGGTTCGCCTTGTAACCCGACGAGCCTTTTTGTCTAGTGAAGCTTCAATTTGTGAGATTCCCACGCCAGCCGAGATACACTTCGTCAACGCGAAATATAACAAATCAGCAGCCTCAAACGCTATGTCCTGCTTATTATCTGCTCGACAGAGTTCGTCCGCTTCTTCCATGATTTTCGAGCGAAGGAGTTCTGGATCATTGAAAAGCCTGTTCGTATACGAGCCTTCTGGCGCAGACTCGAAGCGTGAACGCAGTGTGTTTTCTAAAGCAGGGAGCCCGCGTGCTGCGCCAAAGCAAGATTGGCGGTTGAGATGGCAGAAGCCAGCCCCATGCTGACGGACGGTGAATTCGAGACTGTCAGAGTCACAATCAAGACGAATGGCTACGACGTCTTGTGTAGCGCCAGATGTCTCCCCTTTCCTCCAAAGACCATGTTTGCGGGATTGGTAGACCCCTTTGCCGGTAAGAATACTCTCTTTGACTGACTCGGGTGAGGAATAAACGAGGCCCAGCGAATGCCCAGTCTCTGAACACACGACTGTGGGAAATAAGCCATCGGGACGATCAGACACAATTGGGGCAATAAACCCGTCCGCTATGTTGAGTTGTGTAGGGGAAGATGGGCCAGTCGTGAGTTGGGATGAAGGGATGACGGCAATGGCGCCAATCCCAAGTAGGCCACGGATCAAAGAGACGGTTGGGGAAGTAGAGGGCGTAGAGAGAACATAGACCGAGGACCCAGAAAAGAATTTCGAGATTGAAGCAATTAAATCTAGGTCAATGGAGGGTGTTTTGAGTAGCACACCAGAGACCGCGTTGCGCACTTTGTCCGAAACGGCGCTGATGTTGCCAACATCGAGCAACAGCAGTAAGCGATCGGAAGAGATGACCTCGATGAGTTCTTTCGCCCACGAAAGTGGCGCGATGAGCTTAGAGGCGCCATTGTCCAGAAGGGACACCGCGTCTTCAAGGACAAAAGGTTGGGTATTGTCGATAAGGATGTATGTATCTGGTGGGAGGGTGGAAGGGAGGGAATGAGACAAGGGTAGGGCGATAGGGCCAATACGGGCTAGGGAGGTGAGTAGCGGTTCATGGTCCGACTCAATGAGAGGGAGAAACACGGTCATCGCGTTTGACAAAATCGAGTCACGTCCACCAGCTTACGTATGCAGAAGATATGCACTTTTGACGCGAGAAGGACCGCAAAAAAACCGGCATCTTGCCCAATAGAAGGGAGATGAGCTACGAGTGATAGGTACGTGGTCCTGGCCCAGCTAGGCACCCAAACCCGCTGAAGAGGTAAGGCTCTATGACTTGAAGATACAGCCCTTATCATATTCACTTAAAGCGGAATGTCGACACGTGCTCTGTGGGGTAGTTGGTTATCCCTGTGGATTCTGACTTGACTCATCTTCCACCAACCCCGGTTCGAGTCCGGGCAGGGCCTGCTGGTGGTCGCTGATCACTTTTGGTTGTTCGGCGCATAATTCTTTTTTTTTTTTACAACCATTTCACCTGTCTACTCGCCGCGCTTGGCCCTCAACCACCAGATACCAGCATTCAGATATGTTGCAAATAACAGCCAAGCACAATATGGCAACAGCAGATAAGATGCCAGTGATGAGACTTCTCCAATGGTTTTCTAGCAAACAATGTCAACGAGTAATGAAATTGCCAAAAACTGTTCAGTTACAGTCATGTAAATGGTTGTTCCAGTCAAGGCAACAATATCAAGAAGTGCAAGGCCAGGCTATCCATCCTTGCTTAGGACCATATGCATATATACACAAATGGCACACCTGTTTCAACCCGAAGAATAGAGGCGACCAAAGTAGATTAAGCCCAAGCTGTGCATAGTACAGTGCCAAAGCCCGATTGGCGCTAATGAAGTTGAAGTCCACGACAGAACAGATAAGTGACTGTGCACACCTTGGCATGCCAGCATCAAGTGCGTTGACTGTCAAGTGGGAAGCATAACCCATAGCTACCTTTATTATTGATATCATCCATAGGCAGCAGCATAGGGCACATACACACATAGAGGAGAGGCCAGACAATTGGGAAGACCTGGCGTGGTGGTCTTCCAGGTGGGACACGCAAATTCTACTTACATGCCAGTAAGTTGATTAGTGTCTGACGAAAACTTGAAATTGTCCTGCCTTGTACCAATTCCCGCGAACAACTTTTGCAGTCGGGTAGCCACTGAGAAAGCCAAGCCCGAGGGGCAGTCCTACAGCAAACAGAGGTACGCGAGCAATGACGAGCAAAAGGTTGGGCAAGCTAGTCGACGTCATGAGCAAGAAGCCGATCGGATGCAGACGATTCAGAGCCAAGGCCGAGCGAGCAAAAATCATGGATTACATAAAATACGCAAGTCTGGCTAGATGAAGGGCTTGAAGTTCTGCTTGAAAGCCTCAAGGGCGTTGGCCGGTGCCACCTGTTGGTGCCTCTGGAAAGTTGGCCACGCCTAAGTAGTGGGTCGCATGGTTCTCAGCACCAAAGTAGTCGACTCCAACTGATAAAGACGCGGCAATCAAACATCATCACTCTCTCGCAAGCACGCCCACTTACTGCCAAACTGCGCATGCGGAGACATCGCTGGATGGACTTTTGCGCAAGAATTTGGCTCAAAGGCTTTAATTGGAGTCTGATTGAACCACCCGCCTGTCCACTTTATACCTCATTTGCTTGACAGAAATATCGCAAGCTGACGCGTAACGTCCTCCCAGCCAACTAGTCAGCCTAGGCAAGCTGACTCTCTCCAAATGCGACGCAACTGACGCCGCACCGTCTTCTCGTCCGAGCATAATGTCACGCCTCAATTCACAAACGTGTCCAAGCACCCTGCTCAGCATTATCTCTGTTCATCGTCTGGCTCGCGCTTAAGGAAATGAATTCAATGCTCTCTCAGCGTGTTCTTTCACGCCGCTCCGAGTTCAACGCCGATGCTACTTTATTTCCTTGCTGGACACTGGGCCCTTGAGCGTCTTTCCTGGTTCACCTTCTCCATGAGCCGGAACATAAGCTACAGGAAACCTGCGCCTCTGTTTGTTCCCTCCCCAGAGCCATCGCCCACAATACAGTCCCCAACTGCTCCGAAACTGACGGTACTAATGTCGCTCGGAATTTTATACGCCTGTTGACCGTATAGCAGCTTCTGTACTCGCATGACAAGCCCCTGCCACTCCCTCCACCACTTCCTCAAGTCGCACCTCCCGTTTATGTCGATACGGCTCAATCCACTATCCCGCACCTAGTACGCTTCATGTGTTGTGTTATAGCCCTCGTTTTTCATTCTACATAGACTTATCGTCCGCCTACCCCACCACGTCGCCGTCACCAGTCCTTGAGCTTGCTCGACTCCAACCCACAACATGACGCTCTCCGTCCTATAGGCATTTTCCCTTCATATATGCACAAAAAACTGTTGAACAGGGAGGAAATGGGAGGGGAAAAGAGGACAATTTGAGATTGAACAAGTAGCTACTTAAGTACATATAAACTACAACAGTGTCTAAACTAGTCTGTTGAAGGGCATGTACATATGAAGTACAAAGTGGAATGAACAGAAGGGGAATGGCAATCTGAGAACAAGCGCTGTTTCCGAGAACGGTCCGGGTGGCTGTGCATGCCGCCGGATTGAAAGTCCAACAAAAACGACCTTATAATCTGCGGCTCGACACGAGTTTTGCTCCGACTGTTGATGGGACGTTGTGGAGCACCTCTCCAGGCTCTCTCTCAGCCACGAGTTGGCACCTTCTCCAAATGCCGGTGCATTCATCTGCTTGGTGGGAGCGAGTCCGGATGTTTAGTGTTGCTATTAGGAATAAGTTGAAAGGATCGCGCATATACGGGGCCTTCCTGTAGACGCTAGAGCTGGCTAAGGACAGTAGGAATACTGCGATTTTCTCTTGGTGTGATCCATAGAGCCTAATATGGAAATTGCTTTTCGTTGGGTCGCCTATGACGACTTGATCTCACCCTTCCACTCCCAATTTCGATGCCTCTATAGGACTGGCGAGGAGTAGCTTGCAATGAGCTTGCAAGACGACAATGCTGATGAAGTGCAAACCAAGCGCGAAGCCCCAGGCGCGGGTGAGCAGGACCGCCCCGTTGCACGTTCGTTGGTAAGAAGTCGTCCAGGTGGAAAAACTTATCGGTGCGACTGAACAAAACAGGACGAGTTTCGGCGGGCTGAAGGTCGCGAAAACCGCAAACTCAAACTAAAAACTCTTTGGCAACAATTGCCGAAGCTTTACTCGACTGACGCTGGTCCAACCAACCCACAGTCGGCCGCCCTTCAAGACACAATAGACCCGGAGACCGCCCAGCAACTCATTTCTGCGTATGAAAAAGAGCTGATACGGAAATGCGGTGGCCATTCGTCAGGCACAGCACCTATAGAGTGGAAGGAGTTTCGTAGATATGCCGAAGCAAAAGAGACCGGTATTCTTTTTGACATCACCTTTTCCCGTTCTCAACGTTGCTAGAATTGTGGCACATCTTCCATGACGAACTAGATCTCGATGGAAATGGCAAGCTGGATGCGCAGGAGCTGAGGTCTGCGTTGGGCAAAGTCGGTTGGTCAGCTTTGTACGGACTGTCCTCGGAGTATGCTCACCAGCGACCCAGGAATCAAGCTGTCTACCGCCAAACTCCACGAATTCATGGCGTATCTGGCGACGAATCCACACTCCAGCTCCATCAGCTTTTCGCAATTTCGTGATTTCCTCTTACTTTTACCTCAACGAGCTTCACCCTCTGAAATCTACCGCTATTACGAGCTGAGAAGGTATCAAGATGCCCGTGGCGCAGCCCGCGTCAACATGGAAGGTCCGTGGCTTGACTTGCGATTTACCAGGATTCTGAGCACATTCCACAGGCGATGTCAGTCTGAGTGGTGAAGACCGGCCCACGATTCAACTAAAGGAGAGGAGCGGCTCAATCGCAATAACACAACAACAGCAGCAAGCACCTCTACATGAAGACGATGGAGAATCGCATAGCTGGCTAGAAGGCCACACAGCGTTGAAGTTTTTGCTTGCTGGGGGCATCGCTGGTGCAGGTCAGTGGTTTCAATCTGTTTTTTGCAGTGGATCTGAATACTCCAAGTTAGTCGAACGTGTACAGCGCCATTCGACCGACTCAAAATATTTCTCATAACCCGGCCACCGGATATGGGTGGCGCTACGATGACATCTAAACCTGGCCTTGGTGGTGCGAGAATCATCGCCAGTGCGGTTGCTCGCATCTATTCGGAGGGCGGGATTTTGGCGTTCTGGACAGGAAATGGACTCTCCGTTGCAAAGATATTCCCAGAGTCGGGTGAGTGCATCATCGTCTTCAATTGGCTCGACCTTGACATGTTTCAGCGATCAAGTTCTTCTCCTATGAATCCTCAGTCAGTCTTACCCTGTCGGAATCACAGTCGTCTGAATACAGCACCAGAAACGCGCTTTTGCGAAATATTGGGACCACGTTGAGGATTCCCGTGACATAAGTGGAGTGAGCAGGTTTCTGTCTGGTGGTATTGGTGGCATTACGAGTCAATTGAGTGAGTCGAATTTCTTTGGTTGGTTCGCGCCGTACTCAAAAGTCTAGGCATATACCCAATCGAAACTCTCAAAGTACTCATTCCGCGTTTGAGTTGACATAATTCTTAACAATTCTGTAGACGCAAATGATGAGTAGTGCCCGGGACCCTTCGATGGCTCAGGTGTCTGGTTAGCGAGGGATACAGCATTCTGAATACGTGGACTAATGGCTTCTACAGGAACTGGGACTAACGTATTCCGCGTTCGGGTTGGTTATTCGATTTTGTTGGCAACTCGAGCTGACTGATGGACAGCAGTCCACAATGCTTGTAGCTGCACGACATTTATGGGCCCTTGGGGGATACCGCGCGTACTATCGTGGCTTGACGGTGAGCCGATCACATGTTTGCTCTTGCTCTAGCTGATTGTCGATTCAGATTGGTCTAGTCGGGGTATTCCCGTATGTTCCCACACTCACCCGTAATTTTCGTTAATTCAACTCCAGATACTCTGCTATCGATATGAGCACTTTTGAAGCCCTGAAACTCGCCTATCTTCGATCAACGGGAAAGGATGAACCGGGTGTCCTTGCCATTTTGGCCTTCGGCAGCATATCAGGCAGCGTTGGAGCCACAAGTGTCTACCCATTGAATATGGTGCGAACCCGGCTTCAAGCATCAGGTTCAACGGGTCATCCACAAACGTATACTGGCCCCTGGGATGTCGCTGTCAAGACATGGGAGCACGACGGATGGCGTGGGTTCTATCGTGGGCTGTTCCCGACGCTGGCCAAGGTCAATACTTTTGTGTCATTAACTGAGGTTTGACTGACTGTGTTGATAGGTTGTTCCCGCTGTATCAATATCGTACGTTGTTTACGAGCATAGTAAACGGCGGTATGTCAAGTGACACAATCCTAAACCTCTGCTTACCCTATCATTAGGTTGGGTGTGTAACATACTAGATATATAGAGGACTTCAACGACTTAATCTAAACCATGTATTCTCACAACATAGCTTGCTTTCGATCACGCGCTGGATGTCACGCTGACGACGATGGACCGTTGCCAGAAATCAACCGCCGAAAGCTAAAATGACCCAAGATTACTCCCCATCTGTCGATGGCTGCACAAGCTCGAAATAGACGCTAGCGTGGTATATAAGGCGGTCTGCTCGTCCTCAAACAGACATCCCCCATCATGTTCGGCTGGTTGCACAAGCTCCATAACTCTGACGACGAGAACGCGTATGAGCAGGTTGGTTCCATCTTCCCCCCCAGTCTTTTGTTACTAACAGAGGCAGGTTATCAATGCCGACCCCGAAATCCCAGAGCACAAGGCGAAGCTGTCGCACGAGCTAATTGCGGCTGCAGCTGCATACGAGGTTATTTTCACTCCCTCGTTTTTGTTTGGCGATGATGACCGTCTATTTCAGGCTGCGAAGAAGTACGAAGAGCATTGCGCTGCCAATGGAAAGCCGGACAGCCATGCCAAAGCCAAAGAGCTGATTGCTGCATTCAGCGCGGCATTTGTTGATCGCATGGTTGAGACGAAGGTACAGCCCATCTATAACCGCAAGCCCCGAGGCTAACAACGACAACAGGGTCTCGACGAAATCGACCGAGAAAAGGCGAAGCACGATGCTGCGAAACGGGCCCACGAGCAAGCATCAGAGATCTTGATCGCTGAGTATAGTTAGATAAGGAATTGGATGTGTTACTAAGTATGCGTGAACTTGAATGTCGAGTTTATATCTGCTGTTTGAATGTTGGCGAGAATTTGCCTCTAATTTCCCTGCTGAGAGTCTGAGACGCGTTTATGGGGGCATGCTCTAGAGCGGAAAGGATCGGCGCAACGTTGACGCGTCGGAGTCAAACGCGTCGATAACGCATCACCTGACCGCACGTGAGCGTTCGATTGGTAGGACGTAAAACGCAAAGTATAGGATGGCAGCGATATTTCTGTCAAAGTGAGGCGGGTTTAAAAGGCAGGAAGGTGGGGCGTGCAGAGCCGTGCTCTCCCCCACATTTGCCAGCGAAACATTCTCCAGCGATGCCCCCTCGTTCAGCCAGTAAGTGGGCGTTTGATGGGCTGACAAATTCTTGATGGCTTGTAGACAACGCTCGTGTATGCCCATCCCTCTCCCTCTCTGCTCTACCGTTCATCTTGTCGTAGGCTGGCCTTCCGACTGCTGGCGCGCACGTCACCACTGTTCGTCGTTTTCTCGTCTTATGTCTTTCTTCTGGGACAAATTTTCGTTGCGTTAGGTTGGCGTCAAACGCCCCGACTTCGGTACCAGCGGACAGGTATTTGTTTGCTTACAATCTTCACTTTTCCTGACCTCCGCTTCAGCCGACTCCGATTTTCGTGAATTCCTTCGAAACAACCATCCCCAACGCTACGATTCACCATTACGATGGCAGGTCTCGTTTCCCTCAACTCTCTGTCATTATTAATCTCTTCCAGTCGTCATCTCGCCTTCTGAAAAAACCTTGCCTGCCCGTATGACTATGGACCTCATCCGTCGGCTCCAATTCAATGTCGCGCCTCAAATTTTTACTCCTCGCGTTGTCTACGATGGCCGCAAGAATATTTTCAGCATTCGCAAGCTGCCTTTCGACACTGGATCGCAGGAGTTTGAGGTCACGATGGCGGATGGAGCTGCCAACCCCACAAGCGGCAAAGGGCCCAAAGTTTATAAGATCAAGTGTGAGTCGACTTCTCCACACAACGACCTTGATTACATTGCTTCAGTGACCCATGTTGCGGAGATCAATCCAGAAGTCTTGCGTCGCTTTGTCGAGGGAGACGCATCGCACGACAACGCCGTTCTCACTGCTATCACTGCACTGAATGTCGTTGTCCGGTGGGCTTGCTCTTCGTCGGCACTTTCTTTTTTTACTGACGCATCAACAGCATGCAGCCCTCGATGGACTTTCCCTGTGGGCCGACTTCTTCACCGCACTTTCGTTGACACTGATGATTCCCAGTTAATGTCCGGTCCTTCTTCACCAACAAGGAGACCAAGGATATCGGTGCTGGTCTCGAGTTGTGTACGCCCTGACCTTCACGACTGTTTCTGCAGCTATTGATGTCAGCCATATAGGGCGTGGTTACTTCCAATCCGTTCGTCCTGGTGTTGGGAAAATGCTGATCAATGTTGACATTTCAACGGGTCAGTTTCCTCTTTCCCCCTATGCTCAAACTGAACTGAATATAGGGACAATGTACAAGGCTGGGCCATTGCATGCGCTGTGCTGCGAGTATGTCAACAAACCCAACCAACCTAATGCTCTTTGTCCCAAACGCGGTTTTCCCGATCGTGAACGGCTTCGCCTCCAGCGCTTCATCTCTGGCATTCGCATTCTCACCACTCACAACGGACCAAACGGCGAAGTTCAAGCAGCGCCGCGTGTCGTTAAAAAACTTTCTACTGTCAGTTGTTCGTTCACTAGTTTACAAGGAATGGATGCGTAACCATTTCTTAGGCGGGTGCGAATGATCTTTTCTTCACGGTCCGCGAGGGGGAGAAAATGTCTGTCGCCCAATATTTCCAGCGGACCCAGAACAAAGCGCTGCAATATCCAGACGTCGTCTGTGTCGAAGTTGGCAACGGCGCTCTCATTCCGTTGGGTGCGTCCTTGGTTAGTGACTGTCTCTATGACTAATCCCATGCCAGAGCTCTGCACCGTGGCTCCCGGTCAATTGATGCGCAAGCAAGTTGTATGTCGATGATATACTTTCTTTTCTTTTTGCTCATTCTTTTTCAAGCCTCCAGAGAAGACCAAAGACGTGTATGTCACTTATAGTGTTTAGATTCTGTTCAAATTTTCTACTTTTTAGGCTTGACTTTGCTACCAAACGACCAGCAGATCGTCTTCGCAGCATCAAAAATGGCCTACAGGTTTGATCACGACATGTGTTGCTCGACTATATCTCATCGCCATTTCCAGCTGCTCGCCTACGGGCAATCCGAGTATGTGCGCCAATTTGGAATGAACGTCAACTCTTCTGCAGGACCTCTCAATGTTCAAGCACGTGTTCTGAAGCCTCCAACGCTGCGTTACGGCCCAGGATCTCGTCAACCAACCATTGTGAGCGGTGCCGCTTTCGCCTTGATTTGACTTATATGCCTCGTAGACTCCTCGCGATGGCGCATGGAACATGGTTGACAAGCGCTTCTTCAAACCTGTGGCGATTGACCGTTGGGCTGTTGTGGTCTATGAGCAGCAGGTAATTTTTCTTTTTGAACTTGTGAAATCGCCATGTTGACGCCGCACTTAGCGTCGGTTCAATGAGACTGCTGCGAACGACATGATTCAAGGTCTTGTCAACAGCTGTCGTGATGTGGGGATCAAGCTTGCCCCTACGCCATTTATTACTTGGGAAAATGGTCAAGGTCGTATCGCTGATCAGCTCAAGGCAGCTGGTGCGGCGGTTGCCAAGAAGCTCAAGGCGGGCCCTAACCTGATTGTCGTTGTGCTTCCTGAGGGAGGGAATGACATCTACACGGCTGTTAAGCAGTAAGTTGATAACTCAAGCATTCGCTGGGATTTAGCTTACAGTACTTGTCGACAGCTTCGGTGACATCACGGTCTCTCTTTCGTTCTCGTTTCATATTTTGCCCTCAACCTCTCTGCAGATGGGTGTTGCGACTCAATGTCTCAAGTCGAGCAAGTGCTTCAGAGCCAAGCCCCAGTATTATGCCAACGTTTGCTTGAAGTAAAATCTTATCATTCATTGCCTTTGTTAGTCATGCTTATTATCTGCAGGATTAATGTGAAGCTCGGTGGTATCAACACGATTCCGGATGCCTCGTCGGTCTCCGTTCTGACGGATCCTCATAATCCAACTATTGTCATGGGTTAGTGGCCGGTTGATTAAGAAGCCTTCGACTGACATAACTTTAGGCGGTGGGCTAACTTCCTTGTCTGTCATCGTGATTCGGTCTTATCTCCTGCCTAGCGGATGTTATTCACCCTGCTCCTGGCTCCGATGGTCGTCCCTCTTTCACTGCTCTCGTTGGTAACGTCGATTCGGACACTGCCAAATATGTTTCTGGTAGAGTTCCCACGTCGGGCCTGATGACTCTTCTCAATTACGGATTCCAGCATCTCGCGTTCAGACTTCGCGCCAAGAGATGATAGAGGAGCTGGAGCCCATGTGTCGCCATATCGTTACAATGAACATGCGGTACGCTCTTGTCCATGCTGAACCTTGGGTTTGCGTATGAATGACTTGGACAGGTACCGTGAGATGGTCGAAAAGAAACCCGCCGGTTTATTGGCACCAAAACGCATTATTTTCTTCCGCGGTGGGCTTGTTATCCTTCGTGTTCGTTTACTTTGTTCTGACAACTCTCGACCCAGATGGTGTTTCTGAAGGGCAATTCAAGCAAGTGCTAGAACAAGGTTCGTAATCTCCGATCTGTAGCTAATATCTAATCACTGCATAAAGAGTTGCCACTCATTAAAAGTTGGTCTATGACTTAAACGAGGACCCACCTTGACATTTCACCATAGAGGCTTGTGCGTCAGTTGGTGCCAACCCCAAGATAACCGTCCTCGTCGTCGGCAAGGTTTTGGCCTTGTTTTCGCGTCCCTGACACTAAACTGAGTTATTTCCAGCGTCACCATGTCCGTTTCTTCCCTCAGAGTGAGCGTGATGGGGACCGTAGTGGCAATTGTCGCGCAGGAACCGTCGTGGACCGAGAAATTTCTCATCCAACCGAGTTCGACTTTTATCTCCAGTCGCATGGTGGCTTGCTTGGGACTAGTCGCCCCGCTCACTACTCGGTCCTCTATGATGTGTGTCTCCATGTCCAACGTGAACACCGACTGATTGGATTCCATAGGAGAACAACTTCAGCGCCGATGCTCTTCAGTCGCTTGCATTCTCGCTTTGTCACGTCTACGCTCGTTCGACGCGTTCTGTCTCGATCCCGGCCCCAGTTTATTGTTCGTTTTGTCGTCTTCGTCAGCTGGAAGTTGCTTTACTCAGCACTCGTCGCAGATGCTGATATCGTGTGCTCACGTGCCAAAAATCACTATGATCCGCAGGGCACTGTCGATTTTTCAGACTCGCTTACGCAAGCAGACGACCAGCAGGTGGCCAACTCGCTCGAAGCATTCAAGCGCAACTTCAAGCCTCTTCACCAGTCTCAGTCGACGCTCATGTACTTCTCGTAATCTACTCCTAATGTGCTATAGCTAACTTACCAATTGTCATTTTTTGCTCGCTACCTGATGTTTATTTTTGGAAGCAAATGATCATCGGTCACATGTTGATTTGTTGATCGGAGCGTGGCTTTTAACGTCTTGACCGGAACGCATGTCGTCAACGACTACCTGCTTCGTCATCGACTCATGGTCGCACATGCCTCGTCACTGAGCACTCGTAACTTTCAAGTCGCGCAATCATTGTACCACTTGAGTTCACAGCCAACCATTTTAGCCCAACATTGACTGGAACTGCTTTGCCAACGCTTCTCACCACATGAACTCCTATTGAGCGCTGTTAAACACTGTCAAGACGGCTTCTGTTTCCTCGACCATCAACTTCGGTCTCCGTCCTCATCATGTTGCCGAGTTGCACATGTGTTCTAATCGTCTAAACGCATGCCTCTCGCTGGTTATCTCTCTGTTCGATTCAATTGCCAACACTTCCTTATTTCTATCGTGTAGCTATTATTGGTCACCTCTCTCTCAGATCTTCGGTGCGCCGCCCTTCCAGTATCCTTGGTCGTCCTCTTGGCGCTATGCTTCCCGGCTTCTTCCATGCCCTCCCTACTATCGACCATGCGACGACTCGCGCTCTGGATAGCCTCTGAACTCGCTATAAAGGACTGCTGCTTTCTCTCAAGTCCTCAGGTTGTCTAGTTCTGCCAACCACGCCTAGCACCCGTCGTCCTTAACTGGTCTACTCGCTTTGCTTTCTATAAGCCATGGTCGCCTTCACCAAGTTCTTCAACACTGTGCTCCTCGCGGTCCTCTATGCGTCATCCTCATCGGCGCTGACCGTGCCCACCAACTCCAAGCACGCTACCCATCGTGTTCGCGAGATCGCCAATGGAGCCAAGATTGAAACTTATCACCCCGAATCGACCTACGAGACTTTCAACACCGGAATTGACCACCCTCTCCGCAAGCGTGGTGCCAGCTTGAAGGAAGCCTCAGAGTCCTTCATCTCGTCCCACCTCAAGGTCGCGCCGTCTTCTGTTCTCCATCACAGCGGTTTCGCTGGTGAGGTTGCGACGCACTCTTATGCTAAGCAAGTCATTGTACGTCTAGCTGATTGTAGTATGTTCTTGTTCACTGACTCTAACTTAGAACGGCATCCCTGTCGCCAACGCTGTTGCCAACGTTGCTTTCAACTCTGACGACCTCGTCGTTGCCCTCGGTTCTTCGTTCGTTAAACCGAGTATGTATTCAAATCCTCTTCATTTTACAGAAATTGACAATTATTTCCAGCCAAGGTTGCCGCCACCACTCCTTCTGTTTCCCTCGAGGATGCCAAGACCACTGCCGAGAGCGCCTTGGATGCTGCCTTCCTTGACGAAGTCGAGCCAACCATCGAATACTTCATCAAGGAGGACCACTCCGCTGTTCTCGTTCACGTCTTCCAAGTCCGCAACGAGGAGAAGGGTCTCTGGTACAACGCCTTCGTTGATGCCCAGACCAACACGCTCGTTTCCGTCACCGACTATGTTGCCAAGGCCACAGTGAGTTATTTTAAGCACCTCGGTTTTCAGCGCTAAGTTGTTTTAGTACCGCGTCCTCCCCATCCAGAAGGAGACTCTCCTCGAGGGCTTCGAGGATGTCGCTGATCCCCAAGACACTGTCGCCTGTTGGTTATTCACGGTTGCATCAATATGTTTATTTACCACTTTTCTTAGCTCCCAACGGATGGCACTCTGATGGCACCACCAACTCCACGACTACTTCCGGCAACAACGCCATTTCCTACAAATCGTCGCAATCCACCGGAACCGCCGCTGAGACCAGCGCTGGGGTCTACTCTTATATCCAGAACCCAGCGCAGGCCCCCACCGTCACTGCCAATGTCAAGGCCGCCATTGTCAACAACTTCTACCTTGTTAACAGCATCCACGACATTACCTACCGCTATGGCTTCACGGAGGCCGCCTTCAACTTCCAGAACAACAACTTCGGCAAGGGCGGCAAGGGCAATGACCGCGTGACTTCGTCGATCCAGGACAGCGCTGGTTCCAACAACGCTGACTTCTCCACTCCCCCCGACGGCCAAAGCGGACACATGCGCATGTATATCTTCACTTCTACCTCTCCCAACCGTGACGGAGCCCTCGAAAACGATGTCCCTGTCCACGAGAACACCCACGGTGCGTGTCCACGTGATCGTGTTTATGACTCAGCTTACACTTCCAAAGGTGTCACTAACCGCATGACTGGTGGTGGAACTGGCGCTTGCCTCCAGAGCACTGAAGCCGGTGGGATGGGTGAGGGCTGGAGTGATGCTATGGCCGAGTAAGCCTCTGATCTCCTACATCTGCTACACTTGGTCTGACAATTCCATTAGCTGGACCGAGAAGAACTCCTCCGCCGTCCCCGACTATGTTATGGGTCAATACATTATCAACAGCGCCGCAGGTATCCGCACCCACCCGTACAGCACAAGCAAGACCGTCAACCCGCTCACCTACGCCAGCGTTGGAACGCTCAACGAGGTTCACAACATCGGTGAAGTTTGGGCCAACCTTCTGCACAACGTCTATGCCGCTCTTGTCGGTGCACACGGCTGGGCTGCTGATGCCAAAACCAACCCTGATGGCACTGCTGGAAACGTTGTCTACCTTCACCTCTTCCTTGATGCTCTGGCCCTCCAGCCTTGCAACCCCACTTTGTGAGTGTTTTGCTATTCACAAGTCACGAGCTTTGTCTGATAAGATCGTAAAAGCTTGACTGCCCGCAACGCATGGCTCCAGGCTGATGTCAACCGCTACAGCGGTGCCAACCGTTGCTTGCTCTGGAAGGCATTCGCCAGCCGTGGTCTTGGTGTCAACGCTGCCAACCACAAGGACAATGCCGACATCCCCTCCGACTGCTGATCTTATCTCTGCTTCTTTGGTGCTTTGGCGACATTTGAATTGACGCATTAGTTATACCTCTCACATTTGCATTAACTGGGCACATTTGTATCGGAATCGCATGTATAGAAAGAACTCACAAATTTGCTTAACTCAGTACTCGTCTGAGATGTGTGTTTCCGGAAACCGGCCAAGAGTCGTTACTTATCAGGCTCGCCCACAAACAACAAACAGGTGACCCAGTTGGTAACCAACTCCCTCTAACCTCATTCGAACACAAATTCCAGCCTCTTCAGTAGTCTTTCATTCGACACTCATAGCCAGTATACTATTGTCAGCTCAAAGAGTTCTCATCCTTTGTTTACCCCAGGTTCATTCACAGATAAAAAGGCTATCACAGGTCACATGCTCACTTGATCGGAGTTGTCGCCGTCTCTTGACGGTTGACCGGAACGCTGTTGTCAACTGGCTGCACATGCCTCGTCGCATCGTCGCTCTCGAAATTCGGCGAAACTCTGTGCAATTATTGCCAATCTGATACCATCCGACTCCATAACTCACCATTGCCGCAGCATCGCCGTGAATTCTCTGTGCTCTGCCAGCTCTCTTCTGAATTCTTACTGAGCGCTGGCAAAGAAATGTCAAGACGGCCTTCCGAAAGCTCTCTTTCCTCGCACCACCATCAAGTTGGTTGTCCATTCGCATCACGTTGTCGAGTACACCATGTGTTCTGATCCACCAAACGCGTGCATCCCACTCAAATCCCACTTGTTATCGTTCTAGCCACTAACGCTGGTCATTGCTATAATGTTGCTATTGCAGGCTGTCTCTCCCAAATATCCGTTGCGCCATTCTGTTATTATACTCTTGGCGATATGCTTCCCATCTTCTCCCTACTTTCGACCATGCGACGACCTGCGCTCTGGATAGCCTCTGAGCTCGCTATAAAGGACTGCTACTTTCTCCGCAGTCTCCAGGTTGTCTAGCTTTTCCAACCAAGCCTAGCACTCCCTTAACCGCGTCGTCCTTCACTGGTCTGCTCGCTTTGCTTTCGTAGCCATGGTCGCCTTCAACAAATTCTTCAACACTGTCCTCCTCGCCGTTCTCTACGCGTCTTCCGCCTCTGCTTTGACCGTGCCCATCGACTCCAAGCACGCTACCCATCGTGTTCGCGAGATCGCCAATGGAGCCAAGATTGAAACTTATCACCCCGAATCGACCTACGAGACCTTCAACACCGGAATTGACCACCCTCTCCGCAAGCGTGGCGCCAGCTTGAAGGAAGCATCGGAGTCCTTCATTTCGTCCCACCTTAAGGTTGCGCCCTCTTCTGTCGCTCACCAGAGCGGTTTCGCAGGTCAAGTTGCGTCCCACTCTTTTGCCAAGCAAGTCATCGTACGTCTACCGCATTGTCTTTCTTGTGCCATTTTGCTCAACAACGGTTTAGAACGGTATCCCTGTCGCTAACGCTGTCGCCAACGTCGCATTCAACTCTGACGACCTCGTCGTTGCCCTCGGCTCTTCATTCGTTAAACCGAGTGTGTTACTTTCTCGACCTACATTCGACAAGACTTGACAAGCTCGTTTTAGGCAAGGTGGCGCCGAACACTCCTTCTGTTTCCCTCCAAGATGCCAAGGCCACTGCTGAGAGCGCTTTGGATGCTACTTTCCTTGACGAAGTCGAGCCCACCGTCGAGTACTTCATCAAGGAGGACAAGTCTGCTGTTCTCGTTCACGCCTTCCAAGTCCGCAACGAGGAGAAGGGTCTCTGGTATAACGCCTTCGTTGATGCCCAAACCAACACGCTTGTTTCCGTCACCGACTACGTCGCCAGGGCTACAGTGCGTCATTTTATCTAAGTAGGGAAGCAGAGCTAACTTTCTCCAGTACCGTGTCCTCCCCATCCAGAAAGAGACTCTCCTCGAGGGTTTCGAGGATGTCGCTGACCCTCAAGACACTATCTCATGTTAGTTTTTCACTGTCTTGTTTCTGCGCTGTACTTAGCGCTCTTTCTTAGCCCCCCGTGGATGGCACTCAACCGGCACCACCAACACCACCAATACTGCCGGCAACAATGCCATCTCCTACAAATCGTCGCAGTCCACCGGTACCGCGGCTGAAACCAGTCCGGGTGTCTATTCCTACATTCAGGACCCCGCCCAGGCCCCCACCGTCACAGCCAATGTCAAAGCGGCCGTTGTCAACAACTTCTACCTGGTCAACAGCATCCACGACATTGCCTACCGTTACGGCTTCACCGAGGCTGCGTTCAACTTCCAGAACGACAACTTTGGCAAGGGCGGCAGGGGCAACGACCGCGTGACCTCGTCGATCCAGGACAGGGCCGGTACCAACAATGCCGATTTCGCCACTCCCCCCGACGGCCAAAGCGGACACATGCGCATGTTCATCTTCACTGTAACCACCCCTAACCGCGACGGCGCGCTCGAGAATGATGTCCCCATCCACGAAGTTGCTCATGGTATGGTTGCGCACGTGATCGTGTTATAATTTGGCTGATTTCCGTTCGAAGGTATCACCAACCGCATGACTGGCGGTGGAACTGGCGCTTGCCTCCAGACCACTGAGGGTGGGGGAATGGGTGAGGGCTGGGGTGATGCTCTCGCTGAGTAAGCCGCCGATTTTTTCTTTACCTTGGGGGGAAACTAAAATATGATTTACCTAGCTGGGCTGAGAAGAACTCGTCGTCTGTCCCCGACTATGTTATGGGTCAATATCTCCTCAACGACCCCCGAGGCATCCGGACCCGCCCATACAGCACAAGCAAGGAGGTCAACCCTCTCACCTACGGCAGTCTTGGACAGCTTGCCGAGGTTCACGATATCGGTGAAGTTTGGGCCAACCTCCTCCACAACGTATATGCCGCTCTCGTCGGTGAACACGGCTGGTCTGCTGAAGCCAGGACCAACCCTGATGGCACCGAGGGCAACGTTGTTTTCCTCCACCTTTTCCTCGATGCCCTGCCACTCCAACCTTGCAACCCCACTTTGTGAGCATTCTATTCTTTCTATCAGATTTGACTTAACATCAACCCAGCTTGACTGGCCGTGACGCCTGGCTCCAGGCCGATGTCAACCGCTACAACGGCACCCACCGTTGCCTGCTCTGGAAGGCGTTTGCCAGCCGTGGTCTTGGTGTCAACGCTGCCAACCGCAGGGACAACGAAGACATCCCCTCCGACTGCTGATCTTATCTTGGCGCTTTTGGCGGCGACGACAATTGAACTGACGCATTAAGTTATACCCTCGCATTTAGCATGAAATGAAATGGGCAGACTTGTAACAGCATCGCATGTATAGAAAGAACTGTGAATCAACTGAAAACTACCACATTTTCTTGAAGCTGATACTGAACTCGGCGCATTTTCCGTCCATCCGCCAGACTCAATTGACCATTCCTTGGGCCAGAGCAATATGCATCCGTCCTTCCGTCCTTTGAAGCCTGGAATAGTTGCCACAGACTGTTGTTCTGGGTTGCATCATTCCTATCGACCAACGGATGGCTATATTACGCAGCGGCGGGGGGTCAGATGGAAGGGAAGCATTTCACGGGACATAACCCGAGGTAGATTCTGCTATCAGTGATCCATCGACTCGTGCTCGCCGGATTTCCCTTGAGACTGGCATGATTTCCAACGGGCCGCTGACCAACCGCTGTTAGTAGTGAGCGCCGCACCAACTCGGGAGCGGTACGATATGCGGCTCATGACAGTGTTGGTCAAGGAGATAGAATAATGATCGCCGCCTCGAGGTGTGCACGAAAAAGAAGCTTGGCGGGCATCAGAAGAATCAGTAAAAAATCTTTACCGCCTTGGTATTCGCACTTGGGTGGACTCGCAAGTGCAGTCGTCGACCTCGACGACTGGGTGAATCAACGTCTCGCCACCGTCACGTGTGCTGACGATGTTGTCGACGCGTCTCTGACGTCTTGTCCACATTACCGGATTTGGCTATTTGGAGCAGATTATGTTTTTTAGCAACAAAGAAACAGGTATGCGACTAGTAGATGTAAGGATATCTGCAATGGAAAGCGGACCTGACCGAAAGAATAAAACCGTCCCAATACATTATCTAAGCACTGCGGGCTACGGCAGTTCAAGGCAGCGTGAATCGATAGCGAGCAAAGCGACATGTCGTGTCTTTTGTGTCATCATGAGGCGAGGTGTTGTTCAAGCGCCCGCTTCTCGTCAACCAAAGTATTCAGCTCGTGTTCGCTCGCTTCCCGTGACCTCGAAGAGGATTTGCGGATTTTGGTGCGCCAATCCTGAATTAATGCGACTGGCCACCGAGACCGTTTCTCCTCAGGAGATGTTGATGGTTCATGGGCAATCAGAGCACGGAGGTAGTCCCGCCCTAAGATTGGCGCCAGAGACAAGAAAGAAAGCACCACCAATTTGATGATGATCGACGGCGACGTCAGCAACGACGATACTGTCTGTGGTGTGGGTGAAGGATGCGATGCAACAGTTTGAAGGATGTCTCCGATCTAGGGAAAAAAAAGAGAGTTTGTAAGGCTGGAATGGAAATAAAGCGAGGAGAATTACCTGACAGGTGACTGCAGTCCATGGCAAACAGCCAATAAATGTTCCAAGCATGCAGTCCCCCATGGACACTCCGCAGACGCCGCAGGCAATATTGATGCCCGACCATGGCACAACACCCACGAGGCGTAGTACAGTCAAACGAACCCAAGGAGAGGAGCGTTGGGCTTGTTTATCCCCTTCTGAGACCTCAGCATCGCCTTCTAGCGCGTGTCTCGTAAGGTCGAGGGCACGCGGGAAAAATCGGGTGATGAGTGGCCCAAGAGGCATGGCTAGGAGTGTCGCAGCGGCTGAGCCAATGGTGGTGAGTGTAGTCATCAACACCGTCGCAAAGGCAGGAGAGAATAGAGCCCCTGCAAGCACGTTCTGACGTTGTTGATGTGTAAGAATGGAGCGAAATTAAATGACATGGTTGAACGCACCCAAACGACGCTACCAGGTATTGACCAAGCATGTTTCCACACCGCTGATATGGCGAGCACCCCGACAACATGGGCAATGGCTGCGGGCCCGCTTTGGGAATAGCCGTGAAGCTCGCGGCCGAGTTGAGCAAGATCGGGGAGTGTCCGCGGCCATGAGACGGTTATCGGAAGTGTAGTGAGACTGAACAGAACCAAAGCTGTTGACAGTGGGAGGAGGAGGAGAACGAATAGTATGGGTACATGGGCAGAGGGAAATCGGGTCGCTGGAGGTGGTGGGGGTACTTGGGTCGATACCACTGGCAGTGATGCAGTTGGCGGTTTGGGGTGGGAAAAGTGGCCCCATTCTAGCAGCCTCGAGGCAATGAGAAATGCGGGAGAGGGTGGAGGGGCGTCTACGTCTACTGGAACTCGTCGAATCGTGATATTGGCGGGGCGGGAGGAGGTCATGGTGGGCGGAGAGAAAGAAACGCCAGGACTTCTTTTATAATACAAGATCGGCAATCCCAAGGAAGTAAAAACCAAGTAAACTGCGCCATTTTTACTTGGCCCTTCCAGACCGACCCACTCCGATATGCTACTGTTCTTTTCCTGGACTCTCAAATGGCCTGTAGAGCCCATAAACGCGCTCGACGATGTCGCGCAAGTCCGACGATGAGATAATCATGATGTGTCAGAGGCGTAAGCACACGACTGAATAATAATGTGCCGACCGAGCCGCACTTGCCCCCAAAAGGCCATCGGGAATACGGGTCATAGATGTAGCGATTTTTTTTGGGTACTAGCATACAAGAGTCAAAGGCATATTCGTCATAACTCCTTAGTGGGCCGCCCGTCTGCTCTCTTGGATAACACCCTGCAACTCCTCCAACTTGCGCTTCGAGCGTAGCAGCGTCCCAAGCTGTAGAAAATGCGATGAAAACCTGTTCCCATTAAATCAGAATAAAAACACACCCGTTTCTTCGTGAGCTTGCGCGCTTTTTTGTCCTAACAAGGCAATCTCGGTTAGAGAGAGGGCGATAGAGGCCAGCAAGAACACCAACTTTGGAGTTGCGCAAAAGTTCCATCACCCGACGCTCGTAGGCAGAGAACCCAACCACCTCACGCACTACGGAGCGGACAAACTTGGTCTTGGTCGACAAGTGGCCTAAGAGAATGTGTTGGCGGTATTATCGCAGCTGAGCGCATTAAACACACCCTTGCGTTGGCTGGGCTTGACGGTTTTCGGGATGGCGGTGGTCGGGTGGCCATGGTTAAGGCCGTAGCGGAGATCTTAACAGTCATCGTCAGCAAAGAGGGTACCGATGAGCGGGCAGCAGGACGACAGACTTGTGCGCGCCATCGAGTCTTGAGGAGAAATGTGGAAAAGGCTAGTCGCACATGACTTTTTGCTCACGGTCACTTGATCCGATGCTTCCCGATAACAAACAGCCGAAACTGCCCGCACATCTATGAGTACCAAGATAACAACACACGACAAACAAGGTATCTAGTATGGCCCGACTGTCCACTGGCGAACTATAGTTACGCCCCCTGAGGGCGGTGGTGGTCTTGTGATTACTGTTGGCTTTGTCACTTCCTGGAGGAAGTTGGTTGAGAAAAAACTGGTCGCTGGTTGTAGCTATACCTCTTCATCCTCTTCTTCTTGGTCATCTTCATCCTCTTCATCATCATCAGCAGCATCACCGTCAAAGTCCTCCATCTGCATTTGAGGGTCCTGGTCTTCGTCCGCTGAATCATACTCTTCATCGTCAATCCATCTTCCTCTCCAATCAACCTGCTCTAACTCCTCCGTCGATTCCGGCCTTAACCTCAGCCAAGACATTCCGGGGCCCACACTTGGCCCCGCTCGCTAACCTTGAACCCATAAATCCTCGGTACATACACATATCCGGCTGCCCGCTTCTGGCCACCATACGGATTTGGATTCGAGAATGGTGAAAGTCGCGACGTGTTGCGCGGTGATGTTGACCCTCCCCCACCAGATGGTGGCTTCCAGAAGGGCGCTGGGGCAGATTCACGATAGTTCTGGAAGAACAGATGCGGGAAAGTAGTCCCAAAGAATGCACCTAGGCACCAAGGTTGGCATTAGAACGTAGCAAAAATGAAATAAGTACTTGCCATCGACGCCTTGGAACCGACTACTTGGAGGAATATAAATGTCGTTGCAGTTCGGGCAAAATAGCTTGACAGTGTCAATGCCAGGAATGTCTGACCGACCACAAGGTACGACGCTGCAACCAATGCAATATACCCTTGGACAAATCCCAAATACCCCACTCTCGTATTTTTCGAACTGTACCGCCAAAATGTGAGATTCGAGACAGACGAGGCGAAATTAAAAAGAGACGCACCATGGCTTGTTGTCCCGCCCGCCCCAGAATGTATCGTTGGTGAACAAGCCCATATAACATCTCCGCAGAGGACTCCACAATGGAGACGTCCGGTATTTTGGCCGCATCCTCGTCTGGCTCAACATCCAATACCATCTCCATCGCCTCCTTCCAAAATGGTACCATAGAATTCAGCCCAGTCAAGTTGAAGTCGTCCTCGATGAAGTCCTCGGTGACTTCGCAGAAGTATTCATGGCCCGGAAGTGAGCAGAACCAGGCAATCCAAGTCAGGGTCGACGTTGGCGTGGACGATGCTACAAGCGAGACAAAACAAAACACGAGGTTGGTGGGGCTCATTTTTGCAAGAATGGAACGCACTGTAGCCATCGTCTTGGTCTTCCTGCTCCTCCATAGCCTCATCGGCCGCACCGATAGCGTCGTCTTCCCTTGGACGCGACATCCAAAGTGGAATCCTCAGTCAAGATTCTTTGCACAGCTTATTGCCTATTTCGGTACATTCAAGGTCTACAAAATTCGAGCTACGCTGACGGGCCGAAACAGACTGTGGCGTCTAAGAGATCGGACACTGAAACAGTATTTTCCTCTACCCAAACACGCATGTTTGCTGCTTGGAAATATCTCCCACCCATAAGAGCGTTCCAAATATAAGTGTCAAGATGAGCTGGCCTGTCACCCAAGTTATCAGACCATAGCGATACTTGTGTCCCGCTGTTTTGAGTGTGGCCACCTCCGCTGTCAGCGTGCTTATCGTGGTCAGACATCCACAATAACCATCCGCAAGTCCTTGCAGAATATTGCAGCTGTTCGTCGATAACGGGTGTGAGGAAATGCTCTGAAGAACATGGAATGTCGCTAGAAGAGCGGTTCCTGAGATGTTGGCCACGAATGTGCCAAGTGGGAAGCTCGCAATGATGGGGTTGAGGTATGTCCCAAGCAAATAACGAGTGAGGGTGCCCGGGTAAGAGAAGACTAGTGCGGCTGTCGCTTGGTGTCGGAACGACGAGGGTAGAAGAAAGTAAGCGGGGATTGTGGCAGCGTAGATTAAAACTGAGATAGCAGACATCGCGCGCCGAATGGTTTTACTTGGGGGGCTGAGGGGCCCGAAAGTAAGGTAAAGCCAAGTTTGCGAGATGCATTCCATAGAACAGCGATGAGACGCAGACAGAGATAGTAAAGACGGTCTTGCAGATACCGTCGATGGCCTTCGAGTATCGGTTAGGAGGGAGTTGCACTGCAAATAATGCTTACACTACTCAGTCCAGAACGAGAGATGCTGCCGTCGTTGACCCAGGACTTGAATATGTCCAGTTCCCAGCCAGAGAAGGTCGTCAGAGAGCCACAAAATCCTAGACTTTGCTTCAAGATCGACTCGGCCCTGGAAAGCACTCAGTTACCGGTAGTAAGGGCCGTATAAGCCTGTGGATAACTGAAATCCGCTTCAGTCGTAGTCGCAAACTCACCCAACAGTCGGCTCACTATCTTGAAAAGGGCTCCTTCAAGTCAAGACAGAATCCCATGATCAAACAGCCAACAGCTTGCGCATAGATGAGTGGGAAGATGCTTTGCCCGTTGTCTGTCGTCAATGCAGACAACCCTAGTCTGGCCAAGACGCCGAACACACTCATCGGCATCAGGAGGGTGAGTATCTCGGCAGAGAGTGGGTGGAAGGTCGGAGGAGCAGGGGGTCTGGGAATTTCCTTTTCTTTTGCATCTCCGTTGCTCGAGTCCGCCAAGTTCATGGAAGGAGGAACGAACCCGTGATGGTGTCTATAAATATGCAACGGCCATCAAACCGGTATTAATAATGGCTGTTGTGGCCTTCACCACCGGCCTAATTTTGCTTGCTGCCCTCCCGCTCGTTTTCTCCATGTTCTTCGCCAAGAAATGGTCCCCCAAAGGACTCGTGTGTCTTTTTCACTGTTGGTGCAACCGCGGCTCAGAGACGACAGCACTGTTATGTTACTGGTGGCTCTAGTGGGCTGGGATTAGCGTTGGCTCTGCTGCTCACGCGTAGGGGTGCCCATGTCTCTATAGTCGCGAGAGACGAGAAAAAACTCAAGACTGCATTGGCGGAATTGGAGGTTTGTCGCGCTTTTTTTTCGGAGCCGACGCGTCACTCTCTTCTCAGAAAGCTCGACAAAATCCAGATCAGAAGCTGAACTCTTATTCATTTTCTTTGAATGAAGCCGATGCGTCCACCGCTGCTCTTGATGCCGCTTCAGCCCCCCATGGCGGCCGTACCCCAGATGTCATCTTTCTCTGTGCAGGAACGGCTACACCTGGATTCTTCGTTGAACAGACCGAAGTTTCGCTTCGTAAAGCGATGGACTCCGCGTACTGGGTACAAGCATGGTCAGCTTTGGTAAGAGCCCGTGAAATCACCCTTTAATCTCGGCTTACCCTCAAGTAGGCGGCGTCCAAAAGAATGGTACGAGAAGGGGTCAAGGGCAAGATTGTGTTCACATCTTCCATTCTGGCCTATTTCTCGATGGTCGGCTACTCTTCTTACTCCCCCGGCAAACATGCCCTTCGAGGTGAAACGACTTGAAAATGACCGTGATTATCTTCGCTAACGTCGCTCCCAAGGGCTGGCTGAAACTCTGCGGTCGGAGATGCAACTCTACGGGATAACCATTCACTTGTTCTGTCCTGGCACAATTTACAGCCCTGGCTACGAGGAGGAAAACAAAACAAAGCCCGAAATAACCTTGAAGATCGAGGAGGCCGATTCCGGTCTTCAGCCCGAGCAGGTTGCGGATGCCTTGATAGCGGGTCAGAGCGTTTACTTGTCGGGACCGTCTGAAACTGATATGACACCATTAGGCATTGAGCGAAACGACTTTCATATTGCCGCAGATTTTCTGGGGAACATTTTCCGGGCTTCAACACGTGGGGGAACGCCACAAAACAATGTCTTGGTCGACACATTTTTTGCACTGGTTGGTTGGGTAAGTTGTTGTTGTTGTTGATGTCGGCGACATCGGACTGACGTGGCTGGGTAGGTGGGACTGCCCATATGGCGGAAGGGCGTAGATGCGTTGATTATTGCTCATGGAAAGGAAAGACACGTCGAGTACCTGAAGGAACGGAATTTTTTCGACTAGTATATTCTGTATGAATAAAGCGAAGCCTGACGGAGCATAAGTGGCTCTGGGGCATTATAATACTCTCCATCGCTCTTGGACCTCGCCATTAAGCCTCAAGGCCGCGTGAAAGACGCCTTGGACTTTGGTATACGATGGCCCGGTTTAAGTTTCTAAAAAAAAATTCATGTCACGCGTCACATCTCTTATAAGCAAATCACACTAAGCGGCTGCCGCTCATCTGTCAGATCGCGGTTTTCTCAGACTCGATATAAAAATGCGCAGGGTCCCAGCCTCACTCTCCCTCCGATTACGCCCCGTCCCTGGTCCAGGTTGATGAAGAAACGTCCTTCATTTTTAGTTGCTCGCTTCCGCGCACGCTCAAACTCCTCGCCGCCAACTCCGGCCAACTCGCCCTCGCTTCGAACTACAATGCACCAGCCCTCCCCGCTCCCCCCTCACTATTTCGCTATTTTCGCCATTTACGAGCCGATCCTGACCACGCTAGGCTTTCTCGGTGCATTACTGTGGGCTTTTTCTCTTTATCCTTCGGAAACTCGCTGTTAACCGAAATTCTAATCACAGAGATCCTAAAAGCGTAAGCGCGGCTCGCTTAATGCTCTCAACCATCCTTGTCTAAGCGCTATCTAGACTCATGATAACCAGGCGCCGTGGCCGAGCGGCCGTCCTCCAGACAGTTTCCCTCTCGCAACCAAGCTAACAATCGTGCAGGTACTGTGAAGAACGTCCGGTTATTCCCTCTCAAACACATTCTTTCTCCAGCTTGGTCATGTCTCTGGCCTCCTTGGACTGTTGAATGTCTGTCTGCTGTCCACAGCCCGAGCGCATCTCAGCCTACAACCTGCGCTACAAGAAAAGGCAAGCGACACGTTAATTTAACCCGCGTCCCATCTCTTATCAGCGCCGAAGATTGTGTCGGCACTCCTCACGCCCTTGCTCGTGGGAGACATTGTGCATATCTACCTTACCCTGTGGGCACTTGGCGACCACAGATTTGACTTGAGGAACTGGAGCCCAATGCTTGTAGTGACCATTGTCGGTGGAATTTCGCTGCTCATCCCACGGTTATGTTGGGTCCTCGGCATCGCCCGTTACGTCGACAGCCGCGATGGTCCCCCAAGTCCAAAGTCATAACGCCTTAACTAATTTTACATTTTCAATGGATTACATGGGGTGGTTCAGTAGGGAATACACATTTTTACCTGAATGAAAAAAAATAAAGATCGTTCACAAACAAACGTCTAATAAGGCGCATTGACAATGGCCGAATGACTGCGGGAGCTCCGTCTCGGGGCGCCGAGCGACATACGGGTGGGCCGTTTAAGCTGCTGCTTATTCATCGACACGACATTGTTTGCCATCGCAACAATCTATAAGCCAGATTCAGTAAGCGAACCAGGGGAAGGTGGAAAACCCGCACAATTTCCTGGTCGTCCCCAAACCGGAAGTTGTCTTGCACCACGACATCTTCATACCGCTTGATCTCATACTTGTCCAGCATGCCCTTCCTCACTTTGTTGAAGTCCCAGGCAATCACAAACCGGCCGGTTGAAGTCACAATCGCGTTCTCCGTCTGTGTTTCGGACATGTTGAACCTGGCGCCGAGGTATTAACGACATATTGACGCGTCGTGAGGACAGTCATACCTTGCAGGAGAAAATGAGATGTCGTGGCCCATGAATGCAACATGTTCTGCTCGGAGCTAGCCCAATGTTCATAACGAGAATATATATATAGGGCAATCAAGGACTTGCCTGGAGTCGACGAGGAACTGGTTTGGCAGTAGCCGGGAAGCTGCGGTCAAAGCCTAGGCTACCAGCGTATCTTCCTTCGCCGATAAGTGTGTCAATAAGCAACAAGTATGTCTTGGTGGTGGCCACGATCCATCGTCCATCTGCAGTGACGTCGATACCAATAATTGGATCACCCAGAGGCGGCAAGGCGGTCTTTGCGTTCTTGCCAATCGAGTCAAACATGCGAATGTCTCCCTTCTCGCTCGCAACGGCGAGCTTGCCCTCTTTCGTGGTGGCGACTCCTGAGAATTTGTTCTTGCTGACATATTGCTTGAACTGGCTCTCGACCATCTTGGTGCCCGACACACGAGGATCGATCCTGAATAACGCGTTGTGTGACGCGCCAACGAGGGTCTGTTCATGAGTAGTTGGCGCAAATTTGTTTTCTGGCGCTATATGGTCGACAGTAATGTCGTCGTGGACTTTCCACTCTTCAACGATCCTGCCCTGCTGCAAATCCATGCTATAGAGCGTATGAGGGTCGCCGGGATTCTTGAGAATCAGCTTGGTGTCCTGGTCGTGTAGCATGATTTGAGAGGGCTTGAACTCCTTGCCCTTGGTGGTTTTACTAGCGATGGTACCGCCGTATTTGATGGTTTTCTGGTCATTGCCGCGGGTGAAGTAGCCAATGTTACTTCCTCGCACGACATAGGATCGGTCGCCTTTGTACCCCACAGTCAGTTGAGAATTGACTTCACCCTTTGGCATTGTCTCTTCCTCTTCCTCTTCTTCTTCCTCTTCCGATTCAGAATCTGATGCATCCGGTACTAGTTCAGACTCGATTTGTTCTTCTTCCTCTTCCTCGTCGGAAACATCCGCCATCTCAACATCCTCCGTGTTCGAACTTAACACGTAGTTCTGTTCATCCGGCTTACACACAAGACTTTTTAGTAACAGGCCCTAACGAAAAGAGGTTGCCAACTCACCTTCATTTTCCCCCAAGCCGTCTGGTACAACATCTCCCATAATGCTTGGGTGAAGATGGGTTGCACTACTTCAAAGTCTTCTAGACTGCGGAACCTCAACACCCAGCTGGTCATATTCTGATCGTCGCCGCGATGATTCCAGGTCAAAGACCGCATCTTGGTCGACCAGCGCTGATTCATGTCGGACGAAATCTTGTGAGCGAGCAGTTGGTCATCGCCAGATGAAGCCGTGAGCCAGCTGTTGAACGCATCGCCTTTGAGAACCCTGGCAGTTACGGGCCCATGTTCAACAAATGCGTTCTGTTCATGGTCCCAATAAAATAAGTCGGTCTCTTTCTCGACTGCAACAGGCAAATCAAGTAGAGGCGAGCCTTTCGTATAGGCTTCTTCTCCTTTGACCTTCTTCCTTTGAGCTGGCTTTGTTTCAGCAGGAGCTCTTTAGGAGGTCAGAAGACTAATCACAGACAACATTTTTGCACTCACTTCCACACGAACTCCTCCAAGTCTTTATCGGTCACTTTGTCTTTGTCCGCTGCGACCCGATATTTCCGTTCGTACATGGCCCTATACATGCAAACCTCGAAGAAGGCACGCGTTGGGGCGTTGGTCGCTGCTGTCGTGAACTCGTAGAATTCGTCCACATCGCCCTGAAGATCCCGCCAAGTAAAGTTGGGCTCGCCATCGGTTTCACCGATCCGGAACTCCAGCTCTTCGGCGATGAGAAACGTCTTCTCCGCGTCCGCTACGCGCTATCAGAGATCACAAAATATCTAAAAGCAGTCACGGCGCACTTTCGTCTTCGTCCTCAAGCAGCTCCTGGTCTCCGTCCTCGTAAACCCGTGTTACGACAAGCTGGAAGTGATGCTCGACGCTGGACACGCGTCGAATCGCCGCCATCGCTTCTGGATAGCTGGGAAGACTAAGGTGAGTGGCATGGAAAGTGAAATGGGACCTACATGCATTCACGGGAGGTCCGGATGTTGCCTAAGAGACATAAGAACGCGTTTTGAATCCTGCCCAATGCATTTACCTGGCCGGACAATATAAAGAGTGCCACCCGGAATCGAGCAGATCTCTTTGGCATTAGGGTCCTCTACACAGGAAAATCATGGGAGAGTTCGAGGGTCAATGGGATTAATGCCTACGCCAGAAGTTGCCGATTACTGCATACATTAGCGTCGAGTGCACCGATGGAAAAGAGGGTAACATACTACTCTTGAAGATGTTCATTGTGGTGGAAAGAGTCAGGACGCGCTGAACGTCACCGTGACATTCCGAAAATGGCTTCTCCACAACAACGACCAGTTAGTCTTAGTCTACTCCCACTTGAACGCGACCCTTGGCTCATTGCATAGTGTAGCAAAATGGATCGCCCACTTCTACGCTCTCCGAATCATCTTCTTTGCGCTTGATTGACACAACGCGTCTACGCGCAACATTTACCCCCGCCACGCCATTGCCAGTTAAGAAGACGGCCACAGTCATTAAAAGCGACCCTGCTATAACGACCAACTTCGACATGAATGACTGGGAGTTGTATTCAAAGTGGGCGCCTAAACAGTAGAAATATCAGGTAACTACCATCCACTTTGCAGTGGCAGGTCTCAAACTTTGTTCAACGACAGCAACTATCAACGAGAATTGGAACATATTGCACGTCGACTACTTCATTCACTTGTTGACCAGTTATCATCCCCCATCCACTCTACAAAACATGAGCACAACCTGCAACGGAGAAAACAACAAAGGACTCACCGATTTCACCAACCTTGAGCGGAAGGATGAAGTACTTGAACTTGTCGAAAGGCGGTTTATCTGCGTACGAAACCGACAATGTGCGACCCTGAGGAATTACAAAGATCATCCAAGGGTCTTGTTCGTCTGGACGTTGATGCGCCAGTAGTCGTTCAAGATCGGATTCTTCCATTGTTAACTGAGAGGCAAGCGTCATCCGGAGACCAACCAGCCGACTGGGATCAACCAGCCGACTGGGATCAGCAGAGTGAACCAATGCATTAAATCCAGTAATATTCCCTCCGAGTGGGACATGGTAACCTGACCGGGTCTTCGTGCTCTTGTCTGCTGTAATGAACGGCAAGTATGTCGAGTCTCCCATTTTCCAGTTTTCCGTTGTGCTATCTAACTCTGCCGCTGACATCAGCTGGTTGTCTGCAGACACCTGCATTCGGGTGAGTCGCAGAGTATCGTGGAGTGGTTGTGTGAACAATCGATGGCACAGGACTTCGGGACGCCCAGGAAATTTGGTTGGTAGAACATGCCCCAGTGGTGGTTGGTGGAGAGTAACCGATACAAATTCTGCAAGACGGTTTCTCGTCTTGAAAGAAGGTTTTCGTACAACAAACGGAGGATAGTCAGCGAGGCTACGCGGCGAACCATAGAGTATGATCTGTGAACATGGAGATTCTCTGACAAGTGGTCATCACTCTGCTTGCGATGAACTATTGTGAGGTCATCGAGCGCTTGTGACTGAGTATAACACTGAGAGTAAAGTAGATTTTCTAGTTCCCGGTCGTTGAGATGAGAAATGGCTCCAGCGAACTGTTTGATGACTGTCGTCTCGGAGCGATGTCCGAAGACAAGTTTCATAAGTTGGCGCAGAGATCGGGTCCAACGAGCGTATATGCAGTGCGAAAATCCACGTCAGGCTGTGCTGAGGCAATGTTCGAGCCTATAAAACCCGGATGAATAATTGAGAGAGGACTGTGATCGCAGGCCGCCTACTCGGGTTGGGTCGGAAGATTCAAGCATATCGTCTCTATCCTTGCGAGTCAGGTATTCGGATTGGTGGAAAGCTGAGGCTGCGATGTACCTCAGACATTGTAACTTGAGATCTTGCTCGTTCATATGGGCCAGAAAGACAATTCCTGCCAGCCACGGCAGGTGTTGCATAACGTTGTGCACCTCTCCAGACTTGATAGACACCAGACGAACAGTAGAGGAACAAGTCTCCGTTCTAGTACAACATAACCGGAATCTTCAATGATATCGAGACAAGCAAGTTTAGCCAAATAAACGTAGATTTCCCTGCATTGAATGAACGTGGTCAGCTTACTCAAAGGTCAGCTACTAATAAATACGTACCAACTCCCGGCCAAAATCAGTCCGCCATAAAATCGCCGATGAAGCTGATTTTCCATGTCGAGCCAGTCTTGCTTTCGTTTGGCGTTGATTAGGGCTGTAGGCCGTCGCCGTCATATACGGCGTACGGCCGGCCGTAATACGGCGCCGTAACCGTACCGTAAGGCCCCTTGGGGCCCGAGTTGACGGTACGGCGACGGGACGTCGGTGACGCCGTAGGGGCCGTCCCGTATACGGGGACGGTAGCCCGTATACGGGACGGTAGCCGTATATACGGCCTACCTCGGCTATCCCGGGATTTGATCCGGACATCGTCGATCCGTCCGGTATCAGACCCCCGGGCGCCCGTTGCTAGGGCCCAGCCACTGTTGGTGGTCAGCCAACATGGCCAGGACATCACTCAGGCGGCACCGCGGGCAGGTGCTTGGCACCGCCGCCCGACCCGGCCCGGTCGCTCGGAGCCCGAGTTTGGCCCAGGTCACACCGTGTGACCTGGCCGGCCGTACCGTCACCGTAATACGGCGTGACGGCGCCGTCCCGTACCGTAAGCGCCTTGAACTCGAGGGCTTACGGTACGGCGTGGGGCCGTCCCGGCGCCGTCAGAGGCCGTACCGTACACGGCCGTAGCCGTATACGGTACGGTCTACAGCCCTAGCGTTGATGATAGCGCATAGTCGATGGTAGGCATGAAACAAGACGATGGTGGACGGTAACATGCCTCTCGTCCATCGCTTTGGCATTGTCCATTGGAGGGATATGCGTGTTCCGCGGGCGAGATTTCCAGAGGAAAGGATTGGAGACGATGTGGTTTCGCCAGATAACTAGTACTCGATACCGTAAGGACTGCACTGGACTGCACTGGACTGCAGCATTGGAAGACCTACGTAGCAAGCTTAGCATGAGCTTTTCGGGACGAAGTCCATTACCATCAAGCCAATGTCTAACGGGAAAGCACCGAAGAGGGAAGAACTGGAGGAACTGGTCGCCTCATCTTGAAAACACCAAGTGACGTCACGTTCTCGGGGTCATTCAAGTTTATGTCACCTTGTTTCGGCGAACCTTATTGCTAGCTGAGTCGTACATTGAGGTAGAAAACCAACAAGATTGCTTGGTTTTAACTTATCCGGAAGGGAGGTAAGGAGTGATTTTGTACATGTAGGTAAGGCGATTGGCTAAGGTTTAAACTTATCAGCGCAAATTGAAACCAGTTGCTTTGTTTACAAACGCCAAATTACTACAAACATATGATGCGCGCTTAGTGCTCAAGCCCGGTGCCCACGTCAAGGGGGCGCATCTTCCACCAGGACCTCCACCATACATGATTCAGCGATCAACAAAAGACATCCCCCCAACGCCGCCTCCCACGAAGATCTTGTGACTAAACGATTGGAATTGGACGTTTCCCGGAGTACTTTCCGCGCATGGTTCGGCCTTCATGAACTCATCCTACCATTTGTCGGCCGGTTGGGCCTATGGAAGGTTTCTTGATGTAGCGCACAGTCGTCTCTGCTGATGATATCACAGTTCCACCCGGGGTCGCCATTCAGTTCGCCGAGTGGAAAGACCCATCAGCTCCCCGCGCCGCTACTGCTCCCATTGTGGTGGTCAGGGCTTAAACCTTGCGAGTATTCGTGCTGGGAACGTCCAATCGTCACGTTCTGTAGCATGTAAGTAAGTAATTGAAGAGAAAAAATGATTGCGTACAGTGGAGAGAGCCCGAGAGATCCCTTGCTTGAGAATGGCTGGCACCAGGCCTTTTAAGGCGGAAGAGTGAATCAGTTCCGTGAAACCACGACTCACTCCGCCTGATCCGTGAGTGCAACCAAGACATTGTCTCAATCGGGACCGTGAGTGCAAGACAGTCTTGGTGTGGTGCGCAACATCTTCATTGGACGAGCACGGAGGTATGGTACATCTTGCGAGTCCCGACTTCTTCTAGGCAAGGCCCAGCGCTTTGTTAGAGTACTCACAAGTACAAGTCAAGCAACACTCCACCGCTTTTCTAGAGTAAACAACTTGTGGGACGCGTGGAATTAAATGTCGGACTAGCAACAATTTGTCGCGTTTTCGTCTGTTCGCATGTGAGAATTTCGAACCAAGGCTGACCATGTGGTGCCAGTAAGTATCCGACCAGCGTACGAATGTTGACCCCACGGGGAATTGCTCTTCGCCAGAAATCTGGGCATAGTAAGATGAGTGAAGATCAGAGGTCAATGCCAGACCTTTGAGAGCAAACACAACTCCTCTGCCTTTTGCACCATCAATATATCCCAGACCCACGCGGGTACGCGCGGGTACCAAATCCAGCACAAAATGAGGACAAACGACCACTACTTGACCTCTTCGATATAGTAAAACGAGACGGCGACAGCTGGTGCAATGTGAAGTCTTGCCAGATTGAGAGAGGATCAATTTCACTTGGTGGGCCACGCGGAGTGAGCTGGCCGTCGAATTGAGGCGTCAGCAGTAGCATCACGGCGAAGGCCTGAGACTACTCTGACTGGTTGACCCCCGTCAGCTGTGATGAATCTGGCGTTTCTATCGTGGACAAGGGCGACGAAAGGCGTTTCGAACTGAAATATCCATTGGTCTGGTCTCCGTCATAAATCGTGCATTTCTTGAAGCCGTAAAACATGCTGCTGAATCGCTGCAGGAGTCCAGGCTGGATTAAAGATCATGATATATTCATATATTACCATTCGTTCAATATGGTTGAGCAGAAAAGTAGGCAAGAATGTCCTTCTAGAACAGAGGTTGAGCGGTCATGCGAGGGAGAGACATGTCAAGCAAGACATACCGATTAAGCACCAGTCCTTTTAATGTCCGAATCTCTCTTCTGCATACCTCTTCCTCTGCTGGCCCCAATGCAGCACCCGAACCAATCCGGGAGCCCATGGGCGCTTACTGAGAGTACAGATTGGCACTGATGTAGCCCCATAGCTTGGAAAGGGTGCTGCATGGGGCTCCGCCTCTCTACGGATGGTTTTGGGACGGCAGCTACCAAGCGCTCTAATACCTGAGCTTGTTCTGTGGGCGGGGAGGGCTCGGGCTGGAGTAGGTGGGGAAGGCGTAGATTATTCTGACACCAGATGTAATGAGACGAAGACTGTGCTTATTCCCATAAACGGTCCTGTCTCGAATGAGCCTCAGCGCAGACATATTTATTGGGACGAAAGTCACCTCAAGTAGTCAACCTTCGTCGGACACCAAGAAAGGAATCTTCCCTTCCAGCAGCAAAAATAATTCAGTGGTGTTGGGATATCGTTCCACTGCACCCGTAGGGGACTACTCTCCACCAAATTCGCAAGCTTGATGTTTACAGAGTCCTTGTGGTGGTCGATGACGGAGGTCCAATCCAGGGATGGTCAAATTATAGCGAATTCAAAAACATCGATAATCCTGTTTGTGGCGCCTTCTTGCTCTTTTCCGCCGCGTCGCGTTGCCGATTTTTCTCCAACATTGCCTGTAGGCCGCTCTTTTGTTTCGGTCGACGCGTCTTGTCGACTTTATTCTCCGTTGGAGTGATGGTTGGCGGTATCGGGGGTGGTGGGGCTGGCTTTGGAGGAGGTGTGGTGACCCTTCTATGTTTTCTGGTCGGTGGGAAGGCTGGAGAATTTTTGCGTGGTGCTGGGACTGTGTGGGTCCACCCACAAACCAGACAAGTTGTCTGCACTGTGTGACGAACAAGTCGGGTGCTGCTTTCGCCAGAGTGGAAAGGACTGCCACATTGTTTGCACCTGTTGGAAGCAGCAACACGGACGGCATGGAGATTTGCCAAACGTGGCGGGAGGACGAGCACCATTGTCTCTTGGAATTTCTTGGTGGCCGTGTCCGCCATCAACTGCACTGTTACATCAGCATCAAAATTCTTTTTGTTCTTTTGGACAATGCCCGGCGATTTAAGAGCAGGCGCTTGGAGCGTGGCCGTCCACTTCCCTTCCAGCCACCCACCATGCCCTACCCACACGACAGCCCTCCCGTCTCTTACATCCCACCCTCACCATCCTCTTCTCGTCGCCGCCCATCCATCTCGAATCCAATGGGCTGGCTCAGTCGATCTTCAACGCAATCCTCCGTTACTTCCATAAAGACGACAAGAATATCAGAGCCCAAACTGATTCTCCATGACCTGATGTCTCCGAGGGCGGGTATGCTTGGCTCCGGTGCCACCGTTGTTGGTACCCCAGAAGAAGCCTTGCGCGATACCAAAGCCAATTTCGAATCGGCCGAAGAGACTGCCCAGGGCCAAGAGATTGAATACACCCCTGCTTATGCGGCAGAATCGTCGTCAGAAGATGAAGACGAGATTCCCTCTCCAATTGACAGCCCTCCGTTGCCACCTATTCCAGCGGAGACGAAACAAGATGCTGTTGAGCCAACAACTCCCCACCCATTCACATTCCCTCCGCGTTCAGGACGCGTCCCGCCATCTTCTACGCCAAGACCCACTCTAAGGCCAGCACGGGATAGTGTAGAATCAGTGCCAGCCATTCCTTCCACCACTATCCCGATTCCGGTCGTCGTGCCTTTCAAAGCCATCCTCATTTCCGATGCTCCAGCTCCAACAGTCGACCGCACAAAAGTCATTGTTTCGCTCGAAACGTGTACTGCAACCTATCGAACCACCATCGATACGCTTACAAGTCGGCCTTCGCATCTGGCCACTTACATCCAGTCTTACTTCGCGCGCCCGCGCTTTGATTCTACTGCCTCTTCTGTCTACTCTACCGCCAGTGCAGAGGATCTGTCGGTCTATCGCCGTCACCTTGTGTCTCAAGGCCACATGTCGCAAGCTTCAACTTCACTGAACATATTCCTTGATCGGCCTAGCGAACCGTGTGTCTACTTGCTAAACTCTGCTCTCCCTTATCGCTAATTTGCTATTTCCACTAGCTACCCTCATATCCTAAATTATCTTCGTACGCCAGAACCGACTGAGGGCCCAGAAGTCCTCCCCCCACGCGCCGCCCAAGTTGGCCTTGACGCCCTTCTGGAACTCCGAGACGAAGCTGCCTACCTTGGTCTGGACAATTTGCAGAGGCTTTGTGCTGAGGAAATCAACCTGCGACGTCGGATCCGGCCACGGACTCCACGGACCCACAGCTCAGAGAGATCAATTCCCAGCATGCATGGATCAGTCAGCAGCCTCCACACCCTTCTCGAAAAAAGCGAGCCAGAGACACCTCAACACGTTCGGTCTCTCAGCAAAGACAGCGGTGTTGATGAGATGGGGCAGCATGCAACCCCAACTCCCGATTTGATAGCTGGCCGCCGAGTTCGTAGTCAGCCACGGTATAATTCTTTACGACCTCCTCCCGCTGGCTGGATATGATTGGATTTGTACTACTTCTTCTACTGTAGCGGTATATAACTTCCCATAGACGTGTCTGGAGCACACTCGTAACCTAACTGTAATAATATTCTTTTTTTTTTGGCTTCACTCGGGAGGTAAAAAAAGTCAATGAGTTGTTCTGGTTTTTTCTGCTACTCAAACTCGTCACAACGTACACGATGAAATACATGAAGACACATGATGAATCAGTAGAGCCTAGCGTAACGAAGGGAAGAGAGAGAGAGGGCTTTGGACTGATCGTTCGTCAGCGGAAGAAAATGGAAAGGTGGGCATAGTCAAATAAAAGTACAGTTGTCGGAGAAATCGGCCCTCTCTTTATTTCTTCTGTTCAGCATACGGATTCATACTGTACACCTTGATGACGGGAGGGCTCTTGGTGAGGTCCGCCGTGACAATGACCTGGATGCGTATTAGCACCATTCACCAAGAATCCAGACAAGACTTACTGGAACAGTCATAAGCTCACGGATGTCCTGAATCTTATGGCCAGAAGAAGTGGAGCGAAGCCCTTCAAACTCGGGCTTGACTTTGGCAATAGACAGCAGGCGCTGGCCCGAAGTCTCCGGTACTTGCGCCTTCTCCTCGCGACCCAGAACAATTTCGTCTTCATCACCCTCGTCTTCGTCGAAAAGTGCGCTTTCATCATGGACCGAGCGGGAAGTAACCTCCATTTTGACCGCATGTTGTTCAGCATTCTGCTTCATCTTCTTGAGATGCTCGTCATCACTGTTCTCTGCAAGCCACGTAATCACATCGCGGTCAGACCAGTAGATTTGGAGTGTGTGGGTGTGTTCGTCGTAGACATGGTTCTAACGCAAACAGTCAGAACTTGGCAAGTGCGAGACGAAGATCTCCTCACATCAATAGGCATCTGGTCAACATGAACCCGTTTTTCAATGCCGAACTCTGGCACGAGAACATCAAAAGCAGCATCGAGCACGCCCACAACCTTGGCTTGACGGACAACCGGACCATAGCGTTGAGTCAGATCAGCGATGAGGACGCAAAGGAAAAGGTGGGCTGATTGTTCCTGAGCGAGCGTCGCGGAGTCGCGTTTGATGTTGCATTGTTGAGCAACCTTGGCTACAGCGTCGCGATCCATAGTAAACTTGGGTTCAGCCGCTGAATCTTCATGAGAATAAAAGAAATGAATAATCAGAAAGAAACTAACCAGCAGGGCCCTGCAACACCGACTCGAGCTGGCGGTGGACAAGAAGATCGGCATATCGGCGAATCGGAGATGTAAAATGCGTGTAGAGGGGAATGTTCAGAGCATAATGCTGATATTTGGCAATGTCAAGCATACCCGCGCAGAAGTATTTGGCGCGGTGGGTAGCCTTGAACGACAGCAACTCCAACAGTCTACGCGCGGTGGGATCAGTAACAGCATTAAAGGAACGCATCATGGTCCCAGCAGAGGTGGTGTCCATCTCATAACCAAGGCGTCTAGCACGTTCAGCAAAGACATTCTAAAAGCTTGTTCAGCAGGATCAGTCAACCATACGGTTAGGACATACCAAGCGCCGATCAATAGGATTGTCATGACGCCGAAGGAGGGCTTGCTCTGGAAGGTGGACTGCAATTTGTTGGGCGACCGCAATATTGGTCAACAACATGAATTCTTCGATGAGTTCGTTTGCATCAGCGCGCTCGTATTGTCCACAATCAACAGGCATGCCACGTTCATCTAAGGTGAAGGAGAGACGGTTGGAGTTGAGGCTGAGGGTACCATTCTCGAAACGGTGAGCACGAAGCTGCTTGGCAATGCTTTCAAGGATCTTGATATCATGTTCGATATCGACTGCTGAGTGCTCAGGAATGACTGCAACAGGGCCCAGTGGCTTGCCCTCAATAACGTTCTGCGCATCCTTGTACGCCAACTGGGCAGCGGATTTGATGATGGTTTTGCCAAACCACTTCTTCAAAACATTCCCTTCTTTCGTCATAGTGAAGACTGTGGAGAAGGCAAGGCGGTCTTGACCAGGAACGAGACTGCAAAGTTGCTCGCTCAGTGCTGGTGGCAGCATAGGTACTGCTCGCTGGACAAGATAGACGCTTGTCGCACGTTTCCGAGCATCACGGTCAAGAGCGGTATTGGGCTTGACGAAGTAAGAAACGTCGGCGATATGAACTCCAACATCGTAAGTACCGTCCTCGTTGAGTTTGATGGACAGTGCATCGTCGAGGTCCTTGGCGGTCTCGGGGTCGATAGAGAAGACACGGTCAGAACGGAGGTCCTTGCGAATTTCAAACTCTCGTTCCGGAATCCTGATGCAAAGATCAGCATTTTGAGGTTCCCGTTCGACGAATAAAAGCTAACGTACGTCCAAGGAATCGGGGGCAAGCATTTGATAACGTTGTCAGTGAAGTCTTCAGTGGGGAAGTTGCAATCCTTGAGTAGAGCACTGGTTTCTACTTCGATATCTCCAATCGGCCCCAATTCTTCGACTAAGGTACCGAAGGGATGGAGAGAGCTGATGGGCTATATGGAATGATTAGTTTCTTCACAGAGCAAGAAACTGCTGCACGAACATGACGCTTAATGCAAGCAACAAAGAGCTTGTTAACATAGGCTTCTGAGTTTTGAACAAAGTCGGTCGGTGCTTGTTCAGTAGGGATAGCAATAAGAGGAACGCGTTTGTCCGTTGGCTTGAACCAAACAATCTTGGGGCGTTCAATGGGGCCACGACGAGGCTCATCGCCTTTGTCACCTTCACGCTCACGACGTTCGGCTTCTTGCTTTTCCTTGGTGGCGGCTGAAGAAGGACGCAAAAGACCAAGTGTTCCCGAGAAAAGTTGACCAGGCATGCGTTCAACAACCGCGACGACGTGACCTGCGAATTGAGGCTTGACGTCGTCCGTCACTCTGTAGGAAAATTAGGGTGGATCACAAAAGCAGATATTCACCACGTACTCTTCGTCGTCGAAAAGCATTAGCCCTTGTCCTTCAACCTCGACATCATCCTTTTTCTTGTCATCTTTCCGACCAGCAGCGGATTTGAGATCGTAGGCAGCATTTTCCTCCTTCTTGCGTTTCTTCTCCTCCTTCTCCTTCTTAGTGCCCCACACTTCATCGACATCCAACAATTCAACTGCAACAATGTCGCCCTCGAGAGCGCGATTACGATCTTTGGATCCACAGATGTAGATATCTGCATCAAGTACTTCGGTCGCGACATAGGCATCGGACCTGTTACGTTTGTTGACACGAAGGATACCCACAACGAGTTTTCCGGCAGCAAGAAGCGGAGGCAAGGAAGCTTGAGGTAGGTATGGCGCAAAGAGTGACTTGCGTTGAGGTTGGTTGGACTGCTGTTGAAGCTGGGACTGGAATTGTTGTTGCTGTTGCTGAAGGATGTTCATGCCTCCAAGACCAAGACCCATCATGTTGGCGGCCATCATATTGGGCAACATGTTCGGAAAGCTAAACGACGCCATCTTGTTGTGATGACCACCAGCAGCGGCACGGAATTGCTGGAGACTCTGCAACTGAGCTTGGGCTTGAGCCAGATCGGCAGCAAAGGCATTGGTTTGCACGCCACCAACGCCACCATCTGGATGACGCAATCAACAGAATGTTTGCCCAAGCGGAACATGACTCACTGATGCGCCAGCTTGAGTCAGCTACACGCGAAGGCTGACGCGAATGACCACCCGGTCCAAACGACGGAGGATTGAAACCATCGTCGAATCCATCCTGGCCTCCATAAGGGTTGCCATAACTGATGGATCCTCCATTGGCGCCAAATGCAGGCTTGTTCACAACATTGACGCTATGACGGCGTCCGTGACCACGAGGAACCCCTTGTGGTTGTCCATCGAGTCCCATTCCGAGGGTATTGAGATTGCCAAACTGGTTGGGAGGGAAGTTACCGCCAGCACCCATGGGAACTGTGCTGTGAACTCGTCGATGAGCGCCACGGTTGGGAGCGAGGCCGGGAGTCTGGTAGGATAAGACTTGGTTCGAGGCAAGCTGTTGCTGGTAGAGAGCTTGCTGCTGCTGTTGCAATGCTTCAATCTGACTTTGGATGGCAATCTAGATGGTCATGTTAGGAGTATTTCAAGGAAAGATTGCGGCAAACCTGTTCGGCCATGATACCAGTAATCTCTGCACTTTCGGTTTTACGATGCTTAGACTCGGTTGCTGGTTCATAATGTTGAGCTTGAGGAAACTGGAAGTTCACATCTTCCTCGTTGATGGGAGGACCCATTGGGCCACCTCGTCGACGGCCTCCAGCACCAGCTCCAAACATGAAACCGGGAGCAAGTTGAGGGCGACCAGAAGGGCCAACAATTTCTCCTTGCTCTTGCTGGGCAGCCAATGCAGCGAAACGCGGCGCGACAAAACTCTGTGATTGGGCACGAGGCTGATGCCCTCGAACTTCGGGAATTTCTCCTTCCTCATACATTCCACCAGCCGAGTCTTCTGCGTCTTCGTTCATTGAGCCCAAATGGGGGGCAAACGAGTTGAAATTGCCAGACAGGCTGCCAGGTCCGACAGAAGCGGCTTTGCGATGCGCAGCTGCACCGGGTTGGAAGACGGGAGCATTGACTGGTAGATTGGAGTGCATCTGAGGAGGCTGTGGAGATGTCGTCTTTAGGTCGGCAATGACGCGTTGAAGCGACGACAAAGCGACACTCGACTCGCCCGGTGGTGGGGACGATGTCTTGGGATTGCGACTGCCTTGAGATGGTTGGGATTTGCGATGGCTGGACTGACGGTTGTTGTTGTTGTTGTTGTTATTGCTGTTATTGCCGTTGTTCTGATTCTTGTTGGGGCGACGACCGCTGTCTGAACCTTTGCGCGAAGTCGTGTCTGAGCCAGACTCGTGTCCGCTGGGAGCAGTCGCTGGCTTCTTGTTGCTTGCAGTCCGCGCCTGAGTTGGCTGAGAAGCACCTGATGGCTTATTGGTCGAGCCAGATGGGTTTCTCTTCGAAGTACGGTTACTAGCACCCGCAGTCGGTTTCTTCTCGTCCTTCTTAGGCGGCGGTTGGGGCGTAACTTGGTCGGTCATATCGTTCGTAACGAGAAAGAGAAGGTGTTTTCGAGTCTTTTTAGGTTTTGTATTTCGGTGTCAAGTGGTTCCTGCTTTATGAGTCCAGTCAGCTGGCAAGTAGAGCCGAGTCTAGAGGGAAGCGCACCTGGAGGGAGATTGCCCTGTGGGGCGGCGTGGTGGAAGGAATGCGAGGGATGGCTTATCCGTGTGACTGTCGCTAGTGATGTCACACTAACATGCCACAATAAACATATGCGGGGGTACTAGTAGTCTAACCACTAACTGTTCTATAGTGTAGCTGGTACGTATAATTTACCCTAAGATCCAGAAGAGTGCATTATAGCTTTTGGATAATGGCATCAGTATACTCCTTCGTTGACGCTTTTCCACCCAAGTCTCCAGTAATGGTCTTGCCTTCAGCGATCGTCTGCCAAGAAAGTTAGCGCTTTCCTCCATCAATCATACGCTCCACTTACCGACAACGCAGCCTTTTCAATTTTGTCTGCATGCTCGAACAGGTTCATATGCCTAACGTCGAATTAGAAGAAATTCTCAGAATGAAGAAAGGTGAACCGACCTCAGCATCATCAACGAAGATAGCAGCAATGCAGTTGGGTTGGCGAGACCTTTGCCCGCAATATCCGGGGCGGAACCATGGACAGCTTCGAAAATGGATGCGTCCTAAAGAACAATATAAATTAGGTTTCGCCTTGGATGGTACTGAAGGGTAACGGACGCGGCCAATGTTTCCAGAGGGTGTCAGTCCAAGCCCACCGATAAGGCCCGCGCACATATCGGAAAGGATGTCACCATACAGATTGGGCATGACCATGACCCGATCAGAGTAGGGCTTGGGGTTTTGAACAATTTGCAAGCAAACCCGGTCAAGGAGGTCCTCATCATACGCGACATTCGGGAACTCCTTGGATACTTCCCGACATGCCGACAAGAACATTCCATCCGACATTTTCCTAAAGGAAAGTTAGGAAGCAGCGAAGAATGTAAGCAGGTTAACATACATAATGTTGGCTTTGTGAACTGCTGTGACTCGCTGTCGCCCACTGGTCTCTGCATAGTTGAACGCATAACGAGCGACGCGTTCAGATGCCTCCCAGGTAATGAGCTTGATGGATTGGACCACACCATCGACAATCTGCCCTGCTAATAAGCGAAACCAACACAGAAAACCAAGTTACGGACCTCATGCTCAATGCCAGAGTACTCTCCCTCCGTGTTTTCACGAATCAGGACAGTGTTCACATCGTCATACGGCGTCTTGAAACCTTTGATGGAGACACATGGTCGAACGTTGGCGAATAAGTTAAATGTGCGACGAAGCGTCAAGTTGAGCGAAACGTGGCCCTTGCCGACTGTAACGGTCCGTGAGCACTAGATAATAGTAAAAACGCGTATATCGCTCACTGGGGGTTGCCAAAGGACCTGTTGGAGTTGTAGGATCGAGCTAATTATAAGCTAGACATGACGAACCTTTTAGAGCAACGGTGTTCTTTTTGACCGAGCTGATAGCAGCATCGGGAATGACAGTCTTGCCTCCCTTGAGGATTGGGGTGACACTGACTTCCTCCCACTGAATTGGCACCTAGGCAAACCTCTCAGCTGCAGTATGCCCAAGTCGAAAAAAGTTCATACATCGGCAGCGACGTAAATGTTCTTGATAGACTCGCTAATTTCAGGGCCGATACCTGACTAGTTGAGCCGGGATCGAGGGTAGGGAGACACACAAACCGTCGCCGGGAATGAGAGTAACCGTGTACTTGCCCTGAAGTTACGTGTCGGAAAAGAACGGGTGTAGATGGATGTGAACATACGTTGCTGTCTTTCTGGCCAGCGAAAGCAGCAGTCGAGGCAGCGGAGGCATATTTCCGGAAAGCCTAGAGTGCGTCAGTCATTTGCTGGGTTGTCGATGAGGACGAACAGAAGGCGCGCGGGCGATGCTAGCAAGGGGCCGGCTCAACATGATGGAAAGTAAAGAAAAAAGTTGATCCACGTGAATATACCCAAATCCTGAAGTACATGCTAACTACCCAACTCTCATCCACTCAACAGACCATTGAGCTGCTGCCGATAGGACTCCATGTTTCTTTCTGTCTCCTCCTCCTCCAGTTTGTCTTGTAGTGACTTCCCCGATATTAGAATAGACACAACCAAAGGCGAGACTTACTGGCAATGCACCAACAGAGCCAGCCAGACCAAGCTTGCCGTCTGTCAGCTCGGCAAGGACTTTGTCGACTTCCTCGTCTGCTTCTTCTAAAAGCTCGTCGTCGTCTTCCAACTCTAATGTGTCGTCTACCATCTCTCCAATTATCCCTGCCTGTAACGTTTCATTATCCCTGCTCAACAAACGTAGGAGAGTTACACACCTTTGTCATTTCCATACTCATTTCTCGCATCGTTTGGCTGATTTGGGGTAGTTTGATTAGAGAGTTGGATAACTTCATAATTTCGGTAGACTTCTGCAGCGCGCCAGTCACTTTCACCATGGCTAAGAGCGAATGAGTCGTTATGTTGTAGGGCTAGAACCAAGCGAACCCATTTGCTGCGCAAGTTGTGTCCCGATTGAGTTGAGTCGAGCCTTGCTAACTGATAGCTTGTCCTTCTGCTTCTCGCTTCGGACGACCTCTCGAGCTAATATACGCGCAGACTTGACATCTCCTCGTGTTGCATGCTGCTTCACCTGTTGTCGAGCTTGCTTGGTGACTTTGTCGAGCTATAGAGAGAGAGTTGGCTACGGAGACAAGCGTCAAAGCTGAGTAGCGAACCTCCCTCATCTCGCGGTCAAGATGGCGTGCCTCCGTTCGTAGTTTTCCCTGCCATTGCCTAACCTTCTCCTCTGGTGTGGGGCCATAAAGGAACCTGTTTATGGACTGCATATTTGATCGTCGATGGAGGGAAGAAGCAAGTCAATTCTATGACGTTGCTGTACAAGTCAAGTTACACGGAGACAAACTAAAGAATACATGGTCTATGCGCTTCGAATACGAGTAACTATAGCTTCCCAGTAGTTAGAGTTCCAGCCATCTCCGTCATCATTTGCAAGACCAGGAATGAGACCTTGTTGTGAGGTTCCTACTGGCGCAGTTCCAACCCACCCAGAAATATCACTGCTCACAGGCATCCCCCAAGAAGCACTGATTCCATTCGACCCATCGATTTGTCCGTTGCTTATGGTATTACACCAATGATCCAGCAACGATTGAGCCGATTCGTCCTCTGGACTACCAGTTGTGATGGGAGACATCGGCAAGTCCTCAAACGCCTCTCGTTGGAGTCGCTGGAATGTCGGTGACTGTGGGCCTCGGACAAGAGGCGAAGATGCTGCTGTCCGTATCGGTGGTGTCTTAGGAGTTGGGTTTTGGAGTCCAAGCAACAAATGTGCTGGATGCTCTGAGCTATCGCCGTTGGGCACGATTGGGTCATTGAGAATACGATGAGGGCCATCTGTCTGGTTCAACATTTGCGAGGCTTTGGTTTTGAGGAATTCGATAGTTTTGAGCTCCCGCCTCGTCGTTTCATCTAGGTCTCGAATACCCTCGTGGGAGGATACAAAATGATCCAGTATCTCGTGCATCTTCATAGAGTGAAGACCGGCGGGATCGAGAACGAGGTAAATTCCCTGGAAATCAAACGTAAGAATGCGAAATAACTCAACAAGAGAGGAAATACCGCAATCAAAGTTGTCTGGAATTCTCGGTATGCGTTGGAGAGAGACTCCCTCGTCTCTTTCGGCACTGTGTTTTGGAATGCCCTCCGGACGGTAAAGTCTTTAATTGCTGACTCAAAACAGGCATTTCGGGACCTGGCGTAAGGCGTAGGTCGGTCAGATTTGAGTTTGCGTAAGATATAAGGCATGTGTAGACTGTTCCGCACGAAGAGTACTTCGGTAATCAACAAGAACCTATAGAATAAGTGAGCCAGATCGTTCCACCAATAACGGAGTGGCACGGTACCTGTGAATGGGGATATATGCAAGCTTTTCATCAAGAGATCGATCCGGATCCAGAGAGAAATGAGGTGGAAGCGTTTCCATAAAGTGAAGCAATTCGTCGTCGATGACCAGCACCTCAGAATAATGACTGCCTGTGCGCACTTGCTGGAAGTGGTGAACCATACGGCCTATTATTGCGGCCAGTTGGTGGCGTAGAATGACGTATGTCATCCGTGTTGGGTTGGAAAGAGGGAGTGAAGTCCGTATGCCGGGAGAAGGGGAGGGGGAATCATCATCAACATTGGAAGGAGGTAAGGTGCTGGTGTAATCGTCTTGAATGGAGTTTGGCCGCCCAAGAACGAGGGCATAGGACCGGTCGGCATGATATAAGTATGACCTAGACAATGTGAGAAGATCAAATAAAGGGGGCTCGGATGGCTACCATATCCTACGTCGATATTCCACCATAGATGGGTCCATATTCTCGAGTACAAAGTCAGAAGAGTACGTAAACTGAAACATCGACACTGACCATGTTCGCACCATCTCGATGGAGACCCAATGCCTGTGCAGTCTTGACTGCAGCACCCAATTGCGAGTAGCATTCGGTTATCCGCCTATCAAATGTCAGAAAACGTGCACTCTATCGTGACCTCAGCAACAATGTGTCTGGTGGAAGGTGTGCGAACCAAAAGCCGAGTTAGCACGATATCTAATGAGTCTGGCTGGATCACAGCGGCGATAAGGAGTGACCGTCGAGCTGTAGGATTTCGATCAGCAAGGTAACAACAAGTCAAGGCACGACAAACAAGACCAATAATATCGGAGAGACGTGACCCGACGAGAGCGAGCATCGCCTCCAATGCTCTCTGGTGCAAGTCTAATAGAAGGTCAGCACAAACAAACAAACACCGAAGCAAGCCGATACCTAACCGAGATTGCCAACACCGCAAAAAGGAGAGGCAAGAAGCTAACATCGGCCGGGGCATTGACGCCGGTTGTGCCATGCTCACAGATGGAGTTAAATGAAGCACGAAAGTCGCGTTCAGAGATCGGATAGCGTGTCCAGTTAACGGTGTGGAAGTAGTAATCCACCAGGACTGTAGACATTCGAGTCGGAGGCAGCTCTTGCAGCAACTCTGCGACTTTGTGTGGGGAGACTCCGCATTCCTGAACGAGAGTCTTGAGGTTATCTGCAGCTGTAGGCTCCAAGCCAGCTTGGACAGCATCAAGAAAAGTATTGGAGGGTGGTGGGAGGATCATATCTGGGTGTCGCCCATTTTTGTCGGCTGGCACGACATGTTCGAGCTTTGAAACAGGTGAGAGTTCATGAAAATATAAGACGAAAGGAAGACGCACTTGCTCAAGAACTGAACCAGGAGCAATGCTGCCTGACGCACTATTGCCATACCACTTTCCACTTTGGAAAGTCCCTCCTCTTGGGTCTTGGTCATCCGGGTTGGAGCGAGAGTCTTCATCCGTATGAATTGACCGACGAGCATCCAGAGACGCAAATTGAGGTAGCGCAACCTCTAGTATATGCTCCACCCGGGCAAGTCGGGCCGCAATGTCGTTATTATCGTTTTTGCCTGGCATGTAGGGCTTGCATAGCTCCGGCACTTTTCGCGATACACAGTGAGCGCAGGGTGAATTCCTGGGGTGAATAGTCAATAGGCAATAATTAATTCAACGGATATAAGTGCAGACCGATCGCAACGCTGCTTTCGTCGATGGCATTCACCACAGGAGAAGCTGACTCGAGTTCTCTGCCTCTTGGCGTTGGGTTCGCTCTCCTCCTTAAGAAGGATCTTGCGTTTAGCAGGGACAGGACTGTCCATGCGAGAGTTTGGGATTAGATGACTCAGCCGCCTGTCACGGTCACGCCCAATGCTGAACCTTAAGCTTGAACGGCCATACAAGGACGATGCAGGTGTTCGGCTGCCCATTCTCGAGGACATCGCGCCGGATGGTTCACGCGTATACGAGACCCCTGTTGACCCACAACAATCTCTTGCTGACCGATTAAGACGAATATTTGCTGAGCGTGGTCATGACTTCTTCGACCGGAATGAGTCTCAACTCACGGACATCGCTGCACCGGAGAAGGAAGAGGATAAGGAAGAAGAATCAGCTCAAGACAAGTCTGTGGGACCAATGACAGTCGACGAACTCAACAAGATGCGGTTTGAGCTGCTCAACCACCTTTTGTGCGTCCAAATTTTGGCACGATGAACTATAGTTTATATTAGACACTAGCACTGCGTATGGTGAAATGACCCTAGCAAGAGACCTACTGGACACGCTATTAAACACGTCTTCATCGAGTATCGCGGCCACATCCACTGCTGCTATCCTGGCTGGACTGGGTGTGGCCCCAACTGCTGCTCCGCCTTCCTCTCCAAAGCTTTCATCGACGACGGTCTCAAAGCCCGCTTCAATTGTTTCAGTACAAGCATTTGACGCGCAACTCACCATTGGTGGTAAAGATGAAGCATTGAGAAGCGCGTCTGCTGTCTTTAAAACGGCAGCAGGAAGCATGGAAAGGGCTCGAATACGAGGAGAACGTTATTGGGTCAACGCACTGAAGGTTCGACGCGCAAATTGGGGACTAAGTCCTGCGCCGTTACCATTTGGCGCGCCAACAGGTAAAGGTGCTGACAAGACCTCTAAGGATTTCCTTATTTCGTATGGTCTTGAGGAAGGTAAATGCTTTTCGAGGGTCTTCGCCAGCTCTCACTCCCTTCAAAAGCCTCTGCGATGTTTCGAAGACGTGCCGTTGCCCGAATGCCGATTTACGAACAACCGTCAGAACCCATGATCTTCCCCCATCGCCAGAAAACAAGAATGAGCATCTCTGTCAGCAATGTTGACCCTCCAAGCAAGAAGCTACTGTCGATCAACACTATGTCTACCATGGACGACGGATCTGTCGACTTTGCATTACGTGCAGCCCAACGAGAAGTTGTCGAACACGAGATCTTCTCTAACTTGGTCAAAGAAGCGGGCTCCCTTCCAACCTCTACCGCCCGTGTTTCAGAACGACTCATTGTTATTGAAGCAGCCAAAGGATTAGAATTAAGATTCGATTTGGTCCGGTTAATACGTTTTCTTCTCGCTCTATACTCAACCATGTTGCAGCTTGACGACGACGCGATACCTCTCCATCCTCCGAATGTTTCCAGCGCGAAATGCGACTTGATTTATCATATGCTACAGGCACTGCTATTACGCAGGCATGCGTATCTTAAACACGTCCGACTTAGTGGTGCAGGCGTCTTTCGTCGGTCAGATGCGCCTGAGGCACGGCCTCCACCATTAATTCTTCGACCAATCATCGATCTCCTCCAATACGAAGTTTTTTGTGAACGAGTTCGTTCAGAGATGGTGGCTGCTTCCAGTGGTCTTCGTACTGCAGGGATAGAGGCAATACTCCGATTTGTTACTGTTGGTGGTACAGGACAAGGGCTCATGGCGTTTCTCAGTGATGCGGAGCAGAACGCGGTGGGCGGCCAGGCTCTGCTTAGGATCGACAAACGACATACTGTTCGTTTAACCTTCCGTTCACCACAGTCCTTAACGGCACACCTTTCACAAGCAACACTGTCAATTTCATCGATTCCCCAATTGCGCCAAATGCTTGCAGACGAAATTGAAGGTTGTTTACTGCGGAGGTTTTGCGAATTGGGGCAGGAGTTGTGTGAGAGTGTAGGGGGGACATGGTTCACAGACCAATCTCTAGCGCTGGGCCGTTGGGATGGTTGTGTTTTGTGAGTGCAGGCCAAGCCTCAACTACTTGCTTTCACTGATTCTTTCTCAGAAATTTCCGCGTGTTCATCACCGACTGTTCAATCCGCTGTAGCGCGTCTAGCTTAACCAAGGCGGGACCAAAAGAGGGCGATGCTATGAACTACAGTGCTGACCTGGGGATTCCGTTACTCACATGGGTAGCACACACAATACGAGACGCATTGGACGTGTCATAAAAGCATTGTAACATGTACCTAAACATATAAAACAGAACACTGCATTTACTCGTCGTCGTCGTCGTCATCGGCAGCCTCGGGCTCGTCGAAGCCACCAGCCTTGAACTTCTCGATCTTGGCGGCAATGTTGGCTTTGCGTTGTTCGTAGGTGAGTTTGACTGTGCGATGTTTGGTGCTCTCCGCCTTCCAGTCTGTTGTCTTTTCCGTGGGCTTGAAGGTTGGGTCCTCTCGGATGGCGGTGTGGGCATTTTTGTAGATGTCCTCAATGTCCTCTGACCCAATGCCGTCAGCGAGGTAGCTGGCGAACTGCTTCTTGAATCGCTCATCGTCTTCCTCCTCAAGCGACTCCATGTACTCCGCCACGTGACCGCCATAGATGTACTTTTTGAGGACCTCGGCATCGAGCTCCTTGGACTCTGGGTCGTAGCCAGGGAAACGCTTCTCAGAGTGGGGCACGAAGATTCCACCGTCAGAGGCACCCTTCATCGCACCGAATACTCGCGAGCCAGTTGATGTTCGGCGGAGACCGACATCGAGGAAAGCCTTGAATGGCCGGGGGGCATCTTCACCATCGATGACTTCGGTGAGCGTGAGCGTGCCGTCTGGCTCGGCGACACCCTGGTATTTGTCAGCGAGGCCCAGCTTGGTCAGCGCACGGCGCGCGCAAAGAAGACCAGTCGCATAGGCAGCGGCCCAGTTGGTCAGACCGTGCTCGATGCCATAACGGGGCAGCTCGCGCGAGTGGGCAGATGTCAGGACAAAGTCGCCCTGGAGGCGGGCGTAGATGATTTGGACGATGACATCCTTGTTCGTTATCCGGACGACAAGACGGTATTTCGGCGCATTGTACTTGTTCTTCGCCTGGGTCACAAGCCGTTTGCGGGCGTAGTCTAACATCCGATTAGAGCCAGTAAAACGGCAAATAAATAGAGGCCAGCGCACAGTCAGTTTTGCCCTCGCGACGTCTGCGGTATTTAACCTGGAACCGCGAGAAGTAGGCATCCGACTTGAGTTTTTTGACGAACGGCATCTGGAGAAAGTCAGCCTCATCCAGCTAGCAAGACGACCAAATGAGGCCAGAATCGCTGGAGGCGCTCTTCTGGGGTCTCATTAAGCGTTTAGAGTGACGAGTTTACCTTGAGGGCCGATGGGGAGGAGGTGAATGGGGGCGGCGAAGAGAGATGGAAATTTTGCAGGCGGGATTCCTGACGCAATCACTCTTTGTTGATGATGTGACCGTTGTGACTGTGACACCACAACTCACTCATGGCGGACTACTACGGCGCCGGCCCTTCCTCACACACTGTCCCTGCTAATGCCTACGAATACGATGTCGGGATTCTGGCACAACAGAGTGTCTACGTCCCCGGCGCAATGATTGACAAGCGCGGTGGCTCTGGTGGAAAGGTTGCAAAGGGAGGCAAGCGGACGACGGTCCTCCGAAAGGGCGGAGGCAAGGTTTGGGAGGACCAGACGCTGCTAGATTGGAATCCATGTGCGTCAATTAACTACGGTCGTGCTACTTCCCTTACTGACCGGTCCCTAGCCTGGTTTCGTCTGTTTGTTGGCGATCTCAGCAACGATGTTTCTGACGATGTCTTGGCCAATGCTTTCAACAAGTACACCTCTTTCACGAAGGCTCGTGTCATAAGAGACCGTCTCAGTCAGAAGGCCAAATTCGGTTTTGTCGCCTTCTCAGATCCAGAGGACTTCCTTAAAGCCTGGCGGGAGATGGATGGTGAGGCTTCCAACTGCATGTCTTTTTTGGATCCCACTCAATTCCTCTCTACTCAGGCAAGTACGTTGGCAATCGACCCGTGAAGCTGAAGAAGGCAGATGATCTCATTCGTCCGGTTGAAATTGGTCAAAGGAAGGCGAGAGAGCTCGATAAGAACCTGAAGAAGAACAACCGACACAGGCCATACTAGAAGAGTATGTTACTCTGCCTTATATTCCAGATTGTACTCGTTGACCAGCTCGACATGAATAAATAACAAGTGATCATGTTGGTGTACCAATGTCAGGACAAGTTAAAGAGAAATTTACTGGTGGTTGCACTGAGAACTCTCATCGTCAACCTGAATGCTTGCCAGCAAAGCTGTAAAATGATGTCTCGACAGGCGTTGGAAGCCCAGCCTTGGTCTTTCGTTGGCTGCTATGATCTCCTCTGCTTGATCTATGCGAGAGAATTTCGGCTCGCTTGAAACTGGAGCAAAAAGCTTGATCGTCTCGTCAATACCGCTACAAGCAAACAGCGGCAAGTGGGGATGGCCTTCGATGACGTTCACCACAGTGCTATCGCCCTCAAGTAAGGCATGCAATTGGCCGGAATCCTTCTCCCAAATGAATAGATTCCCACAATCCGACCCAGAGACTACAAATTCTGTGAAAGAGATTATGGCCCAGTGGCTCTTTCTATTTTGCACGCACCGTCTCGGGGTCCAAGGAAGTTGACGTCCTTGATGGTTTGGATGTTTCTGGCCCCGCTGTATCGCGTGCGAGGCATTATCAAAGGGACGCCGCCATATGAGTCGGGGGGTGTAGGCGTCCCTTCTTCTTCTCCGTCAGATAATGGCGTGGAAGGTTTTGCCATGTCTTCTTCCTTTTGAGGTTCATCCAATGTCGAGTACGAGTAGACCGCATCGGCACTATATGCTAGAATCACAACGTCAACAAGACACTTGGGTCGCAGGTTATGGTGGCGTACACAACAGAACTTCGTGTCCATTTTCTGCAGACATTCTTGAGCCTGTGATATGCTCCCTTCCCATGAAATCTTGAGCTGAGGCATTACTCCTGGTGGGCCGACCAAATCGACGAACACAATGGGTCATCCCGTTCTCAACCATCCCCCACTCTTCACGTAGGAATCGACCAGCCTGTCGGCGATCGAAAAGGTACCCCTAGAAGCATTATCAGGAGGCATTCAGTGAACAAAACCACGCACAAATTCTGACTCTCCAGCGACGACGAATTGATACGGCGTCAGAGTAGACATAGAGATAGTTGAGAGCTCGAGATGCATCTTAAGCAACGGGGGAGGACAAGAGCCAGACTGGCAATTGTGTTTATTCCGTAGATCATGCTGGCGAACGGAGCCGTCCTGTTCAGTTATTAGGGTCAACTTAGCACAATGACAAGACGAAAAACCTCGGAGACGGTCAGAAAGAGATGGGGACTATCCTCTGTAACGACTCGTTTGGTTCGGTCTGCATGACACCGCAATCTGTGGGTACACGAATGTACTCCACCCATATCGTGGACTTGAACCTCGCCGTCGCCAGCAACAGAGGCTCTATAGTCATGTCAGAGAGATAGAGACATAGACCACCAGACTATGACTTGCATGCTGTTGGAGTGGGGGAGGAGATGGACATTGAAGATATTGGCCGTATGTTGAGTGTAGATTACGGAGCGGACCGCGAAAGGGTAGTCGGCTTCAAGTGACGAGTCCATTGCCCAGATTTGAATGCTACCATACCCATGAAGGAGGCGTGAAAGATTGGGTGAAAATGACCCACGTCCTATCGTCACTCCCACTCAACAGAAGCTCCCCATCGCGAGCCCAGCTGAGCGCGTTTACACATCCACTGTGGCCAGAACCATCCTCGCCTAAAACGGCAACTCTGTCAAAGGTTGTGTTGCTCCAGCGATTGCAAAGAAGACCGCGATGTTTGCGAGCGTGGGCACTCGACATGACCGCTCATTGGAACAAACGAATAAAGTGTGATCTGGTATGTCATGTCATTAGAATCCAGGTATCGTACACTACTACATTCAACCCCAGTAGTCTCGTTCGAGTTTCAGCGTATATATACTCTTACGCAGACGTAGCAAAACCGACAGCGTTTCTACCAAGGTCATAGACGGTGAAGTATTTGCGAAGGAAAACGTCCCCTGCAAAGAGTTAAACATCCAAAGACAAGGAATAACAGGGTGAAAACATACCAACGATCCAAAGAGAGCCACCGGGCAAATTGATGTCCATTCCAGTGAAAGAGGATACGCAAGTGCCTGAAACTTCGAGGATGTAGTCCGAGCCCTTGAGCGGGTACGGCTTGCCACCGAAATAGAAAGAAAGTTCAGGAAGAGAGGGGACTTTGGCACAGTCGACCTGGTATTGACCATTCCAAGACTTGGTTGCCCCGATTTGCGCATTGAGCATTTCTGCGATGTCGGTAGGGAGAGCGATCAGAGAAGTACCTGAGAGGCTGTTTAGTACGTTGAGTGATCAATGAAATGGGCCTATTCACCAGTGTCAATAGCAGCGCCAGTGTTCTCGAGTTCCAACTCGTCATCGCCGAACTTAATTTTCTCCAGTTCAACTTCCCAGTAAGCCTTGCGACGGACAGGAACGTAGGAGATGTCGCCCGTATAGGCAGTAGGGTCAATGCCGCCAAAGACAGCTTCTCCTCCATCCTCTTCAGATGAACCAAGACGGAACGAAAAAACGGGCGAATCGATCAGTTTGGCATTGATCATGCTGTAAAACGGAGGGGTGATGTGGTTGACGCTAATGGTGTCGTAGCCGAGTCCTGAGACGAAGTCAGAACTAGTTGACCTCGTGAACTAGCGACTCACCCAAAATTCCATCGAACTTGGCAAATGCGAATACAAGACCGGGCTCCTTGGTCGCTTCAGCGAAATCTTGCTTGGGGATCTTGATGTCACCAATAGACAGAACGTCGTTGGAAACGAAGCCTTCCATAGAACCGGTACCGTATTGGATTGAGAACGCTGAACCGTTCTTGGCATACGTGGAGGAGGACTTTGAGTCGTATTTGGTGTGTAGGAAGCAAGCGATAGAGGTGCATTGGGTGCTGGGAACCCACAGGTTGGAAGAGCCGGTATCGAGGACAACCTAAAATATGACGTAAGAAAGTGTGGATGCAGCAAGGCCAAGAACGCGTCACCTTGAATGACTGCGGAGGAGTGCCAATGGTGATGTCGGCAAAGTATTGTGCGTTCATGAAATCTACGGATAGATGAGATGACAATTAGCCAGCGAGGCTCGAACATACTGCTAAGAGGAACGTTGTGGCCACCCTTGAGCTGTTCTTGAGTCCAGAAAAGTGGCTCTTCCCCATTATGCGTCGGTCGCTCTATGCGACGACCAGATCCACCAGTGCCCATTAGAGGAACCTGGCCATACTTGTCCGCCAAATAGGCAGCCTCAAGCTCTGGGTTGCTCTGGGAAGGCGCAAGCTTGTTAAGCTTGAGCTTGGTAACACGAGAGGTAGAAACGAATGGAAGAAGGGCTAGAAGGGAGAGGAGAGCAGGTTTGAACATGGTGGTGGTCTTGCGCAAAGACCGCAGTGATGAGTCACTGCGTGACATCCATGTCATCATCATCATCGACTCGGACGTGAAAGCAACTCGACTGAAAGAGCTGTTGTAGGAATGTCAAGACGCGCGAAACCGAAGACACCAGAAGGCAGCACGCTGGAGCGTCTCGTATTGGCCCAGTCCAGCTGGGAAGTCGGAACTGCCTCTTGGCTGAAGATCTCTCGCATTCTCGCCAAACATCCCTTGCTTGCGCATCGGAAAACATTCTTTTCTGCTCAATCTTGTCATGCGCTCTATAATCTTATGATGAAGGACTGTGGGTTTGAATTGTGCGCCTTACCCCCTCTTTTCCATGTCACCAATAAAATGCCGCTAGAACCGAGGCGTCTCACAACCCACAAGGTCTGCTGGATGAAAGCCACTGTCATTACAACATCGAATTTACCTTACTTCAGAGCCGATACATCTCAGACTTGCGGAAAAATACTACTCAGAACGCGTCGAAGAGTTGCGCGGTCTCATTCAAGCTGAGGAACAACAGTTTATGTGAGCTTGAACGCATTTTGTCGACTGTAACTGGAAGTCAACAGGTCCATCACCGCGGAAATAGACTCTTTACGATCTGGAAAGAGCGATGCAGTGATAGAGGAATCAGTGCTGCCAACCGACGATATTCCAGCAATCGAGGCAGATAAAACCCCTTCTTCAGAAGCCACTGTTGCGCCAGAAACATCTCCTAAACCTGACCCACCGACAGTAGACTCCACACCGATTGAACTAGACCCTCCAGAGGCATTGCCAACTCAAGAAGGGATCCAAGCTGCCGAAGGCGAACTTGCGACTCAACCTACTCCTCAACTTGAAACAGAGGAATCCATAACTGAACCAGCCTTTGAGGAAGCTCATAACGAGTCGCCGGTTGATGAACAGGGTCACACGAGCATTACTGCGCCTGAAGAACCTCGACTGCCTGAAGAACCTGAACTGGAAGTCGAGCAGTCTGAAGGCCCAGATGATGTTGTGCCAATTGAAGATGTAACGATGCGTGAAGAATCCCCTCCCTCCATTCCTCAGCCTCCACCACCGAAGAAGCGAGGTCGAAAACCGCTGCATAAACCAACACCAGAGCCTGATGCTGATGCGACTGACTCGGCGCTAGAAACACTCGCAGAGGACGACATTCCTTTGTCTGCTATCGGCCGGAAACGAGAAGGTGCGGCGATTCTTTTCACATATGCTAACGAGACCAACTATTTGTTTTCACAGGCAAACGCAAGGCGTCATTCATGGGAGGCATGGACTCACCTCGCGAGCGGAAACGAGCGAGAGAGGACTCTGAACCTGCAGAAGATGAGGATCCATGTACTTATATATGCATTTCTCTCTTTCTGCTTGGCACTCACCATGATAGCAGCATCTTCGACTGCTCTCCGCCGTAATAAGCCAACAGGAGTCGCTCAAAAGCGCTTCCAAACCGTTATCACTATGGTCCACTCGCAAATCTCACAACACCGAAATGGCAATATTTTTCACAACCCCATCAAGACTTCTGAAGCGCCAGATTACCACGACATCGTAAAGCGACCAATCGACCTGAAAACGATCAAAGCCAAAATCAAAGACGGCCTCATCAGCAATTCTCTCGAGTACCAGCGCGACATCTACTTGATGTTTGCGAATGCCATGATGTACAATCGGCCAGGTTCAGACGTCCACACAATGGCTGAAGATGTGAGTCGAGTGCAAGGACTGTCAAGCCACCACCACTGAGCAGCTGTTTTCAGATGATGATTGAAAGCGATGCCCATATCAATGCCTTCCGTTCGGTAGGGAGCGATCACCTGACTTACTAGTTAGCCATGGAGATCGATACGATACAGTTATTCATTGCTGCTGTGCTATAATTACAGTGTGTACGGTTATGTGTCTAGAACCAAGGTAAATATGTCTCTCCCATCTTGCTGAGTTGGATCGGATTAGTTGCTGTCGAAATGAGGTTTGTCACTGTTTGCACCACTGGTGCGAGGACAGGAGCGTTTGGATTCTGAGCTACTTGCTCACGCTCAAGTTTGCATGCCATGGTTTCGGCGCGTTTGACCACTCCATCGATGTTCCCTGCAACCAGCTTGCGGAGATTGTCCCATGGAGCCTGGTGTGTGCGAAGCCACGTGGCCACTTCGTCCCGGCTGAAAAGACATAGCTGCTGCTCGAGATCAAACTAGAGAAAGGTCTTCAGTCGAATGATTTCATCGCCGAGGTTAAAATACGAACCTCTGGCTCTGTCAAGCTCCGGCCAATCGTCATGATCCCCGAAGTGAGAATACCCTCAGTGAAAATAGGGCCCAGGAAGCCCTGCATGTTTTGGGTCAGGCGGAAAGGAACGGCGTCGCCGGTGGCGAGAATGGGCAAATTTGTTGCTGTTCCTACGTTCTGTGAGCCAGTTGATGGGTAATTCTGATTCGCTAGACCTGGAACGAGCTCGGTCATGGCAATTTGACCGCTGGATCTTGAGATCAGATAGCGGATGGGAATGCGATGGGTGAGGCAAAGTGTGTAGGTCATGAAGCTACAAGCGGCAACTTGCAGCGCAAATTGTTTTCGCATTCGCCATAGTGCACTGGGTCCATCCATCGTCCGCATCATATACTAACAAGCAATGAGACTTGGTGTTGGATATGTCGGGTTTCGTACCTTGGTCAAAACATCATCAGGAACCATTTTCAAGGCTATTTCATCGCTAATCTCTTTCCTCACAGCGTTCTGTTCAACTTTTGTAGTCTGTGAGCGCGTCAGGGTAAAGGGGGAAATTGTTCAACGGATAGCGCTTACAGTATTGCCCGTTTGCGCCTCGTACTCGCGAAGAACCTTACGAATCTTATCGCCTGCATATAGGATGATATCTTCTCGGGGTAAGCCGCTGTCGTCGCAATGTTGGTCATAGATTTCGGCCAGAGAGACATAGGTTGAATCGACTTGATAAAGACGGAAGACGGGGCTTAAAGATACCATGGCAGGGAGATGGAATGCAAGATTTCGCTTGCGACTTTCCTTCTTCCGGGCCAAAGCACTGAAGAGAAAATGAGTCCCTTCCTAAATGAACCAACTTAGAACTAACCCATTGAATGACCGGAGAAGCTGCATGACCCTTTCTTCTCGTCTGGCATACCGAGTGATGTTCATTTGGACGCTAAAGGCTGTTTTTGAACCATCGCTCCCATGAATGACGATGCGCTTCCAAGTTGCGCCTGGTATTCGACAGTGTTCAAATCTAGGCCCGAACCTTTGTATGTGGCTGAAGCCGGAATTGGTGTCCTTTTCCTAGATATGGTTGTCATCGTTGTTCAGCCACGTGACTGACAACTCACCTCAGTGTATTGTCCTGGAACCTCGATCTCGTCCACTCGAAGATAATGGAACTCTGCAAGATAGTAGCTGAGGGTGTCCAGAGGCTGGATGTGCGGTCGAAGATCAAGACTCTTCTCGTATTTGATTCTCCATTGCGTCAATTTCTTGATGTACTCGTGCATCGTCAGGGCCGGTGTGAATGCCTCATCAAATTCTTTCTAAAAATTACTCAGAAGGACGATGGGCTGAGAAAAAATAACGAACCTTGAGGTGGGGAGCAAGCAGGGACGCAAAACGTTGCATAGTTTGGATTGCATAAGCAGGCAGTGGCTCATCTTCATACGGTGAGCTTAGTCGATATGCGTAACCCTAAGTCAGACGATGAGTAACAATCAGAGACAGTGGTCGAACAAACCTGAAGGGCATCTTGCAGTAGCATGCAAAGGTGGCGATAGGTTTCCTCCTCGCTGGATAATTTGAACTTGGTGCAGATTTGATCGACGATGGTTTCTAGGTTGAGAACGAGAAGTGGGAAAGCACTCTTGAGCAATTGAACAAGTTCGTCCACGTAGTCCCAGATTTGTCGAGGGAACTGAGGGTCAGTCGCGGATGCGGGATTGGCGGGTTGTTGACCATTTTCGTTGACAGGAGGCATTGGATGGTCGCCGCCCGTCGTGGCGTTCGCTTGACCTGCTGTTTGACGCATGAAAAGTGCTTTGCGCTGCATGGCTTCTTCGCGTGTTGTTCGCAAAGGGAAGAAAAGAGCCTGAATCGATGATTAAGTCTGTCCATAAAAATTCACTTGAAGCTGACGAACCTGAGGATAAAGACGAGCAAGATTCAGCAGGATGAAGCGTGCCTGTTTGACTTCGCGACCAGAGAGCGACATGCATAAATTGGGTATAAACGTGATCCAATACCAATAAGCAGCATCGCCCTTGTACGTGTCGAAAGCGCGAGAAATCGACAGGGTATTGTCATCGACACTCAGGAGCCAGAGGATGCGGGCAATGAGTGGCCTGCTTTTCCCGCTCTTGTACTGACCAGCAGCTTGAAGGTAACAGCTGACAGCGTTGGCCGCATAAGACAAGTCGTTGGGTACTTCCTTGAACATATTGTCGTTGTATTTTCCCCACTCAGCCCACGCCTTCGCCTGGGTCATTTCAAGCTGAACAGCCTGTCCGAATGCATTGTTCGCGTCTTCGTTGCGCTTGAAGCGGGCATGGAACATGCCTTTGAGAGTGAAAAATTGAGCCTTCTGCGCGACAGAAAAGAAGACAAGGTTGGTGTTATTGATAACCTCGAGACCAGCCTGCAGATCGTTTGGCTTCTGATAATGACAACGGGCTTGCTCGCGCAGCTTAAGGAACGCTTCAGATATCTCGATATTCGGAAGGGTGTAGATTTTCGTTAACGACGTAAAACAAACATCGAGGAGGTCGTGTTTGCGAGCCACGTGAGCGAAGCGGTTGATGATCCAGGCAGTCTCGTGGTAGCCACGATACCCAAACGTCTGCGTGTTATTCCCTGCCCCGTTATTTGTGATGAGGGGAATATAGGTATGGTTGATGGCGTGGAAGACGTTCTGCCTCCAAGCGACCAAATCGCTCCAAATACTTATATCGTCGTGATGATTAGGAAGTCGTTCACGCCAGGCTTGGAGGACCATCTTGAGGTCGGAAGACTTTTTCTCGAGATTGTGCGCTGTGGTGAGTGACAATGAGCCGAAAATCTGGACGGCCTCTTGTAGCTCCACGAATTGTTGGAAGTGTTGCAACAATGGGACATGAGCAGCAGAAAGCTGAGGCGGGAGAGCGACCCATTTGCGGAGGGACAGCTGCATAGCGTCTTCAAGAATCTTAGTAAACTCCACGTTCTTATCCAGGGCTGCCGGAAGCTTGAGCATGGAGATGAAAGCTTCAAAGACACGTCGTCGTGGCTTGTAATTCGTGAGTAGAGCAATTCATGAATGAAAAAGATATGCGAGGCTCACCGTGGGCACTTCGGGGAGCTGATTAATCTGCTCCTCAAGGGCTTCTTTCTGGTCCAGCCATTGAGTCGTTCTCCATGCACTTTCCAGCAACAGTTCTTGGTTCCCCTCTGACTTTGCAAGGTCTTGAAGAATGTCCCAGTGTTGCAGCTTCTCCGCCGCCAGAATCCAATGATCTTCCCAGAGACAAAACTCGGCTTCCGAAAAGGGAATCGTCCCAGCACGAGCCTTGTTTTGAGCCGCCTCATAAGCATTTGATGCTTGCTCCCACATCCCATTCTGTTCAAAAGCAAGGGCGATGTTCGTATCAAGATGCAGACAGCGATGCCTCCAAAGCCCGTAGAACATGTCATCCTCCGCCAATTCGGCGTAAACGTCGGCCAACGAGTCGAACGCATACTCTCTGATCGTGTTCTCGTCTTCTCTTATATGATGCAATGACGTCGAAAGCATTTCGAGAGCCACATACCAGGCGCCGAATGTCTTCGCGAGGTATTTGATCAGATGGGGAGGTAATATCATTGGTGGGGAGCACGCATGTATCCCTGTGAGCAGCGTTTGGATGACATTCGGTCGAACATCAGCTTGTTTGATGTGGTAATCACGGCTGAGTAGGTTGATCATATGCTGAGTGATGTCCGTTTGTTCACGTCGCGATAAAGAGGCCCAAGCAGCGGGGAAGAGCGAAATCCACGTTTCGTGAGCGGCACGGGGCTCAAGGAATAGAAGTCGTTGCATGGGCTGGACAAAGCTCTGAGTTGAGGGCCTTGGGATGGAGACGACGGCCACTCGTCGTTCATTGGCATTTGGAATATCAACCTCAGCAGAACTAAGCAAGAGATTGAGGGCCAGATAAGTCCAGTTGTGGTCAGCGAGTGCATCCCAGCTCTGAACGCCAAGAATGTACGTCAGACGACTATTCAAAGAGCGCGGGACGCTGATGTCGAGAAGGTCCAAGAATTTGTCCCGAAGCTCGGTGTCCTTCGCACGACAGCCCAAAAGGAAGGATTGTTCGAGTCTGGCAGTAAGGTCGCTGCGACGAAGAGCTGGCTCTGTGTAAATCTGATAGATAACCTCGAGATATGCTTGATAGATTGTCTCGGTCCGTGACTCAAAAGCAACCATCTTCTGCAACAAACTGGCTTTCTCCTTCATGGTGGGATACGCTTCAAGCCTGACCAACGCCCAAGTTTTGGCGAGATCGAGTATATAGGTGCAAATCGGCGCGCTCTTGGACTTCTCAACAAGCACCACGAGTGTACTCAAAAACCCACGACGTTGATCGGCCAGGAAGGCAACAGACGATTGGCATATGTCGAGAATGGTGAGCAGTAGTCGAACGCTATTGTCGAAACCATTCGTCCCAGGCGTCGAGTTGACGTGCTCCTTGGCGAGCTTGCCCAATAGCTTCATCAAGTTTGCAGAGTAGGGCTCAATTCGCTCAGGAGAGACCTGCACAACGGACTTGAGCATAAGCAGTGTCCCACGTAAAGCTGTTGTGTTCCGCAACCCATCCGAAATCGAGTTGTGGACGAATGTGTGAAATTCAGAGCGGTCATCCTGCTGCTCATCGTCCTCTTTTGGAAGGGGGAATAATTTGATGAGATGCGTGAATATCGGGTGCAGCTGGTCGTGGAGAGTATATTCGTCAGTGACCATTCCTTTGCGAACGAGTTTCTGGAGAATCTCCGCATTCGCAGTATACCAACTATCGTCTTGCTCTGTCGAGATAACATTGAGTATTTTTGCAGAAGCAATGGCTTGTGCAAGCGCTACGTCATTGGTAAGATCAGGCTAAATCGCATTAAGAATCGTGGCAAAACAACAGGAAAAAACACGAACTGGGTCCAGCATTTTCAAAAAGTAGCGAAGACCGAACTCCACGTCCTTCCAGCCGCGCGGCCCAATCATCTTTTGCAGCAGAGATAAGGTCTTCGGCAAAAGAATGTTTCGCGTTGGATCAATGTTTGTCGACATGCGAACCACGTGGCTAACCATGTTTTCGCGGAGAGCGAGCGGAGTCTTCCATGCATTGGTTCCGCTCATATCATCGTCTAAAGAGGCCTGAGAAGCTTGCTCCTCCCATTTGAGAATGACATTGAGATTTTCGACTGAAAGACTTCGAGATTCGGGTGTCGCGGTGAGACTTAACCCAAGTTTGTTGAGAGAGTTGACCATAATTGGTACGAAGAGCGAGCGAACGGGATAGAACAAGGCGCTATGTTTCGAAATAAGGTGATAAATGGTAAGCGATTGAGCGACACCCTCTTCGAGAAGCAGTTTACGTGCACTCAACGCCCACTGGGGGAAGCCGTTTTCCGAAAGACCTTCGGACGCGATGAGGACAGGCATTAGCGTTGCTAAAGCCTCCTGTCGAACGGGAGGACGTCCTTCGGCAGAAGGGCTACGCAATAAGCCAATCCAAGTCTTCATCAGGAATTTGGGAGGAGTTGCAAACGCAGCAAAGAATCGAGCGGTTAATAGGAACGCAATTTGCTTCACGATCGTGTCTTCGTGATTGGTATATGCCGAGGCTGTCTTGATGATGTCTTTGCGTACGACGTCCAAAAGGTTGCTATAATGCTGCACGAGCACGGTTGAAAGGTGCAGAACTTCTACCTGTGATTTGATCTAAGACAAGAAGAATAACTGAACAAGAAATGTACCTTATATAGATCGTCCGTTGGCGCGTCAGGCCGGGGGGACCAGATGAGACGAGCGAGTCGATTGACCGAGTCAACGTCCAGAAGCTGGTCTTTGGTTGAATGGTGAGCTTGCACCAATAAGGTGGGCGTCACAACATAACGCATAAAATACATTTTATGTGCCCAGGTGGAGGAGGGGTCATCAAACCATGTCAAGAAACGAATGAGAATGTTGCGTTGGAACATGGGGTCTTCGCTCATCGCCACATGAGTGTACAGAAAACGCGTTATTCTGAGGAGGTCGAGAGCTAAGTTGCGCGTGTAGACAGCAACTATGTCGAAAACAAGATCGATGCGAGAAGTAGTCAAAAGGACGGCTTTGAAGATGGACAGCATTAGATTGTGCCTCTCGATAACCTGAGGGAATGCCTCTGGGCTTTGGTCCGATTGCGGCATTTCTGACCGCCACAGGTCTATCACAACATCCAAGACGAAATCGTTCTCGATTAGCCACGAAGGACGGAGTTGAACCAGATCGGAGATGAGGGAAAGAGTTGGGATGACTTGATTTGCTTGACCGCTTGTAAGGAAAGAGACAAGCGATAGTGCACGTGATGCAAGTTCAGTCTCAACGCGTGGCGCGAGCTTGGCTTGTACGATGCTGCGTAGAGTTCTGAGATGCGAGGGCAAGAGAATATTTCGCAAGAAGAATTCAACCCCTTCTTCTGGATACCGGTTGAGATATCGCGCTAAAGGCTCCGAGAATGGTGTGCGGCCCGAGAAATGCATCTGAGACTCGGTTTGGACGATAAGATTAACAAGCGGTTCGAGGAAGATGTTGGCCGCAGATGGTAACAAATGGAAAATGTTGGCCAGCCTTACAAGCTTGGTTATCCCTTCGTTCTCCGCGACGGTCAGCTTGGAAGCGCTGCTCAAGAGTTGAGGGTCTGCGACAATGCGGAAATGATCCAAAAGCTTATGGCCAATTTCGACTTTGAAATAATTAGTCAGAAGCTCGAGGAGACGAGCAAGACCCTCAAGACCCGGGATGGAAAGCCGTTTGGGGTCAGCAAGATTCATAAGGATCGGGCGAAGACCAGTTTGGAGAAGCTCCCGAGGTAAACGACTCTGGTGAGTCAACACCATTTTCAAACCATCGTATGCAACGTCTTTGACCTCGGGCGACGGCGAATAGAGCGATTTGAAGTAAACACTGGTTACTCTACACGCCATCAGCAAAACAACGCGAAAATCAAAGCTATTACCTCTGACGAGTCTGATGCTGTCGCGAAAAGAAATCGGTGACTGGCATGGCTGCAGTTAATAGCTTGATGGAGGCCACCCGTAACTTGATAATATCTTGATTGGTTTGCCGAGCGGTTAGCCCTCGCGGGGCGAGGTTTGTATCGTCAGTATCGGCGAGGGCCAGAGTTTCATGCAAGAGTCGAAGCAACTCGTCATTGAGCTCGATCAGCGGGGGCTCTAGCGAAATGCAGTACCGAATAGCCTCCATCATTCCGATCTGGATGGTCAACGGCAGGGCTCGCAGGGGCTTTGTGTAGATGCCACCTAACATACGGTCGCGGTGGGGCTCCAACAAGGAATGGGCAGAGCGTCCACTAAGCTCAACAAGAAGAGAAATGCAGTTTTGCGCGGCGGTGCGAACAACGGGATTCGGGCTAGATATTTCTGAACAGAAGATACCGCTGAGACTGATGAGTTTTGTTTGCTTGGCTGCATCGTGGGCAAATTCAAGGTTGACATAGCTGATCCGAATAACAGCCAACAGAGTCTCCATCGCTTCATCAATATCACGGGTCAAACCGGGTGGCAGATCCTTCAAAATCCGAAGCACCGTTCGAACCAAGTCGAACTCGCGATCAACGAACCACTTGGTCCCGAAGTCGGACGTAGAAGCAATTAAGCGAATGCCACGATAGCCCGCTCTCTTGCGAATCAAGGGGTCGTCAAGGCACAACGAGGTCATTCGATGTGTCAATTGATGTAGAATCATGAGAATGTCCAACGACGGCACAGGGTTGGATGCATTCAACGTCGCAAGCTGAGCTATGAAAGCTTTGACCATCGCAAGGGCTTTTTCGGCCTGATCCGTTTGATCTCGGGCAAGAGCATACGGCAAAGCGTCGAGGAAGACGGTCAACAATGGGCTTGCGATGGGGCGAGCGCCAGATTCACGGGTCTGGCCTCTCAGAACTTCAGTTTCCAAGACAGAGCGCGACACCTGGAGGAGAAATTCTTCGGCCCGAGGGCTCAATTCTGGAGGATCGCTGAGGTAGAGTGTGTCGAATATGGCCTCCAGCGAACGGACAAACGTCGTCTCGACGTTACGCCCGACGATTCCCTGCAACAGTAATGAGATAGGGCAAGGGAAATATAATGTTAATACTTCGTGCAGTAGGGCCGCAAGACAACTTTCCAGATAGTTATATGCATGCACTCGGTCCTTGCTCGTGCCCTTTTTGATGACACGACAAGCAAGTAAGGCGGTAGGCCCTATGTCGATCTTCTCGACGCTGCCTGAGAATGCGACTGGAATCTTGGCAGGTAGAGCTGCGTCATGATATTCGAGTTCGGGTTCAAGCAGTAGCAGTTTTCGATTGCGTCCGCCCAGCTTACCCAAGATCCTGATGATTGTATGAGAAAGTTGGTGGGGAGCGGGAAGAGGCTTGAGATGGCCGTGGAGCGCTTGCATGAGTTCTCGTAGAACGGTCCCCAGCGTCGGATCAAGAAAGTCGGGAGTCAGGTTATCAATGCACAGTTCCAGAGTTCGAAGGCCCTGAGCGACGAGCTCAGGATTCCCGCGCAATGCTAAAGCCAACGGCTGCATGAGATATGAGAGATGGGGGAGAAGATGCGTCAAGCGCAACGGGACAGTCAGGCACAACTCGACAATGAGGTCGCGAGTCTGTCCTTCTGAAGCGAGGAGTTGCGTATTTAAGCTTTCCAGCATTTCGGGGAGCAGAGGGAGCACCTCTTTGTAGAGGATTTCGAACTTTCCACCGCCACCACCAATCGCTCGAAACAACGATCGAAGAAGGTAGAGGTAGTGAGTTGGCTTTGTCGCTTTTGCAGCGAGTGGAAAGCAGTCCATCAGAAGATTAGGGAGATGTGAGGCAAGGATAGGCTCATTTGACGCTTGATGAATCGTCACTGAGCTGAAAGCCATCTTGAACAAGCGTATAGTGGCGCCGGCGGCGGTTTCGTCATATTCGCCAAACAATGGCAAACGGTCTACCAAGAAGCGAAGAATGGCAGCCAGTAAAGTCGGCGAGTATGATTCTTTGGTCAGAATCGCTTGACAAAGATTCAGAATATACGCTCGTTTTGGAGCGCATTGGAAGAAGAACTCCATGTTTTGGGCCCAGATTTCCTGAAACACATGGAGGTTAAGCTCTATCAATACCAGAGCAAACCATTCGCTGGGATCTTCATTCCCTGCCTCGAGTAGGACCATACACTTGAGAGACGCAACGAACAAGCGATTGATACGACTGCCGTCGATGACATCCCCTCCGATCTTCTTGAACGAGGTAAGCAGAGTACGAGCAGCATGGAGCAGTGTTTTGAAGAGATTACGGGAGTCTAGTAGTTCTGTCAGAGATAGGTCACATGTCCGAGCCCGAATGTACCTTGTATCACTTCCTCTGGCTTTTCCGTTAGATAGGCGGCCCCACCTAGCGGACGAGACTTTTCCACATAGGTTGCGTCGTATATCTCCTCTGTCTGATTGTTCTTCGCTCGTTCGAGTGCTCTGTAAGTGTCGTCCAACACAACCTGAAGAGCTTCTAGTCGATCCAAGAATGCATCCAGCAAATAGAGCAGGATTTTGGTGGCGGGTACCCTGTCCTGAGTGACGAGAACATCAACCAGACTGATGAGAATTCTCCCAAACATCGGGAAAATGCCAGTTGGAATTGCCGTATTATGCATTAGCCGAGAATACACAAGGGCGACATGGGTCAGTTGTGGAAGTGTGAGCTCGGTTCGAGAGTGATGGAATAAATCGGCTAGGGTGCTGTAGGTAGGAGACCTGACGAAAGTGAATTAATGGACATATGTTAGACTCTGGATAGCTTACCTGAACATTTCTCGTCCTGTTAGTCCATGACCCATCAAAACACTTTCTTCGAACAGTTTGTCGAGATGAGGAAGAACTGCGCGCCGATGCACACCAGCAGCTAGATGACGGAATACTATCAACATGTCCTACAATGTCTCAGCGACGACTAGAAGCAACGATACGACGAACCGACCTTTCGCGTCCCGTTCGCAGTTGTAGGACAGTCTTGGAGAAGACGTAAGGTGCAAAGGAGCAGTTGGTCGCCGTACGCATCCGCGTTCTCTGTGCCCGCAACCCAGCGCATTACATAAGTAAGATATGAGAGCATCTATAAACTATCGTGTCAGTCCACAAATAATTTAATAGAGGATACATGCCTTCGATTGGGCAGCCATGAAATCGGCGTAGGCAGCCGCGTTGACGACCCTGGACGACATGCCAGCCCAAACACCACCCGTCGATTCATGACTTTCTCTGGCTGCCTTTTGAGCTGGGGATTCGAGCATCACAACTTCGAGTGCAGGTTTGTGACTTTCAGAACTAGGCCCGGCATTATTGCGATGGAGTTGTGTAATGGTGGTGAGAACTTGACCCATCTCCATTAGACCCTTGAAGCTGCGTGTGCAAGGCAAGATCGTGTCCGCGGGAATGAGAGGTGAGGTCTCGGAGAGTACCTCTGTGACGAGAGAGGGCATATTCGTGCACGTTTCCTGGAATAGAGAAAAAAAGTCGGTCATCGACTGGCTTGAAGATATTCGGTACTGGCGGATGAATTCTACAAGAGTCTTGCAGCAGAGTACCCCATTGTCTTCGTTGTCGGTGCGGATCACATGAAGCATGCAGCTGGATATTTCTTCAACTCTGGCGCGAATGCTCTCATTCACAGGAAGGTGGTTGACAATTTCGACGAGGACGCGACGAAACGCGTATTCAGGAGCAGCTTTATCGTATACCACCGGAACGGAGTGGAGTAGGGCAGCGACAGAAACCACAAGTAGATCGAAAGACCGAATTGACTCTGCTTCACGTGGTGTGTCGATTATTTCACGAATTTCTGTCGCAGATTTAATCTTCGTGCTCATGTCCACGCCAGGGTCCGCAATGGCGGCGACCCTTTGGTCAAAGTTTGGCGCGTCCGCCATGGCTGGAAGGTGTTGAACACCTTGTGGTGGTCAGCGACAAAGCAGATTGAGGACTATTGATCGGAACGTCACGTCGTGTCACACACTCAGGCTCGATTTGATTCGATCGGCGCCGCCGTTACTCTCACTCCTACCCTTCCTGACTATTTTTCTGAGCCGGACTCAGCTGGCTTCCGTTCCCGGGGAACCCTTTCATTCTTTCCATGGCCATCGCGGGCCTGGATGAGTCGACCTCAGTCTTCAACATCCATCCGGACTAGTATGCCTCCTTCTCTCTGGTGACCACATTAATAATTTGCGACAGCCGTCAGGTCGCGACTTTCGCGCTGGGTTGGGTTTTTGTCGCAAGGTTTATTGTACTATCTTTCCCACGTCCACACAATACCCACAAATTTCCAGCTTAAACAACATCGTCTCCTCCGTTCTGGTTCAACGTTTATTCGGTTTCATTCGTGGCCGTTCAACAGCAGCTCCGGACCCTGAGCGCTCCTACGTCTCAGAGAAACTCTCCTTGCGTAGTCTAGATATTGAGAACAAGTGCGTCTGTTTCCCATTCAAATGCCTCAGTCCAACCCGTTTCTAGCCCGGATATCCGTCATGGCTACTCGAACACTGCCTTCTTTGCGCTTCCCCTCTGTTTCTTATTTGCCAGTGTCGCCCAGTTCGGCTCTTTGCTTGCATTCCCAAATAATGCGGATGCCGCTTGCGGTGCGGACATCCGATTGCAAACGTTTCACCAACTCAATACTCGTTATAGCCTTCGTGGTTGCATGGGGCGGAATGGCTGCACAGTCAGGAAGGCTTGTTGGTGCTCTTATCGTGATATTTGAGCTCCGTAGAATGGGCATTGGTGGGTTCTAGAGACCGCCCCTCGGCCAACTCGCACTGATGCATTCGCAGCAAAATGGGAGTTTTGGGTCGCAATCGTTTGGCTTATTATCGGGATCGGTGAGCAGTCAAATCACCAAACGCTTCAGACTCTGGATTTCTTGTTTAGGATTTATCTTTCTTAACAACGCTATAAGTGTCGGGGTCTTAACGTGCGTAGCAACCCGCTCCTCCGCTTGCTCTGAAACAGCTTGCGCAGACAATTCCAGCCTCTCGGTGTTTCGTACTGCGACAGAAAACAGTTCGTTTCCATTACTCGCTGAATGTGCCTGATTTGATCGTCGACCAGTTTCCTCCCCGCCTCGCTCGTTTCATCAATCCTCTACTTTTCGCTCGAGGTTTATGCCATTGCAAGAATGATACTCTTCCTTTCCTCGAATGCACACATGCGCAAGGTTATCCAGGATGTCCGGGTGTTACGGCCATTAGCTCTAGTGCTGGTGTGTCTTACGATGCCATCGAGGACTTGATCTTCTGACACAATTTTAGCTTGAGCTCCTCACGCTCGTTCCTGGGGCAGTCTTCACAAATATAGTTGCTGAATTTGTTCCATTTAGCATCGGTGCAGTAGCTGTGTTGAGTGAGTTCCCCTATTGATCTGGTGTTTTTTCATTGAACAACATTAGTGGCTTTCAACGTGAGGCCATCTCCGTCGGCTATCCAGCAATCACCACGAGAGTCTACTCTTTCGTATGCCACCTATCCCTCGGTTCAATCTATCAGACAATCGATACCTTTCTCGGTTACGCCGTCGCAAGCCCGCTCGACTATCCAACCTCCCTCCCCAGCCATGCCTGCCCCAGCAAGACGTCACCCATTCGCTGCTAGTGCATATATGGACCCATCATTTGAAACTCGTGAAGAATGGATCCCACCCACTGCCCGAACAACTCGGACAATAGACTCAGTTGCTGCTGAGAGCATCAACAATGCTGTTGTACAAGTGGGACAACGTGCTCGGGCAGCTTCGCGTGCCGATGAGACGATAGGCAAAGGCAAAGGAAAACAGTTGGACTCACGGATCGTGCCATCACAGATCGAATTTGCTGAGCGCCTGGACTTGGAGACAGCCCAGGCCAATTCATTGCCTTCTCGTCCACGGCCAACAGTCAATACACCTCCGCTGGACAGTGCTTTCAACGACGATGATATCTCAGAGCTCATTTCGCCTGCTTCCCGCATGCAACCGACCAACTTCAGACTTTCGCGGGTTGTAGATGGTCCGTCAAGACAACCACTCTCGAGACATACCTCTTATCGAACATCATTCATTCCTGATGAGTCTGAGCCGTCTTCACCAGACTCACGAATGCCTGTACCCCTCCATGACGCGCAATCTATTTCCTCCAGCGAGCGTAGACGGAGCGCGTCATTGTCAATAATGCCAGAAAGCAGCAATGACCACAGACGGACGATGTCGAATGAACCCAGTCCCATGCCAGAACGGTGGCCAACATTCAACCAGTCTCAATTCCGTGCTGCTGGATTTGGTGTTTCGCGTCAGTCATCATCGTCATCATCATCTCCATCTTCTGGTCGGAGAGCTCCTCCGCCATTACCGATTAAGACTTTACCACTGCCGGGTGCTGGCATTCGAGCAGCTCAGGGTCCCAAAGGTCCCAGACCACCTCCTTCCGCTCAAGCACAAAGTCCCAGATTCAATCTCCCACAGTAGTCACCCGCGATTCGTCCATTCATTTTTGTTTGTTTGGTAGTAGTTTATTACTGGACTGTAGACTCGTGTTTTTTGTCTTGCTCTTCTTCTCTCTCTGAGTAAACTGCGGTGTGACATCACGAACTACTTTCTCTTTCGACCGATACATCGATGGCTAGCTCTGAACTATTGGCACAAATACAGGTTCGACCGTGGCAGTCCTGGCATTGGATTGGATTATTGGCTCAACGACTTCTGGCAGGCTGGAAAGAGGCTAAAGAAGGCGACTACCAATGATCGAAGTGCCCCAGCTCTAGACGGTCCAAAGGGGGGAGGTGGTAGTGGTGGCGGCGGGCCTTCGCTATCGTCTTCCTCTGCTGGAATGGGTGGGCCTCCACAACTGGGTAAAGCCGATTTTTCTGGTGCTATCTAATGAGGCTGAGATTTGGTGATGTAGGCGGACTCTTTGCTGGAGGGATGCCCAAACTGAAACCTGCGGGGCAAACTGCGCTTGGTGTGTTGCTCTGTTAGCTGCGGAGTCGCTGGCTGAATAGTGCAGCAAAACCACCCACGATTGGCAAGCCTCCGGTTGTGCCAAAGGCATCACCTGCCAGACCCACCCCAAGTGCTCCTCCAACTCGAGCCGTGCCCCCTCCCGCAGCTCCCGCTTTACCATCACGTGCTGTTCCAACGCCTAGTGCCCCCAATCGAGCAGCGCCTGCATTACCAGCTCGGTCAACTCCGGACCCACCCAGGCCAGTTCCTCCTCCCCGAGCGGTGCCTTCTCTGCCTCCCAGAAATACGTCACCGGTCTCCCGGCCCGTCCCGAGCCGAGCAGTCCCCACTATCCCTCCCCGCAGTCCAGTGACAAGCTCACCAACCAAAGCAATTCCAGGCCGTGCACCGCCCCCGCCCCCTCCCCGACCAGCTAGTACTGTTGTCCCTTCCCCGACAACGAGCAGAACTGTCCCTCTACCACCACCGCGTAAACTGGCTGCTCCACCTCCCCCACCACCAACTAGGGCTCGTGCTTTGTCAGATGCGGAACCGACAGAACCAACACCTCCACCTCGATCAAGTTTAGCTCCGCCCCCAGTCCGACAAAGAACCGTTTCTGCAGGAAGTCAGCCAAATGGAGTCATGAATGCTAGACCCAATCCTCCTCGTCGCAAAAGTGAGCCGTCTTTATTCGTTCCATTAAAATGTCTTCATCTCTACCCAGTCCCTTCTCCGCCTCCAAACGTTGGTCCCCATACATTTCCCGTTTCTGGTTTCCCAGAGCCAAAGCAGTTCGATGGCGGTGCTAGGCGGTATCCGAGCGGAGCAGTGAAGGGCTCACAATTCAGCCTAGATACCTTGTAACCAACTTGTAATCTACTACACCGAGTGTTTAGCCGAGGATTCGGTAAGCAATCTAGCGGATAAGCGGAATTCGACAGTGGCTACGTGTCACTCCAGATCACGCGTCCCATATAAGTCGACTGACGGACCCATTCGTCTTTTTGCCACACCCTCCATCTTTGTCGCCCGTCATGCGTTTAACAACGCTCCTCGCGCCATCCCTTCTAGCTTTCCTTTCCGTCGTCTCTGCAGACGATGTCCCTTCTGACGTTATAAACCTCACTACCTCAACTTTCCTCCCCATCGTCGAGAAGGAGCCGCTCATTCTTGTCGAATTCTTTGCCCCATGGCTCGTCTTTCCATTCGCCAGCCAAAAAAGCATCACTCATTTATACCCTCCAGGTGTGGCCACTGCAAGGCACTCGCCCCGCAATACGAGGAGGCTGCTTCCATTCTCAAAGGCCGAAACATCAAGATTGCCAAGGTCGACTGTGTCGATGAGGCAGACTTGTGCCAGGCCAATGGAATCCAGGGATACCCGTGCGTCCCATGATATTCTTTTTTTTTGTTCATTTTTTTGACCCAAGCCCAGCACTCTCCGTGTCTACCGCTACGGCCAAGCAACCGACTACCAAGGTCCCCGCAAAGCTGATGGTATCGTTGCCTACATGACAAAGTCCGTGTTTTGGTCATTATCAGTCTAAAATAGGCTAACCCGAGTTAAACTACTTGCAGACAAGCCCTTCCCGCCGTTTCTGAGGTCACTGCAACCAACTTGGAGGAGATCAAGGCCGCCGACAATGTTGTCGTTGTCGCTTACGTTTCTTCGACCACTGATGCTCCCGCTCCCGCGTTCAGCGCTGCCGCCGAGAAGCACCGTGACGACTATTTGTTCGGTCTGTCGACTGACAAAGATGCCATCGCAGCTGCCAAGGTCACACCCCCCGCTGTCGTTGTCTATCGCAGATTCGATGAGCCCAGCGTCACCTACCCCTTCCCTATCCAGGACATGACCGCTGCTGACCTCGAGGACTGGGTCAAGGAGCTTGCTATTCCCACTCTCGCTGAAGTCACGAGCGAGAACTATGCCGTCTACGCCCAAAGCACCAAGCCCCTTGCTTACATCTTCCTCGATCCCACCACCGAACAAAAGGAGACTACTGTCGCCGCCATCCGCCCTGTTGCCTCCAAGTACAAGTCCAAGGTCAACTTTGTCTGGATTGACGCCATCAAGTTCGGCGACCACGCAAAGGCACTCAACCTCGCTGAGGTCAAGTGGCCCAGCTTTGTCATCCAGGATCTTGGCAAGCAACTCAAGTACCCCTTCGACCAATCAAAGGAGGTCGAAGCCGCCGGCGTTGAAGAATTTGTCAGCTCTTACCTTGATGGCAAACTCGAGCCCTCGCTCAAGAGTCAACCTGTCCCCGCTGAGCAGCTCGAGAACGTCTACGATCTCGTCGGAAAGGAGTTCGAGCGCATCGTTTTCGATGACTCCAAGGATGTCTTCGTTGAGTTCTACGCTTCCTGGTCAGCATTCTTTGCGTTGAGCGATATTTGTGTCACTAAAACTATTCAGGTGTGGACACTGCAAGCGTCTCAAGCCCACTTGGGACTCACTGGCCGACCACTTCGCGCCTGTCAACGACTCTTTGACCATGTAAGCGGAAACAAACAGTTCGTAGCTAAGCTACCGTGCTGACTACCCGATTCTAGTGCCAAGTTCGAGGCTCAAGAGAACGACCTGCCACCTTCAGTTGGTTTCTCGATCGCTGGCTTCCCCACCCTCAAGTTCAAGAAGGCCGGCACCCGTGACTTCATCGAGTACGAGGGTGACCGTTCACTCGAAAGCCTGATCGCGTTCATTGAGGAGAATGCCGCCAACTCACTCAAATTGCCTTCATCGCAACCCCACGTTGCTGATGACTCGGGCGACCTTGCACAAGGCGTCCTCGACGATCACGATGAGCTGTAGATTAACAAGCATGGTCAATTGGATACGCACGCCGTCCTGTATTAACTTAATCACCTTTTCTTTCGGTAAAAATCCGTGAAGGAGAGTCGTATGGCCAAGAATCGGCAATCCAAGTCTGGATGGCCCTGCAGCTGGTGCACCACTGTTTGAATCTGTTCCGAGAAGGAAGTCCCATATTGCTTCACTTGTTGGAGGAGCCGCGGGAGTAGTTCGGGGTCTGATGGTTGTTCAACACCGGTGTAAACGCCCTAGAGAATAGAAGTGAGCATTACTACTGCCAGACAAAATAGTTCGCCACTGACCCGAGCAGCGTCCAATTCCCTGTCACGTCGAGCCGACTCAGACAGGCAATAGTTGTAAAAGTTATCCTGTGGTGCCTGGTCACTATCACCCACTGGGCCTTGGAACGTGACTTACGGTCGCTTCGCGGAACAGCAAGATTATTGAGAACAGTTCCTTGACAAGCTTCAGCGTGTTTTCCTACTCCACATAAGCATTTTTTTGTATCAGGGGCGATGCGAAAGCGTGCATTACCTGTTTCCCGCTTTTGGGACTCAGCAGGAGGACCTTCTTCACCATGCGGTCAAGGTATGTCCGGTGGGCATCCAGCATAGCGTCCATATCACCCTCCTTCTTGTTCAAGAAATCAAGAAGGACTTTCCAAGAGCATTCAATGACTTCCAGCTGACAATAAGCCTGCATCTGGCGTATGAAATGGATCATTTCCGCCATGACGATACGGATTTGGTGCCATTGTGGGTCAAGCTCTGCGTCATCGAGTCAGTGTCCAAAGAATTGAATGTGAATAGAACAGACATACCAGGCACGCGTAAGAAGGTCCGAGCGCCGCCCGCAATACGCATCCAGCCAAGATTTAGTGTGCTTTCAATGCGCTTCATCTGCCATAAGTGGTTGAACAGCTTTAGATACTTGACGATCGAGTCGGGGTCAAGCACTGTGTCGATAGGTGAATCGACTTTGTATTCCAACGTGAACACATCCCAGCCAATTTCACCGTGCGAATACTCCATCATCCGTGCATCAAGTCGTCTGAGGACATCTGGAGGGTCGTTTTGCGCGTTGGACGAACGAATGGCAGTTTCTAGTGTTGCCGTAAGGTTGTGTCTGTAGAGCGCATTGGCGGGTCGGCTGAGACTTGGCCTAAGATCAGATAATTAGTTGGCCATCCTCTCATGTTGACAAAAAAACCCACTCACCCAAGAGCTTCCATGAGTTGGTCTGCAAAGTCTCCATATCCGAGGAGCAAGTAGTTCTTGAGTGCAACAAGATGTTCTAACAGGTGGAACTTGTCGATGAATACTTCAAACAGGCGACGACTGGCAATTTGGTACGCCGTGTCGATTGAGCGTTCCAAGCCAGCAATATCGCTATATTTCAGCGCTTTCACTGGTCAGCATAGGCTTCGTTTGACATAGGAACACATACTGCCGCCTGTGTTGCTCATCTTTTCTCGGGTAACCACCCAATCGCTATCGTGGCAGCTATAGCGAATGAAATTCAAGCTCTTGCCAGTTGAGAAGATCTATTCCTAGTTAGCCAAATAGATGATGCTGAAATGGAGCCGAACCTTTTTGCCAAAGGTATCACCCACAAACATGGGTAGCATGTCTTCTTGGAACTGATATTTTGCTTCCCAAAGCTTCAGGCCGCTGTCGCGATCAGGAGAGATGTCATCGCCGTCACCGAAACCCCCAAACCCACCATCGCCAGAGAGTGAACCGACTCCTCCTGTCAGTGACGAGGGATGGAGGGACTGCATGTGAGCTAAAGCTGGATCCATTGCTACGAAGAATTCGGAGTATGGATCGTAGAGTTCCCCCGAGAACAGCCATTTGTGTAATGTAGCAAAGAAAGGCTTCGATACGTCTTCCAAGAGCTGATCAGTGAATTTTCGAACGAATGGGTCGCCATTGTCCGTGTAGCCATGAATGAGATTGACGAGTGCGCCGCCTTGAGCACCTAAGGAAGATGTCGACATCGTGTTGGCCTTCAAATAAAGCATTATACCTCGCGCGCCTTCAACGCAAACACTCATCATCCTCATGCGTAGTCTCCATTCATTGATCCAAACATCCAGCCGCCTCAGCGTTAGTCCTGTCTCCTCCTCCTTTGCTCCTGTGGACATCTGCGACTCGAGAATAGCGATCATTCGATAATATTCGGTGAGTTGGGCTTGCAAGTGGTGGCACAAGCTTTGCTCAATCATTCCGACCCCAGACGCGCTTTCACGTTCCCGCACAAACGCATCAACACGGGTATAAAGGTATCCAACTTCTGAGAGACGGTGGATAAGGGCTCGGGTCGGGGCTGGGATGATATACTTCTTTGACAAGTCAGCAAGAGAGTGGAAATGGTAAATATTGGCATACCGAATCTTCGACGAAGACTAACTTGTCCTCTGACTCGGTTTCATCGTCCAACGAAAAGCGAATGTATTTCCCAGAAATTCCTTGCAGTAAATATAAAGTGTCGCGCAATAAGAGACTTTCCGCTAGGTGTTGTCGACCTGTGAAAATGATAAGCCGAGGTGTTGCGGTTAGGCGTTGGATCACACACCTGTCCTTGCCCGATACTCCCGTAAAACATCTGCCTTGGATTTCCCCCTTGGTATACGGGGGACTGGCGCGTCAACCTGATTTGTTGGCAGAGGGGGTGGAGGAGCAGATAAAGTCGGGAGAAATGTGGGTGGCGATCGATTAGACGACGAAGCCAGTGAGTGAAGGAATAGTATTGACGCGTTTTTCCGAGAAAGAACAGGCTGTGGACGCAGTTAGACATAAAACGACACAAATGTAGGATGTCCGCACTTGATCGAGCAGCCGGGAAAGCAGATTAGTAAATTTGAGAGCGGTTGTCCCGTTTGGAGATGTTTGGAGCACTAACGGACTATAAGATGAAGGATGTAATGATTGCATGTCCTACGTTGGCGCTTTATGAGGTCGGTGAGATGAGGGAGGTCAGGTTCACGGTTGAGGCCACCGATACGACTATTGAGTATATCTTGAGATTGGGTTATGAGTTCAGCAGCAAGGACTGGGTTATCTCGTGCTGCGGAGACAATAGACGCGACAAGAGACTCGAGGGCGTCAGACATTCGTCGTCGTTCAAGATCAAGTTTGTTTGCACGTGCTCGCTCATTGCTTGGCAAAGAAATTGGTATGTACAACAGGACTCCAACCAGACCACTACATATTTCTTCTACAACTTGACTTGCTTGAGCCCATCCTTCCAGAAGGTGATATACGCTGATATTTTTTAGGTTAGTTCAATCATCCAACAATGTGAAAACAGGTTTACGTGTAACGCCATCCTCGCGGTAGTTGAGTAGTGCGACCATGCCGTCGACGTCGACGCTTTCTCCAGTGAACTACTTCGAGTCAGCAGCGGTTCTGCACTCGGTTCTGGTCTCACAAATTCATAATCCTTGAAATTAGTGACAAGCTTTTTGGCGAAAGCAGCGGCTCCCTTCTCAAAGGCCTCGACACGTTCGGGATTTGATTCTTGAAGCTTGGTCTTGACTGCTTTCATGTAGCCCTTGAAAAGAATCATAAATGGAAGGTTGAGTGCATGATAGCAATGCGGACCTTGAGATAGGCAAGGTAGCTTTTTTTATCGAAAGAGGTTGGCTGGAGTCGGAAAGAGTTGACAACATTGTTGACAGTCTTGACGCCATCCTCAAGACCCTCGTCAGCTTCCTCAGCAGAAGGGTTGGCACCTAAGCGATGGTCAGTAGTGGGCTGGAAATCGCCAAACGAAGTGCACCAATATCGACGTCTGCACCGTCCTTGACCGAGACCATCGAGCAATCAACCTCAATCACGATGTCATCGACTTCCTTGCTGGAATCCAGGTGAGTGAAAACACAGGAATCGCAGAAACATCTGGGCTCGTACAGAGGGAAGGCATCTGAGAACATCTCATCGCCAGAAATAATATCCTCGTAGAGCAACATGATTAATCGGTCCTCTACGGAGCTTTAGTCAGTCGTCAGATTGTGAACAATATGGTGCCCACGGCGATGAGAGAGGGTGAAAAAGCAGGAGAACGAGATCACAAGCGAGATCAGCGTCACACTGATAACAAAAAATTTGCTATGGCAGCTTTTGCTCCAGTCTCGGTGAAGCAACACTCGAGTACAACACACAATCACTCTCCAGAGTCGCGACATTGGCGACAATACAAACACCCGATCTTCATAAAAGAATACGCCCCAGTCACCGCCGTTCATTTTGCTCCGTCCAAACCTCACCGTCTAGCGGTAACGGCGGCGACTAGAGTGCAGATTTACGCTCCACGAACCCAAAAACTCACAAAGAGCATCTCCCGCTTCAAGGATGTTGCTAGAAGTGCCTCTATCCGCGCCGACGGTAAGCTCGTCGTTGCTGGTGACGATTCTGGTCTAGTCCAAGTGCGTGTTTGGCCATTCTGGTTTTTTGAATGATACAGACCCTTCAAAGGTTTTCGACCTCAACTCCCGTGCCATTCTACGGACTCTAGACTCGCACAAGCAACCAGTGCATGTAACAAAATTCTCCACCCTTGTCCCAACTCAAGTCTTGTCTTGTTCAGACGACACCACCGCAAAAATTTGGGACGTTCCTTCTCAAACAGCGATAACTACGTTTACTTCGCATGCCGACTATATTCGCTCTGGACAATTTTCGACTTCCAACCCTAACCTTGTTCTCACTGGATCCTATGACGGAACCGTCAGATTATTCGACTCCCGTTCTGGCCACTGTGAAATGACCATGGGAGGAGGCGACACGCCCGTCGAGCAGGTGCTCATGTTTCCTTCCGGATCTGTCGCCATTTCATCTACGGGTCCAATTCTTCGCGTTTGGGACCTAGTGGCTGGTGCACGGTGCACGAGGGCTCTCTCGAACCACCAAAAGACTGTGACAGCGTTGGCCTTCAACGCAACTGCCAGTCGACTGCTCACTGGTGGCCTCGATCAAATGGTCAAGGTGTACGACGTAAGCAACTACAAAGTTGTTCACACAATGCGGTATCCTGCTCCAATTCTATGTCTTGCAGTTTCGGCAAGTCTCCTGTTCTTTGCACGACAGACATTTCTTACGCGGTTAATAGCCAGACGAGACGCATATTGCTGCTGGTATGTCCGATGGGACCCTGTCAGTGCGGAGACGACAACCAAAGCCTTCCGAGGCTGCAGCTGACCCAGCGTTCTCTTCAACTGCCCTTAAATCCGGCGCATACGAGTCTTTTCTCGGTGCCTCCTTTGCTGCGGTCGGTCACGGAACGGTGCGGGATAAGACCAAGGCAAAGGCGGTTGGAGATATCAACGAATTTCGGGTGGAAAGCAGGAGAGCGAAGCGGTTAAAAGATTATGATCGTTTGCTCAAGAGCTTCAAATACTCGGCTGCCCTCGATGCTGTGCTTCGCAAGGTTAATTTTTTTTTCTGGAGAAGGCACAGCTTTCTAACTACTTCGTTGCAGCAAGTTCCTCCAGCTACCGCGTTCGCCCTGATCCAAGAACTGATCCACCGAGATGGCTTACGGATATCACTCGCTGGTCGCGATGATGTCCTCTTAGAGCCAGTCCTCCGCCTACTGGTCAAATATGTTACCGATCCTCGGTTTGGAGAAATGGTCTGCGATGTCGCTGGTATCGTCATTGGTAAGCTTAATTGCCGCCGCTTTCCTTGAAGTTGACTGTTGGTTGAGAAATGTACACGCCCGTGTTGGGCCAATCCCCGCTCATCGATTCTCTCTTTTTGCGCTTCCGCAAAAAGGTTGCAGCCGAATTACGCTTCCAGAAGGAGGTCGCAAAGACCAAGGGTGCCTTGGACATGTTAATCGCTGCTTCCAGTCTGGCGACTTGAAGGTCGGATTACAGGTGCATAAATATTTACAGTGGCTTGCTACACATCAGGGTCCAGCGCCGCGATAAGAGCTGCGAGGATCTCCTTTTGGGTTGGAATACGCTCGCTCTCACTGGCAGTTGACGGAGGAGGATCAGGCTCATCGACATTATCGTAAAACGTCCGTAAAGTGCGCGTTATATCCTTCAACGACAAATTTTTGCGGTCCAGCATCTGCAATAAATGCCCACGAATCTGAAAATCACGTGAGACAACAATGACGCTGAGGGAAAGAGACGCCAACTGACCCCATCATCTTCCATCGCGATCCAAGCTAGGATGTAGTCCACGGTTTGTAACGTAAACAAACCATTGTCGAGGCGTCTTAGATACCAAGCATCTTCTTCCTCCTCAGAAACCTCTTCGCCCGCAGCTAAGAGTTCCTAACGTGCTCATTGAGCTTAGGCTTCGGTTGAGAAATGGTACTAGCCTTCTTTTCGACTTCAATATCAGCTTCAGCCGATTTCAGTCTGTTCGTGGCATGCTCCCTTATTTCCAACAGTTTGTCCGCCTTCTCGTAGTTGGCTTCGACAAATTTAGCTAGTAACCGCACTCTGCTCGGCGATTCCGATGGAATGTTTGAGAAGAGCGATGATATAACACCAAGAATATGTGCTGTGTCTTCCGACGCTGGGGTTGTGATGCTCTGCTTCTGCTTTTTGTTGCCCTGAGACGAGTTAGAACAGAAGATAGCGTGGAAGAACAACCCCACCTTGCCCATAAGCGCGGAGAAGAGTGTTTTCAGTCCCAAAGCTTCGATGAAGGCCTCACATGTTGCAGTACCAGAGGTTCCGGACAACGCATAGTCCAAGGTTTTGATTGCCCGCGAGCGCGACTGTAATTTCTCCCTGAAAGGTTGTCAGACTTGCCAATTGGGATTTCAGTGGACGCACTTCATCATGAGTACCAACAGGTCAGGCCCTTCTGAGGTTATGAACAAAGTCTTGATGGCTTCTTCATTCAAAGCGGAACAGAGCGCGTCGAAAACGTTTTCCATGAACTCGGTTTCGTCCGCATTGACAGGATCTCGGAGACGGTATTGCTTGGGGACTCATAAGCATTATGTGACGGTGCGGAAGTCGTTTTACTTACCGAAAGAACTTTGAGGCATATCTCGACGCCATCACACTTCCCAAATTCGAGGCGATTTGGGCGGTTGTTTTGGAGGATGATAGACAGCAACTCGGCGGCGTAGCCTCTATTCTCATCGTAGGTTTTGGCCTCGATCCTTTTTAGCAACCAAGGCAGGAGAGAGGTCTTTGATACAAGTTGAGCTGCTAAATCGGGATTAAAGCCTAAGATGTTCTCAAAGATGCCTGAAACAGTTGAAGATGGGGGTAAATCTAATTTTGTAAAAACGTACCCATTATGTGGAACACACCCACGCGATCTGACTCTTCGGCCTCGTTAAGGCGCGTCAAGTTGTCCACCAATAATTCTAGAATGGAGTTTTCAACCTGAGAGACGTTGGCATGTACTATACGGGAAATATATCAACTCACGAGCCCCTCGATGAGAACCTTTAACGCCTCTTCAGGTGTTCGTTCTTCGTCTTCATCCTCGTCTGCTCCTTCGTTGCCGACGTCTTCGTCCGTAAGTTCATGGATTACTTCGACAACATCAATGACAATGTCCGCGTTTTCGTGGCTCAATAACCCAATTAATAGCCCAACAGCACCGGAACGGACAAGCTCTGGATAGGCCAGAACGGGCGCTTGGGCGAGTGGCAGTAGACCCTTGATGGCGCTGTCCAGATCTGCCTCCGAGTCGATGAATCTATGAAACCTCATGAGAAACAAGCCTGAGTCCAAACAAACTCAACTTACTTCGTGGGGTCGTCGGGATATTTTGACCTGTGGTCTTGGTTTTTGTTCACGGCGCGTTCGAAACGGAGAAGCATTCTACGGATGCTGGTGATAGAAAGCGCGTCTGGCTTCAATGGTGGTCAAAGTTGGTCATGATGAAAAATAAGGCGCACGTCGTCTTGCATTCCCTCTCCCGCATTATCAAATATATTCAGGATTTCCTTCTGTTCAGAAGATAGCCCAGAACCGAAAAACCGACCCTCATCATCTTCTTCCACAAAATAATCCGCGTCGCCTCCTGGCGCAAAGTCGTTGGCGTCTTCCATGACCTCATCTTCATCAGCAACTTCTTCAACGGTAGCTTTCCTGCTGTTTCCGTTCGAGCTGGAAGCCGAGACGGGTTGCGAAACTGTATCCATCTTCAACTTTTTGAGCATCTCCATTGACGGATTGTCGGGCAGCTTCCGTTTTCCTGGAGGCAGCTTAGGAACCTAGAGGGGGTAAGACACGAGGAATTGCAATGCAGTGGCGGTAAACTACCTTGAAAAGGTCATCGATGTTCATAGTTGAGGCAAAGTCGAGGTGAGAGAAAGGTCGCGTCCTTGTGACCGCGTCACGACAGTGTTTGCGATTCCATACTTCCGCCACTCACGAGTATCTGCAGAAATCCTTGTGGACTTGAGCTATGTAACCCATGGAATTCTGGCAACAGGCAACATCATTTTTTTGTGGTTGCCAATCCGTCTTTTGCTCAACTCTGTCAACTGTTTGGCACGCGACTCTCCCTACGCTTTCAAATAATAATGCGCGATCCAAGCCATCGGCAATGCAGTATGGACCCGATAGGACGGTCGGCAATAGATGGTTGACTGACGACAATACAGCGGCACCTCACCGGTGTCTGAACTTTCTTTCCAGGTGGACGAACAAGTCTGCAATCTGGTTACGACCTATAGCCGGACAAATTGTTCTGAAAACCCCTGGGTATCGGCGGGGTTATTTTATCCTATTTTTCATCGCACACCCAACGGGTCATTGAATCAGCGGGTTTCTCAAAGTAGGTCTTCTGACTGCAACGGAGACTGGACTGGACAGCAATGCCGCGGGCAGTGGTCTTCTTTATTGAGCCTCCAATCATTGCTTGCATCTTTGATTTTACAGTCGGACTGCCAATCGTATTCACAGAGAGTGGAGTCTCTTTTGCTTCTTTGCTATAAACTCTTTCCGCCCGGCTCCTTATGATCTCTCCTCCTTCTCAACGCCCTCCATGGCGGCAAGTCTCCCAGTATCGTCTATCCTGGCGGTGCGCTACATGTCTGGTGAGTTTCTGGCTTTTTATGCACTCCATCTTATGTGTCTATTTATAGCTGTCGGGGTAACAGCAATTCTCTACGACCACTGCTTGACATTTTTCGACGAAGTCAGGCTCATCTGGCTGAATGTGCATACTTCAGCTACAGATCGAGTCAATTTTCTGGTCAATCGCTATGTTACTGAGGCCATGATCATCTATGTTGCATACGGCAAGGTTTTCGATGTCTCCCAGGCGGGTCTTTGATTGTGGTTTAATAGTACTTGGAGGAAATAGCAGGGGTCTGAGTAATCAAGTACGCATGCCCACAGCAATCTTAATTCGAGACCTACTGATAGGACGCACAGGAGTACGCTGATGATGAAGCCTGTTGGGGTTGACCGTAACATTGCCCCCCAGTTGCAAAAATTTCATCTGGGTATTTGGTGTGGTAGGCAGTCTGTCAATAGCCCTCCAGCAATGTGAGTGTACCATTCGCACAGCTCGCCGTTGACTAACAAAAAAGTCACGTTGGTTGGTCGTGTCTATACACTCTGGGTAGGTTGGCACTACTAGTACAGCTAGCACCGGTCAGTTTATCTTATCTTTAGGATAAACGCCAAGGCATCAAGTGGATTGTCATGACTGCTTTCTTCATCCAGACGACGGCCTCGACAGTTTTGGCCATCCTTGCTTCATATCAGCTTCAACGTCGGTGATCACCTCCACGAAACTGGTTTCTCATGTTTTTTCAGCTTACACGTCCTATTTATCCCTTGTCCACATGTGTGTAATTTCCCATAAGCCCTGGAGCCTTCCAGCGACGACCGGATCGTTGGTACTGTCACTTTGTCCTGGGAAAGTATGACCAGCTTACGTAACTACAGGCTGCATTTGGTCTCTTTATCATTCTTATGACGCTCTGGAATGCGTTGGACAAGCCATATCGGAAACAGGCCGACGTTGTCGAGTCTCTCATCCAGGATGGGGCCCGAATGTTTGTGGTATGTGCAACCCGCCAACGAAATTCCTGGCACCAACGTTTGTGTAGCTGATATTCTGTGACTACCGCTCCGCCCGATATAACTTGGTTGTGTTCTTACTAATTTCCAAGTGCTTACAGTGGTCAACTTCATCATGACGCTTGTGGGCGAGGTCGGGCTGCATTCTCGTTGCGTGTTGGGTGCTGACCACCAGCCACAGCCCTCGGACTGCCTGGTGACCCTTGTCGTCGTTGTGAGTTGTTATCTTGTGAACCGATCCAGAACTTAATAATTCGCTTGTTAGTGGTGCGTGAATTTTTGTTTCTCTTGCTAATGCTCAACTCTCCAGGTCAATGTATCGAATCGTCGCCAGCCGCATGCAACTCCGTGTTGAGGATCTTCGGGCGTCAAGACTCTCGTATTCTAGCCACGGTGGGGCCATTCAATGGGCAGATCTGCGGTTGTGAAGTCGTTCACTAAGGATAGTCACTGCGAGCCAACTTGAGAAATGAACGAGTGTGTTTATTAATGCAGTGTGTCTACATGCTATAGTGTCCCTGGTGTTACCCTACATAAGTATATATAAGAAGCGTTCATGCAAACAAAAGCGTGGCAAGAATAGATAAGAGTGTCATATGGACCATCGGGCTCGAGGTGAGAGCCGCGTTAGGTCCTTGGGATGGACTAGGGCTGGGACTGGGCGAGCGTGACGGCGCAGTGCTCCCCGTTGAACTCGAAGGGGGTTTCGATCTAGCAAGGCTGAATATGAGGAGGAGGAAGCAACGGAACGATCACGTACCCTGAGCCTGTTGAGGAGCCAGACGGCGCGGGAGCAGAGTTGGATGTGTTGTTGGTGCTTGCTGCATTATTCGCAAGGATGCCGGCCTTGGTCACAGGTCCATTGCTGCCTGGGGAGTTTTGATAGGGCGTGAGGCCATTGAAGAGCTGCGCAACAGAGACAGTCTTCCACGATTTTTGTTTCATCAGGGGATAAGCCGACATGAATGCCCCGACCGACTGGTCTGACAGTTCATGCTCGAGGATGATGAGGCCAGGAGATTTAGGGCCGTTAATCCACTGCGTCATGCTGGCGTTGACGGCCTGAAGGGTGGTACCGCCCTACTTCAGGTCAGATCGCATCCTAAATGTTACTCGGTTGAACACAGTCGTACCTGTGTCGTCAAACTCCAGTCTTCCGTGTCTTGGTTCCAGATGACAGTAGTCATGCCGAATACTTCCATAGCAATAGCTCGCACACGGTTATCGCTGTCACCGAAGGGAGGTCGCCAGAAGCGAGGAACACGCCCACCAGTCGAGTCGTGAATGAGCTGCATAGTCCATCCAAGTTGCGCAACAATGGCTTCGTTGCTCAGAGTTGTCATGTACGGGTGAGTGTAGCTATCGGAGGTTACTATAGTGCATCGACCGACGGATGTCATCCAACTCACGTATGGACAGCAATATCTCCGCCCATGTTGAAAGCGGATAGGAACTGATTGGGAAATTGTAGGATGTTGACACCGATCATGAAGTGGGTCGCGGTTTCGTGGTTGGTTTGCAAAAACGAGAGGAGCTTGTCGGTAACCTATTAGATCACCACGGTCACAATTCGACACGAGTGAGCATCGTTTGTTTACGCACAGGCTGTGGCCCATCGTCAAAGCTGATACCAATTGTGCCATCGGGGCCATCCCAAATATCGTCTAGTCACACAAGATCATTGTTAATGTTTTGTTTTTTGAATGAAGAATAATGCACTGACTCTTATTCCTGCATTTGTAAGTCGCGCTGCATACCACATCACCGTTGGGATTGGACCCAGCAGGGTAAGTTGGGTTTTGCCCGGGAGTATTTGATGATTGAGGGATATTTGGAATCTTGCCAGCAGCAACGGCTGCGTTCAAGGCATCGCGCCACTCGCCAGGAATCTTGGAGGGATCGGGAGAGCCTTGTGGATAGGCAGCAGACCATGTCGGAGAGCCCACAGGAGGGTAGTTGACTCCGTCTGTGGGTGGGGCACGCTTGAATAGACCGTGAACTGTGGTTGACTCATGAGCTAGGATCTTCGTTGCATAAGAAAGGGATTGCGCTGACCAGGGTGGTCGTCACGTTGGTACCAGCTGTCGGGGAGTCGTTTGTTTGCTGAATGAGAGTGGGCGTCATCATGTCGACCGAGGAAATGGGCAGAAGTTGCCAGCGGAAGAAGGAATGCAGAAAGGATGAACATGACGGGAAGGGGAGGAAAACCGAATCTAAAAGTTTCGAGTCGAAAGGATCTCTTGGCATGCCTTTATACTGCCTGTCACAACACGTCAACGAGAACCGCGGACCGCGATGCCCGCAAATCACTAACGGTTTCCTTTTTTGGATCGTAAACTCCCAGAACCACATGCATAACAAAAAATACAGACATCTCGATGTGACTAATAATGTAAAATATGCTGCTCTGCTCAAGTCTTGAGCATTAATACACCCTCTTTCAACACCGCAACTTGTTTGATCAATGCAGTGAACCTCTGCTTCTTCGCGTTGTCCGTGAGATACGGCTGGAAATGTTGAATGCAGTCTCGCGTTGTTGGCTGATTCGTATTCCTCAACCAGTCAACAACCATTGAATCTTGCAAATCACCGACGGGCGCCGCCCCATTATTCTGGGTTTTCCGTTTCTTCGGTTTGGGCAACCCGTTCTGACCGTTGGGCGAGGTTGGTGAAGGTGAGCCAGCGTAGTCCTCCACTTTGCGCTTCTTATTACCGTTTAGACTGGGGCTGGTTGCTCGACTATTGGCATCAGGGCTGGCCGCCCGGCTGCTGCTGGCTAGAGGACTCCCGCTTCGACTCCCGCCAACTTTGACCTTGGGTATCTTGGGACTGGTGGCTCTCTTTGCAACAATCGAATGTCCATTGAGACCGTTAGGAACTGATGGAGAGGCAGCGCGTGAAGTAGAACTGCCCAAGGGAGGAGAGGTTGGTTGTGGTTGTGATCCGGGGGCTTGTGAACCTTGTCGAGAGTCTGGTGCGGGTTGTGGAGGGACAGGTGGATTAAGTATGACGGGTTGTATCGGTACTTCTTCATCTTCCTCCTCTTCCTATTGAAACGGTTAGGAAATGTCGGCGCAAGAACGCTATACTCACTGAGCTAGCATACGGATTCTTCTCTTCGTCGCTATCATAAGCGTCATTGCCTTCACGTGCGCGGATAAGTTTCTGCATTGCTTTGGCTTGTTTGGTCATTCCAGGCATGTCTTCGTCGTCCGATTCATCGATGTGGCCATCACGCTGTTTGTTCGCGGATTTATATTCTTTCTTGAGTCGTTCCTGCACACGAAAGTAAGTTGGGTAGTTCGGCTTAGAACGAAAAATGAAGCATCACCTCCATGTCTTTTGTCTCTTCATCCTCCGCCTCCAAACCAATCTTTTCGTCATCATCTGCGAAGTCCTCCTCATACACAACCTCATCTAGATCGCCTTCACCTCCAAATTCCTTCTCTCGCCGACGCTTTGCACCACCATCTTCATCGTCGTCTCCGAAAAGGTCATTCATGCCACTGTCGACGGCCTTCAAACGCCTGCCTCCTGGGCCCAAACTGTGACCGGCAGAGTGAACGAGAGTACTGCTACCCGCAAGTGCACGACCCTCTTGAACAGCTTTGAACATAGCAGCGGTTTCAGAGGAAGGCTCCTTCTTGGTTAACTTCTTCAACATGTCTTCCGGCTTGATCTTATTTCTCTTCGAATACTGGGACAAATGAGTGGAAGAAAAGTGTAAAAAAGCTCACATACCAGATCCTCGATGCTGGCCGTATCTGTGTTGCGTTTGTCTATCATGAGCTTCTTTTGGAATTTGTACCATCTGTTTGCGGGGACGAATTTAAAGATGTTGTTGGCTGCGGGCATGAAAAAGGCATGGGTGGTAGACTTGGTGATGTCTTCAAGTTGTGCAGTCCACGTTTCTGAGCCGGTGGCATCCTCGATGACCCAAGGGTACCGCTCCTCCCTCCGTAGTTGCCTGACTTCGTCTGGAACAACATAAACTTGACGCGTCTTCTTCTGGAACTTCTTCTTCCCCGCTGCCGCCGTCTGTTTCGCCTTGCCATTGTCCGCATGAATGGGCTTGCCCTCCGCATCGACCATCACTATTCTCCCATCTGAGCCGATGACTGGTTTTCCATCGGGTCCAAGCATGTGCGTTATGGGAACTTGTTCGGTCACAGCATCTTCTCGCCTAAGGTCCTTCCTGTTCAGCTTGATAGGGCCACGCCAATGGGTGAGGTCGACAGGTTTCCGTGAGTCGAACTTCATCACATCATATTTCCAGCCATTCAAGGCGGAAGACATGAGTTTGAACTCCTGGAAGGGCATATCTGGGAGCTCAAACTCTTCATCCTTCGCAGCGGGCGTGGCCTCTGGGCGTGGGCGAGCTCGAACAACGGGTTTGGTGGGCGAGACAGCATCTTTCTTGGGTTTCTTTGGGTGGAACAGTGATGCCAGCTTGGGTTGCGAAGCCATCAGGTGTCACGGACGAGTGAACCGCTAAGCACTGGGCATTCAATACGGTGGTATAAGCCGTTGAATGAGTTCAATGGTGGTGGGGGGTGACAACAATGGGAGTAATGTGACTCGTCACAAACAAACGGGAGTTTAACAGAATACAACAGTACAATGTTCCTTTTAAAGAGTCCCAGAGATACAAATGTAACAAAGATCAGTCGCTTCTATGAGTATTTCCATTTGCCACAGAAGAAAAGGTTTTTTGGGCCGATCCTGGTCGGGAAAGAGGCGCATTATTAGCCATCGGCCGACCTTGATACGAGCGAAGAGTGTCCAGCTCTCGTCGTAGCATGTCGACTTCCCTCGACATATCTTGATGACTTTGCTTGAGTTGAGTAACAAAGTCGATGGCTGGTGTGAATAGTCAGGTTGAAATACGGTATAATCAAGCAAGGCTGACCTTTACTGAGAATCTCCCATTTGCTAGCTTTCATGCCCCGGTCTGCAGGAAGCTGGTCCCGTAACTCATCAAACAACTCCTTCATCTCTTTTCGTCGCTTGCGTTCAGCAAGCTTATGCGAGACGCGCAACTCCGGTGAGCGTGAATAAGGAGTCGCACTGGATTCTTTCGAGTGTCTTCCCGAGCCTGTTGGAGAAGCAGGCGCGGGATCTTCTTGGCCGGATGACGGACCGGAGTGATTTTCTGGACTGTGTTTTCGTCGAGAGGGTGGACGAGAGTGAGTGCGCAAGGGTCGTCTTATATCAGGAACAGACATTCGCCTGTCTGGGATTGGTGGCACTGGTATGTTTTGGTCGATGTCTCTGTGTGGAGCTGTAGGGTGGTCTGCTGACGGCCATGCGAATGTAGCAATGCCAGGCGGGGGACGAGCGTGAGGAGAGTCAGCACTTGAGCTGTAGCCTCCCACACTAGACACATTTGAGAACATTGACGAGGTCGAGTCTCTTCTATCGTTGCTCCACCATTGTGGTGGCCGTGAATCAATTGACTCACGACGGTCATTTAAACTGAGCTGAGCTATGCGTTGTGTATCGATAGCTGAACCTCGTCGTTTGGGGGCTGGGGCGGCTTGATCAACCTCCATAGCAGACAAACGAGATTCACTTTCTTCCCCCAAAGTAGGGAAGCCAGTGGGATCGGCAGACATTTTGCGTTTGAGCCCATGAGGGGCTGCTAAAAGAGAAGGCGAACGGGTATGTCTGTCATGGCCAACAGCAATTGAATGCCGTCTCATGCTGTAGTCGAATTCATTTCGACCGTCGACATTCATGGCATCAGCGCCTGAGAGAGAGAGTGGTAACGATTGTGGCCAAGTAAAATGAAAAGCACATACCAGATGGACGGAACGAGTCGGACCGTATACGGGAAGAGGAAGCAGGAGGATTGTCGGGAGACGGAGATCGTAGGAGTTTACGAAGTTGTGGGTTATCATGGGTAGCCGAGCCAAAGACATAGGGAGATGCAGGCCGTGGGTCAGCCTTCTCTGGCCTGAAAAAGTGGGGATTGACGCTTTGCCTTGGTGTGGCATGAAGGGAGGGGTCGGTGATAGAGCCTCGACGTTGATTTTGGAGAATTTCAAGAGGCACAAGTGGGCCAATGGTGGAATCACGACTGGAGCCACCGTTAGGCGCCGGAATAGCTGCCATGAAGAGAGAGGTCAAGTCGATTTAGCGTCTTCAGAAGAGAGCTGTTACACGTGCGGGCTTTGATCAAAGACTACTAATAACGGTTACATGCAAAAGCTGCCGAACCACCTCCTCTACTTCCACCTGTCTTTCATAACGTCTGCGAGTTCGCGTTCCCCGTCGACCCTGTTGGTTCTCACCTTCCAGAATATCCTCTGCCGCAACAATCTGTCGCAACCACGGCAAATATTCAGTGTGGGCTTCAGACTCTGACCTTTCAATCACTCCGATTCCCAGAGTTCGATGCTCCCTCATCTTGTCAATCAGTCTCGCATATTCTGAACCCACACGAGCCCGTCCATGCTGCCCATGTCTAGTGACAGCTGCGACAATCCTCTGGTCCAGGTCATACAGCCCAAACACGTTTTGGTCTGCATCTGTAACAATGGGGTGGCCAATCTCATCATCTCCACTGGCCAACCATTGACTTTCCGCAAAAATCTGGTGTCCGTTAGTGTCGTAGGTAAAAAAGCAAATATATCACACCAACAGCAGGTTTGCCGTTACGTGTCAAGCATGAATCCATGAAGGAGAGCGTGTCGGCGTACCGAACATCTCTCTTGGTTGCCGAAGTCCAATCAAGCAAAAGGTCGGAAGTATCGTCATTGGCAACAGATGTCTCGTGGCCCAGATGAAGATGTTGGATCGAACGACGTAGATCGAGCGTGTTGCTGTACAGGTCACGCAAACGGTCTTGCTCGATAACATAGCCAGCTGAGCAACACAAGGCTTGCAAATATGTTCCCGCTTCCTCCGGTGGACACGGTGCGAAATTGAGTGTAGTTTGAAGGGGCAGTTCGTCAACTGGTACAAGCGAAATATCTGCACAGCATCAGCGCCGTCAACTTCCATTACCCTCACATACCATTGCAGGTGAGGATGATTGGTCGTTTGCAGTCCTTTATGAGTCTGATGACAGCTGGCCAGAAGTTTGCATCATCACGATAAAGAATATCTACTTCTTCGAGCAAGATAAGAGACTGTCGCGCTCCAGCGTCTTGTTGAGGGATAATGAAGCCAAAGTCAGTTTCTTGCTCGCCCTTCTTGCGTCCCGTTCTTCGCACAAGATGGTTCTTGCCTACTTCACCAATCAGAGCTTCCAAGCTCGCACCATTCCGCTTTCCGATACCCGGATGCACTTCGAAAACTTCCCAGTCAAGTTCTTCAGCACACGCGTAAACAGCCGCAGTCTTCCCGCTGCCGGATGGTCCATGAAGTAATATAGTGTTGGTTAAATTCTTGTCGAATGGTCCATGTTCTGGCAAAGTACCATCCCCTGGCTCAAACTCGTCATCGTCCTTGCCTCCGTCGTATGTCTCTGGCTCAGAATAGTCACTAGCATCGCTGACTATCCATTCGAATTCGTCCAAAGATTGTCGTTGCCGCTTTCGAGGGCGTGTAACGCTTCGTTTGATTTGTGGCCGCTTGATTCCCCTGGAAGACTCTTCATGCGGAACATCAAAGCGGACTTCGAGAGCTTGCAGCCAATCCCTCAGATATGCTGCATTCTCTTCGTTACCCAGAATATCAGCTGCGCGTCGCGGGTGCCAACGATCTGACCAGAGATGTTCTGGAGGAGGCGAAGATTCTATAGTCGCATCAACAAGGGAGGCTATGGCGGGATGCCGTTGTTTGTGTTCTTGCGAAATGGCTTCAAGGCAGTTTCGTCGCTCTTCTGACGACGAAAGAATGCGAGGAGAATGTACAACTCCGTGGCGGGCGTCGGAGATACCTTTAGACCACTGAGAGTTTTCGGGAAGTGTTGACGCGTCACTGCTGGGAAGCCGGGATGGGAACGGCGAGGCTGAGAAGGTGGTCTGTAGGCCACGGACGTGTTGGTTTTCTCCAGTCGGAAAGGTAGGGGAGAGAATCGGGGTTATAGAGGGAGCAGAAGAGGTGGATTCGTCCTCGACAATGATGCCTTTGGGTGGTCGATTGAAGATGGAATATGTTTGCTTCACTGGCACCTTTTCCAACTGAGCAACACGGGCAGGACGTGCAGGAGATTCAAGTGTAAGATCTATTATTGGGGTAGGCAACACCGGTGAAGGTGGCAATGTGGGTTTCGTGGCGGGTATGTCGATGACCTCATTGAGTGCTGGGTCAACGCCTTTCGGTGGAACTTTCTTGAAATGGTCGAATATCGTTTTCTGCACGGCTCAGAGCAAGTCGGATAGCGAACGCACACACACACCTGCTTTACCCCCGTCGTTGCAGCACCTGCTTTCCGCTTTCCACCCATCGTGAATCTGACGCGTCGTCAACGTTTGAGAAACGCGAGTGACAGAGCAGCACGTGATGTGTCACATTCTTCTGCGTGCGCACATGTACAACCAAACGACAACGATGGGTGAACGTGCCTGCATTCTGGAACAACTTTCCTCGGAGTATCACGATTTCAATGGCTCGGGTTATCTAGTCTTGAATGAGCCCCCGACTCCTATCCAATTTTCTCGTCTCGTCCACATCTCCCGGCCAGTGCTCATCATGGGTGTGGCAGGGGGCAGCCATAATGGAAGACCCTGACCATCCATAGGTGTGGACATGATAGCTTCACGATCTTGGACCGACGAATACCTCTCGGAAGCTCTGGGCAATAACACGATTTCTGTTGCAGTTACGCCAGATGGGTTGGCAGCTTTTCATTCCTGCGAGTCAACTCTCAAAGCGATTCTAGTCGCGCGGATGCCGTGACGTTAGGACCTGACGGACAATCGTATTTTGTCGAACCTGCCGTAGAGCAGATGTCAATGTCCGACTTTCTATCCAAACTGGCCAAGGGTGAGTGAGTGCGATGATCCCCGTGCCGTCGCGTTGAACTTGACAGACGACCAGCACTCTGACGTATACTATCTACAATCGCAGAACGGCAACGTCTATTCCAGCGCATTTTTCGACGGCACTGACAACAAGTCGGAATTCGACGCATTAAGGGAGGACATTCCAAGTGAAATCGATTGGTGTAGTGAGGCTCTGGGTATGACCTTTATTTTCGCATGAGGCATTCAACTCAACTCGAGTCAGGGAGAAACCCTGATGCTGTGAACCTGTGGAGTCGGTCAACATCAACTTTCCCCAATCGCAATTAATCTCGTTGCGTAGTTGGCAGCAGGAGAAGCTCAACGAGTCTACACAGCGGTAATCAACCCTGCGGTTCCTTGTTCGCTATCTGACTCTCAACTTCAGATCCATACGAGAACATTTACCATGTTGTGCGGGGGGCGAAGCATTTCATCTTGTTGCCGCCCACGGAGGGCTGGTGTTTGCAAGGTATAAACGTCAAATGACCCTTTGAACTCGCCGTTAACTCTGACGGTCAGAACGACTCTACCCACATGCCAGGTGGACGCGTTCGCATCCAAATGAACCATTAAATGTTGTTCCTTCACAAAACACGCCTCCTGTCCGTTGGGCATCTGTTTCTCCACAACAATTACCGGAATTCACGCACCCTATCCACATAACGGTGAACGCAGGAGAGACTCTGTATCTACCTCCAGGCTGGTGGCACTATGTGCTTCAGGACGATGCAACGATAGCGCTCAATTATTGGTATGACATGGAAATGCAAGGGCTAGGCTTTACCATCTTAAACTTTCTTCGTGGGGAAGCAGAGTCGTAGAGCTACTTCGATTTAGATAAATGCTTGCAGATAAAGTGTGACTGTTGTGACTCACACTTTCACCCATGTCGACAAAGCCCGAGAAAAAATCCAAGAGGCGCAAAACGGAGGAGGAGGAGAACGGCGAGCCTACGATGGAGGCCAAAGTAATCGACGCGACTCGTGAAGCGCCAATAACTAACACAGCTCACACAGTCGCCAAAAAAAGCCAAGAAGGAAAAGGACGAAATGGAAATCGACGTTCCGTTGGAGGATCTCTCACCAATTGCGCATCCTTTGGCTCAGAAGAAACTGCTCAAGAAGGTGCACAAAACTATCAAGAAAGCGTCCAAAGCTCGCCAGATTAAACGCGGAGTGAAGGAAGTTGTGAAAGGCATTCGGAAAGGCGAAAAAGGGTGCGTATGAAGGTCTAGCCACGACATATTGCTCATTGCTTCAGCCTGCTTATCCTTGCGGCGGATATCAACCCCATTGACATTATTTCGCATCTCCCCATACTCAGCGAGGAGGCCCAGATACCGTATATATTCGTGCCTTCAAAGGAGGAGCTGGGGAACGCTAGTTCAACAAAACGACCAACAAGTTGTGTGATGGTTTGTCCAGACCAGAAGAAAAAGGCCAAGGCCAAGGACGGTGATGAGAAGGATGAAGACTACAGAGAGTTGTACGACGAGGTGCGACAGGAAGTAGAAGCATTGGATACCAAGATTGTATTTTGAGAACGATCACTACACACTTTTTGGCTCCTGCCATAACCAGACCCCGTTTGCGACAGCTTTTGCTACTCTTCCGTTCCTTCCTTCTTACTTCGCCATGGCACCTAAAGCCAAAAAGTCGCCCGCCGCAGACGTAGAACCCAAGGGTACTGCTCCCCCTTCCACTAATGGGACCACCACGCCTGCCGAAAAAAATGACACGTCGGACGCACCAACCGGCAGACCGGACAAGAAAGTCTTCGATGCTGAACAAGACAAGCTCAAGGCCGACATTGACGCTCTCCAGGCCAAGCTGGCGAGTTGATATTCTGCTCTTGTCCACCTCACCCAGCTCATGACTACCTCAGAGTGCTGTCCGCGACAAGATTGGTCTCGCTACCAAGTCAGGCCCTGGAAATGACCGCAGAAAAGCGCTACTGGCCGAACTCGACTCCATACGCGGGCAACAGTCGGAAACAAAAGTGTCCAGAAACAAGATTCACGAGAACCTCAAGTCCATGAACGAGAGTATCGCCAAAAAGGTATGCCTCCTCTGTGGGCCTGGTGTATCTTATTCATCCCTTCTCTAGGTCAAGGACTTGCAGGCGGCCAAGTCCAAGACTCCATTTAAAACGGTAGCTGAAGTCGACGCCCACATCAAGTATGCCGAGTCCATGTCCTCCATAATGTCCTCATCCATTTTCTCCACAGACAACTCGAACGACAAGTTGAATCTGGCACCATGAAACTCGTTGAAGAAAAACGCGCTCTGCAAGAGATCAATACCCAGAAACGCAACCGTCGCACTGTCGAGAACTTCCAAGCGGAGCAGGAGGCGATTGACCGTGACCGCGCTGCCGTTGACGAGCTGAGAAAACAACTCGAAGACCCTGTCGCTAGAGCCGCATCTGAGCGTTTCGACGCAATTAAAGCTGAACTCGATGTGCTCAAGAAGGAGGGTGACGAGGCGTATAACAGTCGCTCGAAATTATTTGAAGAGCGAGACAAAATCCAGAATGATCTCAACACGCTTTACAACGAGAAACGGGAGGCTTCGCAGCGTTTCCGGGACCTAAACGATCGCTACTGGGCCAAAGTCAACGAAGATCGTGCGCGACGGGCTGAACGACTGCGGGCACAACGAGCGGCTGAAGAATTGCAGAAGAAACAAGAGCGGGCTGCTCGTATTCGAGAGGAGGCAGAAAGCCCTGCTTACCAAGCTCAAATCGAAGATTGCCAGACACTCATTGACTATTTCTCTGGCAAGACAACCGGAACTGTGTCACTCAACAGTGCGCCATTGACCACCAAAGCCGACGTTGCAGGTGTGCCCAAACTGGATATCCGCCAAGTCGAGGCTGCTCCGGATGGTGTGGTTGTGCGAAAGAAGAAGGGCGAGGACGATGAGGCGTACTTTGTTGGTGGAAAGGGGAAAGGCAAAGGCAAGAAGTCGACCCCCAAGACAACAGACGCGGAACCTACCGGCCAGCTCAATGTCCCATTCGCTACCCTATCGGCCCTTCTTGCCCTTTCAATCCCGCCTCCTCTTGCTCACGGAGAGGTCCCTCGTGTTATCGAAGACCTCAAAACTAAGAAGGAGTGGTTTGAAGCCAACCAGGCTCGTGTTACCTCGGAGAACATTGCCAAAGCAGAGGCTGAGATTCAAGCATTGAATGCAGCTGCGAAGGAGTCGAAGGGCGACGAGAATGGAGTTGTCGGGAATGGCAAGGAACCCTCACCATCTCCTGCACCTGAAGTTGTGGCCGAGTAGCGATAGCTTACATATAATCCGGACGGAATATATTTTATTCAGCACAATCCACAACGGGAGATAATTTTGTAAGTACACTATTAGGGAGCGTGGGAACCGAAAGAGGAGAGGAGAGAAATACTCGAGAAATACAGAGGATATCAATAGATAGACAAGGTAACACACAAGACAGTTCACAGCGAGGGAGAAAACACTTGTACTACTATGCGCCCTGTTGCTCCGTCTTCACGGGCTCAGGGTCACCACCCACAGACTCGCCTTCGTTGTTTGACGGGGCGGTTGACATGCCCAAGTCTTGGGTGAAGCTGCCAACATCAAAGCCGTTGCTTTGGCCAGAAAAGTCCCCAAACGAAAGGGAGGACTGGTGAGGCAACGAATCATCTTGAGGGGCGGAAGTATCCATATAAGAGAGAGACCCATAAGCATCCGAATTAAAGGCGGAGGCGCTGGGGTCGGGGAAGGGCTCGTTCTGTAAAGCAGCGAGCATGCTTGATGTCGTTGGCGTGTGTGCCATCATTTGTGGGCGCACATCTAGACCATTGAAGTTCTCCTGGCCTGGCATCGGCGACAATGAGAAGAACTGTTGCTGCATGACGGGCTCGACAGAAGCAGCAACCGAGTTGGTCGACAACGCAACGCTTCTTAGGACGTTAACGGCGATCCAATCGCTGTCAAGGTAGTTAGCCAAAGTAGATTGCGGGGAGATCGACATACTCTAAAAACAGCTTCATGATCTGGAATGCCCCGAAGGCCGGGTCGCTGCGGATCGTCTGAGGTAGAAACAAATGAGTTGCGAGTTGAAGAATCGCAGCTTGACGCACCAAGTCCCTCATAACTTGACTTGTAACATATCCCCAGCGAATTAGAACGCTTCGAGAACTCATAGTGCTGCGTTCCTCGGTGGCTGTGTGGCTGGCACGACTACTCCCCATTAGTCTTTCGCAACACTTGTCTGCCCAAGTCATGACCTCTCGGACAGGCTCTGTGCTCTTCGAAAGACTGTCCATCATACCTACAAACTCGACCTCCAACAACTGAACCAAATCTTCGTGTCGGCAGTTGCAAACTAATGCAGACTGGTTCCGCACGGACTCAAAGTCGACCTTTTGCCACGACCGCCGCATCTCAGCCAATTGTTTCTGGTTGGTGAGCACGGTGTTGAGGGCCTGGGTGACTTGGTAAATATCGAGGAAACGTACTGAAGATCATGAGCAATCACGAGACATGTCCGATGAACAGAAACTCACAAACAAGATGGCCAAAACGAGCACCAAGCTCGACTTTCGGCTCCACAAAGGTGTTCCCATAACTCTCAAGCGCCACGAGGAGTATCTTCTCCATCTTGTTTGCCAACTGGCGCAAGCTGGTGAGCGAAGCTGGCGTGATCGGCGTGAGCATTTGAGACCGCAAGATCTCCAGGATTTCCTGTTGAAAATATCAAGGCTTTGATTCGATGCTCAGAAAAGAAAATCCACGGACATCATAAACAATTGCATCCGCCTTCGCCATCAAACCAGCAATAGCAGGAGCATGGACGACCTCTCGATGACTGCCTCCAAGACTTGACCAAAATGTGCGCAGATGCATTTCGAATTGGTCGAAGCGGAAGGAGCGAACGCTTTCCAGAAGGGAGTCAAGGTGGTCTTGGAACCAACCCCAGACCTCACGGGCCGCGATTGAATGTGGAGATGTCGAATTGACGCCAACAGCCTCATCAATGGAAGGGAAATGGGCGAACTGCCGTACAGAAGTGGGAGTTTGATACGGGACAGAGGTCGAAGATGGCGAATGAGATTGCATACCACCTAACGCGCCTTCTTGTGTGGGTTGCCTCCGGATTGATGCTTGATGAGGGAAGGAGTTTGGCGGGCGTTGAGCTGCTTGTTGGGCCAGCAAGGTCGCTGCCGTTGGAGTCTTGTCACTGAGATCCTGAGAGAAGATCGGGCCGCCTTTTACATCAGCCCCGAGCGTGAGCGAGTTCCGCTTAGACCCAACAGCGGAATTAACACCTTCAGAGTCCTCATCATCATCTTCATCCGAGCGGTCTTCGCCCCGATTTGCTCCCTCTGATTGTCCATTGGCTTGACGGGCTGCATTCACCGAGTTTTGAGCAGCGTTATTGTTAGACTTGTGGATGTAGTCCTGGAGCCATTCAGCCTCTGCGGACGTGGCGGGTCGAATACCGCAATCTGTCCATCATAAGCAAGAGTTGATTCATGATGAGGGACATACAATGGTATTTGCTGTTCCCTCTCACTCCCAATCTTCGAGTCTTGATAGTGGGAAAGCACAGCCGAATCGCTTTTCCCAGCGTCGCAGTGTTGATATGCGGGATCCCATACTGGTCACAGACCCGGCGGTAGGAGAAATATAGACCCTGTCGAGGAACGTTTCCGTCCGGATAAGGCGCGTAATTCGCCGTAAGCCTGAAACAGGTCAGATCCGAGGCACGACAGCGTAAAAAAAGGAACTTTTACCAGGCCTGAACAAAGATCTGTTTCGCCCGATCAGATGCGCTGGTTGTAGTGGCGGCGCGAACATTAGCAGCGAGCTTCTCCAGGGCATGGTCAGGACTGAGAGTCATGCGGCCAAATGCACCCGTCGCGTGGATTGCCTCTTGATTAGGAGCAATTTGGTGTGGAGCAGCAGCGTACATATGGTGGTATTCAGGGTTTGCCAAATACATCGACAAATCGTCGGTCTCGCTTGAAGAGGAGTGGACAGAGTCGGTGTCACGGGGGTAAGGAGAAGCGGCGACACGGGCCCGGATGTGACTGGGGCGGAGATGGTTTTTGAGAGCGGGGTTGGAGACGTTGTGGTTGGGTGGTGACTAATAAAAAGGATATGGGAAAATGGCAAGAGAAGCAGAAATTGCAGCCACATACGTGATCAGTATATCCCAGACCCACTCGGTACAAATCCTCTGGGGTGGGCCCCATTCCCTGCTGCATGCGAAGGCCGCTGGACGACTGAGGGCGAGAGTTGGATGAATGGGTTGACGATGAGCTCACGGAGTTGGAGCGGGAGTGGGAAGGGAGGAAATCGAGGGGCATGTTTTGCTGAAGAGCCATCATGTTGGTTTGGAACGAGTGTTGGAGAGCTCCGTGGCCAGCACAGAAAAATAATCGAGTTTGGTAAGATAGTTGACGACGGGGAGGACCAGCACGAAGTAGACAAGCGTACACTGGTCGATACTTATGGGCGATGATAGATGTGGTTGCGGTGGAAACAACGACGGACGTGGGTACTTCTTATATCAGCAACTATCCCTTGACGGAAAAAAATGCCCTAAATAGCTCCGCCAACTCCTCTTTCCGGCCAACTCGACGTGCTAGTCCCGCCCATTCACCGATAGTTAGTGACTTTAACCCATACGCCGTCTGCCGCTTCTTCAGCTCTTTCCCCTTCCCCGGCAAATTCTTTGGTGGGATCGGGTACCAGCCGTCGATTCCCTTGAGAGTGGGTCTATCGAATGTTAGATATTCTAGTTGAAATTCAGGGGTGTTGGTTTTATTGGCTTCTTCGAGAGTGGGGATGTAATACTACACAATACGATCAGGTTCAATGTCAACAGTATTCCCTTTCCGCCTTACCTGAGCGTAGCCGATTGGGCTCCAGAGCTGAGCAAGGCGTGAAGGTGCTGCTGGATTTGAATGCCAAGTTTCGTTCAACTGGCATTTCCAGGTTTCCCTATATTCATCACGCAGGCATTGCGCTGTCTTGTTACCACTGCCGCGATGATGTCCATGTTTGCGGTCTTTCGTTAAGCGTGGCGGCTTTACTCCTGTGATGTTATACGCGAATGCTCGGAAGGCGGGCACATAGGGATTGGGAACGACAGAAGGCGCGACAGACACAACCGCGTAATTGTCGAGGATGATATTTTTCTCTTTCGGAATGGCAGCAAAATCTTGGAGGAGAACTTTGAATAGGTCTGTTTTCAGGTTTGTGCGCGAGTCCTCGATGATATCCAAGTCGCCAGCCTCCAAAAAGAAGAACTTGGATCATGTCAGCAAGTCATCAGTCGCGGGAGGCAGGGTCATACATGATCCACGTTCATATGCTTGAAACGTTTAGACCAAGGCGCATCACTGAAGAGAAGAGCTTACTCCGTACAAGTGGCCTAAGATCGTGTCTTGGAATCTCAATGCAAGCTCCACGTAACGGACATACTGCTGGGAGTAAACACTCTAGTCATCGCGATTGCCACAACTCACGCATTCAGGAAAATAATTGCCTGGAGAAGGCGGAACATGGCCTGTCTGCCATTAATTTAGACAACGGACAGATCAACAGATTCGCACCTGATAACCAAACCTAAGTATGGGCATAAGATAAAACGGCACGGTTTCAGAGGGAGAGCATCAGCTTACCTGCATACCCCGAGCCCGAAATCCCTTAAGCTGGACCTCAAGCCAATCAAATTGAAGGTTGCCTGCGTCATCGCGTTCCTTGAACAAGCAACCACCAACCGCTTTGAAACCGATCAGTGCGCGGCCGTGAGGCTATCCACGAGCAAAAATACCTTTGTTCGAATCGTAGAAGTACATGGTGTTCAGACTGATGACCGCAAGCGAGTCGGGAATAACTTCCACCGCGTAATATGCACCACGTTGGAAGATTTGGAGATGGGGGAAGGGTATAAAGGCTTTCCAAATCCTCAGAGACGGTCAGGATTCATAGACGTGGATCCAAAAGACATACGAGGCAAATTCGTTGGTTATGCTATTCGGTCCTGGGATCATAATATTCTGAGAGTAGATTAGGCAGACAGCCCGCAGATTGCAAATGAGCCTACATGCGCTATGGACTGTTAACGCGCCACGCAATCCAGAGAAATAGACACTGCTTACGCCAGACATCATTATTACCTAAAGAATGAAGTCAAAAATGCAGAGAGCACCCAATGAAGCGTACCAAGACTTGGCACCACCGGAATGCCGCGGCTGGTGAAAATATTCTGCATCTTGGCTGCCATGCCACGGTTCAACTCGTAAATTTCGGCAGGCGTTCTTGGCAACTTGCGGTCGTTGTCGTGTCTAGGTGGAGCCCGTCAGTCAACCGATGCTTTGCAAGCACGCAGCTGGCACCTCGCATTGTCTCCAGTCCCTGGTTCAATTATTCTTCAGCTGATCCACGAAATCTAAAGAATTGGACGCACAGATGACAAAATCGATCTCAGAAGCCCACTACTTGCAACCGGTTGAGTGTTCAGATCATGACGGAGATGTAAAGCACCTTCTTCTCCAGAAAGTCGAGTGTGAAGTTGGTGAATCGTAGTGGTGAATCGCATTCCCTATTCACGAAACATAAGTGCCCAAACGCAACAAACAGCAGACCTACGCGAAAGGTTGCCCCCAGTACCCTGCAATATTTTCCTTCTTTTTACCTTTCTTTCGATGGCACGCCGTTGATTCCGCTGTTTTAGGACGGTATGAAGGGTCTGGGTGCATGTCGGTGATCTACAATGGGCCTTAGGTTGAATGGGTCGTCTTCATAGAGTCATATGCACATGTAGAAACCGTCCATGAAGTTTGCGGGGTTCTGTCATCAAGTTAGTTGGAAACCCAACGAACGCGCCCATTAAAAACTTTCTCGTGAGACTGAGAGGGATTTGTTGGGGGGCAGCATTCACATCGAGAGTAACCAGAGAGAGGAGAAGGATCGCCCATTGCATGACGGTGGTGTTGAACGAACGTGCATCAAGTTTACCTAAGCCCGATAAGATTGTGGGGCCAATACAATCATTTGTGATACGTAAGCTACAAAACACAAAAAAGAAATAACTACACGGAGGGTATAAGTAGGCTATGGCGGCCCATCTTGAGTGGTGGGAGATGACTGAGGAGAGTGCAGGCCGAGTAAATAAGCTTCATTGTCCCCCGCGTTTAGAACTGCTCGAATCGACTCAACCGCCAAGGTGATCACCTAGAGAAATCAGTCTTGTATCCAGACTCAAAAATGGCACCACCGTACTCGGCTATAGCCTCCTTCATTCAAAGTGGACCGACTGCGAAGTCGAATCAGCTTATCGTAACATTTACGTGGTAAACCGAGCAACGAACCTCTTGGCAATGGCATTGTGGATGGCATCGGTGCTGTACCGGCGTCTAGAGATGTGTGAGACATGTGGAAGACTGGTTGGGACTGCTATTCACAGTATGCTTTCCAGTTGGGGCCTTGTCCGCGGAACAATGAAGAGGTGTTCACCCGACAGATATCTCTGTCAAACATCTCAGTTGCTATACCAGAAGGTAAGTGGCAACACAACGCACCTCCAAGCCAGTATAAGCAGCAGTATATGCTAGTATCCTCTCGTCGATTTGTGGTCTTGTTGATTCATGGTCAGCGTCGATGCCATTTTCCCTACACAGGTTTTTTTTTCAGCCCAGATAGTCTAATTGCACATCCAAGAAGCCTACGTTGCATGTAGGTGGGCGCGAGCTTCTGCAGAGTGTGGGGAAAGGAGACGTTCCATCATGGTGGAGTGAAAGAGAGTGTGTAGACGCCTCTATTCCGGGTGGCAGTCTTTTAAGCACGTTCGTCGTAATTCGTGACTCGGCGGAAAACAGCGGAAAAGTAAGCTGAGTGACAAGGAGGTCACGGCACCGCGTCTTGTGTGTATCAACCCCAGAGAAGATTTTGACCACCTATTATATCCGCCGCTCTCATTGGCTCTGACCCCGCAAAACAATTGCCTTCTTCTGACAACTCTCTCACCATGGCAGCCCATAAGCTCGAAGCCCTTTATCTTCCTCCTGAATCAACCTCTTTATCGCGATTCAAAGACCAAGTGAATGCAACGCATGGTCTTTCCCTTTCCAACTACCACGATCTGTACCGGTGGTCAACTGAAAACATCGCCGAATTCTGGTCGGATGTATGGGACTTTACTAATATCATCGGCCAGAAGGGCTCCCACGTTATAGACCAAGAAGCAGCAATTGCCCACAATCCACTTTGGTTCAAGAGCGCTGGGATCAATTTCGCCGAAAATATGTTGAGTTGTCGATCAACTGAGAAAGTCGCTCTCATCCAAGCCAGTCTGTCGTCCTTCAAGTCTTGTTTGTCTGTCCTCGTCTGAGTTCTCTGTCTATAGCTGAGCCCACGCCGCTCCATCCCACCCCTGAATTCCGCCGATGCACCTATGCCGAGTTGTACGAGCTTGTTGCTGAGCTTGTGTCTTCCCTCTTAGCCAATGATATTAAACCCGGTGACCGCATCGCCGCCTATAGTTCCAATTCTATCGAGACTGTAGCCCTTTGTCTTGCTACGACCGCAATCGGTGCTATCTGGGTCAGCGCGGCAGCGGACTTTGCTCCCGCCGGTGTGGTAGAAAGGTCATTTGCCAAGCATTTTTCGCCTTCTACTCCCAGCCTCTTCTCTAAATATCTTCCTGTTTAGATTCGAGCAAGTCCAGCCGAGGATAATCTTCGCCGTCAGCGCGGTCGCCTACAACGGCAAGCTTCATGACCATATTCCAAAGGTCAAGAGCCTTCTTGCTGAACTTTCTGCCAAGTCGGTTCCTTCCCCAAAGGTGGTAATCATGAACTCTTTGCCATATGCGCAAGACAAATCTGCGTGGCAAGAGGGCTGGATAGGCTACCCAGACTTCATTCGGCAAGGCAAAGCAGAGCGACGTGGACTTACGGTCTCCGGGGAAATTCTTTGGCACCGTACCTCGTTCAACTGGCCACTGTGGATTCTTTTCTCCTCCGGGTCAACAGGTTCGTCCAAATTCCGAAAATGTTTACTGATAGTCAAATTTAACTAGGCCGGCCTAAGTAAGCAAGAATCAGCTAAACGCCGTTCAGTAGTCTGGAAGCGTCTATCTTTTAGGGCGATCGTCCATCGTGCTGGCGGTATGCTTCTGCAGTCCAAAAAAGAGCTAGCGCTTTGCGCCGATCTACAGCCCAGCGATATTTTCTTCTACTACACAACAACGTGCGTGTTCGGTCGTTTGCGGCATCTATAACGGCGTTGACGAGACTGAAAGCGGCTGGATGATGTGGAACTTTCTGTTAGGTGGCTTGGCTGTGGGTTGCACCCTGGTTCTCTATGACGGTAGTCCGCTCCGAGATCCCGCCTTGTTGTGGAGACTGACCGACGAGCTGGGAATCACCATTTTTGGCACCAGTGCGAAATACATCGAGCATCTGGCTTCTGTTTGTCGTCCCAGGTTTCTGGTAGCATCTATCTGAAATCCTTGGCAGAAAGGGTACAAACCGTGCGAACACCACGATCTGAAGACTCTCCGCCATATATATTCCACTGGCAGTCCACTATCGGCCGCCTTATTCGACTATGTTTATCAAGACATCAGTGCGAACGTACTATTGGGCTCCATTACTGGTAGAAGTTTATTTACCTTACGTTTCGACCGCAGCTCAAGCCGGCGCTAGGCGGAACGGATATATGCTCTCTCTTCGCGGGAATGTGTTCCGCTTTACCGGTCTATCGGGGAGAAATCCAATGTAGACTGTTAGGCATGGCGATTGAGAGCTACAGCGAAGACGGCAAGTGCAACCCACCGGATGTAGCGGGAGAGTTGGTGTGTCTAAAACCGTTCCCATGCATGCCTGCTGGTTTCTGGCCCTTGGAGGGTTTTTCAGACGACAAAGCCGTAGCTGCGGCAAAAGCACGCTATCATCAAGCTTACTTTGCTCAACTGGAGGGCGTATGGTGTAAGCCGGGCCTCAGGTGCATGGTCGTCGCTGACACTCCTTGAACAGACCACGGAGATCATATCGTCATAACAAGCTCGCGGCAAGGGAATGGGGGTGGAGTAGTCATGCTAGGTCGTTCAGACGGCGTATTGTGCGTGGGGGGGGGGGACTCCTCATATTTATATCGTCGATCTCCTGACCAATCTTGCGCAGAAATCCCGGGGGAGTCCGGTTCGGAACTGCCGAGCTTTACGACGTGATAGAAGCAGCTTTTGGGACGACCGGGAAAATCGTCGACTGCCTTGCTGTGGGTCAAACCATTAGTGACTCCGATGAGAGGGTTGTGCTGTTCGTGAAGCTCCCAGATGGTCAGGTGTTGGATCAGACACTAGAGAAGACTATTAAAGACGAGGTCCGTGCGAGGCGAAGCGCGCGACATGTTCCCGGAAAGGTTCGTGGCTGCTCCGGCTATTCTACTTTTACACGCGCTAAATGCCTGGCGTAAAGATTGTGCAAGTGGGAGATATACCCTACACCGTAAATGGCAAGAAGGTGGAGGTCATCGTGCGAAAAATAATCAATGGAGCATCCCCCTCCATCGTTAATCGTGCAACTCTCGCCAACGATTGCTTGGAGCTTTATGAACAGCTGGGAGTTCAGCTCCGGGCCGAATATCCATAAACAGTAGCTAAATCACTTGGCTAATCAGATTCCGTAAATTTTCTGTGTGACGCAGATTGTCACGCGCCGGCTGGAGTTGTTGCTAGCCAGCTCGCGGACTAGGGTTCGCCGACATGACAATTAATTGTCAGTGTGACGATTACATAACTAGGCGCTGGCCAGGTGGCCAGCACGAAACACCTTGCTTTATTAGTCATATTATGTATTGATTTTGTGTCATAATCAATTAATTAACGTGGCCGCGTCATATCAACCGGCCGAGATGCCGCTGTCGACCAGTCGACCTGTAGTCAGGAAACTTGCTTATGTGAGCGGCTTGCATCAGTATTCACTTCCCTTTATTTCCTCATTGCAGCGTTGTTCACACATCCACCAACTCCATGCCGCATCAACTGCGCCCCTTCGGCCCTCTGTTGCGCCGTGTCGCACAGCATGCGTCACTCCTTGCGTCGGCGTTCGCGGCGTCCTTCGCTGTTGACCGCTTCGTCATCCAGGACCCAAAGGTGGGTATTTTGTCTTGTTTGAGCCGTGGTTTGTCGCTGAAAAACGTTCAATAGGCTACCATCCACCGGGAGAAGAAAATCACTCACGAGGGCGGCTTCACCATGGTAGAGGAGGTGCGTCTTCATTCCCTTTTCTTTTTTCTTTTTTCTTTTTTCTCAATTACCTCTACTTAGACGCGCATCGTCTTGCACGGGTACGACGCTGCCACTGTGCAGTTCGTCGTGTCTCAAGTGCTGGCGCTCCCTCTGGGTCGCGCTGCAGGTGGTGGAGGTCAGGTTGAGGGCGCGGCAAGCCCTGGCAAATTGGGCAAGATTTGTTATTTGCCCAAGTTGCCATTTTCGCGCCCTGCGTCTTCTTCCAAGTATGATGCGCTTGTCGTTCAAGCCGTGCGTCGCCGTCGTCGTTCCTTCAAAAAAACCTAGAGATATGAGGCCATAATCAGTTGTCATCTTGAAATCCAACACCCCCTTGTCGTTTTGTTTGCCTACTCTTCAGTTATTTCCACCCTTCCAGTTTGGATTTCGGCGCTGATGCGCTGATTCGCTTTTCTCTCCGAATGATGCGCTTTGCCGTTTTTAGTGAGAGCTCGCGGCGTATTTCTGTAGGCTGCGAAGATGGTCAGTGAATTGGCTCTTCTTGCCGTAGGTGCCTTTCCTCACCTCTTTTGCCACTATCTCTAACTCGCTGCAGTTACTTCGCTGAGCGGGCATTGAGCGCAGGGGCGTCGCACTGTTAGTTGATCAGGAGCTTGTCGCCGTTTCCGGTAAGGAAAGAATGCTTGGCTTCCCGTTAACCTCATGTTAACCAGAGGCATGCTTCAAGTCGACACATGCAAGCCGTTCGAGGGTCCGCGAGGTTGCATTCGTCTGTCTGCGTCTGGTCTTTGTAGTCTGCCTTCGGTGATACTTCCTTTACTTGCGATAGTAACGGTACTCTCACCGAAGGCACTTGAAGAACTCAACGAGCCATCCGGGTTGCATGTCTGCATGACTGGTGTTGCTGTCGTTTGAGACGTAAGGTGTCTTCGTTGCATTCGACTGTTCTTATTTTTTTTTGAAAGCTGTGAAGGTCGTGGATGAATCTGGGAGGATAGGTGCGTTTGCTCACCTTTTTCCGGCATTCGAGTGACTTAATTGTTCCTGAAGGTTGCGAACGTCGTCAGTAAAACGGTTGTTGTTGCGGTAGGTGCGCTTGCCTTTTTCACCCTTATCTTCAACTCGGTCCAGCTACTTAGCTGAGTTGACGGCGGTGTGGGCGCAAAGTGTTGCACTGCCAGTTGGTCCAGAGGTCTTTGTGGTCTGCGTTTGGTGAGGCTTACTTTACTTGCGATAGTAACGGCACTCTCATCTTGGCACTTGAAGAGTTGAACGAGCGATCCGGGTTGCATGTCTGGATGACTGGTCTTAATGTTGTTTGGAAGGTAAGGTGTCTTCGTTGCATTCGACTGTTCTAATTTCCTTTTGAAAGCTCTGAAGGTCGTGGATGAATCTGGGGGGATAGGTGCGTTTGCTCACCTTCTTCCGGCATTCGAGTGACTTAATTGTTCCTGAAGGTTGCGAACGTCGTCAGTAAAACGGTTGTTGTTGCGGTAGGTGCGCTTGCCTTTTTCACCCTTATCTTCAACTCGGTCCAGCTACTTAGCTGAGTTGACGGCGGTGTGGGTGCAAAGTGTTGCACTGCCAGTTGGTCCAGAGGTCTTTGTGGTCTGCGTTTGGTGAGGCTTACTTTACTTGCGATAGTAACGGCACTCTCATCTTGGCACTTGAAGAGTTGAACGAGCGATCCGGGTTGCATGTCTGGACGACTGGTCTTAGTGTTGTTTGGAAGGTAAGGTGTCTTCGTTGCATTCGACTGTTCTTTTGAAAGCTGTGAAGGTGGTCGATGAATCTGATAGGTGCGTTTGCTCACCTGGTCGCGTGGTAGGTAGAACTTCTTCCGGTATTCGAGCGACTTGATTGTTTCTGGAGGTTGTGAACGTAGTCAGTTAATCGCTTGTTGTTGCGGTAGGTGCGCTTGCCTTTTAACCTCATCTTCAGGTTCAGCTTAGCTGCGCCCGGCGGTGTGGGCGCAAGGTGTTACACTGCTGGTTGAGAGCTCTTGGCCGTTTCAAGTAAGAAACGGCTACTTGGCTTATCGTGCTTCTGGTTAACTGGATGTTCCAAGTTGTCATTCAAGACGTTCACGACGTGCTACTTGTGCGTCGGAGCTTGCTATTTGCCTGTGGGTCTGGTCTTTGTGGTCTTTCGTTTGGCGAGACTTACTTCACTAGCGGTCGCAATAGCGCTTGCATATTGGCTTCAGCCCGATATCTGACCGAGCATTCCTGGTTGGAAACCTGCCCCAGTGCTCTCTATGTTGATAGTCTGGGCGGTAGGGCCTCTTGCTGGCATTCGAGCGTTCTGTTTTTCTTAAAGCTTGTGAAGCCAGTCAGCGAATCGGCCCTTGTTAGGTAGGTGCGACTCGCCTGTTTTGCCCTTGTCTTAACTCGGTGCAGTTACTCGCCTGAGCGTACGGCGGTGTGGGCGAGGGGGGGGCTGCCACTGCTCGTCGGCCATAAGCTCGTCGCTGTTTCTGGCAAGAATGGGCTACGTGGCTTCCCTGCCGGCCATGTGACAATACATTTAGTCTCAAGCTAGCTGATTGGTTCTTGGCCTTTTCTTGGCCTACCCGTCCTTGCCGACAGTGCCTTCAAACTGTTCAAGTCTCTGTTGCGGTTGCCTCAGATTTGATTTTGGGCGCTCCTGCCAAGCTCCTGCGATTGATCATAGTTCAAGTTGGTCTTCGCCTTTTGACATGTTGGCGGCGGAAACGGCGCCGAGCGAGATAAAGATTTATGTATGCATTTCCTTTGGTTATTGTCCGTGAAGTTCGCAACTCAGTTTCGTTGGTTTCCCAGATTTAAACGTTCTTGACTCGGAAGGGATCGACCAGGTAAGGCACATGCAGAAGGTGATGTCAGTGGTGTTCTAGCCCCAGCGCTGATAATTTGAAGCCCCTGGTGCATTGGTTGCCATCATGGGCCGAAGTTATGTATCTGGCTCAAGTTGTTGTATAGATGGCGTTAACAAAGGTACCAGTGTTTGTTTCACAAGCAACTCCGTGATCACTTACCCGATTTAGACTCACCTACATTCCTCCTGTCTTGCACCTAACGTCCCACCGCCGAAGCCTACGACGGATCACAAAAGGGTGCGGGGCTGGTGCAGAGATCCAGAGTCACGCAAAGCGCGTCAGGTGCGTCGTTGCTTAAAGTAATGCGTTAAAATGACAGTGATGGTTGTGAATGCTTTTTTAGCTATAACATTCTGTCCTTTATCTATGGCGGCTTCAACAGATGTGCAGGCTGTTCTGCCTGCCATCGATGTGTTTAGTCGTGTGCCGGAGAAAGTTTCGCTCGATCAGGCCAACAACTGGCTTCAAGATTTCCAGCACTCAGTAACTATAATCCTCGCCAAACCGCCTCATCGTTTCCAACCCGCTGTGCCAGCCTGATGCTTGGGCGACATGCAATGTCCTCCTGCGTACCCCAGAAATACCCACCGCAGCAAAAACTATTTGCCGCTCAGACTTTTCACGCCAAAGTCAGTCTTTCTTTCTCAATCTCAACGCGCCACTTTGACCATCTCCAGGTAACTTATGATCTCAGTCAAGTCGATCCCGCGAATTTGCCTGGCTTCAGAGATAGCCTGGTGGCCGCGCTCGAGCAGCATCACACTGGACCACGCACCATCATCGTCCAGCTTTGTCTGGCGATTGCCGGGCTGGCGCTCCAGTTCCCCGCCTGGTCGCCAGACGCCGTCTCTTTTATGATCACTCACTTTGGGAGAAATCCCGCCAGTGTGCCAGCATTGCTGCAGTTCCTCGCGCTGCGTCCTGAAGAAATCAACAACAACCACAGAATACCAATAACCGTAAGTCTTTGTGGGTCCTCCCCCCGTTCTCAATCTCACAAAGTCAAGGACGATGAATATATGGAGAGAGTGAACCAACTCCTCACTTACAATGCGGAGCAGGTGTTGGATCTCTTTGTCATGTATTTGCAGGCGCCAGGTGTGTAACATGACTTGCTCGTTGAGCGGCGAATTCTGATATTATCACTAGGAGTCACGGTGACGGTCCAAGAGCAAGTTTTTCGCTGCCTTCGGAACTGGCTCGTCGCTGGAGAAGTCAAAATCGCGAACTTGTCCAGTTCGCCGTTGTTTGCGTTCACATTCGAGGCCCTGGCCTCGGAACAGCTTTTCGATTCGGCGGTGGATGTCATTTGCGAAGCTGATACACGAGACACAAGAAATCGACGACAACATGGCTGCCATTGAGCTCATCGTGACGCGCCTCCTTGCGCTCAAGCCCCAGCTTACTCAGCAATGAGAAGATTCCGACAAAATCAGGGGTTATGCACGTATTTTCAGCGAGGCTGGCGACACATATCGGAATTTGATTATCCAGCATCCTGTCACTTTCTTCCCCATTGTGGACGCGATTGGAGAGTGCTCTGC